ATCTGTGAGGCGCGCAACGCACGGTACTACCAGCCTAGCTCGAAATACTCAACACTCTCTCCTCGCGTTCGTTCACTCACACGACGATATGCGATGATCCCCCTCCTTATACTTATGTAGGTAGTTACCTATTTGTTTATGCGATTGCGCATCTAATTTATTGTATTGGACAGCACTGCTGCCCGATCTCGTAAAAATGATGACACAGTGCATAGTGGAAGATTAGCGATAATGTACGATGACTTCGTCGTGAATATGTGAATAATACCAACATTTGCGCAAGAGCTTTGGTTATGTGCCCCTATTTCATGTGAGTGAGGGGTAGCTTATACATTCCCCTTTTAGGCCAATAATTCCACGGCAAAAAAAAAAAAAAAAAAAAAAAATGAGAAGCGCTGTTCGGTGGTAGACAAGCCTTATTGAAAATCGAAAAACGTCTTAATGAGATATTCAATAGAAAGAATCTTGTGCGATACATCAAAGGTGAGGAATAAATTCGGCAAGACTGGCAAGTCTCCCTCGCCCGGAAGAGGTTTTGCGTAGTAGTTGTAATTATATTGTCTACGTCGGAATATAAAGAGCGCCCAACATGACAGAAATAAGTTAGTGAGCCCGTGGGGGTCAAGACTCAAGGTCTGGCACGGGAAGTACTTCTTTGTATTCCTCTTCCTATTTACCTACATATATGTAGGGTATCTTCTTACCTGCCAAGTTACAAAGTACTTGTTATGTATACCTACATGTATGTAGTACTGTGAAGTGTTCCCTCGACCGGGTGGAGTCAGTAGACCCAGAAATGATGATACCTTACATCCATCTCACATCCACAACTATAGCTGCCGAAACATATCTAGGTAGGTGCAGATGGTTGGGGCAGTTTTTATCTTGCTATGACGACGTTATGGAACGATATTCAGATTCGATAGCCGTTTAATTAGATTTTTTTGGTTGATGAAGTTGACTATAAGTATGATTGGCTTACCCTCCGGCCGGCATTCAGCTTTATGGACGACCAAGCGAATCAGGATTAACGATAGGTAATTACGTTACCTACTACCTATTTACCTGTCCTAAATACAATAGATAGCTATACTAGGATCTATTCTTGCACGTTATAAACACCTATACATAGCCTCGGTAGGTGTGTACATATTACAATGCCAATGATCATCCGCTGCACATATGAACACCTTATGTAGGTATGCATAGATGCAGTACTTAGTAAGTACCTACATAACTACATGCACATATATGTTGGTTAGTTCAATGTTGTATACTAAAAGACTACATGTACATATATGCTGATGCCAGTACATGTGGTGCATAAGACGAGGGAAAGAAAGCTGTTGAGAAACCACGGGGAACAAGGCATGTACATATTGTGTACTACTCTACACGGGAATCTACCTACATACCACTTTAAGTGCACATGGTTTAAGGTTATGAAGCATCACTTATAATAAAAGGATCAATTCTCAGATCTGCGATTCGGATCCCGTTTCCCGCTAAGCGTTGGGGTTGTTGTATACCTACCTTGTATGTGGAGGAATACGGTACTACAGGTAGGTGAGGATGAGTACTTAGTAATACGATTCTATGTAGGAGAGGACAGTCAGTGGCCATTGGCAGGGGGAGCGACCGGCGTAGATCTGCAAACTCATACATGTATGTACAATACATGCATACTAACCTACATTAGAACCTACATACTCTGTAGGTAGGTGTAGTACTTGTTCCTCTATATGCTAGGGTATTATAGGATACTTCCAAGGTTCTGAATGTTGAAAAAGTGGTGTTGAATATTGAGGCTCAAACTACCAACTTACTCCTATTGCCTACTCCTTAAGCAGTCTCGGGCCGAGTCGCCCTGACATACATACATACACATGTATGTAGACATATAAAATTATAGATAGATAGGTATGTGCACAGTGGGCGCGTGCTGGACATTGCCTTACTAACCAACCTACTAAGTACATTGATAAGCATCATCAACATAACCCAGATGTTTCGGAAGTCGGATCAGATGGCAGATGCAAGCTGATATCAGCAACCAGTCGCACATGTCATCTCGCGTAGTACAGCAGTGTCCCCAAACTTACCCAGAAACTGGTTGGGTGTTATGTATGTAGAGGCGATCAACTCGGAAGGCATTTCACCTGAGCTGGTACGAAGGGAAGGGAAGGGATTGCACATACATGTGGCCGCTGTAGCATCGACCTTCCTTCTCGTTACCTGGCCAAATAGGGGCTGCAGACGAACGAATGAAGTCCCTATGTACGCTGGAGTTGGACGCATACATATCGCCATACATACAACCTTGGAACCTATTTCAGACCTCACAAACGCACAACAGGTACTATAGGTAAACAGCGAACAGCAGAGCGGTACGCCACAGCTAGGGTCGGGACCCCCCATCCGCTGAGCCCGGTCAAATCAAATTATCTACATCTCCCCAACATGGCGTTTTCCCTTTACCGAAATCCAGCTTTTCTCTTCAATACAATATAACTTATTACCCAGAGATAGACATACTATGTTTCGGAACTCGCTTCCCATTCTACAACCCATGGACAGGGTTCTTGATTGTTTAACAGCCGCTTCTATTTCGGTAGACACACTGACTTTAGCATATTACTCATGACAACCTACCTAGATAGGTAGGTGGATATCTTACTCATTATGCATCACTGCCGGGAAGCATACCTTGTAACCTCAAGAGTTGGTAGGACGTGGGGGAGAGATGTGGCTGATAATTGTAACTATATGTAGTTCATTCCATTTGAAAAGGAAAGATGTCAAAAGCGACTTCAATGTTTTATCTATTAGGGGTTTGATGATACTAAAGAAATGGGTAGTTTAGGCGACCTCAGGCATTCGGCGTTTACAACCGGTAGCGGAATAATGAGATGCGACGTTGAGTTGCGATACCCCCCTTCAATGTTTTGAATGCACTGATCGTTCCCACAGTGGTGAGTAGGCTCACATTCCGTCATATCCATGATAGCGGCCGTGTGGGTATATATACCTAGTAGTGAAGAGATCAGCAAAATAGTAGGGTTTTATAGGGCACTATACATATAGTTCATATTATCACCACATGTATCGCCTGTGCAGAGTGCACGCTGTCGTTCCCAGTCATTTACAACCGCTCCAGTCATTTCAGTCGTTCCAGTCGTCCTAGTTATCCATTAATGCGCAATACATCCATTTTACTAGCACCTATCTATCTACCTTTTAATACTGCGGATCCCTTACCTTGTCATCGCCCACAACTTGCATACAACTTACATACAACACAAGTACATAACTACCTACATACATACTTGAAACAATTCTTGCGGCGTTGGTAAAATTGGGTCTTGGCCTATGTATGTCTTTTGGATGACTAGACTCACATTGGTACCGACGATTTTCAACAAACCGCATCGCATGGCAGCTCTTTTTCCAGATCGAGGGCCTAGCGCAGAAGCTTCACTGTAGCTCTGTATGCTACAATCCATATGGATCCCAAACAATGTCACTCCAAGTATCACCAAGTACCTTTTAGGTCTCGCAGGGTCCCCGCTAATGCTGCATGTGCAGGCTGGGGGACCACATAGTGGTGGGAGCAAGTCTACATACATTAGTAGTGGCATACATAACTACCTAGTATGTACTATCATACTACTATGTAGTAGGCATGTACCGAGGGGTCTCGCGATGAGCGACTGGGGTCCGAGAGGTGCCAAGCGCTGGCAACCCCATCCCATCACAGCATCTCACTCTATTATGTCTCTTGGTCTTTGGTCTGGTCTCCTTCTCCTTCAAATGTTCCCATCTCCTTCACCATGGGATTTCTACATACACATGCATACTTACCTATTAGGTACTACTCATGTAGATAGTATGACTCTTTGTGTGTCGCTGTAAGTTGTAGCACCTATCTCAAGTACCTATTTACCTACACTGGTCAGCTCTCACACACCCAAGCTTACGCACGTGAAGCCAAAATGTTTATCGGTAGGTCTACCGAGGGTCGATAACTGACTCTCAAAATTGTAGCTATGTAGGTAGTTACAGACATACATGCTCTTGTGCTCTTATGCCCGTTTGCCCGGTTGCCCGTTTGTTCCATCATTATATCCATGAATGTAAGATAGATCTCGCAACTGCACTGCTTATTGCTCTTTTACTCTTCGTGGCCCACAAAGCTCGTCTCATTTTCTCATTTCCTCTCTGCTCTCTCTATACCAAGGCGTTACAAGGCCCCGAGGATGGGGGTGGAGAAGCTCAGTTACGTCTTCGGGCCTTCGCCGTCTGTCCATCCAACCGTGCCCCATTAGTCCTACCCCTACTCGTACATACTACGGTACGCTGATGTGCATCTCCCGCCCACGTATCTTCGTTTTCCGCTAGCCGCCCCACGGTATCACATCCACGGTCCAAATAAGACCTACATTCCACCTCCGCTGCCCAAGCCCGACCCCTCCATCTGTCTGTCTCCTCGCTTCTCTACACAGACGTGACATTCATAGCTGCGGTTCAATCAGACGCCGGGTCGTCTCGATTGTCCCCCCCATTTGTCTTTTGCCGACGACCGCAGCAAGGCTTTGCTTTTGAGGAGACCAATCAGTGCTGCTGTCTAGTTGCGACCAGCTTGACACCATCTCCATACTTCTGCATCAATATCCTAGGGGATAGGCCTATAGGCCGTATACAGCAGGATCGGATCTTCAGTGGACGTTGCCACTCTGGCTCTAAATTCTTTTTTATTTTAAAATTCCTTTTCAATTTTTTTAACTGGGGAGGGTTTTTTTCGGCTTTCCTTTTTTTTTCTTTTCTTCTATTCCTGTCATATGAATTCCGGGTTTCGGCGTTCTCTCGCAGGATAGAACCTGTCCGTTTGCCGCTGGTTGAATTACCTCGTGGGCATGATATACCCTTTCTCATGAGCTATGGAATGCCCGTTGGCTCTGGTAACGGATAATGGAGATATGCCTTGGTCAGATAGTCACAGTATGGCCTCCGAAGGATCCTCCGTCGTCATGCCTACATCTCCACTGTGGACAAATCCCGTCCACACCAATCGAATGGATACCGGACAGCTGTCCCCTATCAGCACCGAACTCGATATCCCTCCCGTGGGCATAGGCGCGTCTTCCGTGCCGACTATGATTCACTCCGCTACTTCGTCGAGCGCAGAGTCCTGGAGCACTAGCTATAGTGATGGTGCCGACATGGGCGAAGACACCGAGAACGACGTATCATGGGAGAAGAGCTCAGATGACGTGTTGACGGTTCCCAAGATAGAGCCCCTTGAAGACGATGGTTTTCAGATGGACGAGGTTAAAGAAGCCCCCCGCACACCAATGCCGGACTCAAATACCGTCCCAGCGTTACAGGCGAAGCTGAAGAGACCGAGAGGCCGGCCCCGAAAACACCCCCTCACACCCCAGGTAGCGACGAATAAGATAGCCAAAGGCCGGTCCAAGACTGGATGTATCACATGCCGGAAAAGAAAAAAGAAATGCGACGAAGCAAAGCCGCGTTGTAAGCTAGACTAACACCCATCCATCCCCTCGAGGCTAACCCCCCCGCGCAGGCTTAAATTGCGAGAAGAATGCTGTCGTGTGTGAAGGGTATCACGAAAAGACCATCTGGAAGAGTGGGAGGGAGAGGGCAGAAGAAGGTATTGATAACTAGTTACTAGGTGTACGCTCATCCTCTAACATTTCGGTATAGAGCGACAGAAGCGACACAGTTTGCCACATATTACTCTCCAGCCCATATTCCAGGGAGTTGAGACGCCCGAAGACATAATCTTCCTCAACCACTACATCAGCCACTTAAGCGGCGTGCTCACGGTTGAGGGGCAGCACAAGAACGCTTTCAAGGACATGCTCCTCCAGATGGCCGTGGAACATCGAGGCCTAATGCACTCGATCCTATCCGTGGCCAGCAGACATATCGACTACGACACCCCATACGGCATCAAAATACTCAGCTCCAATCCGAAAATCAACATGTCTTCATTAGTAGCCAGGTCTCAGTTCCACCACAACGAGGCCATGAAGAAGCTCTGCGAACCCGTGGGCAACGAAAATGATCCGAAGAACAAGGCGAACCTATCTCCCCGCTACGGACAGATGCTCTGCCTCCTCCTCCAAACGCTCGCAGAAGGCAACCCCAACGGCGAGCACCGGGTGCACCTCCAGGCCTACAAGAACCTCATCCAGCAGTCCCCGCCCCCGGACAACGCCTTCCTGATATTCATCACCGAGTTCTTCCAGTACCGGGTCTTCGCCGACGAACTCATACGTTACCACGACCTCCGCACCCCGCGCCTGGCAACCGAGGACTGGGAGCCGTGGTTGGCGATACAGCCGGCACGTCTGATCGGCGTGGCGGACGGGCTGTTCCACTACCTCGCCCAGATTACCACGATCCGGAACGTCATCCGCTCGAATATGGCCGCGGAGGTCGACCCCGTCGTCGACTACACGTCGCTATACCGCGCCGCCGAGATCGACTCCGCCATACGCGAGTGGACGCCTCACTGGCCGCCGGGCGACAGCCGCGACCGCGTGGGTTTGCTGTACAAGCAAATGATGTGGGTATATCTCTTCCGGACGATCTACCCGCCCTCCTCGACCACCTCGCCGTCCGCTGCTCTATTCACGCAGCAGCAGCCGGCGACGACGACAGCCACGGCAAGTATCATCCCCTTATCCCCGACCTCGCAGCCTCACTCCGCCCGCACGCCGCCGTCATCAGCTTCGGACCGGCCCACGAGCAGCGGCCACACCACTGCCACCGCCACCTCCACCTCCACTGCCACCATCAACACCAACACCACTACTACCAACACCAACACCAACACCAACACCATCACCAACATCACCACCCCCCCGCGCGGCGAGTCGCCTCCCCCCATCCGCTACCCCCCGCACCACGACCACCGCATCACCCTCGCCGTCGACGAGTCCCTCGCGATCCTCGACTCCTTCAAGCCCAGCGACCCGGTGCAGACGCTCCTCCTGGTGCCGTGCCTCGTGATCGGGTGCGCGTGCTTCGCGCCGGCGCAGCGCGAGCGCGTGCGCGGCGCGGTGCGCACGGTGCGCGGGTACACGGGGCTGCGCAACTGCGACCGCGTGGGCGAGGTGCTGGAGGAGGTGTGGCGGCTCATGGAGCTCGGCGACTGGACGCGCGTGTGGGACTGGCAGGGCGTTGCGCGCGGCATGGGCCTGGATTTCTCCTGCGCTTGACACGCTCGCCGCGCATTCTCTCCCGCTGTTGTCCCTCTCCCAATTTAACTGCTCGTGGTTATCCCGAACTCTTCTTCTCCGTACCCGTCATAAGTAGGTCTGCGAGTCTATGTTGCTCACAGGACCCGGGGATGTCGGGTATGAAGCCCGCCCGATGAGAATATATTTTTTTCGGGGGTTGAGCCTCTTTTTTCTTTTTCTCGTACCTATTCCCTTTTTTTTTTTCTTTTTTGATGAAGGAAAAATCCCAACAAAAAAACACATCTTTCACCCATCTTTCGTTTTTTTCCCTTCTATTTTTTTTTATCGGCGATCAACTTTATCTATCATCGTACATTTATACCCATAGGTCAACAGTCTTGGTTTATGTTATCAAACAAATTACAGCGTGAGGAGAGGTTTATACCACAGGCATATTTATTCGGAGGCGGTAGTGATGGGGGCGGCGCTCAAAGGGAGGGGGGGGGGGGAGGAACGGGTGAAGGATGAGATATTGCGAAAATATTCCAGACGACGGATGGATGACGACGACATGGTCATTGCGGTGTGCACGCCATCTTCTATGCCTAGCATATGGGCACTTGGTTGGTTTGTTGGCTGGCCGGCTGGCGCAGTTAGCAGCAGCAGCTAGGGTTATTCACCTATCTTTCTGGCAACATGGCGTTTCTTCTCGAAGGGCTTGGTTGGTCTGGGGCTAAAGGGGGGCTACTAGGGGGGGGAAGGAAATGAAGCTGTTTGTTGAGTTGTTCTTTGTTGTCCCGAGAACAGGCGGGCTTTGATGGTTCTACAACCAGTTATGGAATATTTCGGACGGCGTTTACCTTTTTTTACCTTGCATTTTACTCTTCGGGCTTTTCTTTTTTATTCCTTTTTTTTCGGTCTTTTGCTGTAACTGGAGCATAGTCATTGGTTAAGGGGGGGTACATATCTATCAGGGGGGGGGGGGGTTCGTTTCACCCCTTACTACCACATTCGTGGGGCGATCATGAAATATTTAGGGATCCATACCAAAGTTCGCGCCCTCCTTCACACCGAATCCTTAGGTACCTATTTTCACCGTATTTCGACAATGCCCGTGTCTACCACTGGGGACTCTCGCCATAAGTAAGTCTTTCTATGATCACTTACACAACTGGTCGCGTCCTTTGAAGCAGCTTGTGGGTAAGTCAGGCACACCTAGTACCATGTAGACAGTCTCCTGAGGAACCGTGTGAGCACATGCCTGCCTAGGCCGAAGCTGTGCTCAGGCCAAGTCAACTTTACAATGGGACTTCTAGGCCTCTCCAGCAACAACACTACCTAGGGCAGCTAGTGACTTGACACATATGTATGTAGGCAGTATATAAATTCCCATGCTCTATTTCCATTCTCGTCAAACCAGGCTATCAACATCTACTCCAAATATTCCCTACATACCTACCTACATACAGAGTGAGCCTCGCAAGGCCTACGTCAGCATTAAATCAACATGGCTCCGGATAGTGAAGCCGCGACAGAATTCACATGCTTCCCTAAGCTACCCAGGGAAATACAATTCATGATTTGGGATGCGCACAAATTGAACCTCCCAGTTATAAGGCACTGCTTCACGATAAACAGAAGGCGGGTTCGTATGTACGTAGCCATCGACTCCAAGACGGGAGAGATTGTCCGCAACAGAGTGAGCCGAGAATATAACCCTCAAGAGTTACTACCTTACGAAAGCCGGATTCGGTTTCCTGGCACTGTAATTGTCTGGTTGCATGAAATTGGGAACTATAAGTTAAGTGACTTCTTCAGTACAGACAGTTTGATGCAAAGCGGCCAGTCTTTCGTCTACATTCGGGTAGATATGGAGCGCGACATCTTCTGCTTCGGCCCGTGCGAGTACAGCCGTTACGGAAGTAGCAGCAGAAGGACAACGAAGGAGTGGTTCCGCTTCCTCCACAACCCGATTAACCAAGACCAGCCGCTACTTTACAACCATTGGATCTTCCGTGTCCGAAATCTCGCTCTCGGCGTTATGGACCCCGGTTATACCATAACGCGGTGGGATACCCGGGTCCTTGAGGGCATGCAGCGCCTACGGTATATAAAACTTGTCGCTCCTCGGCTTCTCATACGACCTAGTCCTGAGCTGACAAGAAGGAGCTTGAAATATAAAGAGTGGTTTGTCGAGGAGAATATGCTTGACAGGGAGAACCGAGATTTACTACGCAATCATACCAAAACGGCACTGAAGAGTATCGGGGAAAAAATAGCGGCACACGATGTCAACACGAAAGTGACGCCAGTTATCGATCTTTTGCTAGAGTGGTGTTCATAGTCATGAGTAGTATCTTGACCAACCCATAAATACATGTTGCAGGTGTCTGAGGCTTCATGGCCCCACTAGGCCTGCCAGCCATATATTGGCACTCCGCCAGTGTAGTCTAGAATAAAGCAAGCTTTCTTCCTTTCATCTTTCTTGTTATTTGTGGCAGTGCAACTGCAACAATACATCACAGGCTTACATTTGTTCCTGTATTAGGTCTATTCTTGTGTATCTAGCAAAGGCAACTGCCCAACTACTAATGTGAGTAAAAGGACTGCTTGTGATAAAAATTGTTATCTATTTGTAATAAAAGATATTTGGTGTAACTATACCATGCCCCCTTCACGCGCGTGTGGCTAATTATTTGGAATGTCTCGCATAGCTAATAGACAGTCAAGTCAACCCAGTAGCTAGAACAGTCCCTTAGATGGCTACCCAGAAACATAGGTACCTAGGCACGGTAGGTATTATTCTCGTAATCTTTTGATTTCAGCTAACCCCTGAATGTATCATTCATACCCCCAGACCTAAGCTATCAGGGGCTATCCGTTCCCACAATAACCATCACATCACACAAAAGACAAACCCAATCCGACTCATTAAATAAGAAACTTTCAATTATATGTATACCTAACATATGGATATGAATATAGTTAGTAGTTAAGCCCAAGCCCAAGACTCCTCTATCACAACCTAACACCACTCATTACCTCAGCCCAAGCCCAGCATCATATCTCGGCCCACCCCCCCTCTTCCTCGACGCCACCGTCCGATTGAACCCCTCATAGTCACCCACGCTCGGCGGCAGATCCTCGACCTTCGTGCCCCAGGAACTCTCGTTCCTGCCGAGCGTAAGCACGAGCTCCTTGCCCTCCGTAAAAAAGCTATGGTCGACCCAGTTCCTCGTGTACGGCTCGCCATCCAGCGTCGCGCTCTGTATGTATATCGCCTCGTACGCCGGATCGAAATTGACATTCCGTATCGTCGCCGTGTTCCCCGTGAGCGGGCTCGTGACGTTGACGCTCTCGAAGAAGGGCGGGATGATGAGATACACGTTCTGCCCCGGGTTGGGGAACAGCCCCATCATGGAGAAGGCGACGAAGGAGCCCATGGCGCCGCTGTCGTCGTTGCCGGGGAGGCCCTCGGGAGTGGTGTCGAAGAAGCGGGGGATGTAGAAGTGGGCGCGGCGGGCGGAGAGGGCGGGGCGGCCGGCGTAGTGGTACTGGAAGACGGTGAGGAAGGCCGGCTCGTTGCCGATGTAGGTGATGTTGCTGTCGTGCAGGAAGTCGAGCCGCCGCACGAACGGCCCGGCGCCGCCGTACAGCGCGATCAGGTCGCCCTGGTTGTGCGGCACGAAGAAGCCGTACTCCCACACGCTGCTCTCGAACGTCTCGTGCGCCGTGTTCTGCAGCGAGCACGATGTTCCGGAGTTGTCGATGTTGCTGCACCAGAGCGGGTCCTGGTAGTCCCACGTCTCGTTCAGGAATTTCGGCTGGAAGAACCCGGTAAACCCCGTGTCGGCGCCGCTGTCGAATTTTGATGTTTGGTCTGCTTTGTAGAGACGCTTCCAATTGTCGCTAGTGCGGAGATACTTCTCCGCGTCGGCGGTATTGTTACGTAGCTGAGCCATTTGGGAAATCGTGAAGTCGTTGTAACTGTACTCGAGAGTGCGAGATATACTCCTCGTCATCGTCCCAAAGCCCTTGTAGTCAAAGTCTTGCACAGGGATGTATCCGAGCGCTTTCCAGCTGTCGAGTCCACCGCGTCCTTCGCTTGACCAGTCGAAGGGCTCTACTTCTGCGTCTTTTACGACTGCTTCGTAGCCCGTGTCCCAGTCGATGCCATCCGTGATACCCTTGAGGAACCCATCTGCTAGTATTACGTCCGCATTCGAGCCACCCTGGCAACTATTAGTAAAGTTTCTAGACTGAAGGAATCGCAATATCATACCTGCGTATAGCCCTTGGAAAAAGTCATCCGACAATCTGGCAGCCAACCCTCATACCTATAAGTATCGATCAAAGAGCGGATCATCTGTGCCACTGCGGCCGGGTCGAGCAGAGTCAAAAACGGGATCTGGCTCCTAAAGCTATCCCAGAGGCTTCGTTGTGTTAGTAAGACATGAGACATTCCAGACCGCACCACGTAGACTAACCAATAAAACGAGTCAAAATACGGCTCGCCGGTATTGAAAAGCGGATTTTCTCCCGTGTAGTTCTGAGGGTTCACCATCGTTCTGTACACGCCGCTGTAGAAGTTCTTCAGGAAATCCTCACTGACGCCTTCCGAAGACACGCTGATTGGGCTGAGCTTCTCTCTCCAGGCATCCGCCGCAGTCTGCTCGATCTGATCAAAGTTGTAGTCCGGGATTTCGCTCTCCGCATTAGAGCATGCTTGCTCGGAGCTGATAAAGCTCAGGCCCACACGCGCGAGTACCGGTGTGTCGGCGGACTGGAATCTGATAAAAGCGCCTCCGGGAAGGGGGTACCCGTTGATTGACCGAGAGATGGTCAGGTTCTTTGCGTCTGTGCTGGCTCTGCTGTTAACAAAGATGCCAGTGTCAAAGATTGCAGGACCCGAGAAATCGGTGCAGAAGTGAAGTACGCTATTGTTTTTCGCAAGTTAGCAACAGCACTGACAAACGTGTTCGGCAGTACAGCTAAGACACCACTTACTATTGCCCTTGACTGAAACTCGACTGGAAACGCGCGGAACCCGTAATTCTCCCCGTCTCGGGGTCGATCGCAACAGTGCCATTATTTTGGCGCGAATCCGAAAGATCGGTCAGATCCTGTAAGAGCAGGGGATGCCCATCCGTTGCCGGAAAGGTGAACTGGAAGAGCGCCGTATGCTGCGCCGCCGTCATCGCGACGTCGATTCCAGAGTTGAGGGTGACTCCAAAGTAGCCCGGGCGCGCCACGACGCTGTTATCGTTGAACTGACCGTGGTTTGCCGATCGCGTTTTCTTGGGGTATTCGCATCGGTCGATGTCGTCGCCCGGGCAGCTCGCATACGGGAAGAGCGGGAAGTTCCCCAGGGACGGGGATCCTCCGGTTCCGGAATCGTGCATCGCCGAAAAGCCGGAGATGGGGGTGCCGTCGAGAGTGAAGCCGCCTTGGTTGCTTACGCTGGTGGTGTCGGCGACGGCCTTCGCCATGCCGTACGGCAGTGTGGCGCCTGGGAAAATGTTGCCTCCATTTCGGCTCCCGATTAGCTGGTCGACGTATGAAAGGGGGTCATATTCCGCGGCATTGGTCCCTAGTGTCTTCGCCGCGATGATTATGGCGATTGAGCCTAGACGCATGCCGAATGAATGCATTGCGACTAATCTCTTTGCTGCGACAGGACAGAGAGAAGTGCAGGGGAAACGAATGTGAGGTTTAGGTACCAGGTACGTTCGATCATAACCCTTATTAATTCATTGGTGTCCAGTCAATATACATACATTCCTCAAGGGCAACGAGCTTGAACCGCTACTTTCTTTGGGAGAGACACATAACAACCTTAACTCAATACTAAAGAACTCGTCCACCACTTACCTACATATGTAAGTAAATAGTTGAGTGCTAAGTACGATGAGATCAATATTATTTTTCCAAATAGCAGGAGCTAGAGACATTGTCTTGGGTCCCGCCGAGTGACCTCGACAAAGCTCGCGTGTTATCACAAGATTCACAACTGCTACTAGGTAGCCACCTACCTAGGAGGTCGGTACCTGGTAGGGAAGGGGTCATTAGGGCCATCAAGGGAATAACCTTCCATTCCTGGCGACGCGGGTGTATCTTTCGCTATTATGTATCATTTGCATCATGCGCGCTGCAGAAGGCCGCAACCAGTGACCGAAGCAGGTGTTCCAATCGTCGTCCCACCGTTACATTAGGTAGTAGGTAATTTGCTTTACCATCGCGTGTTTCCATAAGTCGCGTCCTCTTATCCATCGTTATCTTGAAATGCGCGGGGTATTCAATCCTGCGATCTGCATCTGCAGGGAGAGGCTGGAGTGAGAGATATAATAACACTACCTACTCCAATGCCGGACGGACATAAGGAGCCGAGCCCATCATAACCAATCTAGGTACCTAGGTAGGGATAAGGGGCTCGGTATTAGTTTATGTAGCAAATGCCTACATATATATGGAAGTAGGAATCTACCTCGCGCACCGATGGCTTTCCGCTGTGTTTCCGGGAAATTAGTTGCTGCAAACGCCATGCAGGAAGAGGAAGGTCGAGGATTGGAAGCTGCACGAAGTCCACGGTGTGCTACGTAGCAGCCAGTTATTAACAATCAAACTTCCCGTTAAATAATAATCACGTATGCGGCTCCCCCTTTTTCTCTGTGAATTGTTGCATCGACTTTGTGGATCTCTAAAAAGTTGATGAACATCGCAGCATGCAAGGCAGGCAGGAGGAGTAGGTACACGATCATAGGGGGGGGGCATCCTATCGGATCTTTCCCGATGCCGGCATATCGCTAAGGTTAGTAGATCACATTGCGCATTCAGGGGTCAATTAAATCACACGCCAATGAACTCCGCTTGGTTGCTGGTTGAGGGTATCGCAAGTTATCTACCTATCTAGATTCGTCATACTGTTCTATTGATTAGATTGTTGGCTCGAGGGGAAATCCGGCCGATTCCAGTTGAAGGTATCGAGGAGGTCGAAGTTGAAGTCGAGCTGTGTTGGAGGGTCCCACTCAAACACCGTGGGCTGCTCATAAACGCTCGATGCAGCGTTCAACGTTTGGTCGAGAACTCGCTGGATAATCGACTTTGCATCGCTACAAAGGGCGCCGTTCACTCCCGACGGACCGACCCAGTCTAGATAGGCCACAAGGAGGCTAAGCTTCTGGATTATGTTGGAGCGGGTGATTTTGGGGTCGTTGGGAAACTTGACGTGAAGACTGGGCTTCAGTAGCTCCAGACAGAGAATCCCACCGGCGGGCACGGCGTAGGCCATGACCTAGGGAGGCGCGATTAGACATTAGAGACTAAGAATCGTGTCGAGTGCATGCACGCATGTGTGTACTTACAAGCCATTCTGCATCATTTCGAAATGCTGCAAATCTATCGAGCTGCAGGTAGTCTACCATACGTCAATACATATTGCCAAATATGTGCTTCTCAATTGAATGCATCGACTTACTGCAACTTGTCAGTTTCATTTTCCAGACAAATGGGAGGTTTGATATTACTACATACCTGGGCAACGTCAGAGTGACCAAGTCATAGCTGATCTTCAATAAATCACCTTTATCCTCATATCCATATCGAAGCAAGAGTCTGTCGACGAAAAACATGTTCTGCAAGTGTTCCTGCTGCAAGAACAACCTTGCGCTTACCGTTAGCATGGGAACCGTCTGGTCCTCCAAGTCGAGGGGGTTGAACTGGATGCAGGAGGGAAACTCGGACACTGCTTGTAACTCTCGATCTCGAAGTTTTCTGCGCCAACTAGTCAATGATTGAACTTCGTGAAGTATGTCCAGCATGCCTGGGTAGACTCACAGCAAGGTTTCAATGGACGCGACTTGTTCATTGCTAAGCGCAATCTCAAAGATCTCCTCGCGGATCGCCGCGAGGATCGAGCGGGCGCGTATACGGGTAAAGAAATGCATCTTCCCATCAGTATTCCACCCCTTTTCGTCTAGGCGCTCGATCGCTTTCACGAGATCGTCGTGGCCCGCGAACAGATACTCGGCGCCGATATCTAGCGGGAGAGGCGCTGACGCGAATCGTCGGCTCATCATGGGGGGTCTGCCGGTGAAAGAGACTAGCAGCTGCGCCATGGCGTACATGTGATGGTACAGGCTCTTCTTGATCTCGGACATGAAGGATACGCGGTGGCGGTCCCGCTCTTCGAGGACGTGGAAGCCGAGGAACGTCACCAGGGCCATGGCTTCGGCGTGCGATCTCCATACGAGCAAATCTACGACAAGACTCGGAATTAGCAACTCTGTGCGCAACCATTTTGACGCGCGGTGCAGCTTGCATAGCACCATATTCTACCCCGGAGTAAAAGGGGGGGGGCGTAGGAATTTTAAACCCAAACCATCCACGTACCAGCATCACCAACCAGCATCGAGTCCACCGCCGTGCACTTCTGGCTCAAGTACACCATCAGCGTGTTCCCCGCCGAGAACTCCTTGCACAGCTCGACGCACAGCCTCAGATTCTCCCTCGCGATGCCGAAGTTCCGATCAAACTCCGCCGACCTCTTCGCGTTCCACGCGCCGCGGTCCGAGCCGGGCACAAACTGCCAGTAGATCGACAGCATGCCGAGCGACTCCCAGCGCATGTTCGCGCCCGAGAACTGCGCGTACCACCGCTCGGGGTCGGGTTCGTCGTCGGTGAACGGCCGCGCGGTGTTCGTGCACAGGGTTTGGATCACGGCCTCGAAGTCCCGGCGGTCGACGGAGGGGGGCGGGGAGCTGAAGTAGTGCCCGAAGGTAGAGTAGAAGGACTGCACCAGCCGCAGCGTGACCATGCGGTCCCAACCGTCGTTCTTGAAAGAAAGGAGCAGCCGGGTCCCGCGCACGGGGTCCGGCACGTTGCGTAGGACTGTGAGAGCCATGTCGCGCACCCGGACCGAGAGATGGCTCTGCGAATGCTGCTGCGCTGCTTCTACAGCGGGGGTGGGGTGGGTGGTATTCTCGGACTGAGGCGAGACGATACCCTCGGATCCATGGAGAAGCGATAGGCTGTCGTAGACGTGGCAGTAGCTGGTCGGGCCGAGGTAGCCGGTCCCAATGGACCCCGGAGCCTGTGCATCGGGTCTCACAGCCGGAGTGCTCTGGCTAAGCCGGTGAGGTTCGTGTCGGGTACTGCTGGAGAGCTGTGCGGATGATGTCGGAGACGGCAGCGGACTCCGAGACCTGGGCCTTTTGGGGCCGGTGCTGAGATACACGCATTCTGATTCCTGCTTTCTCTTTGTGCACCGGCCACAGATAGGCTGTGTGTGGTCGCAGGCCAGTTTACGCTTTCGGCATGGCTTATAGACCTTGTTAGTAGAGTGCTTCGGATAGGGGCTGATACATATAGGTACGTGTGAGTCACTTACATCGCATGCCTGTAGTCGGCCATTGGGTCTTCGGGGCGGTGCAATATCATCCATCAAAAGACAAGATTAATATGAGTCATTGACACAATCTGTAACACCTACGACTCCAATGTCGATAATTCCGAAGCCGCAAGCCGTGCAGCGTCGTTGACGTTGATATTGAAGCGTCGCTCCGATATTTGCTAAGAACAAAGCTCGGCTTCGGCTTCGGCTCAGCAGTCAGCTCCTTTTAAAATGCTGCCTAGTAAATAACTAAGTGCCGTACAAGCCCAGCTGATGATGACAGTCTCCACAAAGAAGCCACTGTTCTATTGGCTCAATGAGTCTTGCATGCTCGAGTACTAATCTATAACAAGTCATAAAAATAGAGTTGTCGTGTGTAGCATCGGCTTGCTAGGTCGGCTTCCAAACCGAAGCAATGCTTCAGCTAGGTATCGGTAACCTAAACCTATATCGGCTGATGATTATGAAGCATCTGCAAGAAACCAACGGTGTGACTCATGGACTTGAAATTGGACTTGGAAATGATTTTTTTTTCAAAGTGTATATATGTGCCTATATATAACAGGACCAATCTTGGCTCGGTGAGTTTTGTATCTTAATATAAAAATATATACCTTGAACTGTCAGAGTTACCGGAGCCAACCCGCGGACTGCATTCGACCAAATCAGGAAATATATAAATTATTTACTTCTACTTCTACTTCATACCTCTGTATATCAATATGTCTCATCAATATACACATTCGTCTTTTTCTTCAAGCCTACGACGCTCGTCAATTGTTTCCGAGAAGACCTTAGTAGACACTCAAGCTGCGGGTGCCACAGAGGAGAAGCTTCAGGCGAAACACAATGGTGAGTTACCATCTGACTCACACCCTATCATCCTTCTTCCATTCAACAAATCACTAACCACCATCTTCTCCCCTATAGACCACAAGTCATCCGCCGAGACATCCTCGACTAGAAGCCGAACCAGTACCGGCTCGCTGCCTAGCATCATGAGTAAGGCTGTCAAGAAGGCCAAGTCGAAGCTGGGGAACAAAGAATCGTCTTCCAAGTCCAAGCATAAGCCTAAGTCTGACCCTAAGCCGGAATCGAAGCGCCCCGACTACGATGCATATCCAGATACAGTGTACATGTGGAGAGCCTTAGCTGGTAAGAAGTTGGCCCGGACAAAGGCTATGAAGCAAGAACGTTTGAGCTGACAACAAAACTTGGAACAGAGACGAGATTGTGAGAATGTAAAGGGGTTACACAATCTATTTCAATGGGACTGCTGGCGAGTAAATCCAAGTATCACAGTTCACACAACGTAATCAACTATGATCTACGCCTAAACAAATGCAAAGACATAGATACTGGGGACAGATGTTGAGGAAGTCGATTGATTAAGAAAAGGACATTGAAGAGTTATACGGGCATGAACAACTTGGTTGCAAGAGCGATATGAGGTGCTTACATGATGAGATGCCTCGCGAGTCAGTATATATGGGTAATAGGGGTTATTGTTCTTGGCGTTCACAAGGGAATATTAATGAGTATGATAACGTGTTTTTCCTTCAGGACATTTATGGTAAAATGGGATGTTAGTAATTGGGTACCTAGGTATGTACCTACTTCGGGTACGTCTTTTAAGCATTCCTAGGTAGGTTATAATACAAGTTTTGACTTCATTGAAGCGAGCAGGATTGAGAACAACTGAACATCGGTGATAGGCAAAGTGCATGATCTTCAGTTTTCTTCTATTATCACCTCAGGCAAATCACTAATGAGCCACCCAAGCCTCTGTCTGATCTTTCTACAAACACTCATAAATCCTATGGGTTCATTTTAGGAGACTTTTACCATTATCAAAGAAGAGACGTGTGAAGAAACCTGCCTTGAGACTGCTATTTCTTGCAAGTCCTTTGATAACGACGACATTGCAACAGTGTTTAATGCTTGATAAGGTCTCAAGAGTCTAACCTTACCAACAATCGGAGTTGACGGTATCGCTATGACTAAGGTCACATTCCCGCTTCATGGCATTGAATATTTACACTCGTCTAAGTGAGATTGTAAATCTAATGGCTTTGCTTTGATTAAGCTCATCGACTGATAAAAGGAAGTAGTTAAGCTGTGGTATATGGCTCTTGTGATAACACCAACGCAGGCGACATATTACCATCTCCAGGGTGATCTGGAATTGTCAAGGGACCAAACCCATGTCTCCGGACACCCCTGGATATCGCCCCACGTGATATCCCTATAAAGTAGGAAGACGCATCACGCCCTTTACACGTTTCTTTCCCTCTCTTCCTTGTGCTTCAACGAGCAACATCCAGGAACCATGACATTCCTTCTCTTCTTGGTGCCTCAAACTGTCATGGTTCCAGAATGTTTCTTGTTGAAGCACAAAGAAGAGAAGGAAGGAAACGTGGAAAGAGCGTGATGCGTCTTCCTACTTTATAGGGATATCACGTAGGCGATATCCAGGGTGTCCAGAGCCATGGGTTTGGTCCCGTGACAGGAATATTGGAAGCGAAAAATATTGTAGACCCCCTGCGCGTAATTAAGCGCATCAAATATTGTTAGCCAGCTGAGGAATCGAACCCCAGGGCCTAGCGGTGGTTGTAAAGGTGATTTGAATCTTTTTTTCTTCAATCTCTTCGATTTACCACTAGGCCATACCAAACCGGCTGAAATTTCTTTTGCTCTTGCGGCTTATATGCTCTTCTTTGGCGCGGGTAAGTTCTCGGTTGGGGTTGCGCGGTGATGGAGGTTGCTGAAGATGATTTGGTTGATGTGAAGCTATTCACAAATGTTGAAGTGGGAACTATATGCTAGGCCACCTGTCGCCACGTGCGCCACACGGGCTGATATATGCCCCGTGCGGCCAAAAGGACAACTTTGAATACTGTAAGAGAATAGTTATCTTGGGTGGCACGGCCTTGTGCATTGCAATCGAAAGCTAGCTATTGTTAATCATTAGAAATCCATCTATAGATCTTTTGGATAAATATTTCTTGGAAGTGAGAAGAAAATGCCTGTACTCGAAGGTTGTGGAAAAGTATGACCCGATGGTCTGGGCCCGGAATGGGATAGCCTCACCATTAGCACCTATTAATAGTGTATGACCACGAGTATTATTGGAACTCTTATGATACGGCTCGTGACCTTGACTCGATCGCTTGTCTGCTTTTTCAACTTTGGTCTTTCGACAATCAAAGTTTACCACTTGCAGGCCGTAGCAGTGACACAGGGCAGTCAGTTAAGAAGAGACGGTGACGAGTAGTCGTGAAAGTGGAGTTGATGAGCTGGTGGGAGTTCTGCCCCTTGAAAACTGAAAAGTCGAGGCCTTTGCTCGCCGAAAACAACCGAAAATATTACTTGAATATTACTTTATGAATATTCAAAATTGGGTGATATAGGTATAACGCCTAGGCAAGCAGGCTAGAGACGGGAGAGGAACAGTCCACGAGGTTTTGCTAAATTTGGTGGGAATTTGAGGCCATTCGTAATTGCCATCAGCCCCTCCCCCACCCCCCTTTTTCATATCTTTTGTTGTTTGACTCGACATTTATTCGAATTGATCGAGTATTTATCGAGTAAAAAGAAGTCGATGGCCAACTTTTTAAACCTTGGCTTATCGGGTTAGACCCACAATATCCATTAAGCTGGGGCTTATCTAACGTAGGACTGTCGTCAAGACAGAAAAACATAGATCTGTAACTATGCGACGCTATTGACGTACCGGCTTACCTACATTATGTAGTAGATAAGCATAATTGCAGTAGAGCAACTACATCCTAATAATGTTATTTGTCGTGGTCTTTGTATGGTTCTACATCAGATTCATGTTAGAATTAACTAGAGGATGATAAAAAGAATATTGTGCTCGATGGCATTCAAGTCACTTATCTGCCGTGGCTTAAATAGTTTTTGACTCAGACGGCGAGGCCCGATGTCGATATGAGAAGAAGAAGCAAGCGCATGGCTAAAATAAGTGCGCCCTTACAGTATGGCTGCAGGCTAATGCAAGTCATAGCACTAGACCATTTCCTTAACACTTTGTTGGTGTCTGTAAACCAATCACATGCTGCTGATAACACCAAATCTTTCCAGTTCAGGGTCCCACCTTCTTTCAAAGAAAAAAAAGAAGGATGGATTTCCGGGTTTCCTCCATGGGCTTTATCTATTTATCGATGCACCCTCTCACTATCAACATCATACACGCCCACTTTAAGATCAACTTTGCCGTGGCTTCCTTATCTTTCCTGTGATATTCTCGACTATCCGCCTAACCACCCATGCCCTCCTGAATCAGGATAGTCCCCTATCTTCCGAATCTTTCCCTTCTATTATTACTATGTGCGTAGATAGTAGCTTCGTGATAAAGTACCCCCACAAGGTACTCACCGCTCACCCGACCCGTACTACCGCGTAGAGTCAGTCAAAATGGAATATGTGGTTATTGCGGTATCGCTGCTGACCGGGTATGCCTCCCTTAGTTCTCAGTAGAACCCGAAGTGAGCCCCTAGAGGTTATCGGATTGAAGGTAAATCTGCTTAGTCGATCGTATCCATCAACCGCTTAGCTATTTCTTTCCTTCATTTTCCATTTTCTCGCTTTGTTCCGTCTTCTCATCATAAACCCGTATCACTACAGCACCTAGTAAATCACCACATCCAGTAGGTTTCGTCCTGTCTCGATATTATTTTCTTGATATCCTTCAAAGATACTGTATACCATCGCTTTCATCTTAACCACCATTGAACCCTGATTACCTAGTAGTACCATTGAGCTAAGACGTTGTTGGTCTTCCGTTGCTCGACCGCACACTATCTTCTTATCTTTCTTTCTTTGTCTTTCTTATCATTCGCCCACCCACCACCTTTAAGGCACCTTAAAGGGGTCTCGCGATAACCAAAAACCCCTGTTCTCGCCTTTGCTTCATTGTTGTCTTTATCTGCCAGCCAGCCTCGTTATCTGTCAGCGTCTTGCCTCTTTTCGGAGTATTCGCCAGCAAGATAATTGACCTTACATAATGACCATTACTTCTAGACCACATGGGGGCTCGTTAACCGTTATCGTGTCCACGAGAGCGGTGTTAACCCTGCCCGATGATAGCCTCTTTCTCAGTCCAGCTACCATATCTATTTCACCTACTACCGGGAAGATAGTTGAAATTGCACATACTATCCTACCCAAGGTGTCATTTCCCCCTTCGACCACCTATATCAACTACGGCTCCAAACTCATCATCCCGGGACTCGTTGACGCCCACGTGCACCTTAACGAGCCAGGCCGGACAGAATGGGAGGGGTTCAATACCGGCACCAGAGCGGCTGCTTCTGGTGGTGTGACTACCGTGGTTGATATGCCGCTTAATGCTATTCCGCCTACTACCACCTTGGCTGGCTTCAAGGAAAAGCTTGCTGCTAGCAAAGGCCAATGCTGGGTTGATGTAGGGTTTTACGGAGGCGTTATCCCCGGAAATGCGAATGAGTTGCAACCGTTAGTGGAAGCAGGCGTTCGTGGGTTCAAGGGGTTCTTGATCGAATCGGGTGTAAGTTAACGCTTTTGGCAGGTGACCTTTTTATGCATAAATCGCTGACAAAGAGTCAATAGGTCGAGGAGTTTCCAGCCATCTCGTCTGGGGATATCGCGCTCGCTATGAAAGCATTGAACGGCGCACCGACGACGCTTATGTTTCATGCCGAGATGATTCCCCCGATTGCAGATTCTGTTGGTGACGCAGTGCAAGCCTCGGACCCCCCGCTAGCGCCCCACGGCGAATTGAAGTCGTACCAAACATTCCTAGAATCCCGACCACCGTCCTTCGAAACCTACGCGATCGACGAGATTATCTCCCTTGCGCCCCTGGCTCCAAGTCTACATCTTCATATCGTACACCTGTCGGCAACCCAAGCGATCCCGATCCTCAAAGCTGCCCGCAAGTCCGGAATAGACATCACTGCTGAGACGTGCTTCCATTACTTGGGATTGGCAGCTGAAAGCGTTGAAGATGGTGACTGCAGATACAAGTGCTGTCCGCCAATTCGCGAACAACTAAACCAAGATGGGCTTTGGGAGGAACTGATGGCGCCGGACTCGTGCATTAAGACGGTCGTTTCCGACCATTCGCCCTGCACACCGGAGCTCAAGCTCCTCCCGCCTCACCTCCTGACCATTGAAGCTCCTAATATGCACCATTCCGATTCGGGTATCGATATGACGGCAGACTTGGCCCTGACGGAACAAGAGCAGACGCAGGAAAATGCACAAGTAGCCAAACAAGTGGGCGACTTCTTTGCGGCGTGGGGCGGCATATCGTCGGTCGGGCTTGGCCTACCTATCCTTTACTCATCAGCTAAGAAACGTACCGCTGCCGGCAGCGTAGCTCCGAGCATCCTCGACATCGTGCGCTTATGTTCTGTTGCGACTGCTAAACAGGTCGGACTATCGCACCGCAAGGGGGCGCTCAAAGTGGGTATGGATGCCGATATTTGTGTGTTCGATGATACGGAGGAATGGGTGCTGAACTCCGGTGGTATGCATTGGAAAAACCGTTGCTCGCCTTGGGAAGGTCAGCGATTTGCGGGCCGCGTCAAGGAAACTTGGCTACGAGGTCAGAAAGTCTTCGAGTATGGAGGCATTAATGGTGGATTCATTAGTGGAAAGCCCGTGGGTGAGGCAATCACGGAGAAGAGGATGGCTTGAGCATTAGAAAAAGACTGGGCGCGGGGTTGATGAAATGGGGAATAGATGGGGAAGACGGAGAAGCAAACAAAGCTGGCGTTAATGACTGATATTTCGTGATGAACTTAATGACAAAGCATGGATTGCGAGTAGGGGAATAGGAGTGGTTTCAGACGGAGTCCAGGCATCATACATATTACGCATCTGTCAAAGGAGAAGGTTTTAAAGAGAGCAACTAAAGAGAATTGATTGAAGATTTTTTTTAGAAATATCCCGTGGATGTCTCTGATACTGGCCTGGCGTCTTACAGCTCATCACGCCAATTGACGTGCTTTTTTTTCTTTCTGACTCAATCAATATGTAGGTGACCTCGTACTACAATACCATCCAATAAACTATTGACATGCTGTATACTTCGTACCTAGGTAAGTACTGGCTAAGGCGCTTCGATGATTAAAATGGTTGTAAGAGCTCTTGTGACTTCTTATGCTCCTTTGTTGCTGCTATAAATATCATGTCGAGATTTGAAGCAAACATTAGTTATGACGTGACTTACCGGTCTACACCACAACTGTACTGCGGCGCATACACTCGGCTCAAGTATTACTCGACACCACCTGGGCAACTTTATTTGTTCGAGTTCTTTTTAAGGTTGTGTTAATGGGGCAGATGTTACAGGGTCATTGGTACCTGCCCAACCTAAATTGTTTCTCAATCTACTTACATCTAGGTCAGCTGCTATGTTAAAATTTGGTGGGGAAGAACTTGAACCTTCAAGGTATTAAAGAGATGATTTACACTTCGGTTACAGTTTGAAGGTGCAGGGGTATGTAATATGGCCTTGGCATTTCTACTACTAGCACCGGTACCAATCATTCCAGTTGCTGGTCGGTTAGGTCTTCCGTGTCTTAGCGATCGCATCCTTACTCACCATCACCATAATCGCCATACGGCGTAGTAACTAATCACCACAATCAATTTCAATCCAATTAATTAAGCCCACTTCGAATTTTATTGATTTTATTTCTAAACGAATACGTTGATTATCGGATGTTCAATCTTCTTCGTCTAGTCTCAGTCAATATACCTTTCCATATTCAAGGTTCTAATAGCCTAACCTACATCACTTATGTATGCATTGCTGATGGGATTGCTAAGCGTTTGCTCCTCTTCCTTTTCATGCATCTCCTTGAATGGAGTGCCTGTATTAGGTAGTTCAGTCGTTCAGTCGTCTGACAATTATACTGCTGGGAATTCAACCTGTTTTTTTATCAGCGTACATCCCTAACCAACAGATCCTTGTGTCCATCTCTTAGACACGTGCTGGACAAGATATCACATTAATATCATCGGGTTTGTCCCATGTTAGCGGCTTACAATTCGAGTATCATGCACGCAATGTACGGCGTAGTAGCTCCCCCAGGGCCCCAGCTTATCCAGCTTCTGGCACACGCCCTACCCTACACTACACTAAACCAAGCCCCCTGTTGCGGTTCGGTTCTGTAAGCGAGGCGGAGTCCCCAGTTCCCGAACATGACCTTACTGGATTCGGGGCTGCTAAATCTTGGCCTTTACATGGCCGAGATTCTATTAGTCTAACGTGTCGGCTAGAAGAAGCTCGCGTAAAGCAAAGAGGATCCAGTGCCGAGACTTTACCGCTGTCTGTCAATCTAGCAACTACCATAGTGCATACTACTACCATATGCAGTAACTGATCTCGAACCGAGCAGACCCAAACGACATACAACCCAACCAGGTGCTTGGTATACTAGTAGTAGGCTGGATTACTTCGTACATCTGCAAAACCTAACAAGGAATTCCCTCGGCACGTTGTTGTCTGACAACTCAAGCCAACTTCGCTTACAGCACTTGCGGTGTTAACTACTACACACCTCTTAGGTACCGAAACAGCAAGTCCAATTCGATCCGATCCTAGCTGCTGACTTTTAACGTTGGAAGCGTGAGTGCATTTATATACGAAAAGACTGAGAGGCAACACATGCCAGAAGATGCCCAGATGGCAAGTTCCTTTATCTTGTGAACAATGCTAGGCGTTGGAAATCGAGCGGTAAGTAGCTCGGAAAGTGAAACATCCGCTGACTAGAAACATTGCGACTGGTTGGAGGACATTGACATGCTGTAAATGGAGGCATCGCTTAAGATGTTTCGAGCTCGATGGGTAGTTAGTAAGTAAACTTGCGCCTGGGGTCCAACAGAGTGGCAATCGCTTGTGCGGTACAGCCCACAAATAAGGATCGGGGAAGATCCATCTAACATGGGATTGACCCTTGTCAACTCAGCGTTGCATATTACGCTATTTAGCTATCTATAACGACCCTTCTAGTCGAGAACGTTGCGATCTTTCAGATTTAATGCTCTATTCAACATTGAAATTCTTCATCACGAAAACACAGTACCTGTCTTGTCCCTTCATCGCATCCTAAACATCTTTTAGGAAGCATACTGATACAAATCGCCACTGAGAAGTGTTGGCTTGCTTAACATCCCAAATGTCATAGGTACATAACCCAGCTTCTGGGTCTCTAATCACCCCAGCTCTGCGCCTCCGACAGATTCCGCATGCCATATCACCACCAGTACCGGCTGCTAACATAGCCCTAACCTACTGCAGTCCGTCGCTGCTATGGAATCCTCGAGCTCAGATAATACCGTTGCTAGACGTGAACAAAATGGAGATGATCACATGTCGAGCATTGCCGAGAATACCAAGCCTATAAGCTCTAATGTCGTCTCTATGGATGCTGGTCATACCCAGCTGGGGCACCGACTATCATTATCCGGAGCTGGCCACTTATCATTAGATGATGTTGAGGCAATTGACGTTCAGATTCGAAATCTATCCGTCTCCGTCGATACATCCCCATCGATTTGGGATCCCGCAACGTACACAGATTTGCTTGGCAAGACATTTGGCAAGAAGGTTAACAGCCCGACGACTAAGACTCTTCTTAGTTCCATCAATGCCTCTTTAAAGCCTGGTACCTTGACTGCAATACTTGGTGGTAGTGGCTCTGGAAAGACGACTTTATTAAACACAATCGCAGAACGCATGCGTAGCCCGAGGTTGTCACAAACTGGAATTACCACATTCAACGGACAAGAAGGTGTGCACTCGGCTAGGCATGCATATGTGATGCAACAGGACATACTGCTTCCTACACTGACAGTACGAGAGACTTTAAGATATTCGGCAAATCTGAGACTACCCCCACCAACCACTGAAGAGGAGCGTATGCGGATTGTGGAAGAGGTGATTCTCGAATTAGGCCTGAAGGATTGTGCAGACACGAGAATTGGAAATAGTCAACATCGTGGATGCAGCGGCGGGGAAAAGCGAAGAACTAGTATTGGGGTACAGCTCCTCGCCAACCCATCAATTCTTTTTCTGGATGAGCCGACGACTGGATTGGACGCAACAAGTGCGTATCAACTGGTAAGAACTCTCAAAGCTTTGGCAAATAAGGGTCGCACGGTCATCACAACTATCCACCAACCACGATCCGAAATATGGGATCTGTTTGATAACCTCATCGTCCTGTCTAAGGGCAGTCCTGTATATTCTGGGCCTATGAAGGAATGTATTCCGTGGTTTTCAAATCTGGGGTTTGAACTGCCTCCTTTCGTTAACCCTGCTGAATTCGTAATCGATCATGCTGCGATTGATAACCGCACACCAGAGCTTGAAGCGGAGAGCACTGTTAGGGTCGAGAGTCTGATGACAGCTTGGAAAGAGGAGTCGAAGAGGGTATTCATGGCTTCCCCCTCCAAGGATATCGCTGAGACGGAAATTAAGCGCAGGAGACCGAAAATGGAACACCACGCAGGCTTCTTCCGCCAGCTACGTGTATTGACCGACAGAACGCTAAAGGTCACTTATCGAGATCCAATGGGGATGGCTGGATCCATTATGGAAGCTATCCTCATGGCAATCATAACAGGATACGTCTTCTTTAACCTCGCTAGGGATCAGCCTGGCATACGGTCAAGGGAAGCTGCTCTGTATATCTCAGTAGGCTTGCAAGGCTACTTGTTCTTGACGTTTGAGATTTATCGCCTGACCATAGATATTCCCACCTTCGACCGAGAGCATAGTGAGGGCTGTGTGACAGCATTTCCATTTATCCTGTCGCGTCGCATTGCGCGCTGCTTCACCGAAGATGTTCCCGTACCTTTCTTGTACAGCGTCATCTACTATTTCATGGTGGGGTTCGATCTCAATGTGTCCAAGTTTTTCACATTTTTTTCTATCCTCCTACTTAATCACTATATCGCCGTGACGCTCGCCGTAGCATCAGTTGCGGCTGTGAGGAATTTCCCCGGGGCAAGTTTGATTGCCAACCTCGCATACACCTTACAAAGCCTAGCTTGCGGATATTTCATCCAAGCCAATACATTACCTGTTTATGTAAGATGGACCAAGTATATCACATATACTGTACGTTAAAGCACACCACCTCTCCCATCTACATGCTTCATTACCCCTAATCACCCCCAATAGTACTATGCTTTCGGAGCTCTTTGTGGCAATGAGTTCGAGGGTAGCTTTTATGATTGTCCGTTACCTGGCGGTGCATCGAACCCAGGTTGCCAGCAGTACACTGGGCAGTACATCATGGATAATCTTGGACTACCTAGGAACTGGGTCGCTCGGCCGATTATCGCCATGGTGGGTTTCGTTCTTCTATTCTTGCTTGTGTCTTGGATCGGACTTGCTTTCTTGAAAGTCGAAATGACAATTGCGCGAGCACGAGCCTCTGATACGGACCTTTCAGCTGGAAAAGAGAAGATGAATGTGAGATCAATACATGAAGTCCGAGCAATAGATGTCGGCCTCGACGATTTCTCCCTGGCGCTAGACAAGAGATCTTCAACGGGCAAAAAGCTACCAAGAAAGACTATCCTCGACCCTGTTACTACGACGTTCCAGGCTGGCATGCTGAACATTATTATGGGTCCGTCTGGGTCCGGGAAGACGAGCTTGCTAAATGCTATGGCGCTTCGTTTACATAGTACTATTAGTACTAGGTACAGGTCATCTGGAAAGCTGACATTTAACGATGCTGTCCCATCCGACTCCGTAATACGGTCTGTTGTATCATATGTTTGCCAAGATGATGACGCTTTACTCCCATCCCTAACTGTTCGCGAGACACTGCGTTTTGCGGCAGGACTTCGTCTTCCGAGATGGATGAGTAAATCTGAAAAGAATCAGCGAGCTGAGGAGGTCTTAGTTAAAATGGGGTTGAAGGACTGCGCTGATAATCTAATCGGCAATGAACTTGTGAAGGGTATCTCCGGGGGAGAGAAGCGCCGTGTTAGTATCGCCGTTCAGATCTTGACTGATCCGCGAGTTTTATTACTCGACGAACCAACAAGCGGGCTGGATGCTTTCACGGCGAATAGTATTTTGGAAGTTCTTCGAGGCCTAGCTAACGAAGGGCGTACGTTGATTCTAACAATTCATCAAGCCAGATCAGATATATTTGTTCACTTTGGGAATATACTCTTATTAGCCAGGGGTGGCCGTCTTGCTTACTCGGGCTCTGCTAAAGATATGCTGCCTTATTTTGGCGGGCTTGGGTATCATTGCCCTCAACATACTAACCCAGCGGATTTCGCACTTGATCTTATCACCATAGATCTTCAAGAGGCACACCGAGAAGCCGAGAGTCGAGAGAAAGTTCGACGTCTTGTCGAGTCATGGGCTGAATCCATGCAGTCGCCGCCGAGAGCACCATTAGTTACTCGTCAAATATCACACATCGACGAGACCGAGAGCATCAAAGCTAATTCGGCGAATGAAAAAGAGACGGCTCCTGATCATCCAGGGATTAATGCGCTCGAGAAACAATATTCCAACCCAATACCGCGTCGGTCGCTGCACAAAGCTGCCCTAGCAACACCGGCGGAACTTGGCGCACTTGTCCACAAACGTGCCTCTTTCTTGACAGCGTTTCCGCTCTTACTACATCGCGCAACGATCAACTTTCGTCGACAGCCACCTCTCATTTTGGCACGCATCATGCAAGTCGTTGGATTGGGGGTCGTCCTAGCGTTGTTTTTCTCGCCACTGCACAATGATTACTTCAGTGTGCAGAACCGCGTAGGTTTTGTGCAAGAAGTAGGCGCCTTCTATTTTGTTGGAATGCTCCAAAACGTGGCAGTATATCCGGCAGAAAGGGAAGTGTTTTATCGGGAAGACGACGATGGCGTGTACAGCGTTGAGGCTTTCCTCTCCACCTATACGCTCCTCGAGTTACCCTTTGAGCTCTTCTCTTGTCTGATTTTTGGCATCCTGGCTGATTTCGCGGTGGGGTTCCCACACACAGCCGAGATGTACTTCGTCTATGTCTTCTGCTGCTTCGGGATTGTATCATGCGGTGAGAGTTTGGGTATTATATTCAATACGCTCTTCAACCACACTGGATTTGCAGTCAATATCATATCGATCTTGTTATCGGTGGCGCAGATTATGGCAGGGATTATGTCGATCAATATGCCCGAGCTGTTCAAGGCCTTCAACTACATCAGTCCGCTCAAGTATGCGACGGCGGCCTTGGCTGCGTTCTCTCTCCGTGACATCAAGTTCACATGTAACGACGAGCAAAGACTTTCTAGTGGGCAGTGCATCATCGAGACGGGCGAGCAGGTGCTTGATCTGTACAAGCTGAATGTGGATCCGATAGTCAACATCGGCGCATTGGCAGCAACGATTGTGGTATATAGGCTAATTGCGTGGATTCTTTTGCGGCTGACTAGAACGAGGTGGCGGAGCGTTGTAGAGAAGACGAGAAAGTCTTGAGGACAAACTGCGATGCCTTAGTTGTATATTTTCTTTCGTGTTCTTTTTTGGATCTACGCAGTACATATTATGGAGCGACGAAGTTCACGAGTTTATGCGCAACCGAGGCAACAAACCTCCCTACCTACCACCTACTACCTACCTACCTACCTACCTACCTACCTAGGCTCTTAGATTTACATTAATAAAGCGGTGTGATTATTGCTTGAGCTGTAACGGCGATAGGAGTATCGAAGTCTGGAAGGTCCGTCTAGAATACTAAGACTAGCTCCGCATACCACGTGGATGTGAAGCAAGTGCTAGTACCTATGCAGTAGCTAAAAGCCGATGGGAGTTGTATCGATCAATCGTTAACCCCTACGGCGAATCTGCGCCAAGCAGCCTTGGAATGCTTATTAAAGCCATCCTTGATTACAGTGGTACACATTACTCCCAGATACCACATGTTCATGCTATGTAGGTTGGGATGATTTCGTGATGATACATACCCGTAGGAAGGGTATTCAACTCCGTCAACTCCGTTAGGAATTGATGACCTTGAAACCCGGCCTAAAGGACCCCCCGAATGGAAAAAGAAGAAACAACTAAAAAAAAAAAAACTTGATGGTATGTTGTAATTCGAGGGAAGACATGGATCCACATTGAATATCGAAGATTAATCATTACTATTGAGATGTAACTACCTAGTGTATCGTACTAGATATTATCGAATTTTGTACTATGTATGATGTACATACTACCACATACATAGAAGGAACCTTGAAAATTTCATGTCCTTTAAGGAGATTAGATTCACTGACGTCAAGGGTTAGTTGTTAGCGAAGTACAATACATACATGTAGGTAATAGGCGGGGTTCGTTTAGCTTCCTCGATCATGGGAAGCAAAAAAAAAAGTTGGGGGAATAAAGAAAAATGATGTCGGAAGTAGCTCGGATTACATATACAAACGCTGTCCTTGTTCCAATACGGTTCGGTTCGGTACCTGCGTCATAGCAGTGTGCGGTGATTGTCATGAAAGCAGAGTATCAGATCGGCTGTAGGGTAAGGTACCTGGTATATACCTGATCATGCTAGGTTAGAGCTTTCTTGGAAGATTGGATCATCAACCTAATGTAGGTACTTAGATCCAAGTTTTTTTGAGGTATAAAGGTTTCGTTAGATCCGGGCATCTTTTTTTGTTTGGACTACATACAGCTATCTAAACACCTACACTACACTACCTACTCTCCAATCCAAGCTGAAGTTCACTAAAAACAACAACACAAAAGATACAGATATAAAGATAAGAAATCTACAAATATGGCTCCTAAGGTCCTCGTCGTTCTTACCTCTAACGATCGTATCGAGAGTGCCAACGCCCCAACAGGCTGGTATCTGGTATGTCCCTCTTTGTCTACCTGAAATGGGTAGCACCGACCTATATTCTTCCAACTTTTCAGCTAACCAGCCACCGCCATAGCCCGAATTCGCCCACCCGTGGGATGTCCTATCCAGCAAGGGCGTCGAGGTGGTAACCGCCTCGCCCAAGGGCGGCAAGGCGCCGCTCGACCCTAGCTCGGTGGAGATGTTCAAGGCCGACGAGTCGTCGGCGTCGTTCCTCAAGTCGCAGACCGCGCTGTGGGAGAAGACGGAGCCGATCTCGTCGTTCCTGGGCAAGACCTCCGAGTTCGCCGGCCTCTTCTTCCCCGGCGGCCACGGCCCCATGTTCGACCTCGCCGTCGACAAGGAGTCCATCGCCCTCATCAACGAGTTCGTCGCCGCCAACAAGCCCGTCGGCGCCGTCTGCCACGGCCCCGCCGTCTTTGTCAATGTCACCCTCCCCGGTGGCCGACACCTGCTCACCGGCAAGGAGGTCACGGGCTTCAGCAACGCTGAGGAGGAGGCCGTCGGCTTGACGAAGCACGTCCCCTTCTCCCTCGAGGACCGCATCAAGGAGGCCGGCGCTATCTACAAGAAGGCCCCCGAGCTGTGGGCCCCGTACGTGCTGGTGGCTGATGATGGAAAGCTGATCACGGGACAGAACCCCGGTAGCTCGAAGGCGGTGGGTGAGGCCTTCGCGAAGGCTCTTGGCTTGTAAATGGTCTATTTATTTTATGCTAGCTGTGGCGGCTCTGACGACGATATGATGTTTTGCTAGGCAGATATTGAAATACAAGATATATATAGTATATAGGCCTATCTCCTTAACGTGGTTGTGATATCTACGGTAAATGCTACCTAAATGATGCATAGCTATGCATATGCTCAATGCTCATCAAGTCGTGCTCATCATGCCCAACAAAACGCTCCAAGGCTTCCAAAGAGCCACCTAATCTAGGTAGGTAACCACCTAATACGCGCTCGTCCGGCAAAAACACGACGCCTTAATCGGGACATCCGCCACCGCCAGCGCCGCATCCAACTGCGGCCTAACCGCCTCCGCCTCCTCCTCCCTCCCCAGCTTCACCAGACACTCGTGGTACCCATGCAGCGCCCACACATTGCCCCGATGCTGCAGCGCGCGCGGCAACAATGCCCCTTCCTCCCCCATCCCCAGATCCTCCGCATACACCCCCACCGCACGGTCGTAGTGCCCCTGCTCCGCCAGCAGCGCGCCCAGCGCGTGGCTCGGCGGCTGCATCCACCCCCACGGCTCGTCGTACGGGAGCCCGCGGCTGCGCCGCCCGGCCTCGCGGAGCAAGCGGTAGGCGGCCTCGTGGTTGCCGCGGCGGTACTCGAGCTCGCCGTCGAGCATCGCGGCGGCGACGGCCAGGATGTCGCGGCAGGTGTTGTTGAAGAGCATGCGGGACGCGGGGACCCGGTCGACGGCGTCGAGGAACCGCGACCGCGACTGTGCGGCGGAGGCGACGTCGCCGGTGGCGGCGAAGGCGACGCCGCGCGCGTAGTGCGTCAGCGCGTGCGTGGTGCAGTACAGGGCGGCGTCGGGGGGCAGGGGCAGGGAGAGCAGGGCGCGCCACCGCCCGAAGCGGATCAGGGCGTGCACGCGCATGGCGAGGAAGCCCTCGAGCCAGTCGGCCATGGGCGGGGACTCCACGCGGAGCAGGGACTCGGGCACGGCTTGCTCGAGGCGCGCGACGGTCTCGAGGGCGACGGCGGATTGGCCCGCGAACATGGCGGCGTAGAGGCGGAAGTGCAGGTCGTGCATGCGGTAGAGGGTGTAGAAGCCTGGCGGCTCGGAGGACAGGGAGGGGTGGGAGAAGAAGAGGTCGTCGGCGATGATGGCGGTTTGGTTGGAGGACATGGCGCGCTGGTAGTCGCCGACGAGCACGTCGATGTGCGTGGGCATGTGGTCGAGGTGGCCCGCGTCCGGCACGAGGTCCCGCAGGGTGTTGGCGGCGGGGAGGGCGGCTTCGGGGGTGGTGGACATCTCCATTAGGTGGATGTATAGGTGTAGTAGGCCCGGGTGCCGTGAACCATCACCGTTTTCGTTGTTTTGGGCCATGGATCGCTCGAGCACGGCTTTGCATTCTAGAGTGCGTGCGCCGGGGGCGGGGGAGCCGGTGTGGATGTCCCAGAGCTGCCAGGGAGTTAGGTTCATCATCGCGTCGACGTAGAGGGTTGCGACGTCGAGGTCAGTGGGGAATCGCCGGTACACGGCACCCATGGCGTCGGCGTAGCGCGCGTTCCAGATCGGGAAGTTTCGGTCGCGGTTCCCCTTGCCCTCCTTCTCCTTCTCCTTCTCATCTCCCTCCCCTTCTCCCGCAGAGTGCCCATGCGGATACCGAAACTTCAACGCCTCAACCAACGCCCTTTCCACGGGCGTCACCTTGCTGCCCTCCTTCTTACCATCATCATCATCATCCTCACCCCCCTTAGCCAAGACCAGCGCCTGGTCAACCACACCATGCGTCCTGCGCATCACAGCCTCCAGCTCCACGGGGTCAAAGAAGTCCCACGGCTTGTTGTAGTTGGGGCCCAGCACGTACGCGAGCCCCCAGTACGCGAGCACGCACTCGGCGTCGCATGCGATGGCGCGCTCGAAGCATTTCACGGACTCCTCGTGGTTGAACCCGTACGACCAGATCAGGCCCCGGTTTACCCATGTGCGGGCGGCGGCGCTAGGGGAGGACACGGGGCGAGAGTAGGTGCCGAGGTTGAAGTAGGGGGATGCTTCGTCCATGGCTTTTTTTGTTCAAGGTTTGGGTGAGCCGAGAAGTTTTGGCAACGATTTAGTAGTAGTGATTCACGTGCCAAGGTTGTTGGGGGTTTCTTTTTTGGCTTTTTCTTGCTCTTTTGCTTTTGCCTTTGCTTTTTCGATCACAAGACCACACAACGATAAAAACCCGTTCCGATGCGTTCAATTATAACCCTTTGATAGATAGATTGTTCAATCCAGCTGATTATCTCCCTGAATATGTATAGAAACCAAATAAATCAAGGGTTATCGTTTTTGAAGTCCACGTAGGTATGTATGTATGTATTTACAACTTGCATCTCCGCCGGGCAGAGTCTCCGGATGGATGCCGCGGTGGCGCCATTGTGGTGTTCTGTAATTTGGTTCGCCCGACGCAAGCCTCGGACACGTATTTAGGTGCAAATTCTTGTATGCCTGTTTATGCAGTCTTCGAGGTATAAATATGCAACTAAACTGATTTCCTTGGGGGTGGTGATCTTTCCCATAGGTGCCCTTAAAAAAACATCACAGGGTCATGAACCAAACCAATTGTTGCAACAAATCACGAGTTAAAGCACCACGAAAAAGTGTGTTAAGTTAATGGTATGTAAATTGCTTCGTAAAATAAACTTGAAACTGTCTAAAAAAACCAACAAAGGAACAAAGAAAAAAAATGCCAAAAAGATCCTATCCCGCAAGTAAGCCGAACAACCAAGCCTCATATGTCATGTCCGTTTTAGAATACATCGTCAAAAGCAAATACCAATCAATGCCCAAATACAACTTTTCCCTCAAGTACCTCCCAAAGCCATCCGCTTATTTAGGCTCGGCAACAATGATCGAGTGCCTCATAACCGGGCTGTACGTCTTGATCTCCACAATGCGGAGCCCAGCCTTGTCAAGCAGACTGTGCCACTGGTCCTCGTTGCGCTCCATGGCACCGAGCATCGCGTACATGTGCAGGTCCAAGCAAGCCGACCACCAGTGCACCCCCGTGTTGGGCAGCACCATCTCGTCGATCAGGATCTTGGAGTCCGGGCGCATGGCCGGGACCAGGTTGCGGAGGATCGTGATGGCCTCGGGGTCCTCCCAGTCGTGCAGCACCGTGCGCAGGTAGTAGTACTTGGAGCCCTTGACCGTCTGGTCCTTGAAGAAGTCGTGGCCCATCGCCTGCACTCCCGGGATGGCGGGCGCGATCGAGATCGTCTCCGGCCGGTCTTGCAGAACCACGCGCCCCTGGAGCGCGGGCAGCTTGGCCGTCAGCCGCGCGCACTGGTGGCCCATGCCGCCGCCGACGTCGACGAAGACGGGCTCCTTGCCAGCGTCGACGGGCATGGGGACCACGTCGAGCCAGTCGCCCTCGCGCGGGATGCTCATCAGCCCCTGGAACCACTGCAGGCTCTCCGGGTGCTGCTGCGCCCACGGGAAGAAGTCGAGGTCCGTCCGCGCGCCCTTGTGCCACGCAAACTTGCCGCCCGTGTGGTTCTGGTACCCCGTCTCCTTCAAGAAGTCGGGAAGAGCCTGGTAGGTCGGCCCGCCGATGTGGAAGGCGTACTTGAGGGCGCCCTCGACGCGGCCGTCGGAGAAGGCGCGGCTGGCGTTGTTCGCGGTGAAGAGGTCTTTGCCCGTCTCGACGATCATGCGGATCGAGGCGAGGTAGCGGAGCAGGCGGCCGATTAGGAGGGGGTCGGAGTTGGTGGGGGCGGAGAGCTCGTCGACGCTGAGGGGAGTGGCGCTTTCCGAGAGGCGCTTGAAGATGTTGAGGTCGAAGGCGGATTTCACGACGGAGATTTCCAGGGCCTGTGCGTGGATTGGTTAGCCTTGCTATTCTTTGCTAGGTTGGGCGTGATGACTTAGTTGACTTACAGAGTTGAACATTCTCAGCATGGTATCGTGAGGCGTCTCCAAGTTCTCGGCTAGACCGCGGAGAGTGTCCTCCATTTGCAGGCGGCTGGCTTCGTTACCGGGGCCGGCCGAGTTACCCTTGAGGGGGGTGAGGTGGACAGTGTGCTCGGTGACACCGTTGGCGGCGCCCTTGGCGAGTTGCTCGACACCAGTGAAGGAGTCGCCGGTCTCTTCAACTGCGACGGCAACCGGGGCCTCTTCCTTCTTCTCGAGCTGCTCCTCGCCGCTCATCAAGGCGAGGACATCGGGTCGGGTGCTAGCCTTCTTGGTAGGTGCTACCAGGCCTAGCTGGCCAACCTTTAGGTTAACGGTCAAGCCGTCGATGACATCGGAGCCGAAGTTGTCGATGTTGATGGTGTCTTCGGAGCGGAGCATCTGGCGGGCGCGGATGGAGTGCATGATGCGCATCTGCTCGGGGGAGAGAAGCCCCTCGAGCTCAGCGACACCCTTGGCGTACTGCTCATTGTCCTCGATCTGGCTGAGATCTTCGATGCCTAGCTCGCGCATCCTCTCGAGAAGGCTCTCCTTCTGCTTAGCATCCACGGGGATGAAAGCGTTGAAGCAGAAGTCGATGGTCTTGGATACTTCCTCCTCGGAGAGCTTGCCCTGGACGTCGGCTTGTCCCTGGATGATGGGTCGGAAGTGGTTGAAAGCGCGGTCGAAGGACTTCTCGTCCCAGTCGGAGATGACGGGGTTGTCCTGCGACTTGATCTGCTTTAGGGCGCTGGAAACGACTAGTAGGAAGCGGGTGTATCCCTCAGCGATCTTCTTGGAGTGCCACGTGGCGGCTGCGATCTCGTCGCACTGGCCCCTGATGGAAGCGCAGATGGTCGTGGCGGCGGATAGACCACCGGCCAAGGCCAAGTGCACACCGGAGGAGAAGAAGGGGTCGATGAAGCATGCAGCGTCGCCGGCCATGCGGACGTAGGGGCTAGCGTAGGCAGGCGCGCTGTAAGACCAATCGGATGCGGATTTGAGATCCGTAACCATGGTAGCATCCTTGAGAAGACCCGCCATTTCAGGAGTAGACTTCAGGACATCGTGGTAGAGAGCCTTGCTGTCCATGCCGGTCTCCCGCTTGCGGGCAGTGGAGAGGTGCTGGTTCATGACCACACCAACGGAAACTCTTCCGGTGTGAAGGGGGATAAACCACACCCAGCCAGAGGCATCTAGAGCGGAGTTAGTTCGAAGAACTGATATGGTATAAGTGAAGGGGAGTTGAGAGTTAAGTGCTTACCAGTCAAGGCCTCGAAGAAGGGAGCACCTTCTCGCTTGGTGCCAAGACCATATGTGCCGTGGCCCTCCCAGTATCCCCAAGTAGCGACGCTCTTAAGTTGCGAGCCTTCGTTGTACTTGCGGTTCTTTAGGTACTTGGTGCTCACTGCAGGCTCGAGGTTAGTGATTGATGTTGCTAGAGTACCCAGGAAGAATGCCAAACTTACTAATTCCCGCGCGTCCACTGCCGTCGACGAGGTAGTCGAAGTTGATGGTGCCAGTGGCGCCATCCTCTTTCCGCGACCAGGTCGCAGAAGTAGGTCGACCAGGGTTGGGGATCTCGTCCTTGCCATCGTAGCCGGGGAAGTCCTCAAACTCGAGGCCGTTCACCTTGATGCCGTCGAAGATCTGAGCACCACTCTTTCCAGCGTGTCTGAAAATCAACTCGTCGGCTTCAGAGCGGACGACGTTGTATGCGTAGCCCTCAGGGCCACCAGCGCCTAGGAAGTCGGTGTAGGCATGGGGCATAGAGTGGTTAAGCTTGAAAGCAGCGCCGTTCTGGTGTCATAAGCGTTAGTCTGGTTCTAGCTTAGAGCGCTTCCCAATTAAGATTGGGTAGAAAGACTAAGGTGGTTTAATAGGTACCTTGACGCGGAATCCATAGCTGTCGAACTTCTTGTCAAGATCAATGAATCGTAGGAAGTGACGAATGGAAGGAAGCATGCTCTCTCCAATGTGGTATCTATGGATAATATTAGTCACTCGTCCTTAAAATAAGACGCGAATTGCAGTGAAAAGGAGCTGCTAACCGTGGGAACTTTTCCGCTTCTAGAAGTACAGTGTCAATGCCTTCTCGTGCCAAGGCGGAAGCGCAGTAGGAGCCAGCAGGGCCACCCCCGACTACTAGAACAGTGCATCGCTGAGGAACAGACATTGTTGAAGATGGTATTGGAATCAAAAAAGATAAGAAATGAGGAAATCCAAAAAAGTGAAAAGAGTAAAGAGTAAAGAGTAATGAAAATTGTTGAAATGTTGCTATGATGATGTGAATGAGGCTGGTGTGTGTGTATTCTATTTCTTCTTCTCTCCAAATTCGTTCGATTTAACTTGTCTTTATACAAATATTCATCTCTATACTACGATGTAGGCAGCTGTGTAATCTGTATAGTCTGCCCTGGTATAGCGTGGTAGTATAGGCAGCCCTATAGAAAGACCCCATAATGGTTGGACCTAGTACATCGGATCCCGACGAAGGATCAGCGAACACCGATAATGGAACCATAATCCGGGGTCGTCAGCCCCGGCCGATGATATCTTTAGATCTTGCCTAGGACTCCGAAGTCTTTAGACTCTTTACAGCCCCCAACTAACTTTCGCATCCCTGTGAAAAACGCGAAGAGCCGAGAGGTGGGAACAGCCGATGCTATTTCTTGGAAGTCTTCCTGGTTTCTAAACCGCCGAGTCTTCTCTTGCTATGTTACTTGGCTTTCCAACTTGCATATCCGAGCTGATTTTTAGTGTTGCAACTTTGGTTCTATTCCTGGTCTAGACTCTTTTAACACCAATCACGAATTAAAGTCATCTTCACCAGTACTATCGCTGTTGCAGCCCGGAGAGACCATGTCTCAACAACACCACCAACAGCAGCATTATCAGCCACCACCTGGGGAATTCCAGTTCCAAACCCAACAATCAAATCTTTACCTATCTTCCACGTCTGATTTTGGGGGACCAGAATATGAAGCTACGTACAGATATCCTACAGATTCCAACAATCACCTAGTGCAACCAAATGGCATTCCTTTACCCGACTATAATGGCGATTATCATGATGTTCCAGCCGATGATCTTGCCAAACCACATTCCGACTTTCCGGAAGGAGGTCGCGATGCCTGGTTAACGGTGCTCGGTGCATCAGCCTGTCTCTTCGCTTCGTTTGGATGGATCAACTGTGTTGGCATCTTTCAAGACCAATATCAGACCAACCAGCTCAAAGACTACAGTCCGTCAGATATTGCATGGATTTCGTCGCTTCAAGGTATGTCAGGAAAAAGCTTCGTCCAAGACGTACGAGATACCTGGGTCAATAGCTAACTCAGCGCCACAGTCTTCTTTATGATCTTCGGTGGTCTTTTCGTTGGCAAAATGATGGATGACTATGGCCCTGGTCTTCCCATTGCACTCGGAACATTTCTCCATGTGTTCGGCCTGATGCTGACGAGCGTTGCGGACAACTACGTCTCTATTCTTCTCTCCCAAGGAGTCCTGTCATCTATCGGTGCATCGATGGTCTTCAACCCATCCTTCAACTGCGTTCGTTCCCCCCCACCCCCTATTATCAACGAGCACCACAACTAACTGGTTTTCAACAACAGGCTTCTACTTGGTTCTTGAAAAAGCGTGGTGCGGCACTTGGCCTCGTCGCCATGGGCTCATCCATCGGCGGTGTCATTTTCCCAATCATGCTCATTAATCTGATTCCCAAAATCGGATTTGGCTGGGCTGTGCGTATCTGCGCTTTTCTCATTCTGGCGCTTTTGACGTTTGCCAACTTCACGGTCAAATCGCGACTTCCGCCGCAAAAGCGCCCGCTCACGGCCAAGTCTTTCTTGGTGCCCCTTTCTGAGCACCCCTTTGCTCTCCTGACTGCGGCTATTTTCTTCTTTTACTGTAAGTGTGCCATTTTACTTTACCAAAAAAAAAAAAGAAAAGAAGTCTCTCTGTGCGTATGGAAAGCTGATGAGTTAAATAGGGGGGATGTTTATTCCGATCACTTTCATTGTCGTCGAGGCACGCGCGCAAGGAATGTCGGGTCACTTGGCTGATTATCTTGTTCCTATCTTGAACGGCGCAAGGTAAGTGTCACCACAATACTATATACCTTCTATGGAAATAAGACTAACCGTTCCCCTTAGTATCATCGGCCGAACTGTGCCTAATGCTCTCGCGGACAAGGTGGGACATTACAACATGATGATCATGATGGCCACCCTAACCACTGTTTTGATACTGGGAGTGTGGCTTCCGACCAGCGGCGATGCAGCCACCGTGGCTTTTGCCGCATTATTCGGCATCTCATCCGGTGCGGGTATTGGCCTGACTCCTGTCCTGTGTGCTCATATCTCGCCCATCACTGAAATCAACATAAGGTCCGGAACTGCCCTGACCATATCCTCATTTGCGGCCCTGACGGGATCTCCCATTGGTGGTCAGATCATTGCGAAGAGCTTTGGAAGTTTTGACAACGTCAAGATCTTTGGGGGAGTTGCTTGCGGTATTGGAACTTTGCTCTTTTTGGCGTCACGAATTGCATATGGAGGTATTGGGTCCAAAAAGATATAGATTAGGTTAGAGAGACGGTGGATTGAGTCATGGAATAGCGGCTGAAGATATTACATCACAGCACAACACGATCATAATGGAAAATGGTTCTTAGGGGTATATTACAAGATACAGGGGCAAATCTGGCTTAGGAGTTGATTTAGGGTGTTTTGGACTTGCGATGTATCTACGTTATTTTGTCTAGATTTGAAAATGGAATCATGTGCCGCATGTATCTGTTCTTTCGCCAATGCACCAAGTGACTATCTGTCTGTAATGCTTTACGATCATTCACAATAGCAAGACCTAAGCTCCGAAGTGTTAGTTACTCGTACATGATGAGATTATTACAAACCTCTGATTCGAAATCCGTGAAACTTAGCAAGCTACCTAAGCAACGCCTCAGGCTATTCGGATCCGATGCTATCAGAGCTCCTGTCCACTAGCCTTGAATACCTGAGGTAGCATTCCGTTGCCATGTGTCTTGCTACAAAATTAGACTGGGGCATTATTGTTATGGAGCGAGTTAATTATAGTACAAAACGTCTGCCTAAACCATCAACCAGGCAATTGTTCACGATTCAAATAAAATGAAGCTAGCTTCTTGGCTACCTACCTAGTAGAAAATCAACACTCTCTGAAAGGAAAGATGGAGTTAGTTAGGCACCCAGGTAGTATGATACTACGAACTACCCCTTCCAATTATCTTGGTCCCTAAGTAGGTACCTGGAAAGAAGATTGATTCGTTTATGCTTCACGCTATGATTTGTTGTTATTCGTTGTTCTAGTCAAAACTTCAACTCACTCATCTATTCGCTGTCTGTATTAAACCTAACCACCTCTAACCAAAGAACATTTACAAATCCACAATATCTACACTCAAGGTGGATCTTCTCGGAATCGCATAGTCTGCCCCGTAGGTATTGGTTGAATTAGTAGGTAGGTAAGTAGGCCCAGGTTGGTATCACATCAACTACTCATTGGTTATCAACCTAAGTCAAGGCTTAGAGCTGAAACTGTCAAGCTGAGCCCAGCAGAAGTGAGAAGAACTGGCCAAGGGCGGAAACTAAACTAGCATTGGAACACTGAGTAGAGGAGGCGATTAACAACGTGGATCGGGTGGATTCGTTTCTAAGCCATTATTCACTCCCGAGGCCGGTGTCCGACCTAGATCGATTAGGTAGATGCTTCGCTTACAATTTGATACATGTATTGATAGTTCTAGACGCAGAGTAATTTCCTCCAGCATTTACATATCGGACACCGGCCTTAAGAACCTTTTGGGATTTTGTTGTTTCACATATTCCATTCATTTTGAAAATCCCCAAAGGCCTTGGCGTCAGTTCAACACTCTCTTCACCCTACTGTATTAGTTTATTTCCCAAGTCTTTTTCATCACTGACGGAGCAAGTGAGATACTACTGTGTTTCTTTTCAGCCATCTCATCATCGAACGTTTCAACAAGTTCATCAACATGGCTCGCAATCCCATCAACCTCGAGAGTGTCATCTTTGAAGACTACCTCTCTGCTCAGGGGGCCAGTCTACCACATCTCAACGATGTAGAGCAAGTCACAGACCGGGTCGTCCGCATCATGGGCGGGAACCCGGGCACCATGCAGCTGCAAGGCACCAACACGTATCTCCTGGGGACCGGTCAAGACAGGATCTTGATCGACACCGGCGAGGGCAAAGCCGCCTGGTCCAAAAACATCATCAAATTCATCACCGAAAACCACCTCAAGATCGCCTACGTGCTGCTCACACACTGGCACGGCGACCACACGGGCGGCATCCCCGACCTCATCGCCCACGACCCAGCCCTCGCAGACCGCATCTACAAGCACATGCCGGACCCGGGCCAACAGCCCATCGCGGACCTCCAAGACTTCAAAGTGCAGGGCGCGACGGTGCGCGCCGTGCACACGCCGGGCCACGCCGTCGACCACATGTGCTTCCTGCTCGACGAGGAGAACGCGCTGCTGACGGGCGACAACGTGCTGGGCCACGGCTTCAGCGTCGAGGAGGACCTCGGCGGCTACCTGCGCAGCCTGCACCGCATGCGCGCCCTCGGCTGCGCCGTCGGCTACCCCGCCCACGGCGCCGCCATCGGCAACTTGCCGGCCAAGATGGACCAGTACATCCGCCACAAGGAGGACCGCGAGCGCCAGATCCTGCAGGTGCTGCGCAGCCTCGGCGTGCAGAAGAAGGGCGCCAAGGGCAGACACAGCGTCCCGATTGACACGCTGATCGAGCTGCTGCACGGAGATCTGCCGCGCAGCATGGTGAAGGCGGCGCTGGAGCCGTTCATTTCGCAGGTCTTGTGGAAGCTGGCCGAGGATAGGAAGGTGGGGTTTGAGTTGAAAAGGGGGAGGAGGCAGTGGTTTGTCAAGGAGCGGATGATGGTGGCATAGGGTGGAAATGATGATAGATGGGCAGACACACGTAACGTTTAATGGATGGTCGGAATGGGTATTGGCAGGCGCGGAGTTGTTCGAATATCGAACGGGTTTTGGGTTGGATTATTGGATTCAGAGATTTTTAGTGGTTTACTTTCTTTGCCTTGTACTTTGTTGACGCATTCGTTTACGAATAGACGGTTTTTTTGTTTTTCTATATTGAATACCCCTTTTTTTCCTCTTGGCAAAAGCGCTTCGCTGCGCACCCAACAATACAAAGCTGCAAAATTCACAATACAATGCAAACAGTTACATGAGAAGATCATTTATACACTGAATGAGTTGAAATTAATCATTTCGGTATTAAAAGTTGGAACTGATAAAATTATCGACTCCTCCGATTTTTGAGTATTGTATGGCGATCTACTGAAATCCTGGAATTGGTGGCAACATAGACTCTCGAGATTAACGAATAATTCTCGCCATGCACGTTGCCGTTACGGAGACGTCATGTATGATGGACTTTTGGTCAAGTTATGGATGGCAAAGTCGTGAAGCCCATGTTGGGTGCTCGATTGAAAATTTAAACAAAAAAATACCTAAACACCAATGTTCCCATGAAATATCTCGTACAATGATCCGCGTAATGTGTTTACAACAAAGTCCAAGCAACAACAACTCCAGCAACTGGGAATAGAGTCCTCGCATAGTTCAAGACACTCCACTTCTCCATCAGTGCCCGTGTATCCTCTTCTTTCTTATCAGCGTCCTTAGCCACTGATTCCCCGCTCGCAAATCTCGCAGCCCTCTTCAAGATCTTCTCCTCCGTAGGCAAAACAAACGCCAACGTAAACGGTATAAGCCCAACCATCAAAGCCGCGGCTAGCGACAGCCGAGATACCGTCGGAGTGATGCTTCCGTGCTTGTAATACGCCAGACCTGCGTTGGAAGCGCAGCACAGGGCCGAAAAGATCGAAGGCAGCGGGCAGAGTCGGAAGCCGCGTAGGAAAAGGGTCTTGAACTGGCTTAGAGATGTGGCTTCGGAGAGGTTCGGCTGGTCGAGGATCATGGACACGGAAACGTTGGAGAGACTAAGTTGGCAACCTGAAGTTGTGTGTGTTAGAAATTTTGGCGATCTTGAGAGGGGATAAGGGGTTTACTCACCAGCCACGAAGGTTGACGCCGAGATGCTGGTAACCAGCAGTGGCTTGAACAAAAAGTGCTCCATGATGAATAGCTAGGTAGAGATAGATCGGAAGGAATGCAAAGATTGTCGTAGTAGTGGATACGAGGCGAGCAAGGCTAGAAGAGGTTGATACCAAGACTCGTACTGTCTGACTATGAGAGTATATCCACGTTGTCTAGAACATGACCTCGGAAGAAAATAGTAATCATCTAAGGCTTTTATTTACTCTAATGACAACTAGAAAGTTATTATTAGTATTTCTCACTAGCAGGACTCTTACTCGCATCGCAAAATGCGCAGTCATTGTTCACATCAACATCGGTACCCGATCACCGGAATCCGATATTGGTACCGGTGCCTACCGGTAGGAATTCCTGACAAAACACCAACAATTGTTATTGTATCCGATATGATTCCATACTAGGTAGCTAGATCTCATATCGGATATCGACAAGAGACATTTATACAGAAATAAATGTTATGTTCTTTAGGCAACTGGCTTAGCATCTTTCCTTAGTCTCCCCAATCTTCACATCTCAGCCTTCAAAAGTCAACTTCAATCATCTTCAGTAGTCAATATTCATCTTTTGTCTTTTATCATTCAACTTACAATTTCAACTGTTTCATTATACCCTTCAGCCCATCCGAGCATTCCTAGTATTCAACAACTATCATCATGACTCAATCTGACGCATTTTCTTCAACGACGCCTAGCGAGAGCGGACTCATGAATAGTAGCATTCTTTTCTGCGGCAACGAAGCTCCGAGTGGAGACTTCAAAGGCCATTTCTATGCTTTACAGCGGCGCGCAAGAGACGGCAAATTTCCGATACTCACCTTGTTCTTGGAAAGGTGTACCCATGTATTCAGGAAAGAGGTTGCCAACCTCCCCCAGCCGTTGCAGGTGTCGGTGCCGGCTTTCCAGAATGTCGCAGCCCTAGCCGATTTCTACACGAACAACGGCCCGGGACCCCTAGCCAGCGCTTTAGAGAGTGCTTTGCTTTGCGTGTTACAAGTTGGCATTCTTATAGGGTAAGATCATAATCACAAACGACTATGGTAGGATCTCATCTGCTAACATAATCCACCCCAGACACTACGAAGAGCACGGCCTTGAGTACAATCTCCACCAAGAATCAAGTCACTTGTCCGGACTCAGTATCGGTATGCTCTCTGCTGCCGCTATTTCAGCATCTCCATCTCTGTTCGATCTGGCTCAGGCTGGACCTGAGAGCGTAAGGGTAGCTTTCAGACTCGGGATACATGTCGATCGTGTGTCGCAGAATCTGGAAGCTCGAGATGGCGAGGGCCGTCTCGATAGCTGGGCATACGTAGTTACGGGACTCACTGCTGAGGAGATTCAGAGTGAACTGGATCTCTTCCACACTACTACTGTTCGTAACCTCTCAGTACCATTTCATTGTCTTAGTTTAGTGCCAGGTAGCTAACAAAACATTGCAGTCAAACTCGGAGCTCAGCAAGGTGTTCATCAGTGCCTCTGACAAGCACTCCGTAAGCGTTACCGGACCACCGTCTCGACTTAAGAATGCATTCTTGTTTTCTCAGAAGCTTCGATACTCCCGGCATCTACCACTGCCTGTATACGGCGGTTTATGCCACGCCCCCCATTTATACGGACAGCAAGACGTAACAGTGATTGTCCGAGGATCGCACGGAATCGTTCCCATCTACAGCCACCGCCGCCCAGTGTTCATACCTGTGTTCTCCGTCCAACACGGGGTCCCATTTGGGGCCCAAACTGTTGGCAACTTGCTCGAGGCAATTGTTTCCGAAATTCTCACCGGAACCATTTACCTCGACAAGTTGACCAACGGTATCGTCGACATACTTTCAACTTCATCAAGCTGCCGATTCGTGCAATTCCGAACCTCCATAGTTTCCAAGGCTATCGTGTCGGAGATCGAATCCAATCTGGCAGAACTCAAGATCAACCACGTTGATCTCGTCGACTGGACTACATTGCCGGCCCCTGAGTACAGGGCCCCTGCGTCGACAAAATCCTCCAAACTGGCTGTGGTCGGTATGTCTTGCCGTCTCCCAGGCGGTGCGGACAACTTGGAACTCTTTTGGGACCTCATGGTCAACCGTCGAGATGTCCACTCGAAGATCCCAGCCGATCGGTTTGACCTGGAGGCACACTACGACCCTACGGGTAAAACGCCCAATTGTACAGAGACACAGTTTGGAAGCTTCATCAACGAACCCGGTCTATTTGACGCGGGCTTCTTCAGCATGTCTCCTCTTGAGGTACGAGCCCCCCCCCCCCTATCTTACCTAGGTCATTGACCGTTCATTACACTAACCCCTTATACAGGCAGAGCAAACTGATCCCATGCACCGACTTGCCCTCGTGACCGCATACGAAGCTCTCGAGATGGCCGGATATACCCCAAACCGTACACCCTCAACAAACCCCAAGCGCGTGGGCACATTCTACGGCCAGGCAAGTGATGACTGGCGTGAAGTAAACGCCGCCATCAACATTGGCACGTACGGCGTTCCCGGCGGTGAGCGAGCATTTGCCAATGGCCGCATCAACTACTTGTTTAACTTCGGCGGCCCTAGCTTCAACATTGATACTGCCTGCTCTAGTGGTCTGGCCGCTGTTCAGTCTGCTTGCTCGGCTCTTTGGAACGGAGAGGCCGACATGACGATCGCTGGTGGTTTGAATGTCATTACTAACCCTGACAACTTCTGCATGTTGTGCAGAGGACACTTTCTATCTAAGACAGGCCAGGTTCGTAACGTCTTCTTCTCTTGGTATGGGCGACATAACTAACTGAATTCTCCCTACAGTGCAAGGTCTGGGAGAAAGATGCAGATGGGTACTGCCGCGCTGACGGTATTGGGTCGGTTGTCATAAAGCGACTTGAAGATGCGGAAGCCGATAATGATAATATCATCGCCGTCATCGCGGCTGGTGCCACCAATCACTCGGCCGAAGCTCTGTCTATCACGCAGCCCCATGCTGGCGCGCAAATGGATAACTACAACCAGCTCATTCACGCGACAGGTATCAACCCGCTCGATGTAACCTATATCGAGCTCCATGGAACCGGCACCCAGGTCGGAGACGCCATTGAGTCCGAATCCGTCGCGTCTGTCTTCTCGCCTATGTCCCCCATGTCAGCTAGACGCCGACCGGACCAGTTTCTCCATCTCGGTGCTGTCAAGTCGAACATAGGCCACGGTGAGGCGGCAGCAGGTATCGCATCCCTGCTCAAAGCTCTCCTAGTGTTCCGCAAGGGGCAGATCCCACCGCACGTCCCCATCAGGAGCATGAACCCTGCCGTCCTCAGAAACATCGACCACCGCAACATGGGACTGCCGTCGGAAATGGTTTCTTGGCCGAGAAAGGCGGGCTCTAAGCGACATGCCCTGGTCAACAGCTTTGGCGCTCACGGCGGAAACACGACTATCTTGCTCGAGGATGCCCCCGAGCGTGAAAGGGTTGGCCGGGACCCCCGATCAACCTACCCCTTCATCGTGTCTGCGAAGAGCAAGAAGTCGCTCAAGGGGAATATTAGCACTCTACTGAAGCTTTTGGACACCGAGCCCGAGACTTGTCTGAGCGACCTTTCGTACACCCTATGCGCCCGACGCATGCACCACTCCATCCGAGTAGCCACCTCCGCCAGCAGCGCAGCGCAGCTACGTAAGTTCCTTACCGCCTCCTTAGATGATGTCGACACTCTCAAGAGCGTCTCCTCCGAGACCAACGTTATCATGGTCTTCACCGGACAGGGATCCTTCTACAAAGGTATCAGCTCCAAGCTATACCACGATTTCCCCTTTTACCAGCGCGAGGTTCAGCGCCTCGACGCTGTCGTCGAACGGCTCGGCTTCTCTTCCGTCATTCCATTTATCGAGGCTGGTGCCACTGACTCGGCCGAGGCGAATCCCCTCCAGACCCAGCTAACCATTCTCGTGGTTGAGATCGCGCTCGCCCGACTTTGGGAGTTCCTGGGAGTAACGCCGAGTGCCGTTATCGGTCACAGTCTAGGTGAGTACGCAGCACTAGTAATCGCGGGTGTCATATCGGCAAGTGATGCCATCTACCTCGTCGGAAAGCGAGCGGAGCTTTTACTCTCCGAGTGCACCGTCGGCAGCCACGCCATGCTGTCCGTCCGCGCCAGCGCCGACGCCATCGAGGAGAAGGTAGGCGATCGCCACGCATATGAGGTCTCGTGCGTGAACGGCCGCGAAAACACGGTGATCAGCGGTAAGGTAGAGGAGCTGAATGCGATCCGCTCGCTGCTCAGCGAAGCGGGACTCAAGGCTATGCTCCTTGAGGTCCCGTTCGCCTTCCACAGCGAACAGATCGAGCCCATCCTCCCGGCCTTCACGGAGATCGCTAGCCATGTGGTGTATAAGACGCCGCAGGTCCCCATCATCTCGCCGCTCCTCCAGGATTGCGTGTTCGACGGCAAGACGGTGAATGCCGAATATCTCACCCGTGCGTCTCGCGAGCCTGTGAACTTCGTCGGTGCGCTTGACGCCGCGGTCGACATGGAAGTTGTAGAGAACAACACGCTCTGGCTCGAGTGCGGCCCACATGCCGTCTGCAACACTTTCGTGAGCAGCTGGGACTCCAAGCAGGGTACCTTTAGCTCCCTCCGCCGGGACGAAGACGATTTCAGCACCATGGCGACATCCATGGCTGCGCTGCACGCCAAGGGAGTGCCTATTGCTTGGAACGAGTACTTTAAACCGTACGAGACGTCGCACAGAATGTTGACGTTGGAGTCTTACCAGTGGAACGAGAAGAACTACTGGATCACCTACGAAGGCACATACACGCTGCACAAGGGGCCGAAGCAGATCGAGCCGGCTAAACCGACTATTGGCTCCTCTCCTCTAATTACGTCGTCTATCCACCTCATCACCTCCCAGGAGAAAGATGGGTCCACGGCGAAGGTAAGCGCCGTGTCAGACCTCCAGCACCCGACGCTTCTCCCGTCCGTGACGGGCCACAAGATGAACGGCTACGGTGTCGCTACAACTGTAAGTCTCTACCCAACCGCTCAATGCACCTATCTCACCACCCCAATTACCGAGTTCATATGCTAACCACCACAAACAGTCCATCTGGGCCGACATGGCCCTCACCCTCGGCGAGTACATCTACAAGTACCTCGACCCGAGCTCCCAGAACACCGAGCTGCACATGAACGTCTCCGACATGGTCGTCCTGCACGCGCAAGTCGTGTCCCCGGACTCCACAAAGGAGCACCTGATCTGCGTCGACGCCGACCTCGACTGGGCCACGCAACAAGCGCACCTGCGCTTCTTCGCCCCCACCGGCCCCTCGGACCCCGCCGAGCCCTTCGCAACCTGCACAGTCCGGTACGAGCACGCGTCCGCCTGGGCGCGCGAGTGGCGGCGCGTGAGCCACCTCGTGCGCTCGCGCATCGCCGCCGTGCACGCGCACGAGGCCGGGAACCGCGTCGGGCGCGCGCTCGCGTACTCGCTCTTCGGCAACGTCGTCGACTACGCGCCCAAGTACCGCGGCATGCGCTCCGTCACGATGGTCGGCGCCGAGGCCGTCGCCGACGTCGCGCTGTTCGCCGAGCAGCTCGGCACCTGGCACTCGCCGCCGCACTACATCGACAGCGTGTGCCACGTCGGCGGGTTCGTGCTCAACGCGGGCGAGGACTACAGGGAGAGCTTCTATGTTACGCCGGGGTGGGGGAGCTTCAGGATGATGGGGAGAATGAGGGGGGGGGAGACGTATCAGAGTTATGTCCGCATGGCGCCGACGGGGGAGCAGAATATGTTTTCCGGGGACGTGTATATCTTGCAGGGCGAGGAGATCGTGGGGGTCATGGAGGAGATGAAGTTTAGGCGCGTGGCGCGCGTGCTGATGAATCGCTTTTTCTCGCCGGCTGAGGGTGGGGGCGCTGGGGCTGGCCATCATGATGCGTCGGTGAAGAAGGTCAAGGCGGTCGCGCCGAAGCCACTGCCCACCCCTCTTCCTGTTCCTGCTCCTGCACCCAGGCATACACCCGCACCACTAGTCGTGCTCTCAGCACCCACGCCGCCCGCATTCTCACCTTCCCCGTCACCCGTCATCCTCACCCCACCACAGACCGACGAAGAAAGTCTGGACGGGGAGGAGAACTCGACGGTGCAGGAGGCGCTGCTGCTGATCTGCCGGGAGTCCGGGCTGGAAATGGAGCAGCTGAAGGACGAGGCGCTGTTCGCGGAGGTCGGCATCGACTCGCTCATGTCGCTGGTGCTGGCGGAGAAGTTCCGCTCCGAGCTGCAGCTCGAGGTCAAGAGCTCGCTGTTCTTGGAGTGCGCGAATGTCAAGGCGTTTAAGGAGTGGCTGGCGGATTATTGCTGAGTGGATGATGAGGTGATGGGAGGGGATGGTTTGTGTGGTTGGACTGTTTTTAGACTGCGAGTTCTTTTTTTTTCTTTTTTTTTTTTGTCTTTTGCTGCTCTATGTGGCTTGTAATATTTAGGGGCGTATACTGGTTTGAGTTTCTGGGGCAGGTCACGCGGCTATGAGATTTCGAGTTTTGTTTTTGGTTACGACTATATTCGACAACTTCTTACTATCAGATTGATAGGTATGGGCAGAGGGAATAGATTAAAATATAAATCCGAGATTCTAACCTTTAGTTTCAGTTTTACTGTTTCCCGCGTGAAAAATGCCCCTATTCGCAACATGGTTACTACCTAGGTAGTGAAACTTTAAGCTCGCCTCCAGCAAATAGCTGACGTGTATTTTTCTTCTATCTACTAGGTACTGAGTCCTTTCATAATTCGTGCAACTCGTTAATTGAAGCTATTCGCAACGAAGACCTTTGTTAAGCATGAATATACTTGTCTTTACACTTCCTATCTTTCTCCCCCTGTCTACCTTAGGCTCTATTTTGAGGAGCTCATGTTGAAATTTTTGATACTATAGTAAACCTTAGATACCTCCTTAACTACCTAGGTAGGTATCTAGGATGGTAGTAGCTGGGTGTAGTCATGTTTTTAAGGTTGGTTTCAGCATAGGACTTTTTATATCAGATCTGAAAAAACGTTGATTTATTTTCCACCAGCAAACATCACAGGTGTATCCATTTACTACTCAGGTATATGCAAGCTATACGCGGCCTCAATGTTGTATAAATAGAAATGGATGATTGTGCTGTTGCTTAGCGCTTGCCGGGTACCTGTAAGGAGATGCTTATAAATAAAGGGGTATTCTGTGTGTCTGAGTACTTCGTGATGTCGGTACGTAGGTACCTAGTACTTTCACTCGATGTGAAAGCTGTGGCTTGCATTCATGATGAAACTGGGAGTACGTATGTCAGGGGAATGAAATTCATAGCACTGATACGTAGGAGCTACTCATGACTCGCGTACTTTCAGAAGGACCATGTCTCCCCCCAGCTATTCGGTACCGATACGCGTCGTCCCAAAGAAGGTAGCACTTGGAATTCGGCATCCGATGAAATCTCCTAACTAGGCTTGCTTCACTCCCACATGTCTAGCGCAGGATGCGATAGTTAGCTGAAGCCCCCACGATCCTTACCCGGGACCCCTTACTGCAGGAATAATACATCAAGCACGTTCTGGTGTTGATTGGGTCGGTTAGCTCACCTACTACCCCTTTAGTTCGGGCCTGCCACGTTTTTTCAATACGCGGGTTATAAAGAAGGAAGGGAGGGAACAAGGTTCCAGAAACTTCCCCTTATTCCAAAGGTTGCATCCTACGAAGAGGTAATATTTTAGTAATCATGCGTGAAGGGTCGTATTTAAGCTATTCCTCCTAACCCCTTTTGAAAGCGTCATTGGAAAAGTAGGCTAACTTGGATGAACGAATACGCGTCTTATAAGCACCGAATTTGAAATAATCACAGCTATAGTAGTTGTAGTACCCTATGACCCAAATGATTAATACTCATCTGATAACATAATGGACCCTTAGTTTTACGGTATCTTCAGCGGTGTCCACACGGTAAATAAGGAGGCATCTGGTATATCAAGTGTCGGCTTGAGCCTTGTATGATTCTGTCTCTAAACATCGCGAGATCTAGCTATCAAGTGGTAATACAGAGTTGATCTTACATCTGATCGTACATCTGCTTCATATCTCGTCTCTAAACTCCCTAAAAACGCCCGAAGCTATGTCATGAAGATCATGATCTTGGTATCACTGTCCCTTTTCCTTCCTTCAAATCAAATGAATGAACCCATCCCTTCTATGCCTAGAAAGGTTATAAAGATAGTCCTTCCCGTTCCCAGTACCTAAACAACCTGAAACTGTAGGCTTGCTGCCTCGTCTATCGTAGCTTGGAGCCTTAGCTTCAGCTCGCTGGCCAATTCAGGCACGATTGCGCCCATCTGGCTCTCTTCCTCGTTGCTATACCGTCGCGTATACTGCAGCATGAGCCTTGTTAGCTGCCTAAGCTCTGACAGTAACCGCGAGGAGTTTCCTTCCTCGTCTGTGCCGTTCGTCCGTGTCTCACGGATCAGGGATGTGAATGTGTCGAGAATGGTGTTGCAGGCAGCGGCGGCCAAGAGGACTATCTCAAGCCGCTGCGAGCAGGGGCATATTAAGATGCGGCAGATGCTCTTGTAGCACTGGGTCAGGAACCCAGGCGCTGTGCATAGGGTGTCGGTTTGTAGTTGTTGTAAGCTTAGGTGGTGCATCATGTCCATCAACGATGAGGCACAGTCGGTGGTGTAGGAAAGGTCTTCTGATATCTCGGGACCCACCACGAAGTCGTCAAAGCTCGGAGATGGCATGGGTAGAGGAAGAGTGTAGATGTTATTCAGTGCGTGTTCTTCTGCACTAGAATAGGAACTCCCCGGGGGCGACTGTGACTCTGGTGAAGATCGACTCATGGAGCGCTGGTGGGCCCTAGATCTGCAGATACTGCCGTGGTGTGAGTGTGATGATGATGAGGATGGTGTGTTCTCCGGTGCTTGTGCTTGTGTCCGACTCTGCGTGCGACCTCCGGGGTATGGCCTTCCCATCCGCCGGGTCACACTATATGAGCATCTGTTACCGAGTCTTGTGCACCTTGCGCACGAAGGCTTTTCTTTTGTGCAGCGAACCTTGGACGCGGAACACGCGTCACACGAGTCCTTCAGCTTTTGCTTCCGAGACATCCCCGGTCTGGTGTTGGTGTCCATGACGGGCTTGGTAGTTGTTGAAACTTGGAGGTAATAAGATGAGTGACCTAAGTAATAGTCGATTGTGTCGTGATAGAACAGAACAGTAGTTTGGTATGAATTGAAGAGATGATGGAGTATTGTGCTTATACTCGAAGAGAGTTATCCTCCCTTTTAGGGGTGAAATATACAGAGAACATATATCATATATATTCTTCGAGATCAAGCACACCCTGGCCTATTTTCTCAGGATTGGCACCTGGGGTGGCAACGGGATAGAAGTCTAAGCCTCACTAAGTTCTACTGGGAGTAGTATGTATCTCGAAAGCTTCCCTACATCTTTAGTAAATGAACCGGCCAGGCACTAGGTCTGTGAGCTGGTTAACTGGCAGACTGGTAGCGATAAAAATGGCCATGCACTTATGGATCCTCTTTTTCAAGGCCCATCATATTACTCCATACAACCTGTCCCAGAACCCGAAGGCAGCCGTTTATTGTAGCCTGCAGCCCCACGTCCTATAGCTTGCACGATCTAAGGGTTAGTTGGGTAGAGCCAAGACGAAGATCCATGGGTGGCCAAGTCTCATTGCCAATTGAGGATAAGACCCTGCTTACATGGACTAAGCCCAGTTGGTGCACGCAGTAAGTATATGCATGCCGTGGGCAACAATCGATGCCCTTCATCGTTCCGTCCCAATGGTATACACTACTTGGCCGTGCCGTACACTTTGGACCCGGCTGCCGTCGAGTTATAAAAGCTACAGCCTTATGAATGAAGAAGGGCACTGAGGTCCTGCTGCAACACTTACACACGTCACCATCACTTGGAGATTTGGGGGATTTTGGGATTCATTTTACAAAACGTACGCCAACATGTTGTAGCACAGCAGCACATTTATAGCACGCCAAAGTAACAAAGAAAGAAGGTAAACAACCAATACACTCGGGCCCGATGATAGGTTCAATGGTAATAAAATAGATCAAGCTGAAACCTGGTCTACTACCTCATAATTCAGGCGAGATAACCTTACAACCGCTTTCATAACCTGCTACCTGAGCCTGCCTGGCTATTTTTAAATCCTTTGAAGGACAAGACTTTATGGTGTTGCGGCTGGAAATATTAGGCGACCACTCAACGCCCTGAACGAAGATTGTACCTTCTCCAAGTGAGCGGGATCATACTTCCGTGGATGTCATCACACCCTATCTGGCTTACAAAACATCATTGCATAGTACTATCCATCTCAGCCACAGAGCCGTCCAAGATAAGTAACACACTAGGTTAGGTAGGTAGTTTAACTAAATACTTACCTTACGTAGGGTAGGTACCTAGAGGGAACTAGGTGGCAGATGCTAGGTATTGGGCAGCTCGTAATATTTCACTAACCATCGAGGCTTGCGTTCACGAAATGGGGTATGATGTTTGAAGCCAGTAGGCAGATGTATAACCATATATATTCTGACGCCATTTTTCAACGGAGAACGAGTTATGAGATGATAAGCGTGCGGAAGGATACCCTATGATAGGGTCTGTCCCACCAAATGCGAGCTCTAACCTAGAGCTTTTCATGTCGTTGCGCTAGTAAAAGAACCGAGTGCGATATGATGGTTCTTGTACGCGTAATTTCACGATATTCTACGGGATGCATGGTTTGTAGGTTGGTGAGCGGTTCAGGGGTCCAGAATCAGCAGTGCAGTCCTACAATTTCTTTCGCTAGCCACGTGTCATTGAAAACGGATATTATCAAATACAAAGAAACGCACCCCGCACGAACGGCGGGTGTGATAATCATGGTGGGCAATCGATCCCTGAGATAATCCCAAGATGAATCCTGAGATAATGCTCTTCTTACAAGGCTCCTGCCTATTTTGAGCAGTTCAGCTCCTTTACTGTTGGATAAGTGCAAATTCAGGAATGCTTGATTCATCATAAGCCTTGATCTAGTCTTTGCGGAACAAGCCCTTGGTTAGATTGGGGATTGCACTACTGCCGATCTTGACATGGTGTACCGGCCGGCATCTTTCATCATAAACGAGTAGACCACAGACGATTGTACACGGCTCGGCCGAAGACTACCTGGTAAATCTAAGCTATGTAGGTACAATACACAGTACTCACAGGGCGGTTTGTACAATACGTAGTATTTTTGGTGGCGCTTGAGGCGATTTGGACTAATTTACGAGTATATCACGCCACCTAGTGGACGTGACCCTTCTTTGCTGCCCATAAGTACCTACCTAGTAGGCACCTAATCTACGTGATATTGAGGTTGAAAATTTATCATAATAATTTAAGCGTGAAGCCCCTGTTTGACCTAACTGTCATTCAATGTGAAAGCCACAGAGCCGTCTATATTTACCTAATGCAAACACCTAGGCAGGCAAATTACTTCAGTACTATGCCACGGCCTCTACTCACGGTGTGCCTAAGTCTTTCGCTATAGCCCAGCTGTGTTGCTTAATTAAGATGTATACACGACACCATCGATACGACATACATACAGCGTAAAAGTCTGTCCATAAAATAAAGTCAGCATGCATATACCAATTTCTGACCAGCTTCAGTCGCCCTACCACGATCCAGGCCAAGGATTACTGATGTGGGGTTTGGAACAAAATACTGGATACCTGTTAATACCAGCGCCAGCGCCGCCTGTTTAGTGCCGGCCGGCACCACCACACGGATAGTAGCCCGGCTGGAAAGCTTAGAACGTGCTCAAGATACGCTACCGACAGACCAGTTGAACATACATTAGTATACGCTTCATAGCTTACGTGGATATATAATAGAATATAATAGCTTCTATGCTAACAGAGATAGTTGGCCAATATATACATAGTAATATGCCGCGTCTGTAATTTCTATGATCGCACTTAATCCAGACGGTTCTAAGCCCTACCCATTTTTAGCAGACGTCGCACTAAGGAAAGGGTTCAATGATAAATCCACCTCATTATAATGGTGGTTTGCAGAGTATGCTAACCTAGTTGGCTAGAGGTGCAGAGTACCTATGTACGTTAGTAGTTTAGGGCCATGGCCGTTGCTTATAGCTGAGAGATAGCATTGGAGGAGCTTTACATATGTAGTTGGTTGTGGCCGTTAGGGATAGATTATAGGTTACATAGCATCCGGTAGGCCTCTCCAATCTTTTATTGGACATCTATCTAGATTAATTAGACACCAGACAATTAACTGAGCAGTCAAACAATGCATGTGTATTGAATTATTGGACCTCCTAACGGGGCTGAGGTTGTTTAAGTTTCGATTCGGGTGCATCGAAAATGGCAAATGTTACACAGAAGTTCGAGAAGGATTGGAGCGTCGAATAGTTACCTAATACAAAATTAGAATTGGCGTGAAAAGGGATTATAGCCTCCTTACTAGGTATTCTCCAAGCTATACAGACCTACATAAGTGCCTATGTATACCTACCTATGTATTCAGTTTACCCCAGTTCTGGAAGACTTAGGCAACTAGGATCGGATTCCATTTCTGTCGGGTAAGCATCATCGCTACCTGCCTACTGGGTAGATCACCGGTATGTCGGTAGACGACAGCCTATTTTGCTTGGCATTCGTCTGGTGAATTCCAAGTTTGTTTCGACGTTGAACAAGCCCCTTTGCTAAAGATCGTGGACGTATTATATAGAAAGCTTCACATCGTGTAGATTATCTTACTAACCTTGACATAGAACCTTAGCTCGACTTCATTTTATGACCTGCAACAACGACAATGCACTCTCCTACCCAAATACCAACGGACATGATGCTAGACCAAGAATGGCTCGAGAGTATGGACCTAACCAATAACGAACTCACATCTCAGGAGTCTCCATCAGGTGCTGAAAAGCCCGTCGACTTCTCCCTCTCAACGCCCCTATCCGAGCACGACTTCTTAGGAACCGACAACTTTTCCGATCAGTACTTCGATCACTTTCTACAGAGCGATATTCAGCAAAGCCATATGACTATGGAGCAGAATTTTGGGATGGACTTACAAGCACCTCCCGAAGCATCAACAACAACAGCCCCTGGAACCTGCACCAACCCAGAGACATGTATGATATTAGGCTTGAACACACTTCGAGGCCTACATATACCGTACCCATCTTCATTTTGCATCGTAAACCAGTCAACAGCATATCACCAGCCACGGATGGTTGATGAGGCACTCAGCAACAACGAAAACGCTCTCGACGCCGTGAAACGGATCGCCGAATGCCCCTGTATATCCAAGAGAACAGTACGGATGCTACTACTCGTTATCTGCGAGAAACTGATATCCTGGAACGCAATAATCCTCTGCGATCAGGGAGAAGAGCGGGCTTCTGCCTACAGGAGCCTTTTCGAGACAGATGGGTCAGAACGTCTGGTCACGGGGAGTCACATGCCCGTCCGGGTTGGACAGTTCTCAGCCGATGCCAGCCTTGGGGGTCGAATCCGTGCGTGCATAGTAGTAGACACATTGGAACGCTTACAGACGGTCCTTGGAGATGTCCTACGGGATCCTTTTCCTGGGGATGTGAATAGCGAAAGCTCGAATGGAGTGGTGGAAGTGCTGGACCGCCGACTGAAGGACTTGAAAGCAGAAGCAGCAAGCCGTCTACAAGATGACCGACGATCATAACCACAATGTTTGAAATTCATTAGGACGCCTTATCATAAGGAAAATGTACAGTATCCAAACAACTTCATCAGCCCCTTTCGTCGGTTGTTACATTAGCCTATAGATAGTTGTGATTTATGTATTTAGCGTACCTAAATAAAAGCGACGGGGTAAAAAGTACCTACATTATACAATTTGAAGTTTGCCTCATTGACATTGACATTTCTTCATCGCATTCCACTAAAGACTAAGTACCATTCACTTGAGTACTTCAATACATACCCAGAACTGTCGTTGGTGATATTCGTGTAACACGTGTGGCCTGCATGTGTTACACAACATAAAATACTACCCAAGTTGGAATATTCACAGTGGAAGGCGTCTTCTGATTGGCCAGAAATTCAGCGTTTAATGCAGTGTCACGTAAATTGATCAGCTCCAATTAGGGCTATGTACCTACCAGGTACTATCTCCAGGATTTGCGTAGAAAATGGCATTTTCCATTAAAATTCTTGCATCTCCCAGGTTAAATCATATAATATCACGTGGCATATTATTCGCGAAGATATGTGAATTAGTTGACATGTAGATCTCATCTTCTTGCAAAGGCTATCCTGGAATAATCTATTAATGGATGCATTAAACAGGGTGCATTGCATATCTGCCTACCTTAGGTAGGTACCTAACCTAGTAGATTGGTGACATTTCGAAAAAGGTAGACTGTTGGCCGTTACCTACATACGTAGTTTCAGCGGTTTCCCTCTAACGCCAACAATCAACGATCAGCGCGAAGGCGAAGGCCGATTTCACGATTTAGCCTGACTCATCACCCCAGCTCTCGCGCTCGCGCTTAGTGCTTAATCCTTCGCGACCTCTAGGGCCATACATACATATAACGGCCCCCAAGCCGCGCTCGTTGGAAGGATTCGCCTAGTTATCTGCCTACTAATATACTACCCAGGACCTTACCTTGCCTACCAGGTGCCTATCTCTTTCTCGGAGGCCGACCCTTGGAACCTCCGATCTATGTCCCCGACTTATAACTTGGAACTGCTCGGTACTTGAATCGAATCCTTCGCCCTTATCAACCGACCTCAACTTGATCTCAACCTCTTCCTTGACCTTGATTTTAAACATCGTCAAACGATTTTTGTACCCAAGCATCCTATTTTACTGGTAGAATTGAAAGCGCTCAACCGCCCAATAGCAGATTCCAAAGCACCAAATTGTCGTGCACATCCCTACAAGTCTTCCCTCCCCTCCCCTCCCCTATCTTCACCAAACCACTATATACAAAATGGCGAGTAAACTCATCATTTACCGCGGATTCCCCGTGAAGAACGCCTACGTCTGGTCACCCTTCGTAGGCAAGCTCGAGACTCGCCTGCGCTTCGCCGGGCTCCCGTACCAGATTGAGCAGGGCTCGCTAGGCCAGGCACCCCGCGGCAAAATCCCCTACGTCAGCCTTCCGGGGAGCACAGAGCTTATCAGCGACAGCGCCTTCATCATCCGCAAGCTCGCCCAAGACGGACAAGTACCGGACCTTAACGCCAAGCTAACGCCGGTCCAGCGCGCTCAGGACCTGGCTCTGCGCAGCTTGTTCGAGGACAAAGTCTACTTCATTCAGGCGAGTTGATGGAGCTACCAAATTTTGATCGAACCCTGTCGGCTAACAAATGTGCGCGTCAAGACTCACGAGAGATGGAATGATAACTATGTCACGATGCGCTCGACCGTCATGGCCGCCATCCCCTACCCAATCCAGGTGCTCGTCGGCCTGCTGGCCCACAAAGGCGTGATGCGAACCCTCCATGGACAGGGTACTGCGCGCTGGACCCCCGAGGAGCGGCTAGCCATCCAGCAGGAAGCCTGGCAAGCGGCCGATGACATACTATCTGAGGCACGAACCAAGGCAGCCACCGACAGCAAAAAACCGTTCTGGGTCTTCGGCGGCCCTGAACCCACAGAGGCAGACGCTACGCTCTACGGATTTGTAGCCTCTGGTCTCGTTTGCGAAGCGTAAGGACTACCCACCTACCCGCCAAACCCACCCACCCCTTCTACACTACTTTTTTCCCGCTAGGAATGTCCCGCTGCCACGTACGTAATGCAATGCTAACAGAACCCCCCATATATATGTAGTGCGCCGGAAACACAGAAGAGCGTCCGCAGCCATCCCGTCATCTTGGATTGGGCTGCCAGGATCCACGACCAGTACTTCCCAGACTACGAGAAATGGTCCGAGTAAATGGGGGTACCTACCTACTATCGCTGACGACAACTTATTAGAAGATACAAGTGGCTGGTTGGGTAGAGTCGCTAGTTTCAGGGAAAGAAATGAAGCCACCGATACCTACCTGCCTACAATACTACCTAGGAGACATTGCCCCCCGAGAGGGTTTCGACCCCTCGACTACAAAATTCTCCAAATCGTTAGTATTACGTTGGGCCAAGTCTGGAAATTCGGGTTGGGGAAAAATGGAGAAGAAGTTGAAACGGTTTAGAGCGATGCGAAGATGCCCATACTCGTCCTAGTTCTTCAAGGCCTAGGCTAGATGGGAAACACCACCCCTGAGAAGATTTTGAACCACTACCGAAACCGAAATGCACCTAGTTAGTACCTAATAGCTACACATCATGATATGTGCTTACCTACCTACCCTACCACTAGCAAAATACAATTGAATCGGATTGCGCAATATTATAACTTTACGTACATAATACGTGATAAACCGTGCAGGTGGTATGATTTTCGTAGTAGGTCGTCTAGGACTCTAGGTATACTCACTCGTTCAAGCAACGTTACAATACCTAGGTGGCTCCCTTTAAAAATCCAGACGTGATATAATGCTAAGAGCTATGGATAACTATCGTTACTAACATCTCACCTAACAAGAATTAGCCGCACAGGTCTCAAATCTGATATGTGATTCAAACTTAGATTTGTGTTCCAGACCTGAGACATCTAACCTACGTCGTTAACACACGATATTGCAATACAGACAGACGGTGAGGCCAGTAGCATAGTTAGTTACCTAATCTAGCGCACACCCCGCCCTAAAAAGAACTGAAAGCCAGGGGGGGCTCCACTGGAGAAGCTCGATCCCTACCAGTCAAGGATTCTAGAATGCACAACATCGCCTTAGTTCCCAGGCATCCATTTAAACAGGGCTAAACAAGGCAGTCTATCCCTGGCAGACGCCCGCCAACGCCCCACACAGAAGCAATGGCCGCAATTGCGATGAAGAAAGGGTAGGCTATGGGGCGGGCATTGCAGTGATGCTTGTTTAACTGTGCCGCATTCATTGTCAGGGCTACCTATGGTACTCAGAGATTAGGTAACAAGATATCACATAAAATACCTAGTAAGTGGTTAGTTATAGCGAATATACTAAGAATGGTCAGTGATGCTGTGATTGAGTGAACTTTTGCGTATCAGGGTTGATTTAATTTGACTGCCTGGCAGCATAGCATATAACCAACATTGAGTATTATTAGCATTGCTAGGTAGGCTATGAATTGTATACCTACCTACATGTAGGTAGTAATGACATGTATTTGCCTGTCATAAAACATCAATGATAGGTATAGTTATTAAGACAGTTAGTCAGGGGCATAAACCAGCGCTTCAATTGAAATAATTAGGTAGGTAGGTAGTTACTTAGCCTACGGGCCAACAAGCCGGTCCGGCTTCTAAAATGCTTGACGCTAGCACCCGAAGCAAGGGGGGACCGTACCCAGGTACCCTCCCTCCACTGTCCAGACTCTCGAGATTCAATTCTTTTCTCGCTATCGCGGCTGACGTGAGGCAGCACAATTCACCGTCCCTGCTGTGCGGTACTGTGCCGCATTTCCGCATCTCAGCCCTTCGAAGCTTTTTTTATGGCTCCAGAGCCTTTCATACATGCATCAAGGCGATGTATGTAGCATGCGCTTCTTGCGATTGCGAGATAATCAATCACAACGCAACCTGTCAATGGGTTAGGTTAGGTGATTGATTCAATTAATTTTGTAAGCATAAAGTCATGTGACTTATTGCCGGTCACGTGATACCCCATTGGGTAACCTACTGCGTTTGCATTCTCATGTATTTGATGCGTTCTCTGTTTGTTCATACTACATACTGCATACATACATGTATTATTCTTTGCTGTTTAATACAACTTCTCGCTCAATGATTGTAGTGTCTCACAATCTTTGCTCCCTAAAAACACCAAATATGAGTTTGGCTTGCAATATATTGGACCTGAAGTCCTGTCGTATTTTTATTGCCTCGAGATGAAGATGCCATGAGGCTTTCGCCTATATAGACTGAAGTTAAGTTATGCATTATGTTGTGTAAGCGACAAATTCTTCATATGTACGCGCGCTACATGTTAGGGCAGAGCAACGCAGGTTCCCGTTCAAAGTAGCATGATCTTTCTCTGGGGGCGGGAATCGACATTGGATCGTTTGAAGCATTCGGAGATGGGCAATGGAACATGGGCCATTGCATACATGTACCATCCACGACGATGACCAATAGCTGCCAAACCAGTGTGCGGTTAGGTACCTACAGTATACTATGTAGTTCTACTACTTATCTCATATCCATGCCATTTATTCAGATTGTTTTCTACAACAAAAGAAAATGGAAAAAACGAGGTCAAAGAAAACACATTACCATTCATCAAGTTATTGAAACCTTCCAATGATGCCACCAAACCAAACGCCCGCTTTTGTCTGCCGATTGCCGACAATCCAGGTATGTTACAAATCATCATGAGACTTGATGCACATCCATTTATGTTGTAGACCCAGCACAGGAATATCATGATGGCACGTAAGGTTAGTCCGGATTGGGCTGCCCAAGCCCTAGCTGAAGCTGGGTACAACGACTCAGGCTTCCTGCGTGATATTCTATTAAGCGAGTTCGAGCACAAATCGCCAGCTGCCGTCCGTCAAGAAGCCAAGGTGAGATCAGAAGCGATATTCAGCAGCTATGATACACTCCACGAGATCATGATTCGTCATGAAGCTACAATTAGGAAGCGGTGGGGAAAGAAAATACGGCCCCAAAGGCTCAAGATACTGTTGAATGCCTGGCCGGGCATGCCCGTAATGCATCGTCCAGATTTCGATGCAATCCGAAAGTGTTCCGCGCGAGGGCAATACCTAAAGGCCGATCCTCAATATAGGTCAGAGTTCATATGGCCGTACATCAACCAAGAAGATCTTGTACAACCCAAAACGCTGCTATTGCTGCTTAATGCACGAGGTCGTCATCCCCCATTTGAGTTCTCCGGTACGGATGGGGCTGCCATGCACCTGGGTCACGTCACAAAGGCTATCATACCCATCTTCTTAAGCAAGCATGTCATGATCATAGACGGAGCCACCAACGCTACAGACTATGGCAGATTAATTTCATGGGAGGACCATCCGCACGCTTTTGTCTGGATGATGACCCGGAAGCAGTATTTACCAGGAGAAGGTCTTCTTGTCTTGGAAGCACAGGAAAGGCTTTTGAAATTTCTAGTAGATTGCTGCAAGCAGATTCTGCATGATGTTCCAGAGGACACCCTAACAACTGATGCCTTCCCTGTTCAACCCGAGCCAGCAATTCATGTCGAAGGCGAGTCGAGCGGTCTTGGATCCCTTGCTTTACTGGCGGCAGAAGCTCCGTATCGAGTCCCCACGCATCTCGACCTAGGCCGAATTGTATCTCTCCTCGGCGCCAGAGAATCTGCCGCCGAAGATCATCTTTGGGCCTTGCGAGAAGACCCGAGCTACTTCGCTGAGCAGCTTGAGGACGCGAAGGAGCATCGATCAGAAATGTTGAAAGATATTAATGGGGATATACACCCTACCCTTAGACCTGGCCACGAAACCACATTCTGGGCTCGCCTCATCGGTCAAGTAGTCGCCTCCGCCTACGCCCAACTGGAAGCCTTCTCGGAGCTTCGCCGGCAAGCCAAGAACCTACAAGAATTACAGCAGAAGCATCGCTCCAACATAGATCCTACTAAGGATTTGCCTCAAGAATATCGATTAGCCATTCTAAAGTTCCGCCATTACGCAGACAAGCTAGCTCAAGGCCATTTGGCTGTACTCAGGGATGAAGTTCCTGCATCCCCACCGCTTCGCTCCCGCTATGTGCGATGCCAACCTTGGAACAGCACATCATCCGAGATGGACATCCGACTAAGACGAATCGTTAAAGGCAGCACCGTTGAGCTGGAAACGAATTGGCTGCTGTCAACCTTGATGGTCGACGGGTTCTCCCTATTCCTAATCAGCATGCCCTTGATCCTAGACGAACTCGAGAGGTTGCTGCAAGCGGAGAAGAGTGCATCAGACCTGTTATCCGCCCGCGTCGCTGGAACAATTGGAGATCTATCTATACTATCCCAGTGCATTAACCAGATCGACCTGTACCTCCCATGGGCGCGAACCTTCGAGCACGTCACACTAGATCAACAAAACAGCATCGACAAGGATTACACGGAAACCTTCGCACCATGGCAAGAAATATCGGCTGCTCTTCAAGCCGATGACCTTCAAGAGGTGGCAACGCTAGCTAACCCTCTGCGCAAGAAGTTCTTCTACCCGGTAGAGAAGCGCCGGACTAAGGAAAACGTGGAAACGCTTCGACTGGCTGAACGCAATCTAGACGACGTATGGGACAGGCTCGATCGCCTGATGCACGCCAAGTGTGGAAAGATGGACAGAACCGCGGCACGGCAGCTTCTATCGCAGCCTCGCATCTTGCAACGCACGCCTCCTTGGACTGCGAAAGCTCCCGTGGCAACTAAACAACAGGAGCAGAAGCTGGATGATCTGGATACTTTGTACCGACCTTTATCAACGCTCTATTTCGGGCTCCACCCCCAGGAATCGAAAGACGCACAAGACATCCAGAGAACCAAGCAGAAGACCAGAGGAGTACCGCAGCAGGCCCAGCCCCCGACAAGCCCATCGTCACCTCTCGACACCGAGCTCGCGAACACAGAACCCCAGCCCGCCCCTATCACCGTCGACTCCAAGTCCTTCAAGGTCTTCCGCACCCTCTTCTTCAACCCCGAGTCGACCTCCACGCCGGGCGAGATCGCCTGGGCCGACTTCCTGCACGCCATGACATCGACGGGCTTGTTCTCGGCGGACAAGCTGTACGGCTCGGTGTGGCAGTTCGAGAGATCGGATGGGCTGGGCCTGGGGAGGATCCAGTTCCACGAGCCGCATCCGCGGGGCAAGATCCCGTTCACGATCGCGAGGAGGTACGGGAGGAGATTGAATCGCGCGTTTGGGTGGAGTGGGGAGACGTTTAGGGTGAGGAGGAGGGGGTAGGCGTGCAGTGGGGGGGGGGGGGGGGGGTGATGGGGTAGATGGACTCCAGGTTGCAGTGACTTGGGTGGTCTGGTTGATGTTGCCTGGGAGTCAGAGTATTAATTCTACGTGTTGTAGATGGTGGGTGGATCACGAGATGACGGTTTTACGAAGACATGGGAATACGAAGACATGAGGATATGAAGATACCAATCCAAACCTGAACGTTACTGAAATCCACCTCTCGATGCCAGTGACTAGGTAACATGTATACGTGAGGAATACTAGGTAATCGATTTTAATTTACACAGAGCCTGCCAGACGAGCTCCTTTCCCAGGTAGGGAGTAGGTAGGTATAGGTATTGAGAATGAAGCAACCCCCCCCCCCCCCTCTGTCCCATCCATACCCCCCTTCTACTCAAATCTACAGCCCTACGATAATAGACATCACAACTCTCACCCCTTCCTCCGCCTCACCCTCAACACCTCAGTCATAGGCGGCGCAATATGTCCAAAGAACCAACGATTAGCCGGTCTTCGAGGGATCGGCTCGATCTCGTAGAGCAGCGCGATATGCGCCAGCGCGATCTTCAACTGGTTAGCGGCGAAGAAGCGGCCGGGGCTACGTATAGGTAGGTAGTCATGATGGTCAGCGCTCTTCCTAGACGGGTTGGGATTGGATGGGATACGATAGGGGTGGTGATGATGATGATGGCGATGACGGTAGGTAGGTAGGTAGGTACATACCAAGCATGGCGGCCATGACTAAACCCCAAGAACGTCTCGCTCGTCGCAACCAAACCCCGCGCCTTCCCGTTTCCCTCCCCCTTCTCCCCCATAACCCCACCCACGAACCGAAACGCCCGATACCGCCGCGCGTCAACATAGATGTCCTCGTCGTGATGAATGCTGTACCCCGAAACGCCCACCTTGGTACCGAACGGGATGCGCGAGCCATCTGGAATCGTGACGCCCTGGGGCGCGACGACGGTCTTCATGACGCCGCGCTCGATGAACCCGTTCAACCGGAGGCTTTCGCGGAGGGCGGAGTCGGTGTGGGGAAGGGTTGTTTTTGACCAGGGTTGTTGGTTTTGTGGTGCTGCTGCTGCTGTTGTGTTAGGGGGGCAAGCGGCGGTGGTAGCGCGTAGCACCTCGTCGCGCATTCGGGCTAGCGAGCCAGTGCACGAAGGAGAGGCCGCGAGGTCGAAGAGCGTGTTGGTGAGGGTGATGGCGGAGGACTGGATCGCGGCGAAGGCGAGGACGGAGAAGCGGCAGGCTATGACGCGGGGGTCTAGCTCCGTGGGGTTGATGGTGGGTTTGGAGAGGGCGTGGTCGATGGCCCATTGGATGTAATCGTTCTGGAAAAAGTTAGTCGGTGCTTACGAAATGAGTAGTAGGTAGTTGCTGGGGGGGGTTTCTTCATACCGGAGAGGGGGCTTCGGCTTTATCCTGGGGCCCGTACTTGCGCAGATTTTCGAGTCGTGAGAGGATGGTTGGCATGAGGAATGCGCTACACCGCTGGTATTGGATATAGTCATACAGGGTGAAGATGGGACCGACCAACCTAGTAAGCTGATATATCAGCCCAGTCGTTATTGCTAGAGTTCCTTCACTTACGGCTTCAGAAACCTTGGAAACAGACTTATAGCTGCGGCGGTGAGAGCGACTTTCCTAATGAACTGACTACAGGCTTTTAAGAAGTCCGCGTTACGACATAGGGGCACTCCCACCAGTACCCTAGTTGAGAGCCGGGCGACGAGGGTGAGCATCGTGTCGTAGACCTTCACTTCGCGCCACTCCTCGGTATCTGTGCCCCAGATCTCTTCCAGGCAAATATTTACCTCTTCCACTACGTCGTTGGTAAAAGTGTTAAGTCTCTTCGTGAGCTGGTGCTGGATAATCTCTGGGTGAACGGGACCATCGACAAGGTTGGCATGTAAGAAGGTGTAGTCTGCCTCGAGGAATTGGCGGTTGACCTTTTCCTGGCTCAGCACGGTGTCTGGTTGCTCTAGAAGCCATCGGATCTGTGAGTTTGGCAGGATGATTTGAGGCCCGTTGATATAGTATGGTAGCACGTAAGTCTGGCCGAGCTTGGAGTACTACATCGTTAAAATTAGAATGAGTCTTGGAAATGCTTTGGTTGGTTCTTGATATCAGACTTTACCTTGCTGTACCCCTCGTCCAGAAGAGCTCTCAAATTCGTTATGCCAGTTAAATTTGCTTTAGCTCGAGCCCAGCGGCTCCCCTTTTCTCCGGTCCCGGCCCAGGGGAGGTTAGGTGGGAGTGAGGCGTTCGAGAAAAGACGGAGAACAAGGTTCATAAAGGTGATGGCTATAATAGTTACTAGAATTACTGCAGAAGCGATGAGGACTGTATGAGTGAAGACTGCCATGCTATTCGGTAGGCTCCGGCACGAAAAGGGGAGCAGCGAAGAGCGGTAGGGTAAAGTCGCTACGATGAATGAATACGATAATTCGTCTTCAATATATAATGAAAGGTTCTTCTGCTTGCCTATATAGAAGCTATCCGACTAGAATTCATACATTTATCTTGCATTGTCTAGGCATATATCTCGGCCGGAAGGTAGTATTAACGTTGGGGTTTGAGTTGGAGGGAAAGCAGTCAACACTGCTGATGATGCTCGATGGCTTTCAAGACAGGGACAGTTGAACTAGTATTGAGGTTGACTTGAAAGAATAATGAGACATCTGTCTTTGACACTAAAGAGATCTTCATCTTTGAACCATGCATCTCGTCTATAATTGTTCGGGTATTATTAGCATAGCGATGTCTTCAAGCAGGAGTTACGTATAATCGGACAGTGTGAAATCAGTAATGTTCAGGTAAGTCCCTAGTTCAGTATTTTTGAGTAGTTATCAGTCATACCAACTCAGGACATCGTAAGTCGGCCAGTATCTTAGAAGATAGGGGGGTAATCGGACGGAAGTTGGATAGTGAAGCTAATGACGTGTAGGATCATACTGACTACCTATTCACTCTAACTTCTCACCTCTTCGTTAATTGAAAGTTCGATAATTGTGTAAACAATTTTCCTAGTAAGAGCCTGCGCATACCTGTACGACTATCAAATCAGATGGGAGTCATCAAGAGTCAAGTGCTTACTGCCCAGTTGAAGATCACATATTGTACTTCGTGACCGCAGCCATAGGCCGATCTATCATTTCCGTACGACAGGAGCCAGTCTAGAAGTATTCTGGAAATTATGGAAGGCCCGCCTTATATCATTCTATCTTTAGAAAATTCCAATATCTCGGGTTGAAGCATGAGTAGTGGGCTGTGGCTGCAACTCTGGGCTAATCAGAGTTCAGTATCGAGAAACGGGAATCCAGGAACATAATGATAGTCGAGGGAAGGCTAGAGAAACAGGTCTTAAGTGTCTAAGGTTGTTCTAAGGAAATACTGCTGGGCGCACGAAGTCGGATCTTTTCGTCCGCTTTTCGAGAACAGTTAGATCTTCTATGTGGGAGACGAGAGTATTGTGGGGGTCCATACTGGATAGGTATTATCAGGGACTCATCTCAACGTAACTCTTTACCAGATACAGCTAGATGAAGCAGATAGCACTGTAAATGTTTCATATGTCTCTCAATATATTGATCATGTGCAAAATCCTAGCACAAAGGCGCTATGGTGCGAGTCAAGTAAGACCCAAGTAGCCGGTTCCTGAAGATCATTCAAAGATGGAACAGTCAGTCGGGACGAACCGCAGGTAAGACCCTGCCGATCTACTTAAGCCTTATATGAATTTCTGGCCGGTCGAAAATTTAGGATTGCGTGGCGTTTATAAGCAGTACGTCAATACCACATCTCTTATTTCGACTTCAAATAAAGTAAAGGGTCGGCGATTGCACAGTCGTAGGAATGATGAATGATGAAGGTGTGTCCTTGCACGTAAATCCTGGGTTTTGTCTGGAAAGAGGTTATACAGACCGAGACTATCACTCAATGATGTCTACTAGAGTTGACACTTGCTTGAGCTACCATCGACAGGAATTTGGGTACCTATCTACGAGTACGGCCTCGCCGGAGCAGAAAATAGTTCACGATATGCGACGTACCTTTGATCACCATCTTATGTGCTCGAGTTGGTATGTTAGCCAAAATAAATGGAAGTTCACTGGGCAGCTAATAGGCGGTGGTGTATATAAGCAAGCTGGCGATGACTGGTCAAGCCCAATAGAGAGCTTGTCGATCATAACTCAGGTTAGAGCCAGATAATTCCAAGACTCAATCCAACGCTGAAGACCACCGACCTACAATAATATCATTAGCCCACCATGCACATCTCCACCATCCCTCTCACCCCCTTCTTCCTCTCCCCCCTCCTCTCGTCCACCCTCATCACAGCCGCTACTCGAGAACCCAACCCCATCCAACTCTCCCCCATCCTCGACATCCTCAAAGAAATTGGCAACGCGCCACCGCCCTCGTTCCTCTGGACGCCTCGCCCATCTCCTAGGTGCGCGGCCGTCAACGCGGGGGAGCTGCAGTGCTGCCAGGGGACGTTAGCAGGCGACCTGCCGCTGATCCAATGGCTCGCGGCGCTGTATGGGTACCGGTTGAATCCGAACGATGTTAATGGTGTTCTGTGTAAGTTTGTCAATTCAATACCTGCCTGATCAACCACTACTTTGAATAGGAAGTGGCCCCCTTTTCGTTTAAGCTTTGTAACTGACGGGGGAAATGGTTGCTTTTAGGTCATGGTAATCTGGAGGGCTGTCCCGGCGTGAAGGTGTGTTGCCAAGTCACGGCACTGGTGAGTTAGTAGTAGATGTCTACCTACTACCTATCCCTCCTTGTATCTTGCTTCGTATATAGTGGTTGACCCTGTGGCTGAAATTTCGTCTTACCTAGAATCCGATGCTGTCCTTATACTGTCAGGACTTCAAGTGGGGAAAGTGATATAACCTGCAATGTTAAAGACAGCCTAAGGTGACACTATGATGCAGCCCTAGAGGCATTCACGGATGGAATATGGAGATAGGAGACAATGGTGGTGGTTCTCTAAAACAGGCGTCTGGATGGTTCAATATTTGAGTTTGGTGGTTTCTGTCTATACATGTGCCGTCCGTCCATAATTGTACATAAATCGGTATCTATACAACCACACGAGTGGCTGCTTGTTTGCGATGTGCCTAGAAACACATGTACTTGTACAACGGCACGCAGCATACAAACAAACCCGCTCTAACACCAAAGATACTTGCTTCTGAGTGGTAATGTAATACAAGTCTATAAGGGGTATTTTATTTTTGACGTTTCAACGTGTTCATCGCCATTTCTATCAACCCGTCTTTCGCTTCGCTGGCAGGGAACGCATTAAGCGCAGCGATCGCTTGTGATGAGTAATCTTCTGCTAACGCCCTCGTTTGTTCGATACCGTCGCTTTGGTAGACTAACTCGCGTGCCTAGGAAACATGGTTAGCAGATCCCTTATAAGACGCGAACGACACGTGGATGGGCCTTACCCTTTGCACGTCACCCTCTTGCAGGAACTTCCGCCCGACCAACTTCCCCAACTCCGGTGTTGTCTTCCATGCGAACAATAAGGGCGCAGTCGCAAGTCCTAGCTCTAGATCCGCCCCGGCCGGTTTTCCCAAATCTTTCCCAGACTTCGTATAATCTAGCATATCATCGACCAATTGGAATGCGAGACCCAAATTCTTTCCGTATGCGTAGGCGGCATCTACGGTGGCCGCGTCTGCTCGCCCTAGAAGTGCTGCAGCTCTACAAGATTTCGAGATCAAGCTAGCCGTCTTGAGATATGTTTTTTGAAGGTAGTATGTGAATGTATCCTCCGACCACTTAGGATTCCGCTCGTCGCGCTCCGTGTTCTGCAGCTGCATGAACTCGCCTTCTACCAAGTTGGCAATAACGGTGGCTAGGAGTTCGACTACTTCGGCATTGCGTAGTCGCGCTAGAGCGACTGAAGCTCTTCCTAAAAGGAAATCGCCCGCCAGAACAGCCATCTTATTACCGAACTCGGAATTGGCGGATGGAGAACCACGTCGGGACACTGAGTGATCTATGACGTCGTCGTGCAGCAGTGATGCAGTATGAATCAACTCCGCGATTTCGGCAAGGCGCCGCTGGGAAGGTAACACGTCGCCATCGGAGGATTCGGGCTGCGAGGAGAATTCCGGCGAAGAGGGGTTATCGTCAGATAGTACGTCGAGGGGAGAAATCGCAGAGTCTATCGTTGCCGTAGAATGCGATGGGGGGGATTCCGGAGCTTTAGGACATAACGAAGTCGCTCTAGACATGAGTAAAACTATTAGTGGCCGCACATGTTTTCCCTCGCTTTGTGTGTAGTATTTTGCGATTCGATCCAGAGAAGGATTTCCCGAGCCTAGAAGATGCCGAATACCGCCAGTCAAGTGCTTCATTTCCTTTGCGACAATTCGTAGAGGATCTATAGGTAGTTCGGACTTGGTAGCTCGAGTGACCGCATTGGACACCATATTCGAAGCTACCGAGGCTGCCGCCGCCCATATTGAGGATCTTTTGGGACTATTATGATATAGCGATTTTGATATGCGTATCCGAAGATCTAAAGAGGCCGCTCTACGGCAATCTGAACATGGTGAAAAAACTGTTGGTCGGCCCGCTGCGGGTCGAATTTTGAAGAGCACCGAAGCTCCAGTTCGAAGCTGCATTGCGACTGAATATCAGTTGGGATTTGGAAAATTTTCCAAGAATCCAATTGGTTTAAAGAGGCTGTGAGATAGGTGGACGGAGCATTGGCGATAGACCCAGGTTGTATTGTGATTCTTTTTTTCCTATTCTTCTTGTCTTCTTTTCCTCTTTTTTTTTCATTAATAATTGTCATACAAATGACGCTGATTTTCTACCACGAGTAAAATTTACCGAGGAATTGGAAATCGATCGTATGCTTCGATGTGGCACGGTAGGTACCCGGGTACATAGATGGTGTGGCTAAGCTTTGATAACTCGCCTAGAGTCGGCGTTGGAACTTGGAAGGTCCGATCTGTGGCTGACTCAGTCTAGAGATACATATGTAGGTTACATAGGTACATACATGCCACTATGTAAACTTCAATGTTCATCAGTTCACTCGTTTTTGAGTTTCTCATCTCACTTTCTCGACTTGAAACTTAATTCATCTTCTTCAAACATCATACACCATGGTTCTTCTTACTATGACCCCCTCCATAGTAGAGGCACTAAACCAATTATCCAAGACAAATATTGGTGATGTTGCCAAAAGCCACGAGGGTAATTCGAATATGAATGACAACGTTGAGCCATCATTAGAAGATCCGTCAATTGGAAAACCCATAAGCCATGGTCAGATTATCGATATATGGACGACACTAAAAGCTTCAGAAGGAGGGGATAAGATCAAGCTGGAAGAACTCTTGCGTGGCGCCACGGTCTATATCCCCCCACCACCTCCGAAGCCAGAACAGGTTCGGCATCGCTTTCTTTATGTTGCTTGACTATGCGATGTTGACTCCCGTGCCTATAGACACAAGAATATAAAGCATTGATGGCTAGATTACGACACGAAGAGGAAGAAAGGTCGTATGAACGGATGCTAAAGAAGGCACCTCCGAGGGAATCATTCGCCCGGAGGGATCCCACAGCTCCGATGGCGCATTCGTTTGCTGAGGTCAATAGACCCTCTAGAGCGTCTGATATAGGTGATGAAATCGAGCATGGAGACATTCAGAAACAGATAACACTGGTGATCAATTTTTTGGTCAGTGTCTTTGGGTGCGCTGCAGCTCTTTGGATGGCAGCAAGATGGTGGAGCGTCCCAGCACGGCTCTTCCTGAGTTTAGGTGGCAGCATCATGGTTGCCATCGCCGAAGTTGCAGTCTACTCGGCTTATACATGGCGAATGGAAGAGGGCGAAAAAGTGGAAAAGAAAAAGAAGGAAGTCAAGAAAATTGTTCAGACTTGGATTGTTGGAGAGGACGATAATGGCCAGAAAGTTAACGATGAGCCCTTCAATCTAACGGCCCAGGATGATGCAAATTCCGAGACTAATCTTCGCCGAAGGAATAAAAGTCCGACATGAATTCAACAGGCCACAAAACTTGAATCCGAGATTTATACATATCCGTTTCCGCCTTTTTTTCTTCTTTTTCTCTATTCTAACTTACAGACCGCACTTACATTATTAACTGACCCCTTTACCGTGTATACAGTGCAAAATAGTGGTCTTACTAAAGTTGTTAGCTTAGGCGGGCAGCTGCCAAGCTAAACTCACCACCTGCGAAATACAGTACAGTATCATTAATTATTCTCCACTTAAGTAACCCCACATTCGCGTTTACCCGCGACGCGTCTGCTAAAATCTGTACCAATTTACGCGACTTTTCTCCCTTACTAGGCAATTGCCAAACTATCACTATCCTCGACATCTGAATGTTTAATCCGTTTGGTCTTAACTTGCGCAATATTTAAGAAATGCCTTAAGCTGATCTGTAATATTCAAGAATCTACCTAATAAGAAAAAGTTATATACTAGGTAGCCATCGATATGGAGCGACCAACCATTAAAGCCCACGATACAGAAAGGTTTGTACGGCGACAACTAATAATCCATGGCCTTTGCTAATACTGGTATCACAGGAGTAAAGACAAGCCACCTCGGTCGTTAGTTTTCCGCCCTCTCAATGCAATTGGGAAACAAGCTAATCCGTACAGACGACCACTACGAACATATAGCAAGCGCCCTTTGTCAAATGATGGAAAAGAGCCCGTATCGAAAAAACGGCGTGTCGAAGCTGAGGAACAAATCGTAGAATGCCAGGTTGAAACAACACAACCCACACGCCCTCCTTATGTTCGTCAACCCATTCCGGCCATACCCCCAGCAACGAATGGCTCAATCCTGAGTTATTTCAAAATTATGCCATCCGCACGAAACCATGCGTTATCTTCGACCGAGCCTTCACCTGAACCTTCGTCCGAACTGGCAGAACCTACAAGCACCCCGCCGTCGTCTCCTCCTATGCCAAATATTCAACTAAGGAAACGACGAAGACTTACCACTCGCGTGCCCTCTCGAGCTACATCCGAAGACTTGAAATGCCCAACAGAACCAACGAGAACGGACGAAGAAATCACAGAGTCGCATTTTATTGGCGACCATCATATACCGGTGAAAGAAAAAAAGGATACGCTATCCGATGTCAGCGCGGACACGCTCAATCAGAAAATACCACTGATAAACAGATCGGAAGCTGGAAGACGAGCACGGGCCTCCAAATCAGCCACGGTTCAGACAACTTTAAGCTTATCAGCAGATGAAAAGGGATTTACGGAATGCAAGCAATGCAACATGCTTTATAACCCCTTACACAAGCAAGATGCAAAATTCCACGCCAAGCGTCACGCAGCAATATTGAAGGCAAAATCGGATCAGCATGATAACGACACGTCGGGTTGAGCGTCATAGTTCACGAAGTTACCTCCTATTTATTTGCCTACAATAAGACGATACTTCATAGTTGACTATGCTCCCGCATTGAATATCTCCTAGGGGAAATTTACTAGCTTATGTCCCAATTCATATAACCTAGTTCTGTCACCAGGCGATCCAATTCCGTGTCACTAGAGAAGGGGCGTTGGAATGGATGGTATGCTACGGGCCATCCCAACAACTGTAGCCGTATCAGGTGTGGGCGCTCTTTTCGTGCCATAACTCTCGGCAAGGTACACGATAATTGTAGGAGAAATCTGCAGCTCGAGACTTGGTACCCAAACTGCGCAAGCCTAGGACGTCGCACACGCGTCACATTTTTCGCATGGCCATTCCTGTGGTGTTTGTATGAGCTGTGCGACCTATGGTTCGGAATTGTCATCCCGGGAATACTCAAGCTGGTAACTTGAAAACCACGAACAGGGTCTGACTGAAGACGGCCAAACGAGAGCTTCTGGTGGATACATGCAGCCGGGCAATTGAAGTCGGCATTGCGGCCTTCGAAGTTCAGCCGCAGCGCGATTAATTTATCATTGGGCGAAGTCTGACGAGTCACTGAGGAGATTCCCCTGGCATCCTGCCGGCAAAGCTTGGCATAAATTGTGTCAGCAATTCTCGTCGGCATTCCTCTTTTTCCCAGCCGCCGAATCAACCATTCGTCATTTATAATAGATGACGACGCGCATCACTTCTAAGAATCAGCATAACGCTCTCCACAATTCAAATCACATGTCAGATATCTGGATATTGTAGCACGCCATATTACGACAACGGAAACCGGGCGATCTCGCCTCTCACTCGCCTACCGCTAAGATAGCCGATCTACTTGCCTTCCCCACGAAACATTCAGTCGACAGTGTTGAGTATCCTGAGAGGCGCATTATCCCATCCCAGTTCGAATTGATTGATACTGTCTTAAGTTACCCCATCTATCCCACTTAATCGCTACCTGATTACGAGGATGCGGTTCTTCCACCAACGATGCCCAGGCTAACGGTGATCCTTTTTTTGCTTGGGTATTTAGTCAGACTGTGCTTCTAGGCATTGGAGTAGAGCCGATAAGAACCAAAAGAATATTGGATATTTATCCCTACTGGTACCACAACATATCACATTGACTATATACTTAGAAGTGTATTTATTTATGGAACATCGGGACGATTCTGAGTGTCCCGTTACTTTGATTTGGGCACAACCTAGAATACGAATCCCAGTTTTAAGGAAACCCATTGCGCCCACGTGCTACTCGCGGGCGGGCTTTAAAAACAATAGTTTAAAATACGATGATCTTGTACAATATATGCTAAGCATGAGTTCAACCTATCGAAATACACCCACCATAGATAACGTATATGCTATACCACATGCTATTTTAAGAGGAATCAATACCCAATGAGATGTTAGTATGGGTTATACAACCAGTGCGGATATTTGATTGTTCTATACTGGGTAGGGACCTAGTATAAGGCTGTAGGGTTGCCAGGCGAGTAGGGGGTAAAGGGAGCCATTCGTGTGGAGCATGTAGCTCCGACACTGAATAATATGGTGTTACCTGTAACCTCCAGCGCTATCATGATAATGCCTCCAGCTACCTACCCTACCTAGTGCAGATACTCGGAGCATTTTCTTCGCGTCTCCAACACCAGGTTCCAAGATGTAGTAATCTATTTTGTGCGCGAGATAACTAACGCAACGCCCAGTAATAAATATATAGATTCCCCTGTCTTCCCAGTGCCGGGTATTCTTTTCTCAAGAAGCCTAGAACGTTTCCTGCCTACCTCCTAGGTAGGCAATATCAAAAGACCGAATTTAACCACTAGATTCCTTTGAACTGCCGATCATTAGGAGAATATGAAATACTCGCTATCTTACACTAACACTAGGCCAAGCCATGGCCTTTTACAGTCTTTTATATATCAATTGATCAATATAATATGTAGGTAGCTCCGAGAATATGGTGGTCGCTCCGTAGCAATCAATTGGCTTTTAGAGGTTCCAGACGGTCCAGAACATTCAATGCGGTTCTGCAGAGCGCCCCCCCTTAATGAAGAACTAACAAAAAATTACCTAAAAGGGTAAATTCGATACGCATTCGGCCAATCATGTAAGAGAAGCTAGGCTAATCGCATATGCCCCGATAACGGTTAGGTTACCCAGGTAAAATCGATCAACTGCTGTATTGACGATGACTTCCAGTTTTTCAATCTGCAAATCGATTACTTATAGGGTTACATGGATATTTGTAGGATGGGGGCCGTATTAAGAAGTCCCCCATCTCCAGACAAGTAAAGCACCTGATCACTACTATAACCATGTGTGAAGCTGCTTCAATACATAGTACTATGTGTATTAGGTATACGTATTACATGAAAGAAATATCCATGGAGGGTGTTTTCTCCCCTGTTTGGCTCAAACAGCAGAATTGGAATTATATTCTTCCATGGCTCTTATGAACCATCACACCATGCAACCCGAGAGCTGGGACAGCAAGGTTGTCTTGCATTGCATCCTGTAGTCCATCACTGTTGATACATGTAGAATATCACTTCAATGTCTACATACGTAGTGCTATGTACCTGGGTTGTGACTAAAGTAGACACCTAAGACACACCTAAGATCGTACAACTTAGGTATTCTTTGGCTCCATCATGTAGTTACTCCAATTTCGATCCATCCCTCCATACATTAAACGGCCACTTACAATCACTTTTTCATCATTTATCATCCTGCAGTCATATCTAGATCTCTTTCTTGGGTAGCCTTTGCTAACAATACACGAGCTTCTTGTTATTAACGACTCGCCCGATCTCCCCGAGAAAAACCCCCACTTAATATATCGCCATCGTTCTAACAGCACGGAACTTTCCAGACCGTAGGAAGGCAAAGATATTTCCACGTTCATGAAGTCATATATATGTCATGTCGTTTCCTAAGATGCAGGAACCAACCAATCCAACGCCCAGTAGGGTCTCAGATAGCACTACTAAACCAGTCCCTCTTCCTGTAAGCTATAGGATATCCAAGCAGCCATGTGCAAACTCGGCACGCCGACAGCTGCCATCTCATTGGCCGTCACCTTTGCTTCGCCTAATGTGGCAGCTCAGGAACCGTTCACGAATTTCACCATCTACCCCGAACTTGCTGACCCACCTGTTATAAAATACTCTCCCCTTAGACCACCCGCCATACCTCTAGCTGTCAGGAGCCCCTACACTAGTACCTGGTCATCTACTGCCGGAGGTGGAACTTTGAACAGCCAAAATCCCATATTTTGGTTCGGCCAGGGGTTAGGATGGGAAGGGATTGTGGTGGTCGATGGCAACTCATTCGAGTACATGGGCAGGGTCATCAACGAATATCCAGAGCTCCCCTATTTCAACTCGTCAATTCCAACAGCAGTCAGTTTCGACTCTCAGTACTCAAACTTTACATTCTTGGCTGGTCCAGTAACTATCACTGCGAGCTTCTTCTCACCCGTCACCCCCAAAGATATCTGTCGAAGTTCTATCCCGCTCAGTTATTTGACTACCACGGCGACGTCTAACGATGGCCGCCCCCACCACATACAGTTCTACTCGGACGTAAATGCTCAATGGATAGGGCTAGGGAGCGAATACGACATCATCAAGGAGTTCCACACCGGCCCGGCATCCGGCAACGGAACGGTGAATTCTACCAATACGCCGACGAGCTGGATACTGCGCCCCAGATATCCCGTCCTCTTTGCGGAGGCAGCCGAGATTCCGCGATGGGGAAACTTCTCCTACAGCACTAGTTCCATGGGAGCTACGAATTTCACCTACCAAAGTGGTTCTGCGACCAGCGTTCGATTTGGATTTATCAACAATCGCTATCTTAACAACGATGCCGGGTCAGCTATTCGTGGCTTCGGCAACCAAGAGCCCGTGTATGGCTTCTCTCACGACATGGGCACTTCACTGGAGGCATCAGTCCGTTATACCATCGGCTCAATCCAGTATCCCGTCGTACGGTATCTTCACAAAGGCGGGTTATCGGACTTGGCTCCTTGGTGGCAAAAGTGTTACGGGGGAATGCATGACATGATCCGCTTCCATTGGAACGACTTCGACACCGTCACGGAGCTGGCCAACGAGTTTGAGACGGAGCTGCGTGATGATATCAACGCTTTCTACAAAGACAGCGAGCCTCCGGTTCCTGTCCCTAGCAACCGCACGCAAACTGCAGCCTATACAAACGGCACAACATATACGGCTCAGGATGTTTTGAATGGAACGGACCAGTACGGACAATACTTCGAGTTCGACCCGAACTCCGCTTACGGCTACCTCGAGCCAGGCAACGGTACGGGCATCGCCGTGCCCTTTGTCTCAGAAGCAGAGTCGTACTACGCAATCGTAGCACTCTCGGCGCGCCAAGTCATGGGCGCCTACGTTTTCGCCGTCCCCCCCTCCACGCCCGACAGCTCGTCAGCGGACGACGTGGAACCTCTCATGTTCCAGAAGGAGATCTCCAGCAACGGCAACATGAACACCGTGGACGTGCTCTACCCCGCCGTCCCCTTCTTCCTGTACGCCAACCCCACCCTCCTCAAGTACATCCTCCAACCACTCTACGAGCTACAAGAGGGCGACTTCTACCCAAACACGTACTCAACCCACGACATCGGGACGCACTTCCCGCTCGCAACAGGCCACGTCGAAGGGACCGACGAGTACATGCCCGTCGAGAACAGCGGCAACGCGATCCTGATGAGCTACGCGTACTACAAGTTCACGGGCGACTCCGCGTGGCTGTCGGCGCACTACGGCCTGCTGAAGCAGTTCGCGCAGTACCTGATCGACTTCTCGCTGGTCCCCGCCGCGCAGCTGAGCACGGACGACTTCGCCGGCGAGCTCGCGAACCAGACGAACCTCGCCATCAAGGGGATCGTCGGGCTGCAGGCCATATCGGCGATCGCGCGCGTCGTCGGCGCCGCCCCGGACGCCGCCCTCTTCGCCGAAAAGGCGCAGTCGTACTACGCGGCGTGGGAGGGCTACGCGATCGACCCGTCGGGGTCGCACACGCTGCTCGCGTACCAGTGGCGCTCGAGCTGGGGGCTGCTGTACAACGTGTACATGGACAAGCTGCTGAACATGGGGCTCGTCGACCCGAGGGTGTACGAGATGCAGTCGAGGTGGTACGCGCAGGTGTCGCAGACGTTCGGCGTCCCGCTCGACAGCCGCCACCACTACACCAAGTCCGACTGGGAGGTGTGGACGGCCGCGACGTGCGGCCCGGGCACGCGCCGGCTCTTCGTCAACGCCATCGCGCACTGGCTCAACGGGACCAGCACGAACCTGCCGTTCTCGGACCTCTACGAGGTCGTGGGGACCGGCGAGTATCCGCTGCAGATACCGCATTTCGCGGCGCGCCCGGTGGTCGGGGGCCACTTTGCGCTGCTGGCGATGGGGAGGACGGGGTTGACGGCGGGGACGGAGGCGGCGGGGGATACGAGGGGCAGTTTGTTTACGAGGGGGGGTGTGGAGCCGTTGCCGGGGTACAAGGCGGCGCCGTATAGGAAGAGGGTTGTGAGGAGGAGGGAGAATGAGCGGAGGAGGCCGTTGGAGATGAGGGGGTTTGGGAGACCGTAGGTAGGATAATACATGGAAGGACTAAGATGTTTGGATATTTCAAGGCATCGTTGTTTTCTTTGAGTCTTCTCTTTCACTCCCCTCCCCTTTCCTATACTTGTAGATGCTATATATCTGGCGTTGATAGGATCGGTGTAGTATCCTTGAATAATTCCTGTTTCATTGGAGATAATATTGAAAGCGTGCAGGTTAGATGCCTACTTTCGCCCATCATCGTCTTATAGCGGAATCGCGTTTCTGGAAGTGATACACATTGCAAAAGTGTCTGGCCTAGGTACAGCGCCTACATATATGTGTGAAATGACAGTTACGAGAACTTCATTACTCATCTTGTCAGAACCTTATATTCACTTCAATAAGAGTACACTTTCTTCAACCGCTCCCCTTTGCCTTTCGCTTGCCCACTCACTAGGTACTCACAACTTACGCACCCTCAAGAAAATCCCCAACAAGCTGCATGTACCTCTCGCGGTCCTCCCACATCGACACATGGCTCGAGTTCGGGAGCGTCACCCACCTGACCTTATTGATGACGCGGAAAAAGGGCTCCATGACGAAGTCCATGACCTCGTCGTACTTGCCGTTGAGCAGCAGCGTGGGGACCTCGATCTGGTGCGCGTACCGCCACCCTTCCCAGTCCTTCAGCGTGCCAATCGTTTCGAATTCCGCGTGGCCTTGCCTGTCATTTGGGCGGAGGGGTTCCGGTAAGAGGATGTCTCTCCCTCTATGATGTATGTGTCTGCAGGTGGGGGTCACTTACATAGTATTATACGCCGTCGAGTCCTCCTTAACATTCCCAAACGTCCTCTGCAGCGGCTCCGGTATATCCTCCAACCTACACACAAAGTTCTTCATGAACACCGCCGCCGCCTTCTTGAACGCCTCGCTCTCATGGTCGCCCTTCCTATCGCACTCCGCCAGCGACGCCGCAACATCCCCCGGCATCTCCGCGAGTCTCAGCTGGCACGCCTGCTTGTACAGCGGCATGCTCGCCGGCGCGCCGGACATGACGACGCGCCTGAGGCCTTTGGGCCTGCGGCTCGCGTACTCGCAGACCAGCATGCCGCCCCAGCTCTGGCCGAGGAGGTGGAAGCCGCGGTCGTGCAGGCCGAGATGCGCGACGAGGTTCTCGAGCTCCTGCAGGAACAAGTCCACCGTCCAGAAGCTCGCGTCCCCGGCCTTCTCGCGCAGGTGCGTCGAGTGCCCGCACCCGATCTGGTCGTACAGGAGAACGGGGACGCCACGCTGCGCGTACACGTCTGCGAGGCCGAGGAGGTAGTCGTGCCCGGATCCGGGACCGCCGTGGATGCCGATGAGGACTGGCTTTTGGGGAGTTGATGACAGGTCCCCGATGGTGGTGTACCATGTCTTGCAGGGCTTCCCCGCGCCAGGGGCGTCGAAGGGGAGTTCGCCGGAAGATGTGGGGTATGGCGCTGACATGACTTTCTATTTGGTATAATGGAGGGGGTGGATAGGTAGGTCAGTAGGTAAGTATAAGTAGCCAAGGAAAGGCGGGTAAGATTAGGACATCTGGGGTTGGGATTACTTAGTAGTGTGTAAGAATCTGGAGGAGGAACAAAGGAGGGGAAGAATAAATACAATTATGCACAATTATCTAACCTAAGCTGTTACTGCGTAGTGCAGTGTAACGTATTCCCTTCTCGTTCTCGGTGAGATGTATGTACCGGTACCTGTTATGCAACACCTGCATGGCTTACATAGATACATATATTATATTCACATTATTCTCTTCCTTCACGTAGTATGTATTATTACATTGGGGGCTATACAAGTACGTACAACTTATAAGATGACGGTGATGAGGATGACACCCCGCTCTCTAACCAATGCCATCCCTTACTGTTACATTGTAGGGATATCGTAGGGCTGCAATATGCAGGGGATTATAATAAATTCGGTGGCATGGGATTGTCACTCAAACAGCTGTGTTGACGAGATTATTGGCTGGCATCATATGATCCCTCTCCCTCTCGCCCGATTTTGCTCTGACTGCCGTGGCCATCAGATAAGCACCGACTCAATCTTACAATCACCTCACTCTACATCCATGTCCTTGGCTTTATTGGCCGCGAAGGGCCCAGGTCGATATGTGTAATTCCCCGAGACCAATGTCCTCTGGCGTGCCCAGCCGTCCAGACTCTCCCAGTTCGCGCACGTCGTCGAGCCTTCCAGCCTTTGCTCTTTCCCCTGGAGCAGGTTTTCCTCGTCCACCCACTCGAAGGTGGATATTGCGGTATTCGCATGACACATCACGGCCTGGCGAAGGCTGTTGATGCAGTGGTCTGGTTCATCGCCCGAAAGGTTAGCGATATGTGAATGTATGAATGTAGTAGCGTAGAGCCTACCTGAGTGTTCTGTGCCCATGTGTTCCAAGTACTCAGAGTCCGCGAATTTCGGCTCGTAGTAGTCCCAGTGCACAATCATCCGCAAGTTATTCAGACAATGCAAGTGGTGGTAGACGCCTATGGACCCCAGATAGTCACCGCCGTTCACCTGGACTCGGTTCGTCATATTGACCCCGAGTGTGTCCAGCTCGTCGCCTGTAACCCTAATATCGATGGCTGTTCTTCAGGTCAGCAATATTCGCATGATGGAGTTGCGATTATAAAGTACGAACCGTAGAGTAAATCCTCCCATGCCGCATCTAGCTCATCCGAGGGTCCTAGAGTCCATGGGGCATCTGGGGGATACCACTCCTTCCTCTCCTCGAATTGTAGGCTGTCGCTCACTAGGCCTTTCCAATATTGTAAGTAAAACTTCAAAAGATTCTGACATAGATATACCTAGATACGTACTAATAATCTTGCCCAATGGTTCAGGCGGTTGCTGAGCAGCTCTGATCGCAATATCGACCGTCAACGCCACCGCAATATAGAAGAGCAATGAGATAGTCGCTATCGAGACAGCATGCTCACGTAGCCACGCATAGATTCGCCGACGGCCATCCCCAAAATCACTAGGAGGGTTACTTGTACTATATATAGAGCTCTCTTCTTCTGCCGACTGACGAAGCAGAGGGTCGCTCGATTCTTCAGAGTGTTTCTCCATCGTGTAAAGTAAGAGACCGTGAAAGAAACTTGGAGTGGATTAAGGGATATCGCGAAGAGGGGAGGTTTGGGAAGGTGGAATATTCTAGACTTGAGCGGACCTGGAGGGATCGATCGCCGACCATTAACCTAAGTCCTGGGTATATACCTAGTAATTGTCGTGGGATTGACCACCAGAATGACCATTCACCGAAAATAGATGACCAAAGGCTGCGGGACAGGGCATGTCGAGATACATCCTACATATCAGCTTGCCCTAGTTGGATGATAGGATGGTAAGGCCGAAACGTGATGGGTATAGTGTCTGCATGTCAGGGGCCTGTAAGCATATGGCGCAAGATAGTTACGTAGGGGTGAAGGATTACTTGGATCCCAGCAGTGCAACCAAGTACCGAGATATTTGGTTCAGTTATGTACTTACCGTTACCGTAGGACTGCATGCACATCTTACTGGGAAACAGACCGCTCCCCTTTTTGGGTTCTGTGTGGCACTCCTGGTGATCGATCAATATCGATATGCGACTTCACATGTACTTCCTCGATCTTCCGTGTATGACCTAGGTTGGGTAGGACTTTCTTCCAGCATAAGAGCAGGCGAATCCCAGCGACGAGTCCCTGAGCCGACACCTCACCTTTCTACACCACCTTTGAGACTACCCCTAGAGACTTGAACAAACAAACACAGAACCTAAAAGCTCTCAACCACTGCCCCTTCATCAAAAGTCCAACTTCACAGCATCATAAACAATGCTCTACAAGACGCTCCTCCTCGCCTTCCTCGGGCTCAACGGCGCCGTCTCCGCCATGGTTCTAGGTAACATTCCATAGTTCATTATACCCAGCTACCCTAGATATTGTACATTCTCGCAAGCACATCGCTAACTCACAACTCCAGGACAACGGTCCGAGAAGGCCGTAGCCCGCGAGCCATTTCACCCAAGCATCATCGCGCACGCCGATGTCGTGGACGCGGCTCACGAGTAGAGAGATCTTCGAGAGAAGCCCGGGAGCATGGATGATGATAGATGATCACCCAAGTTAGGGAAATTTCGGTGTCTGCCTATGTTCATGGGTTGGATCCTCTGAGATGCTGTACGACAGTATGTGTGGAGAGGGATGTGATGCTATGGTGATGGTGGCGTTTGATAGTCGTGATGATAGCCGATTAGAGAATACCTACCTGACGAATACCCCTAACCTAGGGTTGATTGGCTATCCACCTCGGAAGTTAAGCTTTCAGTATCTCTTGACTCGCTCATCCCCGCTGTAGAGATAAACATCATCGAGCCCATACCTGCCCAGGCAGCTAGCAGCGTAGTATTACCTAGGTAGTATCTAAGGAGTTAGAGGATAACTACCCAATGCACCTATCTAGTGCGTGCGTCCTCCCTCGCTATTGTAACCATACTATGTATCCAATAAAGGGTGTAGATACCTACCTCAACTCCTAAACGATGCTAGCACGGCATACTCAGGTGGATCAAAAAAGGCTTGTATTGGAAAGCAAGGGTCCTCCCGTCCCGCCCGCGCCACCCGTATATGATCGCCCTACCTAGGTCGGGGCGTACATAGTTACTACTTAGCATTCACGATCAAATAATGCCTGCCTACCTGCCCAGGTCGATTCACGCTAAATGCAGATGCGTTCTGTACAAGCATTCACTCATTCGGCGGCATTACAACTTACGTCGCAACGCTAGCAGACCAGCGTTGCACTGCAACGTGGGCGCTGAACCCTCTGCCCCCTCCTCCTTCCAATGCAACGCATCGCGACATCCACAAGATAGTTAGCTATATACCTAAGCAGGTAGGAATATATATACCCATGCATACCTAACCTATCTACCTAGAACCAGAATAGGATAATACACGGGCGGGCTTGTAGTCAATAGTTGCGCCAGCGCGAAACTCGGCTCCCATATACCTAACCTGGGCGGGTAGGTAGGTACTATGAATATGGATATAGATAGGTATCTTAGAGCCTTATGCAGATAGATGTCCCCATCTTTCCCTATTATTATAACATGGATACATGTTACCTAGGTACATAACCCCCCTAGTAGCTACCTTACCATACGACAGCGACATAGACGATAGATAGATAGATAGATAGATACCTACTAGGTAGTTAGATACAGTGAATGATGAATTCCTAGTATGTAATGGTTAAATATAAGGTATACTGTATTTACGTCGGTACCTATTCACTAGCCAAAGCACCCCCTAACACCACCTGCCCCCCTTACGTACCTACCTACCTACTCACCCATCCCATACAACCCCCCCTATACCTCCCTAATCGGCCCCTTAAAATAATGCCTCGCCCTCAGCACATACCACACAACACTGAAAACCATAACCGTGCCATAAACCACCACACTCCAATTGAGATCCTGCGCCCCCGGATGATTATCCATTGGCCAAAACGACCAAAACAGCAAGAACCCCGCATACACGCACGCGAACGCATTATTGACCGTACCGAACGGCTCTGGGACCCTCCAGGGGCCCCAGACGAGCTGGTGGTGGAGGTCGATGTCGGCGCCGGGGACATAGGGGTGCAGGGCGCCGGTGCAGCGGCGGTAGAGGAGGAGGGCGCAGGCGAGGAGGTAGGAGGAGTAGAGGGCGGCGAGGAGGAGGGAGAGGAGGGCGGAGAGGACGGCGGAGGAGCCGAGGACGATGAAGGAGATGAGGACGGTGAACATCATGGTGGTGAGGATCGAGTAGACGGGAAGCGTGTTTTTGTTTAGCTAGAAGGTTGTGAACCGAGTTAGTTAGATGCACCGAATACTCTATGAAAAAGAGGAGTATATGGGCTAGTACTGGATTTCGTTTCCAGTGCTAGGTAGGCAGGTAGATCGGTAATTACTCACCCTAACTAAATACGTATCAAACGGAAGCCCCTTATCCCTTGCAAAAGACCACATCATCCTTGAAGCGGACGCATAGGTGCTGATGCAGCTAGTAATCGCCATTGTCAAAATAACGCCCACCATGATGCACGCGCCAGGCGTCGACTTAACCGAGTCCTCGAAGATCTGAATAAAAGGGTAAAACACCTTATCGGCGGCTTCCACCGCGGCATCCACGTCTCCGGTGCAGAACATCAGTGCGATGACCATGGAGAATCCTAGTGCCCCATTGATTATAATCGTGTAGATCAAAGCCCGCGGCACCACGACATTGGCCGACCGGACCTCCTCCGACATGTGCACGGCGCAATCGGCGCCGGTAAGGGTGCTAGCTACCGTGGGGAGGCCGACGAGAAAAGCCAGAGCTTGCGATGACCATTCGCCATTATTCGTAAACGTCGTGAAAACGGCGGCCGGCGTGTTATGCGGCGCAAAATAGATCATCGGCACTAATACGCCAAAGAAGCCGGTCAGATGCAAGATCAGGACGAAACCCTCAACCTTGGCGAGAATACGGCCGGTAGTCGAGTTGATGAGGACGGAAAACACGGCGGCAGCCCACATTATCAGCACCGTGTGCCATTGCAGAGGGACATAGCTCGGTTCCGCTAGGACGACTAGGCCCTGGATAAGCGTAGCGACAGAATAACTAGTGGTGATGGCGATGGCTTGCCAAGCGAGTGTCGTGAGCCAGGCCGTCAGATAGCACAGGAAGTTAGCGCACCATTCCGGCGCCATCATGGCCACCCAATGGTACTGCCCGCCTGCAGTGGGCGCAATAGAAGCCAGCTCGGCGACGGAGGCGTACACCGAAGTAACCCCTACCCAGCCGATCAGGAACGCCCATATGACGCCCGCGGGCCCTACGTGCAGAAACGTCGGCACGGATGTCACGAGTATGCCTTCCCACGACAACAGCACTGAGCAGGACAGCCCTAAGCTAGACATGAAGCCAAAGCTCCGATTGAGAAGCGGGCGCTTCCCGAGGCGCCTGAGGGTGGCATCGTCGCGGGAGGCCTGAAGAGCGCCAAAGTCGGAGAAAAGGGAATCGGAAAGGGGACTACTGCCTAGATTAGTCCGAGACGCTTCTCGCAGCTCGATGGAATCTTTAGACGCGGTGGTTACATCCATTAGAGGGAGGGCAAGCTCGAAGGGGGACGGGACAAGAAATGATAGCGTGCTAGAGAAAAGTGGCGGAAACGTAACACAAAATAATAAAAAGCAAAAGGATTAAATAAGATTGTAGTTGATAGACGGGATACCTAGGCGAATAGCAGGAAATCAAATCAATAGCACCAGCTAGAGGCTGTTAGCAACCAGAATGATAGGTATGGTCCTGCGTGTTTCAATGTGCATGCACGTAAGCACATATATCTAGAAGCTCAGAAAACACTGCTTGAGTCGATGACCAATAGCCATATCTAATGCCCCTGGCTCGTTATGCTGCCAGTCAACCATCCTTGGGGGAGGCTTCTTCTCCAGGGATGTGGGTATCCAATGGTCGATCATGGACCTAGGATATTTTATCCGTCTGACCTGTCTGCCTCGAGGCTCTCAGGACATACAGTACTCCGGATCCCCAGCTTCCAAGGTATTGTAAACGAAGCTTACGTTAGGGAAGCTGCTGAAGATGAATCCTTGACCATATTGACTCTATCACCCTAGGTTGGCATTTGGGGTTAGATATCTATCCATGCTATGCACCTCACTTGAGCTGAATATTAGAAAAAGCTTGATATAAGGACACAGGACAAGAGCCTGCCTATGCCGCTGTATAGGTACTACAGCCGTGTTAATTGTGATGCACGGAGGGTTGCATTACCTAGCTAAGAAGGAATCCCCAACGGTAACCGTGATTGGCAGCCTCCGGCATCGAGTGACATTAATTTCGCTCAGCGTCGTCACACATTTTCAGCCCAAAGGTCGACCCCACACACCGGCGTTACTACGCTGTCTCACTCGCATATTTGAACTGTTCCAATATGCAGAAGAGAAGCCTGGGCTGTAATATCATACTATAAGATTATCCCAAAGAGAAACCGATGAAACACTTATTGTGGATTGTGGATTATGGCCAGGCCAGCGTTGTAGAGTTTCGCCGACCTTCCCGGATATTTGTTTATAAAACGCTCAAGTTGCTTGATGCTTTCCGAGTCATTTATGGGAAAGAGGGAAATATTGAATGAACTTCACATTTCTTGAGTATTGATTCGTATGAAGCATTTCAACTTGGTTGAATCAAAATCGAAAAGATGAAAAACAAAAAGAGTTGAAAAGGAAAGTTGAAAGAGAGAGAGTTAAAGAGTTGATGAGTTGCTGGCTCTGTTGTCTGTATCAAGCCTTATCAAGGTTTAGTGCGTTCTTATGTAGGCCCGCTATCCACTAACCTAGTTATTTATCACTATCACTACGACAGGCATTCAAGTCAACAACACCGGCATAAAGTGCGCTCGACGGCTATTTATATGGTATTAAAATATCTTAATATATGTTTATCCAAGTGAAGAATTCGTTAAGCAAAGACATAAAAGTCCCTTGCACATAATCTGGATAGTCCCTTGCTTAAGGCCTTTCCTTTCCAAAGACACCTAACCAATGACCAATTTTCCTGATGGCTTCTTGACCGCCCAGGTACCCAGTTCAAAACGCCGCATTCAGTCATCATAAACCCTGAGTAAAGACCGACCGTGTATATCATGCTTCCGATTCCGATTCCGAATCTAATGCCTCCCAAACTATACATCTAACATGCTTCTTATCTGTTGTGGATTGCCACTCGTAGACATGCCACTAACAGTACTCGAGCTCCTCTCACTCGTACCTGGTCGCCGAGGCTGATCGCTGTTTGCCTCTGTGTTTCTGCCCCTGTTTGTAGAGGCGCCCGTGTTTGCGCTCGGGAACAAAAGGTCAGCTGCCACCTCCATGGTGCGCTCAGACCTCCGCTGGCCTGACTTGCCTCCATAAGGAGTGTACGGTGGCGGCGCAGGTGTTGACCTCGGCACGTTGCTACGAATGCTATTTGTGCGTTGTATCTCGTTCATCTCGATGACGCTATTATTTCTGCCTGGCGCCTCACTTTCAGCCTCCGCCGCCCTCTGCTCCGCAAGAGTTTCAATGTTTCTCGCCGTTGGTCGTCCACCTCCAACCTCCCGTACATTCCGCATGATGCGGTCTCGCATGCTACCTGGTGGAAGATCTCCGTTGGCACGGCGCCACCAAGCTGGCTTTCGAACAAGTCCAAGTTCCTGGTCTAGAGCTTGCCCTCGGTCGCGTCGCTGACGCTGGAGCTCACGGTCCTCGTTCGGACGTAAGAATCCAGCGATAATTTGGATGAGGAGAATGAGAAAAGTAGGCGCATATCCTCCGAGATACATGGCAAGTAGGTTGGTCTTTGCATTGAGAGGCGATAAGGCAAAATCCCAAGCACACAGACCCTGATACCCAACGACCGCTAACGAAAGGGGTAGCATCAATGTGAATCGGAATGGCATGTATCCCAAGAACCCGATGATGCGGTTGAATAATCCGCGATTGCGAGGTTCGTAGTGGAGGATAGAATGCCAAAGAGAGACGACAATAGTACACCAGCACACGAAAAGGCAAAATGTTCCCGCCTTAAAGCGCCCATCTGTGGCGGCTGGTATGGCGTTTTCTACCGTCTGGTCAGGGGATCTTTGAAGCTCAATCGCGCCCCAATTTCGTGGGATAACGAGGAAGAAGTTCTACAGTGGCAAAACTCATTAATACATAGCTCATCGTATTCGTCACATTGATTTTCATGTTCACTTACCAACCATAACCAAAAGTAAAACCAAATTGGCAGCCAAAGCTCGAACATGCCCCTTTTATCGGTTTGGTGCAGGACAAAGGGATTTGGATCGATAAACTGGCGCTCCATCCAGCTACCCCAATGTCGTACACTTTCCCAGACGAGGGCCATTACACCCATCTGCAAGAGAAACCAAAAGAAGACGTTAAGGACAAGAGGGAGTTCCACGACGCGGTATCGGTCAACATCGATTCCGGTAAAAAGTCCGATGAGGGCCGCAGCACAGACGAAAATTCCCCAGTACCATTGCCACCGTCTTCCTATGGGATAAAACCTCTTCTCGGCGGGCAAATGCAACTCGCCGTGCTTCTTCAAGTTGACAAATATGAATATCAATGATAGCGCAAAAGCCACGGCGAAACCAATACCAGCGCGCGCTCGGTCGCCAATAGGTTGGATGGCTACATAGCACCAAGTACTGTTGAGAAAAGTGCCATTGCTTAGGACGCTGACCGGAGTGTAGGGATTGTCGACCAGGAAACACCACGAGCCATTGGACAAAGTGCCATTGGAATAGTAGGTATAGTTCCAAAAGTTTAGGGTGGTGAGGTTAAAATGGATATTATTGATGACTGTATCGGTAGCATTGTCGCCCTGCGGGAAAGAGAGTAGGTCGCGTACATTGATGAGAGTCATGGTGGCAACTAAGACGGACTGCGGATTGCGCGGGGTTTTGGTCGTCGTCTTTTGTTGATTATTGGGGATAAGAGGTTGATCACAGTAACATTAAGATATTAGAATCATGGCCAGATTTAAAGACGACAAAGATACCAACCATGGCACAATTAAGAGAATAAAAAAGAAAAGAAGAAATGTGAAAATGGCGAGGTTGTATAAGGTAGAACTCTTAACTCAGAGAGTAGAGAATAGAGGTGGAGACGAAGAACGACTAACTAATCCGGAGCTTCGGATCGCTGCAATTGACTTTTGCGAAAAAAAAAAAAGTCGCTCAAGGGCAAACAGCTGATGCTCTGTACTGCGTATGACTAGCGCGATAAACCGACTTGGGGATAGTTAGGCACTGATAACAGGGGGTTTATACCGCTAAGTACGTCATCCCGAAGTTCTATTGAGCCAAGATTCTTGGGGTCTTGGAAGTTAGGTAAGTAACTGGATTACCTACATAGGAGGAACCTACATTAGTAAGGCAGATAGATACAGTACATTGAATATTCTGCAGCCAATGATAGTCAACCAGTCACGTTCAAGTGTTTGTCTTTGAAGAAAACCAAAAAGTCAATTTCAACACCTCAACTTCTCTTGTAACCTTTTACTCTGCACATGTGTAATACTCAAAACACCAATTCTTTCAATTCTCTATAGTTACTCTGTTATACTCTACCCTAGGTATACTATATACTTTATACTCTATAACACTACCCAAGAGTCAACAATATTTGTCACTGGTAACCAGCTGTTAACAGGTACATAATAGTATTATTCATCGTCCTTTAACCATGCCGTTATGCCAAGGTCATCAATGCAACACTTTTAATAATAACAACTATCCACATGGATAATACAACCCAAGACTCCAGGCCTGTTGGCTCGTTGGTCTGTTGGTTTTTTGTGCGGCTTACATACCTATTTATGGACGTAGAAATGGCACAGGGGATGAGCCTATATGGCACAGCTCCAATAGTATTAGCATGCTGAGGAAAGCAGGATACGATTCTTCCATCTATTCTCTATTCCACTGTCGCTGTCGCGTTTTTACCAACCTGAAAAGATAAAAACTCGTCAAATAACCAGGTAGCGATGCGTTTGCAAGATGTGACATGGTTGTTATCATTGGCCAGCATGCCTATCGGGCATGCGATTGGCAAATCTTGTCCCAATTACTCTAGCTTTTCTCAATCACGAAACCCACCCCTATCGTCCGGGGCTTACAAGCTCGCATCTCAGCGACCGGCCCCAGAATGCCGCACCTTCAACTCAACCCTGGTGGAGGACGCCATTAAGCAGCTAAAGGATAAGATCTACGATGAGGAGCTATTCCGCCTTTTCGAGAACACATTCCCGAATACCCTCGACACGGCCGTCAAATGGCAAGGGGTTGCTGCCAACAACTCCGCCGAGGAGCTAGCCTTTGTCATTACCGGGGATATAAACGCCATGTGGATTAGGGACTCGGCAAACCAGATCGCGCCCTATAAAACTGTACTGAAGGATAAGAAAGATGACATCGCCTCGCTGTTCCGTGGTGTTATCAACTTGCAGGCCCGATACCTCATCATATCCCCCTATTGCAATGCCTTCCAGCCCCCACCCGAGTCGAGCATGCGCCCGGACCAGAACGGCGGCATCTACGCCGTCACGCCATCGTACGATCGCAATATAGTCTACACTTGCAACTTCGAGCTCGACGACTTTGGAGGCTTCCTGCAGCTTTCGCACGATTACTACACTGCTACCGGCGATGTTGAATTCTTCGGCAAATTCCAGTGGATTTCCGCGGTACAGTCGATTCTTGCCGCGTCGGAGGAGATGAGGAAGCCTACCTATGGACCCGACGGAGTATGGATCAGGCCCGCGTACACATTTCAGTCGCAGACCATGTCGGGCTCGGGCACGTTAGGGAATAATGGCATAGGGAGCCCCGTCAACGAAACAGGTATGGTGCGGTCTCCATTCAGGCCCAGCGACGACGCCGCCGCGTTCGACTTTTCCATTCCGGCGAATATGATGTTGGCAAGGTACCTAGAATCGACTTCGAAGATCATGGAACGACTACCGAACGCACCAAAGGAGTTAACACGCCAAATGCGAGATATGGCCAGCGGGATTAAGGATGCCATCAGCCACTGGGGAATTGTGAAAGCACCGAACGGCAAACAGATATTCGCTTACGAAGTAGACGGCTTCGGTGGCCAGAACCTGATGGACGATGCGAATATTCCCTCGCTGCTCTCGGCGCCATTCCTCGGGTACCTGGATAAAAAGGACCCCGTCTATCAAAACACGCGAGACTTCGTTCTCAGCAGAAGCAATCCGTGGTGGTGCTCTGGCCCGTATATCAACGCCATCGGGAGCCCGCACATTAGGCCTGGAATGGCGTGGCCCATGTCCAGCATCAGTGAGTAATTTCCAGTCGTCGTATTCCAAGCTTATACGCTATAGAACCAACTACAGCGTCTACTCGTTTTTCTTGCCCTTTCATTTGTATTATTACACTATATACATATATATATACTTGATCAAGTACTGACTCCCCAGTGCGAGCAATGACCACCGACAACGACGAAGAAATCATCACAGCCGTCAAGGACGTGCTACGCAGCACCGACGGGTTCGGGCTCATCCACGAAAGCGTCGACACCCACGACCCCAGCCAATGGACCAGGCAATGGTAAGTCCCTCCCCTCCCTCAACCATCTTTTCAAACTACGACGTCATCACCGAGATCCCTCAAACTAGCTAACTGAACTACAACAACAATACAGGTTCACCTGGGCAAACGGCCTCTTCGGCCAGCTGATCATGGACCTGGCGGACAGGAAGCCCGCCATACTTCGGGAGAATTTCCAGCCTTTCTTCATCAACAAGGACTGAAAGGGACTGACTAAAGACGCTTCATGTTTGAATCTGTTGCAACGCGTTATTGTTATCATAGATACCTACCTACCTACCTGACTAGTTAGGTAACACTCTTATAATGAATGAGCTCTTTTTTTTTCTTTTTTTTTTTTGGACGTACCTACATACGTGAAATATAGGAACCATCATCAAATCGATATTTGCTAACTATCAGTACCTATTTGATTTACGTTTCTCTCCTCTCAAGTTGGCCATCGGCCGTCGCCTAAGAAATATAGAGAGCCACCAATTTACCTAGTAATTAGCTCACAATAATCGTATTAGGTATGGAACCTGTTCAACCATTCTCATCTCTTTTCATTATAACTACATCCATTAAATCGAACATGAGGCCTCCTGTAGACACCTGTACCCTGTACCTTCTGAGTTGTCCTGCGACCACATCATTAGGATACCTATTAAAAAAAATAGTAAAAAGTCGACGACGGTCCTCCCCTCCCCTCCCTACCGGGCTCGGGCCGCTCGAGTTAGTCCGCACACAGGGAGCCCACCACCGCACGGATTCGGCACGGAACTTGCCCCCTAGAAGGGGTACCTGGGTGTCCTGCACCACCTCCGATCCAAGCATGAAGTTTATACCGTAGGTACTAGTCCGAGCAGCAACGAATTAGAGATTATGATCTTTAATTTTGTCGAAATATACCTAAGCACCTAACCCTAGGTAGGTACCTAGGTAGGCAGGCACATTAACGGGTAGGTAAGCCAATCCGCCATGCACGCAAAACAGCAAATGGTATATCGTATCCCCCCAACTCCGCGATCCCAATGTCCTGCCATGAATAAATATGTACCCCCCGCGACTCCAACAAAAAAAAAAAAAAAAAAAAAAAAAAAAACACCATATACGCCGTCCCAATGCACATTAATCCGTAATCTTCATTAATTCCATCCATCCGAGCCAAACCCAAAACCGACGACTAGACCTGGGGGTTCTGCAACTGGGGGGACGTGGCTCTGGGCGTTGTGAAACCTAGGCATACCAGTTCTGCGCGTTCTGGTTCTGGTTCTGGTTCTGGTTGTAGTTCGCGCCCGGAACCGCGCCCATGTTATGGGCCACGCTCATGTTGCGACGCATGCCCATGTTGGGGACAGCACCCACGTTAAGTTGCGCGCCCATGTTAGGGATCGCGCCCACGTTAGGGACAGCGCCCACGTCGTGGCGCACGCCCATGTTGGGGACAGCACCCACGTTAAGTTGCGCTCCCATGTTAGGGACAGCGCCCACGTCAAGTTGCGCGCCCATGTTAGGTATCGCGCCCACGTTAGGGACTGCCCCCATGTTGTGGCGCACGCCCATGTTGGGGACAGCACCCACGTTAAGTTGCGCTCCCATGTTGGGGACAGCACCCACGTTAAGTTGCGCGCTCATGTTGGGGATCGCGCCCACGGTAGGGACTGCCCCCATGTTGTGGCGCACGCCCATTTTAGGGACAGCACCCACGTTAAGTTGCGCGCCCATGTTGGGGATCACGCCCACGTTAGGGACTGCACCGATGTTGTGGCGCACGCCCATGTTGGGGATCGCGCCCACGTTAGGGCGCCCGGCCACTTTAGGGCACCCGTCCGCGTCAAGTTGCACGCCCAGCTGAGGTTCCACGCCCAAAGTCCAGTTGGCCTCCGAGGGGTGCATAGGGAACTTCTCTTCGGTGTCACTCATGAGGCCTCGTGCCTGAAGCATGATGGCCAAGCCGTAGAGACGCCTTGTCTCGATTGGGGTTGGGGCGCCCCGCGCGTAGCATCCTGTTTGTAGGGTTAGTCAAGTGGTTAGGACATTAGTGAGAGAGATGGGGGGGGGGGGGGTGGAAAAGGAGGAGGAGGAGGAAGAGGAGAGATAGAATGTGATGAGATGGGAGATAGATCGATGAATGGATGAAGTGAAGGAAGTGAGGTAGGGAGGTAACTTACTACACGCCCCCATCATCGAATGGTACACGAAATTCGGATCTAGAAATTTGTGTGCCGTCAGGGCCTCCACGAGAGTGACGAGCTTCTGCACATCCTGGGCCTTGGCCATCTGCTGCTCGGCGACGAACTTGTTGAACTGGCTCCAATAATGGAACTTGTCATTTAGGTATAGGAGGTAGGCCTCTGTATAGAGTCTAACGTCAGCCTTCTTTGCTCAACTCACTACCTAGGTAGCTAATACTTTTAGACAACAACACAAACAAATCAACTTACTCTCGTCGTCCTTCGGCACCGGCGGCCTCAATCCCCTCACGATGCTCTCCACGTACTGCGGCGGCGGCCCCGCCACCTTGTTCCGGAGGTAGGCCACGAGCGAGGCGTAGAAGGCCTCGCAATTGGCCCTGGCACTGGCATCGTACAGCGACATGCCGGCCTCGACGTAGCGACGCATGTTGGGGTCGGTCGTGTTGATCAGCACCGGCGTCGTGCCCCGATATACCCAATCGGCGCCATCTTGTCCCGTGGCCTGCTGGTTTGGTTTTGGTCGTGGTGGCATTTCGAATTGAAATAAGCGAGTGTTGGAGATGCTATTGATGGATGATGGATAGAGAAAGAAAGGATTGGATGATGTTTGTGAAAGAGAGTGATAGAAAGAGAAAAGGCCACAGATGTATATAGGCGTCGCAAATGGACACCTAAGCTAGGTAAATATGAGAGAGAGTTTTGAAAGGTAGAAAGGTGGAAAGAAAGTTGCGGCTAAGGGTCGACGGCGAGGTCTATGCAGCGCGATGGTGTTAAAGCCCGAGATGATAAGCTGACAGTCAAATGTCAAATGTTCGCTAGGTACCAGGCGTATGACTGGTAAAAGTATACCGTATGGAAATGCTAGTAGTCAGTCTTCTTCCTCGACAGACAACCACCCCCCTCTCCTCATCACCATAACAACCAGACGCGCTCAGCGTTAGAAGAAGCTTCCTTCACTACGACCTAGCAACCTCTTAGCTCTTTTAGTGCCTAATATCTTCTTCCTTGCTTGCTTGCTTAGTCTGGTAAGTAAGCAGGAGGTAGGTAGTCTTTGCTTTGTCTGACAAGCCAAAAATTTGATCTTTGCGCGTTGATTCCACTATATTCTTTGTCTTTCAACCTTGACCAGTTCTCATATTCAACCATGTGTCAAACCTTTCCAAGCCACTTAGCTTATGATATTATTCCCATACGTAGAAGCTGCTACATGTTCCTTGTCTTAGGCCCCTTTAAATCATAGACCATGAAACCAACGCTTTGAAGACATAGTCACATCTTTGAACAATTCGATTATAAAACTTGAAAGGCTTCATAAAGTAAGTAGGTACATTAGGGGTTTGAATTCCAAGTGAAGTACCGACACCCGCAACTCCAGTAGACCAGACCTCCCACCAGAGCAATGAGATGGTCTCCTGCATTCTAAGGTTTACTTCAGTAAGTACTGTTACTGTCTTGATAATGTCAGGATGGTGTTAGTCTTGCCTGTATAGACATGAGATCAGTGAGTAGAGGCTTGTCTTTTCTAAGATCATCTAATATTGGAGATCTTAGAGATCTGTTTATATTTTATATAGTTGACTAGAGCTCGAAGGAGCGATACAAGCGTATGTGACAGTAGTAGAACCAGCACTCCCGCTCTGAGGGGGGATGTTCTTCTCCGCTGCCTCCGCTGCCTTCTTCTTGTTCACAGGGACACAGTATTTGGTGGAGCAGTGGTGCCTCTGGCATCTGTTTAGGATGCTGTTTAGCCAAACCCAGCTAACAGGGGTTGTCAATAGGTCAGCTGTCGCAAAATTGTGCAGAAAGAACTAATTAGGCCTGACTACGGACCTTTATAGAAGCTTCACGGCGCTTATACCCTACCGCAGACGGGCACAGTAGAGTTAGATACTTCTCCTTTGAGACGCTCGCAGTTGTCATACATCCACTTTAGAATGTGGTAGATGCAACTCTCCCCTTTTGCTCTTGCCGCGGTTATAACGTTTCCTGGAACTCTTGAACCTGCTCTTCCCAGACTGCTGTCGAGCCATCCGATCTTGTAAGCTTTCTCCTCACCGTCATAAATGAGGACTTCTTCTCTTATCATGTTGCAAAGAAGAGGGCACGCATTGAAATTGTGACCAGTACGTGCACAGGCATAGCACTCTCCTGACCTATTCGAAGATGAGTAATCTGATCGCTCTCGTCTAGGTAGCCTGGTGTAATCGGGCAGAGAAAGTGATGGCGTATCGACAGGCTCGTATGTCCCAGTAGTCGGGTCGAATAGGCTCCTAGTGTTTCCTCCAGAATCAGATTGCTCAGAGACAGCCACAACTGTCCCAAAGCGTTCTTGCATGTGGGAAGGTAGACCGAGACTGGCTTGGACGTTGACCATCGCTGAAATCACTTCGACTGCTGTGAAGTTTGGTAGTCTTACTTTAATCGATGACGTGTAGACTATTGATTCTGGTACTGACGACTCTAGTACAAGAGAGTACCTCTTTCGTTGCTAGATATGCGACAGCACACCCCACGTCGACTGTACAGGTCGTAGAATCCGGCACAGCCGCAAGAATACGTGCTGCTTAACTTCATAGGATGGAGCACAACAATAGGCACACTCCTTTGGCCTTGTAGAAAGGAAGAGACGGTGAGATATCTTGAAGAATACCAATCAGCAAGGCTGGCCCAATTGCTGGGGGCTATCGGGCAAGTACCCAGGTAGCTAGGTTGCTGAAATGCGTACATCTTATGTTGCAGCTACTGCTGCAACCAAGAAGAAGAGAAAAGGAAGACAGCTTGCTTTATTCCTAACTACAGTGGCGGAGTGCCAACATAAGGCCATATGGCTCTAGTGGAGCCTATGGTGCCTGAGGCACCTGCAACATCTTATAAGTGAGAAACACCCCACCACCATCCCAAATCTCTCTGGGGAGCAACATCGGTGTCTGTGAATTTCGTTGAAGCTCTGGAGTTTGACTTGATCCTTCAAAAGCCTCGTATAAATTGAAAGCTCCGGCCTGAGTAATGTGGCATGTCTGGTCGAAGGCGAATGTGTATGAACCGTTTCACAAAGAGGCCCGACTGGTGGTCGGATATTGTGACTTGACATGACGGACATATTTCATCCGCGGCCCAAGTGCTGGCCAAGACGGAGGTGAACAGCGGTCAAAATAGCAGAAATCGCTTTATGGTTTGCAACAGTACGTTGTAAGCCGACGATTGGAAGCAATGTTTTGTAGGTTCGATGGAATTGAGGATGGCTTCTCTGACGTAGCTGTGGGTTGTGATTCTGCGTAAAATTGGGTAGATAATGATTGAGGCCCATGTTGCCAAAGATCAGATAGCCAAATGCTGTACACAATCTGACGTGGAAAGTAAAGGAGAGAGAGCAGCGGCCCCGAATGATGAGGAAGATTAGACCTCATTCATGCCGCGGGATACTTTGTGGTTCTGCCTAACTTCAAGGAAACTAGCTGTGATGTGGGAGTAATGGCGAAATACCGTACACAATCTGATGTGAAAAGTAAAGGAGAGAGAGGAGCGGCCCCGAATGATGAGGAAGATTAGACCTCATTTATGCCGCGGGGTATTTTGTAGTTCTTCCTAACTTCAAGGAAACTAACGGTGATTGTGGGAATAAGGGCCTTGAGTTTAGTCCGTAAGCTCATCGTCGTATATTGAGAAGAGCCTATTTGCTTAGGAATTTCGTGGGAAATGTGTTGGAAATGGGTTGAAATGTGTTGAAATGTGTCGGAAAGGTGTGAGGGTTCCTTGGCCGGGTCTTTTGTTTTGAACATTGACCTGTTCAACATCTAATGCTGGCAAGCACTGGATCTGGCACTTTCCAGGGCGATAAACCTTCCAAGAGCATGAAACTGCAGTTCCAACCTAAACAACCATCGATTCCGAAGGAACGTTGTGCATATGGCTCGTCATTCTTGCAGATATGCCTATGCATAATTGACAGAGTTTGTCTGGATTTAGCAATCACGACCTATAAAGGCAACCTTCACAATGACAAGGTTATGAATGTGGTCCAAGTCGTTTCGAGCAATCCACTCTGCCAAGTTCTCGTCACAGTCTCGAATAACGAGACTGCGGGTGGCACCGGAAGCAAGCAGCCTGAGCGAGCGAATGGAAGAGGTGATCTTATAGTTCTGCTCGGCAGGCCATTTCGTTTTGCCCAGAATTAGGACATCAACCTGCTTCGAATACTCGTAAAATTCTCGGGCGTTCTCCTCTAGGAGGAAAGAAGCTTGGGCGGGATACCGCCCGCCATGGGCTAAAGCGTTTGGTATTGAAGGAGGAAGCTGTGAGCAGTCATCCAACCGTGACTATCGCCGCTGCCAACTTCATGTCATGTTTCCCTCTTTTGTTTCTTCATTTATCTTTCCTCTTTCGTTTCTTTCGTTACTTTTGTGGAAACCGACGTATGAATTGTGTCCTTTCCGCGTAACTAGACAGAAAATAAGTTTTCGTGCAGAAACACCTGCTCAGGCAATATGTTCGCATTTATAAGATAGGTACACCCCTCGCAAAAACGATGTTGTTCTGCATCTTCTAGGTTCCGCCTCGTGACAGGAAGATCCGTTTACAGACCAGTACATGGCCAAGCCAGGCCTCCAAATCACGATGGACTTGGTGAAGGCGCGTCACGTCGGCTCGCATGCTCTCAAGCTGGGACTGCAGTCTGGGTAACTCAGTAAAGCAGAGTGCTTCAACACGATTGGCGTATATCATGACATCCTAGTAAAAGCGTCTGGTGAGTAATGTACCGACAGGCGAGAATGTGGAATAGATACTATTCCGCTTGAATTCGTACCTTAATAAATTGACCCGTCGGGTGACTCGAGTCACCGTTTTGTCATTGTATCGAACGCACCGCAGCCCAGTGATTGAGGTCTTCACATTGCCAAAGACCTCAATTGCCTTTTAGGACAGTCTCTGTATCCATATATGGATAAGATTGGTGAGCATTAGTACTAGAAGTATCATCGATTCCTGCTTGAAATCTAGTTTGGAGCAGGAAACGATATGCTTCTAGTACCTAGTACATTATACCCATAGAGAAGGTAGAGAGGTGGATGAAGTTGGTAGAGTGAATACCATCTTGAACAAATTGAAGTGAAGAAAAATAACTTGATTTAAAGTGAGAATGATATCAGAATTTTATAAGAGGTTTGATCTGGAGATGAAGTTGTCATATATGAAGTGTCGTTTGTTGATGATGATTGCTGATGATTGTTGAAGAAGAAAAGAAACAAAAGTGAAATCAGTGGGAGGCAGACCTTGTTTATATATTTTTTTCTGATGTCGAAATCGACAATGTCCCTCTCAGAATCAGTAAAAGGCAAGCTTTTCCCATTTAGGAACATGAAGTGAATTTATTCAGAAGGTTACCAGGCCACACTTGTCTCGGCACGTGTGGTTTTTTCCATTGGTCGGTTGTATGTGACTTTTCAGTGATCCTTCTAGGTATTTCGAGTTACCCATACATGAACGATGTATTTTGAGCCTAGTGGCCATAAAGTATTAACCCTAGAAGTATCGAGGTTGAAGGTTACGAAGGACTTCCTTCCGTTATGGTGTTATTGATACATCCCCTATTTTTGGGTGAGTGGCTGGGGTGCTATTAGGCCAGAGGTAGGCATCCATCTTGAATCCAGTGATAACGAATGATGGTTTAGTAAGAATTCATAATTAAGTTTATTTATGAAAAGCGATGGTGAATACATAGTACTAGGTATCCTTTGTCATGCATTGTATCCCCCTTATTATTAATCATCAGATTTGTGTCTATGATATCGATTTAGGATATCATGCGAAGTTAAATTTGAGCACATGTAGCACAAAAGTAGGTCTATCATCATTTGCGGAGCAATCACATATGAGAAAATCGAATGCTGACTCACTGTCATCGCTGTTTTGGCTTTTCATTCATTGTTGTAGGTAGGTTTACCCTGTTTTGCAATTTACTGTTGTCAACAAAGCCTGTCAAGACTCTCTTTGGCTTTATCACCAAGCCTTCCTTCTCCTAATCATATCTTGATGTTCTCAGTAGATTCTCTATACTAACTCCTATATGTATGAATCAGAGGTATCTATCTACCTGCCTGAGTATATACTAGGGCATTTATAATGCCCCTAGATCTGACTCTCTACTTAAATGAATGTCTAGGGACTGCTCTCAGGTACAGTGTATGGAGTCACGTCGAGAATATGTATATAATCTAGGCATGCCCTCATAGCCCATAACGCTCTAGTCAAGTCAATTAAGTACACCACCTAAGCTCATATGCCGTTTCTTTTAGCACCACCATCCATCCCAACTAACCCTCAACTTTCCCAAGCTGCACCTCCATCGTGACCAGCTCTGAAAAAAAAGGGGCGCCTGGCTATCGCACTTCACCGAAACCGGGCTGATGGACGACACCGGGCGGCACCACCAACTACCTCAAGCCCTCCGACCTTTCCAGTCCCGGCGGCGACCTCAACAGAGACTGCAGATCTATGTCTCGGGCCCGTGCGCGCCTACACCACCGACGCCGGCGGGAACAAGGTCTGAGACGATGGCGCACCAACGCGGAGTGCGGCAGAATCGACGCCCTGCTTGACACGGTGTTCGGAATTGGGCACGCCGTTTGCGGGGGGTCAAGGTGACGAGGAGGGGGCATGTCAAGCCGGAGGACAGACGAGGTCGATTCGCTGGTCGATACGTCTGCGAGGGGCAAAGGTCAGTTCTCCCTAGTCTCGGGCCCCTTAAGGTTGGGTATGGTGGCTTTATACGCCGTTTTAGACGGGATGGCTGGCTGACTCAGTGGTAGTCGTCGTACAGTACGACCCGAACCAGCTGGCCGACGAGTCCCTGCCGTACACGCCGAAGCACGGCGCGTGTCGCGTGTGGCTGGAGTCGTCGCCGTACCAGCGGGACTGTGTGGCCAACAGCTGCCAGGGCGGCAGAAGCGGGACGGCTCGTGCCCCTATGCATCAGCTTCAGGGGGCGATGGGCGTGACCGTGACGTCTTCTTATTCTTTAACTACCACCTTTTCTATCGGCTTCCCACTAATAAGCCCTACGATATCAGTCACTTCTTCGATTCCGGTGTCTCAAAAGAAGAAGACTTCTTCTTCTCTAGTTACCACGAGGTCGATTAGTACTGCCACGTCTTCCAGTTACCAGTGCTGCGGTCCGGACTTCGTGTCGGTCGTGACGTTTTCGATGTTTACTGCAACTGTTGGCTCTGAAATAGGTATAGGCGCCAATGCCTCCAAACCTTAGGTAGCCATAATAAGAGATCATCTAGGTATTCAAGATCCCTTAAGGTGATCTTCATCACCTGGACAGGTTTAAAGCCCGCTGGAGAAGTGTAGCTGAGCTGGGCCTTTCATAATAGCACATACATCTCGTCGTTTCTTTGCCTGAGTTCACAAGGGTTGTTATGCCGTGTTTCTTTTTCTCTTCTTTTCTCTATCTACGGCAAAAAAAGTCATCACGACTAGGACTGGAGACACCCTCAAAACAGATACAACAAGAAAAAAAGTCATGATCAAGTAATGGACCCAGCACTTTCCACCAGAAACTACGACGCTTCAGTAAGACCTCAACCATGCCTCAGTATGGAAGTTTTGAGCTGGAATGAATCCATATGTTTCATTTGTTTGTCTAGTTCTCAAAGCACCTATCACGTTTCACATGCATGAAAAGAAAAGTTGATAAAAAAAAAGAGAATGACGTAGAGAGCCTCCATTGATATGAATAGGGGCTAAGCGTACCTACATTGCCGAAAAAAAATGATCGACCTTACATACCTACCTAGTACGTTCCTGTGCTGTGGACTTTGCAAGCGAAGCGATAGGATTCTGCATTTTGGATTGGGACGTAGTACACGTGGAACCGGTAAAAGGTCAACACGGGTCCCCAGGAGTGGATGGATACCTTAGGTAGGCATGGATGGATAGATCCGAGAACCGAATCAACGTATGCATTGGTTATTGCTTTTCCCGGCCTCTCCGGTTGCCGTTGCCACCCCGAGCCTTTCGAACGGCGCGAGAAATTAAAAATTACCACCCGGAGAGACGCCGGCCGTAACCGCGTGCGTGGTATTCTGTTTATTACTTACCAACGGAGGTGTATGTTTACGACGCAACCTATCATCGGCACTTATATATTCGTGGAGGTTCAAAAGTACAGCACATATGCCTACCTGCCTACCTAGAGATATATGTGAGCAAGAGCCCGCTACACCGTATTGCCTGTCAATATCTTACACCACGCCGGGCTCGTTGTGCAGAGCAGAAAACTCGGGCGACGATCCCGGTTCTCGCTTAAGGGGAAAAAGCAAAAAAAAAAGCAAAAATATGAATGAATGAACGACGCTGGCATGTTATGTAGGTAGGTATGTATGTATGACACGTAGGAAGAATCGTATTGGCTGCGAATAAAGATGCGGAACCTACTATGTAGCACTTGCATGTGGTAAACCACGCTACCAAGTACTACAGTACGGCTGTATGGTGGATACGCCAGTACACCTGGGCAACATTTCTATTGATACCTATTATCATCATGTAAACCAAAACCACACAAATAGTAATAAGGGACGCCCTGGTCAAACCTCGTCTAAAGTGCCATTTCTTTTTTTTCCTTTCGCTGTTCCCCCTCTCCCCTGGTTTGTGGGTGGCATATGGTAGTAATACTACAGCTATCTTGACCAAGAAGACTACCTAGCCTAGTAGTCTTGTCGTACGTGGGGGTGCCGCGTACCATTTGAATGGGTATTGGTAGTAGTAACAGAAAGCAAGGTATATCGTCATACACTCACAATCCGAAGCTGGCTGGCTTGGTTGGGCAAGAATGGCAAACATTACAAAGTCTTAGGGCGTTGATTGCGAGTTTGCACCAGTCAGTTCTGGCATGTCGGGCGTAGTCTGGATCTCGGGATGAGGTTGCAATGCCGCAATATCTATATGGTTAACTTGCTGCTACTGTAGGAAGTGGTTCCATATTACCACGATTCGAAGAACTTGGGAGACGAGGATAGAATCATGATGATTCGGGTTGAGTCATCCATGGGACGTATAGGTGGTGGTTAAGGGGAATAGTTGAAGTCTAAAAAGGATCTGGAAACTTGATCTCGATGGACATCTCTTAAACTAAACTTTATTATAAACAATCAGATCAGGATTTGCTATTTGACTTTCGTCTTTTTTAGTAAGGAACATGATTCAGTGTTGGCAGAAGTGGAGCAAGGAACAGTTCTTGGAGTACCTGACTAGTTCTCTATTAAAGTTTGGTGTTAGAAGTGGAAGCGCCCGTAGCTGGGAACTCAAACACTGTAACGCAGTATAGTGCCTAATACTAATGGATCTAATATAGAGGGTAGGTATCTAGGAGGTACTAACTTAGGTTGGCACTATTATTCCCTTACTCTAACCTTAGTACCTTACTCATCCATGTATGTATGTATGCTATGTACCTAGGTAAGTACATCAAAGTAGTACATCAAAGTAGGTTAGTATCGTGGATGTCAAGTTAGGCATGTACGATAAGCGAGGACGGCGATAAGTAATGTGGTGCGAAAGCGAGTGATGACCGTCGCGGGTAAAGTGAGCTTGATGTACTTAGTTAGTATTAGATATGCATCCATCATGGATGGATCGTGCCTTGCATCCTGCGGATTAGTTACACTATTGCTAGAAGTACAGGAAGTTAGGTCATATCAAGTGCTAAATTATACTCAACGTCAATAGGCATGAAGCAGCTATCTATACTCCAAGTCTTTTATCACTTCTTTTTGAAAAATGCCGATACATCAATACCCAAAGAGACCAAAGGGACTGTTGGTTAGAATGTCGGTGTTGTATTAGGACGACCCGGGTTGCTGGGAGTCTCGAACAATGATCTACCTAGTACACACACCTCTACCAATCTGTGTACTAACATGTGGTAGAGAGCCGCGTCATGTTTCGATCCAACATCCATATGTAAACTTCGCCTAGGTACTTAGTACCAAGTAACAGGCTCCTCCTATCACTCAACTAAAACGCGCATCCAGTAAGCACCATACCGATGCGCCGGTATGGCACATATAATATCCATGCATTTCAAAAGTCGTCGTGGATTCCGTTTCATCTCAGCCCTGTCCCTTGGCAGGGCCGCGATTCAGGCACGGATGTACATACATAGTAGTGTGTATATGTATGTACTGGTGTGGAAATATGGTCCTGGGAAGTTCGTATACTGTACACGCAACACACAAGACGATGGACCGGTGATAACGGACTAATAATCCAAAGTGAGCAGTCATCTGATGTACAGCCCTGCTTGAGTTAATTTTCCGTTCTGCAGATGCCTCAACTAGGAAATGCACTAGACAGAACGTGGGAAGTAATCCCAGATCATCAGAGATAATTAACGGTAGGTAATATAGCCCTACCATGAGTCGATATTAGCAATATGATATGACGCCACCCATACCTATCGCCGACCATCCCGTCTCCTGGTAGGGCATATCGATAAGCTACAGTGTTGCGTCAAATTGATGGCGGGGGAGGGGAAGAGGGGGTAAAGCGAGGGGTGGGAGAGAGGGGTTCGGGTCTGGCCGGTGATGACTGACTCTGGCCCCCCCTTGTCTCAATGGACCTTATGGACCCTAGGTCGTTGCAAGGTTTAGGTACCGCTCTTCGTACCTATTAGGTACCTAATAGCACTGAGATATGTAGGTATGTAGGTATGTAGACCTGCATGTGACTCTTTAATAAGACGTCTCAGACTAACATTGAATACCTACATACATAGATGTACAGTATGTGCCGGGCCTTTCGAAAACTTGGGTAATATCGTATAGGTGAAACCATCTAAGAAAGCTCCCGTGTAAGTTCGGGTGTAGTAAACAACTAATTCGCGTATCCGAAATAAAGCTTGGACCTCTCCTAGGTACTGTAAGAGTTATCAATGTGAAAGTGAAAGTGAGGTACGATTTTCGTCCTTGCCGACGATCGTAGCTTCGGTGAATATCTAGGAACCAGTAGTTATCCAGAGCACAATACAGAGACAAAAGGGCTACTTGTCTAGGCAATGTTTTTGGGTCTTACAATTAGTAGGCCGGGCGAACCTGGTGTTTCAGGACTAATGCAGATAAAACTACCGCGTACGTGGTAGAGAGATGGTGGATCATCAGGTACAAGAACCACGATAATGGATAGCATTACGTCTGTCTGTAGCACACAGACTTTGTGTTCCATGTGGCAGGCGGTGAGGGTTGAGTGGCAAGTTCGCCTATCTCTCAACGAGAAAGGCTATACAGCCTTGGTCGTTGATTCGAGTGCAAGCAATACATATGTAGCCACGAAATATCATGTTAGATAAATGTGGTGTGTGCTAAACTACATAAGGGTCATGTCCATTGGTACAAGACCATTGTGGTGAAATAGGCGTAATCGTCAAGTATGTACTACATAACATGTACATGCAGACTCTTATCTCAGGTACATACCTATACATATACTATAATTACCCGGCCACGATACTTGATAGGTACCCGAAGCAAGGTACAGGCCAGTTGTGATGAACTGGCAGGAATGCGGCGAAACTAATGGATAAGATGGATGTCCGGGAACCCGAATGAGCCCTTACACGACAGTCCCGATTACATACAGCACTTGAAGTAGGTATATGGAATGACCCCTTAAAAGGGACAGGACCTCATCTTGTCTGTTGACATTCTCGTGCGATGAGGCTGTTGTGAGAAATCAGACTACAAGTATCGACTAGACCGTAATATTTCTCGGCGTCCCTTTCCAATCATATAACGTAGAATAAAAGTTGGAGGATGAATGTTAACTGAATAGGATATGTAAGTTAATTGTAGTAGATGCTGGACGGGCGTTGCGTCACTGCGTCAGAGGGCGCCGCGGTGGTGTAGATCATACCCATATTGAGCCTAGTTAGCAGCGACCATCTCTTCAAGGGTCGTAGAGATCTAGCGGGTGACGAGAGATCATTTTGAGCAACTCGCATTATTAAACAACAATATGCATCTCCCCTTTCCATAACAGAATCACACTTGAGAGCGAGCCATTCTATGTCACTGATGGATTTATGTGGATACTTGTATGGGACTTGTGTTTATAAGAGATAGGCTAGAAATAAAAGGGGGGTGGGGAGTCTGAAGATGGATCCAGGGAGAAGGGAGAACTTTGAAGGGAAGAGGGAAGCAGAGAAGTAAGCTCGTGATTCAACTATAGCGTACCTAGGTCCCTTAGTAGTCTCGCGGAAAGAGGCCATGTTCAGCAAATCTTATACGTAGTCCGGCCGATTTGAATATATATTCCCTTCTCTTTGCGATATATGGCAGTATAATAATAGTTGGACTTCTTTTCTAACAGTATCTACCCAAGCGGTCAGAATGGGTGAGGTGACACAACAGATGATGACAAAAACGTTCGGGGCGTTCGTTCAGGGACAGTGATTGCAACTGATGTCTGGTACCGATTCGATGCATGTAGCTAGCCTAGTGTTTATAGTCGAACTGAAATATCTCTGCTGCCTTACGAGCTGAAGCGCTTAATATCAGGAATCAGGACTATTTATACCAACTACCCGAGTAGTTCGATGTAGCTAGCATATTAGATTATGATCCATGATGTATTCTGTCTGCGATCACGGCTAGTTGTGGGGACGTATGTGTGTGGTAGGTAAAGAGGATTGGTTTGGGTTTATGGATTTTTGTTTTCGTTTTCGATTGTTAGTTAATTAATGGCATTCAATGCTAGGAGGAACATTGAACGATTGAATTTGATCCCATGATTCTTTCCTAGTACCTAGTACTTACCTACACATCATCGTACCCGAAGCCCGGGGGCTGATTCCCTGGAACACAAGAAATACGCTAAAAGTTGCACCAATCATACCATGACGTCTCTTTTTATAGAGGTGCAAACCCCTGTCAGCCTGTCCTGACTCCTCGCCAACTTCTAGGCCTGTTCCCTGCGCTGACTTCCTTAGTGCTTCTAGTACTATTCAGGTATGTAGTCCTTACTGTCCTAAGCCCTGACTCCTCAGTCCTAATTATTGATCATCGTATGTACGCCGTAGTGTACGCAGGAGAAAAGGTACCGGAGAGGTACCTCGCAGGGTTTATACTAGTTAGGACCCACATGGATGATGATTCAAGGTTCTTGCACAGGGAAAGTACATGCATATACATAAAACAGCCTTGGAGAACAGGGGTAGATAAACTGCCCTGTAGCGGCGCGCCCCAGCCCCTCGCACCAACAGCAGACAGGAATAACGTTGAAAGCTGCAACGTAAAAACCCCCCCTCTTGTCCCCTCTACTGTACCTAGTTTATTCTGTGCCTGCCCCTCTCTTAGTAGCCAAAGAGATCAAACCGACTTCCCTCCATCCCACCAACCCAACATCAAAAAAGACCAACAACCCATAAGCCCCAAGAAAAAGGGAAAGGTGTTCATTGTAATTCTTGCTCCTCTTCGTGATATGAATAATGTCTGTGCGGTTGGAATCCTCCACCTAAAGTCCGCAGCTCTGCTGTCTCACATTTTCAGTTTATACTACCTATCTTAGGTAGGTACATATATATCCATGGATATGTTTCTGCCCTACATACATATACCCTATCGCATTACTAATAAGTAATCTTTGGATCTTGTTCTGTTGTTTTTTTTTTTTTTACCTCACATTCTCTTGGTGTCATCCCCTCATCCTTCATAGATGATAATACCAACTGTTGTCCAAATCCTCCATCAGAGACAATAGAAAAAGGTATTTTGTAACCACAAACAATTCAAATAAAGGCCCTATGGTTCGATGACCTCACTAGCCTTTCCGTCTTTATTAAATCGATGGCTCTTCCTGCGCCTCTAACGAATGAACTGTTGCGATAATCACCAGGCCAGATATCCACTACTGTACGTCCGTCCCTCTATCCACTTTACCAGGCACACACGCACGCAGACACTTCGTATAGCTCTTCATTCGTGCATATTTCCATACCGCCAAGCCTTCCCACCAAGTGTCAACCGTCCCTGTCAAAGAAAAAAAAAAGTGCCATAGGTACGGTAGTTTACTTAGCTACGCTACGGTGTTCCTTAGAAGATTTTACTTAGACACACACGCGCGCACATCAATTATTCAATACATACACCCTGAATCCCAAATACATACATCCATACATACCTCCTCACTTACCTATACATACCATACATACCACACACAACATATTCCCTGCAATTTACACACACATACACATACACATACACCTACATACACCTACATACTATGTATATACATACATAAGATAGGTACTACTACTATACGCGCGCATACATATGTCTTTCCGATTTTGACTAGGGATCCCCATCCATCTAGACCATACCTAGTAGGTATCCCATCACAAGTCATCATTGACAAGCCGGCCATTCCAACCCATCCCTCCTACATACTACTTACCTACCTACCAATCTCATCATATTGCTTCATTACCCCTCCAACCCTTTTTTGTTCCGTTTTAAGATCCCTCCCCTTTTCTCTCCGTCATCCCTTCTTGCCACCTGTAGACCAATTTCCATTATTAGTATCATAACGTTATCGTCAACATAACCAGTTAAACGTTCACTGGTTTCTCACTCTACATTTAATTCAGGGATATTCGATTAAGTTCCTCGGTTGGCCCTCGAGTCGGAAACCTGCAGGAATTTTTAATTCCACTCTTAACTCTCAACTCTCAACTCGCTTTCAGCTTGATCGACCCAACTCCCGCTTCTAGATTCAACCCTTTTGGTGGTTGGCTAGTCCCTGGCCTAGACTCTCAGGCTCTCTTCTCACTCGCCGTTCGGGATGAAATGTTCTGTCGGTAGGAGTACCATAACTGGTTAGAAATACCAGGGAAATTGTTGTGTCGTCCTTGTTGGTTGATGTTATTATTTATTTTAACATCAGACCTAATAGTGTTGCTTGAATTCTTTCTTGCCGCTTGCGGTTGCGGTTGCATTCGCAACGTTCCAAAAGACCAGCATTCGTCATTCCTAAGGTCCATCCTATCGTATCCTACTACCCAAGTCCCCATCTGTCTTACTTTCAGCCGCTGCCCGCCCGACCTGACTCGATCTCTCTACCGAGAACTTCCGGGACCTGAGTGCTCATTCTTAGGAAACACACTCTCAGAATATCAACAACTGACAACTGCGAATGAATAATACCGACTATTTATCATCATTTCTCTCCCCTCTTACTACCCTCTCCGCTTTTATATTTAAAATACCCCTTTAAATATCCCTATCAACCCCGCTATCTCCGCCGCTCGTCCTTTAGAAACTCGCCTCGAGACTTGAGAGCTCTGGCCGAAACTAGGTTTCTACACCGGGAAAGAAGTCTTTCAAAGAGAACAAAAAACCTTGAATAATCACTTGCCAGGGTCCTCAGCGCTGGTATTCAATTAATTTCACGACGGATTTCGGAAACTATACCATGGCGGCGACTTTCCGGCCCGTCAATACTCCAATGGTGATAGATATGAAGAAAGATGATGGGGCTGCACGGTCGCCAACCACACCCACTCCAACAAAAGCCACCTTCGGCCAACGGCCATTACCAACTTCACCGTTCCCGCAAGCAGTCCAGATTCCCGAAAGTATCGAAGAGAAACATACTCCGAAGCGAGAGAACTCACAACATTCGAGAAAGTCTCGAGGAGACTCGGAAGACGTGGATATGGATGATTCAGATGGGGAAAACCAAGGAGAAGATGGTGCAGGATCAGATGATGAGAGCGTGAATGCGGATGGGTCAAAGTCGAATAAGAAAAAGAAGTCGCAGAGATTCTATTGCACCGACTACCCGCCCTGCAACCTGAGCTTTACGAGAAGCGAACACCTAGCCAGGCATATTCGGTATTAATCGCTGTTCCTATTTTTTTCTCTCTGGGCGAAGGGTTTAACTGACTTTCATGATAGGAAACATACTGGGGAGCGTCCATTTCAATGCCATTGCTCCAGACGATTTTCGCGATTGGATAACTTGCGACAGCATGCGCAAACTGTTCACGTCAATGAAGACATCCCGATTGATTCACTTGCGGCCACGGGCACAAGATTTCAAAGACAGATTCGAACCGATCGAGTACGACAACCTGGGAGGGCTCGGGCTTCAACAGCAGGTAGTATGGGTACACCAACCCGGGGTCATGCCAAATCTCTTTCGACTTCAAGCATCAGCTCTGTTGGCTCAACCTTTAGCACACGCGAGGACGTACGCCGACGACCACCTCCTCTAGTGATGGCAGATCCGAGGTCTCGACTTTCCATTGAGACCTATCACCCTGGCACCGAAACCGCATATTCGTACCGGCCACCATCCCCAAGCGATTTCAGCACGCCTACCTCAGCAACTTTCTCGACTGGACAAAATAGCCCACGATGGGGACCTGTCATGGCGTCCCCAGGCGCGTCTCATCCAAGGTCTCAACCTATGTACTCCGGCCATAGAACACCAGGCCGCCGGCTCAGCGTACCATCGGGTGGTATACCATTCCAATCTCCCCACGGTACAAGCCTCGGCCGCCCCCTGTTTGGCCCAGTTCCTCCAAACGCTTCCAGCCATCCTCCATTTTCACCAAGTAGCAGTATTATAGGATCACCGACATCTTCAGTATTCTCTTCTAGACGCGAGTCAACCTCGCAAACAGAAGACTGGCGCCGCCGTACTTGGCATCCCGACTCGACTAATTTCAACGCTGTCAACCCCAGCAGTCGTTTGAGTAATGTCGTTACGCCATCACAATTCGACAGCCCTGTCGCAGCGCCGCTACCTTTAGCTGTTCCACAGCAACAGAGCACAACACTTCGGTTGCCTGGAATAGAGTCGTTTGGACCTATTCCACATCGTCCGGCAACGCCCCCTAGACGAAACCCTTCCCCCATGATGGTGGACTCTGAGGTTTCCCACCCACCGGCAATGCTGCCTTCCACCCATTCTGGCGACTCGGACGACAGGCGCGGTACAGCTAACTGGGACATGGGCTTACATCGCGGTTTGACTAGACTGGAAATTGCGTCGAATAATCCACCACCTACAGATACTGCCAGTAATTGGGCCCGTGAGGCACATCAAGCCGTCGAAGCAGAGGCGGATCGAATTAGATTAAATCCTCCGACTGTACGATTTCACGAGCCGGTAATTGTTGATCGTCGACCACCTGGCCCCGCAGGTCTACCGAGGACATTTCACCAACACACGATGTCGGCGCCATCAATTGCCAGTTCAAGGGAATCTAAGCGACGAGGGTGGTACAATGGGCCTGTAACGGTGCACGCGGACGCACCGCCGGAGAAAATCGCACGAGTCGATCGCATGGTTCACCCAAATATCCGCGAATTTCCTGGATTTCCAGCTCGCGAGAATGCACCTAATCCTTCGCCCAGAGACGATAACTCTGGAGAACGAGATAACATGCTTCGTCTGCAGGCTCTAGTAGCCGTTGCGACAAGTGAGGGGAGTGCAACCACGGCATACTGAAGATTGTAGAAATCTATACCGCAGAACTCTTATACTTCCTCATGACATATCTTACGACCTATCAATACGCCATATATCTGCGAAATATACCTACGAAATATAATACACCTTGAACTTTTACGATGCCCAGTCGCAATGGATTGATGAGGCTCACGATTTCTCTTTTAGTTGTTCTTCCATCAAGCATCTGCATGATATACGATCGTTACTCGACTCACGAAATATACCATCTGCTAGTTTTTTCTATTCTGATTATTTTCATTTTTTAACGAGGCTTGCGGTTGCATTTGATATTGAATTGGGTTATACTACGGCGGCACACGTGGCGTTGGGGGCAGAAGACTCATTTTCTAAGAGGGTGTTATGTAGGTGAGAAGGGCCATCCACTCGTTACATGATCACAGCTATATCTTCCCTGTCGTATGTATGGCGGTGTTTACTTTGGGTATCCTCTCATTCTTATTTTGTTTCTGGATTGGTTGTTGTGGATTTGCACAAGACATGGAAATTAGCGATGATTTATCTTTCTTAGTTGATGACTGATGACATGACTCAGAGATACCCATTCATTTTCAGATGAGGGTAATCACAAGACGGAGGAACTAATGTTGGTCTTTTATTATTACGGTTTTCTGCGCGCAGCAGTGAATTGTGTGGTTCCTCCGGCGGACCTTGGGGCTGTTGCTTCGCTAGTTAGACAAGACCTGATTTCTCATTCCATGATCCGGGGGGGGGGGAGGGTGGTTTGGATTCGTACGTACTGTGGGATTGATACCCCAATCTGTTGGATACTTATTTGTCTGGTTCTCTTTCTTTCGTTACATTCTAGTACATGTTTGGCGATATATTCGTGATCAGATCCCGGTGTAGGCGATGAATACGTGGTTTAGGTAGATAATACCATCTCTCGTTCAGAGACCCCCTTTAACTTTCAGTCCGTGCAATACATTCATTATGTGATGAAGTAGTTTTGGTGGATGGATGTCAAGTGAGTTTTGCAGTCACGGGCCACGTACTTAGGTACGTAAGTTACCAAACTCAGTTTCCAGGCCATAGGCATTTAAAATACATACTCATCATCACAGACCCCGATAGGAAGATACATCCATGGTTAGGCCACCCGAATATGGGCAAGTAGGTACTTTTTTTTTTAATTCTTAATTTAGTTACTAGGTACCTATGTATTGTACTTTGATCAACCATAGGTCTACCTAGCTACCTAGCTACCTACATATGTAGTACATAGGTTACCGCGATAGGTTAGGTACCTAGTAGGTAGGTACGAATACTCTCCAATCACAAATGCAGGAAAGCCGCGAGATAATCGGCCTTGCCGAGCGGGACCCCCTGGGCGCGGAGGATGGAGTAGGCCGTGACGAGGTGGAAGTAGAAGTTGGGGACGTTGTGTTCGAGGATCGCCTGGCGCACGGAGATCTTGTGGGTTTCGTTCTTCCAGGCTCTGTTTTGTTGTTTTTCGTTCATCAGTCAGGTGGTTTTAGCATCAAAAAGCAACCTAACAAAAAAAAAAAGGGGGGGGGGGGGGGGGGGGGGGGTAAAGGAAAAGAAAAGGAAAGAAAAGGAAAAAATCTCACATCTCCGTCTCCGCGCCCTCGAACCCCCCGGCCCTCCCCTTATCCACGCTCTTGAGCGCCTCCAGCGCCCTGTCCACGCGCGCCAGCAGCTGCGCGAACGAGTCCTCCGTCGCGTCGTACGAGGGGGGGTTGGCGACGCCCGCCGCGTCGCCGGTGAGCCGGCTCACGCTCAGGTGCACGTGCTTGGTCGCGTTGTGGATCTGGAAGGTCAGGGGGAGCTGGTCGGGGACCAGGCGGGCGGTGGGGAGGTTGAGGTTGGAGGAGTGGGTGGAGGCGGTGGTGAGGATGTGCGAGAGGGTTTGCAGGCCGCTGGTGTACGTGGGGATTACGAGGTCGTAGAGGGTGGTTGTGTTGGTGTTGGTGTTGGAGGCCATGGTGGTGGTTGATTGGGTGTGTGTGTGTGTGTGTGTGTGTGTGTTTGGGGTTATAGAATATACTTGAACAGAATATGTATCAGTGGAATGTAGAGAAGTAAGTAATTGCAAAGTCACAGAATTGGTGATGATGGTGAAGTTACTTGCACCTATTTATGCCGCGGCCTACCTATGAAGTAAGCCCCTTGCGTTGTTTTCTTTGTCGTGCTTACGTGCTCGGAGCCGGATATATCGCAACTTCGATTTTTTTGTCTTGGCACGGCCTAGATCTAAGTGACACCACCTCATACCGCAGCGGGATTGTAAACCGGTCTAAATGAGGCCGAATTACATTGATCGGTATGTCGTGATGGTCTATCTTCGATGGTGCGAATTGCCCCATTTTTAGGGTATGATGTGATGCGATTCCTAGTCTATAATTCTTACATAGGTACCAGCTTTTATAATATCCCCTCTCTATATGCTCTATCTAGGAATAGTTCTTTTGCTAATCCGACCCATGTTTCCATTGGTAATGCACGATGTAATGTTTTCAAACGCCCGGTAGTTTATCCCAACAATCACCTCACCTGTCCCTCCGGAAGATTCTTTGAAAAAGATCCTTGCGCGGCTTTCCGCCAATGACCAAAAATGACATGATAGCGGTGATGGCTGCCACAATGCCAAATACAAGGTTCATGTTACCATATCCTATGCCATCGCGTAGCGCTCCCGCCACGAGGGGGCCTACAGTGAGTCCCGCACAGAAAAAGAGGGAGTTGAAGCCGTAAAGTTGAGCGTAAGGGCCATTGGTACCGAAGAATCCGGGATTGGCCTTCTCGAACTTGCGCACCACGTCGCTTGATTCGACTACACTAGGAGAGCCAATGATGGCTAGCCCTATACCGTTCAATGCCAGCAGTGCGCAGTATAGAATGATATTGGAGTTTCCGGGTAGCGGGTTATCTGAGGGTAGTCTCAGGAGGATGAGAACAGGAACCAGATATCCGAATCCGATGACTGCAGCCATTTTGGTGCCGTATCGGTCCACTGCCCATCCTGCAATGGGCCCTAGCACAAGGTAGGGTACATCCAGCGCGATGAATAAGAGACCAGCTTGGAGAGACGTAAAGCCAAAGAGACTTTGAGCCTCTGTCGGGATGGTGGCGTCGAAGAGGGCAAGGAGGGAAGCCTGGACGAAGGCGACACTTAGACCGGCAAGTAGCCTAGGGTCCTTGAAACACACAAGCAAAGGGAGTACTCGAACAATACGATTTGGTTCATGGCGTATCTTGTAAAAGTCGTCATCGTTGTCTCGCCTCTTATTCGGTAATAGAGCGTCATGTTCGGTAGCAGGTTCATTATGGTCGCCACCGACTTCTTCATTGCCCCTCGCGTTCCCCTCTACGCCATTCGCACTTTGCAACCCACCACGAGAACCCGAAACCGGAAGATCGAGATACCTAGCAGCAGTCTTCTTCTCAATCATGACCAAGCGCATGAGGAAGTCTAGTCCCAGCACGCCGGCAGCCACCCCGAAGACGCCCGAGTAACCCGTCTTTTCGTACAGCACGCCGCCAATCACCGGGGCCATTAGTTCGCCTATGGATATGAAGGAGAAGATGGAACCGACGACTTTGCCTAAATTTTCGGGGCCGACGGTATCCAGAATCATGGCGAGACCAATCGTCCACACCACCGCGGCACTGATGCCCTGCAGGACCCTAGCGAGGAACAGCACGGCTATGCTCTGGCCGAACGCGAGCAGCACCGTAGCCGCAAGCAGGGCTGCAAGGCCACTGAGAAAGGGGGCCTGGCGGGACTTGGTCCGGTCGGCAATCCACCCGGCCGGCAAGGACGAGAGGACGGAAGCGCCCGCATAAGCTGCCAAGAGGTTGGACACGTAGGATTGGATCTCCTCCTCCGGGATGGCCAGGCGGTTCCGCAGCATAAAGGGTAGGACGGGGACGACGAGGCCGTAGAGGAACAGGTCTGTGAAAAGGCCGATGGCGACGGTGGCGATGATGAAGAGGGTGTTGGAGCGCCAGCGTAAGCCCCAAGGGGGGTTTTTGTAGGGTGGCATCTTGTAAGCTTGAGTAGGCACTTATTGGAGATTAAATAGGTGATCTGTCATTGTAACCCTATAAGTATAAGAGATAATTGTTTATTGCAACTTTGAAGATGGTGTGTATAAATTGAGAGCTGAGTGGCGGGTTCTTTTACTTTTATTCGTCGATTTGGTTTCACAGTGTTCCCGTTCCTGTAGATCGATGACCTCATAGGTACTTTACATACCTCCGATCATTACACCTGCTGCACTACCTATTTACATACTATGTACATGTACACAAACGCCACAACAATCGGCGATACATAGTACATACATACCTAACATATGGTGGCTTATAAGCAAATAACTCCAATCAACTATTTGCCATCCAGCGACTTCTGCATCCACGCCGGAATCGTCTCATACGTCTCGAACCCCTCAGGCAGCGGGATGACCGCCGAGCGGACAAAAATATGCATGCTCGTCTCCCACCTCCACTCCAGGCCCTCGATGCAGCCCCCCTTAACACTGACCGTGTCCCTCGCCCTCCCATCAGCATCAACAATGCGATGCAGCAAGCGGGAGCCGCACTCGGCGCAGAAGTAGCAGTCCTGGCTGCGGCCGTTGGTCGCGTGGGGGGCGCGCCGGAAGACGCGCATGCGCGCGGCGAGCTGGGGCGGCAGGGGAAACAGGCCGGAGGCGGGGTAGATGGCGGAGGTGCCGAAGGCGGAGCTCGTCTGCTTCTGGCACTCGGTGCAGTGGCAGTAGAAGAGCGAGAGCGGCTGCGCCGTCGGCGTCGGGAACGACACGTGCCCGCATTGGCACCGCACCGTCAGTGGCTTTGCGGTTGCTGGCGAGGCCATCCTGTCGTGAGGTGTGGCCGGGGGTGGGGAGAGGGGAGCGGCTGGTAAAGACTCGGGCTTGCTAAACGGCGTCACCCGAAATTGTTAAGCCGTTAGTGTTTTTACTTAGGTGCAAATGATGAAATGTAGGCAGGGGCTCTTGTTTAAATCAAGTTGCACTAGGGAATTTTCTATATAGATATATATGTTATGTACGTAAAGACGGAATAGGAGGAAAAGGGGTTACTAGCGCGCCTTGCCGCAGACCCCTAGCCGTCTCCAACGTGAGGAGATTCGGCAGTTATATGTACATATGTAGGTACTACATGTAGATGATACCTGAACTAGGTATGTAACCATGTACCTGGGCAGGTTAAGTAGGTATCTAGTCAGGAATAACAATTATAATTGATGCCTACGGCTTAAACGGGCTGAATGCGAATAACTTCAATTATCATTTACGGTGTAGTGTATTGTATTACGTAAGCAGGTGGTACTTGTCATTGGGCTGGTCAGAACAGTTATTCCAGGGACACTTTAGGATTAGCACAGCTCTTTATGAAAGAAGTTCTTCACAATCGAAGGAGAGACATCGATTGAAGTAGAAGCGAGCCCATCAGTTGGGTTAGGTTACCTATATAATAGCCTCATAGTGGCACTCTGTGTCGCGTCGATACCTTCTTAGGTTTTTAGATACCCTCGCTCAACATCAGCGGTCTTGTTGCCTTTGAAAAGGGTACCCCATCTTTCCATAAGCCTCTTTGACTTAGCCCTATACCCAACTGATCCCTCTCGCTCCCCCTCTTCTTTATTCCTCTCTTGCGTGCTCCCCTCCTCTGTATCCTCATCTTCCATGTCCTTGTCTGTGTCCTCATATCCCCTGTCCTCAACTACCGTGCTCTTCTCTCCCGCGTTTCTTTCTTCTGCGAGGATGGCATTTGCTTTTTGTCTAATGTATGCTCGCAGCCCTTTCTTTCCCCAAACGTGGAGACCTGCGAACTGCAACCCAGCCCACATCGCTAGTAGAGTCACAGCAACTGAGATCAGTACGGTAGCCGCTAATAGTTCGGTCAGCACTAAGCCAATAGTTTATATGAAGCTAGCCAACTTACCACTCCATTTTCCAACATAATTAGATGAGTAAACACCTTCCTGCTGGTTTCCAGCTTTCCCTTCATTGAACTTGTCTATGGGGAGTGCGAAGAGTGCGGCAACAAACGACAAGGGGGCAAATATGACTGTGACGATCGTGAAGCCAAATACCATCGCGCCCGCGATAGCTGTAGAGTGGGCTTCTTTCAAGGCTGCGTGCTTTTGTTTTAGGTCCAACTGAGTCGAAATATTTCGCTCCACCCTCTCGGCATCTTCTTCCAGTTTCGCAATTCGTCGCCGGTATTTGTTGAATAATACTCGAGGCCGCCAGACCGCGTTCCATTCTGCTTCATTCTTAAAACCGCCTGGAATTTGTGGCACGCCACGTTCGGTTTCTTTCGCATATGATTGATAACCTTGCTGCTGACGCTGCTCCTGATGAGGCCACGCCGTGCTCATGAATTCCTCCCACACTTCCTCCTGCTCCGCGAGTACCGATTTTATCATCGAAAGCTCTTCGCGAAGGTCGCTGATCTCGTGGAAAAAAGCCTTTTCCTGGTCGATGTCAATGTCCTCAACAAGCACACTCTTCATGTACCAATTGACCTCCTCCGATATGATGGACAACTCATTCTCGTATATTTTGAGGAGCGATGTGTGTGTCCTGCCTGAGGGTTTATCGAAGAGTTCCACAAGATACATAAGAACAAATGCGATACCTACATGCCCATCTTTCTCAAATATCCCCTTGGAATGTAAATCATATTTCATTTCCAGCGGTAGGGTTGCGATCACACGGTTGTCAATTTTCCAAATCCAAGTTTGGTGGATGAAGACTGCACTTGTTGGTGATAGATCCTTGTTGGCTACCGTCCTCTTTTGCCGGTGACCCTCGGGCATTTTCCACGTTCCTAGATCTATCAAATAACCAAGCTTACGGAGATATGCCCATGCAAAAATCCATAGCTCACCTAGAAACTCGAAGGGGTGTCCTCCATCGATATCGTTGGGCAGTGTTTGTGTAGCATTTCCCCTTTGTTGTCTCTTCTTTTCGTGACGACTTAGTACCTGGTCATGGTTGCGGAACTCAAGAACATCTTGGGGCAACGCTGGATGGCAGTACTCATCTAATGTATGCGCAATATGATTCTCGAGCCATTTTCCGGTTTCGCTATTGCAATACTTTAGTGATTTAACGTTGATACGACTTGTCTTCCTCTCTTCTATGGTCAACAACTCATCGATGAAAATGAAAGGCAACTAAAGTTGTCAAAACCCAACTGCTCACAGGGACTGAGTGTAGACGTAACTAACCACAAGGGAAACGAAATCTTTGGAACCAACTTGTTTACATTCTGAATATTTCAAAGTTTGAAAAATGCACAAAGGTTCTCTGTATCTCAAGTGCTGGGGTGCCTCCTGGCTTTCGTGGAATTCTCGACGAACTTGGCCGAGGATGCACATGAGGGTTGGTATGGACTTTTTGGTGCCTTCGTCACGGTTTCCGGGGCATTCCTGTGATATGAGGCGAGCGATAAGACCGAGGAGCATCTAGCATAATAGTTAATTAATAAAAAGGTTCCCAATTAGGTAGGTATAAATAGCGGAAGCTGAGTACATTTATCAGGGCCATCTACACAATGATTTGTTAGCAAAATACCTAACCCCTTTTCCTGCATGGTCACCATCGGGCTTACACTATTGCCATCTATTGTCTCCCATTTACCAAAACCCCAACGGAGCTGTTTCACACGTTGATTCTCAACTTCTTCTCGAAGAATAAAATCAGCAATGACTTCCCCTTCATTTCCCTTTTCAGGAACTGCGAGATCCCATACTGTTTCCTCACCCCAGCCTTCTTCCGTTACTTTTGCTCCATTTTCCAAGAGAAATGAAACAGTGCCCCCGTTGTCAGCAGCGACTGCGATAAGGAAGGCAGTTTTACCACGCTGATCCCTTGCGCTGATATATTCTCTCTTGTCCTCAGCAACATCGAGAAGCTGACGGACCGTATCAACGTCTCCCCTTTTAGCTGCTAAATGGAGGGCAGTTGCATTATATGACGTTCTTGCGGTGACATATTCGTTCTTATCATTAGCATTTTCGAGAAGCAGACAAACTGTGTCGACGTCTCCTTTTTCAGCTGCTAGGTGAAGGGCAGTTTCATTGTACCGACCTCCTGCAGTGACATATTTGTCCTTGTCATCAGCATTCTCGATAAGTAGACGAACCATGTCAGCATGGCAGAACTCAACTGCTATATGGAGGGCAGTTTGATGAGTCCAATTTTTTGCAGTGACATATTTGTTCTTATCCTCAGCATTGTCGATAAGCAGACGAAGAATGTTGACATCCCCTTCTCTGGCTGCTATGTGGAGAGCAGTTTCATCACGTAAAGTTTTTGCGGTAACACATTCGTTCTTATTCTCAGCATTCTCGATAAACTTCTTCACCTGCTCCAGGGATGCTCCATCACGAATTCGAGTAGCGAGGTTGCTCGTATAGTGTTCGTTCATTGTAGTGACAGCTGTCGCGTTATTTGGTAGGCATCTTACATCCGGTTAGTCTCCACGGCTTGATGAATTGGTTTAGCTGCCTCGCTTCATTGTGTTGAGTGTGACAAGGGTTGGCTGAGCTTGGAATAGTAGTGCAACAGGTTTGGTTAGTAATTCTCTGTCATCTCAAGGTTACTTAGTTCATCTCCTTGAGATGAAGGAGAAATCCCTACATTCTTATGATAAATCTAGTGTACCTTTCTTTTAGCCTCGACTAATATCGTATTACTTGTCCTGTATAGATTGAGCCTGTCCTTCCAAGGCGTGTTGACAAATGAGGGTTATCGTATCCGCCTAGACTTCTGCTGTGCTACCGCCAGTAGGTCCTGGCACCAATCCCCAAGAAGGGATACATTCGGCCGTATACTTCAAGTCGAACATATGGCAGAAGAAAAAATCCCAAAAATATCCACTGTAAACCGTAAGCCGGGTGTTTGCATATGTACAGCACGAGTACGCCTAACTAAGGGTAAGACACTGTTTCAAATTGATTGAACTCCAGGCTACTTCCAAGTTCCAAGGTCATCTCAGGTGTCAAGGTAAACTAGGTAGGTAAGCAAAGGCGGTCAGACCAGGCGAAACCTTAGGTTATTTATGTAGGAGCCACATGCCGCGCCACGATGAATCAGTTCAAACTTCAATGTTCAAGTTGTACATAGTTAGGTACCTAGCACTTCCTCGCATGGTTCAACCGTTCAGGCCCTTGAAGTCATCATCAGCAACATCTTCACTCTCCCTCTTGCCCTCACGCTTTCCATCCGCCGAGTTCCAGACCCCTTCCGTACCATCGTCCAAAGTCTCCTCGCTCAAGACTTTCCGGGCCTCGACAACGCTAATTTCTGGTGAAGACTTGTAGTTGAGGCCTTTGAAATCATCGGCCTCCTCGCCCTTGGCAACAAGGGAAGGCTGCTCATGGGTGCCTTGCTCGCGAGCCATGTTCAGGACAATGGGCTGGGCCAAGATGGTGGCGCTTGTGGCCAGTATCGAAAGGAGGGAAGTTGATAGCTTCATTGTCGATTTATATGTTTATAGATAGCATCTAGCCCTGGAGGTATGTATCTCAGCGCATCGCAACGTTGTCCCGCCATGCATTAATCGGGTCATCACAAACCTGCTCGGCGTCGTATAGCCCCGGAAACGGAAAGATTCAAGTTGGGTTGATGTATAAACATATAAAAAATGTGATAAATCAAATCATAAACACCCCAATATCATCAAGGATACTAGGAGCTAGTACTCGATCTGGTATGTTTTCTTACATATTCCTATATATAGGTAGACTGTGAAGCACCCTCGCAAGACCACTTCCTCAACATCCAGTCTATGTATGGCAACCCATCCCGAGAGCTTCACTGACAAATGCACATTACCAAGACACGTACCATCGCGACTTGCTAATTTGTAATCACGTTTTCATCCAAGGAAACCCAGAAAGCTGAATTCGTTGTATATGAAGAAATCATAAAAGTTTCGAGTAACCTCCCGGGATAGCGTCAGAATAAACCGCGAAGAGTAGATCCATAACCACATTCTTTAAGATCTCTATACATCCCATAATGTGTTAGTTAAATTGTGAACTGAAACAAGTATCAAAGCCCTCAACTAATATCTTGATGAAATCTTTCAAAATCGAAAGGCGCGTACCTATCCAGTTACACTGTTTGTGCCATTGCGTAGTTTATTTCAACGCCATTCTACCTCTCTTCGCTGGATATCGGTATCCTTCTCGTAAGGTGGCCAGGGCACGGTACAGGGGTAGTGTTCCAAGGATGACTACACTACTCATGTTATAGAAACACAGATAGGCACACGCCATCAATACCTTCAACGTTCACATGAAGTGCAAGGTTAGATTATTAATGCACAAGCCATCCTTTTATCCGTTCCATCCGTGGCAACGTCAAAGGCTCGGCTTGTCAACCCTGAACCACATGCAGACAAGACGTTCCTCGCGGCTAAATAGGTACATAGGTATGGGAGGCGACGTATATAATACCACATAAGACCTTACTCTCTCTCTCTCTCTCTCTCCCTAACCACGCCCCATAACAAGCGCCAATCAACCCCTCAACGCCGAGCCGGAGCATTTGAAACTTGAGCCACGGAAGCTACCTACCTACCTACCTAGGTTAGGTTATATCCATCTCCACGTTATGGCACCGGGAACAAGATCAGGGGTATACCCCACAAGTTGGGGTCTGGAAGAAGCTCCGGGCATCCCAGTCTGATTCGCCCCGGCTCTCATGATACATATATGCAAGAGGTACATATATATATAGCCCAGCCTAGAGGTAGGTAGAATTGATACCTACCCACGATCCCTCCCCCCCCCTTTTTTTTCTTTTCCTTCGCGCCGAGTTATCTACTTGTCCTTGTCACCACTATCAATCAATCAATCAATCGATCAAGCAAGCAAGATGCTCTTCGAAACCGCCATCACAACCCTCGCCCTCGCGCTCAGCGCCTCCGCCCTTGCCGTCCCGAACCCAGTCGAGGTGTTCAAGCGCGCGCACACCGCCGGCACCGTGATAAGCAAGTGCTCGAAGCCCGGCGTGCTGGCGCTCGCCTACGACGACGGGCCCTACCAGTTCACGTCCTCGCTGGTGGACACCCTGGACAAGGCCGGGGTGAAGGGGACCTTCTTCTGGACCGGCACCCTGTACGGTAAGTACGAGAGAGAGGACTTTTTTTTGTTGTGTTTTCCGTGTGGTGTAGGGGAGTGCGTTGCGTTGCCAAGCTGCTTGCTTACAGACAGGCGTATAACTCTAGGCTGCATCTACAACCAGCAGGCCGCGGTCAAGAAGGCGTATGAAAGCGGGCACCAGATTGCCTCGCACACATGGTACGGCAAGCAAACCCACACCAGACACACTTTACCTAGTTTCCCAGGTCCAGCTAACCCGCGAACTCCCCGTTCCAAAAGGACGCACCCGCACATGGGCAGCATGGGCGCGGCGCAGATCAAGAGCGAGATGGAGAAGGTGGAGCAGGCGTTCGTGAACCTGGTGGGCAAGAAGCCGCAGTACATGCGGCCGCCGTACCTGGAGACGGGCGGGCAGTTCCTCGGCGTGATGAAGGAGATGAACTACACGGTGATCACGGACGACGTCGACGCGGGCGACTGGAACAACCAGTCGCCGCAGCAGAGCCAGCAGAAGTTCCAGCAGGCCGGCGCCGCCGGCAACGGCCACATCCCCCTCATGCACGAGACTTACCAGGGCACTGTCACCACCTTGACAAACTGGCTCATCGACTGGGCTAAGACGAACAATCTGCAGATTGTTACGGTTGGTGAGTAAATGCTTCGAGTCGTTGTTGGCGGGATTAGTTGCTAACATGAGACGATTGCTAGCCGAGTGTCTCGACGATGCCAATGGCGCCTACAAAGAAGGGACGTTTGAAGGCAATGGGCAAACCACTTGCTGAGTAGGGGGGGGATGTATATAGGTAGTAGATATCAATATCTAGTATTGAACCTACCTAACCTACTTACTTGTCTGCCTATCGCGAATTCAATAGAAGTTAAGTTGAACTGTAGCTAGTCCATAATGATAATTCTTATTTCGCTATAACAAAATAAAAAATAAATAAATAAGCAAACACCAAAAAATGGCAAAAGGTAACTGCCCATCCTGGGGTCGAACCAGGGATCTTCTGATTTCGCTGTTTTGCTTGCTAGAAGCTAGTAACTAACAGTCAGACGCCTTTACCACTGGGCCAATGGGCAATTTCTCATGGAATCATGGGGCTGTTATTCCGCTCTATATAACTAGCACAGCACGCTAATGTTAGCGAGCCTAGGGCTTCGTGCTAGCTGCTAGTTTCGTGGATTTCCTTACATTGCATGATTGATACATCGAATGGGTTTCAACTGCTAAATGCTATAAAATAGGGAAGTGTTTCCTCCCTCAAAGACTTCCTGTCAGCCTGCCGCGCCTGTGTTGAATTTGTCGAAATTGTTTCCGCACATTGACTGTTGTGGATGCAAATGTTGGACAACCCGTAATATAAGCCCAAGTGTTCCTCTGTAGCCTACGGACTTCCCAATGGCTCTCTCGTCCAGAATTCACATTCTCCCCATTATTCTAAAAGTTGCCCTCAACTGTCCGTAGATTGGTGAGTGATTCATTCAGCTTGTCGTGGTCGTGGTGCTTCCTGCATCAAACCCTCAATCCACCACGGCTCAGATAGGTAGTCGGTGGCAGTTAATTCCTTCATTGCGGGCAGTTCGAAGGAATTAGCTAACCGACCGAGGGCAACTGCATTGGAGAATCATATGAATCAGTTAGGGGTCCAATAGATATATTCCTCTCTGAAATCGGGGAGGTCAGCGTAAGGTCCCTCTGTTTTGATTACTCGTGGCCATTTGGAAGATCATTCGACATCATTTAGCAGATGCAAGATCGCAGGGAGGTTGTTGGGGGTCAATCAAGTAGTCATTGATCGCGACTTGCTAGTTGGTATTGGGTTCATCTCGAGTAAGGCCCAACGAGACCGAAAAGGAGGCTAGGAGTCTAGCAAATAAGAATGACATTAATCATTAGTATCTGTAGGCTAGCCTCTCTGCATACACTTTCATGCCTAAAGGTAGGCGGTATAAAGATCAATGTCGAAAAGAAAGTTGATATTGAATTCGACAACGAAATGGTGGTAGGTAAGGAGATCATGGTATTGGGGGGTAACAATCCCAGTACGTGTTGCAAGTTTCATATTTTTTCATACGCCATTAACGTTCCATATGTCTTTGACTACTACCTCTATCGAGAATTCACAGACTGAACATCAGTCATCCGATGTCACTCAAAATGTATAGGTATCCTTCATATGAGCGGTCTTCTTGTAAAGCTCAACTTCAATGCCAGGATAAATACCTAGCGTTACGTCTCTATCATCCTGTTCTACATCTTCCGAGGTAGACAACGGCATCCTTTGACACACTCTATCCACATAAGGGTACTTGGACAAGTATCATTCCTATACGTACCTTCAAAAGCTTGACAACTTTCTGTAGATACTGCAACACTCATCATTTATAGGTCTAGCTCCAACAACTCAATTTCTTATTTTAGACCGTAACATCCATAAGGCTCACCGCCAAGCGATTACCCCTTTCTTTCAAGTACCGCCTCAGTTCTACACATGTGTATTTTCTTCCAGATTCTTATTTACCTAGGCACCTAAGCATATCCGAGGTATATATCAATCTACCCCGTCGGATTACTCCACGCCGCTTGAGCTTTCTTCAACTTCCGCGCTTGGATACGCCATATTGGCTCCGCGAGCCGTACTAGCTCTTGGCCAAATTTGTTTATCAAATCTTCCACAACGTCCAGGCTGTAGAATTGTTTTATACGCCGCGCTTCCCATTCTTCCTCGGTTCCGAAAGTTGCTACAGTCCAGTCCTCTTTCCACCCATCAATGGCCCGAACTGCCTCGTCGCTGTTCACGCGTATCTTTGTAGCTAGTACATAGAATGATGATCGTACAGCATGCTTAACTCTTGGCTTGAACAGCTTGATTCGGGCGAATGTACTCAGTGACCATAGCAGAAAAGCCGTGTCCAGCGCATCAGGTCTATGCAACAATATCACCATTCGCCCGTTATCCCCCACCCCCTGAAGTCGTTGCAAGCCAATTATTAGTTGCGAGAGTGTTAAGCGTGCGGCTTCACAATTCTCACGGTACTCAGCACGCGCGTACGCGTGTGTACGCAGAACTTGCCCATCACAAATGATGAGATTGAATGGCTCATCTGCTTCATCATCGCCGTATGCATCCTTAGTGAAAAGGCGCATAGAATAGTCAAAGTTGCTGCGGTCAGGGTGCTCCTCGGGGACAGTAGTCGGATCGATTCCCATCTCACCGGCACGCATTGTAAGGTCGCAGAACTTAATGCGTAAACGTGGATGCGTTTCCCACTGTGGAAACAGGACTTCGTGGCCGCCTAGTGATGGTGGTAGGGTAGTGCCACGCACAATAGCGCGCTGATTTAGATCCATGACAGTAGACGAGAAGCCACCAGGCGCGAAACACAAGTCCAAGACACGCAAAGGTGTATCAGTTAGCTTATCAGAGAATTTCAAGATGGAACTAAACTTATTCATCTCTTCGCCAATCTCTCTCATCATTTGAAAGAACTTGAGCTTCCCCATGGCCGTAGGGTAATCAGCACGCTCTCGTTGGGTCTTGAAATGCGTATCGCCTTGGGGGTTTTCCCATCCCTATGATCGCCCAAAATAAGGAGTAAGCCTCAGTCACCAACCAGCTGCTTGTTTGAAATAAGGTGAGGTTCTTACTTGACGTCTAAGCTCAGCTAGTCCTCGATAGTCCTGACTTTTCATAGTCAAGTAGGTGTTCCAGGCCAAACGCCCTCTTTCAAGGGGAGAAGTGGGGTCTGCCGCAGGTATTGGTGGCATGACGGGCCAAACGCTTGTGGGTGATAATGCTGTTGGAAGTAGGTGTGAACTTGGAGGGTGTATAAAACGATAACAAGAGTGAGATTTTCAAGTTCTTGCTTTCGGTGCTCTTGTCTTTGTACTGGAAATGCTCTCGGCTACTAGAAGATGGATATTATAGGCGTAGATACCTAGGTGGGTATATCGAAAGTTGACACGGGATGAGTGATCAGATTGTGCAAGATTTTAGACGGAATATGAATGAAGACAGCAAATGATATTTGGCAATGTTAATGCCCAGCGGTGGGGGCTTTTCTTCTTCTTCTGGATGGCTAACACTGGATGGTTAACATCTGGAACCAATATTTAAACATTTGAAGGTTGAAATGACATTCATGGAATGGTAGGTAGGTACCTATGTAGCAGGTATGTTTACTGCACATGTGGCACCCACCCGTGCACATATGCCTACCTAGGTACTCTAAATACTTTATGTAAGTAGGAGCCTTCCATGTTTCTATGCTGAGGGCAGTTGCAGTTTCGCTCGTTTATTGAAGGCAATGCTGCAACTGCTACCATCCGAACCATTATGTAGGGCGAGATAGTAAGGCGGACGGCCCTTCCCAAATGTTGTCTGATTGATTGAAAGCGTTTGCAGTCTAGGCACATGACTTGATTTTAGATGGGATGTTGCTTCCCGGTGTACGGCCCGTTTATGATGCATCCATGGATGCATGTATCTGGTTGGTGGCGATGACCGAGTGTCTGGCCATACATATGTACCATAAACCTACATACTACTAGTAGTAATACGTACCTGGCAGTAACATGTTTGGGCAGCAGCGCGCCTTCCCATCATGTAATTCCATAATCTTGGAAATCGCATCGCGGCAGCAGTGAGTACCTGACTGATACCTACATATGTACCTTGATGAAATCATTCATACGAACTCAGCTCACCCTTGTATAAACATGCATGCTTAATAATCTCTATATTACATCATTTCTGTGCATGGCAATAAGATTATTCTTCTAAGCGCGGCATCTCTGTATCATCGTTTGGCTTAAGGCTTGCAATGATGACTCTTACTAGCATCCGAGGATGTGATGGTGATTGGAGTTTATAAGACCCATTACTTCAATAGAGATTCACCGAAGCCTGGGGAATTGCACGGCTGTAGCCTACATAAGTATGTACATGTAGACTGAGGGACTTGGGGGTAGTCACGTGGACCCCTGTCCCAGCACACCTGAGTTTCAAATGCAGTATACATACCTACATATATATGGCACCCACCTATCTATCTAAGGCATCTATGTAGTATCATGTTCATTGTGTCCCATATCATACATACCTACATAACTACCTTCATGGATAGTTTACGCATAAGCAGTCACTCTCAGATTACTCATAAAATTTATGGTTGAGTAAGTGAACATGTTAATTATAGATAATTCTGAATATATACATGTAAGCATCTAAATTGAAGACCGCTTGTACGGTATAAATACCATTCAGCGTCGATCTTCAGCTTTACTACTAGTAGTACATACATTATGTAGCGAATAAGTCCTACATGCACATACATGACCTTTGAACATTGCTGCTGTTATCGCTATCCTTATCGGTGCTTTCCTGCCATACGGATTACCATACAGATTAGTTACACATCCAATGATAAGTCAGGTACCGTACCGTACACAGTAGTAACGGTAAAGAGTGGGCCTAGTCTAAATCTTCTTTCACATTTCAATGTTATTTTTCCCTCTCGGCTTTTTCTCGCATCTCAAATCAACCACTAAGCAACCATCCTTGAAGCAGCCAAGTACCGAAACGAGTAACCAAGTACACAAATCGCGTCGACCAACTGCACGCCGCATCTCACGAAGATTCCCCGGACATCCGCCGACAACTTGCCGTACATTAGTCCTATTACCTTTCTTTTAAACAGTTTATGACGATCTTAGATGGCATCTTATCCTGAACCTTCATCTGCTGAAGCTGAGCCAGCTGAGGTCCCAGCTTCAGTATCACAACCCCAATCCTCCTCGCCGTCGCCACCAGCCATCTCTCAACCTCAACCTCAATCTCAACCACAACCACAACCACAACCACAACACCAACCTCTTCCACATCTTCACCCTCATGATCAATCGCAAGTATATGATGGCCTCCCTTCACAGCTGCCCGCTACTACCGTCGCGCATCATGGCCTTCAGGTCCTACAAGCTGCATCTGCAGCTCACCCAACAACTCCCGATCCCGTCGACTTAGCGCAGCAGTATGCTCAGTCAGCAACTCTACAAATGGGCGACGGCCAGTTTATTGCTATGGGCACAACGCCTACTGTTAGCCCCCCCTCGGCAATAACACCTGCGTCGCAAAAGGTATCGCGACTAAGACGTGCCTGTGATATGTGCAGCCAACGAAAGGTCAAGGTATGTTGCTGTGACTACCTACTGTAATCTTTGTCTTCTTGCTATTTCTTTTCCAACCAACCACATGACCCTCAGAAGCAATCTAACATACACCCAAATACAGTGCGACGAGAGCGGCCCGCCATGTAAACCCTGTGCAGATCTTCAAGTTGATTGCACCTTCAACCGAGAGATGAAGCGACGTGGACCACCCAATAAGCATGCTGAGGCTGCGAGAGCTGCGAAACGGCCTCGTAACGGTAACGAAGATGCATCTCCTGTCCCTCATCACGCCGCTGAGACGTTGGTTTCCATTGCCGCAAATCCCCCTTCAGGCGCTTTGGATGCCGAAAACATTGCGCCTTGGCCCATCTTGGAGCTGCTCATCGACGACTTCTTCACCTACATACACCCCTTGTTGCCTTTCCCGCACGAACCTTCCTTCCGCGCCGCATTCAACAACCGCATGGATAGATCAAGTGGTGAATTCTTGGCATTGCTGGCTAGTATGGTGGGCGTCCTTGTCGGCTCTTTTCCCCGAAGTGCGCGAGCCCACCTCAAGGCACAGCACAGTACCGGCCTCTTCCCTTCTGCATCCTCCATGGTGGAACAATGTCGAGCTGTTGCAATGGAAGCTCGGGGCTCCCGTTTCATAATGAAGGAGGAGATGAGTATTGATGATGCAGCGACCAGCTACTTTCTGGGAATTGCTGCCGCTGATACACTACAATGGAAGATGTGTAAGCGCTTCCTGACGGAAACCATGACATTCTGCCGAGAGCTTGGGATCCATCGCCAAAGAAGCGAACCCAGTACTGATTCCCAGTCACTCGCCCTTGGATCAGAATCTAACACTGTGGTTGATAAGCCTATCGATCACATACAGGATCAGATCGGCAAGCGAATCTTTTGGGTTATGGTTGCTGGGGTTAGGTAAGACTCTATTTAGCTACTCGATGATACTTCTAAAAGCATAGCTTAACATGTACTAATAATCATTTAGAACCATGACCCAGCTAGGAGTATCCATTAACGAGATCCCTTTGCCCCCGCTTACTTCCCAGGAGCCGTACCCTGAGCAGCCTGCAGAAGTTGACGATGAGCACATATATCGTGATCATATACTGCCCCAACCCGAAGGTACTGTTTCGTTGATTACTGGCTTCAACCGTAACGTTCGTGTCTACATGACGATGAATGAACTGATCGGCGTCGATATGTGCTATGGGATAAGTTTTTTCGACTGGAATGCCCAGAAGAATATACTCAGCAACGCCCTGGCAAGTGCTAAACAGGCTGCCGAGGACCTACCCCCAGAGCTTCAAGTGAAGACGGATAATCTCCAACATGTTCAGAACCACAACATGGGATTCGATAATTCGGACTTGGAGTACTATCCGCCTGCTCTCCCTCACGCACAGGCTACAAATGATTTGCGACGCATATTTGCGGAGCAGCCTGTTCGTCGTCGCCATCTCCAATTTGAGATACAGAAAGCCAATATTCAATTATCACAACTTGCGACTCGTTCTTATTTTGTAGAGCGATACCTCAACCTCCGCGAAGCACATCGCGCAGGCCCTAACTTTGCTGAACGGGAGAGGACCAAGGAGAAGGATGAGCGAGATAAGATGATGGAAGACGAACGAGAAGTCATCATTCAGAATCTCGTCACAGTGCTAGCGTCCATTAACCAGCTAAACATGGAACCAAACGGCTGCTCGCTCATCAACAAAATACGGCAAGTAGCTAGCACCTTGCTACCTGGCAGCGCAGAACACAAGGGAGTTGTAGCTGCCAAGGCGGAGGAGTACCTGAACGGATTCCTCGACATCCTTATGAGGTTGGAAAAGGTGGGAGCGGCTCCACGTAATGTAGCGATGACGCCTCAAAACGAAGAGGAAGAGTTACGAAATTGGGCCAGTCTCAGAGAATATCAAATCCAGTTCATGTCGAGCGGCGGTTTCCTCGGAGACGGTTACTAGATTTGGTTATTACAATGAGATGATCGGTATTCCAACCTAAGGGGAAAGTTGAACAGGTGGCTTTGGGGGTTGCGTATATACCCAGTAATGTGTGTATGCATAGGTACGAATGTGATCTGTGTAGAAAGATGAGGACGAGCAGCTTCGCTTCGCCAGCAATGATGACTTTAAGATAACTGTTGTGTGTGTATATAAGCCCCCTATCCCTCTTCAGTTCAATTGTCACCGGGAATGTATAGATGGCGCGAGTGTCTATTACTAGAAGTTCATTTGCGAAGAGATTATTTCGTGCCGAGGCTATGCTGCCTACTTGTACATACACATATGTAGATCGTCCATTACGAGGGATTGATGTGAGGTTCTAGGTACCTATTGAGGATATTTGGCCAATGTCTATGTATTATAGATAGTAGAGACGAGGGCTAAAATTCGAATCGTCTTTCTTCTTTTGTTTCTTTTGAAGATTATGCTAGAGCTAGAACCCCAAGTCGTAGTTAGGGGATTATCTGATTTCAGGGTCGAGGTTACTTGAATCATACCTAGGTACAGTACCTAGTCTTCTCAAGCATGAGCATTCTCTTTCTTGGCTGTTATCGGATATTCTGATATAAACGAGGAGAACCGTTTAGTGAGAGGTCAATCATTCACCTTTCGGCGTAGCAATATAGACCGCTCTTGATCAAACCAGGTTGAAATAATTAAACAAAATTTTAGTTAGGGCTCAATTGTTCTGTCTATCTCATCGTCATGTCATAGAAGCGCAACAAAAAAGCAAAGACGAAAACGCATCGGATGCAAAAGCCGTAAAACAACGCCCCCCCCCCCTCCGGTTGCTAATGAGCTACGTCACCAGTTTTGCTTGTGGCACTGGGAAACCCGCAAGATAGATAACGGTGTTGGGAATTATGATATCATGTCGTCATTGTGTTTATAGACGGGGCGGATAGCCATTTGTGGTTGTCTCACGAGTGGGTTTTTTCTTGTTAGTAGCTGCATAGGAGTTAGTTTGTGATGATGATGATGTAGTTGGTGTATAAATACTGATGATGCGTACTTAGGAATTCTTTTCCAAGTAGGAACTTCTAAACTTTTGTATTTGAAAAGACATGAACGCTCGTATCTATGATTGAGAACCATATACATATCTGGAATTCATATAGATAAAAACAAGAAGCAGAAATCAGCATACAAGATGCCGTACCCTGACGAATTCGAGGGTTTCATGATAACGGAATTGGGGAAGTACAAGGACTTTAAAAAACAATCTGTTAGTAATTACGGCCTTTTCCACTCTCTACCTACCCACTGACAGTCAATCTCGCTCATAGTTCAAACCCAAGATATTTGGTGATAACGATATCGACATCCAGATTGAGTGCTGTGGCGTGTGCGGATCAGATGTGCACACGGTGACGGGCGGCTGGGGTGACGCCCCGACGCCGCTGTGCGTCGGCCACGAGGTCGTAGGCAAGGCGGTCAAAGTTGGGTCCAAAGTTAAGGATGTCCAAATTGGAGATCGCGTAGGTGTGGGTGCGCAGATTTGGTCTTGCCTCAAGTGTGGGCAGTGTAAGAACAATAATGAGAATTATTGCCCAAGCATGGTTGGTAAGCTACCTTTTTCATAACTCACATCCCTCCCCCCAATTCGGAGGTCTTTCGGGCACTTGCCGGAAGGAAATATTGTAACGGGGGGTAGTGAAAATAGGGAAGGGTCTACATGAAGGAGACTGACTTCGAATATAGACACGTACGGCGCTCCGTATCCAAAGGAAGCGGATCCCGCCGAGACCATAAGTCAGGGAGGCTTTTCATCGCATATCCGCGCCCACGAGTATTTCGTGTTTCCCATACCCGACGCAATCGAGTCACACCATGCGGCACCTATGCTATGCGCAGGATTAACGGTATGGTCACCTCTTGTACGAGCAGGCACGGGTCCGGGCAAGCACATCGCCGTCGTCGGGTTGGGCGGGCTGGGCCACTTTGCAGTGATGTGGGCCACGGCGCTCGGAGCCGAAGTGACCGTGATCTCGCACTCACCTAGCAAGAAGGCGGACGCTTTGAAGCTGGGCGCAAAACACTTCGTCAGTAGCGGGGACAAGGACTGGGCCAAGCCGCTAGCCTTCACATTCGACTTCGTGCTGAATACGGCGGACATGACACACGAGTTCAACATCACTGACTACTTGTCGATACTGAAAGTTGGATGCCAGTTCCACCAGGTCGGCATCCCCGATAAGCCGATGCAAGATCTGAGCCCTAAACAATTCATGGCGAACGGCTCGAGTATAGGTGCTAGTCATATCGGCTCCCGACCTGAGTGCCTTGCTATGCTAAAGCTGGCGGCTGAGAAGAAGCTGACTCCGATAGTGGAGACGATTCCGGTGGGCGAGAAAGGGTGCGCGGAGGCAGTTGATAGGGTTCGTAGGAATGACGTGCGTTATAGATTTACACTTGTTGATTATGACAAGGCTTTTGGAACTTAAGGAGGTACTTTAACCTATTACATTTGGGTTGATGATAAATAAAAATAAAAATAATAATATCTCCCAACAATGAATCTAACATGAAAGATGAATGTGATAAAGTTGAAGTTATGGTTGACTGTTCTAGGGTAGGCATACAAACTGAACTTTGCTACGTCAAATGAGGCTGAACAAATTAAACCTTGAGTGATGCAATTAAACTGTGGCGGTGCGGTTGGTTTCAAAAGCTGCTAGGGCCCGAGAAGATTGGCGCCAAAAATTTTAAGGCCAAATAAATGTCCAGTGAGCCAAGTCAGCCAAGTCAGTCCAGCATCTTTAACTACTGCCAGAGTCTGCCAGAGTGCACTGCAAGCCTCCAGATAAAGAAAATGATGCACCAATTCTAGTCCACCAACTATTATTCCTTATACTTACCAGTACCACCCTACTACATTAACCTAGTAGGGATATTGTAGTTATTGGTGAGTTATTCAATTTAACAGATTTCAATCGCTTTATCTTATTTTTCCAGGTTCCTGTTTCGATTTTCTTTTTTAATTTTTATTATTATTTCTTTTTTGATTGGTTATCCCACACGTCGCAACATACATTTGTCCGACTGTTGACCAACGGCGACAGATAGGCCAGACAGGGAGAAAGACAGGCAAACCAGACAGACATACCAGACACAATTCAGCCCTTGAGGTCTTAGACTCGTCCACTCGTCCACTCGTCCAGTTTGGCCATTTGTGGGAGCTTTTGGACTTTGAATGCGACTTCGGCTTCGGCTTCAGCTTCGAACTTGACTACGTCTACAACTACGACGACTACCATTACTGCCATTACTATTAACTACTACATACTACGATTCTGTTATCGAGGGATAATAAATAAAGTACCTAATTTGGGAGGGTCCATTAGCCAAAGTGTTAACCATTGATTAACGCCGGGTCCACCCTTTTTTATAGGATCGACCTCTTAAATATTCTACTAAACTGCAGTACAAGTACGTGCCAGGGCCCCCCAGGGATCGTGAGCTGGAAAGGGGACGCAAAAAAATAATAATCCTACATACAAATCAATCATCTTTGCGAAAACATCCAACTCGTCCCGGCTATACCTTATCCAGTACCCTACATAGTATCCGGGCAACGTCAGTTGCTTACCTATACTAATTGTAAAAATCCTAGAACCCACAATTACTTCCCTCGATTCGACTTCGAGAAACACTCTTTGACTACTACATTACAGCATTGAACACATTTGGTGCTTTTGAGGGATCTTTACCCTCACGCGACGAATTCCAACCCGAACCTCAACTTCAAGCCCGACCCCTACTATTGACCTTTGATAAAAGGGGAAGGATAAAACATAATAATAACAATAATAATATGTCGTCGGGATTGACGAGACGCCGCGGAGCGGGTGGCGGCGCGGCTAACGATGAGACCAATGGTGTCAATCGATCCAACTCTGCCCAAAATGTGCGCGACAGCGCCCCCGAGACGAGTTACGAGAATAGCGAGAATGGCCACAAGATTGCCTTTGATCCGCGCGACATCAGCGAAAGCGCCGAGAGGAGTAAACAGCCTAAGCTTACCCTGATGGAGGAGGTCATACTACTGGGACTTAAGGACAAGCAGGTATTGACGACCCCAGCATCATTCATCTGTATAGAATAATTGTCCTAATGAAGCCTGTAATCAAATAGGGTTACCTCTCATTTTGGAACGATAACATCAGTTATGCTTTGCGCGGTTGTATCGTCCTCGAGTTAGCTTTCCGCGGTCGCATCAGCATGCAAAAAGATCCATCTAGACGGCGTTTTCCTCTAGCCGACCGTGTGATCGAAGTCGTTGACGATACCCTAACGGGAGAGGTCTTACTCGACGAGGCTTTAAAGATGATGAAGCAAAGCGAGAAGATGAGCGTCAGCTCCTGGATCGACCTGATGAGCGGTATGCTAACTTGTTCCTAAAATCGCCATCGTTTTATTTGGTTACTGACTATGGTTACGCGCAATGTAGGAGAAACCTGGAACCTCATGAAGATCGGTTACCAACTGAAGCAAGTTCGTGAGCGCCTTTGCAAAGGCCTCGTTGACAAGGGCATCCTCCGCACCGAAAAACGTAACTTCTTGCTCTTCGACATGGCCACCCACCCCGTAGCGGATGGTGGTGCAAAAGACGAGATTCGACGGCGCGTTAGAAACGTTCTAACTCAGCGTACCGTTGTTCTTCCCGCTTCCCAGTTCCTCCCCGAGAACCTCGAGTTCCGATATATCCGTACTATCTCCATGGTATGCGCCGCCTACGCTGCCAACGTCCTAGAAAACGCGCTTAGCACCTTGGGTCATGAGGCTCGAGAGCGCGCTTTCACACAGACGGACGAGCTACTCGCCGAGTACTCCCAGTGGCCCTTTGGCAAGAAGACTACCACCACTGGGATCGGAGCTAACCTTCCCCAAGTCATTTCCGATGTGAGTCTACTTGATCCTTCCCCCAATATTTTCCCTCGGAAAGCAATATCATGCTAATCAAAATACAACCACAGGAAATCAATACTGCCAAGGATAAGGAATTGCAACTTGAAGTTGTTGCCGCGTGCTTGAGCGTGTTCACTCGCCTTGATTCACTACTGTAGACTCCAGTTCCCAACTGAATTTTAATCCCTTTCCACTATTATGATACGAACCTAACTGGCACTTTACCTCGCCAAACTTGACTGTCCGGCACCATATCCATTTTACCCAATACCTAAATTCTCAATTTCCTAATACAACCCGATTCCCACCCGTTATTCTTCGACGATACCATTGCGGACGAGAGTCGTTCTGGATTAAAGAAAGGAGGTTTGATTCAGGAACAAACTTGCATGTAACCGCGGAGTCACGGGGTTTTTGAAACAAACGAAATGATACACGGGGGAGGAGAGAGAAAAAGGGGGCATGTGAATATTGTGCCCATGAACCCACTGAGGATTTCCGGACGGGGCGACGGGCAAAAAACCTACACAAACATCCCATTAGAAATAGGGAGAGATGGAATGAAGAGAGCTATAAAAGGGGGGGAAAGGACGGGGGGTTCAAAGGAGGAGGAGAGGAGAGAAGGGATGGAAAGAAAACTTCTTAACGGTACCCATTAGGCAAGGACTTTGCAAAGGAGAGAAGAGGTTCCCAATCAATCATGTCATTTTTCCCGACCGTGTTGTAATAGTCTAAAAATCATGGATTCTTGTTTTTTTTTTCTCATCCTCCATGCTTCTCCTCGTCCTCCCCTCGGTGTTTCTTCTTCTTTGCCACGATTTGTTTCTGTTTGGTCTTTCTTCTTTCTTCGCCGCCACTACTGCCGCCGTATATGACTGACGTCTTGTGGGAATAGATACCTATTTATTTGATGGGCTGGTTGGTTTTGTGTTTGTTTGTTTGTTGGTTTGTTTGTTTGGTTGGATGTTGGTTGCTGGGGTTTGTGTTTAATTTGATGATTCTACATCACGTTAATACCTACCTACCTGACCTAGGTAGGTAGGTGGGTATGGGAAGGTGGTTAGACGATGTATATCAAGATCATGTCATGTCATGAGCATTATTATTTCTTCTTCTTCTTCTTTTCTTCTTCTTCAACCTTCTTATTCTTGTATATATATGTAACTTGAAGAATTTCCGAATTCTCAAATTGTTCTGCATGTTTGGAGCAAACAACAAAACAGCAAAAAAAAAAAAAAAAAAAACCTTGCTGTTGTTCCTTCAAGGTTGCATTTCCTTTTTACCATTTAGCTGGCTAGTTAGAGGTATGTAGCTACTACCTAGGTAGGCTTCATAGCATAGGTATCCTATTTACTTCTTATCCTTCTACTTCTACTTCTGCCTTTTTCCTGTTTCTGTTTTTATTCTTCTTCTACCTCCCCTTCCGCATCCTCTCCTTCCAACCCCCCTTCTCGAATAACCAGATCGCCTCGATGGCAAACGCCCTCGCGCTGCGGTGACCGCGGCCTTCCTCGGTCGCAGCTTCCTCGTACAAACTGCGGAGGACAGCCCCTTCCTCGAACTCGGCCCACAGGCCCTGGGGCACGGCATCGACGGCGCCGCCGTACTCGCCGCGCCCGAGCCGGTACAGCACGCGGCCGAGCGTCTGGTACGCGACGCACCGCTGCCCCGGGACGGCGCTGCGGCATAGTCGTGCTAGCTCGCGCACGGTGTAACCCGCGGCCTCGGGGGCCTCGCCATGGTGGTGCAGACCTTTGGTTACGGGGACGGCGCGAGAGATCCGCGGGGGCAGGAGGAGGCCCCGGAAGTCGAAGCGGAGAGCGGATACGGGGAGGGAGGATTGGGAGGGGTGGTAGGGGCTGTCGTGGTCTGCGATCGAGTTGGGTGTTGGCACGGGCGCCATCCAGGCTAGCTTGGAGGGGTCGGCGGGGAGTTGGGGGAAGTATTTCTCGTGAAGGAGTTGGAGAAAATTAGGGTCGTGGGGGTCGAGGTCCGCGGGTTGGGGTGGGTGCGGCCAGTGTGGTTTGGGGAGGGGTGCTTTATCAACGTTGGGGGCATTGGGGTCGATTATGTAGTCTTTGGGGGGTTCGCTCGGGGCTGCGTCATCGTCATAGGGTTTGTGAGTGGGTGTGTGTTGTGGTAAGGGTGCCGTGGTCGCTTTTTCTTCCTCGTCTTCATCTGCTACCGAAGCAAAGTGTACGCGCTTGGAGTGACTGGTAGTTGGACTTTGCGCAACGTTAGGATCGGCAGCGCTGACGCTCGGCTGGTCGGATGTGTCTTCTATCTGTATCTTCGGAGGGTCTTGTGTCCGCGTCGCTTCGCTCGGATTTCCCCCGGTGCTGCTTTCATTGGGCTGGTCGAAGGGCGAGGAGTTGCAGGCTTCGTCGAGGTTGGCGCGCTTTAAAAGCATCTCTAGTGTAGATTGATCCAAGCCGCTAAATAATTCTCGCCGGGCCTCTTCGATCTCCTCTGGGGACATGGATGCCAGTCTTTCGTTGTTCTCTCGGTCTATGCCTTGAAACTCATTTTGCTTTAAATCTCCCCTACTCGGTTGCGTCGGTGGGCTCGCATTGTGTAGTGGTGTGGGAAGTGGCTCTTTCGAAGCTGTGGTGAATGCTTTCTCATCAGACTTTGCGCCCTGCCGTTTTGATTTGAAGGTCGAGATGCGCGTGCGCTTCTTGTGCTCGGGGAAACCAGTCGTCGTGGATTTAATTTGAGGAAAGCTTGGAGATTTTGGCTGAGTCACTTCCTTCTCCTGGATATCTGTGATGAGGAAATCCATATTTGATATATAACTTAGTTTGTGCTATAAGATCAAAAGGATGCTTGAGAAAATATAACTCTGAAGGGGAAGGTTGGTGTTGGCGTTGGTGTTGGTGTTAACTGGGTTGATCATAATTCAATCAACGAAAGAAATCGAAGAAATTACAAAATTTGGAAGATTGACGTAACAGCCACTAACGCCCCTCTAAATCGTCACGGGTATCAACTTGTATCTTGAATGTAGCTGATAAAGACTTAATCTGTGGCTGGTGCATCAAATAGCGTATCACTAGCGTCAAGTAGCTCTATTCTAGAAGCTAAAAGGAATAAGCGCGGATGAACGCTTAACGGACCAATGATACGTCATCGGCCCGCGTTTCATTGTGACGGGAGTTGAAGCAAGGGTCTTGGGCTGAAACTTAAAAGAGGTACGTACCGGCAGAGAACGAATTTCCAATCCTTGGCGGGTTACGTTACTCCTCAGCTTAATTCGAGGTAGTATTTTCATGCAGCCTCTAAATCGGGCAATGCTATAGATTACAACTAAATTAAACAAGTATGCTACATAAATTGTATATGTTCATGGACTGATTAAATTATTTATCTCATGATTATACTATTGCATCTGAGCACATACACTACTAGGTACATATGTATCAGCAACAATATCTTATAAAGCAAGATAACCTTGGAAACTGACACTCTTAACATTTTTGGCATTCAAGGTTCTAGGACTAAAGAAACCTTAGTAGGTACATGTACTGCCATATAAGTACATAACCTAAGCTGAGTAACCAGTCATTTATTTGCCAATTCATCCCGTAATATTTTAAAGGATTCATGGATGCACAGCCCTTGATCAGTAAACCAAAAACGTGCGATTTGTTGATACATATGTGACAGTATAGCACAGTATGTACAACACCATAAACCCCACCTAAACCGAGAGAAATCCCGCCATGTCAGAAATACATCCATAGGTCTTAGGTACACTACTGCTTTGTGATAGCGCAAGGGTAAAGAAAAGAAAGGAGGAAGCTTCTAAGTTCAAATCCTTCGGCACATTCATTTCCCCACCCAATCCAGGTATTGATTACTTACCTACCTAACTCATAGTCAATGAAAATCGCATCAACTAGTAAGGCACAAATGTAAAATCATAGAAACGCCAGATGCAAGCAAAGTGCAGAACTTGTTCTATATACGTATAGAATTGAAAATGTTACGTCTAATAATAGGTACCACACTTAACCTTAGATCCCTGTCTTTCTTTTTCGTGCATCCATATCTTAGTAATATTTCTCCAATTGTCAATTACACCCTTGTAAGTATCGCGGCTATCTTGCGTTAAACCAATCTGGTGGGTCCTGTTAGACGTTGGGGATTGTTGATGAAACAGAAGTACGTACCCCACCTTTTCCCTCCTGTCCGTATACAAAGTACCTAAGTACACATCTACGAATTCGGGCGGAGAGAGACTAGAGGCTCAAGCTGCATGAAATCCAACAGTTCCCCACTCGCCCTACCTTTTTTAAGTTTGCCGACCGCTCGGCTCATCCAACCCGCGTCCCTAGATAGCTGACCCATTCAAGAAAAGGATATACTTCTGCAGCTGTACCTGACCACCTACATTTTTATCGTCTCAGATAACATCCGACATTACCTCCAGCTCGTTGCCTGATGTGCATTCAACGACAAAAGCGTACCTCACACACGTACAGGATGTCTCAATTGAAGAAATCTCTTGCCCTTTCTTGATTTCATTACTGAGTACCTAGTACCTGCATACTCAGATACTCTAATATGTACGTATGTGTTTTGTACTGATTATGTACCTACGCATGTACATACATGTAAGCGATCCGCATGCAGTAGTACATACGCTAGTATTATGTATACAGATGTATGGATGTACATATAATGTATAGCTTTGGGCCCGGTATGTATAATTGATACGTGAAAAGAGCATTAGTTAGCGATAGAAAGTACAATACCCCATACTTACAGTATGTCCAGCCACATCGGGAATTTTTAGTTCCTTACCTTCTTCTATCTTGTATTCCAAGACTGCTAATTAGCTGATAGCTATGCGATCCCACCTAATAGTGTACATGTATGTACATAGAAGTATCTGTTTTTGTCCTAGGTCCTTCATAACTCCCGTCCTGGTTCTCCCTTTTTAGGGAAAGTCCCGGTGCATTACCATACCCCTGGTGCTTTCGTTGTTCATTATTTTTTATTTTTGTAACCTGTCTGCATATGTACATAGTTATAGAAGTATATACATATGTATACAACAGCCCTAACACGAACCTAGAAGACTTCGCTGTCACTTGTCACTGTCACGAACACCCTACCTACATACATACCAGTATGCTAGGTACCTAGGTAACTAGGGCCACCTCATCGTTTCCTGCTTGTGAAGTGTCATACGCCCCCCTCCTTTCCTAAGCTGTTCCTTGTCGTTTCCTTGATGTATGTATATACGATGTACATAATTACACACTTACCTGACATTCTCTACATTCTCTACATTATCTACATGCATTCAATGTTCTCCATTTGTCTAAAGTTCCCAAAGTTTCCCCCCCTTTGGCTTTTGGCTTTGGTACAATAATGTATTAGGCTCCATCGTCATCCCCGAGCTTTGGCCAGATGGACCACCACTTGGCTCTTAACCTACCTAGGCATTTGTAGTTAATGACCTTGCCCATGACCATGACCCTCCCCCGTCGGATGACTTTCGCGATCTAATGGCTCTAATGGCTATGCGCCTAATTCGGTTTTCTTACTGCTCTTACCTTTTGCCCCCCCAAAATTCCCATTGCTCAGTTTCCAGTTTCCCCTTGAATTCCTAATTGTTCCAATGACACCCCCCCAGGCTTACCTAGTTCCGATCTCTAATTCAATTTTTTTAATAATAATAAAATTTCCCACGCAACTCTTATTTCTACCTAGGTAGCTTGAGCTAGAACGTGCCCCCATTTTTCTTCGCCGTGTAGGAGAAATAATTGATTCCCATTCCCATTTTCATTTTCCAAAACGTAGCCATCCCCATCTCTTCCGCAATCTTTCACAAACTCTCAATTCTTCCCTCTTCTCTACTACTTTTTCATCACAACAATGATGTGGTTTTGAAGATAAATCCATCTAAACTTATCATTTAGACGCACTTTTCCATTCACTTTTTTTCTTCTTCATGTGCACTAAAATCCAGTGCATCTGATTACACTAGTCTGGAAGTCTTATACCTCTATAATTACGACTTTTTAGTCGAATAAAGTCTGGCTCGCCTTTCTACTTCGCGCATCTCCCTACACAACTCTCGCGAAGTTATTCAGACAAGACCGAACTCCATCTCCAACGCCGCACCGACCACACGATTTCAAGGTCACGTTACTCAATAGCGTGTATACCCGGTACAACTCGCTCCATCGGGGACATCGCACTTAACTCAATCAATCGATTCCCTTTTTTCTTATTTCTTTTTTTTTATTGTCGCGTACCTACGTTAGCAGTAGCTGGACCCACGTGCGCCCAATCTGAGCCAATTCGATACGGTACATATTACCTATTAGGTATTAGGTGGTAGCGCACTACGCCTACTACTAATACTACTAATACTATTACCAAGTACCTACATAGTGTAGGTATAACTTCCAACTTGTTACCAAATTATCTGCAACCCACCGCAAATTACAATTTGCAATTTGCAATTTGTCGCCAATCAGTTACGACAGTCGACACTAATTGTATTAACCAATCCACTTATACTTATACCTACTTGGAACTTTGGATTTATTTATACATGAACGACTATCAACTGGCTTCATAGCTGCTTTCACAAATTCACACTGTCACTTCACTTCACTTCACTTGACTTGACTTGGCTTGACTTGACTTCACTTCAGCTATAAGAATCCTCATTACTAGGTGAATTTTAATTCATCCTAGAATTTTGGGTCTCAGTTGGCTTCCTCTCATTCCTCATCTCGCATCGCATCCACACATACGCACACTGGCAACAACATCACTTAGGAGGAATTAAAGGGGATCTTGGTCGACGTTCGATTTGGTCAAGCGTTTGGGTTGCATCAGTGGATTGGACTGGATTGGCATTTATTTGGGCTTGATCGTTCGACCGCCATAATGGCTGCGGGTTCTAGCAATGCCCCACAGCGATACAGCTCTTCTCCGGAATTATCAGATCCGCCTTCTATGCTGTCAGCCCCTGCATCACCCAGTGCATATAACAGGTCAAAGAATGGTGGGGAACTCGATGAAATTGTAGTAGACCCTACGACTATTCGATATGATGGAACTGGCCAGCCCATGCTTACCAAAGACGGTTTGCCTAGAAGGAAACCTGGCCCTAAGCCCGGAACAAGAATTAACAAGCGAAGTAGTGCCAGTGCCAACCCGGAGGAAGGAGAGAAGGTCAAGCGGGTTCGAAAACAAAAGGATCCCAATGCGCCCACTACTTCAAGGAGGCGAAAGATAACTTCCCTCGATGGCGAGGCCGGTGAACCACCATCACGTGCTACAAGCGTCGCTGGTGGTGCTGGCTCTAGTGTTCTTACATCATCACGGCAGGCCAAAGTCACCGAGTCGAGCACAGTTAACAATCGTCAACAACCGATTCCTCCCCGGGAAGTGAAACGTGAGGGCATGCCAGGATCAATGTCCAGCATTTTGAACGCGGAACCTGAGCCCCCACAAACATACCTTCGTCAACAATCTCAGCAATCTCAACAACCAACACGCCCTACTGCTCCTTCTCGGACGAGTGGTACCAACTATGACCCCATTCGCTCATCTAATTACGACCCTATCAGAGAAACGATGGTTACACATAGCTATTCTAACCCCATGGGCTCTCCTCGTGCTCCTTCCACCTCAAACATCATTAATCGAGCAAGTGCCTCCCCCTCCATTGCCAGTCTTGTTGATCCACCTGTACCCAATATTATTTCTCCTGTTCCATCACATACCTCTTTTGCTCAAAGCCTTCAACAACAATCACAATCTCATTCCCAACCTCCACCACGTATTCAGAAAGAGGCCAAATCAATGTCAGAATCACCTAATCCCTTCCGGAAGGAGTTCGTAGCTCCTCCGGTTCCCAAGCCACACACGACCGAGGCTAAAGAAAGCAAGAATACCAAGGAGGCTAAGGAACACAAGGAGCCCAAGGAACCCAAGGAACCCAAGGAGAGCAAAAAGCTAGCACCACCTCTGGCACCTACCGCTGCTTCCAAGATTGAGATCCGACCAACATCAATTACTACGATTGGTGCAGCTGTTACAAAGAAGTCCGCGCCGAAAAATCACAGTACAGCCTCATCATCCCCTCATGTTAATGCTTCGAAAGAAGCACTTGCGCCTCTTCCTGGTGGGTCCGACCGCTCTATCCTGGATTTTGGGAAAGCCGAACCTGGTTCTGAATTCATCGCGCCGTCTATTGTTCTCAACATTCCATTGAATGGAGAGACAAACAAGTATATCAACTTCATGCGAATGGCCGAGGATCAATATGGTTGGGATGCGCTCCACCCACGACAGGCTGAGCATAAGGCTCGTAAAGCTCGTATCGCTGCTGCGTCTGCGGCGTTGGCCCAAAACGACTCTAGTCGGGAAGGTGACGAAATGTCTGTTGATGAGTCGGACAACGAGGACTCCAATGTTGAGATGGGCGGTATGAGTGGACCAGATAAAGCCACCGATGGCAAACCGGCAAAGAAGAAGAGACATTTCAAGGAGGATGAATATGACAAGGACGACGACTTTGTGGATGACTCTGAATTGTTATGGGAGGAGCAGGCTGCTGCCAGCAGGGATGGCTTCTTCGTTTACTCTGGCCCGTTGATACCAGAGGTCGAGAAGCCAGAACCTGGACGGTACGTATACCGCCTACATTTTAATCATTTAATTATACTAATACGTTTTAGTAGTGACGGTCAGCCCAAGAGAGGACGAGGCTCGCGCGGTGGTCGTGGCGGTGCCCGCGGAGCTACTGCCGCTGCAGGAAGAGGCCGTGGAGGCGGACCCGGATCTCGTGGTGGCGCCGTAAGAAAACCTCGGATGACTAAAGCCGACAAGGCTCAGATGGATCGCGAGAAGGCCGAGCGTGAATCTGCATTCTTAAAATCAACAAATGGAGGGTCATACAACGTTCTTCATCCAGGCAGTCCACAGTTTGCTGGTTTGTAGAGCAATCAGGGGTAAAGTGGAGCTTAGGGATTGGCATGGGGAAGGCAATGAATACAATTGTATACCACCACAGGCGTTCGGCGACAGTCACTATTAATCGACAAGGGGCATCATAGCAGGAGGACGTCACAGACGGAGCGTGTCAACCCCCCGATTTCGATGGATTCTTACGATGTCCCTTGACACACATCGGGGCTAAGGGAAAGGATCTTGCGTATACCCATTTGACGACGACGGACGGATGGGTTAGCTTAGTTTTTAGTTGGCGAGCATCCAATGTCGTATCGTAATGCATGTTTATTTTGTACAGGAGCATCGAGGTTCAGGCGCCAGACTACAAGGAGACTGTACTTTTTGCGATACTCGACATAATTAAGTGAGATGAGTGTAAATTGAAAGGATTTGAAAATATGAGAATGTGTGAATTTTGAGAATTTGGTGGCTGACCCTGACCTACATTCCTAGATTATCTGGAATAAGTTGATTGGTCAAACCTCGTCTTCCCCGCTATTCATGTGGTAGCGGTGCAGTGACTCGGTTACCTAGCTGCCTGGGTCTATCCGGATCGGCCGCAAAGTGGATATCCGTAAAGAGGCGTAACGGCTTGTGACAACTGGTTTTGTGTGTGTTTCTCAGCATGAGGAGGCTTTTGCATTGACAGACCATCCCCTGTCCCGTCTATCATGCTGCGTGCCTACTTAGCTGCCTAGGAAGATACTATTGGTCGTACTGATGCTTCGCCAAGGGTATGGGACATTTATAAGCGTCGCTCTGTCTCTTTTCCTTTGCCCCTTTCCTTGCTTTTTTCCTCTTTCTCTCTTTTCTTGCTCTTTCTTTTCTTGCTCTCTCGCTCTAATTACTTTCTCCTGTAATCGCTTCTTCCCCTTTTGCTATCACCCCCTTTTTATCAGTCAAGCTTCCTATTCAGCATGGCAACTCCTCACCCCCTTTCCGCCGCGGCGTTGCTTTCAGTAAAGGGTTGGGTGGCCGTCGGTTGGTTTTCCGCCCCTTTTCTACCTCAGAGCCCCCTCTTTTACTAACCAATTCTTGGTTTTACGCAGTCACTGGCGGGGGCACCGGCATCGGACTGAGTAAGTACCTACCTACCCCCCTATTATCGGAGGTCATAGCAACTTTTACCCCCCCTCTCCCCCTATTTTCTCTTTTACCCCTATTAATGCACAAGGTGTTTCTTTCCCTCGTTCTCAGTGATAGCCCAAACCCTCGCAGTCAACGGAGCCAGGGTCTACATCACAGGCCGCCGCGCCGACGTCCTCGAGACGAGCGCCCGCATCCACGGCTCCCCCGAGAGGCTGGGGCTGTCGGGAGGCAGCATCGTGCCGGTTGTCGGCGACATCACGTCTAAGGACAGCATTAGGGATGTTGTGGCGAAGATTAGGGATAGAGAGGGTTTTGTTAATGTGTAAGGTTCTTCCCCCTCCAGGAAAGAGGGAGAAGGGAAAAAAACGAGGGGGGTTGAATGCGTTGTGTGCTGATTGTTGCGCGCGGCAGTCTTGTCAATAACGCCGGTACGTGGCTCGGCAAGACGGAAGCAACGCCTGAGGATGGCCCCGAGGCGTTTAGCGAGGGTATGCTTGCTGAGGATAAGGAAGGGAACTGGCAGAAGAGTGCGAAACAGCCCCCCCCCCCCCGCTACTGTGTGTGATGGGAGTCTAACTACTCCATGGCTACACAGCGTACGACATCAACGTAACCTCGCAGTACTTCGTCACGGCCGCCTTCGTCCCTCTCCTCGCCAAGGCCGCGTCCAGCCCGGCCGGGAGGCCCGGGAACGTGATTAATATTGGTTCGATCTCGGGTCTGTTGCGGTTGTTAGTCTTCCCTCCCTATCTACCCTAGTACTTGCTTAGAATGGAGGGGACAAAATAATTAACACCCCTTTTCCAGACCGCAAAACCGCCAGTTCGCGTACAACGTACGCCTACCTACCTAGTCCCTCTTCTCTTCTCTTCTTCTTCCTATCGTCCTAGGAGGTTGTTGTTCTTAGGGTGGTTTTTTTTTCTTCGCTAATACCTAGATGATATCATATTTCAGGCCAGCAAAGCCGCATTCACGCACCTAACGCGCCAGTTGGCGTTTGAGCTCAGCCATGACAATATCAATATTCGCGTGAATGGCATCGCGCCAGGTAAGAGAGAAACAAAAAGCAGATTTTTTGTGTTCATTGGACGCTCTATCCCCACCTTTTCTGCCCCTATTTCTCCATAAGCACCTAAAAAAGCCTCCACCACTTTCCATCCTCCTCCTCCCTATCAATCCTGCAACATAACTCGCTTATTTCATTCCATCTCATTCCTCAAATTCCAAAACCAATCCAAGCCAAACCAACCATACCACATGCTTGCGTACCTAGTAACTAACAAATGGGCAAAACAGGCTACTTCCCCTCGGAGCTAACAACAGGCCCCTCCAACGAGGAGAATCTGAGCGTGGTCGACGAGGAGCGGTTCCTGCGGTTCGTGGAGGGCATGGGCATCACGAAGAAGGGGAAAAGGATGGGTACGCCGGGGGAGCTGGCGAGTGTATGTTACCCCCTTTCCAACCCCCTCTTTTTCTTCGAGATTTCGTAAATTCTTTTTTTATGTGAAGTGATGTGGCTTCTCGTTCCTTCTCGTTCCTTTTCTTCATTTTTTTTGTTCTTTTTTTTTTGGTTTTGGTTTTAAACTTAGGTTGTTGTAGCTGGACTGACTAACAAATGACGGTCGTGTAGGTGGTGCTGACGCTGGCTACCAACGAATTCATCTGGGGCACGATCATGGTTGTTGACGGTGGGTTGTCGTTGACGGCTCCAGGGACTATGTAAGGCTCGGTCGGGGCGTGTTGAGGTAGCCATGGATTTGTGTGGCCTAGGCATCCACGAATAATACCAGTAGGTTGATAGGTCAAGCGACCAGACTGCAGGGCTGGTAGCGCTGATGATATTATGAATGACAAGTTTTCGATGAAAGGTATAAAACCTGCTTGTTTGGTCAGCTACTAATCACGTATGAAGATAGAAGCTAAATATGGCTTACCTGATGAATAAGTAAACGCAGCAGAATTATCGCAAGTGTGAACATGACAGGGATGCCTCAATTAATCCCACGCGGCGCCGCCGGCACACTCGGCGTCGGCAGCACACGTCTCAAGTTCCTCGCCTCCCACGCGAGCTGCCGCGCCGACCCCGCCGAGACGATATCGCGGCGCCTCTCCAGCCAGCGCAGCGCCGATCCATGCGACCTGATATCACGACTCGACAGCTTCGTGCGCTCCACTTTCAACGCGCCGTTGCCATACTTGCACGCAACCGCCTGCCACTCGCTTACAACACTCTCGCGGAGCTCCATGGGAACCGCGTGCGAGTCCAGCACATGCACCGTCGACGTCTTCCCCCTATCGTTGGCGTTCTCCTTGCGGCACGTGTACCGAAAGATACGCACCTCGCCCTCCTCGCCGTGCCAGATCTCCATGACGCCTAGCACCGGCATGCGCAGCGCCGCGCGCGCCGCGCACTCGAGCACCTCGGCGCGGTCATCGGCGGCCCCCTCCACCCGAAGCTGCGCCGAGGTCAGCGAGAGCGCGCGCAGCCTGGGCCAGAAGTCGCGCTGGGCCGTCTCGTCGATCTCGCTGGGCAGGAACCGGCGGAAGAACCACTCGGCGCAGACGAGGAAGGAGGCGTCGATCTCGGCCAGGCGCTGCGCCGTGGCCTCGAGCAGCGTCGACGACATCGGCGCGATGACGACGGGGGCGGGGGGCGCGAGCGCGGGGCTCGAGTCCTCGAAGGCGCTGAACTTGCGCAGGGAGCGCGGCAGCGCGCGCAGCGTCGCGGCGAAGTCCCAGGCCCGGTCCCACTCCCGGTCGCCGGTCACGTCGCGGAAGGTCTCGAGGCGCAGGACCTCGAGCCGCGGGAGGCTGCGGATGACCAGGTGCAGATTGGAGAGGGGCCGGGAGTACTGGCGCGGCGTGAGCAGGGCCCGGACGAACTTGAGTTGGGGGAAGTGGCGGGCCTCGGGGGGGTGGATGCGGCTGAAGTCGTAGTAGAGGGGGGAGCCCATGTGGCGCAGTTGCGTCTCCACGTTCGGCCGCGTCTGCTGGCCGCGGCGCCAGTGGTGGGCCGGGTCATGGTGTGGTACGTAGTCGCCCGTGTAGCCCCCCTGGATGTCGTCATCGAAGCAGTGGGAGCGGTAGTGGTGCTCGCGGTCGCTGGGCGAGTATACGCTAAGGATCAGTTTGAGCCAGAGCTTGCGGGTTCCGATGGCACCACTCCTCTTCTGCCACTTGTCCAGGATGTTGAAGAGGTTCCACAGCGCCTCGGTGAAGATGCGGTTGTTGGTCGAGGCCTCCTTCTTGCTCTCCGCCTTGGCACACGAGTCGCAGCCATAGCGCGGGAGCTCGATACGCAGCCACAACGCCCGCACATCGAACATCCGATGGTCGTCGATGATTTGGTCGAAATAGGAGAGCTCGGATTGGCGGACCACTAGTCGCTCGAAGTTGATGGGCTCGAAGTAGGCTTGCCATTGCCTCGAGACTGCGGCGTATGCCGACTTGTGGTGAGCAAGACGGTCGTCTTGCTTCTCGTCTCTCGAAGTGCAGTTTTTGCCATCTAGGTGTCCGAAGACCATCAACTTCAGCTCCATGGGGAGATCAGACCAACCGGTAGGCATCTTGAAACAGTAGATGATTTAGACGGGGAAGCTATAAGCTGTGGTAGAGGACTACTCTTGTAGTGGAAGAGTTGGTTAGAGTGAATTGGGGATAAGAAGGAAGATGGGGGAAATTAATCCAGATAGATCTTGAAGAGTTGTATTGTTTCTTGAGCACAACTAGAAACAGGGGGGGTTTTCTTCTCTCTTGGTCCAAGGCTCTTTTGACCTTCTCGGGGAAGGCTGGTATTTATGGGTGATTATTGTTTATCTCCGAAAGACATATGGTAGCAATAACCTTTCCACCAAAGAAGCCATAGATCTAAAATCTGACATTATTTTAAGACGGAGATGCTTGATAGAAACCAGACATAGATTAGTTGAAGGTTATCGTGCGTACTATTCGGCTGGTGGCTTTCTACTATTTGGATGTGCTGCGGGTTATTTCGTAGTATTTAACCCAGAGTTTCTGTATCAAGTATAATGTGACTTCATAGTATTAAGCTGGCCTAATACCACCCCTATATACAAATGCTTATACCTCATCTCTTCCATGAATCTAGGTTACCTGCCCTTTGGGGGCTCTGAACTTCAATTATTGAAGTCCAATATCAGTTTTCCCGTTCTTGATTTTTCAAACACGGTAGTAAGAATGAAGCTGCCGTGGCATTTGACGTGTAACTGTAAACATTTGGCATCAGGTGTAAACATTGGCTGGCTAGAGCAGTGCTTAAAGCTGACACAAATGCTCCAAACCATCAAGATAAATCTTATACTATCTTAGTTCTTACAGTAGGTTAGAGTAATGTGCTACCTCATAGTCAGTATCTGTCACTACTGGGACTTTTCAGCAAGCTTCGTTGTTGAAAGTATAAATAGACATTCACGAAAGATAGACCACGTGGAAAACACAAATGCTCCCGCGTCAAAGGTGCCCCGGGAGGCTACATCGTAAGTTTAGACTACTTTGGAAAAATAGCCGGTATCTGCCACTCAGAATTTGGTATATGTGTTGTTAGTGGTTTCAATTAGATATTTACTCGCCATGGTGGTTTTTAACTCCTCTCACTCAATCAAAATAGTCTTCGCCATAATCTTTGCTAGTTAGTGCCACTACCTGAAGCCGGCGCCGGCGCCGCCCTGCCCGGTGTAGACTTCCTAGTCACATGGGACCCTCAAGTTTGTACTTTCTGTATCAGTAGGATATCCAATATCCACTAAGGATGTTAAATAGCAGATAATAGCGAGAGGACGATATGAAAAGCACTAAATAACTTAAATGCAGAATAAAAAAATAAGAAGAAGAATGGCCAACTTAGAGAACGGCGATGAATGAGCATTAATTAGCACGTGGTCCGTGATCCTCTTCCGGATGGCCATCCGGAATTATGGGTCACTGCATGAGTACGCACAAGCCACATCTATGTAGTTACTACTAGTAGTTCTCAGCCACACTGCCACGCAATGGGAGGTCTCCCACATTGATGATGTATGTAACTTTGAATGGTAACTAACTAGGTACCTGATCTCCACTCATCCGTTATGCATCTCTCTCGGTCTTCCGTGCCGTCCAGCTGGAGAGCTACAACTCTGCGACTCCACCGCCAATGAACCCACATCATGACAACAGAATTCACCATTCGCGGGGATCGTTACCTGGAATGTTGAGAATTGATTGGATTACAACACCCCAGGATCTAATGAGCTACTGATACATCCATGGATAGCTTGCTTGATGTTGCATCTGCATTGCCACTCTGACAAGCCCCGCGCCACGCATCACACATACATAGCATAGCTCAAGCTGAGCTCGTACATGTTTTAAGCGTTATACGAAGTATCGTACCTTGATAATACATACATGAAAACTAGGAACAAAGAAAATACAACGTAAAATACAACATATTATTAAAGAGTCCGACTGACTTTATAAGAACTGCATATATGCCCAGTCTACGAACTCTTCTCACTTACATTCTACCCGTGACAGTACTCTTAACCGCCTTCATACTCACCCATCTCTATCCTTCCTGCTTGTCTATCTCACTCATCAGTCCTCTTACCACTGCCTTCCACCAACTTATTCCTACTAGTTTATCTATTCTATACCCTTGGAGCTCCGACAAAATGAGAGGAGGGCATGGACCAGAGCAATACCGCACAGTCGCCTACTTCGTGAACTGGGCCATCTACGGCCGCAAGCACCGGCCGCAAGACCTGCCCGTCGAGAAGCTCACCCACGTCCTCTACGCCTTCGCCAACGTGCGCCCCGAGACCGGCGAGGTGTGGCTCACGGACACCTGGGCCGACACCGATATTCACTGGGAAGGCGACAGCTGGAACGACTCGGGCAACAACCTGTATGGATGCCTGAAACAGCTCAACTTGCTGAAGCGGAGGAACCGGAATCTCAAAGTTTTAGTATGTAAACAGTAGCTGAGATTCCTTCGAACCTACTTACCTACCTACCTACGTATCAGAATACTAACTTTAATGAACTAAAAAAAGTTGTCAGTGGGCGGATGGACATATAGCAGCAACTTCCGGCAGCCGGCCTCGACGCCCCAGGGCCGCGCCACTTTTGCGAACAGCTGCGTCGAACTCATCAAGAACCTGGGCTTCGACGGCATCGACATTGACTGGGAGTACCCGCAGTCGCCGTCCGAAGCCGCGGACTGGGTATCCCTTCTGCGCGCCGTGCGCGAAGCCATGGACGCCTACAGCCGCACCCTGCCGCGACCGTACCACTTCGAGCTAACCGTCGCCTGCCCAGCCGGCGCGCAGAACTACTCCAAGCTGGACCTCCCCGCCATGGACCGCCTCCTTGACTTCTGGAACCTGATGGCGTACGACTACGCCGGCTCCTGGGACTCCACGTCCGGCCACCAAGCCAACATCTACCCCAGCACGTCGAACCCCAAGTCCACCCCCTTCAGCACCTCCGCCGCCCTGCAGTACTACACCTCTCACGGCGTGCCCCCGCACAAGATCGTAATCGGCATGCCGCTCTACGGCCGCGCCTTCCAGAACACCGACGGCCCGGGGACCCCCTACAACGGCGTCGGCGAGGGCACCTGGGAGAACGGCGTGCACGACTACAAGAAGCTCCCGCTCCCGGGGTCCACCGAGCAAATCGACTACCAGGTCGCCGCCAGCTACTGCTACTCCCCCAGCACGCGGACGATGGTCAGCTACGACACGGTGCCCCTGGCGCGCGCGAAGGCGAAGTATGTGCGCGACCACCGCCTCGGCGGCGCCATGTGGTGGGAGAGCAGCGCCGATAAGGAGGGGCCCGAGAGCCTGATCAGTAATGTGGTGGAGGTCCTGGGCGGCCCGCAGAATCTGGATCGCACGCCGAACTGTGTCGATGTGCCGTTTACCAAGTATGAGAATCTGAGGGCGGGGTTTCCTAATAATTAGGCTGCGCTACCTAGGTACCTGGGTAAACATGCTTGGGATCTTATGGGGAAAAGGGTTCGGATGAGAATGGGAATACTTGTGGCGAATGAGGGATAGCAGAGGGCATATATGTAGATAGACACGCCTCTTGGAAGCTGATGCTTCTTTTCTTGTGGATGGGTATGGGCTTTTATGTGCCTTGACTACCTACCTACCTACCTAGGTAGGCAGTCCATAGGGAATTCTCTCACGGATTGAAAGATAGAGAGTAAGTAGTAGATATACTACTATGTGAATGAAAAAAAAATCAATGGCAAATTACTTGCCGGTCTGGTTGCTTTTACAGCTGGGATTTAGTCGAATAGAGCGAGACTTAATTTGCAATACTGCAGTAACTACATATTTCAGAGAGGACACGAAAGTTGCATATAAGCACCAATACAGATATTGAGTGTGGGTTCGAGACACAAAGGGTGTGACGGTGCCATGCTCATCGCTGGATCATAAACAGACAACAGTATCAGAGCTTCCTTTACAGCAGATTTTCATCGAAAGCATGTCATATCATAAGAATTGGGATTGTTTGGTCATGATTTCGTATTCATTGGCACTGAGCCAAGTCATTTACGTAATATCATGAATACTCCATGAGCCATTTCCAGTTTTACTATTTCCCAACTTCCAGAGTCTCCAGGTCGATCTTGCGAAGCATTTACTGCTTTTCGAAGACGTAAGTAAGGTGGCATCGGCCACAGTATTGTCGGTCTTGCATAGCAGCCATGAAGATGCCGGCACCGCACTGTTCTGGTATTAGTATCGAGGCATGAAGACAAAAATTGGTTAGATGGGGATGACTCACGGTGTCGGCAGGGCATTCTCGGCGCAGGCGCTCGATCTTGCCATCACCGTCGACCTTGTAGTACTTAAGTACAGCCAACTTGGTCTTCTTGCGCTTATGCTTGATCTTCTTGGGGGTAGTGTACACCTTCTTCTTTCTCTTCTTGGCACCACCACGAAGGCGGAGGACGAGATGGAGGGTGCTCTCCTTCTGGATGTTGTAGTCGGAGAGGGTACGTCCATCCTCGAGTTGCTTGCCGGCGAAAATCAATCGCTGCTGGTCGGGGGGGATGCCCTCCTTGTCCTGGATCTTGGACTTGACATTGTCGATGGTGTCGCTCGACTCCACCTCAAGGGTGATAGTCTTGCCCGTGAGGGTCTTGACGAAAATCTGCATGATCGCCTATAAAAGAAAGCATGTTAGATAGTCATTATGGGAGAGTTCTGTGGCTGTTAGGAAGACATACCTAGACAATATGAGTACTGCCGTCCTAAGCAATCAATATGATTCTGGATTGTGGAAAGGAAGAAAATAAAAAATGGAGGGGAGGAAGCGCGAAAGTTATTGAGGTCGTCCTTAGTGTGGTGGGTCCTTGCAAAATTCGGGTAATTGAGCATTGACCACTAAACTATTATTCATAATTATCATTAATCACGTGGTAGGGTTGACTTTATACCCTGCCCTTTAATACTAAGCACCTACCACTTCTATGTAGGCATTGTTCTCATTGGTCCATCCCTCATTCTTTTCCTTTGTGCAGTGGGGTCCTGTCTCTCGACCTTTGACCAGACAAATTTCCGCCCACCATTTTCTCTTGACAAGACAAATCTCCCAAACCTCTAACCACCCACTTCTCTCTTCGACAACTACCAACAACCACAAATCGTATGTTCCATTCCAATTCAATCTCTAGTATTCAATTCTCTCTAACACTTTGAGAATTATAGAATACCGCAATCATGGTCAAAAAGAGAAAGAACAACGGCCGCAACAAGAAGGGCCGCGGTCACGTCAAGCCCATCCGATGCAGCAACTGCTCGCGATGCACGCCCAAGGACAAGGCAATCAAGAGATTCACCATCCGCAACATGGTCGAGTCTGCCGCCATCCGTATGACTATTCCCTCCTCCCTTCCCTCAAATTTACCCGCCAGGGGAAAAGCCTAGGAAGCCAACAAATAACTAACTTTTACATAACAGGTGATATCTCGGATGCTTCCGTCTTCGCCGAGTACACGGTTCCCAAGATGTACCTCAAGCTGCAGTACTGTGTCTCTTGTGCCATTCACGGCAAGATTGTCCGGTACGTCGTCTCGTCGAGAGAACGACTACGCGCTCATCTGAGGACTGCGTATGCGCCTGAGATGAGCCTTGGTTGAACCTCGATCGAATCCCCACCCCCATATTATCGTAAGTTAGGGTCAAATATGCTAACAAAATTATTCTCTAGTGTCCGATCGCGCGTCGGTCGCCGAAACAGAGCACCCCCGCCTCGTGTTCGTTACAACAAGGACGGCAAGAAGGTTACCCCTACGCAGACTGCCAAGGCTACATAAATGCTTCGTTTCAGGTGTCTTAGGGAATGAAATCGGGTCTCGGGTCTGGGAAGAATCTGGTCTATCGGAAATGGTTTCCGTTTTGCATGACGAACGGTTTTCGGCATGATCATATCAGATAATGACTTTATGAATTAAGTCATATTTGCCACTACGCGACGTGAACAATGACTCGCTCTTTTGCCTAAAGTGACTGCTAGTTTCCCTGTAATCACTCTCCACGAGTACCTTGAAAAGAAACGAGGATGTCGACGTTGATATAAGCAGGACATATGAATACTAGCTACCAAATGCTAGCCCGCAATGAACCCTGCCCTTCTGCTCTTCTCCCTAAATATATTGTCCTTAATACCATATAGTCCTATGTATATCATGACGTTAGAAGGGCATTGTTCTATTTGATTTTGTGCGCCTAGGGTAGATATTTTCTAAGAACTAGAAAGGGGAATATACAGCTACCTACCTAATATTAGGAGTTTTCGCTAATGCCCCTGAGTAGCAACACTAAAAAAACGTTTCCCCAAAACTATCTAATGCAGTCTATTACTAGCCAATCCATCAAACTGCATCGAATATAAAGCATGTTCACACTAAGTTTTACCAATGATAACCCCGAGATATCTCCATCTCCGGGTACAACGGGGCCTGTAACTCAGTGGTAGAGTGCTCGCTTCGCATCTAATCGACTATTGCGAGAAGTCTAGGGTTCGACTCCCTACTGGTCCAATTCTTTTTTTTTTTGTTCTTGGCTTGCATATTGCATATCGCATACGCAGATGGATACTATTGATTATTGATTTGTGTTTTTTCTCTTTATCAGGAACAAGATTTTATTCAGGGATAAAAAAAGTAAGTAATTCGGTTTTTGTTGTTACAATTAGGTAGGTACTCACAAAAACACTTACACATCACCATCTACGTACGTGTAAACGGCCAAAAGCATGAAGCCCTACACTAAGCAGCATGTCTGGCAGGTATGAGTGATGTAGGTATGATAACCTAGGCCACTACTCGTACTTAAACGATGATATCCCATCTCAGTTGTTCTCGTTCATTTCTGTATAGATACATTGTACCCTGGTCGCTTTCTGGTATTTCTCTAAGATATATATAACTCCAATACTAAGTTAGTTAAGCTTCAGTTCGCGCACATAGGGGGGCCGAGCGTTGAACGAAGTAAAGCTTGACCACCGTTAGCTGGTGGAAGGGGCTTATCATAGGCTTCTTGCATGTCACGTGTGCATAAGTACCTTCACCAAGTGACACCTTCGAACGTTGGGAGCGTCGCTGCTGTTGTCGTCGGATGGGACGATATATCAGATTACGTCTACGTCGGTTGAAAACCAGTCTGGAGAGTCGCAAAGGCTGTTCCTCCCATGGCGATAACATACCTAAGCATTGAGTTGTATGGCAAGAGAGGGCGACAATCGCTTGTTAATTATCCGAATAGGCTGTGTTACGGGCGAAGATGTATCAGTAGAAGTTATCTAGGAGTTGTGAAAACAACTGCGATTTGTATGGGTTGAAGTTGGTGGTCGCAAGTTCTCATCCAGGACCCTTTTCGTAGAACCTGCTATAGTTCTCCTCGTTCAGCCAGATATACCTGGTATCATCAATATCGCGCATATATCTCGCGTCACATGTAAACAGCATTCGTCCCTGTATAGGTACCATACCTAGGCTTCGGTGAAGGAGCGTGCGCTAGATCCACAACGATATGTAACCTGTAGGTATGGCAATACACCTACATGCTGTAATTTACTACCTACCAAGCATGCTGCTGGCGTTTAAGAGTTTCATATTTCTAGGTAGGTACCTATGTAACCCTCAAAAAGCTCAGGTACGCAAACCAACATGTGTGTGAACAAAGGCTACTTGAATTATCGCCGATTGCCCCTATTTTAGTCCGCCGTCGTCGGAAGCCATGCATCGCCAGATACATACCTATAGGAACCGAGCACTTGCAGTCCCGAACATACTCAAACATAAGGCTACAAATCGTAAATCATCTACGATGGGCTATAACCTAGGTAGACGACTCTTCCCCGGCTTCAGGGTTGTCAATGGTCTAACCTAGGTAGGTACCTGAAACTATATGGGGGGGTCACATAGAACAAAGACAGCGTACATATGCATGTAGCTTCCATCGTCTCTATAGCCCTGGGAGATGCTTAGAAACCCCCGCGGAACAACGGTGCTGTTTTGCGTCTTCTAAGTTCTGCCTCGTGACAAGGATCCATATCTCTTATTGTCATACCACTCGACAGGTACAATCTCTAGCAAATGTAGATAGGTATCTTCCCGAATTCAATTCAACAATCAACCACTCATACTTTCTACGTACGAAGGAGAGTTACTCCTACATACCTAGGTAGGTACCAGGAGAGAAACGAAGAACATTGTTCAGCGCCCAGCAAACCCATCTCCCCTTACTCCCCCCTTAGCATCGAGGGTATACACAAGTCCTCTTTTATCCCTGAACAATCACATCTAGCACCTTGAACAACAACATACAATGCCAAACCACCCCTTTGTCCATCATCCCTCGAAAAAATCGCCTTGTCTAGTTCGAGAATAAATATGAATATCTACGCCACGGTGTCATAGACTTCCTTTGTGGCATCTCAGACACAGTTTACACAGTTTACGCAGCTACAAGCTGTACTTCCAGTAGGTACAGTGTATCATTTTTTTTCGGAGCAAATTGACAGTCAGACAATAAAGAAATATAACCGGATTAAGTAATAGTCTTAAGAAACCATTGAGAATCATCTTAAGTACCTCGCGTTGATAAGATAGCGCAACTGTTAATCGCGTCTAGACCCGAAACCCGATGTCGACCAGCAGCAGCAGCAGCAGCAGACCCAGCTCCCGGCGCGAGCCGGGCTCCCCGTTGAAGCCACGACCGGGCCGCTTTACCGAGCACATCGACCGGCCCAGCAGCAGCCACGAAGTCGAGCGCTTCCTGGAACTTGAGGAATTCGAGAGACTATCACTACCATCGTCGTCGCCGAGCGCAGAGATGCCGCCGCGCAGCAGAACCTTGCAGGCACCGCTGCAGCGCAGGAACGCGGTGCGTCGCTCGAACACGGCGCCGGTGGGATTGGAAAACCTGGTGTCGTCGAATCCGAACACGGCTGTAGATGGTCCGATGGGAAAGACGCGGGCGCCGTGGGTCAATGACGCTGCGTTCGTGCCCCAGCGGAACACGCCGCAGCGGAGTAACACCACGGCATACCCCCTGGAGAGGCTCATGTCCGAAACGGACGCAGGATATACCTCGGAGGAAGAAAATGGAGGAGGTGAGTCCCGCAAGTCCAAGTCCAGATCTAGATCCAAGGATATACTGGACGGCGTGTCAACGGTAAGCCCCCTGGAGGAGCTCATCCGCAACCCGCTGGCGGCACTGACCCGGGGCCGGGGCAGCAGCGTCAGGGGGTCCAAGACTAAAGATAAAGAGTCCCGGGAGACATTCTACCACGGCAACGGGCACCGGGTTTCCGCCCAAGAAAGCCGCGCCCATGTCCCAACACCGGTCCAGGTATTAGGCCGACCAGACGCCGGGCCGTCAACCGCGCCGCTGGTCCCCTCCCGTCTGCGGTACGAATCGTCCTGGGATACAAATTTCCCAACTGGACCACCGCCGCCACGCCCAAAAACCCCCACGGATTACACGCCGACGCCACCAAATGCCGTCGGGGTGCTACGGAGTGCGTGGGAAAAGCACTCGCGGCCCTTGACCACCAGAAAACGCTAGATGCCTAGGTAAGTAGTTGCCGAAGCGGCGGGAGCCGGGGTTGCATCCTGCTGCAGCTGGATGGGTGAGTGGGTGGGTACAAATTTTCGCAATGAGTCAACCTAAAGTGTTGACTCAAGGCTACCTAACTACCCAGGTAGGTATCCAGCTGCGACCAACATATGCCCCTCCCTGGAGCGTTTATATTTTGGTTATCTGGATACGTTGGCTGAATTCACCCACCTACATATACCCACCCACCACTACGCGGGATCCGCGGGCGTTGGTACAATAATAACCTATGTACTTTTTAGTAGGTAGGTAAGGTATCTTTGGGAGGTTGGATGTACTACTGTAATGCACATGTAGATAGCAGGCGATAGGTATGCAAGTGCACTGGGCCATATATAGCTTTAAAATAATTGAGTCGAAATATTGAAAACCAAGACCAATAAATCCGTGAATATCTGCTTTTGATGGGTACAAATACCTATATATAGGTAGGTTTGAATCCCCCTTCCCCCCCTTTTTGTGATCGATCACTCTATAATACCTAGGCGCCGACAGTTGATATTTTAGGATTTGCGATTGTATCTCGAACTCGGCTGGATGGATGTTGCTACATGTAGTCTTTAAATTGCCCGGGCTCAAGATGACTAACAAACTCGAATAATGTACTGTACTGTACCTTTCTACCTTTTCTATCACAACTCATGTGGCGTCATCGGTAAGAGTTGCCCCAACTTAAAATCATCCTTGCAAATGAAATCGTGAACTTTTCTTTTTACTTCTTGTTCCGAGGCTGATAGTTAATTGCTATTTCGGTTGGAACTATCTTAGCGCAACGGCCAACGGTCTAACGGTGGATGTGCCGAAATCTTAGGGCGTAGCCGGACAATTCGACTAAAATCATAAATGACGTTTGTATTATAGCAACTTGTACTCACTCCTATATACATAGTACTTATATGTACGTGTGTAGGTGTGATTCCAAGTTAGTAACACGGAACTGGGAAATGAAGATGCTATATATATCATGAGCAGACAAGGCAATCTGATCTAAATTGAGGTATATATATACACATTATGTAAACACCCGTTCTATTTATGGTCGCCGACTAAATTAACAAAGATTACCTACCTCCGAATCATCGACGAAGGAAACATTAACTTGAAATGACTAGCTGGGGCTGATAAATGTGTACGCCCGATGAACTAACATCGAACCAGTCAGAAAACTTGACGCAGATCGCTGTACATACATACATGTAGCATTAGTTCAAGTTGAAAGCTGAAAGAACAGACAGAGAAACATTTATTTGTATTGTAAACATTACCCCACAACAATTTGAACGTGCACAAGATTGTCGAATGATGGCATCTGAAACTGATATCATCTCAAGCCTGCTTGTCCCCGGAATGGCGGTGGAGCACCTATCGTACGTGTAAACACGTACTACAACATTGAATGTTCCAGCTGTCAAACAATCATGTCTACCGTACCTAGGTACCTACATATATAATGTAGGCAGGTAAGCAGTAAGCACATATGTATATGTTGCACATGAAATGTGTTGGACAGCAGGCCTGTCATATGCAAGGCTATGGCTTACTTCTAGATGTCCTGAACAGTTGTTAAGGAGACACGGGGAATTAGGGATTCGGGATCATGTACTATCGATATTGCTGCAGCCACGAAAATCCCAAGGCGTAGGACTAGTAACCTTCGAATTGCTAAAAAAGTACAGAGCTTTCGCCCGACAATCTGGTATCGGATACGAATCTAGAATTCGATTCGTTGCCCGCCGCCCTTCTTGCATTGGCAGTGTGTAAGGTACCTACTATAATATTGCCGCACTAGCAGACCCAGCAGTCTTAGCAGAACTCGAACAGGCATAGCCACTCTTACTACTAGGCAGGTACGCCAGTAAGACGCCAGTAAGACGCCAGTAGGATGGTTGTAATTTGGAAATATTCCGAAACCCCAGAAGTCCCGGGAACCGAAAGACTAAACGAGCGCATTTAGACGTGTGAATTTATGTCGTCACGAAAGGAACCGGTTAGCTGAATATGGTGTGAACTTCCTAATATCAAGGAATAACGATGGGCATGAAGCTTGCAAACTGCCTGCTGAGCTACATATATGTAGATTTTAACTATAGTACCTAACCTAGTATGGTAATACATAGGTGGTAGTTTGGTACATATGTAGCTGGCCTGGAGAAGATTAGGTTATTGGTTCTTGGTGTAGAACCGGGTAGAATTCAAGATCGGAAGTTGTTGATGCTCGATACAATAGTTTCCTTTGCTGAGCCTCGAAGCTACAAGCATGCTATGCGATATAACGCACTAACAGTCACGGTAGAGATGAACGGTGAACTGAACACAAGTTGTGATTGGTCGCATGAATCCTTGCCGCTTATCGCGAACCTGATCGTCCTCCCTTTCAGCTGATCGTGGGTCCAGTATCCCAATGTAACGCAAGTTTGGGACGGGGCGAACGAACATGTGGTTGAGGATAATTAACACCCACAACCAACTTTACCTGAGCACGCACACGCGAATGCTTCGCAACTCTGCCGTAGCGTGGAACTGTAGGCATGATTGTACATGTACATATGTACAATTCATACATACACTAGATGGTCCAACCCCCCGCAAACGGATTCACGCCGGTATTGGAACGGCTACAGTTAGCTGGCTTGGCTGACATAGCGTTGGTAACTTGTCCTATGTGGTGTACCTAGTTAAGTAGGTAGGTTGTAACTTGTTAGATAGATACCTAGTACTGCATGCTCTTTAGCTTCAGTGCTGGTTTGTGGTTCATGTGGGAACAGGGGACGGGGTATTGGTAATGTAGGCGTGTATGTTACTATGTATGTTACTATGTATGTACCTACGTAGTACGTACGTACATACAAACAAACAAACAGGTATCGCATGATCATGATGGTGGCGGTCGAAGCAAAATAGAAGCAGAGTCGGATTCTATTTTTGGGACGACGGCAAGAGACTTTGCGAGGAAAGGCCCTGATTACCGCCTTCTTTGATGACCGTTTCATCAGCCTATTCATCCAACAAGTTTTTATCATGCTAACGCATAACTAGATGATATTCATCCTCGTCGGGCCTTCTCTTCCTTCAATGCCTTTGTATGTGCATCTATCCATGGATATTTTTATATGTTGAAATGGATTTGTGTTCGGCGACGTCTCTAAGCGCTCAGTTAAACGGTAATACGAGTCGTTGAAACAAAACAAGATGTACTGCAAGTGGCCTTGATTGTTCAATATGTCTACCTACCTACCTAGGTTAGATACCATGAGTATGTACCTGGTATGGTACATTGCTAATTGCGACACTAGAGAGGCTGGAAGTGAGCATTTGAAATTCTTACGCCGTTCATGCGCAACATGCATTTTCCAAAGCTGATTCGCTTCAAATGGAAATTTCGTTTCGAGAAGAGACTCAAGATGGAAGGTTTGAAGATTTGGTTGGTTAATGGTATTAAAGTTAGGTACCAAGTAGTAAATTTGTACTAATTTCAAAGGTTCTTCGCGCTTTATCGACTTATTGCATTATCTCGATAACATGCAGCAGCGCAGGTTCGAGTTACGTGAACAATGGTGCAGGGAAGGAGTCGCAAACTTTAAGCCGACAAGCGCGTGTCGAATCTTACTTACATGCACCCTGCCAATTATGTATTAGGTACTAGGCACTAACTATGTAGGAGATGTTACCCCTCCCGAGCTCTTTTGCCCCTGGTGACCCCCTGTTCGACAAGACCTTTTATTGGGCTTTTGGAGCACATGGTTCCTGGATAACTGGAGATCTCATCGAAATGGACTGTTAGGTAAACGGCCTACTCTTTATAGCTTAGATTTTCAACTACACTAACCCTGAATAAGCTAGTGCTAATATGAGTTTGGCAGGTACATATTAAGTACAATCTTTTATGAAGTTCAATATTCTGAGGGAGCAGAGCCCAACATTAAAAGTTTCATTAAGAATCATTTCAGCTGCCAAGTTCATATGCTCAAGTTATAATACATCAATGATATATGTATGTAGTGTCACTGCTTGTATCACTAAACAAACAAGAACCTACCTACCTAGGTTAGGGTAGTGCTCGACTTCGACCTACTGGACTGCACTAGATAGTAGATATAATACCGTCTATAATAACTTGGGATCTAAAGGTCCTATATCCCCGTACTGGTATTGAGTCGTGCAGCCGCATTGGCGCGATCCATGATACTATCTTTAGGGTTGCGTAAAATGCGCACTTTAAAATAAAATGCGCGTATTATTCAAAACCCTTGTAAAATGCGTATTATACCGTATTATTCAAAAGTGGGTCACGTGACCACCCTAGCCTAATACACTTAGTATATACTTACATGTAAACAAACTTTCAACACTTAAAATAATATGGGAAAAATATTTCGAATTGAATTTCAATATATGGGAAATTTTACCATTTTTGCTATGCAATGAGGCGCCCATTTGATCATGCTCTTCGAGCACATTATGATCAAAGTCCAACGCAATCTTCAAAGCTTAGTTCAGCCGGATCACTTAAACGACATATCGAGATTTGCGCGCCTTAGATAGTTACCTGTAAAATTAGGTAATATCACCAAATTTTGGTGCAAAATTTACTCCACTTATGTACCGATCCACTTTTCCAATTCGGACCCACTGCATTTTATAATAAAATGCAATATTATATTTGAATAATACGCGAATAATACGTTTGAATAATACATTCCGCAACCCTAACTATCTTCTCCACTGCGGACCACTTGGGTATGTATCGACTCTCGAGTCGTTACCTCGGCCCCTGTAGATGCCTAGTATTTTTTGGATTTCGTAAACAACATTTGAATCAAGAAGATGGGGCCACGAATAGAATGTACGGGTAAGCGGAGCTACTTGTAAGGAACCATCGATTTTACTCATAAGGATCGCTCACTTATCTTTTCATTGCATATTGTCTAGATTGCTCTCTGGACACGCCGATCTCGAGGCACTATTAGTACATGCTCTACTCATCATTTAGGTCATTGTTATGTTTCATATGGATCCGGTGGTTGACTTGTGTTTCATGAATACCCTACTACATACATAATAGTAGGTACCTTACCTGTCTACCTACACCAGACGTAGGTAACCACCGTCAATTTGATGGGGATAATAAAGTTATAAGGTTGTGATGCCATTTTATGATGGGGGTCTAAGAGTCTGAATCGAGCATTTTGTCATGGCCCTATACTGTGTATTGTCATGATATGGTCCGTTCGGTACTACTTTCATAAGTATGGTAGTGAGAACATTGAATGGAGATGATGGAGATGTTGGCAAAGTCGAATGGTTTCATTGATAATACTATCAGGTATGATATGTATGCACCTAGTTATGTTATGGGCAAGGTTAAAATGTTGTAACATCTATCCGGAGTATATACTTTATACAGCTTAATCGGCAGCTGTAAGTCAGGATCGATCTGCATAGTACCTTATTAATATCGCCCCTCGCCTTTTGACCTAGTATCCTTTGGAGTGTGCCTCTCTTGGGAATAAGTAAGGCATTTTATTGTTGGAATAATCATACTGGCGGAATGGAAATATATGAATATTTACTATTGCGACTGTGATTGTCAGACCGCTAGAAAAAAGACCTTTTACCCCTGGCATTAACACGCACATATACATAATGCACACCATCCCAATGTTACATGCGACACCTCAAGGCAGGAAGGGAGGAAAGGTGAAGTGAAGGGAAAAGAGAAAGAAAGGACCCAAGGTTATAAAACTCGACCTTGGCTGCATATCGATCTTGGATATTATAAGGATGCACATAAATGGAATGAGTCGATGAAGAAGAGAAAGGGAAAAACAAGAAAAACCCCAAGAAACCTAACAAACCTAACAAACATAGGTACAAAGTAAATACTTAGCTAGGAGGTAAGTTTCATCTTGAAATCAAAAATTGCCAGTCAAGAATTGTAAAACTTCTCTCGATATCCCTCTCTCCCATTTCATCTTTCTAGCCTGCTACTACATTAGTATCTAATATCGGACCGGCCTTTAAAAACATTTTTCAATCGGCTGGCGTTGCTAAACTTCCAGTAAGGTTATCAAATTTGGGGGTTCCTCCGTTTATGGTTATTACACCGTTTATCAACTAGCTAACCCACCGACTACTTCTCGGTTTAATCCATAGCGTGACGTTAGTATTGGTTTGGGGGGTGGTTTTTTTATTTTTTAAATTCAGGGCTGGTACTATCCTAGTACTTCGTACAACTTAGGTAACTTGTACATGGATACCACACTCATCAATCACTTAACAACACATTTGAACTGAACATTGAACCCCCAAGCCCAAAAGTGCTCTAAAGTAAAGTCGTACTGTAGTTAGTTAGTTAGTACCTAACTATCCATACCGCGAAGAAAAAAAAACCGATAATCGATTGGACTTTGATCCGTACATTACATCTAAACACACACATACATACATCCACCCACACCTATTTCCCTTCTCCCCTTTCTTATATACCACACCCACATACAGATTACACACCACACACCATATACCACTCAATCCCCGGCCGACCGCTTTGCGCCCTGTCACAGTTTAGTCTCTGGTCTTGAGCGCCAACCCCTCTCTCTTCTTGTCACTCATCCTTCTTCGTCTTAGCCCATTTTTTCAATCAATTCCGTGCAACTTCCCGCACGACCATCTTTGGGACCCTATGTCTTGATAGTTGCTCATCCGTGTGTGCGACTTAACTTCTTCCTTCTCGTGCGGCAATATTGTTTCGTCGCAGCGCAACGCAGCGCAGCCCTTTCGTCGCCAGCCTACATAGGCGGCCTTGTGTTGTGAAGTCAAGCCTTCATTAACCGATCGAGCGACGATATCATCCAGAAAAGAGAGTCAATTTTATTGACATCCAATCCCCCCCTTAAATCTGTTTCGGACGAGAATCCCCCATCTCGCCAAATCAACAACAACAACAATCCGGCGTCTAGTTTAATCGCAAAGTGACTTGCCGTTAGAAGCTATAACCGAAACGCTTCAAAGTCTATAAACAGCGCCCGAAAAATACCATTATATCTTTAACCCCTTGCGGGATTCCGAATCATCTTCACCCATCGTTTGACGGATCAAACCCTTCCCGGTTTAACCACGTTGTCATTGGCGCTGGCTGGCCCGTTGTGTCGACCTCGATTTCGATCCATTTAAGTCCCTCGATGAGCGAATCCTCCCGAAATACGTCAATAATAAATTCCACAAAATCCCACGAATCAATAAGACACGAAAGGTCGCGATAGACAAGATCCACCCCACGATTACATCGATCGACGACTCGCATACACTTTAATATAGTTAATCGACTGTAATAGATTATAGAGAAACCTATAACTTCGCCTCGATATACCCATCCAATTTGTTGGTTGTTCTTGTTAGTCTTTGGTCTTCGATTTTGGTGGAATGATCGCATTCGTCTTTGCTACTGAGTCAACACTGCAAGGGTTGATAACATAGCAAGCGGCGGTCAAGCTGAACGAATTAACCGCAACATCAAATCCTTGCTGAACATGTCAGTAATGCTACAGACTCCTTCGAGGGCATCCACGGCCTCGTCTTCATCCTTTCAACCCATCTCACGCCAAAACACCATGTCTTCCTACGAGGGCTCGCGCTCGGCGCGCCAGTCCAAACGATACTCCATGTCCGCTTTATACCTGTCTATGTCCGCAAACGAATCAGATCTAGAAATCGAAGATGATTTGGCCAAAGGTAAGTGTTGGAATACCACTGAAGGAGAATGAGGAATATGGGTTAGTCATACAGTGATTAGTAATGCGTGATCACGTGACGTGATTACGCATTTAAGTAGATTCATTTAGATAGCCATTTACAATAGTCTTCTCTTGCTCCTTAGATATTAATACAGTTATACACCACGTGTTTGGTATCCCACCCAGCGCTGCTGCAACGCAGCAGCGTATACATTACTACCTACCATTGTATTGCAATACGTGATATATTCGGTAGACCTTGTCCACCGACACTGATCAGTAGTCGACCCGACAAGTTGACTACAGAACAGCAAGGTATTCAGAGGAAGGATATCGGATAGGCCAAGCAGTGAACCCTTCAATGGCAACTCACTGTAAGGAAACTATAAGGCATCCGGACAAGAAGAGATGAAGAGACACAACCCTACCGGCCTCAAAGCCCAAGTAGGATTGTGTGGACTACATGCTAATATCAAGATCTTAGGACCGTTGAACGTCAAAGCTTCACAGCTGCGAAACTACTATACGGTTATAGGATCGCGTCCATCAACGCACGAAGGAACCTTCAACCAACACTACTATCCGAGATTTGAACAAGTCTTAGGACCGTTGAACTTTGCAGTTCTACAACTGCGAAACTACTATACGGTTATAGGAGGAGATCATCTCATAGAAGAGTTGTTCGAAGACCTTCAACCAACACTACTATTCGAGATTCGAACAAGTCTTAGGACCGTTGAACGTTGCAGTCCCACCATTGCAAAACTACTATACGGTTATAGGAGCAAGATCATCTCATAGAAGAGTTGTTCAACAACCTCTGTATCATTCACCCAACAACTGCCGAACCTACGTGGCATCGAGAACCATTCGAAAACCTGATTACAGACCCAACTACACCTTCGCCAACACACTGAAGCGCAAACCTCCCCAGCTTCGACCCACACAGCCCTTGAAAAGACAAACACAATCTCCTTTCCCCCTTACATTCTTATTCCAAGATTGTTGACCATCCCTATATTCATTTCGAATTTTCATCCCTATATCCAGGGAATTGTTTCACATTCTACGATACCCTCGTCTAATAGCATTGCGAGCTATTGGTGATAGCGTCTTCCTATTGCCCCAGCATTGCCCCTAACTCAAGCGCCATATTTACCGCCATCTAGCGCGCTCCAGCAATTACCTAATGCTGGCATACCGCTATTTCCAAGGCATGGCGAAAAACAAGATATGGCAACCCTCGGCACCGAACCACGGGAGTCACCAGACGGCTAATCCTTGAAGACGATGGAATTATTCGGAGACGAAGGCGTAGGAACATAAAGACGGCACAGAGCCAACCTACATGGCGAAGGGCAAATTACCAGCATACGTCTCATGACTAACTTCACCAACCACGTACCTCTGTTATTTTCTATCACTTACTTTCAACCGTACTCAGTACTACGCAATCCCACAAAATGGCAAACCCGGACCAGACCTGGCAACATTACATCAGCGAAGAACATGAAGGCAACGAATTCGACGTGGATAACCCACCCTTTACCAGGGCAGTGACGGATAGTTATATTGCCGAATGCTTCTCGGGATATGATGACCAACTTATAGACGAACCCCTTTGGGATACCTTCCGCAACGACTTCGAAGGATGGACACTCGTTCACTTTAGAGCATCAAATCGTAACCTCCGCACAAGGGCCATCAAGCACTTAAACGACCACGGTATATACAGCTCAGATCGCGGAAACAGCGCTACGCGGCTAGTTGAGATCCTAACCGCCGAGGAATTTCCAAGGTACCCCGAAGAAGAAGCCAGACAAGTTGGAGAGATCAACCCCGACTTCATCTCAAGGAGCAACCCATTTTTCACGGCAAAACTACCCAAAATTATACCGCCTGAGGAGCCACCTACCCCGACTGAACCCGAACAAGCTCCGGTTCAGGATCAACAGACTAATCCCCCTGAACCGCCACACGAACCCAACGTAGTCCCATCGATCGAGATTCCACACAGAACAACACCCCCGACCCAGCATCCCAGGCAGGCGACGCAGGCACAGTCCCAGACCCCGTCCACACAAGACAACCGCTTCCCCACCCCAGTACCCGCAACCGAGACTGCAATGAATAACCTCAGAGCCGACAATCCGCGTCCAACCTACGGCGAGTTCAATCAGAGGAGCATACAAGGCCCCTCCTTAGACCCACCACCCGGCTCCCGATTACCCCTGCCATACAACCAGTCACCGTTCCCTTCACAGATGATGCACAACCAAACAATGCCTCCCCCAGACAGACAACCCCAATACCAGCCCTATAGCGGACCCAGTGCTCCCACTATGTCCTCACCCCGAGCACTCGCGGATCTAGCGAGGATGTACACAAACGAGGACTCCAAGTTTGGCGGAGACAAGTATGACATCTTGGACGAAAAACTGAAGATTTTCAAGGATATGTGCAGACGAGCCAATGTGCAAGCTCACCAGTACCGCGACGCATACTCGACAATGCTAAAGGGACGAGCACTAATGTTCTACTTCAACTACCTAGCCGAGAAGGACCTTACATTCGAGGAGATGGTGATCCGAACGAAAAACTTCTACCACACGACAGAGAATCAACAAATGTATATGTCCGAATGGAGGAGTACAACCATCCACACCGTAATGAGGGAGAACCCCGACGCCGACATTGTCACATGCCTGGAAAAGCTTATCGAACAAATCCAGAGAATACACAAAGGCTTATCAATCAATTACCTCGAAGACGTTAACCTGCGAGAAGGAATGATAAGCGCGGTACAAGGACACCCGGCATTCGCTGGCGTACTGCTACGGCCCGCAGACACCTTTGAAAGCGTCTGTTCCGACCTGCGGAGCGCCGCTGGCAATTCACTGCGATGCAGGGCGTATACAATGCACAACGCTGCGACTGATAGTCAGTATTGGGTTGATCGCACCTACCGAAGCACCAATCGAGGCAGAGGTTTTGTGCCCAACCGCAGGAACTTTACACCAGGTAAAAAGTCGGATAGCCGACGCGGCACCAGCAGCGACCGCTCGAAGAAGTGCTTTGTATGTGGCAAAGCAGGGTGTTGGTCTACTAAACACCCAATGTCTGAAAGGAGAAGCAACCGCTCTAGCTATCGCCGCTTTGTCCAAGCACAAGGATATGAAGACAACGATGACGACTTTGCTGCATTCCTCATCGACTACGAAGGAATAGAGACAGTCCCCACTGAGTCAGGGGACGAAGCAGACACTGACTACGATACATGGATAGCGCAGCAAGACCAGAACGAGCAGGAACCGGAAGGAACCTCTCAATACATGACGGCATATGGCACAGTAAATGGTGAAGAGATTGCCACCATCCTGGCCAACCAATCAACGTACCATGCATTTACCGGCTCCAACACATTTGGCAATGGGCTGGATCACCTACCGGATCCCGTGAGGAAATCCCACAGCAGCCCTTGCATGTTCTACCTCGAGGACCGATACTCGTCGACCTTCCAAGGTATCATGCCAGACACAGGAGCCGCTGGAGTATCTACAGGAGGCCAGCAGCAATTTATGGCGCTCCAACGCATGCACCCAGAAGTGACCCTCGATACATCCACAGCAGGGAACCACAGCGTCCGCTTTGGTGATAACCCAGAGCAACACAATATCGGCACGGCAAATGTATCAACACCATTTGGAGTAATCCCATTCCAAATTGTACCGGCCAACACCCCTTTCCTAATGTGCCTCCGAGACATGGATCGGATGCATGTCTTTCTCAATAACGTCGACAACGTCCTTGTCCACGAAGAGAAAGAGTACCCAATTGTGAGGAAATGGGGACATCCCTGGTACCTATTTGACGACAAGGAACGAAGCCTCGCATACTGTCATTTAACAGAAGGAGAACTACGACAGATCCACCGACGATTCGGACACCCCGCGGCGGAGCGGCTACACAACGTCCTCACGAAGGCAGGATACGACAATATTGATGCGAAGGTAATCGAGAACATCAATAAGTTCTGCCACCAGTGCCAACTACATAGCCCGACACCAGGACGATTCAAGTTCACGGTGAAGGACGATGTCGACTTCAACCATAGCATCTACGTCGACGTGATGTATATCCACAACAAGCCGGTCCTTCACGTAGTCGACAAAGCCACCTCCTTCCAAGCAGCCAAGTTCATGAAGGACATAACGGCCAGACATACATGGAATGTACTTAGGATGGCCTGGATCGATACCTATCTAGGACCACCTGACAACATGGTATTTGATGCTGGCAAGAACTTCACCTCCCAAGAGTTCACCAGCAACGCAAGGGCAATGTCAATTACTGTTGAAGAAGTCCCCGTCGAGGCTCATAACTCAATCGGTAAAGTTGAACGCTATCATGGACCACTCCGACGTGCCTACGAGGTAATCTCGGGTGACCTGCAAGGCACCGAGGCAGATGAAGCATCTATCCTACAGATGGCAGTCAAGGCGGTCAATGACACAGCTGGCCCCGATGGACTTGTACCTACCCTCCTCGTGTTTGGAGCGTACCCACGCCTTGCCGACAGTACACCACCCGCACCCTCGTTGACAGCCCGTGCAGCAGCAATAAAGAAGGCAATGCAGATCGTGCGAAGGCTGAAGGCAAATCGACAAGTTAAAGAGGCCCTCGGGATGAGAAATGGCCCCTCGACCATCGACACCCTTAACCTCCCGCTACAATCAGAAGTGCGAGTATACAGGGAAAACAGAGGATGGACGGGCCCCCATACACTCATTGCACGACAAGGAGAGACATGCACGGTAGACGTCAACGGCAAGCTCACCAACTTTAGGACAACGATTGTCAAACCGTACCTACGCGATGAGAACACGGAGACGCCGATGGCATATGACAGTGAATCTGGTTCAGACAGCGACGGACAGAACGACGAATACGTTCCGACTCTTGAGGACATTCCCCCGACTCCACAACGTCGCGGACGTGGACGACCGAAGGGAAGTAAGAACAAGGCCCAGCATGTTACGTTTGGAAAAGTGTCCTACATCACAACCAAGGAGGCCGCTGATGCGGAACTGGCAATTCAACTCAGGAAGGAAGGAAAAATAACTACACCTGGGGAACCGTTCGAAGCATCAGATGCACAAGAGATTGACTCTCTTATTGAACGCGGTGTTTTCCAATTCGAAAGGTATGATGAGCGCCGGCATGGAGGGAACAGGTTGTTCAACGCTAGGATCGTAAGGGAGATCAAGGGCAAGACAACAACGCCTTACGAGAAGTCGCGGTTGGTCATTCAAGGCCACAACGACGCTGGCAAGGACTTTGTTTTGACTCAATCCCCCACGATCCAACGATCAAGCCAACGAATCATCGTCGCCCTGGCGCCCGCACTAGTAAAGGAAGGTATGAAGCTATGGCTTCGAGACATCACCCAGGCCTACACACAGTCAAACACAACGCTGAACCGCACCATCCTCGCAAAGCTCCCTCCGCAGATCGTACACAAGTACCCCAAGGGAACGATCATGAAGGTAATCAAACCATTGTACGGTATAGCCGAAGCAGGAACCCACTGGTGGGCAACATACTTCAAACACCACCGGGAAAACCTGCGGATGATAACCTCTACGTACGACCCGTGCTTACTGGTAACCGAATCCGACCAACGATTCGGCCTCATTGGCATGCAGACAGACGATACACTGGGACTATCAGACGATGCGTTCAGTAAGCTTGAAGAGGACGAACTCAAGAAGGCGGCATTCACTGCGAAACCCAAGACCTATCTCACACCAAGTGAACCACTACTGTTCAATGGTTGCACGCTCTCTATAGAAGAAAAAGGATCCCTTCATCTTCAACAGAAAGCACAAGGAACGAAGATAGAGCTTATTGAGCACAACCCAAAGGATGCGAAGCAGCAGTATGTGCAGCAACGCGCCCGAGGTGCCTATATCGCCTCAATTTGCCAGCCAGAGGCTACGTTTGATCTGTCCGAGGCTGCACAGCACCCGGACCCTGATAAGGAGGCTATCGTGAGACTAAACAAGCGACTCCAATGGCAGATGGACAACATCGAGCGAGGCCTGCACTATATCCCAATCGACCTCGCAACGGCCAAAACATACGTCTTCGTTGATGGCTCGTTTGCCAACAACAAAGACTTGAGTTCCCAGATTGGATATATCATCTTTGTTGCAAATGAAACCACCCAGGACAACACGTTCACGATGGAAGGGAATATCATACATTGGAGCTCCACCAAGTGCAAAAGGGTAACTAGAAGCGTACTAGCTAGCGAGATATACGCCATGATCCATGGTGTTGATATGGGCATCGCAATCTCTACAACAGTCACGTCGATCCTCAGTAAGCTAGGTATCCCAGCAACCCAAATGATTGTGTGTACGGACTCATTCTCGCTATACGAATGTCTGGTCAAGCTGGGAACAACGAAGGAAAAACGCCTGATGATTGACATTATGTCACTACGCCAATCATACGAACGAAGGGAGATAAGTGATATCAGATGGATCCACGGTGAAGACAACCCAGCCGATGCGATGACCAAGTCAACCGCCAACAAAGCACTCAAGACGTTTGTTGATCACAACCGCATCACCATGCGCCTACAAGGATGGGTGAAGAGGAGCTAGGAACATAGCCTAGGCCTCATCAGAGCCGTAGGAGCCCTCCCGCTTGCCCCGGCCACGCCTCGGCAGCCCAGAAGGAGGACCATGGACGATACCATCATCACCATCGTCACCACCCAAGTCAACGCCCGAAAAACCACCACTCACCCCATCCCCAACAACAGATCCGCTCCCGGAACCCACAACCCCATCAGCACCCCCAGCACCACCAGTAGCAGAAGCCTACGGCCACGATTAGCGCCACCCTCACTTCGGGCACAGAGCAACATACCTGTTCCAACTGCCCACGAAAGGCAGACACATTGTCAACCAGCCTGGTTATTTGCACAACCATGTCCTGCGCGGCATTCACCATCGCGTCCTTAAAGTCTTCCTCGGCACGGCGACGATGACGAGCAGCGCGAACCTCGCTCATCCCATTCCTATTCTTCACGTCCTGAAGACACTTGTATAACGCCATCTGAGCACGACGAACGGCGATCTATACACGAGCAGTCAGACACCACAACGGGACGACATTCTCTTCCAACCACCTACCGAGCGCACTCCTGCATCCTCCCGCAACGCACGGTAACAGGCCACGGCAATCCGAGCCGCAGCCGCCTCGAGCTAGCCAAGTATCAGCAACGCAGTTACTTATTCCTCCTCTCCTTGCATACATACCTGAACACACGGTTTCTTCGCATGATAACAACGATCACACTTTGCCGACCCGTCTAAGGCAAAGTCAGCCCCGCGAGAACCTAAGGGAGTAGACGTACCTACTATCGGTTTCGAAACACCCATAACAAGTATGACCGTCATCGATATCATCGACTCCGGGTACCCACCCTGTCATGGCATAGGCGCAGCGGCGACACGGCATGGAACGCGATGACATGTTGAGAATTCAAAAAAATATACAGCCAGAGGGATTGACTTGATGGAAGAAAAGGACAAAAGATCAAGGAATAACGTAGAGGGAGAGCCCAGCCTTATACACCTCAACTCTCCGGTACCTTTCTGACATATCACAAAACGGTACCATAGTGACCGATAGGTGACTCAGGAAGGTACCACGCGTGAATAAGGCTCACAGAAGCAGTAAGCAAAACGATGTGAATACCTTCACCTTCTTCCTTACGAAAGAAGCACAGCAAGCCCTTTTACTTTTGTTACCCCTCCTTTACCCCTTGCACGCCGACGCCGCAACAAGGCAACCACGCACACCAAACGCGCAACCACGTAATAATGGCCTAATCTACACCTCGGCGATGCACCCCTCAAGCCGCTATCTCACACTACCGTAAAAAGAAAAATTTGCCAGTGTTGGAATACCACTGAAGGAGAATGAGGAATATGGGTTAGTCATACAGTGATTAGTAATGCGTGATCACGTGACGTGATTACGCATTTAAGTAGATTCATTTAGATAGCCATTTACAATAGTCTTCTCTTGCTCCTTAGATATTAATACAGTTATACACCACGTGTTTGGTATCCCACCCAGCGCTGCTGCAACGCAGCAGCGTATACATTACTACCTACCATTGTATTGCAATACGTGATATATTCGGTAGACCTTGTCCACCGACAGTAAGGAGATACTAAATATTTATAAGTAGGAAGCACTCGGGCTAATGATATGGGTGAAATACAGCTCAGAAAATACTACGTGAATTGAAGTCAAAGATTTCCTCTCAGTCGAAGAAGAATTTCGTTCTGGAGAAGGATGTCCGGTACCTCGACTCGCGAATTGCACTTCTCATTCAGAATCGTATGGCTTTAGAAGAGGTTTGTTGAATCCTTCTCCCGTAGTTTAAATGATCTTTGACTGATCCGGTCACCAGCAAAACGAAGTAGCAAGCCATCTCGAAGACGCAACCGATCTACAGGAAGGCACATTTCCCAACGACGACAAGACGCAGAAATACGGCAACCTCTTGTTCTTATTACAATCTGAGCCTCGGCATATCGCCCACCTCTGTAGGCTCGTGTCCATGTCCGAGATCGACTCTCTCTTGCAGACGGTCATGTTCACAATTTACGGAAATCAGTATGAAAGCCGTGAAGAGCATCTGCTTTTGACCATGTTTCAGGTACGTTGCTTCTAATCTCTAGAATTTAGTATACTGACCTCCTGTAGTCTGTCTTGACATATCAGTTCGACACGACACCAGAGTACTCCTCCCTTCTCCGAGCGAACACGCCAGTCTCTCGCATGATGACTACCTACACTAGGCGTGGTCCCGGGCAGAGTTTCCTGCGAACGGTACTGGCGAATAGAATCAATAGCCTCATCGAGTTGACGGACCTAGACCTAGAAATTAACCCCCTCAAGGTTTACGAACGCATGTGTCAACAGATTGAAGAGGATACCGGCAGTCTTCCAGCATCGCTCCCCAGAGGGATTACTGGCGAGCAAGCCGCCGAGAATCCCCAGGTCCAGGCCATCATTGAGCCGCGTTTAACAATGCTCACAGAAATTGCCAATGGCTTCCTAAATACGATTATCGAAGGGCTTGAGGAGGCTCCTTACGGAATTCGATGGATTTGCAAGCAGATTCGGAGTCTGACGAAGCGAAAATACCCCGATGCGAATGACCAGGTTATCTGTACCTTGATCGGCGGCTTTTTCTTCCTGCGTTTTATCAATCCGGCTATTGTCACCCCGAAATCGTACATGCTCATCGACGGAGCACCCTCGGAACGACCACGACGTACGCTAACGTTAGTAGCTAAGATGTTGCAGAATCTTGCCAATAAACCATCGTATGCAAAAGAACCATACATGGCGAAGTTGCAACCGTTCATCCAGCAGAACAAAGACCGCGTCAACAAGTTCATGCTAGATCTCTGCGAGGTTCAAGATTTCTACGAAAGTTTGGAGATGGATAACTACGTTGCTCTTTCGAAGAAGGACCTCGAACTATCCATCACTCTCAACGAGATATACGCCATGCATGCCTTGATCGAGAAGCATACCGGAGAGCTTTGCAAGGACGAAAACTCGCACTTGTCGCAGATCATCACAGAGCTTGGCCATGCACCACCACAAGTGCCTCGAAAGGAGAACAGAGCTATTAATCTGCCCCTATTTAGCCGATGGGAGACGGCCATAGATGACTTGACAGCAGCGCTCGACATCACGCAGGAGGAAGTGTACTTCATGGAGGCTAAGTCAATTTTTGTACAAGTCATGCGCTCTATTCCTGCGAATAACTCTATTTCTCGCCGACCCCTACGCTTAGAGAGAATTGCCGATGCGGCGGCTACATCACGAAACGATGCGGTAATGGTTCGGAAAGGTATCCGGGCTATGGAATTACTCAGTCAACTCCAGGAGATGAAGGTTATCGATAAGTCGGACCAATTCAGCCTGCTGAGGGACGAGGTCGAGCAAGAGCTACAGCACCTAGGCTCGTTGAAGGATGGTGTTATCGCCGAAACCGCAAAGCTTGAAGAGGTGTACAAGACGATCAGGGACCACAACGCTTACTTGGTTGGGCAACTAGAAACGTACAAGAGTTATCTCCACAACGTGCGAAGTCAGTCTGAAGGTACGCGACGAAAGCAGCAGAAGCAACAAGTTCTTGGGCCGTACAAATTTACTCATCAGCAATTGGAGAAGGAGGGTGTGATACAGAAGAGCAATGTTCCTGACAATAGGAGAGCGAACATCTACTTCAATTTCACCAGCCCCTTGCCAGGAACTTTTGTTATTTCGCTACATTACAAGGGTAAGTTGAAATCGGACAGGTTTGATGTTCTGCTAGCTAATCGTCTTTTAGGGCGGAACCGTGGCCTTCTAGAACTCGACCTCAAGCTTGATGACCTGCTGGAGATGCAGAAGGACAACCAGGACGATCTGGATCTCGAATACGTACAATTCAACGTCACTAAGGTCCTAGCCTTATTGAACAAGCGCTTTGCCAGGAAAAAGGGCTGGTGATCACAAAATGCTGGTATCGTAGTCAAATGTTCTCTGGTCATGTCGGCTCATTTTGCTCCATCTACATGCAGCACGTTTGTTTCTAGGACCTGGCGCGGCGTTCACGGCTCGTTACGACTTTGATACCATTTTCTTTTGCTTTGTCGGTGTTGCACTCATTTCCAATGAGGTCTACGTCCTATTGTTTTTGGCTGCGCATCCAGAGTTGCTATATACGCCAATTGTCACGAATTAATAATAACTAACCCTCGATACGTCTGGCAACTACCTGCCAATAGGGTCAATTCCACTCAAACCGACTGCGAATATTATACGCATGTAAAGTCGGCATTTTCTTTTCGGCTCGGTGCCGACGACGAAAAAAAAAACGAATTACTATCGGCACGAACGTCGTTTCTAGTCTTCTAATTATTGGGGGTCGCAATGTCTTGTGTGTTTTGAGTGGTAGAGAGGCCTAGTTGAAAAATTGTCTGTCCACGACATATCTTTGGGCCCTCTCTGGGAAGGAGATGGTACAGAAGACGTTTCGTAATGTCGATGCTACAGTTTTTGTTGGTGTCGGGTCGAGGAAGTACGATGGAAGGCGTTTATATATCTAAGCAGTCGAAAGTCCATTTGTCAGGTCCATTTGTCAAATGCAGAACAATGGGATCCAAATGGGTATCCAAGAGGGAGGAATTGTCTATAGGTTTAATATTGCTCTACTATTGTCATAACGGCTGGTCCGGCGGCTTTTTGTCATGGTACATCTGCAATGTCTATATTCCTCGAGCTTTTCGACGAGGATTGTGAAGGAATCATGTAGCATTTTAGTTTAAGGGGCTCAGCATACATAATGAATCGAAGAGAGCCTAGACGAGAAAAAGGAAATGTTATTTTGTCACGAATGCGACTAAGTTAATTATGTGCACGTGAAAAGTCTTGTACAATACTGGGAAATGCTTTTTCTTTTTGTTCAACACTCAAATGTATTGTCTGATGCCTAAATCTCTACCTCCGTAACCATAGGTTACGAAGTTATAGCCTCAAGTACAAAGTGTTTGTTTGCTTACCCCTGACTTTCCCATTGCTTCAACAAGCACAGTTTATGACACGGGCACAATCAATTCATCGATATCAGGCCCCCATCCACCGTCGATGCCCTCAAAGCTAATCTCGTTATCACCCTCCTTCAAGTCCGCGTGCAGCGTGCTGCTCATCACACTGCTACCCGAGGGCAAGAACGCGAGCTCCTGCGGGGAGCCCCCGTTCACGCGGACGTTCGCGTACCGCGGCGAGCTGTCGCCGTTGACGTAGCGCACGCGGATCGTCGTCCGCGTCGTCGCGTCGCTGTGCACGCCGCTGAACGTGACCGTGCCCAGGTCAGGCCCGCCGATGTACCCCGCGGCCGTGCTGCCCGAGCAGCTGCTGCAGCTGACGTCGCGCGCCTGGCCGCCGTAGGCCGCGGCCTCGGCCTCGTACGCGTTCTCGGCCGGCTTGGCGGCGGACGCGGACGCGCTGGTCGCGCTGAGGTCGGGAACCCAGGACTCGGCGTTCGGCATCGTGACGGAGGTCCCGTCGATGGTGAGCGGCAGCCACACGTAGGTGGAGGTCATCAGGGCGCTGCTGTGCCACCGGTCGCCGAGGTAGATGGCGGCGTTGGAGCCGACGGGCAGCACGTAGTTCGTCTGCGAGGTGTACGTCTTGCTGCCGGCGTCGGCGAAGGTCGCCCACGCGCTCCACCCCGAGGTCAGCGAGGTCGAGGTCGAGTACACGTTGTCGTTGGGGTCCCACCCGGTCAGCTTCGAGCCGAACATGTAGTACCGGCCGTTGAGCTTGAGCAGGGCGGGGGCCTCGATGCTGTCGGACCACAGGTAGGTGCTGCTCGCGACGCTGAGGTAGTCGTCCGACAGCTGCATGATGCGCAGCCCGTTCTGCCGGTCCTCGGACAGCAGGTACCCGGTCCCGTCGTCGTCGGCGAACAGCCCCATGTCCCGGCTCTGGTGGCTCAGCGGCTGGAACGAGTTCACGTACGTGTACTGCCCGCACACGGTGTCGCCCGTCGCGACCCCGACCTTGGCCTCGCCGTAGTTCGACGAGTCGATGTGCATGTACAGCACGTACTTGGACGTCTGGGCGTTGTAGAGGACCTTGGGCCGCTCGACGACCCGGTTAGGCCCCAGGTCGCCGCTGCTGGTGCGGGAGAGCAGGGCGCCGACGTAGGTCCATTGCACGAGGTCCGGCGAGGAGTAGCAGTTTATGTTCTGGAAGGCGCTGCCGTTGGTCTTGTCCTCGCCGATTAGGTAGTACGTTGAGTCGACCTTGATCACGCCGGCGCCGTGCGCTTGGAGGTGTTCGTGGTTAGACTGTGTGCATATGTGGGATTAGTAGGTATTCAGGTAGGTAATTTTGGTGTGGGGCAGTATAAATAAGATATTCAAATAAATTAAAAGGGAAAGGGGCGTACTGCAGTCCATGTTGCTCCAGACACAACTTGCAAGCTTGCCTGTGCGAGCGACGACAAAGTCGCGAGGACTAACGTGCGGAGTAGATGCATCGCGAAATTTTTTTTTTTCAAGAGATGATCGCCTGTGATGATATGCAACGATCGACAATGCAGCAAGGCAAGACCGAATGATTGCTCACGACATGATATTAATATTCCGTGCTTTGTAAAGCGGGCGACTCTGGCCTATTCATATATTGCCCATATATGCGCATGAACGGCCAGGGGGGGGTCGGTCGTCACGCTGCCTCGCCCGCTGTGGAGAATCGAAGGCAATATGGATCCGGATTTCTGGGGTATGATCACCCGCCCGCCAGTTTGCGTTGCAAATACGAGTTCGGGACCCCCTCCCGCCCCCTACACATACTCCACGATGGGAGAAGCGCGCCATAGACAGCGCCGCTTGTCGTCCGGTCAGGTGGTTTTTTGCGTGGTCTGTCTCTTGCGCGTTTGTTTTCCTTCAATCAGAGACATGCGCAATGTTACATTCAAGGTTCGTTGCAAATGCTAGGAGTTCTTTGTTCTGCTATTATTCTTGTTAGTTACTCCTATTTTGGGGTCAGAGAAATCCGGTTCTGTCATTCTTGTCGTCCCTCACCCCCTTTTTCTTTCTCTATTGCCGTGCCAATTACAGGGGCGGCTAAACGGCCGTCCTGGACCCCGTCGATTTTCGTCACCTCGGGCGGCTCCCCACCGATTTATATGTTGCATTCGCTGCGACTCTACGCAGGTCAACCGAGGATTTAATTGGGGAATGCTGCGTGGCCGTGAGGTCAGATAGATTGGTTGCCATCTAAAATAGCTCATGCTGTTTGTAGACAGGTAATTAATTATGCCCCCTTGAAATTGAATACTGCTACCCCTAATCTCGATGCTTTCTTTCCTTTTTCTTTTCTTTTTCTTTTTTCTATTATTTTACCTTGGAGAAGTACCTATGCAACCATCCATATAGTCACGCATAGTCTGGTGTGTAGGAAGAGGACGGAACATCTATAGATATATGCTACCTACGGTGGCCCTCAGTGCATACTGATTCTAGAACTTGCTGGAATGATGGATTCATTCATATCATGTTTGCTGAACTAGCGCGATGAAAAACTCGACTCGTCCTATTAATACCTACCTATGCACCTCATCTCGACAATTGAACGCTGATAATAATATTTGGGTAAGACGTACTTACAGAAACCGTAAACTCTAGATAGAGAGGGCATTTAGTCCACGGTAACAAGTTGCAATGTAATTTAGGTTTTCGTGAAGAGACTCGATGCCATAGCACCACCATGTAAACAACCTCGAAAGATATAATGACTCCAGACTTGAATAAACTTTCGACGAACCCATGGTATGCCTCTTAGTCACGTATAAGTAGAGGGCTATTTTACAATGGGATCAATGCAATGAACCGGCTTGTTTGAATCAGATATCAGCTGGAAACAGTCACGTCGCCGTTTCATAGTGGTCACGTGATACCCCTATTCCAACACATTTATATGCGCTTGGTAGCTGTCTCAGTCAACTTGTTGGTCTAGCCAACTCATCAAGATATGCCTCTGCTACTGACGGTGTTTTATGATGATTCAAGTTGTTGACACCGAGCAAGTACAGCTGTAAGTGTGTGTGAATAGTATTGTCTGTGCATGCGGTGCGTGTGAACTACTTGTATTGATAGCTAATCGCAAGACCTTTTGATATCTCTTCTGATTCACTGTAGATGGTATATCTGGTACGTGATGTTTTATGTGACTTGTAGACTACATTATCGAAATACCACAGCTCTTTGCTGTAGTTATGTAATTCATCTGAACTTAGTAGACACCGCTCATACTGTCTGACGGACTGGTAAACTAGCAGACTGGTTTTGCATCTGCAGCATTCCCAATATGCAGTGACGGTATTGCTCTATATATCTGCACACAACCTTCTTATTCCAGCGTAAATCAATCTGCGTAAAGGGGTTCTCCCTTCTTCGAGTAATCCACAATGCTCGGAGAACCGCGACAACAGCGACTTGATCCATCAAACTAGCATCATAATGGCCGCCCCGATATTCGTGGTAATTTTCATCTTCTTCACTCTCAGCCTTTTCTCTGTAGCCCTTCGCCTGTACTCTCGGTGGCTAATGAAGGCGGGCATCGGCTGGGACGATGGCCTCATCATAGTTGCGATGGCTTGCTGTGTTGCGCTGTTTGGCCTTTCTTGCTACTGTATGTATTCATGCCACCCCCTTTTCCAGAAAAGATTCGGGATTACTAACGGACTTTCTGTCTAGTTTGGAACTTCGGATACGATCGAATTTTGCTTACAGATATAGGGATCGAGATACCCACCATCCTGACAGTATGTTTTCTTTCTTGATTCCTTTTCGATGAGAAGATGCGTATGCTGACCATAGAACTGTCATCACTCTATTAGCTCCTCCTTGCGTTCGAGGTCCTGTATCTGTTCGCCATGTCTCTCGCGAAAGTCAGCGCCGTCTGTCTCTACATGCGAATCTTCATTCAGAAGAAATTCCGCACGATGTGTAAAGTCATTATATTTTGCATAATAATCATGTACCTGGTAGTCTTGATCCAAGAATTCACGGTATCACAGCTGGTGGTCGAACTCTGGGATACCGATGTACTTGAAGGCGATACAAATAAGAAAAATATCGAGATTTGCGTCGCCTGCGTCAACATACTAGGGAACCTGATCGTCTTCTTGTTGCCTATCTACCCCGTATGGCAACTACAGATGAGCATCGGGGATAAGATTGGGCTCATATGTCTCTTCAGCCTTGGGTTCGGGTAGGTCATGGTTCTTGATTAATGCACTGCTGTAGAGTAGCTAGAGCTAACCGAATAGTGTTACCGTGGTCTCGATTTACCGCCTGAATAGGCTTGTGCAATTAGATCTCAGCGCACATAAACTCATCGCGGACGGCAGCCACAGCATGAATCTTTACACCCTCGAGGCGGTACTGGCAGTGTTCTGTCTCTGCGTCCCCGTAGTACGCCCGCTATGGGGCAAGCTCCGCGCACGCCTCCGTGCCCAGACGGGACAGTCGCAGGAAAATCTTCACGGAAACAACGTTCGCCAAAGTATCAGTGAAGTTAAGGACCGTTGTTCCTTCGCATGGACGAACTTCTTAACCCAAGACAACCGCACGCAGTACGAGGTTGCGATCAGGGCGGGTACTCCAACAGCATCAACCACGAATCTAAACAAGTACGACACACATGAGAATAATTCGACAAATGGAGTCCTAGGAGGTTCAAGTGAAGTGATTCAAGCTACGAAACCTCTACGTATTAACGTCAAGAAAGAGTGGAGGATATCGCATGAAACTGCCACAACCTCTCATTGAGAATATTAGGATAGAAATATGAGACAATGTCTAATTATTTGTGATCTGTTCACGATTGTGAATTGAACTTGTCCGGCTACAAGCACAGACAGATCGAATGCGTCAGGGGTGTTTCTGGCTCGGTAGGGTTTGATAAGCAATACGAATATCCCCCCATGGGTGCTTTTCACCTGGGCACCATGACCCCTTTTGACACTGCCGAGAGACGTTACGAGACAGGCGGATGATTCCGTTAGCCGCATGATATAAATCTCACGTGAAAGAGGTAAACATCAATGACCATCATACATAGCACGTATAAACTCGCAACATATAACTATAACTGGTTAGTAGTGCACGAACAAAGCACGGGGTTCATGATAACCTGGGTAGTAGGTAATATGTGAACGTTGCTAAATATATTTATGTCCGGAGAAGAGATCTGCTTCGTTTCCTTAGCCTCCCAAGAGTTTCGTCCTTAGCTTCGGTTCGCCTAGATGGCCATCTCGCCAAGCATCGAGAGAAAGCACTAACAGTACCGGACCTTGACGTAATAGTGCCCCTCGCACTCGATGCGGCAAGCTTGAGTTAAAACATTCGAGTTGCCAAGAGATGACAAGATTTTTTGATGTCCGCACCCGCCCCTATTTAATATCATAACGAACGATCTTGTGATGTTTCGGGAAAGCTTTGTTGTTGGCCTTGATTAGTATGAGCTGGGCTTGGATGGAGTGGAAGAAATATGACGATGTTACTACTATCTATACTATGCAGTAATACAAAACATCTCATCCCTGTTGTATGTAGCTCCATGTCCTTGTCATTCAGAAGCTAGGTAATTACTTAGGTCAGTAGCTTTGACTCGTACGTTATCTTTTTTTGAGAGAAATTTGAATCTTCAGCAGTCTCTTGAGTGATAAGAACCTTGAATGTTGTTTGAGCATTCAGGAAAGCTCTAATCTATGTACTATGTAAAGGGTTTTTAGTGGCTGTACATTGCAGCTGCATGGTAACGACGAGGTTCTGACACCTGACGCATTGACAGATCGACTGAAGATTCCCATGGTTTGGTTTAGTCTTTGATGCAGGATACTACCGTGATTGGCCCTCTCCACAAGTCCCTCATGGATATAATGGATGCTATCAATCTTAACTAGTGGAGCCTTGACATGTGGGTGCGGAGGAAAAAATAGTTGCAACGGGCAGGTACCTGTATTATTTCCTAAGGGATGTTTACCTATTCATATACTACTGCATAGTATGTAGAAATAGGATAATCGAATCGTCGCGTACCTACTTATGAAGCTAATAGAGATCGATCTAGATTCCACAAGAAAGGTTGATAAACAACTCGAAGGACATCTAGACTCTTATATTCTCCATTAAAATGACACTATATTCGCTTTTAAAGTGCTCGTGTACCATAGTAACTATTTACTGTGTGCCTACCTAACCTAGGTAGGTACCTATTGTGTATAACACCTCTCCGCTCACCTGGTTCTATCAAGGGATTATGAACCATGTCTACTAGGCACCTACCTGGCCTATACTAGTTCATTCCATCCATACCTGGGTAGCATACTACGCAGTAAGTTACTACGTCCATCGTTAACCCGATATATGGTAGTGGTTTCGTAGTGCGAGCTAGCCCAGAAACGAAACCTGATTCCCATTTTATGAGCTTGGGCGTCCTGGGGTATCTAGTACCGTAGTATTGCGACCACGTTGTATATCATACAAATTGTACTATAATATTCGGAAAGTTGCGACTTCTCTTCAGCTTCTGGCCCTATCCTCCTTAGCACCGTCCGAAGTATGGACCTCTCCCTCGTGGCTGTACCCGGAAGCCCAATTAAAGAGACCACGCCGGCATATTTGTCCAGCAGCAGCAAGCCTATTGCAAAACACATCCAAGGATGGAGCCTTTAATGCCAAATCACACTAATGTACGTAGCTGGGTCCAGCCCTGATTCACATCCCAGCTAGAGACTCACTTTGGAAAACCTATAATGTCATCTGCTGCGGCGACAAGGCGGCACTGGTACGATAAGCCCTAGCCAGGTCTTTTCTGATCACTATTCAACTGACAACGACGATTTGCGAATCTTGAAACCCTTCAACCTCCACATTACCTACTTACCCAGTTATTTTTTTTGACAGTCGTCGAACACGGCACCTTATTCGTGTACTTACGCTGTTTACTCTGGATATACCTACTGCAATTCTTCAAATCTTAGCATATACCGGCAATCTATACTTATTCCTAAGGATATGAGATGAGGGTGAGAGTTGGGCGATAGCTCGACATTTGCGAATAATCCACATAAAATCAAATAGGACAGCACATTTACAATTGTTGCTATGCCTAGGCTCACCCCATCAATGTCAGCCACGACCGATGGCAGGTCAATGAACGATGGCAGGTCAATGACTGATGGCAGATCAATGAAAGATGGCAGGTCAATGAACGATAGCAGGTCAATGAATGATGGCAGATCAATGAATGATGGCAGGTCAATGACCGACGGCAGGTCAATGAACGATGGCAGGTCGATAATGAACGACGGAAGGTCAATAAGGACGACCGATGGTAGGTCGACGAAAACAGATGGCAGGTCAGCAACAGCCGACGGCAGGTCAACAACGACCGAAGGAAGTAAACGAACCAACAATGACTCCTCCACCCTCCCGATAACCGGGCGGTCCATGTCAACGGCCAGCAGCTGGGCGACGACGAGCTCGCGCGACAACACCAGCACCGAAGGCCTCTTCTTCACCTCTCTCAACTCCCTCGCGCCGACCACCATCGTCATGCTGCACGTGCTCTTATCATCCCACCTCGAGTGGGCGCACTGCTGGCCCAAGCTGACCGAGTACCACCTGCTGCTGCCGGACCTGCCGCAGCACTCGCGCTCGAAGCACGCGGGGCCCTTCTCCTTCGTGGTGGCCGCCGACCTCGTCGCGGACATGATCCGGGCGCACGCGCACGACGGGCGCGCGCACGTCGTGGGGCTGTCGACGGGCGGCTTCATCACGCTCGAGCTGATCCGCCGGCACCCGGACGTCGTGCTCTCCGCCTTCGTCTCCGGCGCCACGCCCGTCAACGACTTCTGGAAGGTCGTCAACTCCAGCCCCAAGATCACCTTCCTCGGCCTCAGCGCCATGCTCTACAGCCCCAGGAGCCTGCTCCTCAAGGCCACCGGCTGGGCCCCCGAGTTCCAGAACAACGAGCTGCTCAAGGAGGTCAAGCAGAACATCACCTCGCGCTTGTACACCGCGGGCTGTCGCGAGACGGCGAACTGGACGGCGGAGGATATGGCGGCGGTGGGGAAGAAGGATAAGCGGATCGCGCTGGTGGCGGGCGGGAAGCAGGATAACGTCGAGGGCATGCGGGAGATGGGCCGGATCATGCAGGCGATGGGGGTGAACGAGGGCAAGGAGACGAGGGTGTTCGTGGTGCGGGAGGCCATCCACGCGTGGAATCTGCAAAACCCGCTGCTCTTTGCGAAGGGGGTACGGGAGTGGATCGAAAAGGGCCAGATGCCGGCGAATTTTGAGATGCTCGAATGAGCTGATTTGATATCATGTTTTTTTTTTTTTGCTGTCTGTCATGTATCAACGGTTTATAGAAGGGCAACATTGCGCGAGGCTACACTTATATATATCCGGGACATGGTTTGAGGCTGTCTGGAAGGAGGCCAGTGTAAACGAATTCGGGGCGAATGAGTCGCCCGATCTTTAGGTAGATAGCTACGAGACTAGAGAAGATGTCGACTTGGTTAATGCCTGCTAAGCAATAATATGATGAAGATACCTATATATTACGCATAATTCAATTATCATCCATGGAGGTTCAATTTTTGATGATGTGTGTTTTTTTCCCGGATTTTACTCAGGGGGCTGCAGATCTAGCTATAAATGAATAGGGGCAATGTAACCTTAAGTAGGTGCCTACCTAGGCAGGGTAATCACACAAGCAAATGTGTTCGGTACCTAAGGCACACTAGATTTGACTTGACTTCAATGTTGAGAGCATATCTAACCCCATTATACTAGTATTTGCAGTGTGCTTAAACCTAGGTACGTAGGCACTATAATGGTCCGCAAGTATGAACCTTCGTGGCTACCCCCCCCTGACCACAACACCATTTCACCGACTATCACTCCGCCTCGTACCCCTCGGCGACCGCCTCCCACCCGTCCCACCCCTCTTCGCCACCCTCTGCGGATCGAACGCCTCCGGCCCAATATACGACGTGACCTCGAGCTCGCCGCTCTTCTTAAACAGCGCACTGACATACGTCTGCATCCCCTTCCCATCCCCCAGCCCCCGATGCTGCGCCATGCCCTCCAGCATCCCCAAGTATCTTTCCGTGTAAGCGCCCCGCCCATGCGCGCTCATCCACCGGCCCAGCCCCTGCGCGAGCCGGCGGTCGTCGGGCCCGTAGCACCGCGTCGGCACGTAAAGCTTGATGTCCGGGCGCGATGTCGAAGTAGTACAGGTACCCCGCGAGCAGGATCGGCAGCTCGACGAAGTTGTCTTCCGCGGCGGGGTGGTACGCGGCCGGGTAGGGGACCTCCTGGTCGTCGGGGAAGTTGGCGCCGAGGGAGGCGGCGACGAGGCTGCGCAGGTCGGCGGTCTGCTGGGAGGAGAGGGGGGTCAGGCCGCCGAGGGACATGAAGGAGAGGACGGAGTTGAAGCTGGTGTGCGGGGTTTGGAAGTAGAGTTTTAGGCGCGCTTGGGAGGGTGCGACGTCGTCCATGGCTAGCATGCTGTGGTGGCTAAATTAGTATATCCTTTGGTTCAGGGGAGCCGGGTCACAGTGTAGGCACACACAAGGGGCTAAGCGCTTGGCCTTCGGGGTGGCTATTCAGGAACTTGTGCATCGCAGCGCGGGCAGGACTGTCAGGGTCCAACTTCTCTTCCCACAGAGCCATGGGAATCTGTTCCTCCGTTTGGCCTAGCCGGCGCGGAATGAAATACGTCTTGAGCCTCATACCCGCGGGGAGAAACTCGGCGGCCGTCATGATGGTAGTCGTGTAATGTGCACCAGCGGCTGCTTGCTGAACGTACCTCGAGCGATCATGGTCGAACAGCGTATTGATGAAGTGGTTCGCCCAGGTGAGATCAACGCTTGGTATCGCTTCCTTTAGGCGATGCAGCAGCTCGATGGAGGCTTGCTGGTTCAGCGGATCCATGGCCGCGCCGGTGAACTGGTTGATGCCTTCCATGGTGAACCGCACGTCAGGCTTGCCGGCAGCCGTGTTCCACTTCCAGGAATACTCGATTGGTGACCCTTCGTGGCCGAGCAGAGACTCCCATTTGAGACTTCCGTTGGGTCCGGGTTTGGGGCCCATGTATGGCACCTTTTCATTGTGTCAGGTATTATGATGAAAAGTTTGATACGTGGGATATATGGTTGGGTGGACTTACAAACCAATGATAATGATACAGAATCGATTCAAACTGTTTCTCGGGAGTGTAGCCAGCTGCGTGTAGCATACTGGCCAGGTGCGGACCTGTCAACTGCCACTTGTAATCGTCGTCTTGGTTGCGCGGCGGTAGGCATTTCGACAGAACTGCATATACGTTAGATGACTTAGAAACTTCGGCCATGTTGCTCTCTTTTCATGAATCTTGAAACTTGGGGTTTCTCATAAAAACTACAGCGGTAGCTACCTAGGTAACTATCCTGCTACCCGTACCTAGTTCCAAGATCATCGTCAATATATACAAAATAACAAACATACCGGTTCTAATTGAAACACCAGCTCATATAGGAACCTTGATCACGACGGCATATACCAATATCCACTCTTGGATCAACGGTTTGGATGGCATCGCATGTCGGGCACTCGGGGATCTTGATGTTATAATACAACGTGAGGGGGATAGAAAAAGAGAAAATGGTATGGGAATCCCAAGCCGGACGCGTGATTTTGGTCGACTGTTGCTGAGTAACTGTTGCTGCTGCTGCTGCCAGTACTCCGAATAATTCCAATAAGTATTTGAAGCTTCGGGTGGCACACTGTCCTTCTATCCCCTATTCCCATTCATTCCCAAAGTTCCTACCAATAACCTACACCAGAACCAATTACGGACCTCAAAGCTACATAACTCATTCCTAGAACTTTGGCATTGCAGCGGTAATTCAAATACTTGATGCCGGGGAATACTAACTCCTGGTGTCGTTTATGGAAACAAGATGGTCAAAATTACGGGCGTACCTAATGGGCGTTATAATCGATATTACTGACAATGACCCTACTATTGCCGCTGCAGAGTTTGCATCAAGCAGATTGGGGAACCGGTCAAGGTTGAGAATTTTCAATGTCAGATCCGGCTTCAATAGGGGATGGATGGTGTCATCCGAAAGTTCATCCTACTCTGAAAGACGTCCAAATATTATGACCAGCGTATTGCCAGAGTATCACCAGCATGACAATGGTCCTTGCACGGACAGGATTCAGGTCATCCAGCTTCGTCACCCGGATTTGTCGGCACGGACTGCGCCGTCCTGCCCCGTCCCTTCTACGCAGAGTCTTCACAGCTTCTTATGCCCTTGCTTCCGGTGTATCAATGAGACCAGCTTGGCATCATTAGTCGTCCTACCTCTATCGCTGTTGTGCCAAGTGACACGATTAGGATGGGTCGTGGCACACGCTCGGGTTACCTACGTGATATGTGAGTGATATAGGAAAGCGTCCGAGCCACGGTTGCCCACATGAAATCCAGATGCTAAGTACCTAGGTATTTCGAAGTTATACCCGAGACATACATAGATATGCAAGAAGTTGTGATGTAATGGTTGCTTACCTATTGTTCTTATTAATCCCTCATCCATGTTACCAAGATCCGGTATTGACCTTGATTGGTGGTGTTGACGTCGAGACTCCTGCTGTCTGAGATTAGCTGGCTACCGACAAGGTCCTTGTTGTCGGGGAATAGAGTGAATGCTGCCGGAATCTACGGATTCAGGGCTGGAATTTGTAAATCAGGATGGCTGAAAGCATACCGGGTAGTGGCTTTCAAGGCCTGATTAGCCTACTTTGGGACTACTGAGAGGTTTGGGAGGCATTTGCAAAATTTGTCGTTATTTGTATTAGTGGGCAGTTGGAAGTATCGGTATAAATGCTTCACTATCCACGAGCAAGGGTTATTATGCATCCCAAACCGATCTACTCATTATTCTGTTCATCTACACGCCATGTCGGACCCCAAGCCTCAACCTCAACCTCAGCCGTTCAAGGTTATTATCGTGGGCGCCGGCATTGCAGGGCTAACCCTAGCAAATGCTCTACAGAAGGCACCCGTGGACATCGAATACGTCATCCTTGAAGCCTACGGCACCATCGCGCCCCAGCTAGGCGCCGGGATAGTACTCCTACCCAACGGGTCTAGGATCCTCGATCAACTCGGGGTATATCCAGCTTTAGCGCGCCAGACCCAAGAAGTCGGCGACAGCGGAGTCTATGATGCAAATGGAACGCTGTTGATAAAGGAGCGTTCCGATACGGGGAAGCTCGTCGGTGCGAGGATGGGATATCCCTTGTCTTGGTGTGAGCGTCGCACGATAGTGAAGACGCTGATGGAGCACCTGGACCATAGCAAGGGCACAATTTTGACGAATAAGCGGGTTAGCCGAGTACAGCAGAGTGAGAAGGATGGGGCCACGGTTTTCTGCACGGATGGATCGTCGTATCACGGCGATGTCGTGGTGGGCGCTGATGGTGTGCATAGCGCGGTGCGCAATGAGCTCTGGAGAACGTTGGAGGAGCGTGGATATCGGGAGCTCGTTGCTAGAGAACGCTGTGGTAAGCATGATAAACATTGAAATTTATTTGGTCTAAATTTTGATATTTACTGAGACAAATAGCTATGACGGCTGAGTACAAGTGCCTATTCGGTATGTCCAAGCCGGTGGCTGGCATGGAGCCCGGATCCACTGACGATACCTGGGGGAAAGATGTGTCGACTGTCACCAGCATCGGCCCAGGAGGGACTATTTATTGGTTTCTTTTTGAGCGTATGCCGCGTATCTATCAAGCCGGCGAGATGCCACGGTTCACCACCGAAGACGCTGTCAAGTTCGCTCAAGACCATCGCAAGGTCCCCATTAGATCAGGTGGAGAAATCACGTTCGGCCTCTTGTGGGACCGACGAGAGGTCGCAACACTGTTGCCGTTGGAGGAAAGTGCGTTCACGCGATGGAGTGTCGGCCGCATCATCTGCATGGGCGACAGCATTCATAAAATGACACCGCATACGGGGACTGGGGGTATGTTGGCCATTGAGACAGCAGCCGGGTTGGCAAACACCTTCGTTCGCCTTGTGAAGGAAGCACACGGAAAGTCACCGCCGTCAACCCATCAAGTAGAAACGGCACTGCGACAGCACGAGAGTATATTTCACGCGCGAGCCGCCGCGAAAGTCAAGGCTGCTGGTGATCTGGCACGTCTTGCGACCCTGCGGAACTTCAAGCACCGTCTTATCGTGAAATTCTTGCTTCCAATCGCTGTCGACTCGCGCGTAGATCAGATTTGCGATATCGCGATGGGCGCCCCCCTTATTGAGTATCTTCCTATTCCTCCGCGCTCAACTAAGGGCACGACGCCGTTCAATCCCTCGCATGGCTTCGGAACGGGCGAGAGTCCCTGGGTAAGAGCGGCGACAGCACTGCCGCTCTTAATAATGGCTTTTGCGGCGCTCAAGATAATGTTCACCGTGGCTCCGATCGAATCAATCCTCGATATCTTGGATCGTGGAGTTTATCGCTCCGGGGGTGCCGAGTTCCATATCATGAATGCATTCTATCATTTTAGACCTCTCGACAACTTTTCGCGATCCGGAGTCCTGCGCTTTATAGTAAGCGGCGAGCACTTCTTTTACCAGACCTTCTCGTTCTTTGCCGACTACGGCGTCTGGTACGCCATTATGCTGCTGGAATCTGCTCGACGCGCCAACCAGCTCACCCCGTTGGGCGTGTAAGTTGTTAATTTGACTAGTACTACTTACTACCTCTCAGTGCCGTTGCTAACACGAACTCGCAGCGTCCTATTCTGGGGCATGTTAAACATGTGGGGGATCGGTATCTTCGGCCCAGTATACCAGTTCGTCCACTACGTCGCGACCCCCATCTCCTCCCTCGCCGCACTGGATATGAGACTTACCGATATTTCCTATACCTCCACCGTGCTTCCTGTGATCCTAGCGACTCATTTCGCCACGTATGTAGACGCTTACCTCCTGCCCAATCCTTCGCACCGCCAAATGGCTGCCTACCTCTGGGAGCTTTTCCCCGTCTGGGCTTTCCTAGCACAGGAGGTGGCGGTTCGGTATATTCTCCCCGAGAGCACGGTGCAGAAAGACCGTCTGGCAAACGTGAAGCGCGACATACCCGTTATCCGCGCGACTATTGGGGTGCTCTGCGCCATCACGACCGGCATTTGGCAGTATACCATATGGTATAGCGGACAGTCATTGGCTGACATCTTCCTGCCCTTCATCAGCGCGGACTTCAGCAGCTTCAGCTTTGAACAGCTTTTCCACGAGTTCTTGAAATGGGACCAGGTGTTCTTTGCCGCTGGTAATATCTTTTGGGTTGCGATTTTTATCTGGGATCTTAAGGCTGCTGGCATGATCCGCGAGAGCTGGCTTAGGCTGGCTGTCTACGGTGGCCTCTTGCACTTGATCGGTGGGAATGGGACGATGCTTGGTTTGGCTTGGCTTTACCGGGAACATGTCCTCGCTACTAGAAGGCATAAGACAGCTGTGGTAAGCGGTTAAATGGCGTATAGATTAGAATTAGAGAATGTAGAATTGGTGAATTGAAATGTTAGAGTGGGAAAGAGCCAGAACCTGCTACGCTGAAGAAAATATACCTAGGGTAACTACTTGGGAATATGATTGAGGTTACACTGTAAATAGAATTTAAAGGAACACTGTACTTTACTGGCTAAGCTTGCTGGGGTCATAAGGAGAGTACCTAGTACCTAGTACGTATCACCTAAAGCTTAGGGGATATATCGCTACAAGTTCCCTAACCTCCAAGGTTGGCTTTTAATTAACACAACCATATAGTTAACTAGGTTAGGTAGTTATAGTAGACACATATTTATACACACTGTAACAAACAAGCTAGTTAAATAGCGGCTAGTCCACTAAAGTATAGGCGGCGTACCACTATATATCAGGGAGCTTCAGCGCCTACAAATGTGCCTATCTAGTGGAGCCCCAGCCATCTCCACCCCTTCACACGCCCTGCAGCTACAATCCTCGCGAAAGATTTATCCAAAACTCGCTACTGGATGATGGGAAAATAATAGCGGAATTGGTTATGCGGGTCATACCGTTTCTTAAGTGCCCTCAACTTCTCAAGACGCCACGGCTCGTAGCCATAGATGGACTCCAGCGACTCGGCACCCGACCCGTAGTTGACGTAGGTCGTCGGAAGCCTCCCTGGCTGGCCTTCGTTCCACAGGTCGACATTATTCCGAGCCCACTCCATCACAGCAGCGTCGAGGCTCGAATTTGGCAGGTATGAAACGACGGTTTGCCTGACATCCTTGTTAGCTTGAGGGGAATTCATTGCGTTATGTGTTGGATGAGCTTTTGAAAGTGGGCAGGAAACAAAGGCAGACGCACATGAGGAGATAGTCATCGCGGAGCGGATACGCCGACGCCTTCGGGTCCTTGTTCCTCACGTTTTCAATCGAGTAGCCTTCCATGATCACGGCAGTGTCTGCAGCGAACGCCGGATACTCGGCTATTTTCTTGTTGAACAGGTCGTAGATCTGGCGCTGCGTCGTGATGTTGTATACCTGCAAACCGGCGGTGCCGACATGGCGAGCCAGCCCCTTGTCGCAAAGACTGTCGCCCACGCCGGTGCCTGTGACATGCATAATTTCTGTGTACGGGACGTTGCCGTCCGTGATATTGACGGGCCCGAGACTATCGAACGGTGTCAAGTACTGTTGCGCTTCCGCCTGAGTGCCCGCGTAGGCGAAAGACCACCAGATTACGGCCTGTTTGGTATCAGCCGAGGAACATAAGTGTCAGGTGAGTAGGAACTTACCTCTGTTTTACTAAAGTTCGTGTTAATGAGATACATCCCAAACTGCGCAGCCATGTTGATAGGCTGGGTGCCATTATTCTGCAGCTTATTCAGCTCTTCAAACAACGGCTCCAGCTTGTCTTGAGTGAAGATGTAAATCTTGAAATACCATGTGTCGTATAGACGCGGGTAGATCTTGAGCTCGAAGCTTGTCACGATTCCAAAGTTGTGACCGGCACCTTGCATGGCCCAGAATAAGTCGGCGTGAGAGTCCTGCGAGACCTCAATAGCCGACCCGTCTGCGAGCACGACGTTCAGCTTGACGAAGTTGTCGCTGATCATCCCGTGGAACCCTTGCCATCGCCCGTGGCCACCCCCTAGGCCGGGGCCTAGCATGCCAACGCAGCCACAGCTACCGGTAGCTACTCGCAGTCAGCTTATCCTTTCTTTTAGGACGAGGTAGTGTTTTTGAGGAAATTTCAAAACATGGTATGAGAAATTTCTCAATGCACGTACTAGTCACATAGCCAAGGTCCCAGAGGTAGTCGATGACCTGCTGATCATAAGTTCCTCCCTGGAAAAGGGCAGACTGCCGATCTTCAGCAAGAGTAATGTTGGTCAATAATTGCAAGTCAATCTCGATTCCAGTGAAATTTCCCTGCTGTGCTGCAAGGCCATGGCCGCGGTTGACAGCGTAAAAGGGGATACCATTGCGCTTAGAGTATTCGACCTAGTTTAATTTAGCGAACTTGAAATCTTCAACATAATAGTTGATTTGGAAAGAGTTAAGTTGGTAGGCTGGTACGCACGACAGTAGCGATGTCCCGCTCTACCCCGACTTGCACGGCGATAAAGGGGTGAGGAGGCAGGTAGGCCTGCCATCTAGCCGTAGCATTATACCATCGTGGGTCATCTGGACCAAATATACTTGAAGAACTGTCAAGTAAGGGTCCAAGATCATGCTCTATCTGAGGGTTTGGTGGGGTTGCCCGTGTTGCTAGACACATATCATCATCCAGGTAAAATGCCTTGGCAAGGGAGAAGAGGCTGATGCCGCGCGTCACGAATAAGTAAAGCCGCATCATTGCTGAAAATATGTATCAAATAAGGGTTAATTAGTGGGTTCTATGAGACATTGGCTTGGTATTATGGCGAATGTTTATTTCTTCAAAATTATATCGAGCTTTTCAATTCAATCACTCGTTGCCGAAACGATTCGGGAACGCGGGAAACGACAGACAGAATACATAATGGGACCGAGGAAAGATAATTCCGGGAGCCAACTCTTGCAATAATTAATTCCGGCCTCCTTGAAGGGACTTTTGTCCGTGAGACGAGGCATTTGGGGGGCGGGGGCGCGGTGTCACGACAGAAATTGGGAAACAAAAGAAGAGAAAAAAAGAAAAAATCACAATAAAGCAGCCAAGATTGTCAAATAAGGCGTGTTCATCACTGCCCAGGTGGATCACTCGAAAATCCGAGCGTTACTATAGTCTACTTAGAGTACGTGAGGAGTTTACACGATTCCCTCTCCGTCAGCCAGCCTCGAGCCGACTAAGCTCAGTGCGCAACATCAGCATAGTCGCCAGCCAAATCGCCCAGATACTCTCCGATAACCTCGCCATTCACCGTCAGAGGCGTAACATCCAGCAGGATGAAAAGCATACGGCCGGACTTCTCCTCGTCCAAGTTCTTCCACTTGTGCATGCAGCCACGGTTGACGCCTAGGTTTCGTCATGTCAGCGGCCGCTACAGCTAGCGTTGAACCACAGAGAGAGGGGGGGGTTGGGTGGGGGATGCTCACTGCAGTCGCCGGGCAACATGACCTTGCTCTCGCCGCTGTCGAGAGAGAACAAGAACTTCCCCTCGATCACGACACCGTAGTCGAGCGACATGGCTCGGTGAATGGGCGACTCCATGCCTGGGGCGAAGTCGATCAGGCGGGCCACGCTACCGTTGGGCACATGGATGGCGGGCTGTTTTGGTTTGAAGAGGAGGAGGGGTCAGCAACAAAAGTACCGTCGTGCTACCACATACACACAAATGCGGCGGCCGGAGAGAGTTGGGGAAGTGTGGAAATGGGTATAATTCACCTCGTTGTTTTTGGCATAGGCGATGTCAGCTTCGTTGTTCATGTCGATGGGGTTGCCCTTGGTGCTGTAGATGATGTTGGCGACGGCCTGTCCTTGCACCATCAGCCTGTGGTGGTCGCCATCGTCGTCGGCAATGAACACGCCCTTGCCGTCCTTGTTGTGCGTGCTGATGTACCGGCGCGCGGGGCGAAGGTCCTCGGCGGGGAATTTGGTGATGGGTCCTTTTGTGGCAGACATGATGGATGGATTGAGGGGGTTGAAATCTAACTTTTTTTTGCAATTGAACTTGGGAGACACTTTTATAGAAATCTAAGGATACTGGCTTATAAGGAAGATTTGATGATCTTGTTCTCATGGCATTGATTTGAGACGAAAAGGTACCAAATTTAACTATGTGATGTCGAGGCTCGATATGCCCGGATGTGTTTACCGTTGTCCCGTCTGACTCGGGCATCTACAGTGTTCCCGGATACACTGCATTTATTGATGGCGATGGTCTCGGGGATGCGAAATTGGTAATATGTGCCGTACCAGCGTGCATCCGTCGATCCCGACCGGTGTCAGATTCATCGGCACTGATAGCTACAACATGCCGTTCATGCCAATATAGTAAAACGCCTATCTACCTAACTACCTTGGTATGCAGAGTCTCGATGTAAATATGGAGCTATTAAATAAATTTTCGACAAGTTATCTTGTGTCGATGTATATTGCACCTATTTTACTACCTAGTAGGCAGCAAACTATCTGGATCTAATAGGGGTGAAGTACTACTAGGTAGGTGGTACCTCAGGTATGAAAGTGTTTATATGCCAAATTGAACGTAGATGGAATTATTTCAAGTTATTATCTGCTAGAGTTACAATCTATGCTTCGCTGATCAAAGAACTGATTCCTGGGTGCTTGTTCTCCAATATCTCCAGCAGTTCTGCCCATACCTTTTTCTGTGTACGGGCTCCATCATCGCTCCTCACGAATGGAGACAGCGCAGAACTACGCAAGGAATTATATTAGAATCTGCTGTTTTGGTAAAGAGAAATCAGGAACACATACTCATCTATTTCGCAATCATTAAGGTATTTCCCGTGGCTTTCCTTGCCTTTCACAATACCTGCCACCAGAGTTCTCCCCCCTTCTTCAGTCGTGCGGGCTACTGTCTTGGTCATGACCCAAAAGCCAAAACTCACAGGAAAATGGGAATTCTTAGTGAGTCCAGAAATACAATAGCCGGGAGTGAGGAAGTTCACAATGATGCACGGGTCGGGACTTGACAAACTGTGATTGGGACGAACGAGTTGGCTCGCCAGCTCCCTGCCAAGCAAAATCAGGAGAAGTTTCGATGTGAAGTAGCTAATAGACATGTAAGTATTTTCGGCATAATGATCGAGACAGAACACATGGAAAATTGCTGCAAGTTGCTCAACATACCGCTGGTTCATCTTTGCTTTTCGCTTGTCACTTAGCACTTGGAATGTATTGCCCTCTTTTGACTCCGGTAGGTTCACCATGACATGCCGATCCGACGCAACTATCGTGAGTCGCGGCGAGATTTTCCACTTCTGAGCAGAGCTTCTCAAAACTGGTAGGAGGAGAATCGCTAGCAAAAAGGTGTTGATCACGTTGACAGTCAACGTGCTCTCGTAGCCCTCAGCAAGTACAAAGTCCTGGGTGAACATGCCAGCGTTCAGGATTACAGCATCCAGACGATCCAAAGTCTGCATCTTGGCTGCAAATTCTTCCACTGACTTTTGATCCAGCATTTCAAGCTCATAGATGCTCACCACGCCTTGCCGCCCGGTAGATTTCTCCAGCTCTGCAACCGCTTCGTCGCTGCCCTCCAGGGCTCGCACGGCGATGATGACATGTGCGGCATTTAAGCGAAGCACGTGGCGGGCAGCTTCAAAGCCTATACCTCTATTTCCTCCGGTTATGAGAACGGTCTGGCCTGTGAAATCATAGCTGGGCACAGGAAGCTTCACAAAAAGCTGGGAACGAAGAAAGGAGAGCGCCGACATCACGATTGCATGTGGATTGAATTAATCGATGTTGCAGGAAAGCAGACAATCGATAAAAAGCTCACTGATTCTGTGTATTATAACTGCTATGTATGTATGTAAGCGTGAATGTGCGACCAAGCTGCTCCAATCGCCCCAAGTTGTACCCCTTTCCGTCATCAACCGACCGAAGAGTACTTGTAGCCAACACCACCCGGACAGAGACAATTCCCATAGCATCCATGTTGAAAACTCCTATACAAATCTATCTACTATCTACCTACGTTATCTATCATACCTAAGCCTTAAATTGAGATTATGGGAGAACCTGCACCTCTGGGGATCCGTTTACCGAGTACATCGCCGGCTCGCCGAGATCCCCGAGGTTACCGACATGACCGACCTACGGAACTTTCCGTGGATGAAGTTGATAGTCGACGTTACCTCCGCCTTAGATACCCTATGTTCCCCGACTTCATTGCCCGCAGACACTTTGCTGACATCGAATGTTTAAGGCAAGGATATCGCTTTTTTGGTTTATCTCCGACAAGCTTGCAGACAACTCAAGGTATGCGTGCTTAACTCCAGAATTTGGGTATGATGATTGATTTTAGGATAATGCTTTAGAATAAGGATCGTGTGATGTAGACTGGACGGTCGATTTTCGCTGGATTGTGTAGGAGTCTACCTGAGTTCCATTTATAAACGACTTTGTTGCACATTCCAGACCTCTGTAGATCAGAAAAAGATAGGTATTACGAAATACATACCAGCTACACAGAGATGCACTATCTTATACTTCTCCTCATTCCATTACTCGCTTGGTCAGCATCAAAACTGATTCTTTGGGCCTTTACTTTGCCTGGACTGCGGACAAAGTCGCTGCCACCTGGTATGCTCTCCAGCTAGTATACGTTGATGGATGTAGAACTGTGTCTTAACAATTTCTAGGACCCCCCGTTCTCCCCTTTCTCGGAAACTCGCACGAAATTCCCAAAACAGGAGTTCATTTACTGTATTTGCCCAACCGTCCCCCCTCACGTGAACATTCAGGTATACTAACAAACGATAGATTTACAAAATGGGCCAAGACTTACGGACCGGTGTTTTCACTCAAAATCGGGCGCGGGACCATGGTCGTCCTGACTTCAGCGTATCACGGATCCCAGCTGTTAGATAAGCGCTCGGCGTACTCGAGCAACAGGCCTCCCTCGTACGTGCTAGGTGAACGGGTCTTTTCTGGAGACCACCCGATGTTCATGAATGCCGACGAGCGATGGAAGTTGCGGCGGAAGCTATACTTCCAGCTGCTGCAGGAGTCGAGGTGCGACAGGGAGCACATCCCGCTTCTCGAGGCCGAGTCTGCGCAGCTGGTTCGCGATATATGCCTTGAGCCGGATTCTTTGATGTTTCATCCAGGACGGATGGCCAACAGCGTCACGATGTGTCTAGGTAGGACAATTAGTGTCCACGTTTTGAAAGGAAATGAGAAAACTAATCTCATATACTTTAGTGTACGGTGTTCGTACCCCTGAATACAATACGCCCCACTACGTCGAGCTGCGCAAAATCATGACAGAGCTCAGCGTGCTCGGTGAAATTGGCGCTACTCCGCCCGTTGAACTTATCTCCTTCACAAAATACTTACCGCAGCGTCTCTGGGGAAATTGGAAAACCCGGGCCGACGTTCTGCGAAAAGGCATCCACGATCTCCACTCTCCGCTGGTCGACCGAGTAATGGAGCGCCGCGAAAAGCTCGGGTCGTGCGATTCCTTCCTCGACCACGTCCTGGACCAGCAGGAGAAGTTGAAGCTTACGAGAAACGAAATCGATGTTATGTGCGGAAATCTCCTCGAGGGAGGCACAGACACGATGGCAAACACCATCCTCACGCTTTGCCAGGCCATGGCGCTCTATCCAGACTTCCAGGAAGAAGCGCATAGGGAGATTGACGCGGTACTGTCTGACACTGAATTGCCTACTTGGAAGGACTTGGAGAGACTCCCGTATGTCAATATGGTGGTCAAGGAGCTCCTGCGTTGGCGGCCGCCTGCCCCTACCGCTTTTCCACATGCATTAGTCAAGGGTAAGTTTTTTTTGGTTTCCCCGAAGTATACGTGGAAAATATTCTCTAAGCTAACATATACTAGACGATGAAATTGAGGGCATGAAACTTCCCAACGGATCAACAGTCGTGCTGAACGTCTGGGGCGTGCACCAAGACGCGACGCGCTACCGCGACCCAGAAAAGTTCAACCCCTCACGGTTCGCCGCGCACACTCAACTCGCCTCAGTCTACGCCAACTCGGGCGACTACGAGAAGCGGGATCACTACAGCTACGGGATTGGGCGGCGCATCTGCCCCGGCATTCATCTAGCAGAGCGCGCACTCTTCTTAGGCGTTGCTAAGTTAATCTGGGGGTTTGATTTCCAGCAGAAGAGGGATGCGGCGGGGAACCCGATTAGCATTGACATAGCGCCTGAAACGGGGTACGATGATGGGTTTTTGAACCAGTGTCGCCCGTTCGAGGTCGATATCACGGTTAGATCGGAGAAGCGCAAGGAGGTGATTCTTGCGGATGCGGCGAGGGCGGAGGCGGACATTTTTAGTATCTATTCGAGATAGCTTGATGAAAAGATGTTTAAGGTTAAGGAGGGTAATCAACTACCTACCCAGGAGCAGATATCATAATTCTTTTTTGAAATGGCACATTGAACTACCTACTTGGTTTTGGGTACTGGGTAGATACTTGAGTACCCAGGTGCTCAGCAAGTAAGGCCATCGCAAATCTTACCCCTGAATAACAATTCTGATTTATAAACTGCTCAATACCTACCTGCCAGTTGGTTTTGTAATGATAACTAGGTACCTAGAAAGTGGTAGGTAGTATTAGGAAAAATTCGTAGAGATCATCATACTTCAACCCTAATAGAAACTGTGACAGTAATAACACGCTGACTGCCTTGAAGATATGTATCGCTTCCACCCAATGACCCAATTGTTGGCATTTTCTCACCAGAGCTTATCTAACACCCACCTACGCGAAGTTACGCGAAGTAAATAAACCTGATAGCCCTGGTTATCTCACCCTGCTTGATTAGTGTACCTGTGAACTTCATCTGATATCGGCATTTGGTCGCGACTTCGTTAAGATGCTGACCTCCAGCTGCTAACTGGCCTAGGTAGGAGGCATGTACCTACCTGCCTATTAGCTACTTACAACTGATCTTCGTATCATAACCCTCTCACACACCTGGCACACCTGGCACACCTCAGACACTAATGCAGACAATAGTAAGACGTAAGACGGGATGGATCGGGTTGCAGCTGACATGCTCACCTTAATGTCTTATGTTGAACATCTGACGAACGCTGCATAATTCTTAAATTCTTAGGGCTGTAATTTTGTACTGTAACTTAGGTAGGTTGGTATGTAGTTCTAAACGAACATGCAAGCACTCAGAGACACGGGGAAGAACTCGAAATGGTCCAATGATGGCCATGACACGACAGATAGCTAACCCAAACCCCATACAGATTTTATGCGCAAGGTATATTCGTGTTCCTAGTTACCTAGATTAGGTACCTGTTAGGAGCTCTTCACCTGTATGGTCAAACCACCATCCACAACCCATCCCACCCCCGTGACGAAGCTCGATCTGGGGCTTGTCATATACAGGACCGCGTCAGATATCTCCTCCGTCCTCGCCAGCCTGCGCATCGGCACAACGGAGTTTATCATCTTGGTGATGTCTGGGTTCCCCTTGGCTGCGTCTGACACCATTGGCGTGTCCACCCACCCGGGGCAAATCGCGTTTACCCGAATCCCGTGTGTCGCGAGGTCAATGGCTAAGTATGTTTCAAAACGGTCAACGTCATTTTTTTTTATTTAACCCAGACTTGAGATGTTGGGCTTGATTTCTAATCGGAACTTACCGGCGTTCTTGGTCAATCCGATGACGGCGTGCTTGGTGGTGGTGTATTGGGTGATGTGAGCGGTAGCCATGTAGGAGTTGGCAGATCCAAGATTCAGGATCACGCCGCGGCCCACCTCCCGCGCTTTGCCACGGTTGTTGGTGACTGTGGCTATTGTCTGGGTCTTCATCACTCGAGCCACGGCTTGGATGCAGTTGAAAGTGCCGATGACATTGATTTGCCAGAACCGGTTCATCTCGGCAAGATCCGTCTCCTCGATCGAGAGATGCTTCTGCACACCAACACCTGCGCTATTGACGCTGTAGTCGATGCGCCCAAAGGTATCTACGGCAGCCTGAACCATCTTGTCGACGCTTTCGACATTGCTTACGTCGACAGCGACAGCTAATGCCTTGTAGTTGGGGTTGGTGGCGATGGCCTCACTCTCCTTCGCAGTCTTCAGCGCGGCCTCGTAGTTGAGATCTGCCAACACCACGCCCCTCGCGCCCTCCGCGGCGTAAGCTAAGGCACATTCCTGGCCAATGCCGCTCCCTGTTGAGTTGTCAGAACACTATTCTGCGGGTATACCCGCTCAAGAACCGGGGGTTGCTTACCCGCCCCAGTCACTACCGCGACCCCATCGATCATAAGAGCCATGCCTTGTTCGTCTAAAACCCCCTTAGTAATTAATACCTAGGTATTGCGCAAAGTAAGTAAGTAAGTAAGTGAGTGAAGTAGAAAAGGCACCTAGACCCTAATAGGTATATGGTATATGCAATGCAGAATAAGCCGGCGGAATGTAGGATAACAGGCTATAGCCAATGTCACTGGTGGAAGATACAGAGCAAGCACCTTCGTGGGCAAGGGATGAAGTGTCCTCGTCTGCTCAAATACAAATGCAAATCGGGGATGGCTTAGAATCCACGGACAGCACGGAACGACGTCGCTTCAGCGTTTAGTCGGGAATTAGCAGAATTACCCCTGAGCCGTGTAGACCGTGTAGACCGTGTGGCCCGGGTAGGCCGGGCACGCCCGGCAACCCACTGCCGCTCGCCTTCCCGCTGTACTTCGATAGGTAGGTAGATACGCATCCATACCTACCTACCTAGTAGGTAAGAACTCAACTTCCCAGAGCTTTAGTGCTGACGAGCAGCTTATATGCATACATTTAGTATTACTATTACTATGTTGATTAGGCATTTTTTTATGTCGCCGCATCTCCGTCTAGCTCCGATATGCAATCAAATTCCTCAGGGTCAAGTCCGAGCCAGAAGTAATGCGAGCATCGTTGAAGATTGGCGGGTAGGACGCTTTGTGGATGTGCTAAGCGTTCCAGGCACTCGGATTGGCTGCAGTGGTGAGGATGCATGTATTGGATGTTTCTTTACTGGGTATACATATCATGCATGCCTAGGTACATACCTAAGGCACCATATATACCAGGTCGGTACCGTACATGCCCTACATTAGGTACCATACGCATCTTAGGTACCCTAGGTGCATACGTACATACCACCTAGCTACCTACCTACTACTAGGTATGCAATCAGATAACCTAACAGGCTGGATGGCGAGAGACGTCATTGGTTCGTTACATGACTACCGCAACAGGTAAACCGGTATACCCTATATATTTCCGAGTTCCCCTGACTAAACTGAACAGGTACATCTTAATCCACGCCAATACCCCCTAGTGCAACCTGCCACCTCCCGACTGCAGCTTTCGTATCCCACGCTTCCCCCTGCTCCTATTGATGAGGCTCTGCCCTATGAACTACATTATCAGAGCCCTTGCGGAGTACCGGTCCGACTGTGGCTTACATGTAGAGTACCTAAGTAGGTAATAGAGTGTCGTAGAGTGAGGGTAGGTGCTGACGCGCTTGACTTGTCTAGGTATTTAGATGTGTACATATGCAAGGATCCACTTGACGTGTATGCAGATAATCCTTTTACCCAAGTCAAATCATTGTGCGTTTATTTTGACGTCTGTCTGTCTTCTTCTTCTATCTATTGGTAGAACTTCTTGGCACTTTCTAGGTATGTAGCTTTTCCTCCGCAAACCAATCTACCTAGGCCTCCGATCCCACGCCGAGCCCGTCCTGTGATAAATACCTGTTCTTCACTGCCTCTGCCTTCTGGACTAACCACATGTGAATGCATTGGCAGGCCATGACGTGTGCTGAGTTCCCGCTGCCTTGCCCCTGTGCGTTCCTGAGCCGGTCCACGGACGCACTGAACTGTTTCAGTACGTTTTCTAACTTTCTGAATTGCAGTCGCCATAGGTGTTGTTTTAGCTCATCCTCCTCGTCTGGTTCGATTTGTAACACCCCCCAGGATAATCTGGGAGCTGCTGTTGTGTTGACCTTGCCCCCGTGTGAGCTCTCTGACGTGTTGGATGAATACAGCGAGCCCCCTGATAGGCTTGCCTTTGCGAGCAGTGATTCGAACCCCTGAAGCACTTGGCCAATTAATACGCTTATGGCCACTACACTACAGTCAGCCTTTTATGAACTTGCCTAGCCATGACAAAACAAAAACAGAAGGAAAAGAAATAAAACATAAAACATAAAAGAGAAGGAGATAGAAGCATTGTAGTTTGGAGTGTAGTGTAAATAAACCAAGGACTGACTCATACCCATAGACATCTCATCCCCCGCGGTGCAGGGGCAGCAGATGCAGTCTTCTGAAACATTGATGGCGCCCCGGAGTATGGAGAGGTGGGTATCGAAGGAAGCGTCATCACTCTGTAACGAAGTAGGAATGGATAGAAGCTGCTTGACGACTCGTGACATGCAGCCGCATGTGGGACGATCGGAGTTACTGGAAGCGAACAGCCCCCCCAACCCACCCCGCGTGTTGTTGCCCCCCATGTCTGGGCTCACAAGGGACAGGCCGTTGCTAAGAAAGTCATACGTCTCCGCCGTCATGTCAGCAATCGGATCGAATGTCGACCCCAGCCCCGACGAAATGTCCATCGGCTCAGGATGACCCTCCATCTCGAATCCGGACATAAAGTGCTGCTCGGAAGAGGAAGAAAGGGAGCCGTCGTTATGCGATCCCAAGGCCATCTCGTGCTGAAAAGCCACCGTAGGCTCGGTTGCAACGTGAATGGAACCATTTCTTTGCCGTGAAAAGTCTATTGTAGTATCTGTTTGGGAATTGGCTGGGGGTAAAGGGGATAGTGCGGACTGAGATGATGCCCCGATGCGAGGAGCGCTTTTGTGGCTTCGACGCGACAGCCCGTATATACAACCGATCCCTTGCCGCTCACAACGTGCACATTTTGGCTTTGCCTGGCTACATCGTACTTTGGACTCATTGCACGCATCGCAAGATGCACGCAATTTAGCAACTTTGCCATCAATCGATGTTATCATGTCATGGCATTGAGAAACAGGCGGTTTTCGGGCTCGGCAAAGGAGACGATAAAGGGGCAGCAAGCTAAGAACTTATTATAGACAGTTATTTCCATTGATCCAGACACTCGCCTGATTATCTCATCCATCAATATCAATTCCATTCATTCAATTCAACTCACTTCTCATGCCTGTCAGACAAGTTTCTCCACTAAATTTCCCCGTGTCAAAGACATTGGGCGTGTATCACACCAGAAACAGCTTCGAGCATAGTTCTTGGATGCGAGGATCGTGAAGCAGGGCTAGGCCTCGAGATCCCCTAGCCGGCTCAATGGTGTAAGCTTAGGAGTAATAGATAGGCCAGACCATGGCCTCCTGCTGCTAACCCTGTACGTAGATAGTTTGTCACTGCATACGCCTTGGCCACTCTATCTGTATCAATGAACGCGTAATGAGAAACATAGTTACAAAAGAACAAAGCTGTCACATTTCAAAAGATCAACGCTGACGGTTCGTACGAGTGCTGCTGACAATGCCTACTTACCTATCTACAGATTTATCTACTTCCATGGGCAGTTACCTACCAAATCTGCCAGGCAATTCCTAGCGATTATCAAGAGTAGACTGATAGATTATCGGCAGTTCTAGGACAGCATGGATATTTCTCTCCTCTGCAATGTAATCAAGATATGTACGTAGGTATTATATACAGTGCTACAATGCTACATCCAACTACATATGTCCCTACATACATAATGTATGTAGAAGGTGAGATGAGGAGGTGATAGGATTTGTGTGGTCACGCACATGCATCTACCAACGCCACCAATACGACTTTCCGTCTCGCATCCCGCATCCCAACCTGGTCATTGGCCTCGATAAACCGCCCCGGTGGCCTTATCTTTAGAACATGCATTATTCCGTCACACGAAGCCATTTCGTCAGTACCATACTGTCGTTTGCTTATAAAACGGGTTGTACATGTCACGCCGTTCCGTTCCATCAAGGTAACGCACGCAAACAAGTACCTTTTCTCACCACTACTACCTACTAGATATCATTACCTAGGTATGTGTTGTGAAGACTAATCAATTCTGAAGGTGTAGATGCTTCGTATTCACTCAGCTATCTTGGCTATCTTATTTCTTACGAACCAACTCCTCGTTCTTGAAATGATATAATACCTATCAGATAATCTCTCCTTTACCTAGTCACTAGATATCATTCGGGATTCGGTGTGTTTGTGTGTGGGTGGGTTACTGCAAACGGCTGAATCATTTGGCAAGCAACTTGGTCAGATTGAACTCCCGCGTGAAGATGCCGTCCTTCAAGGTTGTTAACAAAAACAGCAGAACAGGATAAAGGGGTTACGGGGTATGCGTTACCCAGAAAGTCTTTGGTAGAAACGTATCTCCAAACCAAACTTCGAATGACCGTGCCCCAGTCCAGAACCAAGCCCGCGGGTGCTCTTTCAACACCTCGGCGACAACTGCAGTCGCGTACTGCTGTGGGCTTACGGTCTCTTTTACACATACGCATGTTAGTTGGAGCCCAAGCATCTTACTTCGAAAACTTTTGCTATCTCGATTTGAAACTTACGCGGAGATCTTCGCACATGGTTCTGAAATTCCTTCTCTAGAGGACGATAAAATGACTTTTCGGGCAGTTTGCGGCTGTTGTCACGCTTCAAAATGTTCGTGCCAACTTCACCGGAGATGATGTTGATTACATCGACACTACACTGTTAGCATCAAAACACCAAAAGAGGATGGATGGGGAGGTAGGTTTGTAGGGTGTGTAAAGATTTACCCCAGTGGCTTCAACTCTACTCGAAGCGTGTTCCCCCAATGGTGAAGAGCTGCTTTGGTCGCATTGTAACTTGCTGGAAAAATATGTAAGCTATTCGTATCTAAGGTAGATAGTCAAAGTGTGAAACGTGGGTTGACTTACACCCATAAACATAAGGAACGATACCCCCAACACTGCCAATGTTAACAATCTTGCCCTTCGACTTGATAAGCATTGGGTGAAAGATGTGGACCATTCTCATTGGCCCGAAGACGTTGACAGCAAACATCTTCTCGACTTCTTTCACCTCGGTGTCGATCGCTGTCATCGTGTAGCCTAAGTACCTTGTTAGACATCTGCCTAAGGTACCAATAAAATGGTAAATAAAGGTTCCATACAAATTCCGCTACGTTACTGTTAGTTCAGTGAATCAACAATGTCATGTTTCGGAAAACTTACGCGCAGTTCACGAGAACGTCGAGATTACCATTTGTAATTTCAGAAATAGTATCTCGTAGTGTTATGACATCGTCATCTTTGGTGACATCTGCCGTATATGCGTTGATGCCATTGTTTGTGAGATGATCGCGTGGTTCGTGAGCCAATAGAGTCGTGAAGACTCTACAGCCTTGAGACATAGTATAGACACCTAAGTTATTATCCTGCAAAAACCCAAAGAGTTATCACATACCCTTTGACTTGAACTCAGCGGCGAGAGCATGTCCAATTCCTCCCTCACCACAACTAAAAGCTTGTAAGTACAATAAATAGGCCATTTGTCTTTTGTCTTCTGCTCTTACCCAGTGATCAAAACGCATGGAGCACGTGGCTCCTTCATTGTTGGTGGAAAAGAGCAATCCTAGTTCAACAAGACAGATTTGTTGTAGATTAGAGAAATGTCAATGAGTGGAAAAGGGGGGTTACTTGGCAGGAACATACAAACGCAAGTAAATATTCTAACTTGAAAAATATTACTATGCGAGATTTATCACTTCCTCATTTTTTGAGATATCAGATTTCCCTTCTGATTAGAAAGGGTCATCGATACGCGTCTTAGCTTCCTTCTAGCCGGCGTCGGCAACTGCACCTAGCCGGCCTCTGGTCTCCGGCACCATCCTCGCCAGTCGCCGATGCGGCCGGCAGCATGTATATCGGTAATGCTAGTAAGAGTCTAGAGCTCACCTGGGGACGCTTATCTGAAGATCATTCCGGTGAATCGGTGACATCTCCGTTCGCGGAAAAGGGGGATCCTACAGAGATATGCTCGGCAATTGATTTTCCCATCGCCTTTCTCACGAAACGTCTGGTTGGATCGTCTTCTATGGACAGCGATCAAGGGGAAAATGCAGTTCTCTAATGCTATATGCTCCGATAATGAGACCATAAGACGGTCAGATTTGATAGCCGTTGAAACATGTCTCACGTAATCTACATCGAGTGTCTTTGGTATATTACATCTAGTTGTTTTTCCACGTTTCGAAGTTTGATATCCAGGTCAACTCTAGTATCTATCTCTATCCATAGTCTAGATTCAGAGGGTCCTAGACATTCCTAAACACAATTTCATTCACAATGGCACCTATGATGTTTTCCCCTGACTCGAGCGAAGACTCGTCAGGTCCATCTACCCCCCCTCAAAGCGTGTCTTCTATAAGACCTTCTGAGCCAATAGCGATCTGTGGGTTGGGTAAGTTCTCACATGGCCTAGCCATAAGATTCCGTAGTATCTATGTTAGCTCACTCTTCTAGCTTGTCGGTTACCTGGAGACTCGTCGTCCCCGTCCAAGTTCTGGGATCTCCTATCGAAAGCCAAGTCTGGCCAATGCGAGGTTCCGAAAGATCGCTTTAATGTGGACAGCTTCTATCACCCCCAGGGCATGGACCGCCCAGGAAGCATGGTGACAAAGGGCGGATATTTTCTCAATGAAGATCTCCGAGAGTTTGAGAATTCCTTCTTTGGGATCAACAACTTGGAGGCGACATACATGGATCCTCAGCAGAGGAAACTCTTAGAAGTTGTGTTCGAGTGTCTTGAAAATGCAGGCATTCCTCTCGATCAGGCTTCCGGGTCAAACACTGGCTGTTACGTTGGAAATTTTACCTTTGATTTCATTTCCATGCAGATTAGGGAGTCCGACTAGTACGTATCCCCCTCACCCCATATTAGCCCCTTTTTTGAGACAAGAGATAGGGCTGACTGAAGTAACCAGTATGAACCGTTACTCTGCAACTGGTCTAGGAACTACTATCCTTGGAAACCGTATCAGCCATGTTTTTAATTTGTTAGGCCCTAGGTAAGTTATTTCTGCCATATTTCTCATGGAGGCCGCATTACTGACCCGGGTCTCTTCCTTAGCCTTGTACTTGATACCGCATGTTCCTCATCCCTCTACTGTCTCCACGTAGCATGCAAGGCCCTAGAGAACTATGAGTGCGATGCGGCTGTTGTTGCTGGTGCCAACCTCATCCAATCCGCAGAGCAACACATTGCCACAATGAAGGCCGGTGTGCTCTCTCCAACATCTACATGCCACACATTCGACGCCTCTGCGGACGGCTACGGTAGAGGTGATGGTATCGGAGCCTTGTATGTGAAGAGGCTCAGCGATGCGATCCGAGATGGAGATCCTATCCGAAGCGTTGTCCGAGCCTCAGCCATTAACGCCAATGGGAAAACCGCTGGAATCAGTCTTCCCAGTGCAGATGGCCAGGAAGCCGTCATTCGCAAGGCTATGGCAAAGGGCGGAATAAGCCCAAGTGACATCACGTACATCGAGTGTCACGGAACAGGCACTAAGGTAGGAGACGCCATCGAGGTGGATGCCTTGTCGCGCGTGTTCCAACGCACGCCCCAGCAACCTCTTCTTATCGGATCCGTCAAAAGTAACGTGGGTCATTCCGAAGCTGCAAGCGGTATCGCGGGTGTTCTCAAAGCAACTCTAGCCCTCGAACATGGCCAGATTCCGCCGACCTACGGCCTGAAAGTTGTTAACCCCAAATTGAAGATCGAGGAACGCAACTTCGGCATCCCAACTGAGGTCACCAAATGGCCTGCTAACTCACCCCCCGTACGACGCATTGGAATTAACTCATTTGGATACGGAGGAGCCAACGCCCATGTGATTCTTGAAGAAGCGCCCCTGAGCAAGATCCCTCAAGGCGAGTCTAGAGACATAGTTGTCTCCCAATCTGCCGTGGTGCTACCCCTATCCGCCACGACCCCAGAATCCTTGGACGCCAGACTGGCGGATTTAGCCGATTTCGACTTCACCAACGTCGATATTCTGGACCTCTCCTATACCCTGGGGTCTCGACGCACCCATTTTCCCGTGCGAGGTTTCCTAGTCGCTTCGCGGGCGGAGCCAATCGCAAGTTCGTTGAAAACACGAACTTTGATCACCAGCGCGTCTCCATCCAAGAGCACAAGCTCTCCCTTCGCTTTCGTCTTCACGGGACAAGGATCACAATGGCCTGGCATGTGCCGCGAACTGTTTACTGAGTTCCCTGTATTCCGTCATGCTATCGCCGAGATGGATTCAGTACTGCAATCTCTTCCCCACAAGCCGGACTGGTCTCTCCAAGAAGCTACCTTGGATACGCAGAATGTGGACCTTATCCACCTACCCCAGAGGTCGCAGACCTGCTGTACTGCTATCCAGGTTGCGCTCCTACAGCTCCTCGCAACCTGGGGTATCTTCCCCAGCATGACTGTTGGGCATTCCTCCGGAGAGATTGCTGCTGCTTTCGCAGCTGGGCATATATCCGCAGCCGAAGCCATCGTGATCGCCTACTACCGTGGGTATTGCGTATCAAAGTCTACCACGAACGGCTCCATGATGGCTGCCGGCTTGTCTCAAGCGGCCGCCACCGAGGAAATCCACAACCAGGGACTCGACGGGCAAATACGAGTTGCGTGTGTCAACTCTCCAGAAGGTGTCACAATCTCTGGGAACAACGACGCCATCGACAAGCTACTGGCGCTCTTGCAGGAGAAGAAGACGTTTGCGAGAAAGTTAAAGACAGGTGGGCAGGCTTACCACTCCCACCACATGTTGGCCATTGGAGAGGAATATGAATCGAATCTCGCCCAAGTCCTGCCAACACTAGGAGATTCAATCCGGATGCCGAAGGGCGCCACTGTCATGTCCTCAGTCGTTGTGGGACCGAAGTCATCCGGTTTCACTCCGAGTTACTGGCGCAGCAACCTCGAAAGCCCCGTCCTATTCACTCAAGCCATTGACCAGATCAACAAGATTGGTGAACACTGTTACATTGAGCTTGGCCCTCACTCCTCCCTCGAGTTGCCCATTAAGCAGACTCTGGCAGTTGCGGGCATCTCGGGTTCTCAAGTCAAGTACGCAGCCCCGGTCAAGCGCAACAGCAATGCGCTAGAATCTGCACTGAGCTTCGCCGGAAGCCTGTGGCTGCAGGGATTCAACATCGACTGGTCCAAGGTCAACGGGCTCAACACATCCTTGAAGTCCTCGACACCCCTCTGCCGCGTGGTGACCGATCTCCCGCCCTACAAGTTTAGCTACGAGAACACTCTATGGACCGAGTGCCGTGCTAGTCTTGAGTACCGCCAGCGCAAGTACCCTCGCCACGAGCTGCTAGGAACGTTGACGCCTGGCGGTAACGGCGAAGAGTTCATCTTCCGCAACATCCTCAAAGTGGACGATGTTAGCTGGTTGAAAGACCACAAGCTCGAAGAGACTGTGGTGTTCCCTGGTGCTGGATACTTGTGCATGGCCATGGAAGCGGTAACACAGGTCACGAACACCGACATAAGCAAAGACCCTTCGTTTGAGCTCTCGAATGTCAACATCATAAACGCACTGGCTCTTTCGGAAGATGCCGTTTCCCAAAAGGAAATATTTACCATGCTGCGCAAGACAGCCATCACGAACACCACGAGTTCATCTACCTGGTGGGACTTTAGCATCTCTACGTACCAAGAGGGTACATCGGTCCAACACGCTACAGGATCCATCGCCATCAACGCTGGCAGTGTAGCGTTGAAGCCAAAGTACCAGGCTCCTGAGGGGTTATTGGAGTCGACAGCCAAGCGTATTTGGTACGAGAAGTTCATCAAGTACGGTCTGAACTACGGCCCATCCTTCCAGGCGATCTCCGAGGTTCTAGCACCACGCATGAAGTCAGCCTCATTCTGCGGCGCGACGACGCCCTTACTGACTGCCTGCGGGGATCCATTGACCAAATATCCCATTCACCCCATTACACTTGATGCGATGATCCAATTAGCCATTATCGCTTCCACGAACGGTGTTCCCAAGGCGCTCCGAGCTCAGGTCCCTACTAGACTAGCATCCATTACGTTGAACACAGCCGCACGATACTCAGATGAGCAGGCTGTAATGAACACACTGGTACAGAGAACCGGCCCCGGATCATCCGAGGGAGGTGTCGAGATCCTCAGTCCCAACGGCGAGGTCCTGGCACAATTCGACAAACTGAGGCTAGCCCCTTACCAGGCCGCTGGCCAAGCTGAAGACGAGGATAAGCGACACCCTGTCCTTCGCGTCCTGTGGAAACCCGATGTTTATGGTCTTGGTTTCATGAGCAGCGACGACGCGGCAGCACACGCGCAGAAGTTCGCTGATGAGGCTGATTCTCCTGTCTCCGATGATGGACTGCTCAAGCTTGGGGCTATTCTAGACCTGCTTGTGCATAAAAACCCGCGCCTACGTGTTCTCGAGTTGGGTAATTCTTCTCATGACTTGACCCTTGCCGTTCTGGAGCTCTTGGCCTACCATACCGACTTCAAGCGCATGTCGACCTACAGCACCGCCTCTATTACGGAAGACGGATCGTTCTCAGGAGGTGTCGTAGATCTCGAGACAGGGGAGCGCAACGAAAAGCCCGCAACTCTGGAAGATGGCGTATTTGACCTCGTTATCATTCCAGGGGCTGGCTCTTGGCTTAGCGACAGTGTTAGCAAGGTTAAAGCGCTGCTGGCAGACGACGCAACGATACTAGCCCTTTGCCCCGGCGCCACAGGAGACTACTTGACTTCAAGCGACCTATCATGCCTTTCTTTCCCTGTTTCTCAAGAACAGGCTAACCTCGTCGTTGCCCGTCAAGCAATTGAGCCAAACAAGGAGAAGCTAAAGAGCCACAAATTTTTGATTGTCGAAAGAGAGCAGTCGAGACTTGGCTCAGCATTGGCCGATGCCCTCAGCGCCATCCAAGGCCACTGGACCACGCGCGTTCTGCTACATGAGCTCACTGCGGAACATGTGGCGGCCGAGAGCACCGTCTTCAATCTCTGCGAGGTCAACGCTCCTCTCTTGTCAGTAACATCCGAGGAAGACATGAAGCGTATCAAGATCATCACCGACGGCGCGTCTTCTCTAGTATGGGTCACCAACGGAAACATGCTAGAAGGAGACAAGCCCGACTACGCTCTTGCATCCGGTCTGGCACGTACTCTGTCTCTTGAACAGCCGTCGCTCAAGTTCTACAACTTCGATGTAGACGAGCCCGACGTCAATGCCCACATCACTTCGCAGCGTCTCATTTCCGTCCTGAACCAGCCGGGCGCCAAGGAAGATCTAGAGTTCGTGCAGCGCAAGGGTGTGGTGCACATCAGCCGATTCACGCCGGATGAGGAGATCAACAAGGAGTTCCGCGTGAAGCAGGGCCTCGAGACATCCGACTCGAGTCTGGGAGATGTTGGCGATGTGAGACTGGATATCAAGCACCCTGGGCAGTTCGACACGGTTTACTTCAAGCAGCTTGAGCCGCCGCAGTCTATTGGCGAGACCGAGGTCCGCGTCAAGGTGGCCTCGGTGGGCATGAATGCCAAAGACTACTACGTCCTAGCCGGCCGTGTGGACACGCCCAACGCGACATGCCAGCTCGAGTGCGCTGGTACAGTAGTGCAAGTAGGTTCAGCTATCACAGACCTTACCGTGGGCGACCGAGTCGTCGCCATGGCGCCGACGCACTTCCAATCCTACCAGACCCTGCCTCGGTGGGCATGCCACAAATTGCTAAGCACAGAGAGTTTCGACGTCTGCGCAACACTGCCTTTGGTCTACTCTACTGCTATCTACGCCTTACACTACCGCGCTAACCTCCAGTCGGGTGAGAAGATCCTCATTCACTCTGGTGCCGGAGGTGTGGGAATGGCAGCAATTCAACTCGCACTTAACGCGGGAGCGGAGGTAAGAAGAAGTATAGTTTCAAGTTAATGGGGTGATTTAAGCTAACAAAAGGGTTTTAGGTATTCACCACCGTCTCGACCGAGGAGAAGAAGCAGTTCCTGATCGATACCTACGGCCTCAAGCCAGCGAACATCCTGAGCTCACGCGACACCTCCTTCCTAGACGGCATCCTCAAAGCCACTTCCGGGCGTGGCGTAGACGTCATCCTAAACTCCCTGACCGGCGACCAGCTGCACGCGACCTGGCGCTGCGCCGCGGCCTTCGGACGATTCGTAGAAATCGGCAAAGTCGACCTGACTAGCGCGGGCCGCCTGGAGATGGACCAGTTCCTGAAGAACACGACCTTCACGGCCTTCGACCTGAGCAACCTGTACCACGCCGACAACGACGAGTACCACACGCTTTGGCAGAGCCTGCTCTCGCGCACCATGGCGCTGTACCGCCAAGGTCGCATCGCCAAGCTCGAGCCGCTGAAGGTCTTCGACGTCAGCGAAGCCACGACCGCGTTCCGCTACTTCTCGTCGCGCAGCCGCATGGGCAAGGTCGCCATCAACCTCGAGAACGCCGCCTCCATCATCAAGGTGCAGAAGCTGCGCCACCGCACGCGCTTCGACAGCGAGAAGAGCTACGTGATGGTCGGGTGCCTCGGCGGGCTCGGACGCACGCTCTCGCGCTGGATGGTGCAGTACGGCGCGCGCAAGTTCGCGTTCCTCGGCCGCTCGGGCACCGCGAAGCCTGCCGCGCGAAACCTGATCCAGGACCTGCAGGCGCTGGGCGCCGAGTGCACCGTCGTCAAGGGCGACGTGTGCAACGCCGCGGACGTCGCGGCCGTGATCGCGGCCGGCCACGCGCTGGGGAACATCGGCGGCGTCGTGCAGGCCGCCATGGGGCTCAACGAGGCGCTGTGGTCCGTGATGCCGAACGCCTACTGGCGCACGGGCATCGACCCCAAGGTCCACGGCTCGTGGCACCTGCTCAACAGCCTGAAGGCGATCGGCCAGGACGCGCAGCTCGACTTCTTCCTCATGACGTCCTCGGTCTCCGGCAGCGTCGGCACCGCGACCGAGGCCAACTACTGCTCCGCGAACCACTTCCTCGACCACTTCGCGCGGCACCTGCGCAGCCAGGGGCTCCCCGCCGTCTCCGTCGGCCTCGGCATGATCTCCGAGGTCGGCTACCTGCACGACAACCCGGAGATCGAGGCCATCCTCCTGCGCAAAGGCATCCAGGCGATCGACGCCGACGAGCTCGTCCAGCTCATCGACCTCGCCATCTCGTCGAGTGCCACGATGGGCATTCACCACGCCCACGACACGCTGGCCGCGGCGCACCTGCTGACGGGGCTCGAGGCGTTCGGGCTCAAGGAGCTGCGCAAGAAGGGGTTCGAGGGGTCGTTCCCGGCGCTGGACGACCCGCGCGCGAGCGTGCTGCAGAGCGCGCTCGAGGGCGACAACGCCATGCGCAACGCGAGCGTCGGTGGGTTGCCCGCGGAGGTGGCGAAGGGGGTTGAGGCGGGCCAGACGCTGGGCGAGGCGGTGCTGGACCACATTCGCCGGCGGTTCGGCAACCTGGTGCTGATGAAGTATGAGGCGGTGGATGTCAAGAAGCCGCTCGCGGACTATGGTATGGACAGCATGATTGCGGCGGAGTTCAGGACGTGGTTCTACCAGAATATGGCGGTCGATGTCCCGCTATTGATGCTGCTGGGGAAGACGTGCACGCTCGAGGACCTGGGGGGTATTGCTACGGCGGGGATAGAGGCTAAGGCATAGAGGGTTTTCTTTTTTTTAATGACTCTATTATAGATTATTGGTGGTTCTCGCACGGTTCTATAGGTTATTAAATAGTATCTCCAATGAAGAATTCAAAACATAGAAGCGTTCGATATGATTCATTGTGATAGGGGTAACCTGTAGTAGCTGTCCAGCTATACGCTGTATTCAGATAGAGCTGACGGATCGGCAAGATGGTATCCGCTACTTCAGCTACACCTCATAGCCTCTTTGAACTGAATTATTACCTGCGAATGTAGCCTACCATAACTAGAGCATATACACATGTAGCTGCCTACCTAAGGTAGGTAAGTAAGCAGACTCACCTCCTAGATAGGTATCTAGGTAGTCATTAGAGAGAATCTAGGCTTTACGGGGTAGTCAGCCCTAAATAAGCCTTGGAATATGTTGCAGGTGCCTGAGGAGCCATGGCACCTGAGGCACATGGCTCCACTAGGCCTGCCATATATTGGCACTCCGCCATCGTAGTCTGGAATAAACCCAGATTTCTTCCATCCTTGTTACTTCCATTCGGTTGGAATTTGCCCTGCAATAGAATATATCCATGTACTTTTGTACTCTTCAGTGACTAGATCGTATAAGAATACTAATCTGTTCCACAACGCGGGGAAGCTGACGAAGAAATAAGAATTCTCAGCTAGGGCGGTCAACTGAGACAGTCCTGTCGACAAAGACAGGAGAAACCGAGATTGAATGTCGACATGAATAATTAGGTAATAATTAGGTACCAGCTGGCACAACATAAATGCAGAAAGGTCATGGTACTTTCCGAGTTTTTAGTCGTGCTCCTTATAGCGTCGCCTGTATCACCTCACCCCCCTGAGATTGGAGAGGGCTCATCGAGATTCCAAGAGCCCCGTCCCTAATGTGAAATATAAAACTTAACAAATTTCATACCATAATATTACATAGAGCTAGGTAGTATACACATTTCGCGTAGATTCAGTATAATTTAGGTTAAGTCTTGGAGTAGCTTGAACCAGATGGGTGTGCTACTCAGAATCTAGAATGCCTTGAATCCGTACGCCGTTATGATCATGAGATATTTAGGTGCAAGCCATAAGATGAATAAGGCGGGTTATTCAACAATGTGATGGTAGGATACCAGGAGCCATTTCACATGGATGTCTTCAAGGTGTGGCAGCTATGTAATTCATGGCAGCAGTATACGGTGAGAAGCATCCTAAAAATACAGCGTCGAAGAATATAAAAACACAGAGCCGTCCGTCCTGGGAATTTGGTTTCTACACAGAGATCAAACACTCAAACCAACCTGGAAAACAAGCAGGCCTCAACCTTCAAGCCTTCACAACAGAACCCATACTTTACCGCTTGACTTTCTCTACTCTCCCCACCATCAAAGATGAAGACAAACTCCACCATCCTTCTCCTCGCCGCCCAGGCCCTCAGCGTCCTCTCCTCTCCCTCTCCTGCCCCCTAAGACTTAGAATGCGGCACTCTCGGCATCATGAAACCAACCCACCTCCCCTCGGGCATCGACCCTTCCGCCGCGCGGAAATGCATCGAGCACCCCCTAGGAAAAATCAACGACGACCGCTCCACGCCTGTGCGCCGAGACCTCGTCGAGCGCACCTGCTGGTACGGCAAGCCGAGTGGCTGCACCAACGGCTACTGCTGGAAGAGCTGCGGCAACGGGCCCTGGTGCTGGACTGCGCGCAGCGGCGGCTTCGGCGACTGGTACACGTGCAGCAAGGACAGCGACTGCAAGACGGCCTACGCTTGCGGGCAAGTGGCGGGTGATGGCAAGTGTGACTCTTGCGGCTGCAGTTGTTAGAGGGGGAGAGGGGATGGGGTGGGAAGGTTACGATGTCATTTTTTGGATGGAGTGGGGGAGCTACTATACCTCAGCAGGAGAGCTTAGGGTCGGCGCCGTCTCCAAATGGAGCAGGCCATTGTCTCAAGCTTGCGTCAAGCCATTCCTTTTCTCTCCGCACATGAGATATTGCAGACTTTCGTTAAGGCAGGTGCCCAAATACATCACATTCTTTAATAAATTTCATCTTGTTTCCAAGTCTGTAGAGCCCCTTTGTTACCTAAGTAGGTAGGTAGGTACTCAGGGGTAAGCTTATAAATCGTGTCATGTAGAGTATTACATAAGCCACCCCCTATTTCGTATATTTCCCCCCTAATTCCAACCTCTGATAAAATTTTGGAATTCCTTCCTTTACTGGATGCTGAAGGGCTCATTGAGGATCGAATGGATAAAAGAAGCCATCGCAATACCTATCATGCATTTCTCCGTTTGCAATATGCAATAGTACCTCCACGCTGGGCGGGGCTCTGTACTTGGTACCGAACGAAGAATAGCAGGCGTGCCTTATTTCTAAGGTTGATAATTTGGCCCCACAAGGATCGCAAACCTTATCATCGCCCTCGTAACCGACCTTTCTACCTAGGTACCTAGGTACCTAGTACTACCTCCCGAAGTTAAACTTATAAGTGCCCGGAAAGCAACAACTATCACTTCCTGGGTGAGAACTCAGGTACCTGGGTTTTCAACCTAGGTTGGCTCAGTGGTGAGGTGCGAAAACCACCAGGGCTCCCCAAAAAGTGCGGGTTCCGAACGAAAACCACTGTGGGACGCCCGAGGGTGCGGGTTCAATCCTGCCACAAATCTTTTGTTTTTTTCGACTTTTTTTACTTTTTATCTTTTTACCTTTTTGTAGCACCAAACACCATGGATAGATATTATCTCGCCTTCTTTACTCCATGTTGTACCCATACATTCTTCTAGCCAGAGCCAATACACTATACCCACCCTGCATCCAAAAACTGCAATCATATTTTCGGACTAATCCGCATACTCATTTCTTAATGCTCTTGCCAAACAACTACCTAGGTGCCTGGTTCTCGTCCATCACAGGAAGAAGATAGTCACCTACAACGCTGGGCTCACTCAAACGGTCACACTGGTGGCAGGCAGTATATTCGCGAGAGGTCCTCCAACTTTTACCACGACATATAAAAACATCAATTCCAAAACAAGCGTTGATAATCCTCCCCCGACACTCCTCAATAATCCATTTTCATCACTTTCTTTACTAATATGCCTCGTAATCTTTTAGGAGGCAAGCGGATGAGCTTCACCGATCGGAACTATTATCATACCCTCGTAGGTAGTCTCGACGGAAATCGAAAGCATCATGTCGAGAAACTGGAGGCGTCACGTGCTAAAGGACGATGGTAGTAGACCCGGAGAGTCATGTGATAACCCCGATAGCTACCAACCTAATTCACCTGCCTGCAGTCTTTGTTTCGCAATACATAATTAATTTCAATATTAAATGTGTCGGGGCCATCGTTGGAATAGGGTGTTTTTGGAATGATTGAGCCCTTTTGGGATGATTCCAGCCTTTTGGGGATAGTTCCTTTTTTTGTAATCATTGGAACCATCCCGTAACCGTCACGGGACGGTTCCTCAACTACGCATATTTCTACCAAGGAGGTCAAGAAGACCCGATTAACAGAAGTTCTACTCACTAATTCTCTTACCACAAAGTCCCTCGCCTCACTCCGTAGGCTGAACCAAGTTCCAATTGCAAACATTGAAGCGACAAAAGGCTCCAAGCAGCACATACGTAATAGTTGAAAACCAGACCTCCCCCCAAGGTGTAGAGTATCATGTGAAAAAGAGTGTTGAATACTCGAAACAGGAAGGTCAGAATAAGATAAAAGAGCACGCCCAACACGCTACACCAACTAGGAACCAAAATGTGACATATAAAAGCAGCCTCTAACTATGGCTCGATGGGACAGCTGTGTCGCAATTGGGCCTTTCTCCTCCTTTTCCCACCATCCGTGCGCACTCAAACTGCAACAGTGGACGGTAATGTAGGTAGGTAGGGTAAGCTAGCAAAAAGCTACCTTAGTACCCCTATTCATTACTGTCATATCCCAAACTAAACTCCATCGGAAATATTCCGTTGAGACAGCACGGGATTGGATTGGATTGTATGGCGAAGCGAAGCGAACCGAAGTGTTCTAGTTATACGATGGACTAAGAATGCCGGACTGCTACCACGAGAAATCGTCGGATGGACAATTTGTTGTTTGGCGAATCAAAGAGACTGCGTTAATTTAGCACAGCAACATATAAATGATAATGGGGTAAATACACATGGGCCTCTCATGGTTATCTATCATCGCTACGACAGAGGTAATAAATATCACACAACCGGTCTTTTGTAGAGTCGGTCTAAGCACTGCTACTGTGCCCTTCATGTACCTAGTATGCACAGTTGCCTCATATAACAAGGAATATGGTGACTGGGGCCTGAATTGCAGAGCAAAGAGTTGGAGATTGGGTTACAGTCTACGCATCTACACAAAGAACCATCGTGGACATGAGCCGTTCTGCTGATTTCCAGGTGACCACTTACTCAAAATAGCAAGTATTACCAGACCAGACAGACCGTTTCCAAGTTTGCATGTGTTTGCTCAGTGCTACGGTGTAGGATTTTAGGGTTCTACTGAAGAGATATGTATGCCGGGACCTGCATACGGTGTACAGACTGCATTGATTAACGTCAGGAATATTGAAAAAAAAAAACCAAAAAAAAAAACTATGGACCTGCATACATATCTGTAGATATCCTATTAACTAACTATTACCCAAGGTTCGTTCGCCTTTGAAATGATTGACGATAACTCGAGCAGACCACAGCAAAGCATTCCCACAACCAATTACTGGAAATGGCGGGGTGCAGAAAGAGAGATAGATATGATATGTAGCTCTAAACGACCCTTGGGTGACATGAATCTGGACGAGAGCCCGTCTGGAACCTCTGGACCCTCTGGAGTCTGGATGATAATAGCGTATTAGCGTACATACCATACGCTGTGACCGCTTTCTGAATTTGCTACCTTGGGAAGATAATTAATTGCTTGATCCCTGCATGCACGTGGATAGTAGAGGGAAATCGGCCTAGTGCCATTCCCCGTTCAGCAAGTTCACATGCAGTAGTATATCGCCGGCACTAGACTCCTTTGGTACGGCACAGACAAGCGGTATATACCTATTTCTCACCGGCATTCGAAGAATTCGAGAAATTGTCCTAATTGCCGATAGAGCATGTCATAATATCATATCGAACTTTGTTGAGGATATATAAAATCCCCTATGTAGGTATGTAAACATTCGTGTATGTACGGTGACTATAGCAATGGCATATCCCTGGCATCATCTACGATTCCGTGATCACCCGTCGGAAATTCTCCGATTTTACTTAGATACACGTACAGCCTGAGATATCTACCTACCTAAACGGACTAAACTTATGTACCTTCCGGGAGTAAGGCGGGAGAAAAGAAAAGGTAAAAAAAAAAAAAAAACGCTTTGATGCTTGGCAAATGAGTCCCAAACAAGATAACAATTCTGCAGCTGTGGATTAATTAGCATTGGGGCCAATCGTAATTGTAGGATATTACTACTTTTCAATCTATCGTAACCGGCGTAGCGGACACTGCAAAGCGGGAACCAGATCAAGTCCTACAGATCTATGTTTGCCTCGAGTCTGGGGACTGACTTGATTGAATAGGTAATAATTCAAGGATAGCTACATAACTACCTGCCTAGTACAGTACATACAATATTATGTACGTCTGTATGTGCCTTTGAAGGGGGAATGTGGCGATTTTATCACTGCATGAGGCAGAACATGGCTAGCGGCAGCGGCTATAATTCCGTACCTACCTCTATCAGATCAGACGGAGAATAAAGAAGAATACGCCCAGCTGGCCAAGCCTAACTTTCCGTCTCGTGTGCGTCATGAATTGAGATGAGACGAGGCGAGACAAGATGCTTTTTACAGTTTCCCATGCGCAAGCCGAAAAAAAAAAACTCCTCGCTTACTTACTTCTTCCCACGAACCTAGTTGCGAATTGCTTCTTCGGAGGATTTGACCACAAGACTGGTCTAGGTTATTTAGTATGTCGTACGTAGAAAGCGAACGCGCAAGCAACTTATAATTCTGTCGGCCCATTCTTAGAAACAATATGCAAGCCTTAAAATCCTTAACACCATTAACAACCAATCACTGTTTGATTTTCCCAACTAGAGAGGAACCGGCACCATGCGTTCTGACCTGCATGCAGTGTGCGAGCGACCACCCCCCCAAGGACCAGGGCGGGATACACGGGGGGATTGGGCAAGTGCGCGGGGAGGGGGGCCGTACCTATCAAAGCGGACAGCAACCCAACATCTTGAACCTCGGCGGCTCTAGGGGGAGGGGAGAAGAGGGGGATGACGTCCGGGGAACAAGGAAGAGGTTCCTCCGAACCATCCTTACTAATCGTTTGATCGTTTTTTTTCTTTTTCTTTTTATTCGACACTTAACTTATGCAAGTGACGCCTTAGCCATATGCATGTCTATCTGATTGTCTTCTATTTCTAGGCATGTAGGTGTGTAAAATTGTTCCTAATCACATCTAATCGGTCATCTGCACACCATATTGATTGTGATGAAAGAAGCTTGGAGTTTAGCTACTTCCCGAGACTGGTAATAAATCGTCTGATTCTGAAAGATCGCTGCCTTTCATCGGCTTGCCAGTTCTGTGCGTACAGTTAGAAGTGAGATGTAGATGAATGTGATGATGCTGTAAGGTCGAGATTTCGAAAATATTGGTGTTGGTGCCCGAGATGATTTGTGACAAGTCTCTTAAGCTTACCGTTCTTGATCCTCTTTTAATAACTAAATGCTACTAATTCTTTTCTTTCGATCCTCCTCTTTTTAACCTTGACATCGTGTCTCTGGGGAGGTTTATTTATATATACCTACCTACCTACGTTAGGTCGGCAATTAATATCAAAAGCAAACTTTCAACATCACGAGAATTTTGATCATTGTCGACTTACACTAGACACCTCTCCCATCTTCAACGACAAATAGTCGGTCTTGCCGATGCTAGCGAGATTATCGTTTAGACCTACCTGGCAGTTCTCAACCTAGTAGTTTCGGGGATTATTTGCAGTTTGATATAGGACCAAGAACTGTAAGATCAACAAGTTATAGGGGGCTCGAGCGGGATATACACCTTAAGGGGATGGGGTTTTGTGAGTTTGAAGAGAAACTAAGTTAATTGACGAATAGAATAACTTGTCGAGGTTCTTGTCACTTCAAGCTTCAAAGCTTGTAAACCTTGGAAGCTTGAGGTTTTGCTGCATTCACGTTGTACACAGCATTGAACCTTGGAACCCTTAAAACCCCTTACCCCCCACTACCCAGAAAAAGAATACGCTAAAAAGGGGACCCCCACTAGCCCGCCTATGCATCAGGTAGCACAGAGACAAGGGGACACGCCAGCGACTCTCAGGGTTCTGTACCCCGTTCTATTAGGTATTCCAGGGTTGTATCGACCTATGTGTACTAGTACCACCTAGAATCGTACCTGCCGACCTATCTTTATTGTTACCTAGAGCGCTGAAAATGGTACTAGACGTATCATCAAGACCTGGGTAACCTTGGATCGTAGATGCTACTACTAGTAGTAGGTACTCACTATGTAGTACCTAATGTATCAACTCCAAAAGTTGCGTGTAATAGTGTATGTACCTGCCGTATTACAACAGCTCGGCCCAGCCATCCGGGTCTTATCATCGCCATCACAATTCTTTCTTTCTTGTTTTACTTTCTCAGAAACATTGAACTTTTTTATTTTTTATTTATTTTTTATTCATAGCACTTTTTTCGACTTCCACGACAATCACATCACACCATCACGCATCACCTCCACTACTTTCACAACTTGTCCTGCGTCAAGTTAAACAAATCATCGTCTCATCTCTTTTTTTTTCTTTTCGTCATTTACCATCCGAACCCACCTCCTCCGCTTCTTTGGATCGACTTCGCGCACCCAAACTTTTACCTTTCAATTTATTGATTGGTCCTTTTGGTTTCGCGATCCGAGCACACGTTTCGACCTCTAGATATTCCCCAATCGCATTGAATCGCATCGCATCACACTCTACCTCGCCACCTCTTCACTGCTTGAATTGTCTTAAACCCAACTTCAAACCGGAACGTGATTAAATTAATCTTTTTTTTCGACCCATCGCTTTAAAGTTGATTTTAATTCCTGAACGCCTAGAATTATATCAAGCCTTTATCAAGTGAAATTTGGGATATTCTGCTTTTACCACGGTTCACCTATTGGGCACTTACTAGGCACCTACTGGGTTGGTTCACTTCCTGTGACCGCTATAAAACGTGTGTTATAAGTCAAATTTAACGGCGGTCAGACTGAAACGAAGGAAAGCTGTTGGATGCAAGTGGAGCTACGCTAGCTACAAGAACTAATTGCTTCGCATCCTACCTATATCCTGTACCTGCCGTTTCTCTTGGTACCAGGCACTAGGGAATCCAAGGTCGGGCCCCAAAAGAAAAATAGAAAAGAAAAAGCAAAAAAAAAGAGAAAAGGAGAAATTGTAGTCAAGCGAAACTTCCTTCCTTGCAGCTATCTTTGCCCTCTTGAGCTCCTTTCGAATGCATACAGTCCCTGCTTGGCAGTAAAGAAACAACCGTGAGAGAACGAGCTCTACACACTCCCTAGCTAGTACTCACCTCTAGCAGGGCTATTGCCATATTGGGACTAACAGCTCACCCACATACACGTACTTTGCTGCTCGAAGAACATATTGTCGCCTTTTCAGGAAGGACTGATACGAGGAGAGAAAGGCAAGGGAATAGGTGCGAGCATACGAGCGGACACAACCGCAACCATGAACCACCAACAACATCAGCAACAACCCACTTCGGCTCCACAACCACCCGTACCTATATCGATTACGATATGTGGTGATGGCGGTTGTGGTAAGTCATCTATCACCCTACGATTAGTCCGTTCACAGTGGACGTCCGAGTACGATCCAACCATCGAAGACAGCTACAGCATCACCCGACGCATCGATGGTACTACCTATCACCTATCCCTGACAGATACTGCCGGCCAAGAAGAGTATCGCGGCATGTGGGCATCGTCGAATCTCAGCGCCGACGCTTTCCTCCTAGTTTATGATATCACCTCGCTCGATAGTCTCGACGCTCTGAATTATTTCAACGATCTTATTGATATGGAATCGGAAACGCGCTTAGATAATGCGGCGCGGGCGAAGAAGGCTGGCCTAAATGCTGGAAACAGAAGAGGGCCCGGTGGAATGGGAGGCGCTGGCAGTGGTGCGAGGATGATCCCCCCAGTCAAGATCGTCGCCGGTAACAAGTGTGACCTACAAGAGTCACGACAGGTCTTGGCAGCCCAGGGCCTAGAGTGGGCACGCAAACGTGGATGCGGCTTTATGGAGACAAGTGCACGCCTCGAGGTCAACATTGAAGAGACGTTCGCTCTCATCGTACGTCGCGTTGTAGAAGGCCGCCGTCTAGCCGAGATGGGCGTTCTTGACAACACCGAGATGGATCGCCGTGGTGTCACAAAGCCCCTCACGCCCCTGGGTAGCAGCGATGACCGCGATACGGATACGGAGAAGCCAGGACGCTCGGGCCTGATGCGAGGACCACGACTCGGCGACGGCCAACGACTCGGTTTCGGCATGAGGGGAAGAGATGGGTTCTGGAGAAGTCTGCGATGTTGGTAGGGAGGGATATTCTCCATTATTGCCTAATACGATCGCTATAATGAATCAGGCGAAAATCATTCTCATCCCCCAGGACTCTCCGAAGAGAGAAAACTGGACACGATGCACGGAACAGTGCACGGAGGGCAACAGTGCCGTACTATTGGAGGATCTTACGAATCAACGAAGCAAATCATTCTCAGCCTAGGTACCTAAGTACAATGGTTGTGATCCACTAGGCTTAACCCCAAGTGAGTTGTGTGTTTTTAGGAGTCAGCACTTGGGTACCAAGGCGAGGAAATCGAATGAGAACTTGCACTCTTTTCAAACGACATATTATATCCCAAGGATTCAGGCGTTTAGCATGAAGGAAAGCAAGCAGATCGCATATTGGGGTTTACGGGCTTTGCGATTCTTCTGTCTACGGTTGGGGAGATGCATTCTGGCTGCTTGGCGTGGATGCGCATACATGAAGGCTTGCTGGAGATGAGATGCTAAAACTAAAAGGATTTCGGCTCTTTTTACGAGTCGCTCGCTTTACATACCATAATACATTGAAGAACTTTCGAACACTCATACTTTTATGTTCGTACCTGACTATGTGAGGCTGCGGGAATTGGAGAGGGTGTTTCAACGCATCCAATGCATGTCGTCCGCTCCGATGAATAATACTAATGTCGATGATAATCTGGTAATCCCAGATATTGTATCTTCTTTTTCCTTTCTAAGGCACATGTTGTTATTGAGACCCCTTAATAATAGCAAAAGCTATTAAAGGAGGAAAAACGAACGCGAAATAAGATATTGAGGTGGTTGATTTCTAAACAACTAAATGATGGAGGACTAGGTAATTCAGGTTTACATGCTAGTTATACGAAGTATACGAGCCGTGCGAATAATGGACATGGTAAAAGCAAGGCTTCTAATGTCAAAAATGCATCTGCATATACATACCTTAGTTATAGCATAATAGTGGATTACCAGATCAAGTCGATGAATGGGACGTGGTCAAATTTCTCGCCGCACACATAAGAGCAAGCAACAGCATAAATCATAGGTACGTAATTCTAGACCTCAGCCCTGCCCAGTCCTATGCCCCGGATCTGCAAGGTAAGATACCTAGTATGTATATATCTGGGACCAAGCAGCGTGCAAATCCCAATAACTAACTATGTACAATGGCTAAACAAACAAAAAAGACGGGATGGCTTGACGTTTCAAACTAAGAGCGACTTTAGGTTAGGTGCTAGGTATGTCAAGGGTCTAGTTACCCGGGGGGGTAGCCCAGGCAGAGATCTTTGCATGGGAGCGGGGGGGGAGGGGCTATATGACGAAGAGGGCTATATAGTTATATGTAAGGACGTATGCAGCCTCCGTAGGCTCCGGGGATTGCCTAAGTAGGTATGCCAGAGATCCCCGCGCAGCGACGATGTTTTGTTTGCTCTGCGCCTTGTAGCAGCAGCATATGCCACACGCCTTACGTCTGTTTCATCACCCGCGCTTGAGAGAGGAGAGGGCGACTCTACATAGACTGACGTGTCTAGCCTAGTTAGTAGGGCCGCGTATTCTTTCTTGCCTTTCGTCGCCAGGGAAATCCAGTCCCTCCGACTAGGTACCTGGGAACCACTCGAACGCTCTCTCATATATCGCAGTGTACTGTAGGTATGCCTAATCAACCTCATAGCCTCTAGCTACCCTGTTGTATACTTGCTTCTTAGGGTGTGCAATGCATCGCCCAGCGAGGGATAGTGCTCCCTCAACCACGACCTAACCGTCGGGTCCGAGTATATCGTACTACTACCTACTCGACTTCTTTGCATCCCCCATGTCCCCCAATACCCTCACCTCCTCCTCCAGTGCAGTATTCGCCACAAACCCCCCCTCGTTAATCTTCCTAACGGCAGCCACAACCTCCTTCCCAGCCTGCGTCAGCTACTGGTTATAAGGCATGCGCAGCAGCTCGCCGCGATCAAGACCGGACGTCTGGTCGATCCAGGTGCGCGCCGCGATCTCTGCCGCCAGGTCATCGGCTACCACCAGGTGAGAGCGCGGGTTGGGTACAGGCCCCCGTGCATAGCGCGCAGCTTCGTCGAAAGCCCCTTCTCATCCTCGGGGGGCGGTGATCCCGTCGTCAGGTAATCGAATCGCGTGCAAGACGCAAACAGGGTATCTCTCTCGCAGCTCCAAGCTAACATCGATCGAATCGATCATGGCTCTCGAAGATGGCCGTTTCTATCTGTACCTACCTAAGTAAAGTAACGGTCCATCCATCCAGCGGATTCCACGCCGTCCCCGTCTGCACATCGTACGTAGCCTACATAGGTAGCCCGAGCCCACTATGCCCTGTCTCCAGAATAAAACCATACCCTTCGTCATCCCCGTCCTGTGGGGAGGCCTTGGGGGTGGGTGAATGTGCGTTGAGGAGGAGGAGGTTTGTTTTGGTCCATTATGTTCCTGGGTACCTAGGTAGTGGGTAGAACAATAACTTTCTGGGGTAAGTGAGATCGAGAATGGCTTGCCAGTTCTCCTGATGGATACCTATATATGAGCTTCAGAGGTTAGTGCGGCTTCCTTTCTTTTATGTATGATACGAACAAGGTGAAATGTGGATGGCCTGCTAGGTATCCATTATGCTGCAATGAACCCGCCGATGACTTTGCAAGAAACCCTTCAGCCTTTTCTATACCTAAAGAGAGAACAGCAAGACCTCCGTTTCGCAGACCTACCTAATCCAATCTCCAAAAGTGAAGCTTCACATCTAGTTGGATTCTAAGCATAAAAGTGCAGCTTTGCGGGTGGAGGAAGTTTCACAATCAATCCCTGCCTAGGTGTACTCCGGTGTTCCATTGCATAGGATAGGGGCTCGCCGAATCAATTAGGGTCCAAGAAACGATGCATCGCGTGTTTCGGTACTCTTCCCATACGCGCGCGGCCGCTTGTTCACATATCCGTAGAGTGGTAAGTCTCGTACGGTCCTACAATGACTAGGTACTTACCTAGATACCTACCTTTGGTTATCTCTATCCGGCTTCCCTCTTTCATGATGTAAAGAAAGCCTGCCGATTACTATCCTAAGCTTTGTGTCGATGTAGTGTTTGAAGAAAGCTCGCCCTCCGGACCGCGTGACCAGCTACTACAGCACATGCTCACATTCAGACATCTAACTACGGGTCTTTTCATCACATATGCAAACTAAACAGCTTGAAATGATTAAACTACTAGTTATCTCTATTATTCGTATATCTACCTCTTAATAGCTGTTCCATCGAAGGACTAGGCACCTATCTATCCTACCCAAGGTATCCCGAACTGCTACTTGGTATCCCGATCAACGACCCTTACAGTTTCCTCCTCAAATCCCCGTACTCATCCCATCTACCCCTATCTTCACATTACCTAGGTATCACAAGTCCAATTCCCGACCTACAACCTATCGCACATCCCCCCCCCTTTTTTTTATTCCCCCCTTTAAAAAAAAATCATAAATTCATTTCATCGGCCAAACGCACAGAAAAAAAACACAAGACATCAAATCAACGCAGCGCAGCAACCCCCAAAAAACAAGCATCATGAACATCATAACACAACCCCCCACACCAACGCCGCCACCGCCACCATCCCCATCCCCATCCCCATCCCCGTGCCCCTCCTGCCAGCCCCCGAACTAGCAATGGGAATCGTGTACGTGCTCTGCCCCGCCGGCGTAGCCGTGCTGGTTCGCGAGTACGAGTAGACATTAGGGTTGGGGCGCGTGGGCGTTGCGACGGCGATGCCTGCGTTGATCGTGGTGTTACTATTGCTATTGCTGCTGTTGTTGTTGTTGCTGCTGGCGAAGTTTGGTATGCCGGCGATGGCGTTGTTTGGAGCGGTGGTGTTGGTGAAGGTCCAGGTTAGGTTGTTGATGGTTGTGCCTGGGCTGATGGTTGGGTGTTGCTGTTGGGGACGTTGTTGCTGCTGTTGTTGTTGTTGTGGTAGCTGTTGTCCCTGTGGTTGTTCTTGCGCCGGCGCCGGCGCTGGCAAGGACGTGGAACGGGTGGTGGTAGTAATACTCGGCGCAGCAGAAAACTGCGGCGTGGGATAGGAAGGGTTGAAATCATGCGGGAGAGACACAGAAACCGACACCGAGGGCGTGAATGTAGGCGGCGACATCGGGAACGTCGATAGCCCCAAGCTCGGGTTCTGCTGCGCGAGCACGTGCACCGTCTCGAGTATCGTCACCATTTCGGTTGTGATGGCGCCGACGGTGCAGCCAGCTGCTGACACGGAGTCGCAGGACGTGATGGTGTACGTGTTGGTTTCGCAGCGCTCTGTCGTGACCAGTGTTTGTGTGACGGTTGCGGCTACGCGTGTCACGTCGATTTCGGGTCTCGTCTGTGTTGCGATAGTAGTTGGGGTCGTTTCGATTTTGGCGGCAGCTGGAGTCGGGAGAGAAACTGGAGCGGGAGGGGTGACGATGTCGCCGGGGCAATAGGTCGTGACGACCATTTCGTGACTAGTCATGACTTGCTCGCTCATCGTGTACTCGAAATGCCGGTAAAAGGTGCTCGTAAATGTCTCTGACGCTGTGAAGGTTTCGCCCATGGAGTAGCCGATGGAGTAGTCCATAGAGTAGGCAAAGCGGTGCTCCTCAGATTCGTTCTCATCACAATCTTCGTCGCGGAAGTCGGGAGAATTGGGCCCAGGAACCGCCCTGTCGACAGTAGAAGCAGGAGGCGGCAGCATTGGGGAATCTGTACAATCAGGATCAATCCCACCACCCTCAAGAGTAGTTGTCGCTACCGGCAGCCGTTGGGCCACTGTCGGAGTATCGCAGGAGCCGGGAATGTTAGCCGCCGCATCGGGGCCAGCAGGTACGGGAACCAAGTTCGATCCGTCGCCGCAGGGGACGTATTCTGCCATGTAAAGCGCATTATTGTCTTGATCGAACGTAACTGTAACAAGGTCAGTATTCTCCGGTCCCTCGACGGAAACAAGAAACTACAGCAGGGAAATCAAAAAGGAATGAACGACCTACCATACGCCCCCCTCAAAAACGTATCCCCCAAGATCCACACGCCAATATCCTCCGTATACCACACACCCAAAAAGCAGCTATCGCCGCCATACCAGATGAAATCACTGTAGCCAACCGTGATCGTCACCGTGCTGCCCCCATCGCCCGCGAACCCAAAATCCACCGTGCCGGTCCCGTTCCTCAGGTCGCAGGGCACCGTGTAGCCGCCGTTGTCGTCGGACTGGGCGCCGGGGAACTGGGCGGCGATGGCGGAGACGAGGGACTCGGGGAGCAGGGAGAGGGTGGTGCCGGAGTCGACGACGACGGAGAGGGGGAAGCTGGGGTCGGTGATGGGTGGGGATTGGCGGCGGGATACGGGGGCGTTGGTGTTGGGGTCGGGGTTGAGGGTGAGCGAGGTGAGGGTTACTGCGTAGTGCCTAGGTTCGATGGAGGTTAGACTGTCAGCCTGAAATATGAATGTAGGTATGTATAAATTAAGGGGGGAAAAGGTGGCCAACTTACGGATCAGAAGGGTCGGTAGGAATCTTGGCCAAATTGCCGACATACTTATTAGTGTCGACGCCACCGAAGACCATTTCTCCCGTGACGGCAGCTTTTGATATTCCCTAATTAGCATACACTCATCCATCCATGCGACAAGCAATTTCTTGCAAACTTTGATAGACACTCACCAGAAGGCGCGTTTTGCCCGCCCAAATCCAAGCTGAACAACTTGCTATTCGTGTATCCCTGGGCATCCAACGAGTCCACGACGGAGGGATAATCAATGACGCCGCCACCCTGGCCACGACCTAGACCCAGGATCCCGAACCAGACATCACTGGACGAATTCGAGACGCCGAACTGCTGGTCCTGGATTCTTGCACCTGCATCTCTGGCGTTAGCAATGAAAAGGGGAGAAAAAGCAATAAAAAAAGCGAAAACCCACCAGAAATAAACACATCATCCGTATAATAGCTCCCCGACGCACTCCCCTCACCATACTCGATCCCAAACCCCGTTCCCAGGTCCTGCGCCGTGGACGACAGGGTGGGGTCGTAGTGGCCGAAGGCCTCGCAGTACTCTGTGACGTCGGTGGCGGAGCAGTTGGGGTTGACCCAGAGCTCGAAGGAGCCCGTGTCGATGAGCACGTCGACGGTCTGCGGGTTTGCGGCGTCGGTGCCGATGGTTACTGCTTATCGTGTTAGTCATGCTCGTATATGAAGTTCGAGTCCCGACATTTTTTTCTTCTCGTTTGCTATTGGGGTGGGTAATCTTGGGAAAGATAAATGGAGAAACTTACACTCGGCGAAATACGCAGCCCCATACACGCCCAAAACCTCCGTGGCAAAGTACCGGCGTGCCAGACTCGGGGTCCCCACGCCGCGGCTCTCGACACGGCGGAGCGGGAGCGAGAGTACCGCCGACACATCTTTGAACATAGCCGTAGCATTGCTGCTGCTGTTGTTCACCGATCCACTACTCATGGTTGTGGTCGTGACATTCGGGAAGGTAGCCGCGCGCCCGACGCCTATGAGCAGGGAGCTCGCGATGGAGAACAGTATGCGGGAAGGGGGGCGGGAAGAAGAAGAGGGGGAGAACGACGACATGATTGCTTGCTGTGCTTGTTCAGCGGCGTAGCGAGTGTCTGTATCGTAAAAGATAAAAAGAATGGTATTGAAAATAAAAAAAATGAATGTTTATGTCGTATAAAAGATCGACGAACAAGCGAATGACCTGACAATCAATCAGAAGAGAGAGAGTGTGTGTGACGAAAAAAAAGTTTCCATTTCATGGGCGGCATCGTGAGTATATCACATCCTCAGTCATGGAATTCGAAACCGATACCCAGGCGATGCTCAAGGCCCACCCCTATGCTCCGTTCTTCCCTGTTCCCGAGGGGATGGAAATCGACGGAGAAGAATGTAGGGACACACATGCTTCAGAGACATCCATATATATACTCTCCCATTCTCCAGTCTCTCATCCACCCGTGGCTTAGGGCGAGAACCACCAAGACACTGAGACATGCCAGGCACATAAATCTTGTTGGTCGGTCGAGCAACCAAGGGATGGAGGGGGCTGGTTTTGAGTTGGATTTGGGTGTCTCCAATTTCTATATTAAGGGGGCTCGTTCATCGATCTCGATTCTTTACCTTGTTCTAGGGCGAACATTCAATCTAGTAGCTCTCCTAGATTGCTCACTCGTTGGCATGAGATCTCGATTGAACTAAAAGTAGTTCCCTTCCCCCCTTCCCCCCTTTTTCTTCTTGTTTGATCACGATAGCTTAAGTTCATCTGCATTATACAACCTATCCGCTCAATAATAATTGACGATAAACGATTCTAGGCAATCGATAGGTCGACGAACTTTCAAGAATGGGGCATTGTGTACGATTTTGCGACCTACCCAGTTCCATTCGTAGTTCTAATATAGCGAAAGGGGAGGTGCACGGAAATTGCATCTTACCGAGGGATGAGCAAAGGACTAAAGCTTTCGTTTCGAAGGGAGGCACTATACGCCGACGAAGGGTATTCGACAGCTACATAGTATGTTGAATTGGCATGAGAAAACATTTAGCATTACCATTCACCATCAAAAAAATCAAACCCCCAGATCTACCTGTATCGTCAAAATGACCCATCTGGCCTAACCGCTCCCAAGCGCCGTACTCTTAGACTCCCGCCCATCTTCCTTCCCTCTTACCGGAGGGAATTGCCTATGCGGTCCAATGCAGTTGTAGTATAACCATCTTCATTCATGCATGCATACTTCTCTCATTTCTTACTCGTTCGCTTGCTCGCTCATTCGCGTAGACATTTGTGTGCGGGTTCTGTTTGCAGTCTCTATGCCTCGGCCTCATCCGCCTCATTTACCCAGTCCCGCCACTGTTTGTATTCGGGGTACTGCAGTGAATTTTTCTTGCCCTGATAGCGCACCACCTTGAGGTCCACACTCTGCCATTTCTCTTTCCGACCAACCCACCCGGCCTTGCGCATGAGGCTTAGCAAAGTCTCCTCCTTCGTCCAGCCCTGTTCTAGAGCAACATCCGGTAGGTAAGTGGCACCGTAGCGACGACCGCGGTCCGTGAAACTGATGCGTAGACCGTGGGTGCCGATCTCCCAATCCATTGCGTCATCGCAGTCCTCAAAGTTGGTCAGCAAGGTAACGGCGACCTCGAGCGAAGGCAGTTCCCGCTTGGAAATAGGATCGAATCGGGTATCGTGCACAGCCGAAGTGATAGCGTAGGACGACAATCCTTCATCAAGTTCCTGGGCCTCGAACGTCCCAATGCAACCCCTCAGAGAAGTATTTCCCGAGCGAGGAGACACAGTATTCCATGTCACGAATAGCGGCGACTTGGTGATTACGTCTTCGGTGTCTGGAAGAGAGTCTAAAGAAGTTGCGGGAGTGGCGGTGCTAAGGGACGTGGTCGAACCGGATGAAGGTGAAGATGAACTGCTTAACTCGGAAGCATCTGAATCGACTACCCGTCTGAGGGCTGGGATGCGCTTCTCGAGACTTTCTGTTTTGTCTGCGGCTTGCCCTGCCCTACTTTCTAGATCATTGTTATATTTAGCCCAAGTCTTTTGGATCTCCTTAAGGCTCATAGACTTGCGATTTTCGAGATGCGCAGCCAGAGTCTCGAAGCAGTAGAGGCAATGTTCGATAGTCGCCATATTTGCTTTATGGTTACTCGAATCTTGGTAGGTTTGAGTGAGGAAACTGTTGGGTGACGGCCACTAGGTACCTAGATAGGTAGGCTGCCCAGACGCCAAGAGAATACCTGAGAATACCTGAGAAAAGCGAGACAATAGAAAGAAACGAGAACTAGAACGAATCAACACATGGAGTAAATAGATACCTATACTGGGAACTATAAAACTTGAGGGCAAGTTGGAAACTAGCGGCGGCGGCGGGTAAGAGAAGAAAAGAGAAGAAAAAGAAACGGAAAGGCAAGAAAATGAATTAATAATTTAGGCCGCGATGGAGAATCCATGAACCACATGCACTTAAACATATCCTCATCACCCCGCTTTCTGTTGGAGAACCTTGAAGTAAGTTTGTAGATTAGCAGTCGATTAGCAGTCGATTAGCAGTGCATTCCATTTGCACAACTTGCATAATAAACCGACCTTATCCAACAAAGCCTCACTTACATGTAGGTACATATGTAGTTATCTCTCGCCGACCCAAACTAAGAATAGCTAATCTTACCTAACCTAGGTAACTAGTACGTATCATTCATGCTCAAACTTGAAGGCGTTGGCAGCATGCAAGCTTGATTCAGTACACAAATATTAACACATCATCGTATGCATCTCTCTCACTCCTCATTGCTGACTTCAATGGAAGTAACTGCATACTTAGGAAGCACGGAGCCTAGATACCTACGTATCCAAATAGTTGTGTTAGGGTATACAATTGAGCGATGATCCATAGATACGCCACTCAAACCTACATTGCAGCCCACGTGGTTGTGATCATTGCCTGCCCGCTTGTTCACAGAGGTCAACCCCCAAACCAAGGTCTGGCACTAGGAATCAATAGTCCATGATTGCAGAAGACACATCATCCACCAGCAATAATCTCCCCCTTCCATGGTTGCCCATGCAAATCTTCATAGTAACTCTTATCCATACCCGCCATCTCTCTCGCTTCGGCGTTAAACGGGCCTTTAACAGCCCCCCTAAAATGCTTCTGCACACTGCTCCGAAAGACCTGCACAGGGTCCGTACCCTCCTGTTGGCAGATCCAACTGAGCCACCGGTGTCCCGTTGTAACATGCGTGATCTCGTCGTTATGAATTATATCCAGGACCTCAACACTTTCGCCGTCCTTTGCGTTCCGGAATTTCTCGATCGTCAGAGGATTGATGTCCAGGCCCCGTGCCTCGTGGACTAGCGCGATGACGCTTATTCGAGCACGGAGGTCGTGTGCTGTTCTGGTGGCGGACTCCCATAAACCGTGATGCACTGGTAATGCGCCAAAGCGACTCCCCATTTCTTCCAGCCTTGCTCGCAGAAGTGAAAAGTGCTTTGCCTCATCGTTGGCGACCTTGAGCCAATCATAGAAAAACGTCCGCGGCAATGGCTGTGCAGTACCCTCGCCATCGGATATGGCTGTGTGGAATGAAGCAAATCGGACAACGATATCAATAGCGAGATCGATAGCCCATTGTTCAATATTAGCCAAAGCATGGAGCATCATGATCCTGCTCTTCAGATTTCCCCCCTTGCCCGCCTTGGGCATCTTGCCTGGCTCTACCTGCGTTAGGTTTTGCCTCGGCGGCTCTTGGGGAGGAGTCACGGTGTCAGCCCCGATTGGCATGGGTGAAGAAGTTTGTTCGCGCGTAGCGAATAGAGAGAAGAGATGAGTGGTAAGCTCGATTTTGTGCTCGGGATTGCACGTATTCAAAATATGAACACACCAATCGCAAAGGGAAGCATCTTCGCCAAGATACGTTGGAGAACCTGAAGGCTCGACTCTGGGGCCATGTTTGAACTTCACCTTTTCGCTTACAGGCTCGACCTTGACCAGCTGTAGATTCTGGGCCTCGGGGATGCGTATCGCCACGCGTCCATCTTGCACGGTAACCGGAAAGGTGCAGGCTTTGATGCCGTAACTTGACTCACCGGTCTCTACGTTGAAATCATATGCGTGCCAGGGACAGGAGGCAATGTAGGATGAATCTTCGATGTCTATATGCGCATCCGTCATAGGCCCACCAGCGTGCGGGCATTCAGCCTCCATGGCATAATAAGTCCATGAATCTGAGTCTTCTGCGGTAGGAGGTGTTATGGCACCTATGCGACCAATTTTTGGTAGACGGAAGAGAACAAGGCGCTTGCCATTGGAAAGTGTGATGGAGTGTCTAGCATGTTGAAGATCTGCCAAATGGCCAATATCCACGATTGACATCGTGGTACAAGAAAGAAGATGTTGAGGTAGGAACTGAAAAACTTGTGGTGGCTTGTATTATGTAGAAATGTATGTGATTGAAAGTGTAACGTGAATGTGGCTGTGCTCTTACTATTTCATGTGCTAAGGTTAGTGGCTTCAACATCAGGAATGATTTGATTGCCGTCAAGGTTCTTCTTTTTTCTCCTTCTCTCAAACACCAAAGAAGTTAATCCGGTCTCATCCTTCTCGCATCGATAAAAGGTTCAAAGATTAGAAGGGTCAGAACGCACTGGCTTCTGATGACGAGTCATCTCTGGGGTAGATACCTATCTACTACTAGTAGTAAGTAGGTACCTAACAGTGCTAACCTAGGCAGTGCAAGTGTGCGTGCACCTCCAAACAAAATAACAACAAAACAAAAGAATGTAACTACATGTAAAAGCGAAATACGAAATAGACACGAAATATTAATTGTTATATCTCCGGGTATTTCATCTTGGAACACTTGGAACACGGGATCCCCAGTGCCGTCCCTGATCGGCTTCTTCGATGCCAAGCTTGTTTCGCTGTTTCTCTCATACTAATAGGACTGCAGCGTTACATCGCACCTCGTAACCTAGCCTTTCCATAGCAAAACACCAAGCGCGGCTCAAAAACAAGCATTACAATCTGTCACAGCGTCGTCTCATACCCCGGCCTGCCAAACTGGCCTGCTGGCCTTCCGGAAGCTCGTCGCCCAATCCTTTTTCTCGCCAACCCAGCAATGTTACCTGGCCCGATCCGCTCGTTAAACTTCTTTTCAAAGATCTTGTCCGCTTGTCGGTAGATCTATAACCCCTTGGGGAAATGGGTCTTCCTTATGGTCGGGTATGAGCTAGTGCTAAGGCCTGTCTCGTCTTGTCTTTTCTTGTCTTTCAGTCCTGTTTGTTTCTTCGAGCAAGCCCCCCTGGGGAAAAGAGAGGAGAGGAAGGCCTGGACCCAACGTCAAGGCGGCGCAGGCGGAGTCGCAGCTCGTTACCCGATCCAGCACCGCTGACGGGAAATCACCTATCCGCGTGTCTCAAGTAGCCTTGCGTATGTCGAAGATCCGTCAAGAAATTCATGACGATCCAGATGCGTCCGTCATCGCGTAGTAATGTATCAATAAGAAAATACGATAAGGATGAAATCGCCATTACAAAAGGGCCTCTAGTCCAGTGCCAATTTTTCTTGATTTTCCCTTTTCCTCTTCATCCTCTGTGAGTAATCTAGTTGATCAGCCTTCATTTCATTTCAGCATATTCGCACAAGCTCGTCGCCGGCCGACCTTTACCATTCTTTCATTAAACAAAGAACAAAACGACTCTTTACCAGTAGTCCAACGACGAAACCCAAAAATCAGTCAACATGAAGCTCTCCGTTGCTATCTTCGCTCTCTTCACCACCGTCGCGATGGCGGAACTTAGTACGTTGATCTCCCAAGATCCAACTCTGATCATCAGATGATGGACATGTCATGTATTCAGTAGATGTACTAACCTCCACTCCAGAGAAAGTCCCTCGTTCGCAAAAGATCCGCTCTCGGCAGGCGGGTGACGCCCAAGTCCAATCGGCGTCCATGACGACCGCCAACGGCGAAGTCATCCCCTTCGATGCCGCCAACGTCTACCAAGCCAGCAAGGACGCTGGCCTCTAAACAAGTACTTTTCGGATGGAGAGCCAACAAGACAAGCGTGGAAGAATACCTACCAGTCCACATCTCTGCCAACTTACGTACGACCAATTCGTTACATCCGACATTTTCATTCTACGGCCGAATTGCAATTGATACCAACCACCACCTATACAGAATGGTGCATGACTACCAGGCGTCAAGGATGGATATAATTTATAGAAAGCACTGAAGGGTGGAGGGGGATCGACGGGGGAGCGAAGGCGAACGAGCGCGGATGGGTAATGAAATGGGCAAATGGGAAATGGAAACTTAGGGCTCGAATTAGATCGAGCCGAGCTTGAACTTATACCTAGAGTATTTGTGAATATCTGATAATCTACAAAAAATCACCCTTTAAGTCAAGTCGAGTAGGGTTCAATGCTTCTCCCTCCAGTCGTAGATGCACACCTGACCTACACGTGTAGCAACCCCTGTAATTATTCACTTGTATCATGGATCAGGGCTGAATAATAACCTGGGAATTGGCAGGTTCTTGATTCTTGATTCTAGGGCACTAAACTATACGTATAGTTAATCATTATACGGTATTTATTCATACATACCGAATTATACCATTATACCCATACTAAAGTGGTATAATATACCGTATAGTAGATTATCACATACAAACCTTCCATTTTCCATCTTTTTACCATTAAGTCCAAAGCTTTCCTTGCTTCATTTCTTATCTTATCTCGATTATGTAATAAATTGTTTGTTTACTTATTTATTTACTAATATTTTTGAAAACTTTTTCGAGATTTTTTGAAATTTATTACAATTAATGCTGAAAGTTAAGGGAAAATATCGAAGATATATATGTGAAATGTGAATAACCCCGTTATTTGTGGGCCCGGGAGGGTTCTTCCGTTCCGCTATACGTATAACGAATCATTATACCGTGTAAATACATGTATCATACGTATAATACTTATACGTATAATAAAATTTCGTGCCCTACTTGATTCCCTCCTACATAGTACATACATAGTACATACATAGTACATACTAAGCATGCAGTAAACACCATTTTAGCTCAGCTGAAGGTCTAAAGCCAAGGCGCAGCTCATAGGCGCAATAGTTGCGTATATCACCGGCGTCTAGTTTGTTTTTAGCACATAACTCCGTCTTCATCTATCCCTCTCTTAACTATTCTGGTAACTGACTGCTATGTACCTAGGTAGGGAACGAGGAAGTTCAATGCTTTTACGACTGGATCCCCCACAACATTCCATTTACTCAGTTGGAAGCGGTGGATTATTATTTATTCGTCGACGCTTCTTTCTTCCATTTCCTTTTTTTTTTTTGGTCTTGGTCTTGGTCTTGGTGTACGTTGAGAGAGCGGGCGCTTACTCGAGCCAATCGTGAATGTAATTAAGGTTGGATAACTACTAGGTTAGTTAGTTAGTTGGTAGTTAATCCATCGATAGCATCCCGCAACCCGCATCCCGTGATAAAGCGAACTGGCATACAAGCATGGCGTATAACTACAGTAGATGGCGCATGTACGGCGTACAGTAATAGCACCAATAAACCGCAAAGGAGGAAGGGAAAGGGAAAGGGAAAAGGTAAGATAACCAAGAGGGAAGAACGCAGAAGCAAGGAATAACTAATAAGGAACGATGCAAAGAAGAATTAACACGGGAGCGGCATCCTTTTTTTTTTCTTTTTTCTTTTTAATTCATCCAACATTCCTGCCGCTTCACCGTGCCCTGTCTCTTGTTACTGGGGGCAGATACATAACTAGGCAGACCAGACCAGACCAGACCAGACCAGGGAACATCGAATCTCTTGCATCGCTTAGTTATACATAGTTCCCGTCGCCATGACCTCTTAATAGTTAACGATGAATTTAGTTAACGTTATTAAATCCCGAGGAGAAAAAAAAACGAAAGAAAGAATCAACCCATACGGCAGGCAGGCAGGCACCTATGTAGTTTATGTACATAGTTAATGTATCCCCTTTATGCATTCATTGTAATAAGGAAACCTGACAAATCCCATCCATAAACGCGCCCCGTTCGGAAGAACATTGAGCAGCCAGCCAGCCAGCTATGGCCAACATGAATAACATTGTGATAGTCGATTATAATAGTTAGGCGATTAGGGGTGGATGGATGGATGGATGGTCCCCATTGCACCGTGGGTTTTTTTGGGGGGGGTTTTTTTTTCTAAATTTAGCATATGCCGCGGCATGGGTTGTGGCTGAAGGCAGCAAGCACTTATTTTAATGTAGGTAACTATGTGGGTTAGGTTCCTTTTGTACAAGTTACAACAGCACTGAAGCATTAACTATGGACCGGCGAATGGTGTTTTAATAATTAGAATAGATGTAACTAGTTACCTCTAGGTTAGCTGGCTGCCTGCGAAAAGAAGCTGGATACATACATAGATGGGTTTTGTTTAGTTACATCCGTTCAGCCCGAAATCCATTGCTGTGATGTTTATTTTGATCCAGTACCTACCTAGGTACTGCACTTTAATAGGTAGGTACCTACATAGTGTAGCGTAGGTACAATACAATACACACATCTTCCAAGTTCCCACTCACTGCATGCACAACTACATAGTTAGGTAGTAGATCGTTCGTAAACATCACCATTCGGAGTATTAATTTCGTACCTTCAAGGGGTGATCTCAAAACTCAAGCAAGGGGAATATTGCTTGTTCGTTAGCGATCAACTACTCCTTCTATTTTTATTCTGTCTTGTGTTTTTGATGCAGATATTTTTGAGGGGAAAAGCCCGAAATTCGCACATGAGCATTTGCATCAACATCTCTGTTAATGCATAACTAGTAACTAACCAACGAACTAACTAACCTACACTAATAGAATAGATGATGAGCTGCAAGTTGGATGTATGTACGTACAGTACATAACTAGCACATATCAAGAAGTAGGAGGAGCCAGGTTAGCTTTTCCACGTTCGATTCTCGTCGTCCCATCCCTACACAGTTGACAGTTCATCCATCCATTCCCTCCAACGTCCCCATAACAAGAACACCAACCATTGGATGGCTTCGTCCCAAACCGCCCAAAACCAGCTTAGGCCCGTCCTAGCATCTAAGGATTCTCCTGTCAGAAAAAACTCAGCCGCAACCCCATTTCCCAAGCCCTATTTTCTATCTGTATGGGCTTAGCGAGCCAAAAGTCCTACATGGTAATTTACTCCACGTTTATGAACTAGGTTTAGGACTAGGGGAAGCTGGCTGGTTGTTAGCTGCTGGAACGAAATAGTTATCTCCTGGATCCAATGGCTGTTGCCTGTTGGCGAAAAAAGCCAGGTGCTGCTGGCAACCCAACAGCATAGGGCGGTTTGGTGCCGACGCACATTGGCTAACTGTGGGCATTGGAATGGTTCAATGGCGTTTATTTCGTTATTTCCCAGCAAAGTGGATACATACGTCTGCCTGATCCGGGACCCGGCAACTGGGCTGAAAAGACCCAATGTGTTTGGCGTAAGTCTCTTATGCACCGGGCGCCATGTGGATGGACTGAGGCTATGTTAATGGATGTTCCTGGGATATCACGTTTGCTTTTTCCTACACAATTTTCTGCCTGGTGATCTTTATATGATGGCCCCTATGCCCACCCGAACTTGCTTCGCAAGATGTCGTTCAACATTTGCTACATAATCTAATCTTCACCACTTCAACGACGACAACGATAACTATTAGGTGCAGCTTTAGTTTAGCCTTATAAATACGAACCCCTTACACTTACCGAATAAAGGAGGGAAAATACTCACCTTTCTCCACCTCAGAGCCAGAAATATAATCGTAGTGCTAGGAACCCCCGGTGGATAAGGGGTGAACCGAAGGCTTTATAAAACAGGGAATATCGACGATGAACTACAAACACAGGGATAATGCGCAATTCAGCAGGGCAAAATGGAGGAAGCGGTTGCTCATACCATGCTGGATTATCCAAATAGGCCTTCTACTGGGAATCGTTGGCTTGTTCTCATTTCGACTTTCACGTACGGTCTACACCTGGGAGGAGCAGGAGAACAAGGGAGACGTTCCTATGGTAGAGTTCGTGTAAGTTTTCAGAGTTGTTGGGTCCCGAAAATGGGGGCCAGGCCTAGGTTGCCATGAAGATTGGTAACGCTAACCTGAGTTGCTGCAGATGGGAAATCATTAATGTGGTGTTCTCTTTCGTTTCGCTCATCATAATATTTGTATCGGTGGCGAAGTATATCGCCGAGGTGTTAACGCCGCTGCCGTTACTATTCGCAAACATCATGAACCTCGTCCTCGCGTCCGCCGTCTTGGCGCTTGATATCGTGGTTTACACCCGCTTCCCCGATAGAAAGTACTCATTGACGGGTATAGCGATGGACTGCATAATAATGTGAGTCGGGTCCGATATAGGTGCGCTATAGGGGAAATAACTAACCAATCATCAGAGCCTTCACCCTCATCCCTACATTTTACTCGGTCGTCATCTACCGCCGCCTACTCGAGTACGATGACTACCACAGTCCTTACAACGCCAAGCCGTACGGCTACGCCAGCGCGGAGGAGCCCGAGGAGGCGGCTTACCGCGCATCGTGGCTCGAAGCACCTACGATGTATGATCCCACGAATCCTTCAGCCACGGCCACACGGCCACGCTCCTTGTCCGCCGCCAGTCGACACTTATCCATGACTCTCAATAACCGCTCCTCCCTAACTCCGGCGGCACCCTCGCCAGAAGAAGCCCAATCACGGTCGCGTCATGGCAGCTATGACCACAAGCGAGATACGCAGTTTGATGAGTACATTCGGCGACGATCAAGCGCCGGAAATTACTCCAAAGAGGATATCAATAAGGCACTAGGTGTTGAGTTTGGCTGGGAGGACAGCCAGGATCAGCGAGACAGCATTATCAGCGCGGGGTCAGTAGCCGTAGCGCAGCCGAGGCCAAGAGGGGACTCTCTCTCGTCGAGACAGATAAGCTGCGAGGCGAGCATCATCAGAAGCGTCAGCAGTAGCACCACTACGACAAACACCACAGCCACCTCCATATCCACATCTACGTCAACACCTGCCATGACGTTGGAGGCACCAGCAGGAATGGTCAGGGCACACAGTTTGAACAGCGTCCCAGAGGCGCACGAAGAAGAGGACCCAGACCACAAGGCCAAGGCCGGAAGGAGCCGAGGCGCAAGCGAGAGCCAAGAGGTGCTTCTACGAGGCAATGGGATATCGCGGTCCAGCTCTGGGTCGAGCAAGAGGAGCTCGCGGCGGTTAGAGCCCGTCGAAGGGTTAGAGGAGGTTGAGCTGGGAGGCCAAAAAAAGGAGAAGAGAACTACCATGATACCCGAGAAGGAAGTAGAATTGTTTTTGAATTAGTACCTTGTACCTGGGTGCCCTAGGTGCAAAGGCTGCCTACGAGTATATAGTACATACCCATGAAGCTGTAAATGATTGATACAATGTGATACGATAGAAAGTTTTGGTTTTACTTCTTTTTTCGTGCCGTGTTAACTTTTCTTTTCATTCACTTTAGCTGTACAGTACCTGCCGATTTTGCAGGTTAGAGGGTTACATAGGCAAGGGGAGTCTTGTGAAACATTGCATGACGTACCTCAAGATACATATGTAGTATCGATTAGGGAAGGGAAGTGGGGGCACCGATTGGTTACTAACTAACTCACATATGATTGGATCCATCCCCATAACTACCTAGGTACCTAACTAAACTACATAGCTGGATATCTCACCACCAAATGGAGTTAGTTAGCTCACTATTAACTAATATGTCCCGCATCACTTCCCTACCCAGACTGCGGGGCGCTGCGGCGGCTCACCCCCACCACACCACACCAATTCCCCACATCTGCTTGATGACGTGAGGCTTTTATCGAGTTGATCAAGTTCACGACATACACTATCGTCTCAGTGCATTCAAATCCAACCTCCAGAAACTGGCAACCTCTGGTGGCCTGGTTCGGTCGGCAGCTGTGAGGTCCTAGAGTCAATGTTTACCTTGATACTAAACACTACCTAGGTACTATGTGTAGAAGCTTACTAGTAACTAGGTAAAAATACCTAATTATCAAGTCACTTGTAGCGCACTTATAACGAGAATGTTCCTTTTCACAAATCAACAGCACTAGGATGAACTATCTAGCAACCAATCTAACTACGGCTCAGATGTAAATCTGAGTTCCTTGTCTCCCCTCATACCACATATTTTATCTGACTTTATCCCCCCAATATGCAGCCTTACGAGGTGATGGGCCATAGTAAATTCTTGGTACACCAATGCACATCCTCCACCTGAAATCTCCGAAGAGCACAGGAGCAATGCCGTCAACATAAAACCCTTGTCATCATCAAATCCTTGTCATCGTCAAATCCATATCATCATCAAATCATGAGCAAGGCACCTCACAACGCCCCGAGAGGCTGCTAAATTGTTGTGAGGGCCCTGGTCTCAATCAGTCCAATTTGTTGGCGAGAAAATCGTAGTGAAAATTGATCAACCCCTAGAAATCTGGACCGAAGTCCAACCGGTGTTCCGAATGTACAGTGAACCGAGTAGCCGAAACCGAGAGAGAGAGGCATGGGTAGAACAAAAGATATGTTGTACCACTGAGAAGTAACTGAGAAGCAACTTAGACATACCACATAGTGCTGTTGATGAATTGGACCATTTGTTGAGTTGATTTCTCGCCCTCCATGGGAAGAAGCTTTGGTGCCTCCGTATACTTGGATTGCTCGCTATAGATGTCCTCGTCACGTCCTTTCTGTGGGTGTCCCGGCTTACTGCCCGGCGCAATGAAGTTTTCGGCCGGGATTGACTCATGTGAGCGAGCACGATTTGACGCCAAGTGCGAATAGTACACCGCAGGGTGTAGAGATACTGGCGTTGTGGATCGGCAATACTGGTAGCATTGCTGGTAAATCATTCTCATTAGATCATTCGACTTCACTTTAGCTTCATCGAGAATGACCTGGTAGTGCACCGGGCGAGCTGTGCCCTGGATTGCCGAATGTGAGCAAAGATAGAAATCGAAATGCTGGGGATGCGTTACATCTTTATCCACAAGTGTGCCGGGCAATGGGTTGCTGTTGCGATCAGAAGAAAACTTGTCACCAGCTTTCGGGAAGAAGCGGACGTGATGACGCTTTGTCGCAATGATGACTGTGAAATCAGGATCAGGGCAACCCAATTTCTTGAAGACAATTCGCATCTGTTCAACCTCCTCATCCAGAACAGCTTGGAACTGCCCTTCCGAAACACCATCGCGAAGGTAATAGATATGAAGTGGAGACGCATTGTTGGAGGCAATCCAGAATCTAACAAGATTTGTAAGCATCGAGTGCATGCTTTGAGGTTGGATCGTTTCTTGACGATAACCGTTGGTTTGGCACGCTGCGGCAAATCGAGTCGCATTCTTATCCATTGACATAGTAAGGGCAGCCATGGATGGTTGCGAACTACCTGCTCCACCATGCGAGACATCAACTCCAATCATGGCGGTCGGTCGTGTCCAGAACGGTGGAGATGCTGGTTTCGAAGGGTTGGGGACCTTGCAGGTAACACCACCAAGCTTGCTATTTACTTTCATAGCAACGTTGCTCATATATTGAGCTTGACACGTCTTCACGTGGTTGCCTTGGAGACACTGAGACACAATGCCGAACCGGCAGTCCATGTTCCTCTTAATACGCTCGTACACGAGCTGATTCTTTGTCGGTAAAACGAAAAAGATGATTTGAGGATAGGCTTTGCAAAAATTGCCAGTGTCATTCCATGCTTTTTCGCAAATCTCGGAGTAACTGCCGCTTCCAAATGGGATTTGCTTGACGTATGCCGGTTTCTCAACTCTACCGCCATGATTGCGGTAAACACCAGAGAATTGTCGAGCAAAGTGCTCGAGCTCGTTCATTTGACATGTCTTCATGTCCCCGCAGAGGATAAAGGACCATGCCTTTAGAGGAACAGTGTTTGGCTCCAAGAACTTCTTTCCCCGTAGATCCCAACGGCCAGAAGTTCCGGGGTTGATCTTCTGATTGCCAAAAGCGACTTCGGGAGCTGGGAGAAGCCTGGCATCTGTAGTTACCATCTGAGGGTTCACCTTAATGCCGAATGCTTTAAGGTAAGGGTCTTCTGTCCACTTCAGATGCGTAACGCCCTCCATGATATCTTGCTTTCGCTTTGGAGGCCTAGTAGCGGCCTGCTTAATCATGTCCGAAGTCTGCAGGACGCATTAGCTGAAGCCCAATTATTTTTAAGGTGGAAGGTGCTGGGAACATACCTGGTGAGGATTCAACTTGAAAGTGTACCTTTGGTGGTTGATGATGTTGCACAGCTCCATGGGGAAAAACCCCCCACGCGCGCTCTCAACCAAAGGCAAGTTGGGAAATTCGAGACGGATGTTCCATCGCTGTCTGTAATGTTCAAAGACAGAGATGTTCTGTTTGCTTCCGTCTTCTAGTTCTTTCTCGAAGGTAACAGTCTTTGAAGTCGCACCCTCGAGGCCGTACTTGGTATCGAACATAATGCGCTTGATCGTATAGATCTTGGGCTCACCTATCTTTCCTCGATGGTTCACATTGAATTTCAGCTTGTGTAATCGCCGCAAGAACGTAAAGGGCTCGGATGGGATGATCTTGTCCCCGGCCATTTGTGGCTTTAGATTATACGCCATCTTCGGAATATTCCCTACAGAAATATGTTAGAAAGGATATTCCGCATTAATCCCGGCAAGACTTACACTGTTGCCACTCATCTTTTTGAGAGATGACTATTCTCAATGCCAATGAATCAATGCTATCAACGGGCCAGAAGGCTGTCTGGCATCTGTCAACGTTGATCATAAGGCCCGTGCCTCCTCTGTTGATCGTCTGAAAAAGAACTAGTTAGCAACTATTATGAGGCTATCCAAGGAGTCTTGCACTTACCTCGCTCAGTCGAGGAGCGCAATAAACGCCTTGGTTGACGACAAGGTCGCCTGCAAGGGTGCCACGAGGGAACAAGGGATCATAGAAGTTGCGTTTGATGGTGACCCACTGCTCAGATGGGAACTGACGTAGACAGTGGTCAAAGAAATCTATCAGCCTATTAGTGATGCTCATCAAAAGCGTGTAAGTATAATTCAAAGACTTACTCATGCACTCCAACACGTGCGAATCCCAACTAGTTTTGCCAAGGAGGTAACCCTTGAGATAAGCCAGACGAATTACCTTAGTCTGGCGAATAAAAAGATGATACACGCTATGGCGGGTGACCTTCTGGGCCACGTCCTTATGAATAGCCTCAGCTTTTTCCTTGAGTGAATCAAGGTCAACGATGACGCGTGTCTCATTTCGCTCAATCATTTCCGAAGACCTGCGCAAGTATAAGCTTGGAGCATTCAAATCTCGATCAAGAAGAAAACTTACCAAGCGAGCTTGTTACCATCATACAACCATTTACCCCCCTTCTTCCCAAGCATCTCGGTCACGGTCTTTGTGTTCCAAACCTTCTTAACCAAGGCATGCGAATCCTTGAGATTGGGTTCAACAGTAACCTGTTACCTGGTCAGAGGTTGAAATTAATCATGGAATAGTCAAATACTCACATCGTACTGATAGATATCCTTGTCCGACCAACTTGTGACTGGGAAAAGGTTGAGCTGTACCTTAATCCCCTTTCCATCCGTGTTAAAACCCGGACGAGCCGCAAAACGGCTCTCCTTGCCCTAAATGGACCGGTCAGTATTATGTAGATATGAGGAGGTAGGGGGGACTAACCATTCGGAAGGCATCAGCTGGAAGATCCACTCGCTTTCCAACAAGTTCAGTCGCAGTTATAGGTGCACGATCACGAGCAGGGTCAACTCCCGTGCCTTTGGGAAATCCAGAAGGCTTTCCGGTGCTTCGCGTTGGAGATCCAACTTGGGATCCATGCTGGGATCCATGCTGAGAACCGTGCTGTGAACCGTGCTGTGAACCACCATGACGAGAGCCGCCATGCTGTGAGCCGCCATGCTGTGAGCCGCCATGCTGTGAGCCACCATGCTGTGAGCCACCATGATGAGAGCCACCATGATGAGAGCCACCTGAAGCGGATCCGCCGATGGATCCGTGATGGCTAGACATTTTGGCTAGTCTAAAGGATATCAAAGGTTAGTTTCTTTCCGGACCAAGAAAACCAACATTAAGAATAATAAGATGAGAAGTTTCGCAAAGGTTGTCATAGAATGATTGATATGTAAGAGTGGTGAGACAATGAATGACAAGGTAAAGGGACAGACAAAACCTGAAATGGATACTCACCTGCTTGTATCACGTCTATCTCCTAAGATAGAGAGACTATCAATAGACGACTTGGTATCAGTAAATGAATGGTTGTTAAACGATATTGATTAGATAAAACCGTCGAAAGAAAAAGGTCGGATAAAATTTATTAATGAGAAAATGTGTCGGTCTGAGATATTACCTGGTGTCGAGGGACTTGTTAGCACTATGATGTGGTAGAAGAAGATGCGATAGAACAACAATGGTGATGGAAGAGTGTTGCTCAAGAACTGATTGAATATCGATAGGATGTTGTGGCTGCGAAAAGAAAAGAAAAGAAGTAACAAAGGTTTAATTCTTTCCAAGTTAAATATTTCTCATAAAAAGATGGCGTTGAGTAAGAACGTGCTTGTGGTAGAGTTGCGGATATGATTGGGGTGGTTTGCACTAGGGAACAACATTGAAGCCTTATAGTTGACTACCTAGGTACCTAATAGGTGCCTAGGCTGGTAGGTACCAACCCAGGGCAATCCACGATTGGTCACCCACTATTGCTTTCATCATGCTGAGCAAAGAAACGTGTTACTCACCTGGTTTCTCATCCCAGGATTGCTTCACGCAGGTGTGTTTTGTATTATAGGATGTAGAAATGAGATGAGAGTAGGTGTTGAGAAGCAGAATAGAATGGTCCCTTGTAAGCGGTGTTATGAGGAAATGAAAAACGACTTACCTAGCTTCTAAATTTGATTGAGCAAGAGTTATCTGTCTAGGGACACGTTAGTTGGAGTTACCATGTAAACAAGATGGTCGGGAAGTTCTAGGCCGCGGTCGTATAAAGTGCAGGAACGTGAATCTGGGGAAAGGAAGATGCGTAAGAGTATGGGGCGATTAACGTAAAAAGTAAGTGAAGGAGCGATGATGACGGTTCATGGGTTTATTCTGAAGGAAGTTCACGGTAGAATATTAAGAGGAATTAATGTGCTTACCTTGAGAATAAGGAGGAAGGTCGTGTTTGTGTTATGATTAATGAACCGGTGAAGTGAGAATGTAGGAATGCGGGAATATGGTGTGTGGAGGAAGAAGAGGTCGAAAAATGGCGAGGTCGAAAAATTATTAAATAGTCGAAAGGCGGAAGAGAATCAGCCTTGAACGACAGCCAGGTCAGAAATTTGACAAAATAGGGAAAGCGTACTTTGAAGAAATAAATAGGTGCTTGACGTCCTTGTATTTCGACAAAATAGGGAAAGTACAAACTAGATTTGATGGGTTTCATCGAGTTATGGATGTATTTTGCTCAATGGCATCCTTAAAAGTTAGGGTCTTATGTTTTTTTGGATATAAGTGGTCGATTAAATGTCCCATGATGTTGGTGCCTGGTAGCCAAGGGGTAAATCCTAGGTCTGTACCATGAATTGGGTTTTCTTAGAAGTATCTACCTCTACAGGGCAGGAAGGACTCAGGCGGCATGTTTTAGCGACATTCAGAGTCTGTCTAGTGAAATCCCGATTTACCGAATGCATATATGAATGTATCTACATTATATGGGTACGTGGGGCTTACAATGTTTGATGTTGCCTTTAATTGTGAGGCTCAAGGAGATAGATTTCAGATATAAGGAAGGTGCGTCCGTACTAGGTGGTACAATGCACCTACACCTGTCAGTCAGTGTCATACCTACGAGGCTATTCATTTATTAGCTATTAAGTTCTACGTCATGGAACAATATCAAGCCGTGGTCAGATCATGTAACTTCCAAGTTTAGACCCAGGAAAGTCAGAGGCCACTCTATGGATACATAGGACACAATTTATATCATCGGCGATCAGACACGAGAAGAGTACTTTCATTACAAGGCCATATGTGGCAGATACGTAGCGTTGGGTAGTGTAAGAATCGATATACGAATAGCATGTAGGACTATCTACCAAGTTATTGAACCTCATATGAAGCCCAAGAATGGTTCCTGGGGAGTTGGTAATAGGTTGCTAGGTAGAGAATCGAAGTAAATATGTACCTAGGTACCGGCTAACTACATATCATTTGCAGAACGCCCACGGTAAGCCTTTTTTTTCTTTTTTTCTTTTTTTTACAACTGCCTTGGATATCAGGTATCTACTCTAAGTTACCGTCCATCCATAATGGCATGCCATTTCTGGTAGGCATGGCAATCGTCTATATATGACGCCTAAGGTATTCGCCAAGCGGCAATTTTCAATTTCATACGGCTCATGAGAGTATTGCATTGAATTGAAAATAACCATGATGTTAACGACTGATGAAGTCATCCAAATCTACTAGAATGCAAACATATTATGCTTTACTGTAGGGTATCACGTGAGCTTTTGTCTACGCGACCGTCCAAAAGGTCACATGACTTTTCACGTCTCCATGCGACCAACATACACATCATTAAAGACAAGACCCGTCATGCGTGACCAGAAAGGATTTACCTAAATATATTTCATACACCAGCATTATCTTCCTTTTCAATTTCCACAAAGTATATACATTATTGTTAGCACCGACAAAGGATGACACGCTAGATACTCTAGGATATTTTTAAGGGGTTGATCAGCGCGTGCGGAGAGACAAGACCACATAATTTCTCGCAGACCATTTGAATAAGGGCTTTAACTAACTCTAAGAAGCTGCCAACACAGCGCTTGAAGTTATGTAAAGAATGCCCTGTCACTATGACTCCCAGCCACCTGTACCTTGGTCTCAGCATCGCTCATCATCTTGCTTCCGGGGTTCTATATGATGACACTGAATTTATCATCTGCCCGCGTCGTACTTGCGAATAAATTTAACGGAAATAAACTGCTTAGGCAATAGTAAAAAGTTAGCAATTGGCCGGATGTAGTTGAGCTTCGATAGAAGTAAATTATTATTAGACCAAGAATTGGTAACGTTTCAAAACCATTAGAGAGGATTTAACATAACTGTTTTCACCCAATAATTGGGTAGGTACTCAATTATGAGTAGTTACTGTTTGCTATTTTGTGAAAAAGGTTTCTAGATGAATGAGCAGCTCCTCTCGTTTCGTGTTATCGTCTCTTGTTAGTTCGCATGAAGGGAGAGAAGGGGAAGTCCGATGGGTAAACTTATGAGTGCCTAGGAGGGTTGATGTATCAAAGGGCAAAAGTTTAAAGTCTTCCCCCTAACTTGAGTGTCTCCTACACCATTATTGTGAAAGCTTCGAATATGAAAGCAGAGATCGAGTTGTGATCACTACCGTCTCGGCCGTCTCATGAATACAGAGCATAGCGTAATCCGGGCTTCATCTTGGCACAACACAACTCTGTCAGGGAGCCATTATCCCTAAGCCGAAGAACCCTTAACTCATTCGTACGAGACCCAATGACTTTGAGAAAATAACGATGCATATAATTTTTTCCCAGAACCATTACTTAACGTAATCAGCATAGACGAAATATGGCTTTGAGCCCTACGTACAACCCACGATTACATGAATAGAGCAAGAGAGATGGGTAGAATATCTCGATCAACTTATTTGGTATTTACATAGATCTTTCAGCAAAGCTCGACAATATGAGTAAAGGGCCCGCATTGACATGGTAGATATACGCAATAGGAGAATGTCATCATGTGCAAAGTGAAATTCATCGACTACCTACGTAGACATTGATACATATTTTCCCCATACCTAGCTTTCCATCATAGTATGGCTCCTAGAACCCAGCTTAGGATTGAATCTTGATCGGACAGTACTTTGATGGGAACCCGAGCGTAGTTCTCGTCCTCCGATTTACGCATACCACTCATTTCATCGAATAAAAACCAAACTCCAGAGATGCAATCAGTCACAAGACATTCTATGCATGGGGGATTCCTCCTTTATAACGCCACTAGTGGTTCTATATTCAACTAGACAGCAATCGGCTGCTGTGTGCAACAGTATTGGGCGAGTACCACAAGACCTTGTCGTTAGGTTGAATCCACATAGTTTATAAATGTAGAGTACGGCGCTAATAAAAGCCACCATACTGCTGAGGATGTTGAGTTGCCCCTGTATTATACTGGGGAGGCGCATAAGCTCCATTTTGCCATGCAGCAAAGGCCGCATTTCCTTGGGCGGAGTTCTGCGCGAGGGGATTGAACTGTGTCATTCCAGGTGCTTGGTAAACAGCAGGAGGCGGCTCGTATGATCCGCTTGAACCAGGGCGGAGTGGGGAGTTGCGATAGGGCGCTGATGCCTGGCCAATTCCACGGTTTGCTCCGGCGAAGGGACTAGCTGGCCGGGCAGAAGGGCCTGGTGAGTCTCGGTTGGTATGCGGATATGACTGATACTCGGACGAGGCTGGTCGAGTGTGAGCATGTGATTGGGCCGTGTTGCGCGTTGCGATATCCTTCTGAGCTTTCCATTCACTGTAAGGGGGAATGAAAGTGTTCTGGATCAAACGAACTACGCGATCCATGTTGAAGTTATAGCCACCGAGATTCTCCATAGTAGGAATGAGACCAAGGAGGAAGAGAAGATCTCTGGGAATATGAGCATATGGTCCAGCAGTATGCGAAGATGTGCCCTGGCCTTGTGCCCGTCGTTGTTGGTCGAGGCGTCGACCTGCAGCACCTTTCAAGGGCGAAACACCGCGAGCCAACTTTCGAGGTGGATAATCATCCTGATCCTCTTGCGGAAAGGGACGTTTGGGTGAGTTTACAAGTGGTGCAAACTGCGGCAAAGGGCTTCGTTCTATCTGTGGTACTTGGCGAGGAGTACTTCGAGACGAGAGGGATATTTGTTCTACAGATTGCATAATCTTAGGTCGCATCTGTTTGGCAGGGGAGACGATAACTCTGGCCGTGATAGGGTTAAATCTATCTGTCGAAAATCTGGCCGCAAAATGTGCGAGACTAGTGTCTTCAGGGAATAGCTCAGTCATCTGCTTTTCAAGCTCTTTGACCTGAGCCAGTTCGCCGAATTGGGCCTCATAACCATGGAAGTAGGCATAGATCGGTTTCAACTTGGGGGTCAGTTCTGACTTCTCCTTGAAGCGTTTAACAGTCTGGGAGAAGACAACCCGAGCATCTTAGAAGGCGTTAGCAAATTCTGAAATGTGGATAAAACCATCAGTGTAGGTACTTACTAGTGAAATCACGCTTGACGTGAAGATGTTTGAGATATTCAACGATGAAATGCTCTTGTTCCGGGAATAACTTGGCACCTCGTTCGAATATTTTAGTTGCCACGTCATCCTGATATACATCCCACTCCATATGTGCGATTTCAAGGTACACATCGCTAGTAAGTCGGCCTCTCTGTCGAGCTTCAATAAATAAACCTCGCATGCCAACTGGGGGAGTGCTTTTGCCATGTCCTTGTCCTTGTAGTCTCCGGTAGATGCGTGCGAGGGCAATCCAAATATAGGATATGTGTTGTGATAACATTTGGATTTGGGCAGCAAACCCATCCTGCACTGCTTTAATCTTCGACTTCACATTTATAGCATCTGCCGAGGGTTTCTCATTTATCTCTCCCTCGTCTTCTTCGTCACCATCCTCGTTACCCGTGGCCGTAGAATTGAGGGCAGCGTCTTCTTCGTATCTTGCGATAGTCGTGGTTTCTCGATCTTTCAGTTTCTTAATCATGTTATAAAGTGTCTCGAGAACCTGGTCGCAAGGTGCCCTGATGGATTGTACAAGAGCGGCTTTGTCGACGTCATCATCATGCGGGGCTTGGGTTGATTCGATTCGGTCAGCATGCTTCAGAGCCAGTAAAGAGCTCTCCGGGTTAGCTTCACTACCCTCGACAAGAAATTGAAGACCGACGTCCTGGCCTTCTGGACTAATGATATTGGATTCAAAACACCATTCAGCTGCATCAACCCACATCTCTGGCCAAAAGCGTAACGCCATCAGTGATTGCTTGTATGTGTGAAGAATTCTTTGTTGATAAGTATTCGGATCGTCACTTTTCAATACAAGCGGGTCGCTTTTCTCCCAGGCGATCCAGGCTTTCCACAATCGGACTTGCTCCTGGTATTCCTCGCTGCCCCCAAAGCCCGAAGCTGGAGGTAGGCGGGGCAAAGTCGTTCGCTGAAGACCACGGGTTATGTTCTCCAGATGAGTGTTAGCACTCCTAGCCGTCATATAGGATGGCGACCGTTCCTGAAGGAATTTGCGACCCTGTATTCTATTAGCCATGGGTTTATATCGTGGAAGTGAGGTACTACTTACCGTCATCTTATTCAACCCCATTTCAAATTGGTCATACTCCTTCCACAACAAGTTCAGATTTGCCATGGGAATAGAGATAGCCCGTTGGTACGCTTTTCGAAGAAGATCCATCTTCTGTTGGTCTTGCCAACCAGCACCGCCAATCTGGCCAGGGCCAGCCTTGAGAAACTGTATATAATCTTGCCAGATGTTTCCTGCGTCTCGGTCTTGGCCAATGGAGCTGAGAACGAATTCATAGGATTGGCTGACGGTTTGTCGTGCTCGACCAGTGGGGTCGTTCAGGTCATTTCTGCGGCGAATGTAGTTGAGGTACGTTGTCCAAAGTTGAACATGAGGAATCGCTCGTAGGGTTCGGGTGAAAATCGACTCGGCTTCCTTGGTGTTGTCAAGGCTAAGCTCCATGTCAATGTATGTGGCCCAAATCTCCGCCTACAAAGATGTTAGTAATGTGTGCAACAAACGAACAAAGATATTGAAACTTACAGCTTGTGGGAACACAGTTAAAAAGCGTTCATAGACAGATCGCGTCTCGTCTATCTTGTGTCTTTTCTTCTGCTCATCAATCAGAGCTAACCAAGCCTCGAGGTCTCCGCGGGGATCTTCGGTAATACGGTCCTCGAGGATACCAACGGTATCAGCAGGTAACCTTGAACGTGTCGCAGCAGCAGCACTTGCGGGATTAGAAGATGACTTTGGTGCAGGATCACTGCTCACTTGAGCAGGAGCATAGTTAGCCATATCTTGCGAGACAGAAGTTTGCTGGAGCTGTTGTATAGGTGAGTGAGTGAACGGTTGGGCTTGCGCCTCCGATGGAACAGGTTTCAGAGCAACTGGGGGATAATTGGGGGCGGGGGCGGGGACATCATCATCCTCCTCGTCAGAGGAATTGACAATAAAACCACCTGCAGTCTTGGGCTTCTTGGAAGGGCGCGGGGAATCAGAAGCAGGACGCTCTACAATAGGCGCCGGTGCAACAGGAATAGTAACGGATTCTGGATCATATTCTCCACCGTCTTCATCATTGGAGTCATCACCAGCAGATGGAGCTTGTTCAATAGAAACAGAAGATTCTTGCTTTTGTTGATCGCTATTCTCAGTATGTGATGTTTGATTCTCAGAAGCAGAGTCAGTAGCAATACCATTCCAACCATCTGCGCCGCTCCATGCGGGAGGGCCGCCCTGCTGGGCAAACACGTCGCCCGAATCGTCGGTAGCCATAGTGTGGGAAGTGCGCTAGATGGAAATGGATGTCGAGTTGATGGCTGAGTTGTCGGAGGTATTATAGATGATCGCGCAAGGTAGTGTGAGTAAAGAGAGTCGTGGGGGGAGTCGCAAAGGTCGCAGCGAAGGTCATTAGCAGAGATTTAATTGAGGATGGGAAGGGATATCGGGTAGTGAAGGCGACTAGAAGATAAGTAATTAGTATCGTATCAAGTACGATAATGCAAGCCGTCCCAAGAGTTAAGATGTTGTCAATCGGCATTCACGTAGGTGCACATGAATGGGAGTGATCTGGTCGAGGACAATGAAAGAAGTTGTTAAAGAAAGGTTCTAACCAGTCTGGAGCTTTCACAAAACAGTACTATGTAAGAATAGCGCTCTTGCTATCAAGGGCAGAACACACTAAGTAAATCAGACGCTAGCTATTTTGGCATTAGCGCGGCTCAAATCTCTGCGCACGTACCACGAAATCGACATGTAATACCTTCCTAGAATCCTAACCTAGGTGTCTACACTGTACTGTCCCTACCATAAAGTTCATACACATGCATATAACACTTGCCTTGAAGCTCGAATTATGAGGTACATTGAGCAGTACACGGTACATCGTAACTGCTTGTGCCTCAATATGTACTGATCAATGGAGATGGAGATAAAATACAAGGATTTATTTTGCACCTTGTTATTGGCATCGGATTGAACCTCGGCCAACCATTCAGATGCAGGTACAAGTTTTTAACTTTTTGCATATCCATTCCAGTTGTTAGTGATCCTGCTAGCTTCAAAATTGTATGCCATGCCTTCAATGTTGGTGACTACCAACTTTATGTACAGGTAGATAGATCTGTTTACAATGAATATCACTACATATTGAAGTAGACCAAGTATTTATGCAGAGGCAGCTGCCACATTTAAGTGCTGTGCATACATCAAATATCTACCAGGTCCTACCTAGATATGTAACATAATACCTAGTTAGTAGGTAGTTACCTAGTATTAATTACATTATGTACTCAAGTGCTACATTGCTGTAAGTACCTGGATACATATCCATCTCAACAATTAACACACTGAACGGTTAAGCACAAGCCACGTACTGTGCACAGACCAACACTCGATCCTTCCATGTTAGACATGATCGACAGTACCCGACTATAAAAAAGTACGTACCCGATGCAACCACTGAACGCGCTTTCAATTTGTAGAAAGCGCGTCCCTCGCAACTGGAAAAATAGAATAAAATAAAATAGGGCCCCTGCTGGACCCGCGCCAAGTTAACCTGGTTAGGTACCTTTTCGTCGCAAAACAAACACTAGTGTAGGGAAGCAGTTGCCCACCGCCAACTCTCCAGGTCTACGAACTGTTTCTTTTCTTTTTACCACATGCACACACAATTGAACTCTTCTCAAACCACCAGCTTTCTCCATTCCATTTTCTTTCATAAATTTATCAACCCATACACAATAACTCATACACCGCCACAACCTCCAAGATGTCGGTCGTATCCCTTCTGGGCGTAAATATCCTGAACAACCCCGCCAAGTTCACCGACAACTATGTCTTCGAGATCACCTTCGAATGCCTCGAGCAACTCGAGAAAGGTATGGTATATTTAATTATCTGGCAATACTACCCAAGTACTTAGATATAACTGAACCTTCAATTAACTAACAGTGGTGTAGATCTGGAGTGGAAATTGACCTATGTTGGCTCTGCGACCTCGTAAGTCACTTATTCTTTCTGGCTTTGCTACCCAACCAGCATAGTCGCTAATCTCAATCGATCAATAGCGATCAATATGACCAAGAGCTCGACTCTCTCCTGGTCGGCCCTATTCCCGTTGGAGTTAACAAGTTTATCTTCGAGGCCGACGCTCCTAAGACCACCCGTATTCCCGATGCCGATATCCTAGGTGTTACCGTCGTTCTTCTAACCTGCTCCTACGATGGTCGTGAGTTCGTTCGCGTTGGCTACTATGTCAACAACGAATACGAGTCGGATGAGTTGAACGCCGACCCCCCTGCCAAGCCGATCGTTGAAAAGATCCGCCGCAACGTCCTGGCTGACAAGCCACGAGTCACTCGCTTTGCTATCAAGTGGTATGTTGACATCCAATCACTACACTTGTTCAAGAGGTCCTTGCTAATCTGAGATGAAGGGATTCTGAGGCATCTGCTCCACCCGAGTTCCCTCCTGAGCAACCGGAAGCCGACCTTCAAGCTGACGACGAAGAATACGGCGCCGAGGAACTCGAAGATGATGCTGAAGAGGAAGAGGGAGCTGCCGCCGAGAATGCTGGTGAGAGTAGCGCTGCCGCTGCGACTGCTGATGGCGATGCCGAGATGGCAGGCGTTGAGGAGAATGGAGAGCCTGCTGAGGAAGACGAGATGTCTGAAGAAGGAAGTGTCGACCTTGAGAACGAGAGTGAAGATGAGCTCGAAGAGGAGGTTGAGGGCGAGGTTGTCGAGGGTGGTGACGATGCCATGGATGTCGATGAGAAGCCTACTGCCGAATCCAAGTCCCACGAGGTCATGGCTCATTAAACATCGTCCATCATTTGACGATGTTTTCATTTGCGTCTCCGTTCGATAATGACTTTTTTTTAGGGAGGCAGGCACTTGCGAAGTATTACACGAAATTATGAGGAGGGTTGGTATGAGTGTTTATTGGCTAATGGCGGGGGCATGAATACCTACTCTTATGATGGATGAATGGCAAATGGCAAAAGTATTGCTTTGCTTACAGATTTCCGGGTTTCCCTTTTAGAATCACCGATGCGATGTGACTTACAGCACAAACTCTTATTTTCACTGACCTACCTACCTAGGTAGAGTCTTTCGATTAGGTAGCTAAGAAGAGATCCATGCCATTAAATGTTTCCTGTTTTACAAGTGCCCAGGTGTTTAGGTGCGAGGCGTAATATTCGATTTAGAAGCATCTCTCCTTGGACCCGATACCGAATTCGCTACAATACGTCATCTCAAAATAATTCTTTTCCTCCATCAACTAAGTACAATTTACCCCTTGATCATCCCCAGGCGCCAGCTATGGGTCTTGCAAGGGAATACCAGAGTAGGATTCATAAAGCTGTGCCGAATATTTCGTGATCAACGTACAAAATATGCCCGAACCATTCTGAGCTCCGCTTTGGGTAGACGGCAACCGACCAATCACACTTTTCACGAACTAATGCCGTACCAGTCCATAGGTCAATCGCAACGAGAAGCGAGAAATACAAGTAAGATACGGGAGTTAGGCCAGGGGTCGGTCCAATACCAGTCAAGATTGTATTGCGGGGTTGGAGAATATACGACCCCTGAAGCATACTGACCATGCGAATAGAGGTCGACCCGAGCGAAACCGAAGTTCGGGAAATATGTCTGCGGTGTAATATCCATGTAGGCAATGTCCCGATTTCAAATAAGGTGCAGACGTGCCGCTCTCATCTCGAACCCAAAATCATCATCATAATACCTTTCGCCACGTCATAAGGCATCAAATCAAGCGGCTTTTTGGGTAAGAAATATATGATGGCACTTAAGGCTGACGAGATCACGAAGCATAACACCGCTTCCTCGTGCTGGATCGTCATCGACAGCAAGGTGTACGATGTGACATCATATTTGGAAATGCACCCAGGCGGAGCGGCGATTTTGGTAAAGAGAGGCGGAAGAGTACGTTGCCCAAGATAATATCTCGTCTTATTAAATCTGTAATCTTCTTCGAACTTCACTGCCTCGTGCACTACGGAAATAACAAGATAGGTAATAGGATGCTACAGCCGGCTTTCGTAAGGTCCATTCACCAGATTCGCTGCAACATCTACCGAAAGGGAGCTGCTTGGGTGAGATAGATGCCGCGACCCAGGCCTCATTAACTGCTTTAGCAGCATCATCGAGCGAGTCATCGTCTCCATCCACAGCAGCATCGTCTCCATCGCCCGCCCAGGACGGCCCACCGCACATCGCCCACTGCGTAAAGGTGTCCGACTTCGAGGCCGCGGCGCAGGGCGTCCTGTCCCGCAACGCACTCACCTACGTCTCCAGCTCCGCCAACTCCGCGCTCTCCCTCCAGGCGAACCTAGCCTCCTGGTCGCGCATCCGCTTCCGCCCGCGCGTCCTCCGCGACGTCCAGCACGTCTCCCCACAGACCTCCATCTTCGGGCACGCCTCGCCGTACCCCTTCTACCCCTCCGCCATGGGCCAGCTCGGGCGCTGCCACCCGGGCGCCGAAGCCGAGCTCGTCCGCGCCATCGCGCGCCGCGGCGCCCACGCGCTTATCAGCGCCGAGTCCACGCTCCCTCTCGAGGACATCGCCGCCGCGCTCAAAGACGAGCAGCAGAAACCACCACTACTACCACCACCGTCCAGCCAGACGGCCGCGTTCCCGCCCTCCCAGCTCCACTACCAGCTCTACGTGCACACGTCCCGCGCCATCACCACCGCCCGCATCCGCCGCGCCCGCGCCGCCGGCTACCGCAGCCTCTGGATCACCGTCGACACCCCCGTCCTCGGCAAGCGCACCGCCGACCGCCGGCTCCAAGCCGCCTCCGCCCTCGACGCCGGGCTCCCCGCCGCCACCGCCGCGCAGGCAGGCTTGGGCCGGCGCACGCACGCGCCGCAGGGCCACCTGTCGCCCTCCGTCTCGTGGGCCGACCTGGCGTGGATCCAGGCGGAGTGGGGCGCCGACAGGCCCGTGGTGCTGAAGGGCGTGCAGAGCGCGGAGGACGCGCGCCTCGCGCTGCAGCACGGGTGCAGAGGGGTCGCGCTGAGCAATCACGGCGGACGCCAGGCGCACTCGGCGCCGGATGCGCTGACGACGCTGCTGGAGATACGGGAGTACGCGCCGGAGGTGCTGCTGGCGGGGTTGGAGGTCTTTGTGGATGGGGGGTGCAGGGATGGCGCGGATGTGCTGAAGGCGGTTTGCTTGGGGGCGACGGCGGTGGGGGTGGGGAGGCCGTTCTTTTATGCGATGGGGGCGTATGGGGGGTTGGGCGTGGAGAGGTGTCTTGATTGTAGGTTTTCGTTCCCCCCTCTCCTATTTTCAAAGAGATGTCTTCGGACGTGGGTGCTAATGTGTGCTTTGCGCAGTGCTCGCGGAAGAACTACAATCCGGCATGCGACTCCTGGGGATAACGTCCCTGGATGAGGCACGCCCTGAGATGGTCAATGCTACGCGGCTGCTTAACGAGATGTGGCGGCCTGAGAAGAGCCGGTTATGAAATACCTATTCTGCTGAAAAGGTACAACGCAATATTTTTTCGAACGGTATATGCCTAGGGAGGCAAGTAGATATGTTGTTGTACGGATACATAGCGTGGTCAATTGGATACATTCAGAGAGTTATTTTGGATATGCTGGATGGATCAAGATAGGAAAACAAACAGTCTTGGATATAGTGCAGATAACAAAATTGTAATGAATATAGCACATCTTTATTAGAGTAGTTGGGATATGATATATACCAGTGGGTAAGTAGATGCCAAACTCGCGATGTTGCACTTGATAACCCGTTGGTAGCTGGTGGCAGCTCCCCCTGATGACATAGTCCTTGGCTCATCTCAACTTCGTATGTTTACTCAACTTGAAAGCCCACATCAAGCGATACGATATGTCATGTTAGACTATAATTGATCGAATTATGGATCCGGCGTGATATTGCCCGTTGCAGAGTGCCCATTGGACTTCCTGTGGCTGTCTCCGTTATAAGGGGAAGCGTTAGTGGGGGGTACGGCGGCGCTATATAAGCCCCGATTCCTCTGAAATCACCAGCGACAGTCTCGATAGCGTCTGACTGTAAGCCCGGTTAGCGCCGCGGTATATGGCCTCCAGAGTCCAGCCCCAGAGCCAGACTCGTTCTAGCAGTAAGGTGGATAACTATGTACGTCGGGTTCGAATCCGGCGGCGAACGTACAAAAGTGCTTCTGCTTTTCAAAGAAATAAGGACATAAGGCCTGCCATTCACTACCCGAAGCGATCCAACGTGACTAGATGAATCAACCATAATATGGTTGTGCCACGGTCTGCTGTCTTGATGTATCCCATGCGCTAGTAATAGGCCGTTCGTTGCCAATCAAGAGATTTTGACAATAACCTCGGCCGAGTTATCCTGGAAGGTTACATAACACAACTGCAAATCCCGACTGAAAAGTTCAGGCGCAAAGTTGACGTCGCTTTTTTGCGACAAGATCGTATAAAATGTATGCATTTTTTTCTTTTTTTTTTCCTCCATTAAGTAACTTGTATAAAACCGTCTAGACCAGGTATATCTACCAAACCCAAAATAAAAGCTACTGTTGATCATGAAGCTTAGTCATGTCGTCGATGATGTGCGCACATAATGGAAATACTGTGCCCTAGGTATATAAACATCATCAACACAACGGACTATCACATACGACCATAGGATTCGGAAAACTCGGGATCCCGTCCGCTCTCCCATAGATAAGCCGAATACCGCCAGATCAGTAGTTGGGTCGGTGACGACCAGCGAATCCCTGGTGTTGTATGTTTTTTTGACCTTTTTTTCGTTTTTTTATTTTCCGTGGGTTTTAGTGCTATCGTAGACTAACATACCTAGGGAGCTAGCGTATTAGTTCGATGCGCATTTTAGTCCCGGGAGATGGAGGCGGTAGCGCTAGGTTTATGGGTAGTACGCGGGAGCTAGATTGACGGGACATGACGGCGTGGATGTAAGGGAGGTTTGTATCACGTCTCGCGTTGAATAGGAGAACTTTGGTCAAGTTAGTTTCAAAGCTCTATGATGACCACGTGGTGTTGGGACGGTGGGCCAAATCAATTGAAACCGCCAACCCGCCAAAACATTAAAAATATTGATTATATAAGCACAGGGTACAAGGCTCGCCATACAAATTTATATGGTAATAAATGTACCTTTTTAAGGAGGAATAATGCTACATAACCTACCATATACCACCATATACCACCATATATACCACCATATATACCATCTTATATACCATCTTATATACCACCATCAAAGACTCTAGATATTTGATAAAACTTATTCTGAATAGTCAATATATATATACAATTAATTAGAGAGGTAAACAACAGCTGAACAACGGGTGAACAACGGGTGAACAACGGGTCAACAACAGCTCAACAACAGCTCAACAACAGCTAAACAACAACCCAATTACATAGGTGGCTAAGTATGTATTTAGGTGCCTACGTATGCTACAAGCCTCTAAGATACCTCCTAAACAGCTATTTAAGCAGCTAGAGGCTAGAATAACAACTGCAGAGACCTTTAGGGCTGTTGTTAACCCGTTGTTAAGCTGTTGTTGACCCGTTGTTGAGCTGTTGTTCAGCCGTTGTTCAGCCGTTGTTCAGCTGTTGTTGAGCTGTTGTTTACCTATTCAATTAACTATATATATATATATATTGACTATTCAGAATAAGTTTTGTCAAATATCCAAAGTCTTTAATGGTGGTATATATGGTGTGGGCGCAAGGTACATTTATTACCATATAAATTTGTAAGATAAGCCGTGTACCACGTGCTTTTTTTTCATGTTTTGGCGGGTTGGCGGTTTCGTTGATATGGCGCACCATAGTTGGTGTTCTTATGATGCGCCGGTCTTAATTTGCAAGTAAATATAGTTTGACTCAATATGGCGTTTGATCGCGTACAAAGGCACTGACACTTACAAGTGTACCTACTCGCCCGTTCAGTAGGTAATCCTCAGACTGCAAATGCGGAGGGGTGATAGACAATGGCAATGCTTACCCTCAGTCCAGCCACTCATTCGCTGAATATAAGCAGCTGGAATGACATCAGACTTGGCCACTACTCACTCCGTCTTTACAAGAGTAGATATCTTGGCAAGAATTTCTTATTCACGAAATCACAGACTGACTGCTCGATTCAAACAGAGAATGAACGTGTTTAGTCATCTACCAAGGTGACGGTGATTGAACTTCGGTGCCTGCCGCTTCGCGTGCCTCGGTACGCAAGCTATTAACCAATAATGCTGAACATATTGAAAAACACGAACGATTGGTGGTATCTTAGGTCCTAGATTCCGTATCGGCTACAGGTCCGTGGTTAGATCTTACGCCAAGTGCAGGGGCTGCCTGGCAGGGCATTTCTCGAGTGACTCGAGTTTCGCTGATAGTGTTTCGTGTTCGACAATATGATCGTTTCTTCGCGCGTGTCCGGCAAATGCAATAGAAGTTCCTACCAAGTATGTTGAATGTGAAAGGCGACGGTTGTTATATAGATAGCTCGCTACTTAGGCACGCCGTGGTGTTTCATTATATCGTCTTTTTGCTTTAGCCAATTATGGGGTTAACTATGGGGTTACAGATGCCTGCTGCAGATTGATGATCACCGGGATATTGACAGGCATGTCTGTCCAAGACGAGTTTTGACAGCGAGTAATTATTACGACGGGCCGAAAGGATAGCTGGGCACTGAGTGGTATGGGATGATTATTATATGATTGGATTCTACTTCATGGTAACGTCTCGTTCACTTACATGTAATCGTGTTGGAAGGCTTCTAGAAACTTGCTAGAAGCAAGGTCTAACGATAATATGTAACTAGGTAACTACCTAGGTATCATATCAGATATGCCACTGGCATTTGGTGGCGCCATACATATTCGCAATGGCCATTAACTGTTGTTGATGATGATGTGGCTGCTGTTGGGCAATAACATCAGTATGGAGCTCAACTGAGACTCATACTCGAATTTTGAAAGTATCTTCTCGTTCACATGGAAACTTGACTTTAACGTATCCAAAGCCTTCGTATTATTTTACAACTACCAATTTGCAACAAGCTCTCTAAGCTTGTTAGCTTCCCGACCTAGTATTTGATAAGCAACTTACTTCTTGGACTCTTGGCCCTCCATGTATGTCAGCACGATAACAAGACTCAAGCCAATAACCAGTTCTTGTCTTGCCCAGTAACATAGTGGCGTGACCAGATCTCTTGTCCTTGGCGGCTTTATACATACACCAAGCGAGGTACGGATCAGGATAAGATCGTCACACGGTAGGATCTGAAGTGGTATCGTCTTGTGCTGCAGAACTGGAGCAGCCCCAAACGGCAAAGGGTCTTGCCCCGGATAGGTACGGCAGCCAGGTAAGCTACGGAACTCCAGGGCTATGAATGCTAGGTACTAGCCAAGCAAGTCGCACCGTCAGACCGATACAATAGGAGGAAGGTAGATACCCTAGATAGGCTGTCATACATGTCAAGTACGTACATAATAAGGTTAAGCACAGCTCTTTATCACAAGCCTCTCTCCCATTAACTTCGCGTTACAATAATTATATTTTGTTTTCTTCCTCCCTCTAAATCGCTCCCAAAGCATAAGCAGTGTTTTGACTATCGTCAAGCTGCTGTTCGAATAGTATAAATATCATCCTTGCGGGCAGTGCCCAGCTCAATGTCGACTTCAATAGCTTCTAGCGGCTTTTAATTCAATCAATCGCTATTAAATAGTATTACTTTTATATGCTATTCTAATTCAGTATCTGGTACCTAGCTTCTGCTCCGAGAAGACAATCGCAAAGCCGCGTACAGACCAGTTCCCTAAATTCCGACACCATGTCGGCCGACACGAATCACAATGGCGTGGAGGCCACTGAAGGTGCCCCACCAGCAGTGAGTGAGAAGATGGCACCGACGGAACCGGATCTCGCTGCCGTGAAAACCGGTTCGGGATCGGACGTTGATGATATTCTGCGGGGACCCAATGGCGAGCAATATCCCACCCAGGAAGAGTTCGATACCTTGCGTCGCGTGAAGGGCCCCATCACCTGGATTATATACACTATTGCTTTCATCGAGCTTTGCGAGCGATTCGCATTCTATGGCACTACGGCCGTCTGTAAGTCTAAAACCGTGATGGCCTTGCATCAGCAATCCTAGGTACGTACGTACTAGGTAGCTAACCGGTGAATAGTCGTCAACTTCATCGCCCAGCCTCTTCCGGCAGGCTCTACCACGGGCGCTGGCGGTACAGATCTACAAGCTGGTGCTCTCGGCCAAGGCCAACGAGCCTCCACTGGCTTGACCCTATTCAACAGCTTCTGGTCCTACCTGATGCCTCTAGTCGGTAAGTAGCTCCAATTGTAGTTGTAGTAGTAAGAGTAATTCTAACCGTTGGCGAACTATTTAATCATAGGTGGTTACATGGCCGATACCTACTGGGGCAAATACAAGACCATCCACGTTGCCATCGTGCTCGCCATGTTCGGCCACATCATCCTCATCGTCTCGGCTCTACCACCCGTCATAGCCAACCCGCAAGGCGCCCTAGGCTGCTTCTCCGTCGGCCTCATCTTCTTCGGCATCGGCGTGGGCTTCTTCAAGGCGAACATCTCGCCCATGATCGCCGAGCAGTACGAGAGCACGCAGCCGAGAGCCGTCATCAAGGTGCTAAAAAGCGGCGAGCGTGTTGTCGTCGACCCCGTCTTGACCATCTCCGTCATCTACATGCGCTACTACTTCTTCATCAACGTCGGAAGCTTGACCGGCTCGATCGCGATGGTGTACGCCGAGAAGTACGTCGGCTTCTGGCTCTCGTACACCCTGCCCACCGCCCTGTTCATCTTCTGCCCCCTCATGCTCCTCGGCTTCAAGAACAAGTACGTGCGCCGACCGCCGACCGGGTCCGTGCTCGGAAAGGCCATCGCGTTGGTCGGTCTATCGATGAAGGGCCGCTGGTCCGCGAACCCGATCACCACGATCAAGAACCTGCGCGAGCCCGGGTTCTTCGAGCGCGTGAAGCCGAGCAAGATCCCCGATTCGGAGCGCCCGGCGTGGATGACGTTCGACGACCACTGGGTGGACGAGGTGCGCCGCGGCTTCAAGGCCTGCAGCGTCTTCGTCTGGTACCCCATCTACTGGCTCTCGTACAACCAGCTGAGCAACAACCTCGTGTCCCAGGCGGCGACCATGACGCTCAACGGCGTGCCCAACGACGTCGTCAACAACCTCGACCCCATCGCCCTGCTCATCTTCATCCCCATCTGCGACAAGTTCATCTACCCCGCGCTGCGCCGCGCCGGCATCAAGCTGACGCCCATCAAGAAGATCACCGCCGGCTTCTTCATCGGGTCGCTGTCCATGGTGGTGGCGGCCATCATCCAGCACTACATCTACATGCAGTCGCCCTGCCGCCTGCCCGTCGGCTACGGCTACGTCGACAACTGCCGCGCGTACCTCGGCCTCCCCGCCGACGCGCCCGAGTCCGCCTTCAAGCCCCCGCTCAGCGTCTGGATCCAGACCCCGGCCTACATCCTCATCGCGTTCGCCGAGATCGCCGCCTCCATCACGGGGCTCGAGTACGCCTTCACGAAGGCGCCGCGCAACATGCGCGGCTTCATCACGGGCGTCTTCTGGTTCTCGCAGGCCTTCTCCGCCGCCATCGGCCAGGCGTTCGTGCCCCTCGCCACGGACCCGACCCTGGTCTGGCTGTACGTCACGGTCGCCATCATCTCGGTGCTGGGAGGCGTCGGCTTCTGGATCAACTTCGCGAAGCTCGACCGCGAGGAGGAGACGCTGAACGCGCTGCCGGATAGCTTGTTCAAGGGGAGCAGGAACCAGGATGAGGATTTCGAGGCGCTGGGGGAGGCGCAGAGGGAGCAGGAGAGGATTAGGCATGCGCAGGGGTTGGATAAGGGGGCGTGAGGGAGATAGATGGAGAGAGGAAAGGGAGAGAGAGGGAGGTGCTTGGAATATTTATAAACCGTTCCGTGCGCGTCACTTGGCATATATGCTACGCGCGGATGTCTCCTGGATGATAGACGGATGAAGGGATGGATAGACGATGTCCTTCGTGGCTTGGAGATGAAAAAGAATACCTGTGTAAATATTGACAGTACTCAGTAGCAAGTTTATTGTATGCGCATGATTATTGATACAAGTCTTTAACCTCAATTAAGGCGATTGATTGTCTTTTCGGTGATGAAGGTGAGTAGGTATGTACGTATGTGCTAGTGCGAATTGCCTGCCTTTGCATGTAGTCGTGAAGTCTTTCACGTAGGTATTCTATATTGAGATAAATCGCCGTACCTGGCTCTTTTAGAATGGTATATATGGTCTATATCCGATGTTAACAGATCCTGCGCGAGATTTGATCCATCAGACCCAAACCCCTCCCCCAAAGACTCTCCTCGCTCAAACCTCCCGGGCCCGCTCATCCCCATCCTCCCCCTTCGAGTCCGCCGCCTCCTCGACCGCCGTGTGCCTCCTCAGCCTCCCCGCCTCATCATGCTCCTCGTCCCACCTCGCCAGTTCCCCCAGCGGGACCCGCACCAACCGATGCATCGTCGCGCCGCTCCCATCGTCCACAGTGAAGATCTCGGCCCGAACTTCGTATTTCCCCCACCGCGGCAGCAGGTACATCCAGAACACGTAGTACACGCCGCAGAGAAGGATGAAGCCGATGCCGACGACGCAGTACGTCGCGTACCAGAACGACACCTCGCCGGCGAAGGGCCCGCCCTTGGGAGGGATCCAGGGCGTCGCGATGATGTAGACCTGCAGGAGGATGTAGAAGATGACGACGACGTCCCAGGTCCGGTAGGGGGCGGCGTGGCCGACGCGCTTGTGCCGGTACCGCACGAGGTAGAGGCCGATGGCGAGGAAGAGGTGGAATATTCCGGTGGGGTAGGAGCGTAGGCTTACGACTGTTTTCTTTTGGTTAGTATCTTGAGATCCCAGAATGGGGGGGAGAGAAATGGAGGAGGGGGGGAGACGTGGTAGGTAGACGTACCGAATTGGAAAGCATCGCCGGCAGGGGGGGCGACGGTCATGATGAATGTCGTGAACCAGATGATCAGGTACGGCCCCAACGGTGTGCCGAAGGGCTTAGTCGAGACCCAGAACTCGGTGAATGGCAGCACGCCTTGTCTGTTGCAGATGTCAGGTTCAGTGAGAAGATCATATAGCATACCTAGGATAGAAGGGGAAGGCTTACCGTCCAATTTCTCGGATCATGCGAGACTGGCCGATCATCACGGCTACTAGATTTGCGAATGCGCTCAGTAAAACGAGGACGTTCAGCGCTTGCTCAGCGCGTCCCTTGCCGAAGACAGTGATGAAGAAGACGCCGGCGGCAACCTCCTTGGACTTGGCAAACTCTTCCTTCGGCACTACGTAGATGCATCCATTAATTAGCTTCTCACTTAGGCCTGCACAGGGGGGGGGGGGGGGGGATCATAAAGAAAACATATATAGTGCAACGGGGCGTGGAGACATACCAGCAGCGAAATACGCGATGTTGCAAAGCAGATACAAGATGCCGACCACCATAACTGACGTGACACCGTTCCTCCTTAGTGTGGGGATGGGGTTCTTGATCTCGTTGACGACGTTGAAGGCGTTGGCGAAGCCGGTGTACGAGAAGACGATGTTGACGAGCGCGACGGCGAGGTCGTTGCCGTTGTCCGTCGTGCCCTCGAACGAGTTCCGGAAGTTGACGCCCGGGTCCGTGATGTGCTTCACGTTGCCGCCCAGCACTACGAGGCCCGTGATGCTGATGCTGTGGAGGGGGGATGATCGTTAGTCGTTGCAGCTACTTGCAAAGGGGGTTTGGAGGGGTGGGAAAAAGACATACAAGATGAGGGTTATGATTTTTACGGCGCCGAGGATGTTGGAGAGATATAGTGAGTACTTGTTGCTGACGATAACGCCTAATTGTTCTTATTAATAAAGCCGGCGATGGCTTGAAGGGGTGGAGAGTGATGGCCTACATATGACTGCGACAGTGTAGCTAGCCACTGCTACCCCTTTCAACTGCCAGTCCGTTGGTGTGGTGCCCGCAGCTTGGTAGACATATCGCGCCAGGACTGGTAGAGTGTTAGTGGCATATTCGATCGCATTGCATTGAGAAGTTTATACACACCAATCGCATTACTGCTAGCAAACGACAAGACGACGGAAAACACGGCGAACGCAATGGGGAAGAAATGCTTGGGCCTGGGATACGCCTGCTCCAGATAGACGACCTCGGATCCGGAACGGTTCGGAAAGAAGCTGGCGAACTCGAGATAGACGTGGAAGCCCGCGAGTGCGAGTAGCAGGCCAATTGTCCAGTAAATTAGAGCGAGACCGACTGATCCCGTTCTGTTCAAGATGGTTCCAGCTTAGATATAAGACGCGGGTTAGCGAGGCGCAAAGTAGAAATTGCATAGTGATTAGGAGGCCTTACGCGTTGAGAAAATACCAGTGCCGATCATCTGGTTGACATTGAGGAAGATCACGCTCAGCCAGCCGACTTGGTACCCCAACGGCGACTTCGATTCCACGGGCGCCCCAACGGCCTCTTGGTAGGAAGGCTTTGCGCCGTTGCCCGACTTCTCAACGGTATACGCGAGATGGCCGTCGTGAATAACCGACACATCAGACGCGGACGGATCGAGCTCGACGGCTGTCACCTCGCTAGCAGCCTGCCGCTGCCAAAACTTCGAGAAGGCCATTAGCGCAGTAAATCCCGTAACTTCTGGTTAGAAAATGGGAAGGGAAATGGTAGTCAACTTTCGGGAGGAATCGTCGCTGCCCGCGACATATATTAGAGGATATCTACTAGATACAGTCCATTTTTAGAAAAAAAATAGATTATGCGTACAACATGGTTGCAAATGATGAAATATCAACAACGAAGGCGCTAACAAGGTCCCCCCTTTCGTACGAGATGACAAGGCCCGATGGTACAATCGGTGCCAGACCAGAAGCCGTTTCGGTGTACCAAGGCTCTAGAGTGTGTGTTTTTAGTAGGAGCCAATTCGGCCGAGGCAGACCCATTATCTGAAACCTAACATTGACGAATACAAGCCATGGGGCTTCTTGGTAGCAGGCCAAGACACGTATTATTTTTTTCTTGGAGAACGAGTAGAGATAATGTTAGTTGGTGGAACTGTTGACCTTCCTAGGTGAGAGGGGCCGAGGAATCACGCAATCCGAGTTGGACATGACAACCATGTACCGCGGGGCCGCCGATGTCACGGACCGGCCCTAAGCGTAAAGATGCAGGGAAAAAAATAAAAGTTAGGCGTCGATTTTCTAGAAGCATACGTGTGGTTATACTTTCTTCTTGTGGTTTTGGCTTGGAGTTCTTGGTATAGCCCATTCACCGGGTCCTGGTCGAGCTAGAGCGTAGAGGCTGTGGATAGCGTCTCAAATCCTTATCTTCACGTTGCCATAATTTGATGCTGAAATGTCGTCTTAATCGGCAGTTACACATGGGAATCTTGGTGGTAGCAATGCTCGTATACCATACGCGGCAGGCAAAACATGCGATTGGGGGTCACCATATATTCCTGTGCACCCCCCTATATGTAGGTGTGCATCCCCGTACCCAGGGCAATTCAGATCGGAATCTATGTGTGTATGAATACAGCCAATAGATTCCACGAAAATATACTGCATCGCGTTGAATGTATGCAATCATTGAAGAGCAGCCAATTGCAGCGGTCTTCGTAGTGGCAGGAAATCAAAATGTTCAAAAAGAAAAAGAAGAAAAAAAGAATAAGTATAGGTAGGTACAAGGTAGGTAGGTATTTACTATTAAAAAGAAAAAAAGATTTGAAAAAAATACAAAAAAGCTCGGTACCCCCCAGGATTGAATCCAGTACCTACGAAAAACTCCTGTGAGCAAGTCGTACTGTCAAGTTAGCGTTTTAGTGAAGGGACGCATCCAGCATATGACCAGTCGGCGGTAGTTTTCTCTAACCTCTTGTCTACCCAACATGTGGGGTCGGTTGAAGTTTACAATGCAATTTAGATTTATATACCCTACTCTACTGTGGTACGTGTTATAAGGTAGATAGGTTTTGGAATGGGTATGGGCAACTGGTGGGTTGTGATACTTCACCCTAAATTCTCACCCTTAGGCCGCCAGGTTGGAAATCAGGGGGTACAAAGGTTATATCGCCAGTCATCCAAACTATCCCCCCCACGGTGCCCACCGCTGTTGACGATAAAGGGTATACGCATGTAAACCAAGACCTTCTCTTCATTTTGTCCCGTTACTCGTGGTTCGGATGTATGGCTCAAGGGGCAGAATCTGTGACTCAGGAGGTACGTTATCATAAAGCTGAACCCATCTCTCCTTCAGCACCTCCGGCGTCTGCCACGCATTCCCCGGATCACGAAGCCAAAGCCTCAGAAGATGTCGTCTTAAAATGCAAGTTAGAAACACAAGCGATGGTACTTGATGAAGCTGGACGGTTGAACTTACTGTTTCTCTCCCTCGTTTGTGAAACCGTCCCTCGCATGGAACAGTGCCAGGTTGTTCACATACTGGATATCCCCTTTCTGGAAATACGTATCGACGCAAAACTTTTCTCCGAGGAAGTGCAGTGTATCTAGAGCCTCAGCTTGGGCTTCAGTGATGGGTGGGATGTTCGGGCTTCGAGGTAGAGCGCCAAACCCGACGAACGACCTGCGGGCATACTGCAAGGCTAGGCGTTCTGGAGAGGAATCGGTGGCGGGCAGATAATGCATCAATGGCCTTAACGTGTACTGTGGGTCCGACTTCCCATAGCTAATAAAAGTCTTATGTCAGTTTTTATGATGGTCAACTAGGATTTAGTATCAGGGGTAGCATACCTGTCTACAGCCCAGTTCTCGGTCAATGTATGGATGAGGTCAGGACGGGTACGAGCAATCTCGTTGTATACCCTCCATGTACTCGCGAGCTTACTCGCACCACCTGCAGCGGCAGTTTCCAGGGCAAAAAGAGCCACTATATCGCCAGAGTCTGTATGAAATACCTGCTTGTCAGTGGTATATGCGGGGCTGCCGATGATGCCGTTTCTCTCGGGGCCGCTCAAGTCCTTGATGTGAGCTAAGGTGACTGCAGCAGGTTTACCATCGTATCTTCTATCTTGACAGCCTCGAAGAGGAGCGATGTGCGACGATAATCCCGCGTAGATGATGACGTTCTCTTCCCGCGTGTGTTCATCGACGCGTAGGCCGCGAATCACGAAGAACCCATGGCCATTATGGAGTTCATCTGACAGGCGCCGGAGCTCATCGTGAAGATTTGGTAAAGGGAACGTCTCCTGGTTTACATAACCGATAGGCAAGCCGAGCGCTATGGATAACACTGTCAATATGGCATGTACCTGGTTTATTAAAAAGATGTGCCACTTACACTTAAAATGCTTGACTGCGAGCTCTATTTCATCGAGCTGGGTTGGTGCTAAGACATAAGTCCAGTCGTATGTTTTCGCAAGGGTGCTTCCCTCCCATACCAACTTCCCAGTAAGTTCCTGGGGCAGTCCTTTCGGAAGCTCTTTTGGCAACGTATCAGACTTGAGACGCCAGTCCCTTCTAGCTTGGTATTTGGTGAAGTCTGGTGCGTATGAAATATCTGGCTGCCCAGGGGGGGCCACAGCGGGAGGCGTAACTAAATAGGTAACGGTAGTAGACATGGTGTTAAATTGTACTCGTCGATATATGTTGACGCTTGGCCTGAGTTAACAGGCATCTTCCATTACCTATATATTATATTGTCCACTAGAGGTTGGATGCCCGAGTGTAGTTTCATGCACTGTCGATTGCGTCATTCGGGGAAGATATCACCTATATTACCATCCACCACCTCCGCACCTTTCAATCATACTACACTCCTTTCCGTTCACGGCGAATTACGTTAATTCATATATACTACTAGGTATGTACGTAGTAATATAGTATCTCTTCGAGGCCATTGGTTTGGATCCGCACATCGGAATCCCAACTTCATGTCATTCGGTTTGAAATTACCTTTAGGTAAACTTGTTACCTTATATCAATGACGGAATTTACAAGAAAGATAGGTACCCAAGCATACTCCGTAAAATCTCAGACAAACGATTTCAACGCGAGGTCGCGCCTAATTGTAGTCACGTGATTCCGCAATTCCGGTCTGATTTATTGATTTTCCTCGGACACTCCCCCCCTTTTTCCCCTGAAACCTTCCTTGCTTCCTTGTACACCAACCTATTTACGATATTTGGTTCGAGAATGGCATCACCTCTTCTCATAGAAGGCAATGATCTCAATCTTCGACTCATTGGCATCGCTCAGCGGACCTTTGATGTTTCCACCTCTATTCAGACCTTGACAGAACAATGTTAGCATCCATTTCATAGGTATAGTTGGATTGATGCAATTTGAAATGCTTAACAAGATGATTATTTTGTTACCTACCTGAGGTTGCTAGAACAGGAAGAACCATTGACAGGTCGGCCTTGATTCATGCAATATTTATCATGTCGGATAAGCGTGATTACACCATAACTGTCGCTGACAAATTGTCTCCATGCATTATTCCATCAAATCGGCAACGGCGGAACTTCCAGTGTTAGGTAAGATCAGGACGGAGATATGAACCGGAGTTATCAGAGGCATCTGATTACCAATCGGCTGATATCGATTGATGTCTGCACCTAGGTACCTGAAAACATAGTGGTAGCCAAAGGCTCAAGTGGCAGCTACATATGTATACACTTACAGAAGTGGGGCAGCGTTTAAACGATGACGACGTTGCATGCAGATATTGTGTCTCATATTAAGAGTAATGGCAGAAGAATAGAAACTATAAGAAGGTTTCGGTCTGCGCTCGTATAACAATCGTGAAATTATCATCAAACCTTTCTACTCCTTTACTTACAACTGTCTCCGTTTTCTTCATCACGACTCAAACTTGAAAGTCTCGTTACACATTGTTAAACACTCCACAAGACCTTCAATCGCTGCTCATCATGGCCCAACATCAAGCCGCATTCCTCGATGGCGTCAATAAGCCTCTTCGTGTCGGTCCCATTGATACGAAGAAGCCTGGTCCCACAGAAGTCTTCATCAAGGTCGCAGCCGTAGCTATTAACCCTGTCGACTGGAAGATCCAGCAATATGGCGCATTCGTTACCAAATGGCCCACCATCGTCGGAGAAGACATCGCTGGCGAGATCATTGAAGTCGGCGAACAGGTCACTAGGTTTTCCAAGGGACAGCGCGTCATCACTCACTCGACCGCGTTTCTAAACCAAAGCGCTGACAAGGCGGGCTTCCAAGAATATGTCCTCAACATTCAGGAAGCTGTCGCCCTCCTCCCTGACTCTATCAGTTACGAGGCCGGCGTCGTGCTACCCCTTTCCGTCTCTACTGCATCCGCTGGGCTGTTCCAGTCCTCGCACCTTGCCCTGGACAAGCCGAGTACGACTCCCAAGAAGAATGGCAAGAAGCTGCTTGTCTGGGGCGCTAGCTCGAGCGTCGGCACTTCAGCCGTCCAACTAGCCGTAGCTGCGGGGTACGATGTCATTGCAACGGCGTCCGAAAAGAACTTTGGGCTGGTGAAGAGTCTAGGTGCTACAGCTGTCTTTGACCACCGTAGCCCCACCATCGTGGCAGACCTAGTGGCCGAATTGAAGAAGGGCGAGTTTGTTGGTGCTTATGATGGTAAGTAAATATCTCGCCGGGAGGATATCTACTTGGGTAGGTCGATATTTTCATCAATGCAGGACTAATTCCACTGCGCAAATGTAGCCATCAGCTTGCGCGAGACTCAACTTGCCATTGCACAGGTGGAGCAGGAACTCGGCGGAGGTTTCATTGCTACCGTTCTTCCTGCGATCGAAGATGCCCCTGCCAAGGTAACCATAAAAGGGAGTACGTATGAACCTTGCTACCCTTTTTACTCAAAGCACCCTCGCTAACCGATATCATCCAGCTCTCGCTTTATCCATTTTCAAGGAGCACGCGGAGGTAGGCAAGGCAGTTTGGGAAGACTTCCTCCCGCAAGCACTGAAGTCCGGGCAATTCAAACCGTCCCCGCCACCGAAGGTTGTAGGGAAGGGCCTAGAAATACTTCAGTCAGCGTTCGATGAGCAGAAGGCTGGAGTGTCAGCGGCCAAGATTGTTGTCACTTTGTAAATGGCATATAGTAACACTGTATTGTAATGGAAGGGATGTAGGAAACCATCCTATGATAATGAGATTTGTATAGAATAACACATAAATGTGATACTAGGTAGTCAGCCAGTTGTGCGAAGGTCGTACGGAGACTTGGGCAGACGAAACCATCGTGGCAGTTCAACGACAGCTCTGTGATAGTTGTATAACAACTCACCTCCCAGCGTGACGTTACCCAGAAACAACATTGAAGCATTTCAAATCCAACCGCTGGAGAAAAGGACAACATAAGGGATCGTGTTACGTAACAGATCAGATGCTGTGCAGTTTGTGTTATACGGCCAGCTCTCGCCCACTCACCCCCTTCCCAATATTTTTATAAATATCCCATCATAACTTCGAATATCAATAAGCAATTTCACATTCCAAACACGGCCAAACGATTCGGCTCAAATATGATGCTAAGTATAGTTGGGATCGTGAATGCGAAATAAGCGCCTAGTAGTAGGCACGACAAATGGTCGCAGCTACCTGCCACTATTACCCGACTCTGCTTTCTCCTCACTGCGCACCTACTTCATTCACCGTGCAAGTCTACCCGCCGCATGTCCGTAGGTACCTAGGTTAGGGGTGTTTCGAGAACGAGTTCTGCTGCCACCGTGTCGCGGCGTTAAACTTGCCAACCAACCAGCCAGCCAACCAACCGATGTCTTTTTCTCCTTCTACTCTTCCCCCTCCCATAAAAGCATGTCTGACATTCTTCCCCCCCCCTCTCCTCCGCAACCGTCAAAGTCTATGCTTCTTAGCCTACCTACCTAGGTACCCAGACAAACCAAACCAAACCAAACCAAACCCTTTCATCATCCCCCGTAACCACCATAAACGTCCCCCCCCCCCCTCCCCCCGCGCACCCACTGCGCCATCGTCCGCCGCTGATGCACCTCGTCCTTTTCGCGCGCTTGGCGAACTACATAGATCCCACTCACTCCATGATGCAGCAGATGGGTGGTGCAGCTCGCTGAGCTTTGGCGTCTGCTCGGCTGTCGCGGGGCGCCGCGCGAGCGAGCTTGGCCGTTGAGCCATCGGTCCGTCGTCTTGAGACGCCGGCGCCTTGGCAGAAGGGACATGGCGAGTTGGCGAAGGGGGGGGAGGGGGGGGAGGGAAGGAAAAGCGGCTCTGGTTTCATGAAGTTGTGGTTGTCGGGACAAGGGGGTGAAAGATATCTGGGTGTTGTTATATATATATACCCGAGGTAGATTCGAAGGGTTCGCACGCTCTCTCTCTCTCTCGTGGTACTGGCGAAGCATAGGTTGGTTGGTTGGTTGGCTGGCTGGTCGACGGAGCATACCGTGAGAAATAGACGCCCTGGTGCTTGATGGCGGAGACGTCTCGAGATAATTATAGTGAACGAGAGAGTGTGTATTACAGCGCTGTAAGTTTCAGGTAGGTATTCTGGGAGTCACTGCCAGCACGCTTCGTTGACAGCGAGCTAGATGGATGGATGACTTGTCTGGTCATCTGAACTACCTACCCTCTCCTAGTGAACGGTTGAACGCTGTGGCAGCATTGCCACATCAAACTTGGGCATACGGCCACCTATGGCAGGAGGGTTGAACGGCACATCTGTGTAATGAGTGACACGATATTTCTTATCCCGGTTCAGGGGTTATCTACCTACCTAGATAGCGTCTCTACCAAGATGGTTTGGTATTGCGTACATAATGAAAATCGAATCTTATGACATAAACGAGGTTTCAGATTCCAAATATCCTTGATTTAGATATTGAAGCTTCGGGTTCGTCATGCTTTGAAGTGATGAAGTGTTGAGTAAAAAAAAAAAATTTGAATAGATAGGGGTCAAATAAGTCTGTGACCCAACGTTCCACGACATATTCAAGTGCCACGCGCAGCGGCTCAACGGCTTCGCGCTCGACTAGAAGAAAGTCGGTGCCTGGCGCAGGCTGTAGACGTACAACAAGCGGTGGATCGTCGGCGCGATGGAGCGGAAGCTCGCGCGGGGCGGCGCGAGGTCGAGGAGATGTGCCGGCTTTTCTTCGTCGGTGGAAAGGGGCCCGAGGAGGTGGACGAGAGCACGGTGAAGGATGGGGAAGATGATTGGGGGGCCGAGTTTGAGGAAGGATCTTTAGTTGTAGGTATTTCCATACATATAATTGGTGTCAACTGTTATGGTGAAGTTCAACATCCTCGACCGCAAGCATGGCTTTCACTTGATCTCATCGAACCGCTAAGCAATTTGTAAACCGCAAATATAGCATGGTTAAACCACCAACGTAGGCAGGGTATTCAATTTTTGTAAGTCTATCAAAAATAATAATAATGCAGTTTATCGCTAATTTATGAACAGCCAATGGTACAGGACCCCAATCTAGACGCATTATCATTTACAGCATTCCATTACTGACACCCCCAAAACCCCTTTTGTTGTTATTGTCTATTTGTTGTTGCTTTTTTTTTTTTTTTTTTGGTTTCTATATTTACGAGGAAGCCCAGTTGGGAGTCCAGTCAACCTATTTCCTCTTGTTAGTCTACTGCTGGGTGGGTTCTTGGGTAGACGGGGGGGGGGGGGGAAAGGGGGAAGGGGATGGTGGAAAAGGTGGGAAACTCACAACCGAAGGATCAATCTTCTTGAGATCCGCGATGCCCGCATTCGCCGCATCAATTGCAATCTCATTCTTCAGCAGCTCGATCGCGCGCTCGACACCCGCCGTGCCATAAACATTCGCGTACATGAACGGGCGTCCCAGCCCGACGGCACGCACGCCGGTAGCCAACAACTTGACGACGTCGGCGCCGTAGCGGACGCCGCCGTCGGCGTAGACCTCGATCTGGGAGAAGACCTCGGGGGCCTCGCGCTGGATCTCGATGGCGACGTCGAGCGGTGACCGCGCGCCGTCGATCTGCCGCCCGCCGTGGTTCGAGAGGTAGATCGCGGGCACCTGGCGCTCGACGGCAATCTTGGCGTCCTCGACAGTCTGGATGCCCTTGAGGATGATGGGGAGGCTGGTTAGGGTGCGGATGTGGTCGTAGAAGTCCCACTGTGGTTTGGGTTAGTTTTTTGGTCGCTTATTAAGGGGTGGCGGTGGTATAAACTTACGGTGATTTTAGTGTAGGAGGCATCACTATAGATGGCGTATACGTTAGTTCAAAATGTCCCCAAGTGCGTTTCGGGGAGTAGGTGGTGGATAAAGAGAGAAACTTACGCAGAACCGACACCGTAGCGAGCGGCGCGGTGGCGGTTGCCGTTGGCGGCCGAGTCGATGGTGAAGACGAGAGCCTTGGCGCCCGAAGCCTCGGCACGGGCGAATAGCGCTTCCGAGGCGGTGTCGTTGGAGTCGAGGTATAGCTGCTGGAACACGACCTGCTCTTCTTTCTTGAACGTCGAGATCTCTTCAATCGTCAAGCTCGCATAGATGGCGGGCTATTTTCCCCCGGAGTTAGTATGCGTTTTTTACTGAGAAAGGTTTGGGGGAGGGGAGCACATACTATGTATAGAATGTTTCCGTTTGCGGCACCCTCAATTAATCCTTTCTCAGCATCGTTGTTGCCATAGCCACCGCGGGCACAGGGGCTGATGAAAAAGGGCGCAGAGAAGTTGTGGCCGAGGATGGTAGTCCTATATCACTGTGTAAGAAGCCGTGCCAGAGAAAGATGTGTAAGTGGGATAGCGTACGGTAACGACGACTCGATATCCACAATATCTACCATGGTTCTAGGACGAAGCGAATAGCGGTTGAAGACCTCGAGGTTGTTGCGATACGACCACTCAGCAGCGGCACCATTGCGATAATAGGTGTAGTTCTGGATAGGTAGATGTCTTCGGGCCGCCGCATCGAAGTCTGGTAGTCCTACCAACTGGTCGAGAGGCGGTAGTTCTCCGGCTGGGAGACTGCCAAATACATCATCGAAACTTGAATCTTTGTTAGCTTTCTTTCTTTACTATATACCTAGGTATGTAGTATGGTCGGGGTAAATAGTGAACTCACCCAGTGTCAGGCTCGTTGAGGAATGGACGTGCCGCCAGAGCTCCTCCAACGGCGCAGAGCGAAGTAAGTACGTGACGCATCTTGAGCTACTTGAATCTAGGTAGGTATCAAGTATTAAGTGACGTAGTGTGAGGGATTACCGGTACAGAACACTTCGGAGCTGGGATGATGGGATGGGGGGATAGAGTAGTGTATAAGAACACCACCCTCCATGAAGAAGGAATCCTCTCATCTTATTATATAATGTGCAGCATGAGCTTCTTCGCAGCTACATTTCTCTAGTGCCCGTCTAGGTACATCTTAGCTCCGTGCCTGACCATCTCTCTTTTGGAAGGAGTTGCTGTTAAGGTTCACCAGCGCAGCAAGCAGTAGTCGATTCTGTCATCGTTGCCAAGGCCAAGCGCAACTCCCATCATCTATTCAAGGAATAGAAACGTGCCCGGGATTTGAAGAGAATGACCCATCTTACATCATGCGCCATCCTTGGCCGGGGCGGGGGCAAAGATTTCATGAATTTGCTTTTGGTTCCTTAACTAATAATATTTTTTTCTCTTGTCTCTTTCCTATTTCGACCAAGGGTATCGTTGCCAGAGTTAGTAGCTATGGTGATGTTCGTGTCAGGAACCAACTAATTTATTGAGCCCGGTTCGACCGAGTCTTCCGGTCCGCCTATATACCTTCTCACCATAGTCCCAAACGAGGCCTTGGGGGTGCTCGGTCAATACACCTGTCTCTGTTAGCAGGATCGGTCCGCCGAGAGAGGCTAGTTTTAAGCTACGTACCAATGCATGTGATGCCCGGTCAGTCGGAGCCAGAACATGGTACAAGATAGCAGCCGGTACCTGACATCGGATTCATGCGTCGGTACCTACAAGAGGAGGGTAGTAATGTAGACTCGAAGCTACCTTAAGCAGCTAGGGCTGCTAGGTACAAGGTAGGCTAAGGCACATTCTAGGCTGAAGATCAGTGGATACGATCAAGGCTGGTCTAGTGTATAGTATGGGCATTATAACGATGGATGACAGAGAAACCTCTTGATAAGGCTTACAAATAAATGCCAAGTGTCGGTTGAAACGATCTGATTGCCCTCTTCAATATTTATATGAACAGCACAGCCCAAGCTGCATTATCATCTCTCAGCTCGGCAACCTAATACTCATAAGAGCAGGTGGAGTTTCGTCCGAAAAATAACGAATATTGGCATCGCACGTAATCCTTGGTATTAAATCCTTCGGGAAAACATTGAACACATATTCGTAAGATCCTGCAAATCCAACCGTGAACTTGGTGATGGGTAGAATATCGTCACCGAATTATTGTGTTATATTAAAGTCAAAGGATGCGTCGCGTATGTGCTTGCTTGCTGGTGAAAACATATAATGATTAGGTAAGTAGTAGGTAGACATGAGATATCAACTCATAAGCGAGTTCGGAGTAGTTAGTCTAATGTGTGAATTTACCTAGGCGTAGATCCTTTGCACGTAATAGGCATCTAGTGGTGATCATTATTATGTCGACATGGGCAAGAGCTCGCTATTGTTAGAATTGCGATTCCGAAACCTCGGACTGGTTGCCAAGAGGATGGGTTTGCGAGATTATACCAAGTGGAAAATCGTATTCTTTCTGACCATCACAAATCCCCACCACGATTGATAAGATTGATTATCTTCCCTGCTTCAAAAGGGCTAGGGAATATCACCAAACAAAACTTTCATTATGCCACCAGACATTCCGGCCTTTCTGAACCCAGACTCCAACATGGGACTTCAGTTCACGAGCCATGGCTTCAGGTCCACATACGATCACGGCAACCCGTTCCTCTAAACCTTGCTTAAAGAAGTCATCAACAATCTTCTTTAGGTCGGGCCGTTTGCCCATGCGTCTTGAGTCAGTATCGAGATTACTAGCCAACTCTATCGCATCATCCTCGTCGCCCGAGTCAGTAACTTGGTCCGCGTCCCCAAAGACGTCCCCAGTTAGGTATAAGTGGAGGTTTTCGTCGTCTAGAATGCTTCCCGCAGTCCCATTAACCGGCCATGTCGCATCGCCGGCTTCACGGACAGCCCAGACCATCCGTACGCGGGCAGCTGGGCTTTCAGTAGTAATTAACCCTAAACTGTGTTAGCTTACCCTCCCGCAATATCAGAAAATACATCTAGATGGGCTTAAGACTGGAAGTGCCGCATTCAGTAGGCACTACTTGGGTAGTTACCGTCTTTAAAAGAGAAACTAGACGTAGGGCGCCGGGACTGGAAAAGATAGTATACTTACTAGACTTTAGTTAGCATCTACATATATGAGTTATAAGACGGGTGCGGACCCCGAAAGAATTCGACCCAAGGGACATTACTTACCGATACAGAGGCAAAATATAGGTGGCGCCGACTCCACCGGCGACGAGAAGAATACGATTAAATTCTGAACCTGTCAAGCTTGGAAACTTCTTGGCGCACCCGTAGGTACCGTCGATATTCAGTGGTATCTTGGTACCTGTCAAATGGTTCTGGGCGAGACGAGCTAGGGTCTTAGTCATGAGTCCGTTCTGGCATCGCGCAATTAGAGTTAGATTTTGCGACTCCTCGTTCACCAATGCAATGGTAAAAGGATTGAAGGTGGCTTCAAAGAGGAGGAACGCCGCAAAATTGGCACCAGAGGCACGACGGGCAGCAATCGGAATACTCAGGTACACGTGCATCCCGTGATACTTGCGGAAGCGACCGAGTTTCTTGGGTGGGAGGCTGGCTACGATCTTGACCAAGCTGGTGCCTGGGATGCGCTCTAGAGTCGCAGGTGCCGTAATAGTGTCGAATCTGCGTTTCATGATATCGAGGACGAAGACAGCAAGTGCCTCGATCACGTATTCACGACCTCCATGGTGAGAATGGAAGAAGATGGCCGGTGGGAGGCTGAATGCTACAATAAGGTGGGTGATAAAAAAAACCCTATAAGAATATTGACGGACAATTCGAAGAGCGGTGGTGTTCATGAAGCTCAGGCCGATGAAGGAACCAAGACCAAGTGCTGGGATAAGGCGGACGATTCGTTCAGCCAATACGCCCTCTTGAATATAGAAATTAAGGAAGAAGGACACATGCAAGAATAGCAGGAAATATATGATCCAACCAAGGACTCGATGCCATCGATTAACTTGCTCGTGAGAAGAGCTAAAGACGAAGGCGATGGGGTTGATACTCTTAAGTGCCAGCAAGTATTGCATTGGCAATTGAGAAAGCGCCACTATCCCGAATCTCTTAGTCAAGTGAATGTAATCTGGATAAAATTAGCATTTTCTCCTATTCATCAGCCATGAGATGGATCCACCAAGCAATGATTTCATATTGACTAAGCAAAGAGTCGCTGCAGGTATGAAAAGGCATGAAAGGCATCAATTGAATAATCAAACCTACCATTTCCAGTGTCAACCACGCAAAGAAACATCAGCCATACAGTCCAAATGATGCCGATGATGATCTGATCTCTCTGCCCCCAGGTTTTCCCCAGAAACACGACATCATCGCTGAACCACCATGCGAATCTCCTTAATAAACTAGCCAAAGAGCCGGTAGTACTGCGTCTAGCTCGTTTTAAAGTAGGTGAACCCGGAACAGCTGAGTAAAAACCGCGTTGTGGTGTAAGTCTCTTCACCACCCAGGACATGAACCGGTAGAGTAGGAACAGGGCGATAGGGACTAATGCTGAAAGTTGCGCGTACGCCGCATGTCGATCCAACGACTGCCGGCGAGCGGTTTTTTGAGCCTCATCAAGGGCAATAATTCGCCATGGCCAATCCATCTTTTAAACTGAAAGTCAGCGGTTTTCTCTCGTTGAATTTAGTAACTCCGGTTATCCGTAGGAACTTCAATGTTGCTATTCGGAGACTTTGAAGCCTATCTTGACGGTCGGGACTATGTTCTTTTTTCATAAGTATTGAAGAGCGCAATCGGTATTTTACCTTGAGTTAGGATGATCAAGCTGTTAAATTGTCAACGGCATCAGGACCAAAACCAGGACCAGAATCAGGATCGTGTACCGTGTCACGAAAAGGACGCTACGTAGTACTCGGGACTCGGTACCATTTCTCTTGGTCTTGGAGATAAGCCACTAATAATAGCTATATTTTTAATGCACATCTTACTACTACTAGTAGTATGTAAATGGCTAGTGGTTATCACTTCCGGCTTTGAAGGTCGGGATGTAAGTGTGATGCCGACGCGCAGCAGTCGACGAGACACACAATGAAGCTACTGCATGTCTTATACTGATAGAGGATGTGATTCTCCAAGTATCAAACAGTTGTATGGACCTAAGGTTAATATAAGAGGTTGCCAGCATCAAAGATGGAGTATGGAGCAACATTAAAGATTATTCAAAATCTAGCAAATGAAGGGAGAGTCTGGGAGACTACTAATTACTAGTAGTACAGACTTAGGAGTGGGTCAATCACCGTTAATACCGTTAATTTGCCCGAACCCACATTTGACGTAAAACCAGGCTAACCGTTCTTGAAACGTCTGCCCCAACTTTGGCCAATGTGCGATCTCCATCACCCCGCTTTACATACACCGTCTTCCAGGACCAATATAGGCAATTATATCTTACCCAAATTTCAACTCAGAACAGGTTCCTGGCAACAGAAGCCTACAACATCCTGGTTTGGTGGTCTAGTGGTATGATTCTCGCTTAGGGTACACCCTATGCTCAGCTTGCGAGAGGTCCCGGGTTCGATCCCCGGCCAAACCCTTTCTTTTGCTTTTTGAATTTTTAGTTAGTTATTTCTATCGGATTTTGATTCTTTTGCTATTATTCATTAAACTACGCCAGCAGTAACCGTTTTATGCCTGTATTAATTAATTCGATTTATTCATTGTTCTTAGCAGCCCCCCGAAATAACATGTCATTCTTTCCTTTACTTGTCATTATTCACCTTCAAGATCCCAGCCAACATGAGATCGAATAAAGCCTACAATAGCCTACAATATCATTGATCTCATCAGGAATCTTATCAATGTCCCAGATTTTGGTAAACCCTCCATTGCACTTCGTACCCAGCAGCCTCTCCTAATTCGACCGGCTTCTTGTCGTCTTCTTTTCCATGTCCCAGAAATGTCGGAGTAGATTTCGCTGTAGTTTCCATCGTGGGATTAGGTATCGGATCAAGATATAGAAGATCTCTTTCGTACTGGGAAACCTTGACTACCGCGTTCTTTGGTTCGTCGTCGCCCGTATTGTCAGCTGTAAATGGGCCATTCTCTCCATCCGATTTAACAGTATCCTGCTTAACGGCATCCTCAATATCGCTGCGAAACGGGACGTACCCGCACATGCCCACAAACCCACCCAACGGATACTCAAGACTGAGCAGTCGGGAATATCCAGCGGTCTCCCGGGAGCAGCTCAGGCAATGTCTTCCCGCTGGAGGTTAGCCCTGTAGAGAGGAACTCTTTGCCGAATTTCTCGCCGGTGGAGCTTAGGCCGTGGAGAAGGATGATGGAGTGGGAGTGCACGGAGGTAGGCTCGACTATGCAAGTCCCTTGATGGCCCGGGTCGGAGGGGCCGGACGTGGGTAAGTCCTGTGAACTCATTACTGTCTCGCCGGGGACGTAAATAGTCTTGAATGATGTTTATTGGCTATTGAAGAATGAGAACTTGTCGAGCTGTTCCTGAGATTAGGACACAAAGTTCGATCTTTCTTAATTATTGGCGACCTGGAGTTTCATGACACCATTTAATACAATTGGTTTGCATATCTCTTGGTGTTGGGCAATACAGACCCGACCAAATCACTATCTCGTTTTCAGAGCAGTTTAGTCTAGTCTTTCAGCTTCAGGTTGCTACTCCGTAAACTACCAGTCTCTTCTACAGCCGTATACTATTTAATTGATTTTCTCTTATGTAGAGGCCATCCTATTTTCATTAGCACAATAATAATCAATATCAAGAGGACCAAAAAAGTCACAACTCACCAACATCCCCTCCCACCCAAACCAACTCAAGACCCACGCAAACGTCGTCAACCCCCCCTGCCAAATAACCTTCTTCACCTCCGGCCTCAGCAGCTCATCCACCACCCTCCTCGCATAAACCTCGCGATCCATATGCGGTGCCCTCTCCAGCATCTCCCTCCCCTCAATGAACCCCCTCGCAGCCGCATACAAACTCCTCTCCGGCAACCTCGTCGGCGCCAAGTTCCCAAACAGCTCCGTGTGCACGCTCCCCGTCTTGACGGTCACGACGCGGATGCCGAGCGGCGCGAGCTCCGGGCGGATCGTCCCGCCCAGGACTTCGATGGCCGCCTTCGACGCGTTGTAGATCCCGAAGAACGGCGGGCGCACTTGCGAGTTGATGCTGCAGATGTTGACCACCATTGGCCCCCCACCTCCGGCGTCGTGTGGGTTGTTTCTCCGCGCTGATGTGAGCAGGAGTGGCAGAAACGCCTGCGTCACGGCGACTACGCCGAGGACGTTGACGTCGAACACGCGCCGCGCGTCGGCGACCGTGGCGTCGGCGAAGGGCATCACGTGCATGATCCCAGCGTTGTTGATCAGGATGTCGAGGAAGCCTCCCTCGTCCTTGTTGCCACCGGTTAGGACAGCGACATCGCGCACAGCCTGCGCGATGGAATCCTCGGACGTCACGTCTAGTTCAAGGGTCTCGATGCCGCGGTCGCGTAAGGGAGCGAGATGCGCGGCGGAGACGTCGGTGGCGAGGACGCGGTGGCCCCGCATCTGGAACTCGATGGCGAGGGCGGAGCCGATGCCGCCGGGGCCGCAGCCGGTGATTAGGATGGTTTGTAGAGGCATTTGGGGGTTTCCTTTGTTCTTGGGTGGGGAAGGTACCTAGGGTAGGTAGGTGGTTACCGTATACCGTATTTGCAGGTCTTGAAATCAATGATCACTTGATAGTTGCAGGTGGGTGAAATATTGAATTGGAGATGTTAGGTGCTAGCCTAGTACGGTACACGGGGTACAAATCAAAACTTAAAGCGAGTGAGACTGAACACAGGCTGGTCCTTGAAGTTATTGTCTCACAACGACGCATTCGCCTGTCGTTATCTCTGATAGATACCTACTTTCCTGCCTATGTCGACATTTACCCCTATTCTATTTATCAAAGTGAGTTTATTATGAATGTATTCAGGCAATCAGACGATCAACGAGTGATGCTTTATTGAGAATGCCATTCAATCTACTTTGGAGTACATGGATATTGCCATAACGGTGATAAAGGGGGCCATTCCCTAACTTAAATGATCTTGCCAGGTAGTAAATCGTCGGTGACTATCCGAAGACTTGAGAATTACTCACGAGCCAAGCATAATAATACATACCAAGATAATAATTTCATTATAGACGGCGTTGGCAGAAACATCAAGTTACTACGAATGGCAATATGTATTTTGACAAATTGCAGAATAATTTGAGATTTAATTCCATGAAAACGGACCAACGTTTTATCCTTCTCGACTGCTCATATGCAAAGCCAACTTACAACTCTTTCCTCGATATTAGCACAACTCGATTGTTGAGAGCTTACTAGGTAGTAATGTATGTCAAGACTCCTCAAGTTTGCAGCGAACCCTATTACTTTCCAATATATCGAAGCTTACTATATCTTATCCTGTCCGTCGGCTCTGGCCAAGTATTACAATGAGTGACTTTAGACATCTGCCGTACGATGATACTAGTTCAATGCGACGTCAAGTCCAGAGCCACCCCACCGGGTAATTCAGAAGACGTATGTTTCCCAGTGCAATACAAATGAACTACCGATTCTTTATAAACTGTACTCATGCGCATTTTATCTTGAAACCGTATATTGGAGTTTGTACTGGGTCATGGCCACCCTTTCCGATCAACGGCTGGCGGAAAGCCCAGGGTCGAAAAAGCTACATTTCGTGATTGTACGTATACCTTCCAAGTTCCTATAGACCAACTATGCATGAAAACATTAGTACTGATAATACTTCTAGGTCGGCGGCTCGCTAGGCGGTCTCGCAACCGGTCTTGCGCTCAAAGCGCTCGGCCATGACACTACGATACTAGAGCGCAACCCCGCGCCCCTATTGCAAGACCAGGGGGCCGGGATAGTCGCAGGAGGCGACACTCTCAAGTTGTTCGAGCGGTACAATCGATGCGACCAGCCATTCTCGGTACCATCAGAGCGAAGACAGTACCTCGACAGAGATGGCAACGTTGTGCACAAGGTGGACACAATGCAGTACATGACCTCGTGGGACCTGACGTACTACCTCATGCGGGCCAACTACGACGGCATCGAGAGCCCGTACTGCAAAGTCCCGCCCCCTATTCCCGGGCATGGGAAAGCCACGCACCTGCATGATCGCCAGGTAACACATTTCAAAGAAGAAGGCGACGGCATACGCGTGTTCTGGAAGACCAGCTCGGGGGAAGAAGGCAGCACAGCCGGCGACATCCTGATCGGCGCCGACGGGCCCAGCTCCACGATCCGCAAGCTCCTCGAGCCCAGCGTCGAGCGCAAGTACTCGGGCTACTGCGCGCTGCGCGGGACGCTCATCGAGAGCGAGGCCAGCGCATGCGCCAGGGCGGCCTTCAGCAACCGCTTCACCTTCTTCCACAGCCCCGGCGTCCAGATCCTCGCGTACCTGATCCCCGGGAAAGACGGCACCGTCGAGCCCGGCCGGCGCCTCATCAACTTCGTCTACTACACCAACTTCCCCGAGGGCTCCGCCGAGCTCGAGGAGATCATGACGGATAAAGATGGCCGAAGCCGCCAGATCACGGTGCCGCCCGGCGTGACGAGCCCGGCCGCGTGGGAGAAGCAGCGGCGGCTCGCGCGCGAGCGGCTGCCGGCGCAGTTCGCGGAGATCGTCTGCGGGACGCAGCGCCCCTTCGTGCAGGCGGTCACGGACGTGCTGAGCCCGCGCAACGAGTACCTCGACGGCAAGGTCGTGCTCATCGGCGACGCGCTGGCGGGGTTCCGCCCGCACACCGTGGCGTCAACGTCGCAGGCTGCGTTCGACGCGATGCTGTACGCTGATTACGTCGCCGGTAAGGTGTCGAGGGAGGAGTGGAAGAGGGAGACGATGGGGTTCGCGAGGTACATCCATAAGAGGGGCGTGGATATGGGCGAGCGCAGCCAGCACATGGATTTGCCGGTGCAGGAGCATATACATGATCGCAATGTGGCGTCGAGGCCGAGGGAGCAGGAGGTTTATCCTGACTGGGCGATTGCGGTGTGATTGTGTAGTTACGTAGCTAGATGTGATGAATAGGGGGTGGGATTAAGACATGTATGCGCCTTAGATAAATACAAAAGAAGAACAGATTATCTTGTTAAAGTTCCCGTTGGTTATTCAAAGGTCCGTCTCTCCCCTTAATCACAAACACAACCAAGTAAAACCCAACACCCCTATCTCACCAATGCACAGTCGGCTTATCATCAGAGCTCCCCGACGGATCTATACGCTGACAACTCTCATAATCGCCCATCCGAAACTGGCCCCACGCATTCCTCTCCACCGGATCGCACGTCTCCCACACCACCCCAAACGTCGCCGTCAAAGCCGGGCCGACCAGTCGTCCAAAGACCCCGTTGCCCGTCTTCGAGTACCCTTCCTTGGTCAGGTAGGCCTGGAACTGGAACTGCACCTGCATCTTGTCGTCGTACGAGTACTCGGCGCCGGTGAAGCACGGGGACCAGGCGGGCTTGTCGTTGCGGATCGGGACCTTGAAGTCTGCGTCGTAGAACCCGGTGCTCCCGAAGTCCACTCTCGCTCGAGGAATGTTCATCTAGTCCCATTATCAGCAAAAGCGAATACCTATCTAACTACCTACCAGGGTAATAATATCACTGGCTTAATTGTGCTACGGGCATGGGAGGGGAAAAAGACTCACCAGATACGACCCCGAAGCATTCTTGACCGTCGGCTCATTGATCGGCTCGCTGTTCTTCAAATGCTCCCACTGGAAGTACGCGTTCGCCGCAAAGCTCTCCAGCCTCGCGCCCCCGCTCAGCTTCGCGTGCCCCGTGTACGTGACGTCCTCCAGCGCGAACCGCCACCCCGAGGGAAACGCCCCGAGCTCGATCGACATCACGCAGATCGCCGCCTCGCTGTCGTACTCGTCGGCTGGCGACACGCTGGCGCGCATGTCGGCGAAGTCGAGCTTGAGGGTATTGGGTTGTAGGGCGAGGCTCAGGCTCGTGGCGGAGAAGCAGCCGGCTGAGTTGGCGCCGCGGATGCTGAGGATGGTGGGGATGGTTTGGGGGGAGGTTTGCGCCAGGGAGAGGGTGGTGGTGGCTAGGAAGGTGAGGATTGTTATCGTCTTCATGATGGTGCTGCTGGCAAATATTTCGATAAGGAATGGCAGCCGTGTGCTAATACTCTATGATACTTTGGGGACTGTGAATATTCAGAAGATATTTTCTTGTCAATCATACATGCCATGAGATCGGGCTTACGGAAATTCTTTCGGGAAAGCTCAGGGGCTGACTACAACTGTCGATCTAGGAACTATGAGTTGCGAACACACAAGAGGATGAAACTAGGCTGTGAACGGTTAATTTGAAAATAGGTATATGAGCTACTTAAAGTGGTCTTCACAATAACCGGCAATGGTATATGGTGTTGTCGAACCCCAGTTTGAACAGCACCGGATAAAGTCTCCATATGTACCGCAAGATATCTTTGGGCATTGACTGCTGCTATGTTTTAAGTAACCAGTGTATTATCTTGATGTATATCTCTATCATCCTTTTGATAACGTCTTCTCCTCAACTTCGACAGTCTCCTTGATTCAAGGGGTTTAAGACCTTATTGGGAGCCTGCGTAGTAGATATTCAACACGTCCTACATCGAAGATATGCTCGACATGACACCTAACCCCTTCTCACATAGTTCAAGAGCCTGATCTACAGGCCTTTCTTCTATCCAGCTACTTAGTCTTCATAGCACTCTACACCACTCTAACCTAGGTAGAAACTTGATGATTTTCGCTCGAAGACTCCAACGGCTTCTGCTCCCAGCTCGAGAAAATACGGAGGCCAAGCCATTATACGTCAAAACGATCCTATGACCTCTCACAGTACCGCCTCCACGCTATTCTGTGCTGCGTACTGCGTGAATATTTACCTAGACAGCCTTATTTTTAAGGTTGAAAAAGTGGCCCCTTAACTGGTGCCTCAGGATCGCAAAACTCACCACCACCGCCCTCGCTCGTAACCGACCTTTCTACCTCCCGAAGTTAAACTTATAGGTCCCCGGAAAGCAACAACTCTCACTTCCTGGGTGAGAACTCGGGTACCTGGGTTTTCAACCTAGGTTGGCTCAGTGGTAAGGTGCGAAAACCACCAGGGCTCCCCAAAGAGTGCGGGTTCAGAACGAAAACCACTGTGGGACGCCCGAGGGTGCGGGTTCAATCCTACCGCAAAACTTTTTTTTTTTCGACTTTTCTTTTTCTTCCAACATGTACCTAGGTATCTACCTACTAGGTAGTTACCCAATGCTATGTTTATGAAATGAAGTTATTCACAACGCAAGGCCCCTCCTATTAAACTAGCGATGCAATTGTATTCCACACTACAGGCAACAAGCATATCTAAGCTACCTTAACTATCAAGTACCTCACTTTCTCGCATCATCTGCCACGGCCTACACTAATCCAACCAACCACTCTATCGGTATCATGTCTTCACCTGTCTTCACCACCCCACAATCTATCCAAGTATTGGTGCAACCGCACGCTTACACACCCAACTCCCAACCTACCTCCCTCCCTATTAGGTACCTAGCGCCCACCACGCTTGCAGCTACCTTCCTAGCTACCTACCTAAATCCTTACATGCAATCGCCACCAAACTCGCGGGGAAAGCATGACAGCTCACCATTGGCTCCCGCGTTATCCCACCATGTAGCTCAATGCGACATCGTCCACTTCCTTTCTCCCTTCCCTACCCTTACTACGCAAGACGGTTCAGGGAGTAGGTACCTAGGTATGTGTATCTCCATGACACAGATAGCTCGCGGTAGGTATTGGGCTAATAAGCCAAAGCAAGATAGCATGTGCAACGGGTCTAGAGGACCCCCTTTGACCCCCTGGAGCCGAATGACGGGGCCAGCATGGCGATGTTACATTCGGTTGGCCATGCATGGCTTACTCACCAACCCAAGCAGGTATTTATCACCAACTGAGGCAAGTGTTTACTAATCAGAAGCTCTTTTCTATGAGCTGTTATAGTATTAATATTATGATGCTATCTCGATAATAAATTTGCCTTCAACTTATGGTAGGCACCTACGTAATAGGCAGAGGACGGGCATAACTATAACTGTATAGGTCGTGAAGGATATATGCTTCCTACCTAATCTTGACTTTAGGTACCTATATAAGAGTATCCTACTCACTGAACGACCCAACCGCATCAGCCCATTCCTAGACATATCATCCCGAATAACTATCCCCTTGATAGACCCAAGATGCGTCCCCTCGCTATATCTATATCCCTCCTATCCCTCCTCCCCACCCCCAGCCTCACCACATTCTTCTACCCGCACCCCACCGCCTCCCTCCTCGAGCACATCCTCGTGGACACCTGGGGCGCCTACGCGTCCAACTTCTCGTCCGCCATCACACCCTGCGACCGGTACGTCACGGAAGTCGGCGCCGCGGCCATAAACTCTCACAGAACGACGTCTGCGCAGTGGCTGCGCGTGGCCTTCCACGACTTCGCGACCGCGGATGTGGGCGCGGGGACGGGGGGCATCGACGCGAGCATTGGGTTCGAGACGGCGCGCGAGGAGAACAAGGGGAGTGCGTTTAATGATAGTTTTACGTTCTGGCGGCCGTTTGTGAATGAGTTCGTTTCTAGTAAGTTGTTTTATTTATAGTGGAATGGATCTTTGTGGATTATTGCAGAAAGCTAAACATAAGCCCGACGGCTTCAAAGTGGCCGATCTGCTAGCGGTGGGGACAGTCATGTCGGTGCATTTGTGTGGTGGGAAGTATATACCGTATCAGTATGGCAGGATAGACGCAACCGAGGCAGATCCTAGGACCGGCGTGCCTGAGGTAGGGACGAGTATAGAGGCGACGCTCGCCCAGTTCGAACAGGCGGGCTTTAATCAAGCAGATGCCATTGGCTTGACGGCTTGTGGCCATACGATAGGATCTGTGAGTCGAAGTCTCCCCCTTATCGTTGGTCGAAGCACACACTGACTGAATTGCAGGTACATGCCGGCGGCTTCCCCGAAGTACTCGAACAAACTCTGATAACATCAAACAACACCAACGGAGCATCAAACTTCGACTCTAGCCGGGCAGTCTTCGATCCATTGGTGGTGCGTGAGTATATCGACAACACCGGCGCTAGGGGTGGCGCGCTCGTAACCAGCTATAATGAGACAAATAGGTCGGATTTGCGCCTGTATGCAAGCGATGGGAACAAGACCATGCTGGACTTATACGCACAAGGCGATGGGTTCCAGGACACCTGTGTCACCTTGCTAGAGCGCATGCTCAACACCGTTCCTTCCAGTGTTCAACTTCAGCCTGCGATCACGCCAGCACTGATCAAGCCGGTCAACGTGACCTGGGATGTCACCAGTGAGAACCAAATGGTGCTTTCAGGGAGAATCAGGGTAAGTGCTAGATGCAACTCAGGAAACCGAAGGGATAAATTGCTAAGAAGTAGTCAGTTGTTGTATCCTGGGGAAGTCTCAAGTGACCCAGTTTCGATCACTTTCTCGAATGGCTACACAGAGATGTTGGTCCCTGAAGACGGCCTAGGAACTTCTGCGTTTAGACTAGCCGATAGCCAAGCAAATGCTACGGCGCGATATCTATCGTTTTCGATACAAAGTACTAATCTGTTAGAGGCGTCATCTTTTACTATCGCGACGAACGGCTTTGAGCCCCAAGTCTGCCAGATTCAAGATGAAGGATTTGTTATTCCCAGTATGACTAACCTTGATAACGGCAAAGTGTCTGTCACGGTCGCAACAAGGATAGGGAATATTGATTTTGATGCGTCGCAACTGGCCGTCGAGATCGGAGCTCCGGTGGCGCAGCCTCTTACTCTGGTGCCTAAGATCATACGGACAGTAGTCAACCTTGGTGAAGTCGAAAGCCCAGTCAGTAACCTACGCTATTGGTCTGGATCCGCTGTGATCGAGGCACCTACAGGAGCCGTGAGTGTGGGCTTGCTCTATAAGGGAGATGTTATCGACATCCTATTGCTTGACGCTGCAGTGGCAGGTTGGTAGACCCCAGAATACGGCGAAGACAGCGCATCGGGGTCATGCATGCAACACACACCTAGTAGTCAGAAGAAAAAATTGTCCGAAATGGTAGATGTGTTAATTGGTAAGATCTTGTTAACCTCTCCTCCTTATACGCATGTTCACATACCAATACCCTTTTCAGTAAGGCTAAGCGTATTCCAATCATGGCAACAAGTATTTAACATAGGTTGCAACTTATTACCCGGGAAAGGCTATAAGTTAGGTTAGAATCCAAGCCGCAGCCTGTCATAAGTGACGATAGCAGACTGCCAAGTCATCACAGCTAACTTAGCTTCCTAAAACGTCAATAGGTGTTCTGAATGAAATGGCACATCTTGGGATATGCGCAAACGCAATTGGCTACCGAATCAAAGAATATCTGGCGAGCTCCTTGCTGTATCGGGATACACCCTATGAAGTATCGCATGTGCCGAATGTTGGGTTGGTGCTATTGATTGTTAATATATCGTAGGCTTCGAAGAGATGCTTTCGGCGGTGTAAGATAAAACTGGCGTCAGCGCTGACGTTAGACACTCATCCCTTTTATTCGTGTTTTGTTATAAAGGATACTCTTTTGTGGCGCCGAATATTTAACAAGTTTATAACCCAAACAAAACATCTATGAATCATCAATCTGTACGACAAAAAGAATGATGGCTCCTGGCGCTCCGATAAACGAAACTCACGGGGTTGAGTTGCCCCCGAGGTATGAGATTCGTCTCATAACGCCCGACCTCAGTGACTGGATTTCGGCCTTGACATACTTCAATCATCATTTCGAGTCGGCTATGTGGAGCGCTATAGACGAGGGTCATCTAGCGAGTATGGCTTTGAAGGCATACCATCTTGGCAAGTTCCTCTACGAGATGCCCGAAATGGCAACTAGGAATGGCCTCTCCTATTGTATATGGGACAAGGAGTTTGTTTTCAAGAGGCCCGAATCAGCCGCCAAGGGTGGTGCGTGTTACTGGGATGACTTTGATCTTAACGACCCCGACCTTGAAGTAAATGCGCAGCAGAAGTTGAGCGATGCATTGGATTTCCCGATTGTCGGCTTCGGCTTGTCCTATGACAAGTTCGTCCCTAAAGATCCGAAGAGGTGGGAGGCCGGAATGAAGGCCATCCCCCTGATAAAGCTGCTAGGAGAGTATTATGAAATACACGATCCACGCCCTAAAGGGTCATGGGAGCCAACAGCACCGGGGCAGGTAATCGAGCGGGCAGGAACGGGTACAAGGGAGGATCATCAAGGGAAGGGACTCATGAAGTCTCTAGCCAGATTCATCATGCTTGAGATGAAAGCCAGAGGGTTTCAAGCGATTCAGATCAACTGTGGAGCGCCGCAGGTCCACCGGGTGTGGTCTACCCCCCCGGAACCATTCAGGAGTTCTACCATATGCGTGTTTCCCACTTGGTTTTACGAAAAGGATGAAGACGGCAAGAAGATGCGGCCTTTCGAGAAGTCAAAGTTGCCTAACATGTTTCTTGTGTGGACGGAGTTGTTGGATAAATAGACTGTGTGATTAAAGGGCATAAGGGTCTGGTGATGTTGGCAAAGTGGTGCTTCCGTTTGTGTCCCGAGAAGATTGCTTTTGCCACGTCATGCCGAAGTCACTAATGAGTAAAGAGTAAAGATCAAAAAAGGATCTTTGTTTAATAGTATCTCGTGTTGACTATATTCGTTTCGTTCATCTGTGAAATCATCCGGTCTCGTGGAGTTTAAAGAATTTACCTAAAAAGTTACCTAAAGAAAGCTGAGACGAGATGTAGAGAGTAAATTCAACATTGAATCCATTAGCTAAGGTATGTATATATCCATTATGTATTTATCCCAGGTTTGTAATTATCTAGTACAGAGGTGATATGCATTTACTCGGTCTTACATAGTACATCTATTTATGTATGCTAGGTACCTAGTAATGAGCCACAGCTACTAGGTACCTAGTAGTTGCCTTTTAACTGTTATTCTCAAAGTTCTAGCTTGGACCGCTGACATCGGAAGGTTCAAGTTTCGAGTCTTCTTCCACCATAGCACTGCCACCAACATTCAGCCAAGCCCGCTAGTCCCTTAGGTGCATACCTTTTCTTGCGTTATTGATCTCTTATCTCGAGTTTATGACAAGTATCATAAAGATGCATGTGGCCCAAACATAATATTGTGATATATCTAGAATCTACAGTAACAGGAGCACTCAGAAACCCTATTTCAAGATACTAAGTAATATCCATGATTTTTTTCTCTTGTTTCTATTTACGCAGACTTTAACCTACATAGCCCCCAATCTTCTAAACATGGTATGCATTTATTATGCAGGCTTCTAACTATGCACCTAAGCGCTTCAGATGCTTCGTTTCAGGTGGTACGTCATGTTATAATAGAGCAAATACTACCAGTGCCAATTGGAAATTACAGGGGTCAGTTGGGTCTAGGCCATCGAGTAGCTTGGACCTTGACGGCAACTGCACAGTGGGCATCAATAAAATGTTAATCATACGGCATAGTAGAGTTGAGGCTGTGTGGCTGATGCAGGGTATATTTGCAGTTGTCAACAGGTGGAGACAGGTGTTGGAGACGGCGATTAGCCAAACGTACATCCCAAAAAAAGAAAGAAAGAGTAAAAAAGAAAACATGACTCGCTTCTGATTTTTTCACTTCTTTCAACCTTCGTCCCTTTCTTTCTTTTAGCCCACCCTCAAGCTCCGTTCCGTCACGGTCACGTCCACCCACCGCCTTGCGTCAATCTTCCTTTCTGGGTGACCTGTCAAATTCTCTTCTTATTCTTCTCGACGGTTTTATCACTTTTGGTTCTCCGCCCCCGCGTGCGTTTTCCGAGCTTGCCAACATTTTGGTTCGACAAGTAATTCTGCAATCCTCCAAAGCACCAGAAACAGTCAGCATCGCCGCGCCGCTTCTAAAAGAGAAAGCAGCAGCCTTCTTGTGCAGCAATCTATCGCGACTGTAGCACAAATTCATCAAGAGCCTTGCGCAGAAAAAATAGGCACCCTATCGGACACGAGTCTTCCGATAACCCTACATTTTCTGCCTAGTATTCTTTAAAAAGAATTTCAAGAATCATTACCGCTGCCACCAAGCTCACTCTGACTAGCCCAACTGACCAAATCATCGATTTTTTTTTTCCTGTAAAAAATTTCACTCAGTTGCCTTGTCTGCCTCGCTGCTGCCCGACCTTCCGGTAACGAGAATTTCAATACAAAATAAACTACGAGAACGATATAATTCTGCAACTTGGATCTTTTTTCTGTGACTTTGACTAGTCATGGCGAATCCTTTGCAGTTTGCTTACCGAACCCAGAAGGCTATCGGCGTCACTGATGCCGCGCCTGTCTACGAGCCTCTTCCTGGATTTGACAAACCCGAGGGGACTTTGCGGTGCTGTGTCTACTCGCCCTGTGGTCGATATCTTGCCTGGGCCTCCAGCGATCGTGTTTGCGTCGTTGATGCATCCGTTGGCCATGTTTTAACCGAAATAACTCTCGCCAACGTCTTCGAAGTCGCTTTTTCACCCCGCGGAACCTACCTGAGCACGTGGGAGCGCCCTGCGAGGGACGAGGCTGGTGATGCCAACAAAAACTTCAAGATCTGGCGGACAGTCGAAGACTTACCTGAAGGAGCTGAAAAGCAACCCTTAGGAAAGTTTGTTCAAAAATCCCAAACAGGTTGGAATCTTCAGTACACTTCCGATGAGATGTTCTGCGCCCGCATGGTAACCAACGAGGTACAATTTTACAACAGCGACGATCTCACCACGGTCTGGAACAAGCTCCGTGCCGAAGGCGTTGCTGATTTTGCTATTGCGCCTGACAAAACCCATAACGTCGCCGTTTTTATCCCCGAACGAAAGGTTTGTCTCCTACCACCATTTTTCAAGTTGACCTGAAAACTAATCCTTTATATAGGGACAACCTGCTGCTGTCAAGGTTTTCAATGTTCCTCAATTCACCGACTGCATCTCGCAGAAGACGTTCTTTAAGGGTGACAAGGTTCAACTCAAGTGGAATAGCCTGGGAACGAGCCTAATTGTGCTGGCACAAACGGATGTTGATAAGTCCAACAAGAGTTATTACGGGGAAACAACTCTCTATCTACTTAGCGCTAACGGCACTCTCGATGCTCGCGTTACTCTAGATAAAGATGGGCCAATCCACGACGTTGCCTGGTCACCGAACGGGAAGGAGTTTGGTGTCATTTATGGCTACATGCCCGCGAAGACCACTATATTCAATCATCGCGGCATCGCCGCACACTCTTTCCCGATCGGCCCCCGAAACACTCTCAGTTTTTCACCAACTGGACGGTTCACTTTGGTTGCCGGATTTGGTAACCTCGCTGGTCAGATCGACGTTTACGATCTCGAGAAAGACTATCGAAAGGTCTGCACTATCGAAAGTGGGAATCCTAGTGTGTGCCAGTGGAGTCCTGACAGCCGCTACATCATGACTGCCACTACGTCCCCTCGTCTCCGTGTTGATAACGGAGTCAAGATTTGGCATGTTGGGGGAGGCATCATGTACACTGAGGACATGGTGGAACTCTACAACGTGACCTGGAGACCAGTTCTTCCAGAAAACCTACCAGGTGGTGATCCGCTCCATCCTGTTCCCACCCCGCATTCCTCTGCAATCGCATACTTGGGAACGGTCAAGACCCCATCGAAGCCTGTAGGTGCTTACCGACCTCCAGGTGCCCGAGGCACATCTACACCCCTCCATTTCAGACGTGAGGATGAAGGAGGCGCTGCTCACGTGGTGAGTAATGGGTCTCAGGGCATGGGTCTCAATGGATTTGGAAGGTCACGCCGCCAAGTGCCGGGGGCAGAATTTCTTGAAGCCGGTTCACGCGGGGTTCCTGGTGCACCATCGGATGTTCCAGGAGCTAACGGCGACGAGAATTTGTCCAAGGCAGCCTTGAAAAACAAGAAGAAGAGGAATAATAAGAAGGCGAAGGATGTGGAGCACAAGGACGGGGATACCGGTGGCTTGGCTCCCCCGACTCAGGAGCGAGGTCCGCATTCTGGAAACGAAGGACGTAGTCCTGAACGTCGAGGACAGCAGTACAACCAGCAGAGGCATCACCGAAGTCGCTCGCGGCACACCCCCCAAGGCGGTAACAACCCTGGACGCAACCGCAGCGGAACTCATCAGAATGGTCAGGCACCCCCTATGGCACCACAGATTCAAACTTCCCAGCCCCCTGCTGGTCTTGATGCCGTAATCTCCCCCGGTAGCCAGAATCCGGCTTCGAAAAAGCTTAGAAGCTTGCAGAAAAAGATCCGTGCGATCGAGGACTTGGAGATGCGACATGCTGGCGGCGAAAAGTTGGAGGATACACAGATGAAGAAGATCGCGACGAAGTCGTCAGTAGTTAAGGAGTTGGAGGCGATGGAGAAGGAAATTCATTGAGTAAAAGTTTGCGGCCAATGATAATATCACGCGGCTTCGATATGTGTCGGACTTGGTTCTAGTTAGTCCACTCGCAGGACACCGGTTAGGGGCCTTGGGCTAGGTAAATTAGAGTCCATGTACTGTAAAACTGGCGTTTGGGGAATGAAAAGGCTAGCCGGTTTTAGTTGACTCCTGGAGAGGCAGGCGGTTGATTCTCTACTGCTTCGAATCTAGGCAGGGCGGATGGCTAATATAAAAACAACTCCAGACATAAAATCCAAGCGTCAACTGCATAGTGTTTTTGTTAGATGCTTTGATTTATTGTACGGGTGAAATGTGTTGTGATGGGTTGCTGTTTTTCTACGTAGGCCTTTTCGAGAGGTGCGTGGTACTTGTTTGTGTTTTACCGCTGATAGAGATGGCGGTGAGATGGAACATCAAATGATTACTGTGTAGTTATTTATACAGTGAATACCTCGGTACCTGGTATATAGGTAAAAAGTACGCCCTATCTCTCACCCTTTTCCAGTGTGTTCACGATAGCAATCAGGTGGAGCGGGGTTGACAAAGGGGGAGATTTGGGGTTGTTTGGCCATGGATGATGACAATAGCAGCGTGTTTTTGAGCAAGGTGCTATATACACGTTTCGTATCGCTTGTAGGTATGCCGTTTTTATTCCAGGCATCTTTCCATCATATGTAGGTACCTATATACCTATTTACCTACCCAGGTAGGTATATGTAGGTATGTATACCGATATATATAAGTACCTAACCTAGGTATAGTTGTGCGAAGTACATGCCTACGCCTTCCCCCCTCTCCCAAAAATCACGAAAAAGGGGGGGGGGAAGACGCAGTAGTGTACTAACGCAACTCGATCTCTCGATCTCTCATTACCTACGTCTCGCGACTCAACTCGGCCAAGAACAAGACAAACTCCATCTCCGCGCTCTCGTCGCCGGCGAACGCGTCCCGGAACCAGGCCGCGATGTCGGAGAGCCGGCATTGGCATACGGGGAAGCTCTTGCTGTTATTATCGTTGTTGTTGTTGTTGTTGTTGTTGTCGTTGTTGCAGTTTTCGTTGCTGTTGTGATGATGATTATTGTTGTTATTATCATGGGGGTTATTGTGGGCGTTGCTGGAGCTACCCCAGTACGGTACCCCTTCGCCGCCGCGCCGCCACCGTTCTAGCGCGGGGTCGTGGTCGTCGAGGTCGAATAAGTTTAGGGCTGGAGGGGAGGAAGAGGAAGAGCAAGAAGAAGGAAGGGCATTGGTGGTGGTGGTGGTGGTGGTGGTAGTGTCGAGGCGGCAAGAAGCGCAGGAGCGCGTGGATTTCGCGTAGGAGCACGTTAGCACGGCGGACATGAGAACGCCGGGGATGAGGAGGGGGTTGAGGATGCGGCTGCTTCTACGGCTGCTCGCGTGTGGCGTCTGCGTTTGCGTTTGCGTTTGCGTTTGCGCAGTCTCGATGGCAAAAATCCTGCATATGCGAGCGGCGCCCCACAGCGCGGAACGCGGACATCCAGAAGCAACCCAGCCGCGCAAGTGGGCGGCGGGTCGGCGGGTCGGGATCGCGGCTCCTGGGCGTGACTTGTGGTAGTGCCCGCGGGGCCGCAGCGTGTTGAGCGGCGCGTGCAACTTCAGCGTCGAGATGTACATCAGCGTGAACGTGAGCGGCGCAATCCGATGCTGCCTGCGGGTGTCCAGGCGTCCAGCGAAGTACCCCGCGCGCACCTCGCAGTCGGAGCGCCGCAGGTGGCGCCACAGCGTCATGTGCGGCTCCGACAGCCGCGCGAAGTCGACCGGCGAGGCCTCGTTGACGAGCTCGTCCGACATCGAGCTGTGGGCCTCGCGCGCCGCCTCCCAGAGGTGGCTCTCCGTCGCGCAGGTGCTCAGGTGGTAGTCGATCTCCGTCAGGCGGTAGGGTAGATTACCCACGCGGTTGGCGTCGAGGACGTCGCGCATGAAGAAGGAGAAAAGTGCCTTTTCGCGGCCTGCGGGCTCGTTCCACTGGAGCGCGCGCCGCTCTTCTTCGTTGGCGGCGGCCCAGAGCTCGGCGGTCTTGGGGAGGGGGATGCAGAGTTCTTGGTAGCGCACTGAAGGGGGGTGGTCTAGGAGGATGCTGAGGTAGGTGTCTATTCGAAGAACGGAGAAGGCAAATCTGATTAGGAGTTGCTTTATTAGTATGTTGCCAGCACTGGCATGGTAGTGAATTAGTTGGAAGTGCCTACCTGTTTAATTGTTCTTGCACACGCCAACCAAGAAATGGGCAGGCACAGTTTTCCATGTTAGCCATCTCATGACATGTATATTGACCGTTAAATATGCCAAGGTGCCGACATGTTGATACTAGCAGCCCTGTGAGGTTGAGCGCCCTGGCGACCATTCCATCCGCGCTCTATGCATGTCCACGTTAGCTTCGCACTGATAGCCATACTCACCGAAGTCAATTTACACACCAAGGAGCCGAATGTATATACGACGTAGAATAAAGCAGCTTGTAATATATACAGTGGAGGGTTAAGGTCCTGCCAGGGTTAGAGTTAGTTTTTATACATCGAATTTGATAACGAATAGGCAACATGATGAGGACTACACACCATTCGAATCCGTATTACTTCGTCAAAAACCACCGGGGAGATCTTCTCGTGTTCGGAACCGTTCTGAAGCCAGCTGGCCAACATAACCATGGATGCTAGCAACACCGTAGGTGCCTGTTCTACCTCGAACGTGGGCTCATGTAGTATGAGCCAATGCGGATGAACCTCTGAGAAGAACACATCAACGAGCCTCTTTGTGAGAAGCGAATTCCTAAAGAACTTGTTTTCTAGGTCTGACACATGAAGAGATTCAAGTGGCCTAGGAGCAGTTCGCTGTTGCCACCAAGGTGACGATGGTGGTTGGGAGGATCTATTTGAGCCGTTCGATACATCATGGGATGTAGATTCGGCGCCATTTGTACTGGTGCTCGACTCAGGAGAGACATGGCTATTTGCTGTCGCAGCGGCCTGAGTTTGGTGAGCAGAGCTAAAATCAACCGGCGTGGTTGAGAACGGCTGCGAAACCCAGCCCTCTGGCGTTGGAGGAAACCATGGGGTTTGCGTCTGGCCTGCAGATAATATGGCAGAGGATTGACTGGTGTCTACTCTTTGGCCATTGTCTGCGCCACTGAAGCGGCATTCTGTCCAGCTAGACATGCAAGCCTCGCAAGGCGAGTGTCCGTCACATTGGGTGTTTCTTTCACGACATGGCAGACAGATTCTAACCTCAAGTTAATCTGAGAACTATCTAAAGTAGCGGGGACTTTCGTGTGATCACTCACTGTCGCGCTCCCCTTTCTCCTCGTGAATTTGAGAGTTCAGGGCTGTGATCATGTTGTTTTAAATGTCTCTTATACACATCACTGGCGTATATATTAGCGATTCTGTATGAGCTCGTGTACCATTTCAGATGGTTAATACCTCCTAGCGTAACGACGGCCACATACATGACATTTATACTGATGCTCGGGGTTGTGAACAAGGTTGTGTCGATTCAAGTGTTCTTTTCTAGTGAATTTCTTACCACACCCTGGAAACACACATTCCCAACCCCGTGATAGAGAGGACATGTCGAGATGGTCCTAGTCTTTATGGAGATTCACCCCCTTGTCGTCACACCCACTAGATTCCCACGCTACTCACCTAACCTAGAAGGGTCACTGTACAACTTTAAGGTGTACTTAGTATACAGTCATGGACTCATGGTATGTCTTGAAAAAGGTACCGCTGATTGGTTGGTATACAAGCTTAACTCCGGAGAAGGCTTGAATAAAAAGGAAAGGTCCGCCGGAATGATCCCCTGCTGAGGGTAAAAGGGGGGCTTGTGTTGCGGGGAGGACTGATTGCCGAAGTATTGGTATTGTTATGTAGGTCAGAAACGAATGCAAAGAGAGGGAGAGACTCCAAGAGAGAAACGGAGACGGAGAGACGGGAAGCTGCCAAGCTGGTTCTTTGTCTCGGTTATCTCGGTTCTACTTTTGGTAAGCCGATATATCCGCACGCTAACTAATCATCTTAGTGCAATTAGTGCAATTAATGCAATTAGTGCATGTGGGATGTGGGATGTGGGATGTGGGATTCCCCCTTAATGCACTGAGGTTACTAGGTACCTAATTACATAACGCATGATTCGAATGTGGGATCTAGGGATGTGTGTTTGCTTCGGCGAGATTCCATTACACAAGTGGCTGATCGAATCTTGTGTTAGAATTGTCTCATAAACTAGTAACTATATGTGAAGCTTATAATAACGGAGGTAGATACCATTAGTCATTTCTTCAATAAGTGATGCTTAGAAATATCCCCTTACCTAGCCTAGAAGAGCAAGCTCAGCACTTCGTATATTGATATGTTGTACGAGGACCTCGGTATATAAAGACAAAGAGGCCCCCTTACTGAAGACACAACATCCATTTACCTCATCTCATAACCTCAAACAACTACAACAACTACACCGACTCTTATAACCCTAACAGAAACACCGGATTCATCATATACATATAACATCAACATGACCACCATTACGAAAGTTGCCGTTGCCGGGGTAAGTGACCAGAAGAAACCATCCATTACACTTACCACTACATGTTTTTCAAGTAGTCACTAACAAAGATGTAGGCCAAAGGTACCCTTGGAGAATTTGTGTTGGAAGCTATCATAAACGCCGGCTTCCAAGTAACCGTCTTGAGCCGCAAAGAAAGCACCCAGACTTTCCCGTCAACTGTTACTGTCAAGCACGTCGACTACAGTTCCGTTGACTCCCTAACCGAGGCCCTGCAAGGCCAAGATGCCGTCGTATCCACCATCGGAGGCCACGGACTGTCACAGCAGATCCCGCTGGTCGAAGCTGCCGCTAAAGCCGGCGTCAAGCGGTTCCTCCCGTCCGAGTTCGGCTCCAACACCTTCAACGAGAACGCCTCGCAACTCCCCGCGTATCAGCAAAAGGTCGAGGTGCAGAAGGCTCTGGCCAAGGCAGCTAGCGAGAGCGGCCTGACGTGGACAGCCGTCATGTGCGGCCCCTTCTTCGACTGGGGAATCGAGACCGGGTTCCTCGCGAACCCCAAGACCCGTACCCTCGAGCTGCCCGACGGCGGCGAGAACAAGTTCTCGGCCAGCACGCTAACAACCGTCGGGAAAGCCGTCGTCGCCGTGCTCAAGAACCCCGAGCAGACCAAGAACCGCCAGGTCTTCGTGCAGGACCTCGCGCTGACGCAGAAGGAGCTCGCGGCGCTGCTGAAGAAGGCCGTGGGCGCGGAAGGGTGGACGGAGACGGTGACGTCGATCCAGGAGAAGATCCAGGAAGGGTACGAGGAGATCAAGAAGGAGAACGGGAACTTCTGGGTCTTCCTGTTTGCGAGTCTCAGGGCGGCGATCTGGGGCGCGGGGTACGGCGGCCACTTCGAGAAGCTGGATAATGAGCTCTTGGGCATCAAGCAGCTTACCCCTGATGAGGTCGAGGAGGTGGTTAAGAAGAGTGTGGCGAAGGCACAGGCGACGCTGTAGGGGCGATTATGGATGGCAGATAGATAATAGATGAGGTCGTCCAGGCATGATGAATATAGCGTTAAACACTTATTGACCACGTTTTTTACTGAGCTTTGATTCATATCAGGAATAGGTCACGTCAGTGGAATTCACAAATGAGATCGACCCCAGTGTTGCCAAATCCAACAAAAGCCAACAGACATATTAGTGAGCGCCATTTTGGTCGTAAATTGTGATTAAAATTAACCAGTGCTCATCATTCCTATATCATTCCCTCGAAATTCAACGCTTTCCCGCTATGCAAACCAATCCCTTTTTGTAGTGTCCATGTATCATCATTCCGCAACCTCATTACGTGCCAGCTCATCCTTCTCGTCCGCCGTCATATCAGCAGACGCCTTGCCGATCCGCACCGTTATCGCAGCACACAGCGTGAAAGCAGCCAGGCCCAGCCCGGTCCAAAACCCAACCTGGTATCTCTCGCGCAGGCCCGGGTTCTCATCCTCGTGCAAAGTAGCCCACGTCGAGACCGAGAGCTCGGCCACGCCGAGCCAAAACGCCAAACCGAGATATCCTAAGCTGGTGATCAGTCCCGCGGCGGTAGCCTGGAGACGCTGGGGCATCGCTGTGGTCAGGAAGATGTTCGTCACGTTGTACATGATGTCGATGCCGATGGTGCCGCATGCCATCGACGGGAATATATAGGCCCAGTAGATGTGAGTTGTCGAAAGCCCTGAGACAGGTATCAGGGGAAATAGCATTGTGCACACTACATAGCCTAGTCCGGAGATTATTAGTAGTATGTGACCCGAAACCATATGCAGGACAAAACCTCCTATGATTGCGAGTATGAAGCCGCCCAGAGCGAGGGGGATGAACCACACGGCGGCCTGGATGGGGGTTGCGTGGAGAACTTCCTCGATGCTATAGGCCGACTGGTTAGTACAACCGTATCTCACAAGATAGGGGGGCATGATCAACTTACTAGAAGCTCGAATAAAACAAAAATATAGAAAAGACCCCGAAACCGCAGAAGATAAAGACGGATATACGCTTCATGTACTTTGGGCGGAACAGCTCCGCCGGCAACAGTGGCTGAGTCGATACCCACCCCTGGACATACACCGCCGCGCAAAGCAGCAGCGCGCCCACGATGAAAGTGACGTAGATATACGGTGTCCTCCAACCATCAGGAGCGTTCCCGCCATCCGTAAGCGCGTACACGACCAGAACCAGCCCGGGCACAATAGTGCACACGCCCCACCAATCCATCCTCACATCGGGGCCATCGTTTCCCAGGTTCCTCGGGATGGTGAAAAAGCCCGTGACGATGAGCAGAAAAACAAACGCGGCGCCGACCCAGAAATACACGGTCCAGTCGGCGAGCTGGCCCGTGACGGCGCCGATGATGATGCCGATGTAGAACCCCACGCACGCCGCGGCGCCGTACAGGCCGAACACGAGGTTCTTCCTCGGGCCCGGGCGGTACGTCTGGCCCAGCAGCGCGAGGCCCGCGGGCAGGAAGGCGGAGGACCCGATGCCCTGCATCGCGCGGCAGGCGATCAGCATCAGCGGGCTGCGGCTGAAACCGCAGACGATCGACCAGACGAGCAGCCAGAGGTGGCCGCCGAGGAAGACGTAGCGCCCGCCGTGCTGGCTGCAGAGGCGCGAGAAGGGCAGCAGCAGGGCGGCCGTGGTCAGGTTGATGACGCCGGCGGGCCAGGTGCGCTGCGACTCGGGGATGGCCAGGGCCTCGGCGATGGCGGGCATCACGATGTTGAAGCCGCTGATGAAGTACTCGCTCACGCACAGCGAGGTCACGATGGTGAAGACGAAGCCGGCCTCCGCGAGCCAGTTAGGGAGCGTTGGGGGGCGTTGGCGGCCGAGACGCTCGAGCTCGTCCTTGCCGCCGCCGGCTAGGATCTCGGAGTGCTCGCTTTCAGGGGTTCCCGAGCGCGCGGTGTCGAAGATGGCGGCGACAGCCTCTGTTGGCTGGGCCATGGTTTATGAGATTCGCGTGTTTATTTATTAGTATCGTCAGTGAAATAGCTTTTAGTGGTTCGATGTATTGTATGGTAATAGATTAAATTCGATAAACAATAATAGAGTACAACAAATAGTAGAGCGAATAACTAGAAGTTGCGGTAACTATCCAAAGGCAAGACTCTCCCAAACATTAACCCACCAGCCCACACTTATAAGTGATGGCAAGGACATCTCGTTCGATTTAAGTAGTGACTGCTAAGGATATAAACGATGACTCTTCAACGGCGGAAACAACGACACCCAGAAAAAAAAAAGAATTGCCGTCCGTGTCATGGAGTCTGCGGAAAGTGTTTCTTGGTTACCATATTGGGAAGCCCATCGTATTATGCGATCGAAGTTTGTGGATAGCGTTTGGCTATAACTATTATGGGAGGTAGTGTATATGGGAAAAAAGAGGATATAAGAGAAGTCTTCGAAGAGCTGTTATTGGACAAGACTATAAAGTTGTGCTATGTAGAAGCTAGGAGAAACTGATAATAGGCCTACTAAGCTGCATAACTTGTGTCTTGGCTGCCCTTTACGGCATAGACTGAGCTAACTATCAGCTTTAACTCGTCGACGGCCTGTCCACTCTAAGCTCCACTTCGTCGAGAATTTCTTACAAACCAATTCAACGGTCAACCCGTCATCGTCAACCACTCGTCCGTCTTGTTACATAACTTTCGGGGGGCGTTTTTTGTTTGAAGAACACTAATTCCCGGTATTCAGGTCCCTTACCTAGGACAAGCCTTATTTTTATACGTAATACATTGTGTCTACCACAGGCTCTCACCTACAATCCTTTCCGTACCACCGGAGTTGGTTTAGTCATGAATGCAAAGAGCCATAACAAGAGGCCATAACTCGCTTAATCAAACGATCCTAACCCCCTGCCTGCCGCAGAATCTCCATACTTCCAATACCGCCTCTTCCGGCAGTGTGAACACGGGGCACAGAGAAAAGCCACCAAACATCCTTCTCGAGGTAGGCTCTAGAGCTTGCCGATCCTCGTAGGTGGGTAGGTAGGTAATGGCTACACCGAAATCCTGCCATAACTGCCGTGTGCGTCGTCGACGCTGCGACCGCTCAGTCCCCGTATGTTTCAAGTGCGCGAGCACCGGGCAGGAATGTCTTGGGTACGGCAAGCTGTTTAAATGGGTCGACAAGAAAGCAGGGCCGGGGAGCCGGACGATTAATAAGGAGCTTCCGGCCGGGCCAAAGGTAGTATTATCAAAGACCCAAGACGGCGGCCTACAACATCATCATAATAATCATACCCCGTCACAGCCAAGCAGCCGTGATACCACCCTAGATGTCGAAATCTTCTCCGGTAGGGCAACCTACCCCCTGCTAGACCCGCTATTTCAGGATCTAGATTCGTCGACGCGGCTCTATCTCAACTACTGTTAGTCAGTCCAGTCCTCAGCCCCAATCCCACCACCACCATTAATCATCACCATCATCGTCGTCGTCCTTTCGTCTGTTTGGTATATTTCCTATTTCGAATGTCAAATCATCTTATCTGATGCCATCCCCACAGACGCAGCCCAGTTCTGCAAAGACCTCGTGACCTACGACTCGCCCCGTCGCGGCGCCAACCCCTTCCGCGACCTGATCCCCATATCGCAGCGGTACCCCTTCCTGCGGGAGATCATCGTCGCGGCGTCCGCGCTGCACTTCTTCACCGGCGTCCGCTGCTCCCAGCAGCCCGGTGCGATCAACAATATCCTCGTCGACGCCCTGCGCGCGCGTCACCATGCCATCAAGTCGCTGCAGCGCGTGATGCGAGAGCAGCAGCAGCGGGGCCCGCTCTGGGACAGCGAGACGGAAAGAGACGCCCTGCTTGCCGCTGTTCTTTTCTTTGTCAATTTCTCGCTGATCGACTCTGGTAAAGACGACTGGCGCGCGCACATGAAGTTCGTGGGGAAGCTGCTCGGCATGCGGATAGCGGGTTCGGGTTCGAGTTCTTCTTCCTCCTCTTCCTCTTCCTCTTCCCCTTCTTCCTCGCCGCAGCAAGACACTTCGCTGGCAACGGAGTTGGATTCGCGATTCGATACCCCCCCAGCTTCCCCTTCCCCCTCCCCTTACTCTGACGCTGCTGAACCATCGGGAGCTGTTTCCGGGGTTTCTCCATATCCTTCTTCCTCCTTATCCATATCCGTCTGCGACTACGTCGTCTCCGACTCCATGGCCTACTACGTCTGGCACCACGCGCTCGACTCCCTCGTCTCATCCGGCACCACCCCCTCCCTTCCCTCCCTCCCCTCCCCCTTCTTCCCCACCCCCACCCCCGACACCGACGCCGACTCCTCCAAAATCCTGCACATCCTCCTGCGCACCGAAGCGAACAGCTACCACAGCTGCCCCGCGCACCTCCTGCACGCCATCTTCCGCACCTCCCAACTAGCGCGCGACATCCGCGGGAACAGCAACAGCGGGGTCCTCGACGACGCGCAGATGCGGCGGTGCGTCAGCCTGCTGCAGGAGACGCGCGCGTTCGACAGCGGGCGCTGGGCGGAGGAGGCGTGCGCGAAGGTCGCGCTGGTCGTCGGCGAGGTCGACGGCGCGGCGCTCGAGCTAGAGTACAGAAGGCACATTGCGGCGACGTTCCGCGCGGCCGCCGCGCTGTACATACTGCTCGCGGCGCCGGGGGCGAGGGGGCAGGCGCTGCGGCAGCACCAATCCCAATCCCAACCTCGTGCAGATACAGATGTGCCTGCACCGCTAAGTCTAAGCGGGGAACAGCTCACCTTCCTCGCGGCCCTCCCGTCCACCCCCGACCTCGCGAGCACGATCCTGCACCACATGTCGTTCATCCCGCCCCACAGCCCGCTGTTCAAGTTCGCGACGTGGCCGACGTTTCTCACGGGGGTGGAGACGGCGGACCCGGCGCGCAGGAAGTGGGTGCTTGATCGCCTGAGGGGGATGCGGGATATTTGTCCGTGGGGCATGCTTACGTCTACGATTGAGACGCTTGTGCAGATCTGGAGGATGAGGGATGGGGTTGGTGTGACGGGAGGGGGAGGGGAGGTAGGTGGTGATGGAGAGGAAGGAGTTGGCTTGGCAGGGGGGGAAGTGGTGAGGCCGGGAGACGCGGATACGAATTGGTTGATACTGCTGCAGGGGTTTAAGATTGATTGCTTGATTGTGTGAGGTTAGGAGAGGGTTTTCATGGCGTTAGGGGCACTGGGTCTGGGTCAATTAGATGTCGTGTATGCTATTTTGTCACTTGTCTCTGCTTAGATATTAGATGGGTATCTAGGTATTGGCCATGCTTTGACCATCAGTGTTTGAACAATTGAAGCTATCAATGCCCACTCTACTAGGCCGAGTAACCACAGCTTACCATCGTCGTCCAGGTAAATCTACTCGCAAAACCACATCGCCAAGATCATTGTCCCAAAACACACGCTATCCTAACCTCAAAAGTCAGCAACACAGTCATACCCAAAGAGCACATAGAGATAGATACGGCGTGGGGGGGCTTTTACCTCCTTACCCCCTCCCTCACGGCATACTCCCTGAGACTAAATATAAGCCGGAATCTACCCGGATTGGCAGCTGAGTATGCTTCTCCCGTCGCCATGATGACCCCCGCGGCAGTAAAGCGCTTGGATAGCAATCTTTCAGCTGCCCATGCATCCCCGTTGGTTTCATCCAGGGGTAAGTAAGGTGCCAGGTCGAGCCAGAGGAAGAAGCCTGCGTTGCTGAGCGGCCGTTAGAATGGACACATAGTTGATACTCAGTGTGGGGAGAAAGAAGCGCACCCCTTTTTATGGAAGCTAATGTTAGCTTTAGCGAGAAGGTCCTCGGCTACCAGCCGACCATGCAGCAATAGCCTGTGTGATTTCTCCAGTAATCCCGTGACATACTCCTGGTCTTCAAGAATCTTAGCTGCTATCTCCATGGCGAACTGCGACGGGGACGAAAAGCGACTAATCACAGGATACGTATGAGCAGTAATCACGCTAGATGTCTGTCCACGGATGCAGGGGACCTACCAGATAGCACGTGTGGCGTTCGTGAACTCCGTGTTCTGAGATATTATGCAGCCGAGACGCATTCCGCATGCGCCGAAGTCCTATTCACGGTGTTAGAGCCTGGCGGTAGATGGTGGAGAGGTCACCCACTTTCGACATTCCATAGAGCACGTGAACTTGGCGAGGGTCGATGATGCCTGTAGGATCAATTTCTCGAATGGACGTGAATTTTTCGGACGGGCGGTTATCATCATCCCATTTGTACACCGAGAGAGCATATATCTCGTCGCTAATAATATGGATTCCCTTGGACGCACAGAGGCGCATCAACCCAATGAGAGTTTCACGGGGGTAGCATTGGCCTAATCGGGTTGGGTTAGTTGGTAGCTAAGTCAGCTATTTCTACGAAGCGACTGACTTACCTAGGGGGTTATGTGGGTTGCATATTAACAAGGCTCTGATATTGATGCCGCGCGCCTTTGCAGCCTCGAATCCAGCTTCATATGCGGCAACGCAGTCTACAGAAAACTGATCGGTGTCGCCGACATCTACGTACTCCAGGGTTACACTATAGGGGCGTAATGCATTAGGCCTAGGAACATGGTATCGATGTGATATATCACTCCTTACCCAGTTCTCATGGTCAAATCTTTGGAAAAAGACCCGTAGATAGGTCTCCCAAGAAGAATGGAATCATTGCTGTAGGGGTTGCAGGTTACCAAAGCGCAGACTTCGTTCAGACCCGTCACGCCGGCGGCATATGTGATCTGCTCGGGATCGATGCTTTGCGCAGGCTTGAAGTGCGCGTTCAAATGCTTCGCCGTCGCATTCCGCAGACGGATCGTACCTGTGAATCCCTCGCCGTACGTGCAGCATATTTTATCAAATTGGCACTAATACCAATATTATTAGTGATTCCGAGGCTGGAAATAGCTTTGCAGGTATAGCCTACATGGGTGTTGATGAATTGAGCGAGGTCATCTTGCACCAGCCACTGCGAATATGTCAGTCGTCAGGAGTCTATAATAGATAGATACCTACTGCTCATAGATATCCGTGAGATTTTCAGCTAACATTTTCTGCATTTGAGAAACTCACAACCCCATTCGGGTTGCTCACAGGGTCATAAGAATTTTGGTATCCATGATTGAAGCTGATCTTTGCCCAGCTTGCTCCTCTGGTAGACAACATACTGCTTATGTGAGATGAAAATCGAGAGAACCAGAAGTTGCCTTGGGAAGAATTGGCAGTTCCTCACTCCAAATTCACCTCAGGAGACAAGTCCTTTGAACACGTCGACAGACGCCGCAAGCAGGTAGCACTGAGTCGCTCATGAGCGACATTCCTAAGCGATCATTGTCCCTCCCTTCCAAGGGGACGATAAATGTGGAGTCTGCGCCGTTCTGCAGGCCGACAGCCGTCCGGGTCCTCACGTACACGTGTGTAGAGAGCCGCCCCGTCTATCCCCCCTTTTCTGCCATTGCTAGTATTCTAAGCTAGCAATTGCCAATATGCGCCTTACATATGGTACGCCAGTGTACTCGATTTTTTAGAGGGACAAGGAGATTGCAATTGGTCGCTATGATGCTTGTCCACACGGGTAGATACTGTGCAATTCCAGGCCTTTCGTATGTTTGGTCACAACTTCGTATAGACAGGTACCAAATTTATAGTCAGAAAGTCAGTGGACTTGGAGAAAATTAATTGTTGAATAACGCCGATGGTGGAATATAGGATTGGATGTAGGAGTGCGCATGGGAATTGAATCCCTAGATACCCAGGAATATCTAAGTCGCACCAGCTTAAGTGACGCGCTTCAAAATCCCAAAATCCCAAATCCTTTCTATCCAGATCACGACTGGACCCAATTTACAGTCCTGAAAGATACACGTTGCTCGCTAAAATTACGAACTTTCATGCGCGATATAGTTACTTCGTACCTAGGTACATACCTGTCCGTTCCCGTTTTAGCTCGACCGAGCCGGTTCGAATCACGGCGCACAGGCGTTCCGGCCAAGCCAACGGTGTGCCGTCATTTAAAGGTGAGGGAGAGGCCCTAGACCGGTCGGTATAGGCAAACTGGATGTAAGATTCGGGATGCCCCAAGCCCCCAACCAGTGGGATGAAAGAAAAAACGCTTGCGATTAGGTAGGCTGGCTGGCTGGGCGGCCGTAAACCAGTTTCTGCAGTTTTTGCAGTTTCATTAATGTTCTTGCACTAAACGTCCGGTGAGGCGAAAAAGAAACAAGATGAGAAAAAGAAAAAAAAAAAAAAAAAAAAAGAAGGAAAAAAAGAAAATGAGATACGTTTAGTACTACATAGCAGGTACCAAAGTACGCAGGGAGGATTCATACAGGCGAGGATTATAATGGGCCGGTGTTAAGTTTAGGTGTTTCTATTGGCTGGGTTCCTGTAGGACAATTAGCTTAACGTGGAGGATTCCAGTGTCAACTTAGCGGCTTGGTATGTCCTTCAGGGAGGGCCTTGTCACATTTCCTACGAATACAGGAATCTCCACGCTACCATGTATCCTTCTCGGGGGTTTCATGCAGCGCTAGAATACGCAACTCGATGACTCCCAGAGGTGGTTCATCTGACCCTTGTAGGGATAACAATTCAGGTAATTTAGCATGTACTGGGTACTTGGTGTAGTGTGTTGTTATCGCATGTTTTGAGGTCAAAGAGACAGTTTGTTCTTCAATTGATGTTTGTACCAAACAATACATAGCGATCAGCAATGCTGCCAATGCAATGAATGCATACATACATATGTAGTACTAACATGTGCACCTCGAGGCTAGGGCACGAAATTTTATTATACGTATAAGTATTATACGTATGATACATGTATTTACACGGTATAATGATTCGTTATACGTATAGCGGAACGGAAAAACCCTTCCCGGGCCCACAAATAACGGGGTTATTCATATTTCACATATATATCTTCGATATTTTCCCTTAACTTTTAACATTAATTGTGATAAATTTTAGAAAATCTTAGTTAATAAATAAGTAAATAAACACTTTATTACATAATCGAGATAAGATAAGAAATGAAGCAAAGAAAGCTTTAGATTTAATGATAAAAAGATGAAAAATGAAAGGTTTGTATGTGATAATTTACTATACGGTATACTATACCACTTTAGTATGGGTATAATGGTATAATTCGGTATGTATGAATAAATACCGTATAATGATTGACTATACGTATAGTTTAGTGCCCTACTCGAGGCTACACAATAAATACACCTATGTAGTATGAAGAGCCTCTGCTGAGTTTCAGCCCTAGAACTTCTCGAAGGCATACTACTATCTCAGTATCTCATCAGATCGATATCTCGCATGCCTAGGCATACTTAGGTGCCCATGCGCATTAGCCATCAGTTGATTATGCCTCCATTTCCATCGCGACGCCATCTCTCCTGACGCGGCCAAAAGATAACGATATCTCCTGATATCAGTTTTTCGATAAGTATTCAAGTCATATCATTTATATCAGTTACTCATGGATCCTTCTTATCTCTATATGATATCTATCATGTCTCCTATGTAGCAGCAGCCCATCTATTGATACCAAAATCGAATTATCTCCGTTTGACTTCACTCTTCGACGTCGGTAGGCTGCCATTTAAATTAGAGCCTTGCCAACTCTTATCTTAACTATGTAAGTAATCAAATCAAGAAGTGTCGCCGCATTTAGCACCGAGCCAGCAAGTCGGAGGCTGGCTGGCTCGGTAGCTTAAGAAGGATCTGCTATGCCAAGTTTAGGTCCGATCAACGAAAGTAGGTCGAGGATCTTTCAGCTGCCTTGCGCGCACGCGTGCTCTTTTCCCTCCGCCAGTTTTCCTCCAATAAGTTATTTCCCTTTAAAGTTCTTATCTGCATGGTCGGGGGTTCGGTATTGAGCCTTGAGCCTTGATGCGCTATCCAATAGGTATGTTTATCAAGCCCAGGCAAGGCAGGCAGGCAGGCAGGCGACATACCCTGCGACATGATATTATGTTCGGTCGGTATATCAGCTCAAGTTTGATTCCATCGCTGCTCAGAACGTCGCGGCACGGGACCGATGTCCTTTAACGAAAAAAACGAAAATAAAGTCTTCGCCGTGGCTTTCGCTTGAATTCATTCGCCTGGAGTCCTGCAGTATTACGGCATCGTGCGTCTTCAGCCTGTCTAGTGGAGCTAGACCCTTGACGCAACTTATCTACACCTGGTAGAAACGTAGCATGGGTTTTCACAGTATACATAGTGCTTACCATGTAAAAGAAACAAAAAAGTAGGCACAGTGGACTGATACCTGTGACTCCAGACATGTGTAGATGATCTTGGCAACGGGCCGGTTCAGAGTTAGTGGGCATTTTTGGTAGAAATTGCTTTGACACAGGTATTTCTTCTCATTCCTTTATTCATAGGTTTGTTGTGTATCCTTGGCATTTCTTGGCTCGAATGTTGATACTCAGCTAAGTTAAGATGTCTATTGAGATTCAGCCGTGACACTGCATCACTGCATACGTCTTCTCGGTGACAGTTTTTGCAAAGAGGCTGCATGTGTACCGAGGTAGGTAGGTATAGTTGATCTATGTATTCAATTTTACCGGGCTATAAGCAAGTACTACATAGGACACCTCTATGTAGCCCTAGAGTGCAAGGCTTCAAAGGTTTAGAGCCTACAGAGGTACCTATTCTAGGTACTCCATTCACTAAACGTTACAACTTACCCCGTCTGTGCCTTGTAGATCACCCCCGAATGGCTCGTGCAGCGTGCTACCTATTGGGGCACAGCCCAAACCAAGCAAGCGTCACGCGAACAGCGGTGTAACCCCCACTATCTAAACAATTAGAGCCTAGCTGGCGGGCAGGATGGGGTTAGCCCTGCTTAGTTTTCCTAGTACCCTGTCGGTAATGATGACATCAATAGTTAGGTACTCTGGCGGTTTACCATTATGGGAATGCTTGTAGTAACTACAGTACAAGGCTACATAGCTTGTAGCCCTCACATTAGCGGTACCTGACGGCAATACCTATCCAGGGTACCTAGGTACATGTATAGACCATGTAACCACCCGGCCGATAGCCTTCAAGTTCTATTCCTATTAACTAATCTTCCTAACGGTTTTTCTTTTTATTTAATGCTTATCTATCCCACCCCTCTGGTAAAAGGCAGTTGAAAAGAGAGAGAGAGAGAATATCATCTGTCTAGGTAGTAGTATCGGTTTTCATTAGCCAAGTCGTTGTTGTTCGGTGTTGTTGCTGTTGTTGCTTTGCTCTGCTATAAGCAATACAGAGTATACTACTTACTCTCTGTTATTTTCCGACCGTGGAAATAATCCCCAAACGCCATTGCGTGCGTATTATAATGATATCGAGGCCACGGCGCTTTCAACAAACTTCCTACACCATCTCCAACATTCCGCTCTCTCAGCGGAGTTCGCTCTCGTGCTCTCAATATGGCGGCAGCACACGATAAGCCCGAACGCATCATCGACGAAAGTATGAAACGAGACGAGAAGGGTGGTGATGCCTCGAGCGGCGAATACCGTGAGGCTCTGGTCGAGGCTACGTCCGAGAACCAACTTCTTCGTCATTTGGGCAATCGTCAGATCCAATTGATTGCCATCGGAGGTAGTATCGGCACCGCGCTCTTCGTGAGCATCGGTGGTGGTCTCGCCAAGGGCGGCCCCGGCAGTCTTTTTATTGGATATGCTATCTTTTCCGTCATGGTTGGCATGGTGAACAACTCTCTTGCTGAGATGGTGACGTACATGCCGGTTTCGGGTTCCTTCATCCGCATGGCTGGAAGATGGGTCGACGATGCTGCTGGGTTTACGGCTGGATGGAACTTCTTTCTCTATGAAGCCTGTCTTATCCCCTTTGAGATCTCCGCCATTAATCTGGTACTCGAATTTTGGCGAGATGACATACCTCCGGCAGCCATTTGTGTAGCTTGTATTGTACTCTACGCGTAAGTTGCCCATCCCTGAATTAGCCCCTATTTTTATCTTGGAGTATCAAAGTAATTAATAATTTTATAGGATAATCAATGTCGCAGCCGTGAAATATTTCGGGTAAGTGTTTGGTTTTGGCCCCCCCATTCCCCCCATTCTACCCCGGATCTCCCCCAGAATCTCAGTCTTACTATCACCCAACCCCCACCACATCCGCCTCCAACCAATTAGCTCTACCTCGGTTACCTACTTTAGTTGGTATTTTGTACTAATTTAGATGATTTAGTGAGGCAGAGTTTTGGCTATCCACTGGTAAAATCTTGCTTATATGCATATTATACACGTTTACGCTCGTTACCATGTGCGGAGGAAACCCTCAGCATGACGCTTATGGTTTTCGGTATTGGTCTAATCCAGGAGCTTTCGCCGAGCACCTCCACGAAGGCGCATTAGGCCGCTTTGGAGGCTTCCTAGGTGCTGTCTACTCCGCCGGTTTCACCGTAGTCGGACCCGAATACCTCGCTATGGTCGCCGGAGAGGCCGCCCGCCCACGAACTTATCTCAAGAATGGGTTTAAGACCGTGTATTGGCGATTCGCTGTTTTCTTCATCGGAGGAGCGCTCTGCGTTGGTATTGTTCTTCCGTATAACGACAACACGCTACAGAATGCCGATACGGGAACTGCCGCGGGCTCGCCCTATGTTATCGCGATGCAGAACATGGGCATTGGAATTCTACCGCACATTATCAACGCCCTGATGATCACCAGTATTTTTAGCGCAGGCAATGCCTACACCTATTGCGCGATGCGATCCTTGTACGGACTTGCGTGTGACGGTCAGGCCCCCCGTATCTTTCAGAAGACCCTCAAGAACGGTATTCCCGTCTATGCCTTCGCGGCTGTCATGGTTTTCCCGTTCTTGTCGTTCCTGCAAGTGTCAAACAACACGGCCCAAGTTGTGACATGGCTCGCCACCCTCACGCAGGGAGCGCAGATGATCAACTACATCATGATGAGCCTGACGTACATATTCTTCCATCGAGCCTGTAAGGCACAAGGCCTCGATCGTAAGACGCTACCATACTACGGCTACTTCCAACCATACTGCGGATACATCGCTCTGATATGGATGGTGTTCGTGGAGGCCACGTTCGGCTACACGGTGTTCGTGCCCGGCGGCTTCAACATCGCCGACTTCTTCTCGTACTACAGCATGGCCATCGTCGCCTTCTGCACGTACTTCGGCTGGAAGATCTACCGACGCACCAGCTTCGTTGCTCCTGAAAAGGCCGATCTGATCTGGGACAAGGCCCAGATCGACGCGTACGAGGCCACCTACACCGAGGTCCCCACCCGCTTCCGCGACGAGCTTAGGGATATCTTCATGAAGCGCCGCAAGAGGGAAAACTACATGGGCGAGGATCCGAACTAGAGCGCCACCCTCGCTTGACGAGTTTTGCGCTCGGGGTTTTCTTCTCGGAATTCTAACCGGGAACGGTCGGTTATCTAGCGGGAAAACCGAGCTGGGATCCTTTTTTCTTATTTAGGTTTTGGTACATTGCAAATGGAGGGCAACAATCTTGTCTATATGTTGCCTGGCCGGTGATATGACAGGCAGTATGTATGTACGTTTGGGTACTTTTTGATTTGTTGGAGAAAAAGTCTTGATTACTACAGCAACATACAGGTTAGGTGAGGCAGGTAGGTAACCTGTTCTACGTTAACACCACGTGTACATGGTTCGGTGATAGTTATATGTAACTATGTACTAAAAAATTATAAAAATAGGTACTCAAAAACTCAAGTACCTAGGTAGTCTTTTTGTTTCCCTGTGCTAGATATCATGTGTACCTAGGTAGGTGCCTGTCGTGTGACGGGAGGGGGTTTGCGTGCCTACATAGATCGGGAACCATCGTTCACATGGCAGAGTAGGTACCTACCTAGGGATGCATCTCGTCATACCGTTACATTACCACGTTCCCGGGCGAAAGCGACTAAAAAATAAAAAAACACACACACTGAGAGGGTTGTAGTAAGCAAGTCAAGTCCAAGTTAAAGTCCGTCATGTACATGTAGGTATTGGTTTATTAGGTAGGTACTGTATATAATGTTATTCGTATTCAACCCGCTACATACCCAGATAATACCTAAACTCCGACTTCGTTCCATTCCGTATTGAAAAGAGAAGTACCTATGTATGCAATGTCCAATCTCATCTTATTTATTTATTTATTAGTATGTAGGTATTGTATTGTATTCGCTTGCAACCGCTCTAACCCCCCTATTTCCAAAGAGGGGGAAAGGGGGGGAAAAATTGAATGGGTAGTCTGTAGGTATGTATGTAGACCGCCAAATGCGCTGAACTATTTAAATTCACATAAAGCTGTTGATGACAGTGACGATTGTTGTATAAACCATGGCGATGATTCCGAGCCCCATGAACACTAGATCACCCGCTTTTGCCTGCCACGAAGTTGCGACGCCCTTGTAGTGTAGGTATGCCGGGTAGATGTAGACCAAGGGAACACAGGCAAAAGACCCGATCAAAGCGACGAAGCGGTCGAGGTTGGAGGCGCCGACGATGGAAATAGCACCGCAGAGTATGACTATCAATGTCCTGAAAGCATTCTTGATCCACTTCGTGCGAGTGCTCTTTTTACCCGAGTGGCTTCCGAAAACCTTGCCCTCGATGATACGAATGGCAGGGAACATCTGGACGGGGGTTCCGACGAGGACTGCAAGCGAGTAGAGGAATTGCACGGCGTTGACGAATTTGCTGTCTTGCGGGTAATTGTTGATAATCTCTATCGAGGTGTTTACGCCGAATGTGGCATAGCAGAGAACACCGACAGCAGTGAATAGGACTGTGATCATGAGCATAACCACGGCGAGAAGCCACTCGAACCGTTCTGGCTTCGCCATAGAGGATTGGATCGGGAGAATGAGGCCGATGCCTTCGAATGTGAAGATAGCTGCACCAATAGTCAAGGTATACTTGGCCGGGTTGAAGAGGACGACACTCTCGTGGATGCCATTCGCTGCGAGGTGGGCAATGTCAAAATAGTAGATATAGGTTACACCGAGTAGGATGCAAGAATCCGCGAGTAGCGCCACCGGACCAAGTTTTGCGATATTCCGGATAAAAGAGAGGGGAATCAAGACGATGAGCTGTATGAGAATGAGGGTCGTAGGAGATAGGGGACTATCACCATGGGCAAGGGCTTGGAGAAAGGATGTCATGTTCTCAGCCACGAACACTATGCCTGCACATACAAAGCCCAATTGCGATAAAGTAATGGAGCTTAAAATGAGCCCGCGCATTCGGTCCCCTGCGATGGCCTGGCCGATATCTCCATAACCACCACCATGCCGTGACTTACAAGCAAGAAGCAGATGAAATGCTAACATGGTGACTGCCGCCACGACCAACATAGTGATAGATGAAAATAAGATGCCGCCATTCTTGAAGGCTTTTGGGAGAAACATGATTCCGGTTCCGATGAAAGCCTTCAGTAAGGTGAAGAAGGTTTGCTTGGTGTTAGCAGTGGCAGAACGCAGTCCTCGTGAGCTCTTACGACGTCCGAGGAGTGGTCTAGTTTCACGAGCCCGTTCGTCATCGTCATCCCCCTCCTCGGAAGAAGCGACTGCTTCATCGTCAGAATCAGCGAGATCCTCACCAGCAAAGCTCCCATATAACTCCAAAAACTCGACGAAATTTCTGGTGATGGGGTTCCTAGCGGCCCATATTTTCCGCTGGAGTCTTTGCTGTATAAAAGCTCTGCGGAACCCTCCCGGGGCCAATTGGTCGCTTACGGTTAGTCCATCGGCATCGGTGCCTCCCATGATATCTTGGGGATGGTGAAAAGTTGCTGCTCGCTTGTGCATCTTTACTCGAGCAGCTGTCTTGAAGAGGTCACGGTGAATGTCACCTCCTTGGAGTTTCAGCGAAGATTCGGCGGGGACATTTTCTGTTATATCGGGACTAGACGATGATGCAGCAGAAGAAGCATTGATTAATTCCCCGTCAAATGCAGCCGAGTACCCAGATGGTAGGTGTTCGGAGACAACTTGGGCCTCATGCCTGGTTTGGTCTGATGGTGGAGCGTCCGCCATATCGATCGATCGATACTCGGCACGATACGCGATACGATACGATACGATACGATACGATACGATACGATACGATACGATACGATACGATACGATACGATACGATACGAAGCAAGATGTGAGGCGGAGAAATAGATCTACTAGTTACACACGCATATAATTATAATAAGCCTACTTTGGATATTTCCAAGGACATAATGCGTATGTATAGCTTGAGATGTAGTTGAGATGTAGTTGAGTTGGGTTGAATTGTAAGCGGTTTAAGAGAGAAAGAAGCTTGGAAAGCTTCAAATGTTTGAATTCATAGAGACGGTGAAACCTTAAAAAAAATACGCCCCCCAGCCAGGGCCGACGATGTGCTGACCTAGCGACTAGCGGCGTGCCAGGTGGTCCACCTTCAGGCACCGTTAGCCACCGTTAGCCGTTAGCTTCACTTCTGGGCCACTGGCTCTTGCTTGACTCGTCCTGGAAATCCGCTGTAATTGGTCCGGAAAAGCCTTGCGGGGTTCAGAAAATTCTAGTACGTACCGCCACTCAACATTCCAAAGTTTTAATCAATGGTAGTTACAATATAGTACAGTTTTCCAGTACGGAGATACTGTACGTAAATATCATTGAGTGACTGAATATTCTCAAGTAAGATTGATGTCATTTTAGATTGGCTTATTGAAGCACTGAACTTTCTAGTAAAGAGGTAAAACAAATATTGGTAGAATATTAGGTTATTGAATGCGTACATAGTGGGTAGCTTCACAACATTGAACTTCAAATGTTGTAACTAGTAGGAGAGTGGAAAGGCGGCACATGCACATAACTATAGTTATTGTTATGTACGATTGAAACTTACATCGTACTATGTCAGTCTATGTGCATTTCACAGTGGATCCCGCTTTGTAAAGTGGAATGACATGGCGGGGTCAATGTAACTATTCAATGTATTCAATGTATTCAATGTATTCAATGTATTCAATGTATTCAATGTATTCAATGTATTCAATGTTCTCAATGATTTCAATAAGTTGTATCATGAATTGATGAGACTGAACCTCTAAATAGAAATCGAAGGAATGCTTACAGTATTTGCGAGTGCTCTTGCATTAACCCTATATACATAATTAGTAGGTCGCATACTACTAGTAGTACTAAAGTACGGACCTACCATTTTCGGCATGCTTCTTCAACAACTGGACATCTGATTGGCGTTTGACCGACCAGTCATATTAGGTCATATTAAGTGATTAAAAATCGACCCCCTCGGTGAACGGTCGCCGGACGGACGAAATTCTGCATGAGTAAGTAATTCGGGATAGTGCTCCTTGGGCAATAACCCGCTCCCTCTACCCCTTATTACCACTCAATCATACAATCACCTTCGTAAACGCGGCCATACCATTGCACCGTTCTTTATAATACATTGTAATAATAGAATACAATGGAATATGACGATGACTCCTTTTGGCATGCCAAAATTCTATATATAATCATGGGTATTCGCTGGCATCTGAAAACAATAGATTACCCCTTATAAGAACCAACTCTTTCCCATTGAATAAGATTAAGTGATAGAAAACAGTCACAGTCACTTCTTCATACAAGACATACTACCCTTATCTATACTTATATCAAAACCACACACATCTCAGCATCATGCCTTCTTACTTTATAACAGGAGTGTCCCGGGGACTAGGCGTAAGTGCCATAGTAAGAATAACAAGCCAAAATGACCATAACTAACCTCTCAACTAGTTCGAGTTTGTCCGTCAGATATCCGCAGACCCAAACGCCATTGTCATTGGAACCAGTCGAAACAAGGAGGCTACTGAAAAGAAAGTAGCTTCTGTACTGGGACGCTCCAACATCCACATCCTGCAGGTGGATCTGACAGATTATGCATCTTTGAAGGTCAGAATAGCCATGGATCTTGAAAACTCTTGAAAACTCTTGAAGCTCTCTTGAGAGCACTATGCTGACGTGATGAATAGAAAGCAGCTGAAGACACGTCCAAGATTACCGGCGGGAGCCTCGACTATGTCATTGCCAACGCGGTGGTATCTGACCGAGTCGATTACAGAGATATCGGAGCCCTGTAAGTTCCTTTCATCGTCTTAACACTCTATGGAAAGAAATTCAGTTGTGAGGCTGGTGTCAAGTCACATTCTAACAAAAACAGCGTTGACGAACCCGAGCTCGTGGAGAAGAGCTGCTTAGACGCGTACAAATCGACCGTCATCAGCAACTTCCACCTCTTCAACCTCCTCTTACCCCTGATCCGACGCGGCACCGCCAAGAAGGTCATCGCGATAAGTTCAGGCCACGCTGATCTCGACATGATCAACAAAGTCGGAGTCACCTCCGCTGTCCCGTACTCCATGAGCAAAGCCGCCTTAAACATCCTGGTTGCAAAGTTCAGTGGCCAGTACAGCCGCGAGGGGATCTTGTTCCTGTCTCTCTCGCCAGGGCTTGTGGATACGGGCAGTGAGGGGAAGGAGAAGTTTGAACGTAAGTTTTCCCGTTCTTATCCTCATTTCTTGAAGAGGACCCCTTCGCCCTTCAGGATGGCTGCTAACGTCATACTCGGGGGATAAGTCACGGACGCCGAAAAACAGGGGCTTAATAACATGATTGCCCAGTTCAGTGCCTATGCGCCGGAATGGAAAGGCGCAATCACGCCAGAACAATCCATCAAGATGTGTTTGGACGTTATCAATAACGCCAGCGTTGAGAAGGGTGACGGGGGTGCGTTTTTGTCACACTTTGGTAACAAGCAGTGGCTATGAGTTGGAAGGGGAGAAGGAACCAATGCTCATGAATTGTAAATGGATGATGAGTAGTAAAGATCATTCAAATGTACACCACTCCAATCCAGCTATATATATGCTAGTCTAACCTTAGTCTGTCGTTATCTCTATTGGACATAAAAGACCATCAAAGGACTTGCCTTGACATTATCACGATGACGCGAAGAAGAGGGATGGGATTATCTTTGAAACTTGACGCTGCGATAAAATCACGATTTCTTTCAATACAAATGTAGGATATATCATTGATATATACGATGGTACACATCATTTTGTACCTATATGCCGCGATGTCTTTTTGGATGTGATAAGAAGCATTCCAGACTACTATCAAAGGTCAGAGGTCGCCATTCGCATATCATGACACTTATCTGGAAGCGTAAATGACCTGTGTAAGTAGGTTATTTACTTCGCTCCAATTGCCAAAGGTCAGTCCAGTCGTAGGATTCCTCTGAGAGAGGGGCTCAAGTCACCTCCAACACTTGGTTATAACCTCCTTTCTACATATAAGCTAGCATGAATATGACCTTTGAAGAGTTATCGAGAGAGTCTGGAGGCATAGCAAAGACCATATGTAAGGTTAGAATAGGGAAAGGCATCGCCCAGTCGTGTGACAAAGAATATCGGTGATAATATATGTCCGTAACAACTTACATCGAACAAGTCAAATCCATCCATCCATCCATTGATCCCAATATCCCAATAACTTTTTTTTTTTTTAAAAAAAATGAGCAATCCCAAGATCAACACCAACTGCCACGACCTCACCATACAACGCTTTCCATCTTTCCCCAATCCACCCACCCATATCTCTCAGCCGCACCCCTCCACAAAGAGAGCGCGCAGATTTCTACCCTCAGAAATATGACGATCCCCAGCACCGTTCTTTGTCACACATATCATATCATATCAGCTCTGCGTTGTCCCCCATCCACGCGCACGGCCCCCCCAAACCCCTAACCTGCTCACCAGGCCTGCTGCCGCTCTACCTCTCCATCAACCCTCACGCCCCTATCTATCTATCCACGATGATACTTCCCCAATCCCCTCGCGTATAAGAAGCACAGGAGGCCGCCCGCCATCCTATCCAGCCTCCCAGCTCTCCATCAACGCACCGGTCTTCGCAACACTTAACATACATACATAACATAACATACCTAAGAAACCACTCGCATCCCACCGCGTTCATCGTACGAAAAAAAAAAAAATGTCATCGCAATCAGCAGCCCGACCCGGCCGCGCCGGCAGCTGCGACTGCTCCGACAACACGGACACCGGCGCCAGCCCCAGCCCCATGGGCCGCAGCGGCTACGACGTGACCGACACCACGGGGCCGGGGCCGGCGAAGCCGAAGCCGCAGCCGCGGCAAAGGAGACTGATGCAGAGGGCTGAGACGGAACGGGGACGGGGACTGGTTGGGGGTGGGCACAACTATGTGCTGTTTACTGCGGTTGCGGTTACGATTGTGGTGCGTGTGGTTTGTCGCTTGTTCTTTGCCCCCTTTTTCGTCTCGATCCCCTCCCGCCTCCACTTTTGTTTTTCTTCTTCTTCTTCTTTTCTTGGTGATGTTGTGTATTGACCAAGTCTCACTGCTGATAGATCGTGCTGCTGCTGCGGTAGATCACGTTGGTCATGTCTGTTCCGGCGGGGCCTGGCGGATGCGCTGCCTAGGTACCTACCTACCTACCTACCTACCTATCTACGTTCGTGGTTCGATGACTTCAACATGTCTAGAGCAGGATATCTACCTAGGATATCCGGGATTGGGGTGCAACTGGTTCGTTGTTGCGTAGCCCGGATGGGTAGCCCAAAGCTCAAAAAGGGGTGGGGGGTTCGGGCTTTGTGAATCAGGGGCAAGGAAGGACAGACTGGATCGCGGATCGATAGACTAGTTGAGATTATGATTTGACTGAATTGATTTATCTTGTTTACGAGCTCTTCCACATGCTAGATAATATACGCATACACGTATTGAAAACTGTCTGCGTGATGACATATGCGTCATACATTTGAGATTCCCCCCAGTGAAGTTGTCTAAGTACTAGCAGGTAAATAGTGCCGGCCCTAATGAGATACATGTCAGTGAAACCTTCATACCCAACGTTAGATTAAATGCTTACCTGGAATGGTATACTTGCTATCCTTGTTCATGGAGTAGATGTTAATGAGGATGCCGGGGTCGTTTTGCTTGTAGATACCAGGGAGGCTGTAGACTGTGGGTGTCTTGGATGCTGAGCCTCCCGAGATATTAATCTGCGCACATTCCATCTAGACATAGTTAGGTTGACGGTTAAGTATTTGATGAACTTGGAATACGGAAACATACATAGAGCTGAGCGCCCTGGTTAGAACCGGCGCCGTGCAGCGCGATCATCTCGGCGCGAAGGAGGTACTGACCGTCTGGAAGGCAGTTGGGAATCGTGATTGGATGCTTTCCCTGGTTGTTGATGACTTTCGAGGTGCCCCATACCCCGTTGTTGTAGCCATCTTCTTGGATCTTGAACCTAGCAGACAGTAAGCATCACTCTAGCACCAGATATTTGGACTTTTGGAGTGAGAAGTCTTCAGCACTCACCAGCCATTGCCGTATCCCTTATCTGTCGTCGCATCGTCAACTTTCTTGAGATAGGCCAGAGTAGGCCCTAAGTGACTAGCATCCATAACGTCGCCCGGACCCGACGTCAGGGTGTGCCTCCAAATAGCGTTGACAGTAGACCCTGCTTTCACGTTGATGATCTTGTCAGAAGGCGTTGTTGGGTTAGGGCCGCCATTGCACGCCACGTCGTTAGAAGTTACATCCGTGATAGGCCCATCGTAGGATGGGGTTCTGATGCCGTATGAGACCGGGGTCGTTGTCCCGTCAGCCTCAATCTGAAGAAATATAGTATGAGCGTTTGCCAAGCCCACGCTGGTGATGGCGGCTGTTAGCAAAGAGTACCTCATCTTGTATGCCAGGAGTATATTAAGGTTGATGCGGTGTTCAGTTGATAGCTAAGATCAGCGGGAATGAAGATCTATTAATTTAGAAGTGCGTAAACCGGAGACATGATCTTTTATAAATAGCCGGAATTGCTATATCCATGTCCGTATTGGCAACACCCAGCCCGGAATCTCGGGCCCTACCACATCTTCAATAATACTACTAAACAGCGGAAGATATGTAGTGAGGTGTCTCCGTCAGGCTTAGTTCCCTCACAACTGACCAGTGGCACGGAGGCGCTGCACGGAAGCGGGACGGCCCAGGATCTATTAAGGTCCTAGTGCTGTAACATATCGCGGTGGGTTGGGGGACATCGCTCTGCCGTGAATGATCGGCGGAGGTTGCATATCCGGATCTTTTTTCGGAAGGCCCTAAATCAACGACAAGGGTTGGGATAAAAAAGAGCACAAAAGGTTGTGGCATCTGGTTCCATGTAATGCTATAAAAAACTTGTAGACGAACCCAAATACCGGGAAAGACCTTTGTATATTTGAAGAAAGAAACTGCCTGGACACATATTCCTGTGGTGTTCAACAACGGGTTCTATTCTCAAGCCGTTGATGAACACCACCAGAAATAGACCAATGCAGGAAACTTGCCGCGTAAAAAGGTGTAAGGAGTTAATCCTCAGTACCTCTACTTGGCACTAACGAGTTTAAATTTCATTTCTGGTAGGTGATACCTGGGTAGGTAGGTACCTAGGTAGTGATATAACTTGGAATTGTAACATTGAAGTTGTAGATGTCTTCTCAGGTATTTGATTGGTAAGATACGGTCGTATTGAGCCAAGACAAATCATTCCCCTAAACGTTCTGTTAAACTCTTTAGGGATATTATCCGGATATTCCGGAATATATTTACCTAAAAAGAAATAATGCATTAAAAGGGCGCTTCTCAAAGTCAAGGTCTCTTATCTTGCTGACTTAGCTTCCCCACATTAATTTCGATAACATGACCTCAACTTGGAGCGCAGGGTTGACACTTCATGATAATTACTGTACCAAGTAACTACACAGATGCACATACATCTGTGCCGTGTTGATTGACGAGGGCTCAACATGGAGGGCACGCACAACGGCCTAGAAGCCCCCTTACCAGGAGCGCATCGTAAGCCGCAACGCAAGTCGGCCATACTAGCGCTTTTGGCTTTGCTGCTACTAGTCAATCTAGCTACCAGCCTTTACCAACTTCCTCTGAACCGCTTGATCGAGAGACGCCTCTGTCTAGACTACTACAGTGTCCATGACCCTTCTATCATCGACGACGATGGGAAAATCGATGAAAGGCTTTGCAAAGGGGTTGATGCTGTGCAGCAGGGTCTAGCATGGACTATGGGAATGGTGGATACTTTGTGGATTGTTGGTGGTGAGTCGCCTCGCGAAGCCCAAGCTCAATGGAAACGCTGACATGAAATAAGATTTTGTAATGACTATTCCCCTGGGCTTCGTCGCCGAAAAGTATGGCCGAAGAACAGTACTCTGGCTTAATCTCATCCCAAGACTATTCATGCTGGTTTGGATTGTCATAGTGGGCTATTTTGAAGACAGCCTACCCCTGAGGGCCATCGTTGTCGGCCCGAGTCTTTCCATCCTCGGTGGTGATTGCGTATTTAATTCCATTGTTTATGCGCTCGCCGCTGGTTTGACGGATGATAATGTAGTTAGGTATGAACCCCGTGACTGACCTCTTCAGGTGTCTGTTAGTTAATTTATCGCAGGGCGACATACTTTAGCTGGACAAATGCTGTATCTTATGTTGTGACCTTCGTTGGCCCAGGTCTCGCTGGCGCAACTATGACCTTAAACTTGCTCCTACCATTTTGGATCAGCATATGCTTATTGGTCTTGGCCATCCCCACCATCTCACTCATCGAGGACCCCGCGCGTAAAGCGTCAGAAGTAGAGGAGGAGCAGCGGCAGCCTCTTATATCGTCGCCTACTCTAAAGGCCCAAGCGTCTAGGTCTACTATATTGGGACCCATCACCGAACGCCTTCGTACTCTCCGTTCTATCCTAAAGAGCCATCCCAGAAATCTTACTCTTCTGCTGACCAGCTTCTTTATCACGTCCCTCGCAAGCTCGGATACTAAACTCTTAGCTCAATATATATCAAAAAGGTATCATTGGCCGTTCGCCTCGGCGGGGTATCTTTTATCTGGAAAGGCTATCGTCAACTTTACGTTGCTTACCTTTGTAATTCCCGCTATTCTCAGATCTCGAAGTTCGTCTAGCCAGTCCCAATCGCTCTCGGATCGAGACAATGTTCGTTACGTTCGAATCTGTTTGATATTCTCAGTCTTAGGCGCATTGGCCATCGCTTTGGCGGTGACGGTGTGGCTATTATTTCCATCCCTTCTTTTATACTCTCTGGGTGCAGCCCTTCCTGTATTCACTCTTGGCCTATTAAAGTCGCCATCGGTGTCGCCAAAGGCGGGGGATGACCCAACTAGCTCACCAGACCCAGAAGCGCACATCTTCTCCATTGTGATGATGGTCAAAACTCTTGGTTCGTTGGTGGGGGCGCCATTGATGGCAACCCTATGGGTTCGGGGCATATCAACAGGTACCTTAGGAGTGCCTTACTTCGTGAGCGCGGCTCTGTATTTGAGTGCGATTATTGTTTTTGCTGCATTTAAAGTGCGGTGAGGCCGCGTGCTGACGGATGGGACGGCATGGTGGTGCCATTTAGACCAAATATTTTCCAAGGTGCAAAATGATAATCATATGCAAATCATGCAGACGCCAAGGCAACCTACCATAACCTAGCTAAGGTTACTGTAGATGCACGGCTTCAATGTTGGCTTTATGGTCATGTTTGAATTCTCCTTTAAGTGCATATTTGAGTAACATGACTGAGACACGCAGGTTACTCTAGGTATTGTCTGTCTCCCCGTTTGTGGTGGGACAACCGTGACGCCATTGACTTATCGATCTACCAATCATATAATTCAAACAAGATTATACTCGACAAGAATTAGAAGTCTGGATCTCATTAGCCTTAAAATTAGTGCAACCCGGCTGCCGGCACCTCCAATGTATGTACAATACAATACTACTAGTAGGCTTCCGCTCTAAGCAGCTACAATTGCACTAGCTAGGAATTTCCACATTGAGCTTCAGAAGCTTTCATTAGCGCCTCATGATGTCAAGCTTGCCTTTCTAGCTCAATCACAAACATTGTTGAATTAGAGCCTCTCATTCCATAACATAACACAACACCATTTCTCTATTTCTATTTCTATTTCTATTTCTATTTCTTTATTCTTCCGTCAATCAAAACATCTTGCCGTGTCGATCGTCTACGTAGGTAGATGCGATTGTGGTCAAAATGGCTTACAACCAGCCAGGAGGTGAAGCTGCCTCGTATTATAACAACACACAACAGGCACCTAGTCAATACGGACAACCTCAGTACGGACAACCTCAATATGGACAACCTGGTCCAGGCCCTCAAGGTCAAGGTCCAGCCCCAGGTCCGAATAATGGAAATGGCTATGGCAACGAGAAACCCATGTTCGATCAAGCCTTTAAGCTGGAACGCCCCAAATACAACGATTTGTGGGCCGGCATTCTTGTTTGTCACGTCGCATATCCTACTTGAAGATATAGTTGTTGACCTCATTCTAGTTCCTCATCGTCGTCGCTGGTTTCGTTGTTGTCTCTGGTATCTCGATCAATGGTTATGGTTAGTCTCCTTCCAGCCACCAGTTGTCTTCCACACATTCTAACCAATCATCCAGCTTCCAACAAACACTTTCAGGGGGGTGGCATTTATGACTCCGGCTCACAAGTCGGACTGAATACCAACACCCTCATCCTGTTCGCTTTTGTGCTATGTGTCTCCATCGTCTTCAGCTATGTCTATGTATTACTGGCACGCCAGTTTCCTAAACAGTTTATCTGGATAACGTAAGTCATACAGAAGACCCGTTTGGTGACGATGCCCAGAAGCTGACTTTCGGTGTAGTGGCATTCTCAACATCGTTTTTGGCCTCGTCACCGCAATCTACATGCTCACCCGCCACTACTACTCTGGCGGCATCGTATTTTTGATTTTTGTGGGCTTCCTGATCTTCGCCTTCATCGTAAGTTTGTCCTTCATTGTGCCTGAAACGAGCTGTACTTGCTAACCTATTAGTCCTGGATTCCACGTATCCCTTTCAGTGCGCTAATGCTCAAGACGGCTGTCGATGTGTCGAAGACTTACGGTCATGTTTACCTAGTGAGTGCGCTTGGCGGCCTTTGTGCAACCGCTCTGGCTGCATGGTACTCTGTCACCTTAGTAGCCGTGTATGCCAAGTTTTCCCCAGGGCAAAATCCAGCTTGCGCGCAAGGGGCTGGTGGCTGTAGCAGCGCTAAAGTTACTGGCCTGATCGTTTTCATCACGTTCGCAATGTACTGGATGTCGGAATGGCTGAAGAATACCATCCACACCACTATCTCCGGAGTCTATGGATCCTGGTATTTCCATCCCCACAACCTCCCTAGGGGCGCTACTAGAGGCAGCCTCAAAAGAGCCCTCACATACAGCTTCGGTTCCATATCTTTCGGCTCCTTAATTGTCGCCATCATCAACTTCCTAAGACAAATGTGTTCAGTTGCTCGGCAAAACGAGGCGGGCCAGGGTAATATCATTGGGGTTGTCATGTTTTGGATTCTCGGGTGTCTTATCGGAATCCTCGACTGGGCAGTCCAGTTCCTGAACCGTTACGCTTTCTCGTACATCGCGCTCTACGGCAAGTCCTACATCGCTGCTGCTAAGGATACATGGAATATGATCAAGCAGCGAGGTATTGACGCTCTCATCAATGAATGTCTCATCGGCCCCGTACTTTCTATGGGAGCAACGTTTGTGGGCTATGCAACAAGCCTATTAGCCTACTTATTCCTTGTAAGGATTTACTCATGAAAACCACTACGGACGACTTGCTTACATTACATCACAGGTATTCACTAGGCCAGCGTACAATGCTGACGGCTCTTACACCGCTGGTAAATTCTTGTATTCCCAAGCTTCTATTGAACCCTATTTATTATATGGGCTTAGTAGATCGTATCTATGGTTGCTGGGAACGTAACTAATGCTTAATGTGAATAGTTGTGGTGGCCTTCGCTTTCCTCATCGGTCTACAAATTTGCAATATCTTCACAACACCGTTGAGCAGCGGCATCGACACAATCTTCGTAGCGACTGCGTGGGAGCCTCAGGCATTGATGCAGAACCATCCCGACATATACGATGCCATGGTAAGAGTTTATCCTCAAGTGCAAGTGGCCATCCACGCCTAATCACTAGGTATGAGGTCTCACTCTTCTGTCACGGCTGTGCCATTTCGTGACATGGGCGCGATCCAACTTTGGTCGAAGCATAAAAACACGAAACCCAATTCTTGGAGCATAATGGGTAATGGGGTGTAATTGTAAGTGATTTGGGCTCACTTGCTTGGCAGGAGGTCAGAATGGATAATAGTAATTGTTGTAATGTCACCATACGCCTAGGGTATCGCAGAATAATCCCATAGATAGGGGTCGAGCCCGACACAGGTAGATTGGCGCGAAGTTTTTTGGTGCTACAAACACTTATCAAGTTAATTTTTTCATTACACTGATCAACCTTAGGCCTCGTATTGAATCTTTCGTATATCAACACCGTCCTATGTCATGATAAAGTCATTTTGCTTATCTCCCTAGCAAGCAATCCAAACGCTAGGTAGACTTGATAAATTACTAAGTGAAGATTCCATCTGCCAGGTAATGAAGTTGAAGAGGTTACGCCCGCGCGTAACATGGTTATGCTTAAATATATATATATTGAATGGCAACCCAATCCCATAAGAGTACCCTAGTTTGAATATCCTCCTATGTATTCCCATCTCTAGTGAAGTGCTGAAGAATACCTAATTATATCCCATGTCTGTCTAAAACATCCCAAAGTCCCATATAAATTTTGTCACACCCTCCTTTTTTTTTATCCCCTTGAGGCCAAAACTACTAACCTAACCTAGGTAGGTCAGCGCCGCTGGTGCGTATTATTCTCCTCATCCCAGGGAAACGGATCGCGGGCCCCCGCGTCGCCCGGCCCCTGGCGCTCCTCCGTGATGACGACGTCGTAGTTGACGACAATATTCGATTTGCCCCCGCTCTTGAGCGTCAGCTCCTCCTCGGAGTCCGTCCGCCGCGACAGGTCGGACGACTTCGTCGTGCTGTTGTTGTACCGGTTGCTGGCGGTCTCGTCCTCGTGGCGCGTCAGCAGCAGCTCGTCGTCGTTCAGCGGCGGCGGGCGCGACCGCTTCTGCGAGAACGTCACCAGCGGGTGGCTGTTGTTGCTCCCGCTCGCGCCGCCGTTCTTGCCCCCGCCCCCGGTGAAGCCTTGCGACGGGTGCCCGCCGGACGCGGTGTGGCTGGAGCCGCTGAGGGTGCCGCCGCGCCAGGCCTTGTAGAAGGCGCTTATGCCGGGCATGTTGGCGGCGATGATGGCGACTTCCATCTCGGCGGCGGAGACGGTGCAGATGTTGCCCATCTCCCACAGGATGTCGTCGGTGATGGTGAAGCGGTGGATGATGATGAGGCGCAGGCAGGAGACGACGACGGAGGAGCCGCCGGTGGTGACGACGGCGAGGACTTGGAGGCGCCGCTTCAGTGTCATTTGCAGCGAGAGGACGGTGGTCAGGGGCAGGAAGAAGATGGCCCAGTCGACGGCGATGAGCTATTGTTATCTATGGATTAGTCTACGCGCCCATGTAATATAAATGCTGAGATAGCTCGCCGAACACGGGGGAGAGAGGACTAGGTTAGACTACTGACCGAAGAGGCGGGCAACCACAGGGAAATCGCGAAGTCAACGCACTTCACGCCGGGGTGCTTCTCGGGAGCCCAGTATGCTTCGATGGGGACGCACTGCAGGCAGTACAGGACCCAGGTCCCCGTCGTCACGAAGACGTTGGCGGCGATGACGCAGTGCACGGCCAGCTGGAAGTTCTTGTCCGGCGACAGCCGCTTGAAGAAGAGCAGGAAGCTCATCTTGATGCAGAAGTGGAGTAGAAGGTAGAGGATCTCCTCGGCGAATAGATACTGTTAAGGGGCTCGCAGGTCTCGTCAGTTTATGATTCTGTGTATGGGATCTTGGGGAGCGCGGAGGCTCTTTTTTTGTTTCTTTCGTTTTCTTAAATATTGTTTCCACCCACCTTTAACATACGGGACAATGCCGTTGGATCATTTGCTAATACTTCTTTTTGGTGTCTGTAACGAAACTGTTAGTTTTGTAAACTACCCACATATGTTGAGCCATTGGTTGCGGAAAGAATAATCAAGTACTTACAGTCCAGCACCAGCACTCATGAAAAGGTATAATATGGCATGCTGTCCGCAGTTGACAACCTATGTGTAGACGTTAGTAACTCAGTAAGTATAGAAGACTGTCGGTGATAATCGCAAATATCGTCGCCAAAGGAGGGCCTGGTGACTATGCGCAAACTACTTCGTTACTTACCGCGACCAATGTCATCGCCCAGTCATCATAGCCAAAAGATTGTAACATAACGCCTTTCGTCCATAACCGCAATAGCGCGCTCCCTTCGCCCAGAAAAAATAGGATGTTGATGATGGCATGGATAGCCGGCCGCATAGAATCCGTGTATTCGACCATCTTCGCCACCTAGGTGCTTCCAAAGCACCGGATCAACCACAACACGGCAACCGCACCGGCCTCAAACCTCGTCGGATAACGCTTCGCGAACCTGTTCACAGCCACGCTTCCTCGGGGTAGTGGCTTTTGCTGCTGTTGGGAGAGAATTAAGTATGGAGACTGGCACGGCGGGAGTAAAAGTTGGTAATATTGAAACTGGACGAGGTAGGCAAATATACCATTCTGGGTCTGTTATTTCCTTCAAGGTTCTTAGGTAGTATTATTATTTCTTTTCCACAAATATAGGGCTTAAACAGTAAAATTTGCGCTCCAGTCGCCGCTTTGCCTCTTGATATGATATGATAGGATATGATATAAAAGAGTGACTAGAAATATGGGTAGTAGTAACTAGGGGGGGGAGAAATAGCTAATACATTTAAATCTAGAATCTCTCAAGCATTTCTTTTTCTTTTCTTTTCGAAACCTCAAACATTCGATACACAAGACTGCAAGGTTCGTGATGCTGGGGATCCCTATCCGCGGCCGAATAACATATCCAAAAATACAGAATTACAAAGATCCTGGTCAACGGAAAAAACGGTACGAACTCCTTTTGCTTGGAATTCAACATGCAGGTACATATAGGAAGGTACATATAGTTGATTGTAAGTTGTTATGCCTTTACATTCATTGACGAGAGAGGCACATAGTTCATAGCGTAAACCAGGATTAGGGGGGGGATACGTCTGGAACTTCTGGGACATCTGGGACTTCTTCTTTACTGATCAAGGGCTTACGTAGTGGATTTTATTTCTACCACGGTTATAAAAGAGATTAAGGCCAAGTTGTTGCAATAATTCCCGAGCTTACGGGGGTTGATTGTGTCGCTCAACTGCCCATTTTTATTTATTGACGAGGGTGATTTTACCTATGATTTCTTTTTCGTTATGGCAACTGGGCAATTGGGCAATCGGTGTTGTTTCAAAATAGGAGAGAGTTCCAAAGCTGAACTGAAGGTCAAGTCTATGGTCAGTATATGAACCGTGCCATACTTGTGATTGGATAGATTCGAATAGCAATAGAACTGGACATTGCATCTGCATATTACATGACACATGTAAGTACTTACAATACCTTTTGTCTGACAAAAGAACAGGGGCTTTCTCCATCTCCATCTCCATTTCTCCGTTTCCCAAAATAAGAACATTTGAACCTTGAATTGGTTATTGTGTATTTCCCCCATTTGCCCCCCTTTGCCTCCCCCTTGAGTAGCATAATTCACCAGATCCATGATATATGATATGTAATATATACAAACCCATAAAATGATAATGATACTATTGCACATACAGTACTTACCTTGCCCACTTGTATACGATTTATATACCCAGACAGTTATAGAGCAAAATACTGTACCTACACACAGATGCAGCTGATATTGTATCCATATGTAGGTTGGTATGTCTGTGCGTTAAAGCCTTACATGCACATCTTATGATTTTTAAAAGGCCTTAGTAAAAGATGAATTTGATTGGTTGAATTGACGACGAACCGATGAACGTTGGCCGATGGTGGCTTAAGTGGCACATGCAGAATGCACACCTACGCGATTATGATTCCGGTTGATTGGATCTATCCATGATACTATTCCTCATTCTTCATCAAATACCACGTGGTTAACCTAGTGCTCTTTTTGAACCACAATGGTAACCACGAAGGTAACCACGAAGATTTTGCTGCATACCAGCCTACCTACCCTACATATGTACCTCCCAAATCTAATCTCACCATGTGCGTATGGATGGTCTACTATCTAATCCCATACCAATATGAACGTTTGTTCGTTTGTATGGCCTATCCTCCCCTCCCCCCTCCCCCTCTCCCCACCTTACAACACGTATACAGACCAACCGTCAGCCAGGCAGCAAACCAAAATACCAGAATATGATATATTATCAGCCCCTACACAGAACTCCCCCTGGCTATCTCCCGCACCCACTGTTCAACGCCAATGGCGGAGTTTTGAATGTCATTCAGGAGGAACTCCAGAAAATTAACCATGATCCATCGGTAGATCAAGAGTGGAACTGTGCAAATTTCGGGCCCTTGATTTTCGGGATAGTGCGTAGATGCCTAGTTTGCGTGGAGTTCCAATTCTGATAGACTTCATACTACTTACAAACGTTGAGAAGCCTCGAAAGGCCTGGGTTCCTGGAGCCTGAGTACCTTGATATTAGTAGATATCTTTCTAGGCTTGGTGCTAAATAGAGGAGGCTCTTCATAGTGGTAATCTTGCTAGTGATGGTGAACAGCCAGGGGGTTCATTCTACGACATATAAGTACTGGGTAGCTGTAGGCTGTAGCTCTGAAGAACAAGTGGAATGATTCCTTGGGGCAATCCGCCACTAACGGCCCCTTAAAGGTAGGAGCCAAGTATGGAGACACGGAACTAGTAAGGGTCGGGTCGTCACGGGCTACTGCCCCGAGAACTAACACAGTACCACCCGTGCCGCATCCTACCACCCGTCCCGCACTATGCTACCCGTGCCATGGCTACATGGGTATCAGGCAGCTACTAGGTATTCCTGACCCAACCATGGAGGGAATCATAATCAATCTTTCTTTTTTCAGATCCAACCCTCTGTCGGCGGTGAAGGTATCTCTCATTCATACAACCGAAACATTTTAGGTAAGAGGCGGTCAAATCCGAATGACTTGCTTGCTTGTTCATACATCATACATGATACGCATTCTACTTAAATAAGCCTTTTCGAGCCGCAGTCCAAATCCAGCAGAACAGAAAATCCCATCTATCACATATCACCATACCCCCTCCCTCCCCCTTAAAAAACGACTACCACCACCCCCGCACGATATACCACGTGATTGGAATTTTACCAACCTACAACACACACACCCCTTTATCATCTAACCCAAGACTTAAAATAACCATCATGTCTACATCGCCGAAGGTCATCGAAGAAGCGAAGGCTCACCTCAAGGAGCACGGCTGGGCGCGCATCCCCTCGGTGCTGAACAAAGAGGAAGCGGCCGAGGCGCTGGACCGGCTGTGGCAGGCGAACGCGAAGGCCAAAGCGCGCGGCGAGGACTCTCACCTCGCCTTTCTCGACCCCAACGCGAACAACGTGCGGGTGTTCTACCTGATGGAGCTGGACAAGCTGTTCCGGGAGCTGATCGCGCACCCGACAGCGGTGGAGATGGTGAAGTCGGTGCTGGGCGAGCAGTTCCTCATCAGCAACTTCACCGCCAACATCGCGCGGCCGGGGTCCCACAGCATGGCGCTGCACTCCGACCAGAGCATCGTGTTCCCCGACCCCTGGCAGGACATCTGGGCCCTCAACGTCATCTGGTGCCTCACCGACGTCCACGAGGCCAACGGCGCCACCAAGTACATCCCCGGCTCCAACAAGTGGGTCTACCGCAAGGAGGTGCCCCCCAACGCCCCCGACCTGCTGGTGCCCTTTGAGGGAAAGGCGGGCGATATCATCGTCATGGACGGCCGCGTCTGGCACACGTCCGGCAGCAACGTGACGAAGGACGAGGACCGCGCGCTGCTGTTTGGCTACTACACGGCGCCGTTCATGCGCCAGCAGGTCAACTGGACCGCGAAGCTGCCCAAGGAGATCCAGGATACCCTCGACCCCCAGATGAAGGAGTGGCTCGGCCTGAACCCCGTGGGCAACATCGGTGTCACGGGCGACTTGCGGTACATGGGTGTGCAGTTCCCTGATGCGAAGATCCCGGAGAATAAGGCGGAGGAGAAGGTGGCGGTCGCTTAGGGTGGCCGATGGAAATGAATATAAAAATGAACTTTCTGCCTGGGTACCTAAGCATTGCGATGCAGATGGGGCTAGAGTGCCGCCTGTCGAGGGAGGTCACTTGCTTAGGTAGTTATGATAACCACAATAAATAAACACTTTACTCAGTAAACTATGCGAATTGGAAAAGTTGTGATATGTAGAGTACCTACATATTTTCGTAGTTAGGCACATACCTTTGAACCATTAACTACAATTGTTTTACAAAATAATACATGAGGCTATTCACAATCGAATTGTTGTGAGGCGGTTGTTTGCCATTTTCTTGACGCTTCTATTTTGTTGCACGCCTTATACCTTACCTAGGCAGGTACTGAGCGAGCACTTTCAACAGCCATCTAGCCATCTTACTATGCCCTCTCCCCATATTAGTATCAACTGGCAACCAAAAAAGGAAGCCAGAATGTACCAACTATATCTATCACAACGTCTCCGGACCCCCGAGACCCACTGAGCCGATCTATCTATAAGCGAACCGATCGATCGGGTGTTACCCATATAAATCCACTCGAATCGCCGAGACGGCTAAGACTTGGACTAATCTAATTAATCGACGATTCGACTATAGTAGCAACTAACCTAGCATTAACGTGAATAGCGTCGTTCAATCCATTTGAGGAACTTGAGTTAGCGTTTGCTAAGTACCTATTGTCCGAATTCTAGGCTGAGCAGTCGCCTAGTTAAAAAGTCTATGTACCTATGGGTGATTAATTCATGGACAAGTCTCCAGGGCTTGGAGTGCTATGCCTAGCCTAAGTACCTAGCACTGTTCCAGACCAGAGGCGATGGACTACTACTAGTAGTAGGTTGGGGTTAGCGGGACTTTTCAGGGGGATACCTGCATAGTCAGGTGACTAATTACATGTGGTAATTACATGTGACTCCCCAACTCACTTCTTACATCGACCTGCCTAGTCGTTCACCATCGCCCCTTATGAAATACTAGGCAACGACTGCTGCCTCCAGATGAAATTTCCATTTTCGGGACAGATACCCAACTATATAAATCGCGATGGATCACCAAGAGTAGCAAGAGCAGTGGCGCGAAGTAGTAGTAGTGCCCAACTGACCCATCATCTGCTGCCTGCTTGGCATCGCCATTCCTCCAAGCCTTTTCGTTCTCTTGCTTGCAAAACTACGACAAGACATATAGGAACAATGACAAATACCAATCCCTTCTCAACCCTTCTCGGGCAGCATGATTCGATCGCCATCGCTAAGCTAGCCTCCCTCCAGCCAGCCGCTGATCGCGATGCTCCTATCAAGGTCGTTATGACAAATATGAGCTTGAAAGACACTGTCTACGAATGCATTTCGTACGATCGTTCCTTGGCCAATTCAGCTAACGAAACCCTGGTGACCATCTCCGTGGACGGCGAGGACCAGGCCATCCCCTCCGCTCTCGAAAGCGCACTGCGCATGTTTCGCCGCAAGTTTCGGCCCCGCTATCTCTGGGCTGACCTGCTGGCGGGCCGCACGCCGGAGGAGCGCAGCGCACAGGCGAGCATGCAGCGCCAGGTGTTGGAGAACGCGGAGCGCACGCTGTGCTGGCTAGGGCCGGACAACGGCGAGAAAACGACTAGGGCCTTCCAGACAATCCACGAAATCAGCCGGCGCTACTCCGCCGCTTGTCAGGAGGTGGGCGTGGGCCCCGACGACGCCTTCACCCGCATCACCATGCAGCAGCTGATGGCGCTGCGGGAGAAGCTCTTCGACTGTGCCTTCGACGATCTCAACTCGTTCGACTTCAGCCACTGGAACGTGATCTACGACGTCTTCGGCGCGTCGTACTGGCAGTCCGTGCAGAGCGTGTCGGACATCGTGCTCGCGAAGGCGCCAATCGTCGTGTGCGGCCGCAGCAACATCCGGTGGCACGACTACATCGCCGCGTCGCGCGGCATGCCCATTTTCCAGGGCAAGTTCTTCCGGGTGCCGCTGCTGCCGCACGTGCTGAAAGGGTTCGAGATCGCCAACTCCATCGAGATTGCAGAGCGCCGCCGCCGCCTGAACGAGTCCGTCGAGCTGCTCCCCATGATCCAGACCGCGCGCGAGTGCGCCACCAAGGACCCGCGCGAGACCGTCTTCTCCATGCAGCTCATCGCCACGCCGTCGCGCCGCATCGAGTTCCACGACCAAGGGCCCCAGCCGCTCCCGGCGATCGACTACACGAAGACGGTGCCGCAGGTCTTCGTCGACGCCGCGCGGTACTCCGTCCTCGAACGCCAGGACCTCATGATCTGGTTCGGCGAGCGGCCCCCCTGCGCGCGCCGTCTCCGCCGCCACGCCCGCCGCGGTGGTCTGCCGACCTGGGTCCCCGACTACACCGCCGAGCCGCCTAAAAAGAACATGGCGCCATTCAACCCGAACACCCACATGCGCGGGTGGTGGGACCACATCACCCCCGCCTCCGCGCGCAAACCCCTGCGCGTCTCGTACCCCGACGACGACGACGCCGACGACAGCACCAGCACCGCCGCCCGGCTACACTTACAAGCGCGGCCCCTCGGGCGCATCACGCACGTCTCACCCATCTTCAACGGCGGCAACCTTCGACGCCTCTGCTTCTCCGAGTTCCAGAAGCTGATCCTCGACACCTCCAACTCCCCCAACAACTACTACCCGAACGAACCCCTGGCCCTCACCAAAGACCGCTTCTGGCGCACCCTCCTCCTCAACACCTCCACCTCCCACGACGCCGCGGGATCCCTGCGCTCGTTCCCGCCCCCCCCTCCCTCGATGGCAGCGCACTTCGAGAGCCTGGTCGCAGACGGTGCTCAGCATGCTGGGGTGCACGCTGGCGGAGCTGCAGACGGCGGAGAACGCGGCGCGGATCCGCGCGAGCGCGGAGCTGATGGCGCTGGTGCCGCGGTGCGGGGCCGCGGCGCCGTTTGAGGAGGCGCTGCGGGCGCGGGCGGTCGGGCGGCGGTTCTGGCGGACGGCGGACGGGCGGTTCGGGATGAGCGCCGTGGAGGACGTGGTCGCGGCGGACGGCGCGTTTGTTGGCGAGGACGCGGAGCGAGAGGTTGCCGAGGCGGAAGAGCGAGAGGCGGGGGGTGGGGAGGGAACGAGACGCCCCGACCTGGGCCGCCTGTTGAACGACTCCCTCGCGCGCTCGATGATGGAGGGGTTCCAGCAGTTCCTCGCGCAGCGCGACCCGCACATGGCGCAGGTGGCGGCGCGCGCGTTCAGGGGCGAGGTGCCGGGGGTGAGCGAGGAGGAGGCGGAGAGCAGGCGCGCGGGGGGCGGGGTGATGAAGGGGGACTTGGTGGTGGCGTGTGTGGGGGGTTTCTTTCCTTATATTCTGCGGCCCGTCGCCAAGCTTCCACCACCACGTACGGAAACGAGAGCAGAGGCAGAGGGAGAGGGAGAAGGAAACCCAGCGGCGCTGGAAGAAGAGTCCACGTACGAGTACGTCGGCGAGGCGTACCTGCACGGGGCGATGAACGGCGAGGATTTCCAGACGAAGCGGTTCTTCGGGCTGGCGAACTCGACGAATGTTGATGTGTCGAAACTTGTGGATATTACGATTGTGTAAGGTGGGAAATGGAAACCGCAAATGCGGAAGAGGGGAATGAAAAGAGAATTGGAAAGAGAGTAAGCAAGCAAGCAAGCAAGCAAGCATTTTGTTTTTGTTTTGAGGAGAGATGGGTAAAAGGGGTGGCATCTGATATGCGTACCTTGGGAAATGGATTGAAGGTAGGTAGGTAGAGATATTTAATATGCAAGTATATACTTAGGTAGGCTAGGTAGAAGGGGGTAGGTGCTAGCTTATGAAGCTGTCGACGAGATATCATGATACATGCCTGTGTAGTAAGTAGTAATCACTAGACAATAAAAAAAACAAAAAAAACCTGAGGATTTTACGTCTTGACATTCATATCTTTTACCTTCGTCAGCAAATCTAAGTAGGCTGATGGCTCATTCGAATAAAGGGGTTTTCACATGAGTGGCTGTTTACTCGGTGCCTGGCAAAATAAGTACACATATGTAGACGCATAATGGGAAGCCATTTCACATCTCTATACTCTAGCCCCGTAGTCTTTCTCATTTACTCTCAACCTTTCACATGCACAACTACACACACATACATAACGAACCAACGAAGCCAATAATCACAGGGCCAAAGCAGCCAAACATTATATTAAAAGCAAAACTAAGCGTTGCATAATCATACGCACGAGTGCTCACTTGGTACCATATAAAGGTCGTCTCCCAATCCTAAGTAGGTATGTTGCCCTAGGTAGGTACCTAATCCTAATCAAATACGACCATTCTTTAATAAAACCTTGACCCTCTCCTTGAAAAAAGCCTGACATAGATATGAGGCGAGTGCGTGTGCCTCTTCTTGACTGCACGTCTTCAATCTATAATAAGACAGTTGAGCCACTGTCTTCGTCCTAGGTCGGACTGCTATGGTTGGCTTTTGTGTTTCCGCGGAACGCCCATATAACTCCGTAACGATACGTGGATCGTGAAAAAAGACAAATACCTCCTCCCTGATGTTCTGAACTACCTTGATGACAGCATTTGTGTTTTATTGCCACTACAACTTCTTATCCTCAAAATAGAACTTTCCCAGCTTATCACCATCCTTCGAGTTACCTAGGATCGGGCCTCGGGCAGCCTCACCACCATCGAGGCGCTCTCGCACAATGCGCTCGGCAGCTTCGCGAGAGGCTGGTCCACCAACTCCTTCTCTAAGAGCACTTGTTCGTGGCTGCCCGGGTTGGACAGGAATGGGACCGCGGGTTGTGGTGTCGACAAAAACGTCATCGTCAGAAGTACCGACATGACCACCACCATCTACAGCAACGCCGTCAACATATTTAGCATGCCGTGTTTCTGCGGCAGCAGACGCGCTGATGGGGGTGTCGTTACCATTGTCTCGCATCTCTCGACTGCGTGCTGAAGCTTCTTGGCTTAGACCCGAGCTGCTTCGCTCCAGGCCCCATACACCTGTCGCCCCAGCGGTACCAGGTAGGGGCCTACGGTGGTATATAGGGCCACTGACAGTGCTGTTTGCGCCCTCGCCGAAACCAACTAGACTGGCTGTACCGTCATCACTCATGCGGTCCTCAAAACCACCAACGGAACGACCGGTTATGTCTTCCATAGGATCCATGGCGCCGGAGGTAGAATCAACATCCATGGGACGATAGTTAGTGTCCATACTCATGCTACTGTCTTCATCAACTTCGGTTAGGTCGGCATCCATGTCAAATTGTTCGGCCTCGGTAGTTGTCCGCGCTCCGACACTACCCGTCGCGGAGGCCGTGCCGACCGTGCTCATCTTGGTGATTGCGACTGGTTGGCCATTGGAGTCGAAGTAGGCGGGTGTGAGGGCAGCGGCCTGTTGCGCGGCATTGGATGTAGGCGTAGTCTGAAGAGCGTTCGGATTGCCATTGTGTGGTTGGTTCTGGTTGGGGGCGCGGACGGTATTTACACGCTCGAGACCGGCAAGACGACTGATGCGATCTGCACGCTCTGCTTCTAGGCTATTGGTGGATGAGTGATGTTGATGGCCTCGGGGACCTCCGAGACCGTGGTAGGCATGACCTCGATGGCCATCCTTGATAGCGGTAGTAGAAAGGGCGGAGAGGGAGGTGGTAGTGCTGGTAGGAGTACCACTGCTCGATGTTTCTAGTTAGTCACTACTATATCCAACATGAATCAAGAAAGCAAGGGGTATAGGATAGATAGGGATAAGGATAGAGATGGGGATGGAGATGTCTTATATTGATAACATACGGCATATCACTAGGAGTATCCGGATTGGATGGTGGGGGAGGCACATTGATGAGCATTGGTGCGGTCTGTTGTTGCGACATCTTGATGACGTTGGTAGTGGATGATACTTCTGAGGTGGTTAAAGATCAAATGGTGAATACGGGGATTCTATTTCGCGTGGTTGGCGCGTCAAGATAAGACAAGAGACACGACTTGTCAAAGACACGACAAGGCGTGTTGGATGACGAATGGGAAAGATGGGCTGATGTTCTTGGTGTGGTGGGGGGAAGAGAGAAAGCAAAGTGTTTGTACGATTTGAATGGGGACAGAGAAGAAATAGATCAATGATGAATGCCGATTTATTTTGTCAAGGCGTTCAGCGCAAAAAAAAGCTATTGATGTATTATTACAACAAGACGATATCTAATTGGGGGATGACGAAGATTGATTAGGTATATGTATTGTTGACAGTTGACAAAGAAATACCATTGATTTTTTAAGATTCAGTGAAGGAAATAAGAATTACAGGGAGCCATACCACACAAGGAAGGCATAACTATCTGGAATCAATTTGATGCGTGTTTGCTTTGCCTTGGACAGCTCTAGGTACCTACGTACCTATTTGCACGCCCAATGGATTTCAGGGCCCTCCCAAACCATTACTAGTGCTAGTAGTATGAGGTGCAGCTAAGGTGGGGGATGACGTAGGGCTGTAATTAATCCCAATTGGCTTTAGCGTTGAAAGATCTCCATCTTTTAACTCCCAAGTAGGTACGCTACCGTACGCTACCCTTTTACCCTTTTCCTCTTTTAAGTTTTAGGTACATAAGTAGCCCTGGAAAGATAGTGGCTTCAATTACAATGAGTACCTACTAGGTACTAGGTTAGGTAACTAACCTTATCAGCCTAGCAGTCCAGGCCGCCAGAGGTATTTATGGCGATCATTGCCTAGAAATCTTGCAATTGTAAATAGTGTATAACTATTATATGGAATGACGAATTTGGAGTAGATACTTTTAAAAGTCCAACCCATTTTGACAATTTCAACTTAGCATCTCCAGGTACTTACGAGTTGGAACACCTATAGAAGATCACAAGCTAATTGCAGTCTCTGATGACGTCATTACATCTTCCCCCAATTCTCTAATTCTCAACCAAAGACCAGGCCCGGTGACCTTCGAGAAGCCATAACAAACCTATACGTAGATAGATATGTAAGATGTTTGGTTAGAACACTCCAGGTGTAAAGTCGACAACTTGGATTTTCTCGACTAGCTCTTTGATGTCCACGGAAAACTCCATATGAACAGGGTCGGTCTTCAGATAATACTCCCTGTCTTCTTCTCCATTCTCAAAGTAGACAACGAATGCGTGTGTCAATCCATTCTATTTTGGAGCCTATCAGCATTGACTAGGGATTATCAAACAGAATGCCGATGATAAATGTACGAAATGGGATTTAACGGACCTGAAGGTTCTCTGGACTGTTGTCTTTTCCTCCACCGACTACTTTGAAATACGTTTTCTGAGTTGTGGGGTGAAGACAATTGTCTCCCAGAGAAAGAAATTTACTGCAAGCCTAAATAAGTAGACAGAAAACGGTTAGTAAATCTAGGCAAGTGCCTCATGATAGACATCTGACAGGTACACTAGCATAAGGTGGCTTGGACGTCTTACAGATTTGACCTCCTCGGGAGGTATAAGATCCTTGAACTTTAGCAGGACCAGGTGATAAATGGCCATGATGTGAATGATTATAATGCCAGACAGGTTTTATGAATTGTAGCTTTTGACATGAATGAAATTGAGAGACAAGTAAAGAAACGAGGTAACAAGAATCATATTTGGGTTTTGTCTGGGGCAATGGATGATTCGGATAGATAGTTCCAGAGTGTGCTGACTGCTGACTGGCATCTGACTGACGTTGAACTGACCATGTCGCTTACTCCGCATTAATGGTTCCTTCTAGCTCAAAAAGGCCTCATGATTTACAAGATGTCTATCAAACCCATAGTCCAGATCTGATTAAAGGCTTATCCTTTGATAAACTTACATGTAGGTCACTTAGGTGTGTACCTTTTCATGTTCACACCTTGAAGTTGTGCATATGTACCCTACTATACCATGTAACTATGTGATACATTGACGTATTATGTCAGGATGCACATGCAATGCGGGAAGTTATGTGTTTATCGGCTTAAATAACCCCACCACATTGTATTTACATAGTATTGTAACTACGCCGTACATACTCCGTACCACCAAATTCCAATGACTAATCTCTTAAGTATTGTTAAGGCTCTTTAACTCCGAGTCTCCGACCAACAAGTACCGTCAGTGTAACCTGCAGCTCAGTCGTGAAACTTTACATTTGCCACGTCAATTCAAACATCCAAACAATATTCAACGTTTGACAAGAACAACAAACAGCACGTAATTCCCTTTCGTGATACCAACTTCAGGCCCTTACCATGAGGAAAGTTGAGCCCTCTGAGGATGATGAGTTAGGGATATTGGAAGATAAAACAGAGGCGCTTCCCTTGCGCTCCAAACGGACTGAGAGAGCATTGAAGAAGCAGGCGAAGAAGACTAAAAAGATAGGAGAGCAATCACAGGATCTGATGAACTTGCCATACGAACTCGTGTTGCAAATTCTGACGCTTCTTCGTCCTAGCGACCTCTTCAACTTGCAACGCGTTAGCAAGGCTTACCATGGATTCATTGTTCAGGATGGACCTTGGATCGCCAAGTCTATCATGAATTGGCGCTATGCCTGTCTTAAGAAATGCTTCAGGTTGCCTGTACTCATGGAAAAGGTTGACCCAAGCATTCAAGCTTTCATCCAGAGTCCCGAAAGACTGGACCTTCACATCGTTCATCAGAAACCATATAAACACGTTCAAGCCCCGGATCCAGCTGAGATATGCACCTGTCTAACCTGTCTGTTGCGCTGGCTGTCTTTATGCCTCATCGTCGACTTTTCCCACTGGCAGAAGAACTTAGATATGGGAGAACCGATTCCGATGATAAGAAGAGGCAAGAATCCTGAATGGAATCGGAATCTAATAGCTTCCAATGCAGCTATCGTACGGAAAGCCCTCCATAGCCCTCTCTGGTATGCTAGACTACTTGAGGCCCATTTGAGCTCAACAGTGAGGTCAATAAGTCGGCATGCCGCCAACAAAGGCAATAAAAGGCATCGTTTCCGCATGTCCCGGCGGGAGATGGAATCCGGTGCCGACCTATTCTTAGAAAGAAGTGGCCCTCCAAGCTTTGATTTCCCCTTTCACAGGGACAACTATTATATGCTAGAGGCCTACTTGCCCAACAGAGGATGGAATGCTGAACATGAGAAGTGGATGTACGTACCGGCTAACCAGCACAACCTGGACATTGACTATATTGCCAGTAGGGGCAGGATACGACGCAAAAGAGCTGCTGAAGAAACCGAAAGGCAACCAGAGGAGGGACAGAGAACTTGAATGGTATCTAATATTCATGTTGATTTGTTCTGTCAAATTTGTACGGGAAGCTAATATTACTAGATGCCTCGAATGTCATATAATACACCCCGCATTCCCTGTCATTATTTTCGAAGCTCGCTGACGGCCCCGTCGCGAGCTTAACTGGCCTTTCTACCGCCCCTCTATAGAACACCGCACCTAAAATTCCTATACAAGTGCAATCCCCTAAAATAAGGACCCCCACCTGTTTGTTACTAATTGTTGATTCGGACCATAAAGAATCAGTCATTTCCCAAGGCCTGAGAAACCCTTATTCCTTCCAACGCCCCTATTTTCCTGAAAATTCCACGGATACTGCTCAATTGAAATGATTCTCTTCTCATAACACGGGTTACAGAATCACGCAGCACGGGGACCACACTCCTTTTATCCTACGCTCATTTTGGACTTCCGTGTGGCCCGGGCATTCGAGCTCCAAATTTTCAGGTGTCCGATTAAAATGCTTACTTCGAATCTTGTCACGAAATCTCTTTGGAGGTATAAGCAAAGAGGGTGATCGAGTCTTGGCAACTTTGAAGCTATCACTCTGGGTTTCGTTGGACATATCGGTCGCGGTTCGCTGCTCTGTGGGTGGGTGGATAACTATGTGCTGGGGCGGGCTTAATTCGATGTCTCTCGACCACGACGAAGTTTCTTCTGCGATGCTGTTGTTTCTGGACATGCTCCGCCGAAGATCCTTTACTTTGAGGCGTAAATTGTCGAGATCAATCAACCGAGGTTTGCTTGGGTGACATTGGCAGGCCTGCGCCGTACCCTTGATGATGCTGGCCTCAAAGGTAGAGTCGGAAGAGGGGTATGCGACGCTATCGCGGAGGGCCACCGATCCCCGATTCGATGGACAGGTGCACTCAGATGTTACTGATCCTTTGCGAAGTCCCCATATTCGAGGCCCAGGGGCGGCGCGTGCGCTTGAAGGAGAGGCGGGGGCAGTAACAGCGGTGGCGGTAACAAAGGTGGCAGCGGTGGCAGCGGCGGATGCTGTGTAGTAAGAATGTGTACTATTCGTCTCGCCAATGCTCCCCCGATTATCCTCCATGACATCTATCTGGCCAAACTTCAATCTTCTGTCTTCTCTTATGTTTTTCGGCTTTTTCTTTATTTTTCGGGTGTGATGAGGTTGTCGGCTAACAGAGGTAACGCAGTGTGTAAGTGGCTCTCAGTCGTGTGGAGGCGCGAATAGAACAATAGATTCCCACTGGGGCTCTCGTGGCATTAAAACGACCGCCATTGGCAGGACACACGGTATGGGGTGAATCATGATTCTCGACGTGTTCCAGTCACTTACGTGGCATCGCTATTGCTTACATTGGGACCCGTTCATCACTTTAACCTCATTGTCTGGTGTACATATGTGTGCTGTAAGGTGAATTACTAATTGGGTATCATCTACCTACTCTCCACAGTGTCCTAAATTTAGTGACGCACATTAGCGAGCCTCTTCTGGATTGCGGCTTTATTGCTTGATTCCTTGGCTTCGTGAGCTGTGGGTACATACGACTTACCATAACCACAATTCTATTGGTTTGCGTGGGGATATGGATCGCGATTCGATGGGCTATTTTTGTTTGTGTTCATGATTCGTTGGGGATTGCATTCATACTCTTGTAACGTCATTTCTAAAGGAACACCTCCGATTTAGAACTTATCTATGAACACCTACCTAGGTTACCTATGCTGGTAGATAGGTACCCAAACGTTATTCCAGCCCTTGCTTCCTGCGTCTCTCTTCGGTCGTGCTGGCGGCCCGTGCCGCTATGGCGTGTACGGTTATATGCAGGCTGGTTGTGATGTGCTGTGCTGATAAGGGGAGATCGTGCGCGAGACCACGATGCGTTGGAGTTTGATCATGTTTCACATAGCCAGGTACCCAGGTATCCACGACGTCGCTGCACTAGATTGGGTTGTTTGGGGGGGGGGGGGCGGGTGGATGCATACGGGACTCTAAAGCGGATCTGTGTTTGGATCGAGCGGGAGACTAAGCGAGACCCTACGGTTTGTTCCATTTGCTCGGGTCGAGAAGCTACTTTTCGGCAATATCACGGTAGACCGGCGCTGGGGTTGCTTCCGGCGGGGGACCGGGCTTGGCGGGGCACTTCTGAGATTTACTGGTCGGATGAAACTAACTTACCTAACCTTAGTCGTCAACGAGCATTCGTATTATGACTTTACTGAGCAACATTGCTACTGTTACTAGCTGTCTATCTGCTAGCTTCCAGGCCTCTTTTCAGGCCATCGACAAACAGATGGCTAGGCATATGTGGGCCTTAGCATGATGGCTTTGAAGGTCGACCTAGTTATGTCCCTTATTCCCTAAGAAACTCCTCATATTAATATAACATGAGGTCGTTTTCTTTGGAATAAATAAAGGAATACTTGTGTATATACTGCTAAGGCTTGCTCATAATGCCCACCCGAGGTCTACCCTATGGGAATGTCAAAAAACGAGGAAGTCGTTGACCAGCAGGCCATAACTACTACGTTTAAGGAAAGCAGCTCGCGAGCAAAAGTCCAGCCGTGTCACCACTAACAATAAGATTCTAGAAGCGGCAAATCCAACAAACACATGACCAGGGAAGATCTACTAACTAGTGAGGAGGGCCCTCGGCTACACTTGCCCAGGTGAATATAACACTGCCTTGAAAGAAGGCTCCTCCCTTTCAACAAGGCAACGTGGGGGGGCATTTACGAGGATGGAAAGCTTCCGTATTAGTAATGACTTGTATTGATCCACCCTATTTCATCATTGACGTATGTGCGGGCGTCCCGGGGGGTTGTCACAAAGTGTCTTGTTTATGGGGGGGAACAAAGGGCTAGTCTTCTTCCTACTTACTAGATACAGCACTGTTGATGTTTCTCCGAGGAAGTAGAAATGCCATCTCATTTAAATCATACATACTCTAAGATCGTGACTTCATGTTTGTGAAATTACCTACTTGCTGAGCTAGCTTCAACGTAGCTCAAGTACAAGATTTCTATACCTACTTTTGGCCGCAACATTCCTACATTAACCTACAACTTCTGCGAGTTAAAATAACTCTCAAACATCCCCAAAAAGAGAAGCGGCATGTAGTTTGAAAGAGAAATTACTAATAGCATTACAGAATTGTGAAGTCCTTGTGTTACGGGCAGCCTCCTGTGGCGAACTGAAACTTATCAGCCTCAGAGTCTGCCATAGTCCAACGGTATTAGATTTGAGACCGGGACTTATGGTTAAGCTGTTGCTAAGCAAAATCCTTTGTGATTTCGAAACTACCTAGATAGACAATTGTGTCTCGTTACACTTTTGAGTCGAGTACCTATGTTGCCTCTTTACGCTTTTGACCTTGATCTCTTTGTTCGGGACTATGAAGTATGCTACATTCCAGCTACATGGCAAGTCGGTAACTGTAGCTACCGAGGTAGGTCTCAGAAGGTAACCTAGGTATGGACTCCGAAAACAGCTTTGTTCATCGGGATCCCGAAAGTCGGGATACCCGTTTGGCGGGTATGGTGGCGCATCGGGAATACTTCAAAGCCATTGTAGCGCGGGTAGGCTAACCCTGTTATCTGATCCTTTCTTTCACCCCCCGCCACTATACAGGAGATTTGGCTACTGGAGACGAAGAGAGGGAGTGGAGGATTTACGAAATGCTATCAGCATGAAAAACGCATCGTAGGTCTTCTAGGTCTTCTACGCAACGGGGTGGGTGGTCGAGCATTTGTTTTCGGGTTGACTTGGTGTCTTTAGACGAGTAAATCCTACTATACCACATCACAGAAACCAGAAATCTCACACAAATACCGAACTAATGCATATCCGCTTATAGCAGCTACGGTTTACGTGTAGGTAGTCATCATGGCGCTATCGTCTACTGGCCTTCGGTTCACGATCATAGCTTTCGTGTCAAACGCCCTAGCCTTCACATGCCTTATCCTCCGATTCTGGTCCAGATATATCCAAGGCACTCGCATCGCCTTTAGCGACTATATGGCAGCTGTAGCCATGGTGTTCTCGGCCGCAACAGCTGCTACATTTATTGCACGTGAGTCACCCCCCTTTCCCACCGGTATTGCTTTTCGTGAAATCAGGGTTAACATAGGTACGGTATAGCTAGTTTTATGGGAGTTCTGGGGTTTCATCTAAACGAGGTTGATGATAGGATGCTCGACATCAGTTTACAGGTTCGTATCAGACCCCCCCTGGTACAACCTAGCCTCAAACGACGATCCCTTGACTGACTTGGGCCCCTCCCCTTCACTCCAGCTCTTCGTGCCCGGCCAAGTCCTCTGGGCCGTCGCAAACTCATGCGTGAAGTGTTCCATCCTCTCGCTCTACACGCGGCTCTTCCCGCGGAAGCAATTCTGCAGAATATGCTACGCCATGATGGTTCTCGCGTGGGCATATTTCGTCATTGTCATGGTCGCCACTTTCGCGCTCTGCCACCCCATCCAGTATAACTGGAACAAGAAGATTCCCGGAAGCTGTCACGGCGAGGTGCACGCGTATCTGTCTACGGGGATAACCAATTTGGTCATCGATGCGTTTATTGTGACGCTGCCGATACCGACGCTGCTGGGTTTACGTATGTCGCTGTCTAAGAAGCTAGGTCTTATAGCTATGTTCAGCTTGGGCTCAGTGTGAGTTATACCTAATCCTGCAGATTTTACTCATCTTCGGGGGAAAAAATTGCTAATGGCTAGGTGTTTTACTTAGAATCTGCATCATCTCACTGCTGCGCATCATCTGGATAAACAGCTGGGACCTGAACGACCTCACCTACACACTGGCCGACGGGTCGAACTACTCGATCCTCGAGCCCGCACTCGGGATCGTGAACTGCTGCCTGCCTACCCTGAAACCGGTCATAAAGAAGATAGCAAGAACATGCTTCCCCAAACGGAGACAACAACCGCCGAACCAGGCCCGCCGCCAACTAAACGAGAATAAGAAAGTCTCCGACTCGGAAAGCGGAGCTGGAGGTGGTGGTGGTGGTGGTAGTATTGTGAATCCAAGGCGTGGTGAGCAGACAGACGGCGGCAGTCGCGCGACATGGGACGATGATATTAGGATCACGAATATCAGTGCCGCGACGCACTCGGCTGAAGATCTGGCGACGGCGACGGATTTGGAGGCGGGGGGGAACAACGCGATTACGGTCACAAGGACCTGGGCGGTTAATGATGGGAGACCGTTGTACATAGGTAGGGAGGTCGATGCGGAACAGCAGGTGCAATAACATAGGGGTGTAGAGGGAAATAGAAATAGAAGACGTTAATTGGAAACCTTGTGGTTTGAAGTGACTTGTGAAGTGTATTGGAACGATCCTGAGATGGATGGAATATAATATCTCTAACATCTCCCCAGAGATTATGGAGCTTGCATACCTACGTACCTAGACAGTAGACATAGGTATTGTCGTCTTTGTTCTAACTAGGCCCCGTATAGTCTATCCTACCTTTGTTATCCCCCGGGAAGACCCTTGACAGGCGTCTTCTTGTCCTTAGTATATGGTCTACGATCGCTATCCTCAATGCTATACCTCTTGTCCTGTCAAGCCAAGGGAGGAAGACTAGAGCTTGATATCCAGCTGCGAATTAGCGTTGTAATATTGGGAACCTCGAGTTTTGTGTCTGTAAGTGGATGTTCAACATGGAAGGTCTCGTGTAGCGTTAGATGCATCTGGGATGAGTAGATAGACACATGGCTTTCACCTCTACCTCATACGGACTCAGGCCAAGACTACAGATACTCTGGCCAGTGGCTACAGTCACTGTTGCGGGTGCTGCTGGCCCCACTAGGGTATGGTTAGCTTCTTATGAGCTGCCTTATATTGGCACGACGCCAGCATATTTAAGAATAAGCAAGTGTTGCAGGTGCCTTAGGCATCCTTAGCCATATGGCCCTTATGGCCATATATATTGGCACTCCGCCATCCGTAGTTTGGGAATAAAGCAAACTTTCTTCCTTTCCTCTTTCTTCTTCTTGATTGCAGTTGTATTACAACAAGTTATGAGCTCCGTGCCGCTTAAAAAGCGCCGATTTGATGCCAAAAGACATCAGATAATTAAAGGAAATATTATGAAATATTGCTTCCCTCGGTTTTTATAAAGCCAAGATTAAACCAACGAAATATAGGCAAAAAACCTATCCAATATGAAACCAAATTAAAAGATAAGGTTACTAAGGAAGGAGCCTAAAAAGGTATTAAGGTTGAGTATCGTGCCTATCCATTTTGAAAAGAACCCACCAAATAAGGTTTTAAACAAAGCCACCAAAATATTCAAAATATCAACACGACAGGAAAAATCCTAAAACAATAAACTTAATTATCAATAATAACAAAAAATCAACGATAAAATATAACACTAAATAAGTATTAAAATTAATCAAGAAACCCGCCAAAATAGCAGAAGGCTTATTACATTTCCCACCAATTCCATTGCTTTTCGACGAGTATGGATTTAAAGAATGGAAAAGATTAGTATGCTAACATTGCTAATATTACAGACTTAATAGATTTATTAATGGTATACGATAAGCGTTTCTACAAGGAGCATCCGATGAAGTGAAACGAAAATATCGCAAAAAAAAAATCCATTATATAGCTCTATTGACAAATTCATTACGCAATCCAAACGTAACTGCCTAATTGGAAGCAGCTGGTTGGGAAGATGAAGAAGACGATCCTAAAGTGGTTTACAATCTGGTATTGAAAACAATACCCAAAATCTTTGAACAATTAGTATCCTAATTATATTACCAACTGAAAAATTTTACCCTTAAAAATAGAATAACTCTGCGTGACTATATGATTAAATTCAAGAAAATATCCGACAGATTTAAGTAACTAAATCTTGATTTATCTGAAACCGCAAAGATATTTAACATGATGGAAGCCATTAAGGAACGATATCCAAATTAATATCGATTCCTAAAACGGGATTACCAAAAGGGAATCCTGACCTGGCAACTATTCCTAGAAGAATTCACACAAAAGGCAAATAACAAGGACTTAGTGGTAAATACAATCTTGGGAACCTGAAGTTGACAATCTGGGCAGATACTGCTTTTGCAGACTATCTAAGATTAAGAAAATCAACAGAAGCCCATCTAATGACCCTAGCAAAAGGCCTTATACATTGGAGTTTAAAAAAACAATCACTAGTCGTACTAAATAATACAAAAACAAAGTTTATCAATCTATCTCTAGCAAAACTATCGGGAATATAAATATTAAAATTCCTTCAAAAGTTAGGATATCCCTAACCAAAGCCTCTACTGCTTTTCTCAGATTCAGCCAACGCGATTGCTACAGTTCTTAATCCTCTAAATATAGTAAGAACCTGTTATATCGATATCCGGTATAAATGGATTATTAACAGAGTTTAACGTGGAGATATTGAAATCTAACATGTTGGAACCAAAGAAATGATAACAAATAGACTAACCAAACCACTGATAAAAGAAAAACACAAAGCCTTTATCCGATTAATAGGTTTAGAAAAGTACGAATAGAAAGAATAAACCTACAAATATTACTTCAAAAAATTAAAAAAAAAAAACGATTATTATTTCAAAAAGAAATGGAAAATTATACTTTAATTACCTAACTACATAGCTTCAAAACCACCCACCGACAATAAATATGGCAATAGCTGCATGGCTTTATGCCAACGAAGGTATGTTACAAATGCCTTAGGCATCCTTAGCCATATGGCCTTTATGGCCATATATATTGGCACTCCGCCATCCATAGTTTAGGAATAAAGCAAGCTTTCTTCCTTTCCTCTTTCTTCTTCTTGATTGCAGTTGTACTGCAACAGCAAGCTTTCTTGCCCAGGTGTTTCTCTTTTCCCATTTCTTGGCTGCTGCTTAGCTGCAATAGTCACCTAAGGGAACAATTTCGCGTTTTGCTAATATTTGACGTGATCTGATAACTCAATGTAGTGGGAAACAAGAGAGGGTCTAGGCAAGCTTTGAAAGAGCAAATAGACCCTAAGCTCTCACATTTTCTTGGTCTCTCCGAGGCTATAATCTTGAACTAGATCATTTGAATCGTAGCTCCCCACGATGGGTTATGGACCAGTAGCTTAACTAGAAAGCTTAGCTTCTATGATGTATCTAAGTGGAGGCTAGCGGGATGGCTGGTAAATAAGGAATATTTGCACGTGGGCCTGCTTCTAGAAGTATGTAAAGGAAGCCCTGAATTATTTTTGACATGTATTAGGTACCTAGCCTGGGGTTGTCACAATGGTTGAAGGCATATCTTACATAGCTGCTGGGTTGAGTGTAACTCGCCGCTTTTGCCACAATTGACTTAGGTTACAATAATCATGAATGAATGAATGAGATATGCATATATATTATAGGATATAAGGCGAATGGCTTCCTTGAATACCTATTTTTAGTCCCAACTCCATGCTGAGGCTTGAAGCCCCCGTTTCCTTCTCGAAGCCATACCGATACCTTGGTAACACCCCAGCAGGTAGCACATGGATGATCTAGGAGGAAAACACCGATAGATACCACTACGCATGTACCTATGCTTGTAGCACACATAAGTGTTGAATTGCCACAATTTTATTTTGGCTTGAGACTGCCAATGAAAGTGGACCGGAGCGGATGGCGACAAATCGCGACATTTAACCTCCAATTTTCATCATCAGATTTATGCAGTTCAAAGGGTACATGCTTGAGACAATCTTCAATCAGAGCCTTTCTATTGGCTTATCGCACGTTCATGCTTAAATGCATGGTGATATCTTCAAGGGTCGTGCTATCTTAACGTTACTGTACTTATGTTGAGTATTAGTAGTAGGAGGGTGTAAGCTCCAAGGGTGGAATAGCTCAAGACCCTTCTGATAGTGACGTGCTGTTCCTTGCTGCGCTACTATGTCAGGTACGAATTCAATCGGAACCAAATATCATTGGCAGTTGTGATGTTAGATATGGCAAGCTATTCCCGAAATCCTGGAAGTACCTGCGCGTTTTCTAAGGGTGCGAAAGGGGGGCGTACAGGCGAGCGGACACTGTCCGAATGTAGGTTACCTTTGACTATCTCCCGAGAATGGAAGCTTTTGACAGAAGGAGGCGGGGTGGAAAAACAGGTTCTAATATCTCAGCTTTTTATTCATCTACAATCACACCATAGCTGCCATTCCATTGTGAGATCAAATCATACCTACTTGGGTAGTTATCTACGAGAATAAACCCCATTATACCCAGATCTAGAACCCCCACACCGGAAAACATGGAAGAAGCAGGGTTCTCGGCCGATATATGTAGTCGAGATTTCATATCCATGTCGATGATACCATATGGCTGGATTGGTGGGTCGGTTGGTGATACTGTGGCGGCCTTCATCTGAGCCAATGGTGCTACTATATAGAGACAGACGTAGTACCCTCTGACCTCTCAATTCGATAAGGTCGACCGTCTCAGATTCCTCATAGGACGCAACATCAAAATGGCAACCGTACTCTTTCGAGGCCTCGACGAAAAAAAGACAGTCACCGAGTCGACTACATCGCTTGGTAGTGACGCACCACCTCTAGGTGCACCCAAAGAGGAGAAACGTTTTTGGTTTCAACGTACGAAAGACTTCGACGAAAACGCAATTGCTACGCAGGTAATGCAACCCAAGCCCAGCTCAGCCCAGCCCTATAACTGCCATTGACCTCCAAGAACACCAACTAACCCCGAGTTGCTACATACAGCCTAGTGTATTCGATGATGCCCAGACCGCCGAGAAATACCTTCCTCGCCCTGATTGGTATGCTGCACACACTCTAAACCAACTACCTACCAAGCATATAAGCGCGGAGTCTTACACATGACAATAGGGAGAACTCGCACCGTTTCGACCCCAACGCTCGATGGACGTGGGCTGAAGAATATGCGATCGTCCGCAAAATCGACTGGAGGATCACAGTATGGGCGTGTATCATGTTCATGGCGCTCGAGTTAGACAGAGCCAATATATCGCAGGCGCTGACTGACAACTTCTTGACGGATCTGAACTTGACTACGAACGGTATGCTTGTTTACCCATCTGCCTAAACTGACATTACTAACCAGGCGGCAGACTATAATCTCGGAAACACCGTCTTCAAGCTCTCTTTCTTGCTCGCTGAGCTTCCATCTCAGCTGGTTTCTAAGTGGATGGGTCCGGATCGATGGATTCCCTCGCAGATGATTCTCTGGAGCATTGTAGGTGGGGCGCAGTTTTGGCTCTCAGGCCGAACTTCGTTCTTAGCTACACGTGCTCTGCTCGGTATACTGCAAGGAGGTTTCATTCCTGATGTGAGTATTTGACTCTAGACCCCCGCGAATCTTACCTATGTTTAGGTACCCAGTACTAATCCGATGATGTTAGGTCATCCTCTATCTGTCGTATTTCTACAAACACCACGAGTTGACTCTTCGTCTTGGATTCTTCTGGACTATGATGAGCGTAGCCGACATTATTTCAGCGCTCTTGGGCGCTGGCCTGTTGCACCTGCGAGGCGTGCTCGGGTACTCCGGCTGGCGCTGGTTGTTCCTGCTTGAAGGCTTGCTCACTCTCGTAGTAGGCGTCTTCTCCTTCCTCCTCATGCCCGCTGGCCCTTGTCAAACCGCTAGCTGGTTCCGTGGGAAGAACGGCTGGTTCTCGCCTCGCGAACAGACGATCATTGTCAACCGGGTGTTGCGCGAGGACCCGAGTAAGAGCGACATGCACAACCGACAGCCGATCACGCCGAAGCTGTTGTGGAAGTGTCTGAAGGATTACGATCTCTGGCCGCTTTATATCCTAGGACTCGTCTTTCAGATCCCGGCGGTTCCAGAGCAGCAATACTTGACGCTATCACTTCGGCAGATGAAGTTTGACACTTTCACGTCTAACCTTTTGTCTATCCCGTATACAGTCATCCACAGTGAGTTGAAACATGCAAGTGAGAAGTGTTCATGAGTTCGACAGACTAACAAAGAGGGTTAGTTATCATGATGCTTGCAAACACATTTGCAGCCGAGATATTTGGAGAGCTTACTTTGATAGCCATGGTTGGGCAGTTCTGGATTCTGCCTTTCCTGATTTACTTGAACGTCGCCGACACTGCCAACACCAACAGATGGGTTATCTACACAGTCACAACTCTCTTGTTAGGGTATCCCAATGGTAACGCTTTCCCCTTAAGACAATTTGCTTTCTGTAAAAATGCTAACCGTCGATCATCAGCCCATCCCATCCAAGTCGCCTGGAACTCACGCAACTCAAACACCGTCCGAGCTCGCACGGTCTCCGCCGCCTGCTACAACATGTTCGTGCAGGCCGGTGGCATTATCGCATCCAACATCTACCGTGCCGACGACGCTCCTTTATACCGCAGGGGTAATAAGCAGCTGCTGGCTATACTCGCCATGAATATTGTGCTCTACGTTTTGACCAAGGTATATTATGTCTGGAGGAACAAGTCCCGGGATCGAACGTGGAACGCCATGACCGCTGCAGAGAAGCTCAATTACTTGTCGACGACTACGGATGAAGGGAATAAGCGCTTGGATTTCCGGTTTGAGCATTAGACAAAGAGGGTATATCGACTTATGACGCTATTCACAACAGCCTACAGTCAATAGATGTTTATCATAAGTTGTGACCAATTCGTGTCGCAAGAGATTAAGATGCTATTTCTTCGTAGTGTTTTTCGATGCTCAAAACGCTTCTGATATGTGCCAGGACTAGATCGATTCTATTAGGTCGTCAAGCTATACACATAAGGTATCTCACAGCCAACTAAAATGCAACTATTCCGGTCGCGATCTCTCACTGACGCACGGTCCTTTATTTTGCTCCTTTTCCGCACGGCCACAAACAACAACCTCTCCCCCCTCACCCATCACCGCGCAACCACATCCGAGATTCAACCCGGACCAAGAGACAGTATATAAACCATTAAAGCAGTAGAATTCTCAGCCGGATTGGAATGACCTAGTGGTTCGAAGTGTTCGAAGAATAGAAAAAAAAATTCAAATCACAAATACAACCGCCACTAGGTCCTGGGGTTCGATTCCTCAGCTGGCTAACATAAATTTTTCAATTTCTTTTTGACATGCCGGATATATTGCCCACAGTATAACTTCATTCTTGAAATACGCCATTCATAATTGGACTTGTATGAGAACTTCTACTAAACTAGGCAATTCGTGTCGTGCAGGTGCGTGGTTCATCCCGCGTGGCACAGCGATAAATCCACTCTCATCTCTATCAGTCAGCAGTCGCATTATTACTTGATTATCACAATTCATAAGCTTATTTTAAGACCATCTCGGTCTGGGGGAGATCTTACTATGGTAATATGGCCTAAGCTTGACTTCCTTACATGGACTTTACGGAGACAAGGTACATCAATCTCATCAATTCATACGAATGATTGGAACAGCTCTATTTTGCAAATACATATAGATTATAGACGAGACAGAAACCTCAAGGCCCTACATGCTTTGGCTGGCATCGCGCATTACGGCTTCATCCAACACGACGTAACCTACCACCATCCAAGTCTAGGTACCGTCTCCTGAACAGCAACCTACGCAGACATTTCCTGGCCCGGAATGGAGGTCACCCCTGTAATACTGTTAGCCGGACAAGCCCTAAGATAGATACTTGGGAGATGTAACTTACATCCATCAATCTCCTCCTTCACAACAGGCGCCTTGGTGCACTTCATCGCCTCCTCGGAGGACTGGGTCTTGAGCTGGCTGCAGACGGCGCCGTTGCAGCGCGCGTCCATGGCGCGTTGGAGGCTGTCGCCCTCCCAGCCGAAGACGTAGTCGCCGTGCTGCGAATAGCCGTTCCTGTCGATTGTGGTTAGGGGTATTGTCGAATTATGGGGAAGGATCCTTCACAGAAAAAAACAAAAAGAAAAGAAAAGAGGGGGGGGGGCTAAAAGTAACTCACTTGTCGTTGGTGCTCCACACGAACGGCTGCGAGCCATCCTCGGGCCATAAGTTCTTGTCGTTGAAGATTCGAGTCTGTGTCATTTTTCACACATCGGGGTTAGCGAGTGGCCTGTATCGTATCGAACAGCGCAGAGAAAAGTTGAGCTGGGGATAATAGCGAGCCCCTTTTTCAAAGCCCCTTTGCTAAGGAGACAAAAAAAAAAACTCGCAAACTGAGTCCGTTGACCCTCGAGACAAAAACGTGCAAGAGAAAAAAAATCAACAACGCTTACATCCCACATAACCTCCAGCATGACCTGCGGAATCTTAACCGGATGACTCTGAGGGCACACCCCCGACGCGCCCACCCCGGTGCCCGGGGCCCCCGAGCTCGGGTACGCCACGTGCGTCTTGTGGTCGGGGCTGTCGGTGTTCTTCCCGTCCCAGCAGGTCGGGAACGTGATGACCGATCTGATGCCGCCGTCGCAGAAGCCGCTCGGCAGCGTCTGGCTGTCGGGCGCGCCGCAGTTGATGTTGGTGTTGTCGCCCGTGCGCGGCATGCAGCGGTGGCAGACCTTGGGCGCGTCGCCCGGGCCCGTGAGCGCCGCGTCGCCGACCAGCATGCGGAAGCCCGGCTTGAACGCCGTCACCGGCGACGACCCGTCCGGCGTCGGGATGTAGTACACCGTGATGCCGCCGTCGGCGCGGAGGCCCTCGCTCGCGAACTGCGGGACGCGGCGGTACGTGCCGTTGCGCGCGCGGAAGTAGAGCACCGCCGTCCAGTAGTTGGAGAAGTCCTCCGAGAAGGTGCAGCTGGTGCAGGTGGACTGGCTCGGCAGGTCGTGGGTCGCCGGGTCCATGGACGCGTTGAACGAGTTGCCCCCGACGATCTGGTGCAGGTGGGGCGAGGGGATGGAGCCGGGGGTTACGAGGGGGTCGAGACGGTCGACGACGAGCTGAGAGCAGCTGAAGCGCATCATCGGCATCGCACCTTGGCTGTACCCGCGCTCCATGAGGAGGAAGAGGGCGAGGGCTTTCCACTGCATTTTGGAGTCTTGGTACCTACCGTTGTTGGCGAGGAATTATAAAAATGGCTTGTCGTGGTGGTTGGGTAGAGGAAACCGGGATAAAACTTGGGCCATGGATCTGGATTGGGTCGTAAACTCCTATATACTGAGATGATCCTGCCACGATTTCATCCAGGACATATGCCGCTGGGCGCTATCTTGTTCGGTTCCTCTCAAATTGCTTCTATATTGGCACATTTAGGCAATGGCGGATGCTACCTCGACTCCACGAATCACAGATGGCTTCTGTCCACCCCCCTGAATCTTGGACTCATGAATACTCTGCCCTCGAGCAAGCCATGACCTATTAAATGTAGGCTTATCTACATTATTTGCATATGCTGCCAAAGAAACGTCTAGAGATTTTCGGCGTAATATTTTGACCGGTAGGTAATTCCAAATCAACCCGCATGCCCGGGTGCAAGGCGTCACTAAACCTGGGCTTCACCATCTGTGATACTTTGAACCACGGTAATGCGCATCAACCCATAATAAACTTGGAAGCAGTTTTATATACCTACCTAGGTACAGACAAAGTAGGTGTATTAACGAAGTAGATGCTTGACTTACCATACTCCACGAAATAGGGGGTACCTGCCTAGGTACTAGGTACCTATGTTGCGAGTCTTGGTATGCCAGATTATATTTTTCATCCCACAATACTGCCCGCGAGCATACCGCGTAACCTGATATAAAATCCATAGATATTTTTCACTTAGTACGAATACGCCTTTCAACTAATCATGCCATTGCACAAAAATAACATGCTCGCTAAATCACACTCCCCCCGCCATCCCCTCAACCCTCACGCCTTCACCACCTCCTCCTTCTCCAGCACCCGCCTCGACGCCAACCACTCCCCCTTACTCAACGGCGGCTCCGTATACGTAACCTCGATCCCCAACCCTCTACAAAACCCCGCCACCCTCCCCAGCCCATCCCACGGGAACCCCGTCTCCTCGTCCGGCGAGTAAAAGTTCGGCCCAAAAACCACGTGGATCGACTTCAGCGGCACCGTCTTCGACGCCGCTGTCGCAAACTGCCGCAGCCACAGCTCCTCGCGCTCGCCAAAGGTATCCCACGACTCGGCGGCGCCGGCGTACGCGTTGAGGTTCCAGGTGAAGCTCTCGAGGCATGGCGCGAGCAGCATCGCCGCCTCCGCCTCGTCGTAGGCGAGCGGGTGCGCGAAGTAGTACTTCGACAGCGCGAGCACCCTCAGCTTCGGGAAGCGCGATGCGTCGGGCAGGTGGCTCGTGGTGGAGGCGGCGGACAGGGCGCCGAGCGTCAGGCTTTCGAGCGTGTCTTGGTGGGAGGAGAGCCAGGAGCCGACCATGGAGGGGGTGATGCTGTGGCGCCCGGTTGGCCGGCTCTCGAGGCTGAAGTGCCGGAGGTGCGCGGGCCAGCGGATCAGGGTGGCGGTGCTGTCGGCGTCTTCCTCGTAGTCGGAGAGCATTAGGGAGGTGAAGGGGGCGGTGCCGGCCTGCGCGCTATCCAGAAGGGGTTCGGCTGATGCTGATTTTGAGATCCCGTGGAGAGCTAGGTGCTGGAGCGCCGAGCCTTGGACGTATTTCACCACGGTGGGGAGGTCAAAAGCATCGTTGTGTTTCTCGAGACGCAAGTGCTTGAGGTCCGGGGTGTTGGCTAGAAGACGGGAGATCAGGTCCCAGGTTTCGCTGTGGTATCGTTGAAAGCCCCCGCGCACAGTCAGACACCGGACTCGCGCGCAGCCTGTTAGGAAGTCATCTGTGATCAGCGGGTCCCATTCCGGTGTGGCGAGGAGTGGACGATCGGTGCCCCAAATAAGCAAGTGCCGACAATAGCGGCGGAGTGATATATCCGTGCGATGCAGCTCGGCGGACGACGATACAGTAAAGGTGAGGTCGCGGTAGAGGAAAGACGTGGCTAGCTGGTTCAGACGCCGGGATACCAGTGTCAAGGCTTTGGCAGTGTCATGGCTTGGGCGTTTGGGACACCTGCAAACTAAAGTGTTGTTGGGTAAAGTAGAGAACTCAAGGATGAGGAGAACTAATTCGTCGGGTAAGGTATCAAGGGAGGTGAATTTCAACATTTTGTGATGAGGTGTAAGTAAGTATATCTATGTATATCTCATCTCCTGCTATAAGTTACTATAAGTGAAAACGGAACCTTTTTCAAACCAAAAAAAAAGAGGAAAGTTTATCAGAACTGGCAATAAAAGTTCATGTCAGCTCAGAGCAAGCAAACAAGTTCTAGGATCTGACATACTTCATATAGTATTCCAGTAAGAGGGATGTGCTGTCGGATGGTCGTTAATAAGAGCCCCGAGGGATGCTGATAGTATGCTGATTACCCAGGCTAGGTACCTAGTAGGCTAGTAGGCACCTATAATCCCACTGTTATCCGCCATATGACTCGATGTCCCCGCTCCTAGAATGGCGGGGTTCGGTACTATTGTCCGTCAGTTGCCTTCAAGGTTGGCGGTACTTGGCCCCTGTCTTCGTATGGTCTCAATAATAACAAACACCACTGCAGTCAGTGACTGGCGATAGGATCGTGTATAGATAGGTGCACTAGCTTTGCACCGCCTGCTTACGTGATACCAAGGCCCGGAAATCTTATGTATAGTTATCAGTCATCAATCATCGGTTGCCGAGTATGCTTCCTTGTTTTCCGTTATACGCCTCTTGGAATTTTGAGCGAGGTGCTTCACCTTCGTTTCATTTTGTTTAAAATGATAAAGAATGTTTATTGATGTCTATTTAGTTAGCATGACAGAGGATTGCGTTGAAATCTAACAGGTATCCAGGTGTATCTTTTAGTGGGGTTCTCATCATCCTACGCTCTGCGCCGTAATCGTCTCCTCAGCCCCCATGTCCGGCTCCACGCGGGCGCGGGGGACAATATTTTAGTGTCTCAGCACTAGTTACAGTGCCTTCGTTTCTCTCGCGACTTCCAGGATCTGATTTACCAGAGGCTGTACATCTGTACTCTTAAGGGGAATTCGATGATCGCCGTTCCACTCCACTAACCGCGTGGTGTTGGGATCGCAGTATTCCTCGAGAAGTTCCCTGTGTAGACTCACGCCCGGATCGTTAAGGCCGTGCACATGAATGGTCGGTAGCTTTAGTATGTGGTTTCCGCTCATCATCTCCATCAGGTCCGGTCCACCTGTGAGGCCAATCTGCGACGGGTGGGCCAACATCGATGATTTGAACACGTCGGGGTCTAAATTCACAAGAGGTGCGCGCCCAGCCATTACAACTGCGAACTTCCAATTCGATCCCGCTCGATCACTGCCCAACTTTTCTGTGCGGATTTGCTGTCGAAACAACAGGCTAGCTACCATTTTGGCGCCTTGGCTAAATCCGAGGAGAGCAACCCAAGGGCCGGTGGCGCCTAATTCGTCGTCCATATCCATAGCTTCCTTTAGCTGAGCTTCAATCTCAGTGACCGCGGTGTGGTCTTCTACCTCAGACTGCTCGGGTAACCAGCGCAACCACCGCTTAAAGGGGCCGTGTTCTGCGTACACTGACAAGACATCTGGTCCGGCGGTGGATGAGAACGGGGCCTCTGCGTAGACCATGCGAAAGTGGGGCTCGAGCGTGCGCGACAGCACGCGGCACTGCGCCCGAAAAATGCGAGCGTTAGTCCCACCGCCGTGCAAGCAGAGAATGCGCGGTAGGTGCAATGTTGAGTCTGCGCCGTTAATATCCATGTTGACGTGTGTGGCGGGTACGTAGTTTAATCATGCAACGCTGGAAATAGTTGGAAGAATGGGCGGTGACAGTAAACAATAGCGGCGTTGTATTAATCTTTAATCTTGAAAGATTGAGGCGTATAAAATTGAGGAATTGAGTAGAAAATAGTGTCACCCTGTTGGGTACCTGGGTAGGTGGACAGTAGGGTATAAATTGTACCAAGTAGGCAAGGGACAAGAGAAACTCCGCTTCCGCGTCCGCTTGCACTACGGACGGTTTTCGCTCCCTTTGGACGCAAGAGATCTAAGCTTACATCTCTTGGTAGAATCTAGTAGGCAGGATTGTCCAGCGCAACATGCCCTTAACCAATCAGGGCAGCGAGTGGCATATTTCGGAACGGACTTCACCAATGCCCGCATCAAAGTATGTCAGCTATGTCAGCTCCAGCAACGCACGCAGTGAGAAAAGTTGTTCCTTGGCAGTAATGAACTACATAGTAATTAGTAAAACTTTACTAAGGAGGGACGAGTTAAATGTAAAGTTTTACTTAATAAAATCGTGTTGTGGAGCCGTGCCTATGAGTGAAAAAAAAAGCTCGGGCCCGTTCCTTGCAAAAATTGATAAGATAAGCCTATGAGTGAAAAAAAAAGCTCGGGCCCGTTCCTTGCAAAAACTGATAAGATAAGGAGCTGAGCCTCCACAGCCTCAATTCAGCCACTTTCCATTCAATTCCATCCATTCAGTTCCATTCTTAATAATCAAAGCTGACTAATCCAATCCATCTTTTTAATCCAATCCATCTTTTCTAATTCTTCCATTCCGACTTCTTCTTTTCAACTTTTTTCCATTCAATCCATTTGATCCATTTAATTTATTTAATCCATTTAATCCATTCAATCCATCTTATTAATCATCTTCAACACCACCACCTAAATCAAATATTTCAAGAAATATTTGAAATAATTGATTTACATGGTGGTGTTGAAGGTGGTGTGGAAGGTGGTTTGCTGGATTTGGGGGCTGAAAAGCGATGCACCCAATCAATCAATCAACAGCTTGAAAAGTTGGCTCCAAACGTTTCACTTTTTACTAGCGGCTCAATAGGTCCAGATTTGAGCCAATAGGATGGCTTCAATTTCAATAGGCTTACTAGCGCTTAGTTTGCCTAACTGTTTGCCTTGGATGGTTGGGGTACGTACTGATGGAGCGTGCTCTAGACCGGTCTATATAAGGGCTCTCAACCCCCAAGCTGTTGTAATTCTTTTCTTCCTCCTTTCAACCACCTTTCAGGTTTCAAGAGCTTTTCAAGAGCCACACAGCCTCAACCCAGTTGATCCATTCAATTAATGGCTGATGCACCCATTCCGAGGCGGGTCGGCCGGCCCCGGAATGCTGCGCTGCCGCCGCTGCTGCCGTGACCTGCTCCAGGAGAGCTTTCAGAGCTTTCGGGAGGGTTTATCCCTGACGCTAACATGTGCCATCAGCCGTAAATCCCCCCCCGGGGCAGTCCCATCGCCGCAAGCGGTTCCCAAATACAGCCGGCCTCCGACAACCGGCTTTCCTCCGAACCTCCCTCCCATACTCCGAAAAATCCCCCCAATCCGACAATTTCTCCCCATCCGGCCAAGCCGATTCCAGCCCTAACACCTGTAAGTCCCGGCGCATAGGTTGATCTAAGCTTAGTAAATGGAGTCACGTGATATTCGCGTCGCTCGCGTGAGTATTACGTAATCGGTGCCTGATATTAAAGAAACCTACCGTCACGTGATTGTTATGTAACTATCGCCTCACGTGAAAGAAAGGGCCCATTTAACCTGGCCAATGGCTGGCCTTTAATTGGGTTAAACATTTGGGTGATTTAAACCTGTTTTTCTTCTTTTCGAGCGGAGCGAGCAGCACTCCGCAGGAGCCGCCGGAGGCATGATTAAATGTTTACTGTTTAAATAAGATAAAAACAAATAAACAAAAGATGAAATAAGTAAAATAGTATTTAAAATCAAAATTGTTGCGGAGCGACGATTTTCCAGATATCAAATTAATAAAGTTTTACTAATTTAAATTGCTTGCAATTTGCCGGGTATTTTACTGCATTAAAGTGGGGTGCAATTATGTAAGTAAGTACTACTATGCCGTATGTATGTATCCACATGTACCTATCCATCCATCTCCAACTTGGAACCAGTTGACATTTGAACTTTCAAGGTTGACTTCAACAGTTTAAAGTAAACTGTGTGGTACCTAGTAGTTCTACCAGTAGTACCTGACAAGTATATACCTAACTTAGTAGGGTAGTAGTAAGTTAACAATGACAACTCCAAAGGACTGCACTCCATTATCGCTCCATCATCACGACATCCATTTTTCATCGATCAATGTACTACATAGTATATAAAAATAGCACCAAACTCCCACTTGTAGTCTCCAGCCCACACAAAGCAGCATTTTTCAAGTCCCAGGTGACTTATATGCAGTAACAATGACTCTGTCGCTACCGCCAGAAGTCTTACTCATCATATTCACCAATTGCGCCATATCTAGCCAAGATCTAAAGTCGCTGAGGCTCGTCCAGAAGTCATGGGAAGGCATAGCTACAAGGGAGCTATTTCGTCAAGTGTACCTCTCTGCGCTTATCAGAGACCGCGATACATTTTTCAATATTGCAAGACACCCACGTCTATCCACCATTCCTCGCATGCTCGTGTGGTACGAACTAGAGAGAGGCACATCATAGCATGATATGGACGATCTTCTGTATGATATGGACCAAGATTATCCACCAGAGTTCTTCATGGATATCGCCCGACAGATACTCTTCGATACCTTCTGGTTCTCTCCAAAGTCGACGCGAGACCCAGACGGGGACCTAGACGAGGAAATCTTCCGACAAAAAGCATCAACCCTTGACGATTTCTTCCCTCAGTTTTGGACTGCCCTGGACGCCATGCCCCAGTTACGTACCTTTATCAGTCAAGCAATGCCTCCATGCCGCCTACTCACCACTTCTTCCACAGCCTACCCAGCAACAGCACAACTTTTGCATGGCATGCCTCATGCCATCGATTCCGATATACCTATACCCATGCTCGAACATACGCTCTTGGGCACTGCTGTGAGCACTGCTGTAAGAACTGCTATAACGAAGAGTCGCCATACTTATCCCTTGAAGCGTGGTCCATTCAGTCGCTTTTACTTTTCCGACTCGGGCAGTAGATATGGTACCCTACCTAGTATTCAATTTAAACATATTCACTCCCTTTTCACTACCTTGACACATCTAGATATGTACATCAGTCGTCCAGTAGAATATAAATATGTGGAGGCCCTGCGGGACTACATTATGACGGAGAAAGGGCTCACTCACCTCCGTATATGTTTTGAGCACCAAAACTCACTCATTCACGTGTCTCCGAATGAGGTTGGTGCATTCGAGCTTCTTTTCAGCCATCAAAAGTTTCATCTACCGAAATTGCGCTTTTTGCATGTATCAGAATTAAGAACCGAGCCGAGAATACTGCTACAAATTCTCAAGAGGCACGCAAGGACCTTAAAGTCGCTGAGAATCGATGATAACATTGAACCACAAGTCCTCCCTAAATTCCTTCAACTGGCACGAGAAGATAGACTTGAGTTAGAGCAACTTTCTATCGTACCCACGCATACGAAAAACTACCACTGCTTGTCAGTGTTGGGACTTCCAGCCCACGAATATCTGGCGCAAGAAGAGGATGACCTGATACCACTGCAGATTAGATTCAACGAGTTTGCATTTGTGTGCAATCTGGATTTTGGTTGGGAGCTAGGCGGTTGGAAGACAGCAGTAATTGAGGAGCGCCATGGAGAGAGTGTATTCTCACGCGCGTACTCGAAAGAGGAAATGGCTTTGCTGGACTCGGATAACCGTGACTTGTGGTATTGTGCCACTTGGCCCTATCCAGAGCCCTTCGGCCAAGATATCACGCCTTCACGCATTAACTATAATGAGTCGGACTTGGCAAACACTTATGATAAAGTCTCGAGGGAAAATGCTTCTCATCTCAAACATCTACAAGAAGCCCCCTCGTGGAGATATCATTGGGACATTCATAGGGAGATTCAACATTACTCACGATGCGCTGACGACGATATGGGTCCACCCCTATCCACCGAAGGCCATGAATCTGGTGGTGGGAGCTACCAAGTGCCGACAGAGATGTGGTATTTCCAGCATCGCAACGGAGAAGTAGCCTTCGGAGACGAGCCGCTAGAATTCTAGGAGGATTGGGAAGGTTCCGAGGCTGGAGACTTGACTATGCCAACTCCGTTTGGATGGACGAGCAATGTTCATTATCTATCCCAAAACTCGCCTCCGCCGGTAGCAACACTGCTCCACCATGCTGAAGCACCCCAGTTAAAAAAACCAAGAGACGCCCCCCCCGGCGTATTAGTCCCATATGATAGCGCGAACGACCCGATGTCTCATACCTATTGGCGGAATCTTCACCCAATTCCACCTTTAATCATGCGTGCTGGGCTTAAGAGTCGTCCAGAACGGCCACGGCCACTATTCCTGTGAAAATAAAGCGAACTAGGTTCGTTACAATGAGCTGATAGACTGGTATCATGGGTATTTGCTACATTATCAGATCCAGAGCATAGGTACAATTAACCACTGTTTAATAAAACGCTGAGAACAGCCGCTAGGTACATAGAATTGGTCATTCGTTTAGAATAGAAGCTTTTTCATTCCGAATGATTATCTTGTGGATCCAACTGCCTCCGTGCATATGATTCACCTTGGCAATTTGCTAACTACCTAGGTAGATTTCCAACCTTGACTCTCTGTCTGTGACGTGTAGGTTTAGCAATGACTGGAAATTACATACGCGATCCATATTGTTACCTACCTTCGATCACTATCGCTATAGTAACTAATTACTGTTGTACTTATCTTCAAAGAGACTTTGAGCAATGGACAGCACTAAATGCCTACCTAGGTATTTCAAGTAAGTATGTGTTGAATAGGTTTCCATAGATACGTTGTTTAATGGGAAGTAGCAATCTACGGCAGAAGTAAAATACCTAAGTTAGGTGCTTACACGTAGTAAAAATATCACTTTCAATTTCGAATTCCCTATCAGGAGGTATGTCAAACGCTAGGTACTATTTATCACCTAAACTCAGGATATCACAGATACCTCGACCCCGCTAGTAGTAGTATTACCCGCATACCTACTACCTAGTATCCAACCAACTTCAGCAGCCTCGACGGCATAAGCCAATTCGTCGTACCTAGGTACTCCGCTGTACGCAAATATTACCTAGGTACTGACCTGCGACTTCCTGGCAAGAACAGTCAAGCCGGACCAAAAAAAACGCCAGCTGGAATTTTTACGCTTTTACTCGCTCACACACTTACTACAACTACTACTCACCTAACCTACCGCCGCCGCTGCCGCCGCTGCTGCTGCTGCTGCTGCTGTTCTTTGATCTTGTTCTCGCACGGCTCGCACTCCATGACCCGGCTCCCCAGGTTGTTGGGCCGCAGGTTGGGGCACTCGGGGGTCCCGGCCAGGGGCTCCGGGCACGGGTCGTAGTTCCGCACGTAGAAGTACCAGCGCGTGCAGTGCGGGCAGTAGAGGTTGGTTAGGTCGGCGTTGCACATTGTTTGGTTGGTGGGGGTTTATGTGTCGGGTTTGTGTGGGGTTAGGTAGGAGGTTGCCTAGTATGGGAAAAATGACGGAGAAAGGGGGGGGAGGGAGTGGTGGTTGGGGATGAGATGGGGAGGGGAGAGAGATGGTATTGGAGGGCCTTGGTTATTGAGACGAGTTAATGTTGTTATATATAGGTAGGTACTATACGAAGTAGCCATTCTTGTTTGTTGAGAAGATGGATGGCAATGCCCCAAGGTTTCGACAATTGATCCCCCCCTACTAGCCTACAATGGACTACGGGTAAATGCCCTTGTTGTTTGTTGAAATGGCATTTTGTTTTGTTTCGGCGCACAAAGCGTAAATGATTCCCTGCCAGCTGGTGAATGGTTCTATGTTTGGCGAGTGTATGGCCACGGCTTCCACGCAACAATGCTTTGTTTAAAAAGGCATTGTAACGCTGACCCCTGAGAAAGGAATCGCAGTAACACGACACAATACTGGGGCAACGTGACCGCTTCTTGAATGTACAATACACACTACCTGATATATTTCCGTAGAAGAGGGCTTTCTCATAATCTGGCCTACTTTCCCAAATCGTAGCCAAATGAATCATCGCCGCACCACTGTACGACAGGGCTGTCATTTTTTAAAGACAACTACCTCGATTTCGCGTTGAACTGGGAACTTTATTCTTCATTTTCATCATATGGGGCTGGTCGAATGTTGGGATCAGAGGCCATTAATGGTATCGGGGGAGGAAGGGGGAAGTAGCAATATATGCAAAAACGTTTGTCGCGTAGAATGATGGTGATAAACATGCTATCCACGCATTCTTTCCCATCTCACGGCTTGCTGGCATCTCTGTTTTGACCGTCCACTTAGGACTCCAAAGCAAACGATGGTGGATGTGATATGGCGTTGAAACGTAGGTGGAGGTGGAGGCCTTTGGTCGCGGTGGTGCCTCTGTGACTACCTACGTAGTCATAGATCCTGAATTGATAGCTAAGGAACTCGTGGTTGGTATATCCGTGTTTCTGGTTTGGCGTACTCATCGCGTTTTGACTTTATCCATGCTTCAACGGTGCGTCCCGAAAGGACTTGAATTGGCAGAGTGGCAATTCACGACTCTTTCAGATGATGCCTCCGCCAAAGGTGCCTTGAGGTGACACCAAGCTATGGTGTATCATGTTGCCATGGGGAGAGGCTTCTAACGGCACCTCGTGCGTATATCACCCGGGATCGATAACAGCAATGCCAAGTTGATGAAGCACTAGGTAGCAAGCGTGTCTGAGACGTAGTTCTTACTGCGCTTCGGAAACTCCTGTAGCTATTCAGAGCGCACCGGCATGGGGTCTGATGAAGATATCGCGTCGGAGTCTGGGAACAGAGAAAGTGAGTTATTGAATAGAGTAACAGTGGTATGGAGGCCATCTAGAATAAGTGTGTCCAGGTATTTTCGTATTGTTCTGTAAGTGTCTGTTAGTGGGGCAACCCCACGTACCGCAAAGAATTTCGGTGGCTACAAGATGTCTTGAAGATCCCAGAAAAAGGACATGGGAATACCATCGTGTGGACACATAAAAATTGCAGGTGGGCGGATGGATAGGTGAGCAGGTGGATGGGCAAGTAGTCAGAGATAAATAAATATATACGAGAAGACTTGGTGTGCTATTCCTACGCAGAAACCAAGTCACCAGATAAAACTATTGAAGAATGGTTTGATTTGATTGGAAATGCTACTATGACTTATCTACTACTAGAGGAGTCTGGTTGAGACCAGACTTATTGATTGATGTTCAAATGTCGGGTGTTTTCCAGAGCAGAAGAGACAATGAAGTTCTCCCTGTTGCTGGAATACCCATTTCATTCTTCAACATAGTTGGGCAGGCATAAGCGCATAAGAAGGTGCTTTGCCAAGTAGCCATATATGTTGGTGAGGTTAGTACCTGTGGTTAGTCCCTGTGGTAAGTAGTTAGTAGAGGAGGGGGGGAGACAAGCCAAAAAAGGGTAGATCATGTATGTAGATGGTGTTGTAGATGGTGTTGTAGATGGTGTTGTAGATGGTGTTGTAGATTGTTTTGTAGATTGTTTTGTAGATCGCTATATAGATGGCCATGTAAATGGTAAAGTAGATCGCTATAGATCATGAAGAGATCGTATGAATAGATCACCTAATGAAAGGTTAGCACAATATTAGATAGAGATGAGAGAGATGGACATACCTGTGTATAGACATTTCGTGGCAGATTGCTTGCCCACGAAAGTAGAAACCTTTGGCGGGCAGATTGCTTGCGGGCGAAAGTTGGGAAGGATGGAAAAAGAAGGATGGAAAATTGGGAGGACGGCCTTGCTTAAATACTTTTTCGAGGAGTGGGGCTAGTTACTGATTAGAATCAGCCATTACGCGCTAATCCGGATTCGTACCATTTGATTTCTGATTGCAAAAAGCCCATTGGGATTAATTAAATAAAACTTAAATGTAGTCGTGGTAGCGAGACAATGGTAGTGCTGATGATACTGTGCCTAAGGTTGATATTCCGATATTGAGGCTCTGTACAGTGGGGGCGTTAGTGACTTGGCCATTGTGGTGGGGAGAATACAGTGGCCAATCAGAACCCTTGTTCATTTCCTAAAACAGAAACTTCCCTCACAATTGGTACGTACCGATCTAGTTATTTTGATTATCCGGCGCACCGATCCTGAATTTTGATTGGCTATTTATTTACCACAGTACGTCCTTATGTACCCCTGTACCCAGCAAACTTCTACACAGTGTGTAAATTCTTGACGACAATTCTCTGATCATCACAAAAATCCTTCTGATTATTCACAATACCTGTGACTAACTACCTGTTTCCAACGACCTTCCTCAAATAATCATCACAGTAGGGTTAGCCAAGCCGTTCGCAGAAGACAGAGCATTTATAGCTTAGCTAATGCCAAGAAATCGGCCTCGAAGCGAGTACTTGGGCTGGCATGTCTCGCCTTGTTAAGTTAGATATTCCCGAAGTCAGCTTAGGCATTTTGGTGACACATGACCAGAGGAGAAGGTTTGGGAACGAGACAAAGTTATTGCGCGAAGAACTCTATCGACGTATACGCCGGCGTCACCATGGCCTCAACTCAACCAGCAGGACTTACTCCGATTAGAGTGCAGGAGAGTGTGCAAGGTTCCTTCTGATAGCTTAGATAACTAGATCATATATTTTTTAATCTTTGAATTCTAGCTCTGTTACTATTCACGATTAGAATGACTAAGTTATAGTGAACCTCGAAGGCGCAAAACACCGTTATTGCGCGGGGATCTCTAACATCTCCCCAGGGCTATGGAAGCTACCAGCCGAAGCCGTCATTATCCTCGCCAGACTCCGATGAAACGACATCCCAACCCTCCGACTCCAGTTGTGGATACGCGACTGCGGATACGATGCTGTCTTCGGGTTTGCTTTCATTCCAGCAGTCCTTGTAGTCATCCCCAACTTCGTCTTGTTGGTCGCTCTCCTCGATGGGATTGGGGTAGCAAACCTCTTCACTTGGCTCACAATACACTGCACCTCCCTCTTTGTCGTTAGCGACTCCCTTCTCCTCCTCTTCTTCTTTCTCTAGATTGGAAGAGGAAAACTGGGGAAAGAAGGTTTGGTAAGTAGAGAAGATAGAGTGTTTATTGTGCCCTGGGTGATCCATTCTCAGAGCCTGCTGGGAAGAACCAGTCATATCACCATCGCCCATAGCAGAGGTAAAAGAACCTCTCTGCGCCTGGTATGAAGCCCCAGCGTCTCCGTTGTCTCGCCAGCCCCATTCGGCTGACCACGATTGCAATTCCTCGTCACGGAAGAGGCGAGGGTAATAGTCCATGTGGCCAGCCCTGTGTCGGCACTCGGTGCAGGGCCACTCGGGGGACGAGCTAGCCGGGAGGTGCCCAAACCCCATCCGATCCGCCCTCAGTTCCGACATGTAGCGATCAAACTCCTCGCGCATTCTTTTTAGACAGTCCGAGAGTTCTGAGCGCGCGTCTTGGAGGAACGTATGAAATGTCTCGCGCATACCACGTACGTGCGAGTTACCCACGTAGTTTTGTATATTGCCGCGAGATTTCCGAGTGGGGATTGTGTCGATGGTGCGAGAGTCGGATATGGCAGGCGATTTCTCTGCATCAGTTTCGTAGCGACTTGTATCGGGGTCTGGGCGAGAACTCTCTGCCTTGAAAGTATTGTTCACCTTTGCTATAAACCCTTCTATCTTGGCAATGGCGTTGTCCATTGTGCTTGAATATGGCGGTACTGATTCGTTTGGGAAACATGTGGCGTGCGCCGATTGATCCCCATACATCGCGGATATATTAGCATCGAACGCGCCACCAAGTATGGCACGAGTTTCGCGCCTGAGTTGTCTGGTCTTGGTCGGATATTGTGGGCTGTGAGGTATATTAAATTCCCCAGTGGAAGAGCTTGTGTAGCAGCGTTGGTGAATAGGAGAATGCTGGAATATGATTCGGTCTCCTGGTACCTCATTGGAGACACTGGCTTCCATACTTAGGGGATTTATTGGTTGGGAAGAGCTATTCTTAGTTAGATCGGGAAGACCCCAAATTCGTTCATGTCTGTTTCGGATGCCAGAACTGCGCGAGGTATTGTTGACCAGCGGGGTCTGATCATCTGTATCCGAAAGTGGGAACATATTTCTTAGTGACTATCTACTTCAGAGAAAGAATGGCGAGGGGAGAGCAGGATTTTCTCAAGAATTGTGAATTATAAGGTGGGTGAGATGGGCAAAATTAACTTGAAAAATTACAAAGGATGTGGGAGAGAGGAGGGTGACTTTATAATCCTCAGTGCTCAGATCTTCCATTAGCACTTGGGTGATATTAGAGTTCTAGCTTTGACATATATCGTAGACAAAAGTAGGCAGAAGTAGAAACTCTGTGAGCTGAACGAAACGCATCATCCCTTTAAATATCTGACCACCTGGTGCCTGTGCAAATAAGGCGATGGGTTTGAATGCATTGACTAGTTTTTCTAGGCGTGGGTGCCTTCTGAAGTGCATGTGAAGAAATGTAGCGAGTCCATGTGTACTTAGGGTAGGTAGGTTAGTTAACGTTTTGTATTTCTTATTCGTGCTTTTGGGATGTCAGTATCATTTATGGCAGCACTATTGATTCTCTTGAACCGACAAGTAGGTTTTAATCTGTTTGATTTTCATTTGTTGACTTTGTCCTTCTATGATTCTGGTCAGAATAGTTAGGACGATAAAAATCCCCCGTCCGTTGTGTCCCCGTGTGTGTCCCCATGAGTGTCCCCGTGAGTGTCCCCGTGTCCGAACTTTCTCTTTCCACTTGTCTGTGGCCTGTAGGGAATCCCCCTTCCTCCTCTTGCTCATCTTGCACTACTGGATGCATTCTCACGATGGGGTACTGGACCTTGCGATCCCAATCCTCGATCGACCAAGGACTGCGTAAGAAATTCGCAAGCTCATGAAGGAGTAACTTCGTGTTAGCTCGACCCAGGAAGTCTTTAAGCATTTCTTCTGCTTGGCCTTGACTTCCTTGAATATCCACAGCCTTCAGGATGGCAATTATATACTCGAGCAGAAACTCCGCGTTGGTTGCACGTCGTCTTGTCATTGCATCGTCGTTAGATTGCGCGGTAGGTGGGGTATGGAGAAACTCGAAGACTTGCAATTCCCTTCTCAACCATGATCGTGCCCGAGAAACCATCTCGGGGTCAGTCTGAAACAACTGGGGAGTCAAGTCGCGGAATCCAGATATATGATTAGATCCGACGTGTAGAGAATAAAGTTGGTGACGATAAACTTGTTTACGACGAAGAAGAGCCTCCTCAGAAGTTAGCTGCCTTGGAGCTGTAGGCGGGTACCGAGACCGAGAGCGAAGATATCTTTGTAAGGCAAATCGAGTTTGTTGATGCCGAAGTCGCAACTGCGCATGGTGCCATGGTGGGTGTTGAGATTGTTGTTGTGAGAGGTTTGGTAATATGTTGGGTAATACGTTTTGTGATGGCTCTTTTGGAGGAGGGACTAGATATACTTGGTTTTTCGCATCCGCTCCATTATGGTTGAAGTCGTACCAGACTTCGTTGACGTTGCTCTTGCAGAGGGGGCACTTCGCCTGTTGCTCAAGCCAATTGATCAGGCAAACATAATCGAAGTTTCGGTGACCGCAAGGTCGAGCCTCGCAGGCTTCAGTGACGCGATCGAGGCAAATAACACAACATATTTCGTTTTGGTTGGCGGTGTTACCGGATTGTCTTTCTGATGGTAATACTACTTCGGCAAGGGCATTTTGAAGTACTTTGGATGGTACTTCAGCTTCGTCTACGTCTGTTTCCATGTTGGTAGAGCGTCAGCGACAGAGATACAAGTCGTATGACGTTGTCGTTGTTGTCGTTGTTATTGTTAATGTTGTTGTTGGTAACAAAGCAACTGACTGATTAGTTGATTTAATTGATAATACGTAGGTAGGTAGGTACCTGGTAACTAGCCCAGGACCTAGGTACTAGGTAGTAGGTACTCCGCAGAATGGATGAATGGAAAATAAAGGTGGAGATCCCATTCAGTTCATCAAGGTTTATTTTTAGGACACTGTTCGGAAGATAGATATACCGATGGTCAACGTGAACGATTTATTGATTAGAGCTGTCTTGGCATGCAGGTGAAAGCTGTGTAGCTGCATCAATGATAACTAACTTATCCTAGAACCCCACTAGTTCCACTACATTATCACTTAGTTAGCTAGGTTAAGGGGTTTGTATTGTACCGCGTCGCGTCTTCAATTAATAAATCCCCATTAAACTTCGTCACTAGCAATACGCGAATAAACATTTCCTATTAAATCACTTTTAAGCAAGCCACCAACCCTTGAGCAAATCCGAAATTAAACTTGCTAACTTTACAACTCCCGTTCAACTTCCTCACATAAACATTCGACCAAGATGGATGACATTGAGAAACAAAAATATGAAGCGACGTCCAAGGAATTGCGGGCAGACTTGAAGCTATTTGAAGCTGAATGGGCAAGTCGCAATAGCGGTGCAAAACCACGACGCGAGGATATCAAACAGAATCCTGAAATAGGTATGCTAATTACAAAAGTATGCTTCTGATTTTTCTACCTGATGGCTAATAAAAATTGGCTTCAGCCCAGAAATATAAAAAATACAACCAAGTTCGTGACATCCTTGCTGGAAAGATCCCTCCCCCCAAGGACAAGGAAAGCAATCGGCAGTCTATGAATAGGCGAAAGCATAAGTCAGATGAAGACCTCTCCGAAACACCCTCCAAACGGTCAAAGAAAGTCGAAGCCGAAACACCCCCTCATATGCGAGAATGGATCATAGATCCCGAAATGTTCGCGACGCCATCCACGCGTAAGCTCTTCAGCCCTGCTATGCCTACTTCAATTGGGCCTACTCCTCAGAGGGATGGACGAATTCTAGGACTATTTGACTTGCTGGAGGAAAATAATGAGAATAGCCCCTCGACGTGTCGGCAAGTCAATGCTTCGGAGGATATGAACATCCAGGCTACGCCTAGCAAGAAGTCTGGAGGGATCGATACCGCAAAATTGGGCAGAACCCCAACATCTACAAATAAGGGCACAATGCTTTTCGTAACACCCTCAAAGCGACAAAGCGACAACGCAGCCCTAGGTAAAACACCAAATTCGGTTAGCAGATTGCAATTTTCCACGCCATCTTTCCTTAGACGAGCCCCTCTTGCTGCGGTAGACGAGAATGGTGAATTCATCTCCCCTGCTCCATTCCGTCTTCCTCGCAAGCCTTTAGGTCGCAGTTTGAGTAGCGTAGTTGCTGGTCTTCGAAAACTGGAAGAAGAAGCTGATGAGGACGACATGGACGCCTTGCATGAGATGGAGAATGAAGAGGGGAGTGGGACAAATCCATCAAACACTACCAAGCCTGCGAAGCCTGCGAAGCCGAATGATGAAATTCTTGAGCCAGATAGCCAAGCTCAGCAACTTCTTGGTGGATTTGATGACGACACTCGTTATGATAGCGCACCAGAGGAAGCATTGGGCCGCAACGGGCAGCCTCTGAGAGTCTACAAGAAGAAGGGGCAAAAGCGAACTACTCGAAAGGTGAACATGAAGCCGACTCAGAGTAAGCGGCCACAGCAGTCTACCGAGGAGCAATCGGATGTCGACGATGAGGATGTGCCTGAGACGCAGGTGAATACCACCAAGAGTAGTGGCGAGCCTCCGCTGGATTTGGGATCCGACTATGAATTTGACCCCTCCGAGGATGAGCGCCAGGAGCCAAAGAAGAAGGTCCCGGCTAAGAAGGTCCCGACTAAGAAGCTCGACAAGACGAAGAAGGGAGAAGAGACTAAGAAGGGAGACAAGAAGGAGGGCACAGTCAAGAAGGCGGTGAGGAAGGTTAATGAACTGGCTCACGCCAACTTCAAGAGGCTGAAGTTGAAGAACCATGGAGCTAAAGGACCCGCAGCTGGAAGCAGGTTCAGACGCCGTCGCTGATTACCGGCATCTTGCCTAGATTGGTCCTTGCCTACGAATAAATAAATAACGAGTGAAATGATGAATATACCTGCATAATTATGGTACCTGATGTACCCGTGCCTACGATTCAAGTTCCTCGAGGCTCTTTTGCTTAATTTGCGACCCGTGATAGCCTCATGCATAACCCCCTCCCACTTCTCCATTACCTAACCTACCTAAGACAACCCTCAACACGACAACAAAATCCTCAGTATATTTAGTTGAACACCCATCGCCAAAATGGACTAAGCTACAACTTCTGTACCTGAAGGCCCCTTGCAAAAGTTTTTACATATTCCGCATGACCAAAGGTGGGAATATCTCAAGAAGGTTATCATCCGAGTTCACATGGGAGAAAACAACAAGCTCGGTCAGCTTGCCGAACGAATGAAGACCGAATATAGTTTTGATGCCCAGTTAGCCATCCTATCATACTTCTATTAAATTCCTATTGCACCAATGACAAAAGTAGAAAGAGAGTGGGTTCATAAGTTGATTGCTGGATTCAAAATATTTCTCGTTTATCATTGCTATTAGATCTGCTGGAACATGGCTTCACGACTTTTGGATGTACGCCTTCATGACAACCGAGTACAGGGGCAAGGGGCCAGAGATTTGAACCCTGTCTTTGATCAAGGCAAGGTCTCTCTCTGTCGTCTAATCTAGATCCCCAAATCGATCAAGAAACCCTTCCGGCTTCACCCCCCGCGGTAATTTATTCAAACGTACATAGTAATCCAACGCAATTGTGCCGGTGAACTCCATTGGTGTCAATTACATCAACGCATCTGGGCATACTGTAAGGGACAGTTTGCTCATCACGATCCTTAGGTCTCATAGTACTGTTAAACCTGATGTTTTGGGAGATACGTTTGCCGGTCAGTCTCGATTCCCTGGCGATCAGGTTGACCCCCGGGGGAGACGGGGTGCCGACTCTCCTTGCATGCAGCACCTGTACAACTCGAGAATACCAGTAGTTCCACTTGAATGGAAGCACATGTTTTGCCATACATTTGTTCAAGCTGTTTGACAGTGTTTGTCATAATGTGGCAGTAATGTGCCTTGGGACATGGCGACCAAATATCAACGCGAAGAGTGGCTTGTTTACTAAGCGCTGTCAAAACTGCCGATCAGAACTAAAGACTGGATCTCTTCACGCTCTTATCCTGACTGCATTCCATGTTGCTAACTCCTGCCTGCCTGGCAAGAATCTCTTCGGCATGATAGCTTGTCTTGTCTGCCTTTTAGTCTATCGGGTCGATCCTTGTGATACTGCGGAGATATCCATTCCTGCACTGTTCGGACATAGGTAGCTCAGAGGACTATTGCGAACATACACCTATGAATGCAGCCGATCTAGCATCACGGGCAACTTTGGAAATTGTGGAATCGTGGAGTGCTGATGTTAGGCTTGGATGGGAAGTTCTTGTTGCCATCGTCCAGCACGACCTACCTAGCATCTAGCAGGCCATCACAACCTCTTGATTCGGAGGATGATTTGAACTGCAATCATAAAATGCATAAATTTGAGAGGGAATCCAAAATGAAAGTGGTTTATTGTAGCAACGAACAATTGGGACTGATCCGGGCGGCAATACAAGCTGAACTACTCACATACCGTCGAATTAATGAAGGAGATCCTTGACTGTCTAACCGCTTTGACATGAAGAATCTCCTTGAAGCGCTGAGAGGAGGCGGTGGAGGATCTTTTGACACACTCATTAAATATTATGAAGAAACAACAGCTACAAGGGAAGAGGCATGCACATATTACTACGGCAACCTAGATGCACCATAAATAAATTTTCTGAATGAAATTGACTCACGAACTCCCCTCTCCCCCAACACCTACCTCACCGACAACCCCTTCGCCAGCCCCCGTTCCAACACACCCACAAACCTCGTCACATCCCGCACCGAGTTATAAAAGCCAAACGAAACCCGCAAACCCAACCGGTTAACCGTGACCCTGACCCCACCCAGCTCCCTCAAATACGCCCCCCACCCCTCCGGATCCAGCCCCAGCACACAGATATGCGGCGCCCTCCTCCCGGCCTCCCGGGGGCCCAGGAGCGGTATCCCCAAGCGGCCGCACTCGCGCGCCAGCAAGCCCGTCAGGCGGCACAGATGGGCCTCGACGTCCTCGGGGCCCAGCACCTCGAGGTAGAACCTCAGGTACGCCTGCGCGGCCACGACGCCCAGCAGGCTCAGGTTCGCGTGCTCGAAGCGCCGCGCGCCCTCCTCCCGGAGCTCCACCTCGCCCCAGCCCCCTCCCCCCTCCCCTCTCACCACCAGGTCCGCCGGCAGGTTCTTCACGGCGGACATGCTCACGATCGGCGGGGGCGCGCTGCCGATCGCCGCCGCCGCCGCGGGGGAGACGTACAGGGCGCCGAGGCCCGTGGGGCAGTTGAGCCCCTTGTGCAGGCTGAAGGCGGCGGCGGCGACGCCGAGGCGCTGGACGTCGACGGGCGCGAAGCCGACGTGCTGGGTTAGGTCGGCGAGGACGAGTATGTCCCGGCCGTTGTTGTTGTTGCTGCTGCTGCCGAACGCGGCGCTGATGCCAGCCACGTCGTGCCGCTGGCCGGCGTCGAAGGAGATGGTGCTGAGGCCGATGGCGCGCGTGCGGTGGTCGACGTACGGGCGCAGGGTCTCGGCGTCGACCGCGTCGATCCTGCCACCATCGCCATCACCACCACCACCCTCCCCTAACCCCGCCGTCCTCACCCTCCTAACCTCCACCCCCCTCTCCCTAAGCGCCAACCACCCGTACACCTGGTTCGGGTGCTCCGTATCGAGCAGCACCACATTGTCGCCCCTCTCCCACCGCAAACAGCCGATAAAGCCGCCCAGGCCCTCGGTCGTGTCGCGCGTGAACGCGATCGTGGCCGCGTCCTCGGCGTTGATGCACCGCGCGAGCAGACGGCGCGTGTCCTCGCGCGCGGCCTGCCAGTGGAGCTGCGGGGTGGACGAGTAGAGGGCGGTGGAGGAGTAGCGCTGTTGGGGATTTTAAGTTAAGTAAAGAAATTGTTGCGTTGCGTTCAGAGTTCAACTTCTTTTTTCTTTTTTTTTTCTTTTTTTTTTTGGGGGGGGGGGGGTTTCTTTTTGGCTTCTTACTTACCGTGATGGCCTCGTGGATCACGAGGTTCGAGGGCGGCGCGGAGGCGGCGTTGAGGAAGAGGACGTCGGAGTCAGGCGGCGAGACGAGGGGGACGAGGTGCCGGTGGGACTGGAATTTGGTCGAGAGTCTTCTCGTTTCTGAGTCTTCTGCTTCTCCGTCTAGCTCTCCTCCTTCTTGGCCTTCTCCAACTTGGGCTTTGCTTGCGCTGAGGGTTGTGGTATGTGAGGTATTATTCTGTAAGTCATCATGATGATGATGATTATGTTCGGCTATCGCCTTGTTCTCTAGGGGACCCAGGGGACGGGAAACCATTTTCTCCTTAAGTCGAGCTCTTGTCGGTGGTGCGAAGGGTGGCCGATTAAGATTTCCTTGTAAGTTAGGAGGTGAGGAGATCAAAGGTTGGATAAAGTACGATACATAGTCCCTATATAAGATAGAGGACGCTGAAGATTAATGATGCAAGTAAAAGCTCGGTAGGTACCTACTCACCTATCTATCAGAATATTACCTTCCTATAGAGTACCTACTTACCCAGTAGGCAGCAGCCGAGATCTATCAAATCGGACTGGATTGCACCATACTCCCCCCTATACACGCTACGCTTACCTCCCAACCCCGCTTCGTATAAATGGCCAGCGAAGCCAATCACGATGGTCTTGTGTTGCGTGCATCGGGCATAGGACGTATTTCCCCGAGCCCTTCGAATGACATAGGGGGGGTTGCGAATCGGAGATTTGGTATTTGACTTACATATCTTACCTGCCTAGGTTGGAAGGCAGGTAGGTACGTGATTGGTACCACTTATGTATGACAGCATCTAGAAGATGACCCAGTATCCAACCTACCATGGTTAAATAACTTTTTAATCAGAATAATTCCCCAAGTTTGAATGATTTCTCCCAGTTTCTATTATTGGGTGAAGTTTACAATGATCCTCGCAGGTAGTTAAGGGGTTCCCGCTTTGGTGCGTACTTCTACCACGCAGTCAATAATGAAAAGTAAAAAAGTTCTTATACAACGAAACAATCCATAAGCTCAAACTACTTCGGTATTAATTAGATAGTTAAGTTAAAATATAAAAAGCACAAGGGTATTCATTTCCATTTCCATTTTTATGTTCCCAGACCAAGCAAGTCAAATATGAACAGACAGTAACAGCTTTAACGACTAAATATGCCCCTCCCCCTATCCCCTTTACCCCCTGAACCTGAACTCCGGCTAAAATAATAATTCTCAAAAATCCAAACTCTTTTACGCCCTCACCGTCGCAGTAACCGTCGCCAAGTCCGTAGCAGTCGTTGTGGACGTCACGATCTCCTTCTCCGTCACTGTGACGGTGACTGCCGCCGGAGTGACCGCGGCATTTGTCATCTCGACCCGGTTCGCGGTCGGCACGATGGGCCCGAACGGATTGCTGCCGCCAAGAATCGCTGTCAAGGGCGGGAGGGGGTTCACGATCGGGCCGTTCTCGTCGGCGCCGGAATCATTAGTAGGAGAGGGTTCGGGCATGGATGTGGATGTGGATGTGGTGCGTGTGGGCGGTCGTAGAGGGGAGCCGGCGGACGAAGTAGAAGTAGCAGTAGCAGAGGTTGTGGTAAATGTCGAACTCTCCGAAGTGGATGTTGAACTTTCTGCGATGGAAGTGGAGCTTTCTGAGCTGGTAGGAATCACGGTAACAGTTGCCGTGACGGTCTGCGGTGGTACGATGGGGCTGGATCGAGTCAACGTGCTGAAAGTGGTTGGCACGTAGGTCACCGTTACGGTTTCCTTAAGCGGCGTTTCTGTGCTCGAAGTTTCAGCAGGCAGCGGATTAGCGATCGACGGAGACGTCTGGGTAGACGACCCCGCACCCGCAGTCACAGTAGTCTCGGCCGTCTTGGTGATGATCGGCGTGACCGTCACGGTAACTCCATCTCCGCCAGAGCCTTGGGATCCCGTAGGGGAGTTGGCTGCGGCTGAACTGGGAGCAGAAGGTGCAGCGCCCCCTAGTGCTTTGGCTACGGTAGCGTCATCCCAACAACCGATCTGCACACCTGCCACCGTGTTCATGGGTAGGGCGTAGCAAGTCTCGGCGCCAGGGCAAGGAACGATCTCGAACGTCCCAGCACTAGAACACTTCCCAACGTTTCCGTGGACACACGCAGCCTGCCCGGCTGTGCATGCAGACTCCTCAGTTAGTCCGGCAAATACCGCGTTGTATTGGTTCGCGCTAGCCAAATTGCTAGCGAGCACTTCGGGGGAGACTGTGGCGGTCGAGGCTGGAACGGAACTGATAATAGTCGGGATCGCTGCATTTAGCGAGCCCGTTGCTGATACTGCGTGAGACACGTAAGATGACTTCACCACCGGAACAAACGAGGCTGGTGATTTTGTAGATGTATCAGCTGCTGAACTGGACGTAGCAGAAACTGACGTAGACGTAACAGCAACTGAAGTAGGAGAGCTGGCTGAAGCGGTAGAAGCAGTTTGCGTACTTGAAGGGGAACCTGCAGTAACCGTCTTAACTTTAGAAGACGTAAGGGTCACAGTACTAGACGGTGTAACGGTGCTAGACGCTGATGCACTTGTGCTGCTGGTAGACGGCGTCTCCACAGATGCGACCGACGTTGAACTAGCTGTGGAGCTATCCGGAGTCGTGATGAAAGTCAAAAGCGGCGTTGTAATAGCTTGGGACGCAGGCGTAGAAACGGATGTGACCGAGGCTGAACTAGCTGCGGAACTAACCGTGACAAGAGTCACACTCGGCAATGTGACATCCTGCGATTCAGCATTGGAAACGGTCGAGGATGCTGGCGTGAGTGGAAGAAGCAAGGAGCTCGACATCCCGGTAGACTTCGTTGACGGGGTCGCATTTAGAACTGATGACGACGTACTCGATACGCTAGTGGTTGAGTTTGTGACGTCGGTGGTTGAAGCTGACTCGATAGCCACTGTGGAAGACGGAAAAATGCTCACAGTGGGGATGGTAGTACTGTCGTTGAGAGTGAACGATCGAGAGATGGAAATAGAGGCTGTAGATGCTGTAGAAGATGCAGAAAGTGTGGAAAGCACGGAAGATACAGAGCTACCCGGCACCGAGGGAATGTGTGTGCTGGAACTAACTACAGTCGACGACGAGGCTGATAAAGTAGCTGATTTCAAATCTGTTATTGAAAAGGTGATTAGAGATGAAGATAGCGTCGACGCTTCACCGAGCGCTGATGCCGAGGAGCCTGCATCGGAGGACGTCGTGGGGGTGGTGGCTATGCTGCTCGTGTTCGCAAAGCTGTAGACACTGGAGGTTCCTGCTACATCTCGCCATCTCAAGCTGTAAGGTATTAGTCGACCATCATCCAGTCGGACTATCTTCTTCAGTACATACCTTTCTCCTCGCCTCAGCGGACCTGCCGCCGAGGCCTCGGAGAATAGTAGAAGGTGTGAGAATAAAACTAGAATGAACATTTGGAATATGGTTTTGGATATTATTTTTTTTTCCTGGGAAGGAGAAATGAAAAGAACGTATATAGGAAATACAAAAACCGAAAGGGAATCGTAGGTGCAGTTCAAGATATGGCTGGCATGGAACGGCGATTCATATTACCTCAGTCTAATAAAGAACGGAGTTATCTTAAAAGAAAGGCCTAAAATATCTTTAGAATCGAACAAGAGCACGGAGGGATATGGACACAATAGTGGACGGGGAAGGAACAATGATGATAATAGAAGGCGAACAAAGAAAAAAGAATAACGGAGAATAAAGAGTCGCAATAATGCGCGAGGGCGAACTACGAAATCTAGAATGACAATTACCGACTTTTGAAAATCTTTGCCCAAAAAGCAGGGGGAACACTGCCATCTTGTACAAGAGCAGTGAAACAAGACCGTGGAATGCCATGGTATGTTGTCCGACCTATCTTCACCGTGACCTTTACGCGCATGATCCGAACAGACTAGGTTTCCCAGTAGTCTCGGCCAGTATGGGACGTTGAACACTCATAACAGCAGCTTGAGGGCCATGGAGAGGGCCCGATATAACCGATATACCAGATAGATCGGGAGAATTCATCCAATGAAATTGTCTTAGCCTAGGTTATTTCGACGATGCTGGATTAAACGGCTAGAGTGAGGGTAACCCATTTTCGCTGTTACCTACAGTATCATGTATAGATTGGGTTTGAAGAAAGGTTGGCTAAGCGCTGCGATGGTTCTTTGAGTCCCTTCATTTCGCGTTTGACAAGTCAAAGATTGAGACGCGCGCTTGCGTGTTATTGGTCGTTCAGGCGGTCGTGGTTTTGTTAGCGGGCGGTTACGAGACCTCTGAGCCAATCGGTTCAGCCTCTATAGAACAACCTGCGGCCACGAAACAATTAGCCCCCAAGTTAAAAGACCAAGAAATTGGTGTTATGTTACATACAATGAAATGGAAACAATAGAGGACCAAAATAGCTGAAATAGAGCCTGGGCCCTGGTGTATTTGAATAGAAAGAGAGAAAGAGAAAGATGCAAGAAAAGGGCGCCAAGGCAGTGAATGGGTTAGGTTAGGTCAGCGATATGTTGTACTACCCTGGTCACATGACTAGGTAGGTTAGGATTCTTCCCCTGCCATATTTACCCCTTTTCTCTCGGTCGCTTTTGAGACGGATTATGCAGTTAGGTAGTATAAAAAAATAGCATTACTCTAAAATAACCCCGTCTATCAACTCCCAACATGCTCGTGTATAATGCACTCTGAACTCGCCATGCTAAGAACCTAGGTATGTATAGGTAATGACATAACCTGTCGAGATATGACATCTCTCATCATGATCTGCTGAACGTTACCATCATGTCTACTCTATCATAACCCATCATATCAAAAGAGAGAAAAAGCAAGATTTCATCCGACCGCGTAAGTAGCTAAACCACTTTCCGCATCGTGCATCCTTTCATAGCTCCTGCTCCTCCAACAGCAAGCTCTGCAGCACCTTGAATTTAAGCGGCTTGGTCAAGAACTGCGACATACCGGCCTCCATCGCCTCCTTGCGGGTATCCTCGTTACCGACACCCGTGATAGCGATGATAGTCGACGGTTTTACATATAGGGTACCTCTCTCCTTCTCAAACTCGCGGATCTGCCGCGTCGCTTCGAGACCGTCCATGACTGGCATCTGCAGATCCATAAGCACAAAGTCAAATGGCTTCTCTGCTTCCTTGAATTTATTGACTGCCTCTAGCCCGTTCATGGCTTCGGCGTGGGGAAGCTTGATCTTGGTCATGAACGTCACGAGAAGCTTGAGGTTGATCGAGTTGTCGTCCACCAAGAGCACACGGGGTATCCGTTTCCCCCGATCGCTGGATCGGTCGCGGAGGTGTGAAGCTGTCGTGGAGCTGCTGGGCTGGCCGCTAGGTATTGGAAGCAGTCGAGTAACCTCTTTCTTGTCAAATGGTGTCTTCAACCGCAATTGTTCTGATTTCCACCTTAAAATCTCAAGTGAGGGCCTATATCGTTTTTCCGCCTGGTCGTAGATGATTGGTAGAGAATTCCACCCAGCTTCCGTGGCGCGCCCTGGGGACTTACTGCTAGTTGGTGACGAATCTCTAAAGTGTAGTTCACTAGCTTCAACACGTTGAAGACATCTCAAAAGTACTTTGCCCAGCTTCCGCGCCCCCACCGGTTGGCTAATCACTTCAATGACCCTACCCAACGACACGAGATCTTTGATACCGGCTGCCCTTAGAGCTGCAGCTTCGAAGGCATTTGTACATATAACGAGCAGTGCCGCTTCTTTGCCTGAAATGCCCTTCGACCTTCGCTCAAAATGCTGCTGGACTAGATGCTCAATCGGCGGTGGCTCGGCGTAAATGAATACTGCTGTGTCGGGATCTGTCTCAATAGTCTTGCTTTGGATTACCTTCATATCGAACCAGTCTCGACAGAAAGTAGCAATGGAAGACTCAAGCTTTGAAAGCTCCCCAGAGATATAATTATCGCTGCCAAGGAGAGGGTCCAAGATGCAGACTGTTTTACCCGTTGTAACTTTGATAGTCTCGCGCGACAGGTCTTCTTGGATCCCAATATTACGGTCTCCATCGGCAATCTTCATGGGCATAGTAATACTAACTTGTGTGCCAACTCCTTTTTCGCTATCAACTTTGATTTTTCCTCGCACTACCAAAAGTAAGTTAGCGGTCGCATCTTGATGTAAAGAGACAACGGGGGATAAATAATCATAGAAACTGGACATATCCAATGGGAAAGACTGTCTTTCGAAAGATGCGACGGAGGGGCTGAAGAACGTGTGTGTGGGGAGGTGGGGAGGGGGATGTTGAATCTGAACTATACGTACTATTTTTCACAATCTGTGAAGTGATGGAAAGCCCTAGTCCTGTCCCCGGCGTGAAGGAGTTTTCCTGTGAAAATGCTTGGAACAAATGGTTGTTGATGAAGTTTTCAGACATGCCGATGCCAGTGTCTTTCACGGAAAATTCGATCTCGACCTCCGACGGGGTGATTGGCTTAGCCTTCAACGAAATATCGATACAACCCTCTTCGCAATATTTAATCGCATTTCCAACCACATTCATAATGACCCGGCGGAGCCCTCCTGTTTGCCCTTCCAACCACCAAGATTGTAGCTTCTGAATATGAAGTAGTAAAAACACCCTGCCAGAGAACTTGATACTGCCAGCGTGTATCTGCTCTTCAGTGGTCGAGCTGTCGTCGATGGCCATCGATTTTATTTGCTCAGATGCCTCATCGACGGGATCGTGATGTCGAAGATTCATCTTTCGAAACGTCTGTCCAACAAACACTGCCTCGACCACTTCTTCGGTGAGGAGCGCGAGATCAAATTTGGTAGACATAGGTTCCGTCGTCACATCGCGTGAATCTCTCCATGTTTTTCTTTCCTTGGTGGAGTCCAATTTCAAACTCGCTCGATTTAGGTTGTTTATTTTTGCGTAGTCCAAGAGGTGGTCGATGGTATCCAGGAGCGTCTTTCCGCACGTTTCTATCGCACCGACTAAGCTCATCTGATAAGCTGAGGTCATGGTATCTTCGAGGAATTCTAAGCTTCCCAACATCCCATGTAGCGGGGATCGCAGGTCGTGAGATATAGACGCAATGAAAGTGGACTTGGCAATGTTCGTATTTAAAACTTCCATGCTCGCAACTTCGCTCATCATGCAGGAGCCAAAGGTCTTAAAGTACGGCAATGCATCGTCAGGGTCGCCCATGCTAAAATCGTTGCCCCAAAGGAACCCAGCTGCAAACCACTGGCCTTGGGCGTAGTTGAAAAGGGGTAGAAACATGAGCCATTTTGCACCAGAAAGGTAACTCAATAGCTCTCGCGGTAGTAGAATGTGAGATTGGTCCTCGAGATCCAGAGACATCTTGATAGCATGACCTGAGCCGCCTCCAGCCACTACCTCGTCGGTGACGAAACCGTTATCAGGCTCAGCGCGACCTTTACTCAAGTAGAAACACTTGCCGAAAGGGTATCGTAATATAAGCTTCTTCAAGCCTTTTCGCTTCACTATACCTTGACAGCTTTTTTCATCATCTCCATTCTCCACAGACATACTCAGGAGATCTGCCATTTCGTCTAATCGATCACCGAAGACTGCCTGGGGTAAATTAGTTCCATATTTAGGGGATGATATGATGTCTCTCCCTACCTTGTCGGCCCTCTTCCCTTCATCTTCAGTCGACTCGAAGTTGTCATCTACGGCTATGTTGGCATGGGCACTGGTGGGAGGCGAAACCACCCCCTCGGATTGACCGTTGAACAATCCGGATCCAGCGTCTGCAAATGCACATCCCGTAGCCCGTGCTTGCTGACAGAGCAATTGCGATGCCTGTGTGAAGATTCTGCGAATGTTACCCTTAGACGAGTCTGATTTTTCCTTGTTCTTCGCATTGCTACCAGTTGAGTGTTGGGGCCCTTGGTTTGGGTCCTCTTTACCATCCGTAAACGTAACACGGGTAGGTGAAACGTAATTGGATGCTGTCGCAGTTGCCGATCTTGGAGGGCTAGATCGTCCTCTTGCGGGGGGAAGCTGAGGATCAACTGGGGGTACGTCTGGATTGTGATTGGCCTTGGAGGATTCCTGGGCACGATCGCCATTGCTTAATTGATATTTATATTCAGATAGATCCTCTAGGAAATATGAGATGCCTCTCATGAAACCCCGTTCTGAAAGGCGCCCGACAGTATCCACTAAGATGCACCGAGTTAATAAATCTCATTTTTCACGTGCTTGGTAATTGAGTTATGGGAAACCCGTTTGGGTACCTGAGATCAAGATTCTTCTACTCTCCCTATATTCTCAATATACCACAAAGCACAGGCAAATAGGATAAAGCGACTATTTACTTACTAACCCTCTCAAGATGGTTTGTAACGATCTGAGCAACATCTTCCATGAATTGGACTTCATCGAGAGTGAGACCTTGAGGCCTTGGTTTCATGTCGGAAACGGCGTACACGCCAATGGCGTGGCCCTGTTTTGTGGTGATGGGTACACCAGCATAAAACCTTACACCAGGGTTGGATGTGACATAACGGCGATATTTGAAGCGGACGTCCTCTAGAGTATCGTTAACGATCAAAGCAGGAAAGTGTACATCCCTGCCTTCAGCGTCCTTGAATGTAGCGGTGACTCCGAAAACTTCCTGGTCCATACAGTCGTCGCGCGGTAGAGAGACATTTCCAAGCCATAAGTGGTCTTCTGGGGCATGGCGCCTCTCGTCAACGAGGGAAAGGGTCTGTGTGGCTTCGGCGAGAATTATCTGAGAACTGGAGTCTATGAGAGATATCATGCCCCGCTTGACGTTCAATCTCAAGGCGGCCAGTTGGGCAAGGGCGGTAAGAGTGGTATCATGAGAGCAGCGGGCGGTTGGTGCTTCATCGGAACCGACATTATCTGGTACGGTCTTCAACTTCTTGGAATCAAGCCATGGTTGATAATATTTGTTTAGATCCCGTTGCCTAGCCAATTCGGTGCTGCTTACACTCGAAGCGCGCCTGGTTCCAGCACCAGCGGGGGACATGATGATGGATCATCAATCAATATTGTGATGGATACAACCTAAGAAAGGCAGGACTCGCATATAGCAATCTAATCTAATGGCAATCTTCACAACTGGATTTTCTCGTGGCGACCGTGGCGACTTTTGTTAGCGCGGAGCAGCTTCCGGCCGGTAGTATGGTATTGATGGCATTGATGGCATCGAGTACATGTATGTAATTACCAACGTCTATGGATTGATGTCTTAATCTTAAAAACTGACCACTAGCGTTTTTACCTGCACATGTGCACATGTGGCTACATAACTGGGTAGGTATCTACATAATGTAGGTAAGTGAGTTATGGGTATTTCATTAATAGAATAAATGTATTAAACAGGTTGGGGGGAAAAAAAGAAATTAAATTAAAGAAAAAAAAAAAGTGTTTAGGTAATTGTGCTCGAATGACGATGTGATGACGATGTCTTAGAAGTGGGGGGGAACTTCTTCGGATAGGTAGGCCAGGATGGGAAAAGGAAGACTTATTTCCTAAATACTAGGTAGTTACATATTTATATAGTTTTTACATGTACTTTCTTTTGATACCATGAATTATAGAAGCAATGTAACATGTTCTCCCATCATACCTACTGATTTCTAAGATGATGTACAATTAAAGTGACAATTACCGAGTCGCTACCTAGTACCTAGTACTAGGTAGTATTTCAACTGCCATTTTTGTTTACACAATCTAATGCTGTTGATTCGATCTTGGCAAATAGGAGCACAAGGAACGCTAATCTCATTCGTCAATAATAGGTCCGCGGGGCAACTCCCTCGTTCCCCGCCAGGATCTGCCGCTGAACACCCGGATCATCACTGATGTGACGTGATAACCCGTTCTGTCGGGCCAGCACGATCTTCGAGGCGTTTGACGTAAGGGGGATGGTGGCCATCTTGTACATATAACTTTTCGATTGCTGGTTAGATGGGGAGGTAAATAGATCGACGAGCCAGAAGTACTGGATGCGTTTAAGCTTAATCAGACGCCATTGGCTTGTGGAGACGGGCAGCGCTTGAAGGGGTTGGATTGCGCTCTATCCAAGGCCATGTATGCAGAGAATGCCAATCGAGGCTCCCTTGGGACCAAATTGTCACACATTTATGATTACAGTTACATGTACCTCCGCATCTTGGGGACAATCAGTAGGATAATCAGTCGCCATTGTGATAATTCATCGCTCTAGTTTATGTAGCTATGTAGACAGCCTAGTTGTAATGCATTGAAGTCGTTTCCCCATCCATGTTAGCATATCTTGCAGTTTCCTCTCATCATCACGCACGCAAAGCCTTGCAGCTGCCTCCCATCAAAGCAAAGTCCGGTAATTCGGGTGCCCGGCGGGCACCTTCACCACTGGATATCCACAGGCGCTGTGCCTGTTTACACCGCCGAAAATGTTCTAGAAACTCGCGCCGTAAATATAACTTATCGCGAACCTCGGATACCCAATTTCCAATTGAGGTGCCGAAGAGGCCTTCCTCGAGAGCGAGCTGACATCCGGCACACGATAATCCTCGCTCAGCTTTGCCGGTTCGTTTATCATAATAAGGGAGCTCGCACGCCCCCATGAAATTGAATTTTTGATCTCGTACCGGATTGGGCGGCGGTGGTGCATCCGACATTCGTCCAGTAATTAGCATGGCCTGGTAAACAGACGCGATCCTAACACGGGTTTCGTATACGGACTCCTCCATCGAGTAGATTCCAGGCAACGTTCTGAACGACCTCAGTTGCCTTGATCTGCCCTTGGTCATGCCGAACTGTTTCCGGATAGCGGCTAAAGTTTTCACTTGGGCTTCCGGAGCCACCTTCAGGCATTTAAAACAGCATCGATGCCAGTTTAAGAAGGATATAAATCCGCTAAATTCGCCGCAAGAAACACACTCCTTGGTGCATAGTGCGTAGTAGCATTCAGATAGAGAAACAAAGGGGGCATACCCGGTTCGCCCCAAGGCGCAGATAAGGTTCATGCCATGGGAGGTCACAACCTGATATTCCCTAAGAGAGTCCACTGTCTGTCTTGATCTCAAATTTGTTTGTCGAAATCGGGCTAGAGAACGCATGTCCAGGCGTAACAACACATCTTGCAAGAGCTCAAGAGGTATTCGATTGAGGGAGCCGAGTCCCGTGTAAGACATCCGTGGGAATGATGTGGCTATTGACTCAGCATTTTCTAATATGTAACTCGGGATATGTATCGCAGAGCGAAAGAAGTCTTCTCGATGGTAGGCGGTGGCTCGAACAATGGCGTCGGCCTGCTCCTCGTCAAACTGGTATTCAGTGGCGGAATGTAATCCACCAATCACAAAGAGATCCTCCATTGTCATTTTCTCAGTTGACATATTGTCGGTACCCTTGAATGAAAGACTGGCGAGACTCGGTATATGATGAGGACAAAGTAATGTGATTTATCGAATGATCACGTGCACCGAAGGCGGGCATCAATTAGGACAAATTCTTCGTTCTAATTCAACACGACTTCGATGGTCTTGATAGTGTGGCGCAACAACATAGGGCACAGTATGCAGCGCCTTTACAGATTGTTGCCCAACAATGCGAATAATTGTTTTGTTAACTGCGTTGCTTGATTTAATTTTTTTTTTGTAAAGGAGAAGGAAAAGTTGGAAGTTGTAAGGAAGTTTCAAAATACCTAATAAACGTGGGAAGTATTTATTTGCCATGTAAGTGGTCACGTGCTAATTTTATGTGACACTACAATAGGTGACGGTGGTGGCCCACTATACACAACCATGCTATGCCTGCAAAAGTACGAAGTACTCACCTACAAACAGAATTTGACAACAGGAAGATATTAAAATGCCTAAAATAATAATGATACAATTACTCAGGTAGGTAGGTACCTAGAACCTATGAGTTTATTATTAGGTACACATAACACATACGTTGTAGGCACACAGTATACCCAGGCTTGACATTGAGGGGAATAGGGGTTCAATTATGATTACGGAGTACATAGTATCATTCACCGTTGCAATAACATGACTCCTTTCCAACACTTAGTAGTGAAAAATTGCTGACGTTGAAGCGGGGACCCCATACTCATAGCCAGAATCATTTCGCCTATTCATTTGTAATTCCATGATCAGGCGCACCACAATCTGGGCACTTAGAGCCGTTGACCTGGCTGGTGAAAGGGTGTCCACGGACACATCTACGCCAGCGGCCAGTTTCCTTTAAATCTTCCCTTATCGCGTCCCAGAAGGAGCGATTCTCTGGTGTAGGGGGGTAAATTCCCATATTGTGATTTGCCTGATGAGCCATGGCGACGAATTTCGCCAATAGCATGCGGCATTCCTCTTCCTGACGAGCATATCCTCGCCTTTCCGCCATGCGGATGACTTGCTCACATTCCTTCTCCGTATCGCCTGTCTTAATTTTCACCGTCGTATGGGATTCTGATACATTACCCTTCAGCAGCAGAAAATCACCCAGCACGATCAAGTAGCAGCGAATGAGCAGCATTCGCAGCATGATTTCGCCGCGAAGCTGAAACTTGAACTGATCAATTTCTAGACGAACTGCACTTCCCGCCATCTGGCCAGTGTGTTGAGTTAAAGCATACGGCTGTTCTTCTCGTATGACTTCATGTAGGAATTTGTAAATGGATGTGTGAAGTTCGATAAACGCAGTGTACCGACTGTTCCCAATCCAGTCGTAAATAGTCAGCATTTGGGCGATGGAGCTTCCACTGATACGAAGAACCCCTTGCCCTCCAAACCGCTGGAGATACTCGTTGGATGTCGTTGACTGCTGCAGTTGCTCTTGTTCGTCAATGAGATGTCGTTCAAACTCCATTATGCGGGAGTGAGACCAGCTAGCAACTTTCTTGACCGAATCGTCAAGCAAGCATTGACGGATAATCATACCGTATCGTGCAATGTTTCGCAGGCTGCCACCACATTGCTGGCAGGATTTGATGACGGTTTCCCAGAAAGGCTTAGGAAAGCTTTTGATAGAAATGATCTTGCCGTCCGCATCACGCTCATATTGTTCAAAGCCTATGATGAAATCCATGGCAGTTCCTGGTATGATATGGCCGCAATCGAGAAAGATGCAGGGTTCGGCATCCAGGTCAATATCACAGTATTTTCGTTCATCGAATACGACAACCATAGTGGTCTTGATTTCTTCGGGGCCACACACTTGACAGTATTTCGCATCAGGGCAGATTTCTCCGCACAGCGAAGGGCCTAGGTTAAGCACAAATTAACACTGGAGCTTCTGAAGATGCAACTTGAAGTATCTACTTACATCGATGGCCACATGATAACAATTTGCTACAACGCTTAGAGCAGGGTGTCCAGTTGCACGGCGCCGCACATCTAATAGATCTGTAGTTAGCACAAATAGAGACCGATGTGCTGGATAGTAGACTCACGGTAAAGTACACTGGCTGTGTGGGCAGCTGGACGCGCAAGTTGCCATATTGCAAGGCGTGCAAGGCTCAGAACAGGTCTTGGAACACTTCGAATGCGAGCATCGGACCTCACATGGCATCTCACATGGCGGGCAGTTATCTCCAAGATGACACTCTTCGGCACACACATGCGTGCAGGTGCTGTGTTTGCGACCGCATGGTGCCCGGCAAATCAAGTTGGCACCCGTAACATCTTGGAAGCAAGGAACTTCTATCTGATGACCGCAAATCGGTATAGTCTTTCTCACAAGTTCATCGCATTGGATGAGATGTGGTTCCTGAACCTGCCAGCATTGAGGTGCGGTAATTAGGTGGCCGCAAGGAAGAGAAAGGCTCCGTCCCTCCAGTGCGAGCTGACAAGTCGCCTCGCGGGCGTCGTTGCCCATATTGGGGCAGAAATGCCCACAGGATCTCATCCTTCGTTGGCAACGTAGAAAGTAGGTATCACAAATTGTTTCAATGTCCCCTCTGCTTTTGTGGTGAGAGGGTTTGCAATTAATGTCAAGCAAGATTGGAAAATGATTTATCTAGTCAGCTCCTAGATGAGTACGGAGAATAGTCGAGTTGCTTTTATGTTGTAAGTGGGTGTGTGTGTGGGTATGAGAGAGAGGGAGAAGGTTGACTTGATGCCGTATGGGAAGAGGGAAGAAGGAAAAGATCGTTAGATGAAACTAGTGAGCTGAATTATTTCTTGGATTAAATCAGAGAAGAGGAGGAAAGGTCAAAATTCAACAGCTGAGGTTGTACATACATAGGCACTAAACATGACATAGGGGCAGCACATTTCCTGTGAATGTTGCGCCATTCAAGGCACAAAGCAACATCAACATTGAAGTCGATTCGCTACAGACTATCTACTAACTGCACAGTTGTATGAGATATTGTAGCATTAGGTAGGTGCCTAGGTACTTTCTGTTATATGGGAAATACCAATATGGGTTGCCAGAGAGCGAGAGACTGGCCGGCAGTCACGTATTGGAAATCCAAGTGTATACCTAGGTAAGGTACCTATTTATTACCCATAGACCCATGACGATTATCCGTATCGAGTCTATCTAGGTATTGGACAGATATGCGCTCATAGCACTTAGAACCTAATGAAGCTCACACCTAACGCTGTACAAATCGATTTGATCGAAGTTGTACTGGGTAATGATGGAGCCTGGGAAAATGAATAATGTGCACTTAGCAATTTATCCACGCCATTTGAACTTGATGAGTATATTCTCCTATACTAATCACGTAGTAGGTATATATCCCATGACTAGTAGCATCCAAATTACCATAGTCTTCTTAGTTCTTTCTACTTGTAACTTGATTCGTGAAGTAGAAAGTTGGAAATCCCTGATTGGTGAGGTTGTATGATTATATTAACTGAAACAGCCCACCTTGTGCTTATACGTACCTAACTACCTACTAACATAGGTAACTATGGTGCTCTGTTTCTTGCATAACAGCTAAAGACGAGGTTTGAAAGTGAGCATCTACGCGGCGGTATAGTCCTTGTGGGCACTCTAGCTAAGAAGACTATAAAAAGTGTAATGCATTATATGGACTAAAAGCACGACCTTTTAGAGGGTTGTTGCAGGCTCTTTGCCTCTTAGTCGTAGCGTATAGGTGACTATACAGTAGTGGCAAGGCCATGCATCACTGAATTGATCACTTGTTGTAGTGCACTTGCTTTTTGTGTGCTCACATGGCAATATTATAGATTCACATGTTCATATTAAAGTATGTACAACATCTAGCCTTTGTCTACCTAGGTAGACTTGTGTTATTGGCAAATAAATACATTCGGAATTAAGCGGGCAATTGTGAGAATGTCTAACGCCGAGTTAACCTAGAAACTCAACTGGATGCATTGATGCGCAAGGAGTACGCGCCGAGGTAAATGAAAATCGAATTTTGGATCGTGTTTAAAAGATCGGTTTACACTTATGGCATTATCGATTAAGTATAAATTAGGAAATATAAATGTTCTCAGCCGAAAAGCGTCAATCTACAATGTCCCTGGTTCTTAGTGTGGGACGACCAGCTCCTCTTGAAATGCTACGTTAGGTTTGGACTGGGATACTTGTTGCATATTCGTCTACTCCTGCCTACTTGAGACTTTTTTTTAAAAAAAAAAAAAATCAACGTCTTCTTTTATGGAATCCTATCTCCCCACTACCCAGATCCCATATTCCCCATGTCTCAAGGGGGGCGATGCGAGGATGCGGCAAAGCGGCGTGGTAGCGTAGCGTTCCCCTGAGTGGCTCCCCCATACGACAGTGCCGTATAGGATCATCATTGGTCAGCCCTCTTATAGAAGAGTTTCTAAACGCCGACGAGAGATCATTATCGGGGGCTTTCGGTGGGTGCGGAGGGCGAGGCGCTTTGTTGCAAATCCCAGGGGCTTAACATCCTCGGTCACTTCGGCCTCCAACTCCTACATCATAGAAACGACAAGGCTTGGTACAGGACATTGTATACTTGACATATTTTTTAATATACTGGGCATCAATTACGAATGCAACGGAACCTCGTCACTCGGGTGTACATTGAATAATTTGTTCCTTTTCCGAGTATACCTCCCTCGTAGTCAAACCGAGCGTGAGGAGGAGTGGGGACTTCGTTCAAGGAAGCGACTATCGAGTACAGAGCAGTATAAGCTGACCTTGCACATACCTACGTCAACATGTCTGTACAAGATATTAAGATGGAGGGAGAGCCCATTCAAGTTTCTCCTGCCATAGACCGCTCTCCAGGTGACTCTCCTACAAAGAATACCAACTTGAAAGCTTCGAAGAGTCCCCCAAGAATCAGAAGTATGGGATCAGAAATCATGCCTTGTGCCTTTGCGGATGTCGCAGTCTCATACCGGATGTATATACTTGACGACCTTCTCGCAGAACCACAAGAGATTATTCATGACTGGAGTCGAAATTCTTTATACATAAGTCAACGACACAGGCAAGGCAACACCTTCGCGCCCATCGAGCTTTCCCATGAGGTCGCCATATTTGATATCTCAGTTGGTGACATCGTCTCCTCTGTTGACATCAGCCCCTACACGGGTCCTCATTGTATGGAGCTAGACTCGACATGCTCTTATCTTCACGTCCACGTTGATGGCGGGACCATCTGGATCGACCTTCATTCGAGAGTGGTTACCAACTTCGAACCATCACAGAAGGGGAGGCGTGCGCAGAGGACAACTGAGGATTTCATCGCTGAGATCGATTTGAGGTCTGGAAAGATGCGCCAAAGGGTGAACGTCCCAGAGGGTGACAGAAGCTGCAGCGATGGAAGACATGTCACTTTTTCTGCGCCGACAATTCGGTTCGCTAGTCGATCATCGAGCAGTGGACTGCCGGTGGTGGATGTTGCGAACGATCATATCGTCGAAGCCATCAAAGCAAAGTTTTCGACAAAGACACTCTACGTCACATCTCGGAATATTATGCTAGTTTAAGGATCACTGGTGGCGGTATTGGCAACCTTGGAAGTCAATTGGTACTATTATATAAAGTTTTTCTTGCTGTGACACCTTGAGCGTTAGGCTTCAAGAGCACTATGGAGTTGGGACATCTCACGATGAGTAGATGATACTATAATAATAGCTAGGTGTATACAGGTAGATTGTTTGCTTAGAGTTTAGAGGATTCAGAATTTTCCTAAAAGTCTATAATCTTATTCATTTTCTATGAAAGCCATGTTATTATTTTGTGCATTTGACGTTGGATCATTCAAGGGTTGTTTTCTCTCCCCCTTTTCTTTTTAATTATTTACATGATGTCCATATGTCAACGTAGACGTTAACGTAAACTCAACGTAAGCTTTGCCTCAGAACGCCAAGCTTTCGGGACCGAGTAATCGAGTATGAACGGAAACTTGGAAAATGGCGTTGGAATAAGAAACTCCAAGGTTGTCCGATCTAGAATGCCTGGTATCCGGTCCGCTGGCTGGCGGCGTGCGCCCTTACTAAGCGAGTTTCGGCCGAATTTATATGGGGTTACATTATTAGCACAGACTGTCAGGCTATCTGAGTACCCTAGTAACTGACACTAACCTATCTATAGCAACATTTCCAAACCTTGAAAGTCTAGTTAGGTCTAATTGGGTTTAGTCTGCTGCCGTGCTTCAGCCCTACAACTAAGCCTCGACCCAGCTTTCATGTATGATGTCTCCCTTGCAGCTGTCTTTGTCCTTCTACCAAAGTAGACCGCTAGATGGACCAAAACCTTGCACCACTTGTGCTTTTGGTTGGTCTGACAAACACGTGCCATCCCCCTTCCTACTCCCGGAACCAAAGCACCGGGCGTCCGGTCATTATCTACCGATGACAATGGAAGTAGCTCCTACTTACCCGAAGGTCTGTTCGTAGCACCATGCAGGGATCTGCCCCACTAGCTCGGTTCGAAGTTTACCTACCAGGTACCCTAAGCCTTTAAGGTAGGTACTAGGTAGGACCTGGTAGGTATTATGCATGCTGGGTATTGTACATACTTAAGGTTATGCCATGTGCTTGCGTAGTCCCGGGAGAGTGACGTAGTGGTAGACGAAGGTGGGGGTGTCACGATGCAGGGGTATCGATTAAAGTATTAACACCCCTCACTTTCACTTTCACTTAACAGCTACTACCATGTAACTGATCTACTTGCCTTGGCAATCGAGAAATCACCTACACTACCTAGGGTAGGCACGGCACAAGTCCTTTTGACAACTGCCCCAGGGCTATGTGACTGTGACTACTATGTAAATTACCTAAGTAGGTAAATCACTTCGGTATTTACATAAGTGGTTATGCACTAACGTTCTATTTCCATCTTTTCATCACTACGTTGCAGCTTGAATAGCATCGGTCCTTCTACACTACTCAGCATCCATGATGTTAATAGGATTACTAATCGGCAACTCCTTATTTAACGTAATACTATGTATGTACTGTACCAGCACTGCGCCATATAAGAGACCAATCCTCTCCGGCGTTCCTAAGGGTGGGGGGTCCACGTGTTTTCCATTGGCGTGGAAGGTTCCGAGATTACTAAACATATGAAGACAGCGCCGCACGCTTCATGCACGTGTAGGTATGTATAGCCACCAAGCTTTGGATCCTACACAGTATCTTTTCTTCCCTCCTATAGCCACGTCCCTGATGCTGTCACATTCATCAACGGCACCACAGAATCGAAATGTTTCAAAAGACTGAATCTAGGAGGCTGTGAAGAAGCTGGCGATCCTAGTGACTTGTGCACATGTAGTAGGCAATGGAAAGATTATCTTATGAACTGCGCCGCTTATCTAGTGACAACCGATGAACCTCGTGTCCTGTGTCATTTATTTCTGGATATCTAGTACGATCAGACAATACCGTGGCAGAGTTGTCAAGTTCAGTTTGGCTATGTCATTCATAAAGCAACAAATCCTTGAATCCAAATAGCATCGGTGTTGTACCAGTTACTTTATACGAAACCAAGTCAAATCAAATCCATAAAGACTCTCCTTATCAAGACATACGACGGCATAGTAGTATACAGGCCGCATTCAATACTAGTAAAGGCTTCATACGCATTACATAGCTCTTCTTCTGTAAGACATCATGACATCGATGTTCTATCGAGATTCTGCAAGGCAGATATACTAGGTATCATTATGGATAACTAATGGCCATCAGCTCCTCCCCGCCTGTTCCTGGGTCTGATAGATTTGGTGTATGAGAGTTTAAATCCTAAGTATGTAGGTCTACGGATCTGGGGCAATGCGGCTGCTGACTTTGAGGCGTAAAATAAGCATATGTCAAATAAGATGTAGATAGGGCATAAGGCGTGAGATCACTAAATCGGGGTGGCATCTTTACAAAGTCCACGGTCTTTGGAACCCTAAGTCCAGAATAGTCCCGAAAGTGTAAGCAAGCCGCATTAGGCGAACCGGACATAAAAAAGCCAATGAAATTCAATGCTCTAACCTACCTACCTAACGTTACATGTGTATCTTCTTCATTACTCAGCAACATAGATATAATGCCAAGCCAATACATACCTGTATGTATACCTAGGTGCATATGCATGCTATACTTGATTTATACAATTATTCGCTGTGTAGGTCGGTTGGATAGCTATAATCACATAATTTGACGATGTAAAATTTACCGTCCCACCCTGGCGCTATCCGCGCTCTATCTACATTGGTATCATATTGAGTCATCATATCAGCAACATTGAACTGCATGTATATGTATGGCAATAGAAAATTAAGCAGATACATATACATAGTAGTTAAGGTTGAAGATTGAACGATTGCACATGTGTACATGTGAAATCATGCAAGCACCATTTCTAGACGAAGTCAAGAACATTGATGAATGTGTACTGTATTTTCCTTTCTAACCCCATGCATTTGCAGATTGTGGCTTCCGTAACGTGCTCTTGTTTGACGCCACTACAGATACCTACTATCTAGATATGGATGCAGCTACCCATGTCTCAGGCATATGAGTAGGTATCTACATGTATTCTGATCAATCACCTTTTCTCTCCAGCATCTTGGCGTCAGAAGAGGGCAACCAAAACGTTGAAACGGGTTTCTCGTGTCAAAGCCCTAATAACTACAGAAAAGAGGGGGACACGAGAGTAATGTAGAAGTCTTGGTAAAATTAACCAGGCATAAACGGCTACGCTCGAGGTTCTGAATACATCAGATGTTGAGTCAATCAATTTTAAGAAGACTTCTGGAGGTACTACATATATGTACTATGTATGTACATGTTAATTTATTTACATTGTAATGGGCGTCGTTTGCAAGCCTCATCATTGGGATATGCCTATACGCATGCATGTATCCCCATAGTAGTACATATATGTATCTACCAACTGTATTACATCAATGATGTATGTATATATTCATACTTACCTATTAGACACATATAGCGTTGAATATTACATACATAGGGTATATAAGTATAACCACCTCAGGTAAGTGCTCAATGATGTTGGTACATACGTACATAGTAGGGTAGTAATGACTTATCATATTAATAGTATGCATGTAGGTAGGAGCGACCTGTTTACATACTACGGTATTGACCAATTAAAGGCAGTTTAAATATTGGGCTTTGGGGTTTTAGGTGTAACTGCCTTGCTGCCTGCAGCTGAAACGGACGCTGGGCCAATACCACCAGACCTCCAGCTACTAGTATGTACTTTGTTAGTACATGTAGCCTCGTGTCGGTTGCCTCATTTGCCTCCCCTCCCGATGCCAGCTTCCCGTCACGGCGCCTATCCAAACAAATGTTTCAAAGTAAATCATTTATCTTTATAGAATTTGCCATCTTGCCATGTGGTTCCACTCGACTGAACGACTCCAGACACTGCATATCTCTACCTACAACTCACCAACATGTCCATCTACATCATTATCATTTGAATCCTCAGCCTATTCGCCCATATCCATATCCTCATCTACCGAAATCTAGCATAATCCGATTATTTTCAACGATCCGGTAGAGTAGTACCCCCCTCACCCTAACCTTTAATCTTTTCATTCAACAGCCCTCGACTGTCTCCCCAAGTTATTTTTCATAGTTTCTACAACTTTTCCATAGCAGAGAAAACACAGTAGTTTAACTTGAATTTTTATCCATGGCAAATTACTCACGGCGATGGAATTCGAAGAACTGCAAACCCCGATGAGGGTTCTCCAAAGTATATTTCATCATATTGCACTACCCGCAAAGCTACCATCTGGCTCCGAATCTTATATCGACGAGATAGAACTTGGAATATTGGATCGCCTTATCATTGCCGTCAAACATATGAGAGATGTACAGCCGTACGTCAGTTGGCAAATTTGGGACTCTATCCGGAGGACGCTTTTGTTCTGCAAGACGCTTCATATGAGTCGGAGGCTGGAGAGAAGCCAGTTGATCTCCCATCTCAGAGGACTTGGCAACTCAGACCTGGTCATACTCCATGTAAAAGCTCAAAATGCAGGGGTACTGATTCACAAACCAACAGAGTAAGTTTTTATAACCCGCACAATAGAATACCTTACTCATGAAATATCTACAGCCTAGAGTTTCGCGGAAATATCCTATTTGAAACCTTCGAAGCCTCACCAAAGCGTGAAGATGTTTTAGCATCGCAAACTCTTTCATGGAAATTTCCGGGAACAGCTGTCTTAGTACCTTGTTCAGTGTTTTACGAAGACTCCTTTCTTGAAAATCTCTCCGCCTTCCTCGAGCAATCTTCTGTCGAGTCGACTCAAAAGTTCTCTGAATATATCACCAAGGCAGGACGTGCGGTAGCAGAGGACAGAGAAACCCCTGATCCAGCTTTGATTACATCATTCTTCACGGCATTCCTTGAGGCCAATGGGAGGCGCATCTCACCAAAGGTACTCTCCAAAAGAGTCAAAGACGATGTTTGTTGGTTTGACCGTGAGTCTCCCTGGAGAAGGCTTCCTTATTGGCTTGTTTTGCGTGTTTCCATTGCACGTTACTTGGCTTTAATGATGGGCGGAATACATGGCAGAATTCAATACAAATTTCTCATGTGCCTGGTTCACGGGATAGTCCTCAATGACACTCATGATGCCATCGATCTAGAGGATCAGGACTTCCTCAAGAGAAAGCTATGCAGACGTCTCTATAAACTTGACAGGGATTGCCTGGGACATTCAAAGGATATTCAAGAATCATGCAAACAGTTGACCGAGGCCTTGATGCCTCAGTTAAACCGTATAATTGGAGCCAGTTCCACCAGAATTGCCAGTGCATGGGATAAAGAACAGCCAAAGATAACTAGAGTCATCCCGCCATTACCTAGACGCGCAAAATCGGAAGATCAACGATTGAGTCTCACACTGAGCCGCGGTTACCTGGACCAGGCTAGAAACAGGTTCCGAGATGCAGACTTATACAGACGGCCACAAACTTACTCCAACGCACATCAGTCTAAGGTACATATTCAAGCCTTCGGGAACAAACTCCTTGGTCTGTTTGATGAAGAAAAGCAGATTCGCGATACTGTGGATAACATGGGCACAAGTCCCTTGAGCTTGTCGGCACGAGTCCGGAAACTACACGCAGCTATTCTTCATTATATCGATAAAATCGAGGGCCTTTACGATAATAATGCTGAACAAAAGTCCAATATGATCATAACGGTGATGGAAATGTGGAAATCCCTCGACGATATTGCCTGTACCTTGTTTCCCATCTTGTATGACTTCCATCCCGTTTTTACCCCACGGTTGATGGAAGTCCTTCATCTCCCTCTCGTCCCCGATGTTGCTCGAGTACGGAACGTCCAATCGTATATTCAAAGTCGCATCACTAGATGTGGTGGAACCAGGAGCACTTTATTTGATGATCCCGGAAGGGGGTGCTTTGCAGACAGATACTTTGATGATTCGCCTGGTGCGGCCGCGGTAGCAAACCTCCTTGCCGAGATACAAGCGACCTCCGCATCGCAACGAGAGGAGAAGGAAAAGGAATGGCGGGAATTGAATGGTGAATATGAGCGACTAACGAAGCAGTTTGAGTCGGCGACATGCATTTACGTTCCACAGTTCGATAGCGATTACCCAGTTCATAACCCTCATTCTTGTCCAAAGTGCCAACTTGATAACCAAAGGTCTAGAATGGTAATCAGAGCCTTCGAGTCCCCATTACCTGAGGATCCCATCATGGCGAAGGCCGTGGTGTTTGAACTCAGATGCCCAGAGACGCTTGCTGCTTATCGAGATGCTACGTGGGCAATCTTGTATCGAGTTGCAAAGGAAGATCAGGGGCCAGGAGTCAACCCAAAGATATGCCTTCAAGAATACGTGGGGCTGCAGCCATATTCTAAAGTACCCGGAACCATATCACTTGCGTCAACGATCAAACCCTGTAAGCGTTTGACTCCCTATGTTCTTTATGTAAGCAGTTTCACTAATATCGTGTAGTCATGATGACACATTACAAAATAAGGAAAAGGTTTCCTGTTGAGCTAAGTCAAGTATGTCTCCCAAATGGACTGAACCGCTATCTTGGATACTTCGATAAGGCTACCCAATCATGGCCTGGTCGTGAGAGAGTACCATTCACCTTCGAGCACCACTGCAAATTGATGTTACCCAAAGGATCACCATTTTCAACGCTCTTTGAATCTCCAAGCTTCAACGTTTACGGGAATGGCCCATCTTCTTATGAAATTACGGCATCTTATTCATCTTGCCCCCCTGGCATCAATCCGCATGAGTACATGGGCTTCCAATCTCTCCTATCTGGCAAGCGTCGACGCTGGCTCACCATTTTGACGGAGCTTGGGTCATCTAATATCAATTTGTCTACCCAAATGGCCGTGCTTCTCTTTGATCACCTGATACACCAGACCGGAGCAGTTGACACTGGTGAGGAACTCTTTGGATCTATACACTACGTTTTCCGTGATCCGTCCTTCTGTGAAGCCATATTGCGTCAACTCCGGGTGAAACTGGATGGGATTGCCTCCAACTGGCGTGAAACGCACTTGATGGAAATCGTCATCATGTTAGCATTGCGGGTCGCCTCATTTACAGCCTTATTCACGGATACCATTTACTTGTCTAAGATTGCCTCCAGTCTTATCCTTGATGCGAGGAGATGTACTCTAGAGTGGGTAGATGCATTGAAGACGGCTCAGAACTGTCAATCGTACCTACTATGGGCTGCACTCCTTTGTAAGAGAACATTTGCCTCTCATGAGATGGCAATAAATCAAGACTTCGAAATGAGTGAGTTGCCTACATTCCTGAAATGTAGTGTAGCTGTCTACGATAATATCCCTGATAACATTGACTCTCTGGGGCCGATATTGAAGAAGACCTACATTCGCGACTTAAGAATGATGTACAATTTGAAAAATCATATACGCCGATCATTCAACCTATCTGGAAACGTCGCTATACTCAGCTTTCTACAAAATTCGTGGCCAGGGGCCAAATCTAAATTCATTAACTCCATCACATTCGAGACTGATGACTGGATGCAAATTGAATTGAACGATTTCAATGACAGAATTGATGTCATCAAGTTCAACTACATTTTTGGTATTTTGCTGATAAATGGCGAGCCACTGGGTGTAAGTGTTCTTCAGGCATATGAACCCCCTATACGTTTTGCTAATCACTGTCCATGCAGAAACTACCTACCGACCCTAAAAGTACCATCATCCTAGAGGAACTGTTTGGAAGCCAGACAAGCCTCATGAGACACCCATCCAATAGTCCTGGAATGACACATGGTGAGTATCCATGTCCTTCCCTTCTCCAATAGCTCGATTCAGCCAAAGTGGGGGACCCGTCACTAATATATGATATGATTTAGTGTTGGATTTCAAAAAGGAAGGGTACGAAACTCATATTGGATACGACGATGGAAAGCTCATCATCCGCGCCATCAAAGGCACACAAGTTCTAGAGCTTATCCCAAGAGAAGTATTCCGCAACGACAGTGATTTTGACCTCCCTGCGCCTTTATTAGACAATTGCATCCACTGGCTGTAAGTCATGATAAATAATTCCTCAAAATCGTTTCGACGCTGAAATGAGATATAGCGATATTGTATCCGGGATTCTCGAAATCCGTCCCAAAACCAAAAACATATGGCGTTCACATCCGCAGAACTGGAAGTTGGATATAGCAACATCTATATGTTCACGATTCACTCCATATACCAGAATAAAAGAGACACTGGTGGATCCCTACTGTCCATTGTTCAAGCGCGTGTCGAACATCTTCTCCTGGTTCGAGAAGCCTATGCATTTGACTATCTATCAGCCAGGTATCCGCTATTCGCTCACTGTCGACATGCCACGTATGATCTTAAGATGGTTTGTGAACCCAAAATCGCTGCTGCAATGTCAGCATTTACGAGCTGAGATTGATCCATCTCAATGTATTGGCACAGTATGTAACCCCCTGGAACTATATCTAACATTAACACTTAAAATCGTTCGTTTGGGATGAAGACTAAGCTGTATATCTAGTGGTATGGATTTGATAGCAAACTAGTCTGTCGCGGTCTTATGGATCCTCAAGAGCAGTTTGTGCTTGTACCGCTAGGACCTCTCAAAGCGAGAAAAAGAGGATGCCACATTCAGGTGTGTGCCCAATTGTCAGATACATCATCGACAGTCGTTTATCGCCGCTTCAAAGTAAACAAGACTCTTGGCCGGATTGATTGTGCTGCTGAGCCTGGGTTGGTCTACAAAAAAGCAGAGATACACGCCCTCACTTCTTTCCTCTTGCCAGACCCGCTTACAGGCCTGACTGGAATTGAGAGTTCTTTGGCCATCTTAAATTCTGGAATATCTCAACCGTGGTCACCCTTAACTGTCCTTCCCTCTACCATTTTATCCTCGATTTCAAGGCTTTCTCCAAAACGGGAATATTATCCCGAAAAGTCTAAAGTAATGAAGAAGGAAATATGGGATCATCGGCTCCCCACGATGATCCAGCGGGAAGAGTTCAGTATTCTAGTAGATCAAATTGTCTCGCAATCTACCAGATTAGCCCAGTTTCACTCACAAAAGATGGAACCGGTGGAGTTCCCCTCATCTGGAGATACCCATCTGAACATTCGCGCCCTTCATCGACGTCGCCTACACGAGAGATCCAATAACTACGACTTGGTAATTAAGAAGCCACAAGACCAAATATACGAATCCAGACATTTTCCTAACAATATGAGTTTGAGATACTCTAATGTTCTGGAGGCAGTCAGTCTAATACGCAACAAGCCTGTATTCATGTCTACCATACGAGATCTCGCACTGAACCTTTCACAGTCCCTTGATATCAAGGGTTACCAACAAACCTTTGAGAGGATTACTCTTCAAGACCGTCTCGATGTTGATATTCGGCATGAATGGGGCCCTTTGGTGAACATGGTGAAAGACATGCAGGATCAGTATAAGCTCATGTTCTTCATTGGCATACTCTCGTTCCGGTCTGATGCCAATATGCCCTTAATTCGAATATTAATTGCATTTGCACAATGGGATATGCTGAAATCTTTAGTTCTCCCTGATTGTGTAGAGTACCATAGTTTCCGACCAGGCCAAGCACCACAACTCGACGTGCTTGTTAAGCTTATCGAGCCCTTCCAAGCACCCCCTCCACAAGATCCACCTCTGATGGAATATGCGAGCAGCAGGGAGCAACGGAAGCGGTGGCAAGCTAGAACTACACACTACCAGAACGCAAATGCAGACTGTAAAGACTTTGCGCAGTGCCTGATATCTGAGTGGCCTACCCCCAGCCCAAGCGGAAAGAATTTCAACCCTGATGCCAATCATGATTTTCTGTTAGACTTGCCTGCGGCTCTGGAGAATGTGCGTCGTGAGTGGGATATATTATACCGCAATTACAAATTCTGTATGCATCTTGAAGAAGTTCAGAAGGTTTTGGATCAAAGACATTCGGATATCAAGTTCCAAAAGCCTGCTTTTGTGCCATCTGATTTAACATTTCCCATTCAACAACCAGGCTATGATCTTCCTGGTCTTGGAAGCCAATTGATGAGAGTTTCTATTTCCAAGTTCACACAAGCCCTCGCCAAAAGATACTCGAATCCACGTGGAAAGAAAGCCCAGCTACATATAGCCTCTGATAATGGCACTTCGACGTGGCCTTCGCAGCAGTTGAAACAAATTATTTGGGAATTATCTACATCAAAATCAGCTATAAAACAGAGATACGCCAGTGATTTGAATGAAAGTTTGGCTGTCTTGAAAAGTCGTAACTCGCGAATAGCAACGGTCATGGCATCACCTCGGCATACAAGTCACTATACAGTTCTTGAACTTCAAAAGCTCATTCGGGATCTCTTCAAAGAGATTGAATCAGCACTACAACAGCCGACTGCTACGCATTCTTGGCGACAGATCACTTGGCTGCAAAAGGGGCAGCTGTGGCCTGCCATATCCCCGGTCGCCCTACTCGAACAAATTCGATCGACGGCAAACTGCTCGTTCGGTAGTGGAATGAAAGAAACTATTCTTCACTTTGCTTTATCAATAACAAACCTTCAAAGAGAAATGCGTCTACAATCTTATTTGCTGTCGAAAGAAAATGCTCGCTACGAAGAAGAGCTAGCGAACTTGGGCCATCATAACTGGCGCGTGGAAGATTACCCAGACTGGCTCTTGCTCGAAGTTGAATCCGATTTACTCATTCGCGAAACTCAAGTTGAAGTCGCATTGGCCATCACAAATCCAGAGTCCAGGGCCAACAGTGTACTTCAGTTGAACATGGGTGAGGGCAAAACTTCGTGCATTATTCCCATGGTTGCGGTACTCCTTGCGAATGGCAGAAACCTCGTAAGAGTCTCTGTTCCCAAAGCTCTATTGCAACAGACAGCTCAACTACTTCATGGACGTCTGGGCGGACTCGTTGGCAGAGAAACATGCCACGTACCGTTCTCTCGAAAAACTTCCACAAAAGAAGACCACATAAAGTTATTCCAGAGAATTCATCGCGATATTCAGAAAAGGCAAGGCGTTATGCTCTGCCTTCCAGAACATCAAATGTCGTTCATGCTCAGCGGCCTCCAACGTGTTCTGGATCAGCAAATTCCAGAAGCCAGCTTGATGATTCGAGTTCAAAAATGGCTCCAGTTGTATGCTCGAGATGTGTTGGATGAGTCTGACCATACACTAGCAGTCAAAACGCAACTTATTTACCCCTCTGGATCACAAATGACCGTCGATGGACATCCTCATCGATGGCAAGTTGCCGAGCAACTTTTAACCCTCATGACTCTGCATCTGGATGATCTTGCCGTTAGATATCCCCACTCTATCGAGGTTGTCAAACGTCCACAGGGTGGTTTTCCTTTCATTTTCTTCCTTCGGCCAGATGTGGAGAATGAATTGATGAGACGCCTCAGATATGATGTCTGTATGGGTGAAAGAGGTATAATCCCAATTGACTCGCTTGAGCCTGCTGACCGTTCAGCCATCAAAGAATTTTTATCTGGCGGTAAAATCCAAGATTCCATCCTAGACCGCATCAATCGCCTATGTCCTGATCGGCCCCACGTCAAAAAGACGGTTTATCTGCTTCGAGGACTATTCGTCCACCGGATTCTGTTAATGGTTCTCAAAAAGAGATACGGCGTCCAATATGGTCTTCACCCCCTTAGAGATCCCGTGGCGGTCCCCTTTCACGCAAAGGGGGTTCCAAGTGAGCAGTCTGAGTTTGGACATGTTGATGTGAGTAATTTCAGCGCGAGAGTTGTTGATTCAATAACTATTGTACATGGTACTTTGTTGTTGAGATATATATATATATGCTAACATGGATATGATAGGTGGCCATCCTTCTGACAGCGTTATCCTTTTATTACCGTGGTATCAGTGTAGAGCAAACCCGACAGGCCTTGGAAGCTGTTTTGAAATCTGACGACCCTGCTGCCGAATATGATAAGTGGATAGAAGACGACGACTTCCCAATGTATCTCAGTGATTGGCATTCAGTCAACACTGACGACTCACGGCAATTGACTCAAATTTGGGGGTTTGTACGCTACAAAGTTTCTGTCATCGATTACTTTATGAACAACTTTGTGTTTCCAAAACACGCGAAGCAGTTCAGGATTCGATTGCAGTCCAATGGTTGGGATATACCTTTATTCAACGTGCAGCATGATAACGGAACCAATAGCAAGACACTGAGCACACGCAGAGCATTAACCACTGGGTTTTCTGGTAAGTACCTATCTAATCAATATCATCACCTTCCCCGAGAGCCATCCCTACTAGGTATTCACCAAGTCAGCACTCCTCCTTTAATCGTTCTTGGGAATAGGTAAAAGCTTTGGATGAAGCCCCACTGATATCCTCCCCTCATAGGCACAAATGACATCAAACCACTGCTGCCCTTGACCATTCGACAAGATGACTTGCCATCATTGGCACACACAAACGCAGAGGTTCTTACATATTTGCTACAGCCACGGTCTAGAAATTACGAAATAATGGTTGATTCATATCAGAAACGGATCGATGAAGATCAATTCTTAAATGTGTTGAAACGACATGACATTCGCATTCTCATAGACTCTGGGGCACAAATTCTTGAGAAGTCTAACAGAGAGCTTGCCGAAACATGGTTGAAGGTAGATGGCCGAGCGACTGTGGCATTATATTTTGATGGCGATAGCCCCTGGATCCTCTCCAAGCAAGGTGCGAGAACACCGTTGCTGGCTTCACCATATGCGGACAATCTTAATGAGGTTCTCGTATATCTAGACGAGGTATATTTATAGCACCCTGAAATTTTCAAAGAAATGAAACTCACACCCCCTTAGGCTCATACACGAGGAACAGACCTCAAATTTGGACGAACAGCTCGTGCTGCTCTTACTTTAGGATTAGGCCAGACTAAGGATCATACTGTACAAGGTACGTACATAACAAACTCGATGTGTTCAGGATTTATCAAGACCATCAAACTGATTTTAATCAGCTGCGATGAGATTACGTCAGTTAGGCACGACGCAATCCGTGGTATTCTTCGCTCCGCCTGAAGTCAACCAGAGCATTCGAGACTTGTGTAATAAAAGAGAACATGAGAAAGTATCCTCTTATGACGTGTAAGTTATAGCATGTTTTTACTGTCTGAATGCATCTGTCACCCATATCTACTACATATGTAAATACACTAACGACGTCCTAGAATCCGCTGGCTTATCAACAACACATGCGATGGGATTGAACAGCTGCAGCCGCTATATTACTCCCAAGGCATAGACTTCTGTAACCGAATGCAAGCAGCAGACGACTTCCCAGACTTTTTGAAGGATGATGATGACAGGTCGGGATTCATTGACGCTATCAGGCATAAGGAACGACAGAGCTTACAACAGCTCTACGGGCCTCATGCTAAAGCTAAAGTTGATGTGTCACTGAAATCCAATCCTCAAGTTGCGGGATTCGTCCGAGAGCTTGAGAATCGGAAGAAATCTTTCCAAGACACTGGCCAGGCTGTTCATGCCTCGGCCCTGCAGGAAGTTGAACAGGAGAGAGAGACGGAAATAGAAGTTGAGGCTGTTCGACAAGTTAAAAAGCCAATTCCATGCACACCTCTGAAGTTCCCTGGCCTACACAGAGATCTGGAAACGTTTGCTAGAACAGGAAGGCTTGGTGCTGACTCGCACACCTTCGTCCATATACTGCAGGCTCTCTCAAAAACCGCGCTAGGAAAAAAGTACAAAATCAACCACGGGAAGAGTTCATCGCAGCTATTCGTTTCATCCGAGTTTGAACGGACCGTGAAGCTGGTATTTGAGTCAGCTAACGATAACTTTCTGGTACTGTTTCTCTGCCTTTGTCCAAAGGTTTACCTTAGATACGTAGTATATTGCTAACACTCCTTAACAGCGTCCTGTACAATGGATCCTCTACACTGCGTCCCCAGAGGTGGCGGTGGTGGTGACGCCCGAAGAAGCTGAGCTCCTAATCCCAATTCTCCGAGAAACGCAGAGGAGTCGAAGAGGCTGCATAAGCCATCTCATGACCTACGCAGCACCAGTCACCAGACGCATGATGCACTTCAACCAATTAAAGTATTTTGCCATGCCGCCTCTCCCCGAAGATTGGAATCCATCCGAGTGGCTCACCACCGAGCTTGGATACTTTGCAGGGAGGTTGTACTTCGATTGGTCTGAGTATGGTAGCATATGCAGGTTCCTCGGCATTGACGTATCGGCACCAGGGGTTGATGAGCTCGACAGCTCAGAGGTAGACACGGCCGAGCCACAATCCACCTCTGCCAAAGATCAAAGCACCGAGGCATTTTCCGCCCCATCTGATTCATCGGATGCCGCTGCCAAAAAGTGTCAACTGTCCAGTTATCAGTCCAAACTTACATCGAAGCCTTACACTTTCACGCAGGAGTATCTAGCCGTTCGTCGGCGGGGACAGGACTTCACCCACACTCCCATGGGATTCTTGTGCAGTGGCAAATTGTTGAACCAGTCCAGTCCATTCTTCCGCACTGAAGACACGGCGCGGCCGGTGGGCCTAGTCCCCATGGGTGGGGCGCAAGGCGACGACGCTGACGAGGAGTATGCCGAAGAGGGATTGGAGTTGGGCAATCATGACCCTTCAGCGGAGGTTCTGGATGATGAAGTGCAAAGGGAGATTGAATACGATGAATCCGAATTGCAACGGGGTAATGATAGCGGGATACAGCTCTCCGACGACGAGAGTCAGCCCTCCGTCAGGCAGCAGAGAAAGATTCGTGCTGAGAAGAGGGCCACGTGAGGTGGATTTCTTTTTTCTTTTTTTTATCTTCGCTTGTCAGATGTTGGTGTGATTGTTATAGGATCTTGCTTGGCTTTTCTTTCCCTGCTTTGCTTGTCGCTTGGGTTTTACGAGTCGGTTTCTTTCACGCCTTTCGATCTTAGGGGTTGCATATAACTAGGTTAGGCTAATGTAATTGCCTAGGTTAGGAACTATGTAATGATTAATGAACGTTTCGTTTTCCATCTTAACTCTTACAGGTGAACAGGTACCCAAATTGATAGTTTAAGGTCATTACAATGGTTGAATGGAATTACCCCTATTCTAGTTCGGCGAGTGGTACTCCAAGTTTGGGGATGTGAGGGTAAGTACCTAGTAGGTATATGACTGTCAGATGTCTGGTTTATAGGTACATAGAGGAAGGGGAAGGTATTTGTACGTATCTTCTGACGACTCGTAGCTGTATTCAGTTGATACCTTGACTACAAGCTGGATTAGGATACCCCTTTAAAAGTGGGTATCCTGCAGCTCCCCTCCATTATCATTTTTATTTGTCGCATGCCCAAATCAAAATGTAATCAATTTGAAAAAAAAAAAAGTTTGTCACGCAAATAGCTGTGCGCTTATTTATACATGGGGACGCTCTCTAGACTCTGGGTTTATTTAAAGACTTGTTCAATGTTTGTTCCTTGCGAGCCCCTTTAATACATCGTTAGCCCTTTACCCCGCGGTTCGTGTGGGGCTTTCGAAATAGGGGTAATTGGGAGGTTTGTGATCTTGTAGGGAGTTGGAGGATCACTAGGGGGCTTTGTCATGAACATGGAACTCGAGTGTTTTTTTTTTTTTTTTTCCAGTCTATGAAGTCGTATGAGTATTAGGTATATTAACAATAACTACGTAGTCACTTCTTAATTAATAATAAGATCCAAGTACCTAGGTAGACAAAAACCAGCATAGCCAAGCCAAAGTTTTCCCCCAACTACTAGGTGGTGCCTATATCAATCAATCATATCCACAGCCCCCTCCCCTCCCGCCCATCCCGCGCCCCCTCCTCCCTCCCCCCAACCCAATACCTCAGCTCCTCCCGCACAACCCGCAGCAAACCCTCCCTCGTCTCCGGCGTGGCGAAAATATCCACCACCTCCCTCAGCATGGCCGGCACGTCCACCAGCTTGAACGCGCCCCCGCTCCTCCTCCTCCCCCTGCTGCTCTTCTCCGCGCCGCGCGCCGCAGACGCGCCCGCCGGCACCCTGCCCCGCGAAACGCAGTCCACCGCCTCGACGACCAGCTGCGCGGCGAGCGCGCGGCACCCGAGCATCGCCGTGCACGCGCACGGGGCGCCCGCGATGCCCCGGTCGCGGCGCGCGATCAGCCGGTCGCGGCGCGGGGACGCCGGGTCGAGGAGCGTGAGGCTGTAGCCGAAGCGCGTCTGCGCGCCGCCGTCCTGCCTGAGGAGGTCGCGGTAGTGAGGGGGCTGGCCGGGCCTCACCTGGCAGAGGAGGGGGAGGAGGTGCGGGGTGGCGCGGAGAGTGTCTGCGGCTTCGGCGCGGGGCCCGATGAGGAAGCCGGCGTCGAGGGAGTGCTGCTGCTGCTGCTGCTGCAGGCGCTGGGTGAAGAGGGGGTCGTTGAGGTCTTTGACGTGCTCGACGAGGACGCCGTACGTGTTGGGGGCGGCGGCGGTTATTAGCGCGGCTTGGGGGGGCCCGCCGTGGAGTTTGTGGTGCGGGGCGATGACGTGGGGGATCAGGGTGGACTCGAAGTAGTGGTAGCATTTCTCGTTGTCGGGGAGGTAGATGGATGTGTCGGGGGGGTCGATGAGGAATACGAATGGCATGTGGCCCTGGGCGAGAAGCTTGGGCACGAGGTCCATCATGATGACTGTGGAGAAGAGGTCGCGGTCGACGAACAGCGCTATTTGGAGAGGCTTGCTAGGCGGTAGGCCAACCAGGCCATCAGCGATCTGCGAGGCGTGTTTCGCGATCCTGCCGATATCGTCCACGAAATGATAGGTTCCACGAGTGAGCGAGCCGATGGCGTAGAGATCCGGGCCGGCTTTGTGGTCTGCGAAGCCGACCTTGATGCCGCCCAGCTGGTCGGGCTCTACGAGGTCTTTCCGGATCATTCGTCTAATAAGAGGCGATTCTAGCTGTATAACGCTGATGTCGTGTTCCAGTCTCGCAGCCTGCACGATGCAGTCGACGCCGATGCGGCTTTCCTGCCCCATCAGAAATGTTCCCCTTTTGTTGCCGACGCCCTCGTCCTTGATGACCTTGAAGTTGTCTCTTTTAGCGAGGTCGAGTAGAACCACCGCGGCATAAAATGGCATAGTCTCCTGGCATATCGCCCTCCAGGCCGGATGCTGTTCCAAGATCTCGGTACTCCCCGTCAACGCCGCGCGGTTCCACACTCTTTCGGCAATAGGTTTCAGTGCATCGAGGATATCCTGCGTTCTGACGCCACTAGCAGCCAAACTACTAATCTCGTCGTTTGTCTTCTGACGCACTACCACGTTACTCCTCTCGCGTGCGTTCGTTTCCAGAGGGGGTATATTCATGGCGTTGGCTCGAAGGAACATGTGATCGAGCTGGTTGAGCAGCTGCTCCAGGGTTACGTCCCCCTTTTCCAAGCCACGCACCAGCGTGTGGATAGTGTAGGTCAGCGGGTAGCTCCGCGGGTAGCCCTCCACGCGTGGGAAGCGTCCGTCGGGACTCATCATTACTATCGGCCCCTCGTGATGGCACTCGTACAGCTTTGTCACTACGTCCATGGCCGAGGAGCCAGTGCCCACCACCCCTACCGCAGCGTCATTTGGAATCGCGCCGATCTTTTTCGCGGGCCAGTTGCTGGGGAAGTTACTCTGCTCACCGTTGAGGTAGGTAGTCTTTTTTGCCAGAAAGGTACCCAGCGCCAGCACCACCTTTTTCGCATACACCGAGCACCCGTCTGGAAACGCGACTCTGTACACGAAGGCGTCTTCTCCCCCAAGCTGACAGCGACTCAGATCCACGGCCTCGCGGTGAATTAAGCGGAAGTCCACGATGAGGTCCCAGGCTTTCTGGTTGATGTTCCGCAGCGTGTCGCGCAGGTATCGGCCGTACACCTCTCTGTCGCTGTAGTCCCCCCCTTTTCCATCCTCGTACATTTTACTCTTCTTCCAGTCTATGAAGTCGTTGGGTTTGCCGTGGATCAGGGACATAGTGTCGTCGCGCCGGTTCAGGATGGTGCCGTCCGTGTTCGAGGAGTACGTGTTCCCCTGGCCGGGTTCGTCTCCTGCCTCCACCATCACTAGGCTATCTAGCGACCAGCCGTCCTTGGATTTGTCTAGCACGGACTGCGCAACTGCGAGGCCGGCGGGTCCGGTGCCGACGATGAGGACATCGGCGACTTCTATTTTCTGCAGGCACTTCTCGCATGGGTTGTCGTGGTCGGTGTATATTGAAGTCCGGTGACTTGACATTTCTATATGCATTGGTCTTTTGGTCGAACTGTCGAGCAGGTGTTGAATTGTTCTTGCCAATGAAGGAGCTCGACGGTCTATTTAACATGGATTTGCTACGGTAAGTTCTATGACTCTAATCTTCAAGATGGGATGAAAATGCATTATACAAGCATTTAAGGCCAAGTCACGCATCATCATGTAGGTTAGCACGATATGTTGGAAGCCATGACACAGGCACTTCCACTGCTGCGATCAATAATGAATCACTGCCAATATGGCAATTTACAAAGCACGTTTTTCATATTCAGACATTTATAAGTGCTTAACTACTATTTTTGTATATATAAAAGATTTTTATCTAAACAGCTAACTATTCCACTTGATCGGTGATTATAAAACAGATAAACATACTACCTAGTATATATACTAAGATAGGTAGATATACTCAATGGTCTATCATGGTTTGAACAGCATAACAACGATGCCAGTGATAGAGATCAGCATAGCGATGAAGATCTTCTGCGCGATAGATGCCGCGTTGAAGCCACCTGCATTTGCAACTTGCAGCGCCTGGCCCGTCGCGGCTGTGGGCTCGCCCTTTACAATTGCGGCGAGGGCAATGATGATGAGAGTCACCAGGACGAGGCGAGGGACGATGTAGCCAATGGCAGACATTTTGGATGTTTTGGTTGGGGTTTGGTAATGTCCTAAAGGAGCTTTTTGTAGTGTTTGAAGAGTGAAGAGTTGATAGTTGAGAGTGAAGAGTGAAGAGTTGAGAGAGTAGTCTATGACTTGGGTTTGGAGTGTGTGGATGCTTCTTCTAATTTTTCTGGAATCTACGCTGCATGTATCGACATATATATACCTGGGAGTTGGCTGTACTTGTTTTTTTTTCTTTCGAAATATGATAGCATGTTGTTTTTCTTAGGTCTGCTTTATACAATGACGTTGTATGGAATTAAAGAAAAGCAATAAAGGATTGTTTGAAACATAGCATTGGTTGAAACAATCGCTTTAAAAGCCAAATCAACAATACCTACCTACGTAGTCGGTAGGTAGGTAGTATGTATATGATGTTAATTGTACCCGGAGGCTGGAGCTGGTTGCTCTAGGGGAGCCCACGTGACACCACCACCCCTTAACAAACTCAATTTTGAGATGCCCCCTCCAAAGTTTCACATCACGTGCTCGGTTCCCCCTATTCTGGTGGAGGGGGCATCACCTTCAAATAGTTGACCTTTGAGTCCGTCTAGTTTTTTCTCTTCGTCACTCCAATGCAATCTCCTCAACCACTTTGAGATGACCTTGACTCGTTCCACTGGAAATACCACGGAACAGAGAGACAGAGGAGGGTCAATGGGATGGCAATCACGAAGTAAACCCACGTTTCAGGTGCTCGACTATCTGACAACTCTTGTACGTTCATCCCAAAAAGACTTGCAACAAGCGTCATGGGAACGAAGAAGAAAGCCAAATATGTGATTACGGTTGCTCGATGTGCGTTCACCAGACTCCGTTGAGCTTCCCAGATCGACATGGTGTTCATGGCGATGGCGATGTTCTCGTTACACTTTTGAGATAGTGTTTCGGCTTTGTCACGGAGGTGTCGAAAGTCGCGTTGGAGAGAAGTTGCCATATCTGACACATTTACACCTGATCCAACTGGCCTACAGGCTGGCCACCGTGGTAGATTATCACTGTCGCCCCACCCATCGAGGAAGTCAATGGCTTCCGTAAAGTAGAGTATAGCGTGATCTAAGGCCAGCTTGTCTCGTTGTAGATACTCGGCGCGCTCATTTGCTAACGACGACAGACGGCTATGTTGACATTTCTGGACGAATGCGAGGAATTGTAGCCAGCAGAGAGCCGAGGTTTCTAGCATATCGGCGACAAAAGCGAGGGGTTCTTGTGGAGCGGATCTTCGAATATCTTCCGACATGGCTGTGTCTACTTCCGCTCTTGCGAGGAATGGATTCGGGTGGGAAATAAAGGCGTTGGAGTCCCAGTGCAGGGGATGTATTAAACTCATTGGATGGGAGGTGTTTAGAGGATAGAAGTACGCCCCGTACTGTGAAATGGGGGTCCAAGGGGGCGAAGCCAGTCGAGGACCACAATCCGTCATCAGAATACCAGACCATTGTGTGTTGTCCATTTGGTGCACGAGTAGTGATGCCGACTGCTGAACCGTGAAGAATAGATCTCCATGCAGACTGACTCCCCGGACTCTCTCCATCCCGTCAATTTGACCTTGTAGAAGATCTCTTATATAATCTACCGTGTTGCTTCCAAGTTTCTGTGCCATGTCCAGTCGGTTTTCCTTATCTGGGTAGAACCCTATGCTGATGAACTGGACAGTGAAAATGTTTGTGGGTCGAGACGGCAATGAACCTGGCCTAAATGATACTGGCGGATCAATGTGGCCCAAAAACAACTCGGGAGCGATGTTCAGTCGAGAGCCCAACAACTGGAGCAGGCAGGGGCGGGGAGTACCGCACACCACAACAATTTTGCCACGGTCATCCTCGTGAATCTTGTCTAAGGGAATAGACAGGTTATTGGGAGCCTTAGTAAGATCGCCTATGATTTTGCTGGACTGTACATAATCTCGCATGGGCATGGCAAAAGCCTCGTCAGGCCTAACAGAGATATGAAGCGTGTCGTACCGACTCCGATCAATGATCAATTTAGAGATAATGTTCGGGCCTTTTCCAAAGGATGAAATGGCTAGGCATTTTTGCACCTTGTCATTCCACTTGCTAATATTCGTATGAGGGCTGGCGGGATTCATATGGATTCCAATCGATTCGTATGAGGCACTAGGTTAGGGAATATGGTGAGATCTTTGGAGGGCTTTCTAATGAAACCACAGCCTTGTGGGCACTTCTATTTTAATGTTGGCTGCTAGATACCCGGGATGCAATGACGTACATATGCATACAGCTTTGTGGCATTGTACCGTTACCTATATCGGGGATATAGCCCCCACTTTCTGAATTCAGCATCTAAGATCGACGTACTTCGTATCTAGGGTACTACATAGGTAGGCTATGGTTCACCCTCTACCCCCCCCCCCCCCTTACCGCCACACAACCTACTTACCACCCTACCCACCTAACTTCAACAGACAGCCACACATCCTCAAGAACCCTTTCACCTCGGAAGCGGCAGATCCACCCACAAACGCAAATCCCTCGAACTCGCACCGACATACGCCTTCTTCGGAGACCCCGTGAGCCGCCAATCCCCAGCCTCGGCATCCCAGTTGCTCAAGTCGCGGTACGTGACGTTGAACACCACGGTCTCCGTCTCGCCTGGCTCCAGGGGCACCTCGTCGAACCCGCGCAGCACGACCTTTGGTTCGTTGGGGCCGCCGCGCGATATGTACTGGTTATTTGTTTCAGATTTAGTACCGCTGCAGCCAGGATGGGTAAATTGATAGGATGGATGGATGGATGAAGAACTCACCAGCTGCGGGATCTCAGCCCCCGTCACGTCCCCGCTATTCGTGATGTCCGCGTGTATGACATACAAGATCTCGTACTGATCCGGATTACCTCCTGACGGCCCACCCGCCGGCAGGATCGGCTGCGCGGACGCATTGTGACTGCCCGCCGGGATATTTTCCGTGGAGTTCGGGAAGCTGGGGCTGTTGACGTAGGGGTATATGAACCTCGGAATCTTGTCAAGCCCCTCAGGCGCCACCGCATGCGCGGGGTCCATGTCCAGCTCGCCATACGTGGGCGCCGGCGGCGTCGTCCCGCTGGCCGGTGTGTACACGCCTGGGTCTCGAAGCTCGGCTACCAGGTTCGTGTACGTGAAGTTGGTGTAGCTGAGTCCGAAGCCGAACTCGAAGCTCGGTTCGATCTCTTCTCTGTCGAAGTACCGGTAGTCGATGAACACGCCCTCAGCGAAGTCCTGCTGCGGCGTGGATGACGTCGAGTTGAAGAGGATCGACACCCCCCAGTCTTTCGCCTCCTTGCCCCACGTAAACGGCGTTCTGGCCTGTGGGTTGACCTTGCCGTATAGTACGTCTGTTAGCGAATTGCCCGACTCCTGAGAAGGTAGGCCTGCCCAAAGAATTGCGCTGACGTTCGGGTGTGTTTTGAAATGATCGATCAGGACCGGGCCGACACTATGTATAACCACGACGGTGTTAGGGTTGACCGAAGCCACCGCCTGAATTAGCTCATCACCCCCTTTCCAGAGGGTTAGGTTGTTTCGATCTCCCATGTTGCCATCGAGGGTGGTGTATCCCTCTCCCGAGTTCGCATTAGCAAACACAATAGCCACAGACGCACTTGCCGCTGCCTCCCTAGCAGCGTCCAGATCAAAGTTCCCCTTGATATTCGTGAATGCCGTGCCATCCTCCCCCGCCTGTTTTTCCAGAGCCGTAGCTGGCGCGATCAAATAGGGGTACTCCGCTGTCGCTGACCCCCACCCCATGGCAAGAGTTCCGTTATTGCAGATTCTGTCCACGCAGCCATTGGGTCCATCCGGATTATCCTGCGCGTCCTCACCGATAACCGCGATGCTCTCAGGTTTTGTGAGGGGCAGGGCTCCGCCGATATTCTTCAGCAACACCGTCGCCTTCGCACCGATCTCGCGAATCAACGCGCCGTGGTCCGCCTGCACGTCCACATGCCGATTCACCGTCGTCTTCCCCATCTTCGCCGCCCAGTATTGGAAGTCCTCGGTCTGGTTCGTCCAAGATGAGTAGTTGATATCGACCTGCTTCGTGTCTCGCCCAACCTTATAAAACGCCGCCATGATGCGGATCGCCATGTCGTCGAGACGCCATTGGGGGATGGCGCCGCTCAATACGGCTTCCGTCAGCGCTCCGCCCCAGAATGTCCCGTACGCGTTGTTGGTCCCGAAGCCCTCTCCAGGCATCGTCATGTCCAGTCCAGCGAGCGCACTAGCAACGTTGCTGTGCTGGGCGCCCCAATCGGAGACCACTAGATTCACTATCAACCTTGCCATAATTTCAATGACGGAGAATCACCAAGAGGTAGACACGGAGGCAAGCAACTGCGATGTTGAAATAGCTAGATGGACAGGAAAGTAAGTACTAGGTAGGCAACTTACCAAACCCCTGAAACCCCAGCTCGTTCTTCAGCAACTTATTCAGCACATACGAGTTCTCGCACGCGAAGCTGCCATTGACCTGGTTGTACGAGCACATGACACTGCCCACACCCGCCCTAACGGCGTCGGCGAACGGCCACAGGTACAGCTCGTGCATGGTCTTGTCGTCAAGGTTGCTGCTGATGCTGCCGCGGAAGTGCTCCTGCTCGTTGAGCACGTAGTGCTTGACGCTGGCGACGACGCCCGCGCTCTGCGTGCCCAGAATCGTCTCCGCCACCGCCACCCCGCTCAGGAACGGGTCTGGCCCGAAGGCCTCGAAGTTTCGTCCGCCTGCCGGGTCTCGTCCGAGTGGGCCCACGACGGGGCCGAGGTGGATGTCTAGATATCGTCAGAGGCGCATCCATTTTCAGCTTCTGGGTCATGTTCTTCGTTTCGGTAAACAGGGGATTGGTTTGTGCGTAAGACTTACCAATTCCCTTTCCCGCAAACTCCTGGCCTATCGCTTCGCCTCGTCGCCGGAGAAGAGATCGCGACCATGTCGCCGCTGCGGTGATACCGGCCGGGAATACGGAGTTGAGATCGGCTGTCACGACACAGTACGTGCCAATTAGCATATTTCCATTGCTTGCGTCATCTCGTCTCCTTCCCTCTTCACCCCCTTGGAAAGCATGTCGGAAATGCAACGCAACTTACTATACCGCACCCCCACAGGTCCATCCTGCAGACACAAATGTCTCAATCCGAGCCTAGGGACCGACCCCGTATTTCCCGTGCACAAGTCAGCCTGATTCCCAGTTCCCGTTGTCAAGTTGACTTTCTCCAACAACGTGAGTTTGCTAACGAACTCCCGCGCCTTCTCGTATGCCTCATCCCACCCGGGTCCTCCTGTACCCCAGGGCGAAGGATACGATGGCTCAAAGGTAGCCTTCTTCTGGGCGCCCGCACCCGCGGCTAAAGCGACGATTGCTGCTACTACAATTCGCATGGTGTTAATATCTTCCCACTCTCTCTCTCGTTTGTCTTACAATCTATGGCCGCAATAATTGCGAGCTATACACAGTTAAATCGGGACGAGCGTCAAGTACGATCGAAGATGAAGCTTCTAGGTTCATCGGTAGGTATCTACAAGGTAGGTACATAGTAGGCAACTAATCGAAGTGGTCTGGTCGTGTCATTAAGATCTATGAACGGAGCCAATTACCATAAATGTATCCCATAGATCTAGATTGCCGTCAAGGGGTGCAACATACCGAAGCAATCAGAAGGAATTATCGGTTCAATGAACCGGGTGTCCGATTGCCTATTGAGTCTTTCATTTACGGCAGAATCCGGAAGATCTACCATAGGATAAAGTCGAGACAGCAATGTCCAGGCCCTAAATCATATTTCTAATTTCGACTCCTCGAATATAGACTACTTAAAAGGGTATTCACGACAAAATATTCCAACAGAGAAAGTAGGAGTAAAAGGGGTTATCAGTCATCCACCAACGTCGTTATGAATACCTCCACTAGCTTACCCCTTTTCACTCCACAGAACCCATATCCATGGATAGGTAACGTCTAGGTAGGCACCTAAGAAAATAGAATGGAAAAACAAAGGTAGGCATGCACAAATAAGCGTACATTTCATGTGAATTTGCTCGTAACCGTCCCAAAGATCATCTTCCTCTTTTGCTGGCTGACATACTTGCCCATATCGTCGGCCCATTTCTGGCTCGTGTCGGCAGCGTTGTCTAAACTATCGTTCATGAGATTTAATTTCTCCGTTCGCTCGTTTAGCTGCCTGGTAAGGTAATCACCCCAGCCCTCTTGGCTCCCAGCCGCTGCATAGTTCTGAGTGGACTGCCCTGCGTTCCGTTCTATCGCCGCCGTTGCAGACATCATCCGCTTGCTTGCAGGCCGGTCTGGGCCACCAATTAAGAGATCCAGGTCTGTCGGTGATACATACTGAGTACCCGAGAGCCACTGTACATTCGAAATAGTTGGTCTCGGTGGTATTTCAAGTTCGGGGTTGATAAGTTTGTCAGCAGTGTTCTCTATCTCCTTACCAGTACCCCATACTTGAAGAATCGCAAGTTCAGACGGCCCGGTCCAGCAAAATACTTCGCCATCCTCAGTAACTACGGAGTTACTAACCCGACTACCATCTATCATCGGCATTGGATAGCTTCCGATTTCCTTTAGCCCCGGTAGACTAAAGGCTCTTGCTGTTAGGTCTCCAAAGACGCCAACTAAGGCCATTCCGTGCAGTTCAAATTCCGTAACAGTAGCGGCATCACAAAGATAATCGTCAAATGATTTTGACGCTCCTTTGGAAGTAGCAGGCTTGAAAATGCGAGCTTCACTCTGCGTGACTACAACGGGGTTAGCAATTTCTTCGAATGTTGGTGGCCAAATAGAGCGGGCGACTTACCAACTACAAGCAGGCCATTAACATGTTTACCTTCTCGGAGTCCGGCAACAGCGTGGCCCGTAGCAAGCGCAGGCTTGCCGGTGTCAGCAACGATCGGACAAATAGACACGACTCGGTCATTTAGTTGTGCCACTCCTGCTAGTGCAGCATTGTAGCCACCGCCAGAAGGTAATATTTTAAAGGTTATAACCTTGCCGAGATTGGTGCCGACAAAGCAGCATATACTAGAGTATTTATCCTCGTCGATGGTCATCACACCGAATTCAATTATCACTGGCCATTCTTTGCTCGTTGATACGCTTGAACGGCTCTTGAGAAAGGATGATCGCCTCTCTTGTTTCACAAATTGGGTCATCGAGGCTTGGAAGATGATGGAAGGACCTCGAAGATCAATGATACTGATGAACCCATTTTCAGAGCCAACAGCAAGGAATCCAGCATCCGAGGCTTTCAGGGCGCTTATCGAACCTTGCATCATTTCGTATAATGAGCGTGGTTGAAGGCCACTCTTGAGAGAAGATTCGGCTCTCGTGCTAATATTAGTTATCCCGCCAGGGTTGGATTCAACCTGTGGGGTTGTGGGTTTCCCAAAGTATTGATTGCCCTCCCAATGGTAGATGACAACTTCGCCCCTGCTCGTCCCTACGGCGAATTCTCCAGTGGCAGAAGCCAGAGTCATTGCGGTAACATTCACGTCATCGTACCGGTCGAGAGCTCTAGCAACATCAACTTGTAGTTGCGAAGGATTCTCAATCTCGTCACCATGACCCACATCCCAAATACGCACCGTGCCGTCCGCGTGGGCAACTTGAATAATAGTCCGCCCCTCAAATCGTCGGCGCGGGTGTGGCGCTGCGGCTCCTCCTTTTACCAGAGGTTCACCTTGAGTCCGGTTCTCGATCATTCCAAGCCAGCGACCACGGTCGAGGGTGGTAATGGCGAACTGAGTCGCAAAGGGATGAACAAAGGATAGAGATGGATGCAGTTGATTCGTCGGCGAAATAGGATAGCCACTTGGGAAACTCAATGTGAGAATTTCTCCCGACGAGAGCAAAGTCATGACGGCGATAGGATCCTGAGCACCAGAAAAGTGAGGTGACAGGCGTGGGATCAAACAGAAGTTGGCAATCCCCACACCAGGAGGAGTCTCCAGAGTATTTTGACGTTTACCTTTCAGATAATCCGATAATATCTGCCAAGTGGAGGTTGCATAGTTGGGGGTTACTCCAAGTTCGATGAATGTCAGACCATTCGACGGCTCGTCCATCTTCTGACCACCAGCAATGAGAAGCCCGCTATCCTCGGGATTCTGTTTACAGCACCAGGCGATACGCTCATAAGGGTGCTTTGGACTTGAGGATCCCGGGTGTGGCACAGCTCGGTCTATATTGGTGTCATATAATGTTCTGGCCATAACCAGACGTCCGTCCTTGGAATCCCAGAATACCAAACTTCCGTCATCATGTGCAGTCAATATGAAAGTCCCGGTGGGATGCCATAATGCGTGTGTGACTTTTGGCCTTCTCATAGATTCAAAAGCTAGACAAGAACCGCCAGGGGCCCCTGGTGGAACTTGGTACTCAAAGAATTTGTTTGGCACGTTCTGCTTGAATGAGTAGACCACTACACCATGCGAATAGGCAATAAGCAACTTCCCTATATCGCGGGGGTGTAACTGCATCGATATTAAAGCCACAGCTCTAGCATTTGGATCTTTCTCTAACCAGAAATTAGGTAGTCGAAATGGCGACATTCGTTCCCGGTCGAGATCGTATGCATATATATCTCCAGTCTGCATGCCGAGAAAACACCAATCCAGCATGGGATCAGTAAGCATGCAACAAACGATACCAGGGGCACGAAAGCCCACGATACGTTTGCCAGTATCGATATCCCATATGGTCACCTCATTCTTAGTATCCAAGCTGACTAAGCGATTGTTGCAGAATTGCACATCTGAAAATGAGCATGATCGGGACGGGACCAGCAGTTTATGGACCCGAACTTGTCCAAAGACATATATTCTGCCACTTCCGAATTTAGACTCATTTGTGCCAACAGCCAGAAGAGACTGGACAGGCTCATGGGCGATGCAGCTTCATAGTGGAGTCAGTTGCAGAACCATAGGATACGGATATGATAATATACGATGATGTGATGATAGTGCTAGGTAATAGCCTACTATGTACTTACCTAATCTGAGAATTAATTCCATATCGCGCGCGATCGTCGGGTATAAAAGAGCCTGGGAGAATACCAGCAGACAGGTCATTTTGCATGCCAGACTGCTTTCCTCGAAAAAAGCTCGCCATGACTCAAACACAAGTATTTCCTAAGTCAGGTTTCCGTTTTTTGGCTTGGAGGTTTAGAGGTTTAAAGGATAGGTTAGGCTAAGTTCAGCTTGATTCGATTGATCCTATCCCTGAATGTCTCCAGTGTCTTTAAGTATTTAACCTACCTAGACAGATAGATTAATTAATCTAGCCTAGGTTAGTTGAATATTGCTGGTTATAGGTGCGGATAGCTGCGATAGTACAGGTTGGTAGGTAATCACGGTATTGTGTGTAGGTAAGCTGAGGATCAATGTTAATGGATTAACTGGAAAGGTTGATGAGTTAATAAGCGTACCTAGTTTATACGTCATTGTTGTTTTAAATAGATGTTTTAGCACTGAAACTCCTATGTACTGCCCCCAACCCCGCTGAGCTTGTAAACTGGAAGCCGCTTTATCCGTCCGTGCCTTTAAGTAACTAGTTATGCAGTTCACAGTGTGCCCAGTGCGGCATCACGCCACGAGCAGCCGCAGATGCTAAGAAACACGTGATTCAGGATATTCCCCAGGTTGGTCAGCTTCAATTTTTAATATTTCATAGGTAACTATCATTCAACAATAGCTTTTAGTTATTTACCAGAATTAATTTCACATTCCGGTTGTTTCGTGAGATGGAAATTTGGTCTTGGTCTAGTCATTTTGCATCACTATGAGCATTCTTCTACATCTATATTGGCTCTAGTTTCCTCTGTCTGCCCTGGCCCAGTTCAAGCATAACCCATTCGTAGACGGCCCATTGTACCGCGTTCACGAAGAAGGCTCTGATACTGCATACAGTCAATCCCCTAAAGAAGACCCGCATGCCACCTTCGTTATATGCACCTTTTGCTATATCCATAGCACCCAAGCGCTTTTTTGCGGGTAAAGATGAGCCTAGTAACGGTGTTCTCGTCACGTCATAGGTCTGTGTCTGAACTCTGGTCTTGATCACATCAAGAGGAAACACACTAGCCCAGGTAACAACACCGGCCAAGCCTCCACAAAGCAAGACCTTGGCTGCATCTTGCGACCAAGGGGAAGAACTTTGCCGATTGGATTCGACCCATTTGCTACTCAGCTCGTAAGACCAAAAGTAAAATCCATATCCAATGCTATCCCTCAGCGCAGTCACAACACCTCCAAAGTATAAGCCTCTGATGCCTTCGGCTTTAAAGACTTGCTTGGCGATGCTCCAGCTGGAGGCTGGTGGGGACGACAGCTGAGCCCTACATTTGATAAGTTCGGTGGGAGTGCTTACTACCCAGGTTGCTAAGCCGCCGATAGCGCCAGCGACCCAGGTGGTCCAGAGGTTCGACGATGTATTGAGTGCGCCATTTATAGCAGCCTCGCTACGATTATATGAGACGAAAAGGAGGGCGTTCAGGGCGCCATAACCGAGTACTGGCGCTGCTGTTCCAGCGAGCAGGGCAGACCTACTCTCAAACTGCCGTAGATAGGAGGTGGCCGTCTGGGCAGGTATAGCATCTTGTGCTTGTAAACGAACTTTGATGAGGTCCAATGGGTTGCCAATCAGGATGCCAACAGCGCCACTGACATAGCCAGCCCAGAAATCGGCAGACATTTGCCTGCGGAAAGCAAAGGCAGATAAATGCCTCGGGACCCCTGAATAAATGCAGCTCCTTGGTTTATCAATTCATAAATTTTGTCACCTCCAATCCATGAGTATCGTATTGATTGAGAAAGCAGCATATGGGAAGATAACAATAAGATACTCGTTAACAATTATGATTATGGTAAACACACAAGTTACCAAACGGATACTACTTGAATGATAAGGTGTGATCTGAGGTTAATGCTGGAATGCGGGGCAATGAAGCTAAGCATGATTAGTGGGTTGGTTAGTGCATAGGTATCGACCATCTCTAGAAGTTAACAGCTTTAACCTTTTGTCATTGCTACACAGGCGTTGCATATTAAGTATCTGATAAATAGCTGAGATATGCCGATTTCCTACATATGTGAAGTAGCTCTGGTGCCGCGAAGTTATAGGAGCAAAATTGAACAAGTCGAAGAAAGACAAACAAAAAAATGATGAGTAACTAATTAAGTATCGCCAATTATTAATTAGAGTTTTATTTTCACGTGATCTGGTGTCAATCCCCCGCTAGACAATGCTAATGAAGCGCGTCGCGGTTTCCAGCGATCAACAAAGTACCTACTGAGTACATGCATAATTATTAAGTACTACCTACCTAGTAGTATGTAAAATTGTAAATTCTAGGCTGCAAGACTTTGGAACTTTATTGTTGACCTTGGGCCTTTAACTAATTTCCAACTCATTATATTAATTATCATAATTCCAGAAATTACTCATACTCCCGGGGAAAAGAGAAAAACGGAACAAGAAAAACAAATCAACCCGGATCAAATGTAACTACTTGGCCCTGCTCTCCCAATATCGTTGAGCTATCCGGCAACTAACATTACATAGGGCAACAGACTCACCTTTGACCCCATCAGTCAAGCCGAATAATAACCCAGGAAAACGTCTTCACTCCCAAAAATCCAAGGATCAGTTATTCAAGCCATTCAAATGTCCTGGCGCGGCAAGAGCAACACCAGCCGCAGACCGTCCAGCTCGAAAACGAAAAAAGGTTGACTACAAAGGAGCTGGTGGTGATGACTCAGAGGACAAGCCTTATACGAATGCCGACCGATTAGCTTTAGCGAACCGAGATGTCAACCGCTTTCCCGTCTTCCAGCCAAAGGACAAGGACAAGGTCTTCAGAAAAGCCTTCAGCATACCTCTTATCAACAAAAACAATGGCTCCTACAACCCCAACCGTCCGCCACCCACCCTCGGCTTAAGACAAGGCGCTGCCTTTGTAGCCAAGCCCCTACACGACCCCACCGGCGAATTCTCCATTGTGCTATACGATCCTACCATTGATGACAAGCCCAAAGTGGGAGATAAGCCGAAAGAAGATGAAGTCAAGGATGAGGAGAAAATAGATGCGCCTCTGGTCCACAAGAGCTTGGCTGAGATTCTAGGCATTCGAAAGAAGGTCGAGGGTGAACACCCGAGAGTTCCAGTTGTCATCGATCCAAGGCTCGCCAAAGTGTTGCGGCCACATCAGATCGAAGGTGTCAAGTTCATGTACCAATGTGTCACTGGGATGATCGACGAAAAGGCCAATGGTTGTATTATGGCCGACGAAATGGGTCTAGGAAAGACGCTGCAATGCATCACGCTTCTCTGGACCTTACTTAAACAATCTCCAGAGGCCGGCAAGACGACGATTCAAAAAGCGATCGTGGCATGTCCCTCTAGTTTGGTCCGCAATTGGGCTAACGAATTGACTAAATGGCTTGGTGCTGATGCCATCACCCCTTTTGCAATCGATGGAAAGGCGACCAAGGAAGAATTAGTTAGACAATTACGCCAATGGGCAATTGCTAGCGGACGTGCAGTAACACGGCCAGTCATCATTGTCTCCTACGAGACACTTAGGCTGAATGTTGAGGAGCTTAAGAACACTCAAATCGGCTTGATGTTGTGTGATGAGGGCCATCGATTAAAAAATGGCGACAGTCGAACGTTTACTGCTCTAAACAACCTTCAGGTCACTAGAAGAGTGATTCTTTCTGGTACACCCATCCAGAATGATCTTTCCGAATACTTCTCCTTGATCAGCTTTGCAAATCCTGGCCTACTTGGTAACCGGCTGGAATTTCGAAAACGATTCGAGCTTCCTATTCTGCGAGGTCGAGATGCCGATGCGAGTGAACACGAACGCTCCAAAGGGGACGAGTGTTTAGGTGAGTTGCTTGGCGTCGTGAACAAATTCATCATCCGGCGCACCAACGATATTCTATCCAAATATCTCCCAGTTAAATACGAACACGTCGTATTCTGTAATCTGGCTCCCTTCCAACTTGATCTCTACAACTACTTCATCAAGAGTCCAGATATTCAAGCGCTTCTGCGTGGCAAAGGAAGCCAGCCTCTCAAAGCCATCACCCTACTCAAGAAGTTATGCAATCATCCAGATCTACTCAACCTCGCCGATGATTTGCCTGGCTGTGAGGATTTCTGGCCGGAGGATTACACACCGAAAGATTCACGTGGACGCGATCGAGATGTCAAGCCGTGGTACTCTGGAAAGATGCGGGTCCTCGACCGAATGTTAGCACGAATCCGTCAAGATACAAACGACAAGATTGTTCTCATTAGCAATTATACCTCCACCCTCGACCTCTTCGCTCAGCTCTGCCGCCACCGTGCATACGGCCACTTGCGTCTCGATGGCACCATGAACGTCAGCAAGCGCCAAAAGCTTGTTGACAAATTCAACGACCCAGATGGCAGCGAATTCGTCTTTCTTCTTTCCAGCAAGGCTGGTGGCTGTGGTCTCAACCTGATCGGCGCCAATCGTCTCGTGCTCTTTGATCCCGACTGGAACCCGGCAGCTGACCAACAAGCGCTCGCGCGTGTGTGGCGTGACGGACAGAAGAAGGACTGTTTCGTGTATCGGTTCATCGCTACAGGTACGATCGAAGAGAAGATTTTCCAACGGCAGAGCCACAAGCAATCGCTATCCTCTTGCGTCGTCGACTCAGCCGAGGACGTCGAGCGCCACTTCTCGCTCGACAGTCTAAGAGAGCTTTTCCAGTACAGAGGTGACACACGCAGCGACACCCACGACACGTTCAAGTGCAAGAGGTGCAAGCCCGACGGCAAGCAGTTCATCAAAGCTCCCGCTATGCTGTACGGCGATACGAGTACCTGGAATCACTTTGTGAACAGCGGGCTGAAGCCTATACAAGATTTGCTGCTTAGGCAGGAGTGTGGAGAGGAGGAGGTCTCGGCTGTGTTCCAGTATATCTCACATTAAGGAAGGGCATCGAGATACCCATACTTGCTTTGCTTCATTCTTGGGAACGGCGAAGAGAGAGGGGCGTATGTATGGCGATGTGACTTACGGGAAGTGTATCTAATGGTTGGGTTGGGTTGGTACCTACATATAGTGCTGATAGTGCTGTAAAGACAGACGGATGGGAGGGATCACGACATGATATGGCATTGCACGCAAAGGGCGTTTAAGGAAATCACGGAGGTGTTGCTTCACGAGGAATGATGCATTGTTAGATGACTAACCTAACCTAGGTATATAAAGTTGCATTGGCCGAAAACTTGCTCTGTTGGCTTCCTTGGGTATATTAAGCGTTGAGCGTTGCATGGTTGCTTTCGTGATGTTTTGTTGTACGGCCAGCCAGCCAGCCAGCCAGCCAGTCTTAACTATTCATTCGTTGCCTGTTTATAGATATCTAAAGCTATTACCGTTGGGCTATTCAAGTTCGTCGAGGTTCTTCACCACATATTAGCACCGATCTGGAAGCTCTCAAGTAGCCCTTTCTCAGAATAGAATATCGTGGTCGTGGTGATGGATGTCATGACGGATATTAGAAGGTGATGTCAGTTTCCATACCTACTCTATAACTACCTACTACCTACTAATGCCATAGGTAGGTATATAGCACGTAAGTACTGAATGCGAAGTAACGGGGGGGACGGAAGTATAGTACCTACCTAACCTAGTAATATGTCTCCTGCCTTTCTTCAAAGATAGGAGTACTTCGCATATCTTCCGTAGGTATTGGCTATAAGCCATTTGATATTTAGGTAGGTACACCTCCGTATGTAGGCTTGACGGGAGAAATCTTATATATATACTCCGTGATATTGCTGGATATACGCATCAGATCACATCTAAGTACCATCTCTTCAAACTTTGTATGCATGTCTCAAGCATCGTCAAAATAAAGGCAAGTTTTCTTCTATTATGAGATCTAATCCTTAGCACATGTCCTGGGCACAAGACTCTATATTCTCACAGCAAGCTAGCAAGTAAAGCATGAATAATCATCTGCACAATGGAAATCTCTCATAAATTTCCTATATGTACCTAAGCCACCTTAGTTTGTTCGCAAGTCTACTTCCAGGCATCTAATGCCTTGATCTACAATGCAATAGATCCACGGACTGCTATAGTCGTATCCTATACCTTGCACTAATCCAGCGGGCTGTTGTGTATTAACCCAACTGAGAAATGCTGGTCGAGACGTCTTCGTTTGGGGAATGGCCAGGACTTGCATGTGGCTTGTGTGCATTTCAAACAAAATGGTATCATATGTATAAGTCAGGAAAGCCACTGCCAATATATGTCAGGCATAAAACGTGACACGTTACATAACAACCTAGAATCAAGAAGATTAGTACGTGTACAACATTACGAGACGAGTGACGGGAATAGAGATAAACATAGAGGAGCAAGGGGGGAGAAACTTACACAGTCGTCGTTTTGCTTTCCTTGAGGGATACCCATTTCCTCAAAGGTGGAAGGGCCCTGGTTAACTTTGGACCCTGGTTTTGAGGCAGGGGCCGAAGCGGCTGAGCCGGGCGTGTTGGGGGGCGGACTCGCCAGTGCTGTCCGTCCGGGTTGGGGTGGTGCGCTTGCACGGCCTACGTGATCCGCTGCTGGACCAGGTCGCTCCTTTAACGGTACTCCAGGTCCAGGTCGGCCGCCGCTGGATATTCTCTGGCCACCGGGACCTCCTTGAGGCAGTCCCATTGGCATGGAACTATTGCGAGGTCCAAGGCCACCACTCATAGTCGGAGTAGACATCGTTGGAACCCGGCCGCCGTGGTCATAGGGGCCGGAAGAAGCCCTCGGGCCAGGAGCATGCGGCATTGGCATAGATGATTCTCTCGGGCCATACCCACCTGGGTACTGGCCTGGTGGGGGTCCTTGCTTAGTGAGTCGGTTGTGGCCCGATCCGGGTCGTTGGTCATACCCCTGCGGAGGTGGCCGTGTATCAAACTGTCCCGTGACGGGACGGGCTTGACCTCTAGGTCCTGGGCTGGGCTGCCGATAACCGGCTGGGGCCTGTGGTTGCCAAGTAGCAGAGACTGGCCGACCACGGTTCGGGTCCATCCCAGCAGGAGGAATGGGGAGTTGACCGGCAGATTGGGAAGTGTGTAAACCTCCGGGGTGGCCCGGAGATTGCGTTCGAATTCCAAAGGAACTTCCTGGGCGGTCCGCGACTGGGCCTGCAGACGGCCGAATGCCTGATTTGAAGTGGGGCGACAGCTGCGGCTTTGACATATCGTCTTCCGGGTAGGGTACAGCAGCAGATACTGGGCGCATCGACGAATTCGATGGTCTGTCATCTTCGGGGTACGGGGCTGCTGATTGTGACCTTTCGGGAAGGTTTACAGTAAAGGCTGGGGGACGGTTACCACCGCTTAAACCAAGTCGAGACATATCAGGCATATCGGTCTGGTTGAAAGTTGGCACTCTAGGAGATGGATGAGGAGACGCTCGGGGCGAATTCTGGTCTTCCGATACTGCTGGCATAACATTATTCGGTTTGGTAAAACGTTCAGGTCTGTTGCCTCGCTGAGAACCGTGCTTTGACTTGATTCTCGTCAACGCCGTAGTCTCGTGGTCTTGCTTCGATAGTGTCTTAGACTGCGAGAGACTCTCCAACCGTCCTACGGCGTCCTTATTACCATGCTCCGCTGCTAACTCGTACCACTTCCGGGCCTCTCGCAGATCCTTGTCCACCGATATTCCGATTTCGTAGTAGTAGCCCATTGCGAACTCACCAGTTGGTAGCTTAGTCGCAGCGGCTAGCTGGGCGTACTTGAAGGCAAGAATCTCATTCTTGGCAAAGGTCCCCTCATATCCAAATAAAAACCATCTGCTGACACCTAGACATGCCTCAGGCTGGCCTTGTCTGGCAGCGAGACCATAGTAGTGTAACGATAGGGCCGGATTAAAGTCGCAGCCGAGCTGGCACAACTCGTAAGCCTGTCCCATCTTCAGTTGGGCCTTAGCAAAGCCGAGATAGGCAGCCTTTTCGATATACTGCCGAGCAACACCAATATCATATGGCAAAACTCCTTCGGGGATCGCGACATCAGGGAGGTCTCTCGCGATAAGCATTCCGTACACGAAGGCGCCTTGAGGCGCATCTTCGTCGGCTGTATCAGCGGCGGAATGTATCAGATCCAGTCCTCTGGGAATATCTTTGGGCTGGCCTCGCTGGCCTAGAAGATTGACCATTCCCAGTCGATATGAAGCTGCCGAGTCCTTCGCAGTCATACCCAATCGATAATGATTCATAGCCTTCTCCATGTCATTTGAGTTCTCAAATAGCATACCAATTCGATAATCAGCACGGCCCCAGCCAGCCTGTGCAGCGGTCGAATAACTTGTATACGCTTCCTTCTTATCCTGTCGCTTGCCAAACTTACCGAACTCGAGCCACTTGCCTCTAATGAATAGAGCTTCGGGATGACCCTGGTCAGCAAGGTAAGAGACTATGTTGATAGCGTCGATGCGCAACTCATGTTCAATCTTAGGCGTTGCCACGCGCGGCGGGGGATCTCGATCGTTAGTAACGCGTAAGGCCTCCTCTTCCCGAATGGCTGCCTCGGCGGCTATCTCGACGTATGAAAGGACATCGCGAGCCCAGCAAATCTGCATATTGGGGTCGTTGGAGTGAAGAACATGTTCGCGGCTCTCAGCCAAGACGGCTTCCTTCTCGTCATCGCTAGGAGGTATGTGTTCTCCTTGGACTTTGGGGAATGGGGAGAATGAGGGTAATTCGCGCATATCCTGAAGGTTCCTTTCGAATTGTGGATTGCGGTCCTGCGTCTCGTGAAAAGGACTGTAGGTGGAGCTGTCGAAGTTGGATGCGGGACTGTAATCAGTGGCGGGGTTCCGACCCTGTTGGTATTGCTGCCCAAACCCTCCAACCTGAGTGTTCAATACAGTCGACAAAGATGGTTCGCGTGAGTGTCGCGGACCATTTCCTGATGTTTGTGAGGATGGATTTCTCGAGTCGACAGATCGAGCTTCCAGTTCCATTCGCTGTAGACCTTGCTGCATGTTTTGAGGAACTTCTGGCATTACCCTATTACGTTATAAGTGGTTAGGTTATATGTTAGAGCGGGAGAAGGACAGGTCAGGCCGGGTCGGGTCGGGGTCAGGTGTGGTGTGGGCAAGTTGTGGCAAGCTGACATTCAGCATTCAGTCACAAGAACCAGTCTGGTATGTTACAATGTTCATCTGGTACATATGTCTGGCATGTAGGATTATGTTTCAAGATGTATGTAGTATACAAGGCGTAGTAGTGATAAAAGGTAGAAATAGAGACAGAAAAATGGAACAAGTAAAGAAAGCGCCAAAAAAAAAAAAGAAGACCAAAAAAAAAAACACGTACCTTTGTGGTGAGGGTGCCACTACTTCAGGCATATAATAGTCGTCCATGCCCCCGGGATAGAAGGTTGCCCCGAAATTAGGCATATCGAAATCGTCTTCGCTTGACTGCGGCTGGTGAGGACCTACATAAATATAAGAAAGATGCACTGTCAGCCCGCGCCGTTTTTCTTTTGCGCCAATAGTCAACCCCAGTTCAGGTCCAGTTCGGCGTAATATTGTCCTATACTGTGCTGCGCTGTCCTGATTTTGGTTTTAAGGAGGAGTCGATGCTGTAGCCCTGGAGCCGTTTTCAATTTATGGCGGGGTTCCTCTCCGTTTATTTTCTTCCGTCTCCTCCTCTACCAAGGTTCCAGATGTTCCAAGGGTCGTAAACTTGCGCTGCTTTTCTGATCTGATCTTGGGCTAACTTGGTAGTTTGACCTAAGCAGATTAAGGTACGGTATCTTGTATCCAGATGGGGATGATGGAGACGATGGTGACAAGGATGATGAGGCCCTAGAGTTCCAAGAATAGATCTCACGGCGTACGGCTGGTATTACAGGTGTGTAAGGCCTGTAGGCTACAGGTATGTATTGTATTGTACTTGTATTGTACTTGTACTGCAGTCTGCAGCTGTGTATGTTGTGCTTTGGTGGTAAAAGGCGTTCTTAGGATGTTATTTGCCGATTTCCGATAGAAAGGGGGTTAAAAGAATAATAGTGATAAATGTAATAAATGTAATAAATGTAATAAATGATCACAGTTCATAGTTCAGAACAGTATCAAATGATTATCCCCAGGGCTGGTGCTTCTTCTTAAGAAAGACCAATGTCGGGTTAGAATTGCTGTGTATGAGTTGCTGTAAGTAACTTGTAACTGGTTCCGGCTGCAATTGCTGAGGGGCAGAAGGGGGGCAGGGCAGGCTTAGGTATGCACCGGTCCTCGCTACTGCCACCTCCCTAAGGTTGTAAGGTTGTAGTGACCTTCCACTACTAACTTGAAGTGCTTAGGTTGATACATGAATATGCCTAGGCCCTAGGTACCTTGTAGATACTTGGGTAGGTGGCAGACAGTACATGTAACGCAGACTGGCAGTAGGTGCTATGTACTTGTAGCATAACCAAAACAACCAAAGCAACCTTGGAAGGTATGGGTACCTAGCAGGTAGATAGTAGGCGGGCGGGAAATAGCGCTGGAGTATAGGTAGATTAGGAAGTCTGATAGGCTACCTGGTACCTAAAGCCTCTCTAAATGTTCCAACGTTGGAGGCTTTGGCCATCCAGTCCACCTATCGTATCTCATCTTTTAAATTAAATTCTTTTTGATTCTTTATGGAGGGTTGCGATAAATAAATCCATGTGAGCCAACGCTTGGGCAACAAGTATCGACGTCCCGCCAGTACCTAAGAAATATGTATGTTGGTCTGGTATTTGATATTCCGCGGGGCTTCTTCAGCAACATCAATGATTGAAGCCTATTACTAGTTATCTTCTTCTTCTTTTTCTATACCTAGTAAATACCCAGTAAGTACTAAGCAGGTATCCGAGAAAGGTCTGACTGAACACGAATCGCCGACCCGGCACAGACTGTGCGAAACAAATATTGCTGCTGGGCGGTAGTGCTAGAGTGCGTACCTGCATGATCGACCCGGATAAGGGGGTCATATAGAGGGTCCCAACAGACGGCAACATCCATGGTGGACCAACAACCCGGGAAGGCCTTAACCAATATTCGGTCGTAGTCCCGGAGTCCAGGTGTCAAGGTGTCAAGGTGTCAAGGTGTCCAGGTGTCCAGGTCCATTATCCAGGAAAGGATTAAATGAAATGAAAGCAAAGCATTGTTATGCTTATTACTTACCTACACCATTTCCAGGTCCCATATCCGAAGCCCTTTCTTGAGGCCGCGCGTTAGCCTCTGAACCCTGTGAACTCTGCGTCATCATTGTCGTTGTGGTGGGCGGTGCCGTTGTCAGATTTGTTAATCGATCGCCTTCGCAACCCTACTAGGTAAGGCCTAAGCCTTGTGCTGACCTTGTTATGATTATGGCAATTCAGGTTATATCTGGATCAAAGGACCAAAAGAAACAATGTCATGATGATACCTAGTAAGCAAGGCAAGAAAACATGCTTTGTAGAACTCGAAAACCTCAGGTTTTGATTGGGATCCTCGGGCGTCTATATAGCACGATTGCTTCTATTCTAACAGGTTCCCTATCTTTCACCCTAGAAAAATTTGATACATAACAGATGCATTAAACCAAGCCCAGAAGCAAACAAATATTGTCTGAGGGGTGAGGCGAGATGAAGGGATCGTCCAACGCACATGTGTGCTTCTCACTTAGGCAACTAATCATCCGGTGCGAAATGAAGCCTTCGCATCCTGTAGGTTAAGAATACTACGAGGGCAGGAGAGGAATGAATAGTATCATCCTAGCCAGGTTTGTCTGCGGGTGAGCATGCTCCAAAGACTAACACGATTAGGTACCGTAGGTAAACTGGTAGATTGCAGAGATGTAGGCTGAAGGGGCTCTGTTTTCGGTTACGGGCCATAGCCTCATTATGTTTCTATTCTAAGATCAGCGGCATTAGCCCGTCACCTTCTTTCCTACCTATCAGGATGTAACAAGCTGTCACGGCCGCGAAGGCTCGAGGAGGTATTACTATGGTAGCCATTTGCGCCATTGATCCCAATCCAATTTCATGACGATCCTCTTGGGGCATGCTAACATGTTATACAGGGGTGCTCGTAAAAGGAAACGCAACCACAGATGTCAAATAGTTACCCTATCAGCCTATCAAATTTATGATGTCTTGGGATGGGTAAGGGGTAATCACTATAAAATAAATAGAGCACCATGGTTATTATATAAGAGACGGGTAGGCATGTCATCAACATCCATAGGACATAGAATATCACTGCTCGACATCTCAAGCAGTAAGTTAAGTATTAACAGCATTCTGTATGGGTAGGTAGATACTAATGTAGGCAGGTAAACAGTACGTACGTGTTTGTCGGAGTGGGCATAATGCAATAAACATGGGTTCATCTAATGTGCCATGTGTTCCCAAGGGGGTTGACACATAAGAGGCGACAAAAGAAGCGAAAGCCATAAGTGGAAATAGACACAGGAGAGAGGTGATGCGTGACCAATACCTCGTGAACATGTGAAGGTCATCCACCGATAGTTTGGTGAATTAACAAGATAAAGTGTCCGTTAGCTTCCCAGGTACCTGTCTATAACACGTATGTATGTAGAAAACGAACACATCACGGCTATGGTCAGGTGTATAAAGTCAGAACATTTAAGTAATTTATGATAATCCATACTTGGTAGTTTATAGAATTCCAATCGAAGAATGAGTTGAGTTTGCGGTAGACTCTTTAATAATTAAAATATTAATGTTTTAGGTACATAGTACTGTACATACATCTAATAGTAATGAAAGAAGCAACGGTTCAAGTTGGAAGAACCTCGGGCTCTCCAGCCACAGTTGCTCTTAACAGGCTTAGCAGCCTCAACTGTCTTGCTAGAAAAAGCAGCTCCAGCCACAAACAGCACCAAGCTCATCAATCGAAATCGAAATCGAAATCGAAATCGGAGCCAAGTGGGTCAAGCTCCTTCTCTTTCGTCAGCCTCTCAGCCTGCTTGCCTTTCCTGAACCATACCAGAAATAATACCAAACCAACATCATCAACCTCACCAATTTCCTCAAACTCGAACCAAACACCACTTTCGTCTTCGTCCTCTTCTTCTTTATCATCTACCCATCGAATAAAACAGGAATTATCCGGACCCCGTATCGTGAAACTCCCTTCAAGGCCATCTTCACTCGTAGCGAAGCTTAAGCCCGACAACGAAGCAGCCATTATTACCATCCCAACTCCATCTTCATCCTCATCTTTCTTAATCCCGACAGCAACAACAACAACACCACAGTCTACCGAAACAATGGCCGAACGAACACTTCAGCAGATACTTACCCAACTCCGTTCCAACCCCGGACTTCCCTACTCCGAGGCCTCTACCCTCCTCTCCAAAGCCAAGATCGCCCTACTCCAACTTAAGGCCGCGACACCGGGCGCACCCGGCACCACACCACAGCATCTAGCACTAGCCCGTGACGTCTACGAGCAAGGAGCCCTCTTCGGTATCCGTGCGCGCAATCCAGAAGCATTCACCCGCTATGTGTCGCAGCTGCAGCCCTTTTACGAGCTGCCCACCACCGTCCTAGCCCCGCAGTCCTCAAGCGAACGAAACAAGGTGACGGGTCTGTATCTGCTGCTCCTTCTCACGCAGGGCCGATATGCCGAGTTTCACTCCGAGCTCGAGACCCTGAGCACACGGGCCAAGGAAGGTGGTGGTGCGACCGAGATTGAGGGAGATCGGTTCCTGGGGTACCCGATTAAGCTAGAGCGATGGCTCATGGAGGGCAGCTACGATCGCGTGTGGAAGGCAATGAAGAGCCGTGAGGTTCCCAGTGAGGAATATGGTGTTTTCTCAGAGGTAAGCACACTCGCCTTCCCCCCCACCATCACCAGATCCCATTTTACCAGACCATAAGGTTGAATATAGATTAACCACCCACCGACACAGATCCTAACCTCCCAAATCCGCTCCGAGATCGCCTCCAGCAGCGAGCGCGCATACCCATCTCTCCCCATAAGCAGCACCAAGTCCCTCCTTTTCCTCGACTCCGAGGGCGCCGTCGTCGACTTCGCCCGCCAACGTGGCTGGCTTATCAGGGATGGCCACATCTACTTCCCCAGCACCGCCGTCACCATCGAGGGCGAGCCCATGACCGCCGGGGAGGTCGAAGACGAGGATGAAAAGGAGTTCAGCCGCATGGTTATCGAGAACGCGCTCGGCTACGCCCGCGAGCTCGAGACTATCGTCTAAGCTTGTCCCACGACGAATAATTCCTATCTCATCTAAGGAGGGCAGAACTTATAAATTCCAACTCTTCTTTGGACCACGAGGGCTCAGATAAAACTGAAATGCACTTTACAGAACTGGGGCAGATGCAGACGAGAAAGAACAACGCTATGGGTTGGCAAAGTGGCATGCAGCAAGCACATGGACACACGTCATGGGATGAGATGAATAAATGATAGCTCGCATAACATAGGAACAGGAGAGGAGAGGAAATCTCCGATGAAGTTTAATAATACCACACACAGGCCATGGGACAACAACAACAACAAGCTACTATCTATCTATCTATCTATCAATCTTAGAGGTCCAGGGCCAGACAACCCCAATCCAACCCAACTATGGAAAAGAGGGTGAAGTTGGGAAGGAAGGAATGCGTTTTTATCCGTAGCCAGGCGTTATGTATTTGTGTATGATACAGACGTAAATAAAAAAAAAAGAGACAAGGACAAGCAAGCAAGCATCAATCAATAGACACTGGCATGAGCCCACCCAAGAACTGAAGTTATCACCATCCCTATTCGTGTTTTATGACCTATACTAGGCACCTACGGGTGATATATACGAGTGAACCCGTAAAGTCATACCGCCACCACTTGAGACTCAAAAAAAGGACTTTCTTTTCTAACCTAAGTTTGTGTTGTGATCGATAATTCTCTCTCCTATTTTACCACACGACAACTACCTAAGGTTAGTTTAGTAAGTACCTACTATCAACTCGCCTCGACAACATAAGCAGGGTTTTTTACTTTCGTGCAGACAACTCCTTTCCATCCCAAATTTCTAATATCATTAGAATCTTTTGACCCCTCCCGGCCCCCCTCTCGTTCAACAGCAGTGCTTCGTTTCCGTCATTCATTCAGCCCAGAGTCATAAGAACTACACCCATCAAGAGAACAACCGTAGCCCACTTCCATGCTTTCCAACCTCGCACACCTCACAGACAGTGCAGACAGTTCCCTTGTACTTGCTGTGGTACTTGGACCCGTCGAACGCGCACTCCTCGTATGGTGTGCCGCTGTAGATAGGCGTGTGACTGGCCGCGCATATCTCAAACTCTGCAAACTGATCGTACTCGATCTCGACTGTGTCATGCGGATTGCGCTCGCATGTTGCTTTTATTTTTCGGGCCTATTCAAAACAGTTAATTATAAAGTTACAACTATAGTAGGATAATGCATAAGGGGTAGAAACTTACATTTTCAAGAATCCTGTTAGCACCACCGTTGGCGAGAATACGGTTCGCAAAGCTTAATGCCGAGCTGTAATTCTTACTTCTTGAAGCTAAGTTCATTGCATTGAGTAGAGCAAGCTGTCGGTGAGGAACTTCAATCTTGGGAATTGTGAAATATGCAGACAACTCGAGACTTCGCTTCAGAAGGGCAGGGTTGCCATTCACGACGTCGGTGGGGCCTAACTTCCTTCGCGCAAGCTCGATCGACATTGCAGTAGTATACTCACTTGCCGAAGTAATCAGTTTCTTAGCTTCTGCAACTTCACTCTCGCTCGAAACGACGTTCGCGAGCATAGCATGTAGAATGCCCTTGAAAATCTGTACACCCTCCTCGAGCTTATTTGCCTTCATCGTCTCGTAGCCCTTGTGAAGGTCATTGGTAGCAAGGTGTTCAATGTCGCGCGGGATGATGGGAAGAACCTTCCTATGATCTGTCTCATCCAGATTTCTGCGGACATAGTTGACCAGGGGCGGTAGGTTAGCCGAGGCAGGTAGGAAGGTCCTTGAGGCGGAGTAAATTTCTAGGAAACGGGGTTTAAGAGGCGCAAAGTTGACGGCGCCAACTTGTCGGTTGAGGAGGTTCATAGCTGACTCAAACGAACCTCCAGCAATGTGATCCGCAGCTAATGGAGAATTGCGAGCCCATAAATCCGCTTCGCTGCTACCAGCACCTCCAGCATCTGTGCTCTCAACATTCACGAAGTCACTCTCAGCTTCGGGAACAATGTCGTCGCCTAGGTCCCATCCGGCAGCGTCCTCATCTTCTTCAGCATCCAGTGCGCCATTTCTCTTGGTAGTCGCCTCATCCGCACCCTCTTCTAATTCCAAGCCAGTGGCAGCTGCTGAAGGTTCGTCTTCAAGATGTATGCCTTCCAGTTCACTAGCGAGAGCTTTCTCGAAAAATGATTGCGACGTCGCTTTTGTGGGCCAGTTGGCCTTGTAAGTTGGCACAGTTGGCTTTGGTAAGGTGAGGCCCTTGCCAAATGTAGGCAGTTTCAGTTGGTCTTCAGTAACGCCAGTCGCTTCCAGGATAGATTGACACTCCTCCTCAAGGCCATGTGCTTTGGCTGTCACATATGCCAAAGGATCTAAAGGAGTATTAGCTTTTTCTTCTTTTTTGCAAACAGCAATTTTGACGCGGATTACTCACATAAGTCGATTTCTTTAAACATTTGAATCCTGTCCTCAACTTCACCCAAAAAGAGCGCGTTTTGGAATCTCGCCGTGAAATCACCTCGGTGCTCAGCAATCTTGGCCATTCTTGCTAGCTTTGAGTGGTCGCCAGTTGCAAGATACAGGAATGAAAGCTTGTCGAACTGTTTCAATTTCTGATATGCCATCTCAACAACCTGGTGGTTTCCATGCGCCAGCGCCTCAGCACCCAATCTCGTCCAAAGCTTAGGGCGGTCTAGTTCCTTAGCCATCTCTACAGCCACATCAAGGTTTCCACATTCGATAGCGAGTTCAAATCGGGTTGTCGGGTCTTGTACGAACTGCAATGCGATCTCGGGGTATCCTTTCTTTTGAAGGTACGAAATGATGGATTGACCAACCAGACTAGAAGTGCGTATAATATGAAGCATCTCCTCATAGTTGCGCTTGACTAGCGACAGCTTAAAGCGATACTCAGTCGGATCAATATTCAGAATCTTAGGCCTCGCACCACGGTCAAGGCAGTAGACACTTCGGCCCTTGACTCTCACAAGGTATACTGTTTGGTCAAGAGTCCGAACAATTCCATTGTCGCCGTTCATAAGCGTGTACTTGATATGATTAAGGGTAGAGTATAGGAGGACTCCTGCATCGTCCCAAGTTGCACTCTTGATCCGAATAGTCTCATGCAGTGTGCTGACCTGCTCAAGTGTTTTTGTCACGATGGTGACATTGTGCTTGCTCAAAAGCGCTGCATGAAGACCATCGTTAGACCAGACAACATACTTGACACCATTCACGGCCAGCTCAGCAACACTCTTCTTTTGCTGGATGTCGTAAAGGTGAACTGCGGTGGGAGTGATTATGAGTAGATTTCCGGTACCACCAAAGTAAATGTCAGTCGTTCCCACAGGAGGCTTAAAAGATCGTGCCGTGTTATTTGAGAGATCCTTGATGTCTACAGTCTGCGCAGCTGTGTTAAGGACAGCAAAGCGATTCCGAGCGACGAAGATGGCAGAATTTCCTTGTCCACGCTTCGAGTCAGTTGCTTCCAACGCGCCAGAGCCATCCCGGGGCAGGTTAATAAGCTCATACGAGCCACCCTCGGCGGGCGAGATAACCAGGACGGAACGTTCAGCAGGGTTATAAGACAATGTCCGGGGCGGGACCCAGGCACTACCAAGTCGCTTCAGGGATAACAATGTCGGGCTCTCAGCATTCTTCTGGAAATCGTAAGAGCGAACGTGCTTCTCTTTGGTGATGAAAAAAAGCGAGTTCTGATGGACAGTAGAAGCTGGACGTTCCCGTTCTAGTTTGAATACCATTACACCATTGTCGTGACCAGCCGCAAACAAATTGATTTCGGGGTGGGCTGCGATAACCCAGAACCGGTCGTTTTCTCTCTTAAAGGATTGGACAGCGGTACGTTTCTGCGAATCCCATACTCGAATCGTCTTGTCCTCGCCACAAGATAGGATAAGGTCTTGATGAGGATGAAACAAGCAACCTGAGGCGTTCTGGAAATGGCCGCGACAGGTGTCAACCTCCCAAGCCTTGGTTTCGCTAAATCGCCATAGCTTTATAAGTCGGTCGTCACCGGCCGAGACAATGTGAGGAGCAGTTGGATGGAAAGATACCCAGTTAACGCCGCGATCGTGGCCCTCGAGCACAAACTTAACCATTGCGTCGGTGTTACCAAACATATCGGTCTGCTGCGCATTGGATCGGGCAACCTGGTCTTCGAATGACATAGATGTCGGGGCGGAGTGCTTCTTTCGCAGCCCAGAAATATCCCATACACGGACGGACTGATCGAGGGAGGCGGATACTACAAGGTCGTCCTTGGGGTGGAACTGAGCACACATAACATAGTGGTTATGTCCAGTCATCGTACAAACTAAAACCCCCATGTCAGCAAATCTTTGCCTTGAAATGCCTTCTTTCGGTGTAATCCATACTTAGCGAGCGATTCTGCCAATTCCATATCCGAATAGTTTGGTCATCTGAAGCAGATATTATCCAAGGCAACTCGTGGTGGAAGAAGACTGTTCGGACATAGTCAAGATGTCCGTTCAAGGTGAATAGACATCGCCTCGTCTGGTAAGACCAAACCTTGATCTTGTAGTCGTCGCCTCCGGAAACGAAGAGAGGTTGCGTTTTATGGAAATCGATACCTCGAACGGGGCCATCGTGCTCTTCGAAGCGGTCAATAAGGGTTCCCATGCGGTAATCCCATAATTGAATGGTCGAAGAGTGTAGGGAAACAAGAATCCATGGTCTGATAATGTTCTCGAGTCAGTATTGAACAGCGGTGACGACAAGTAGAGATATATCGCGAAGGGGGGGAAGGTATCGACCTTTTAGGGTGAAAGGCAATGCCTTTCGCTCTTGAAGACTTGGACTCGAACTATAGTAGAAAGCATCAGTAAGCAAAGGTAAAGATCTGAAAGGTATGCGACTAGGTTTGAAGCTGTGTGGGCAGATGAATAGGTGTCTGCATACCTTTGTTAACATTCCCGAAGAGGCCTGCATTATGAAGGATATTAGAGGCAGCAGGAGGCCCCTAAGCTTCTGTCATGAAGAAGGGTAAAGAAAAGATGCGCCCAGACGCTGTGAAGAGAATTAGAGGTGGTGAAAGTAGAATTAAGGAATTGTGATAAATGGTGGGTGAGCTGTGTGGCTCTGTATTTTTGTGAAATATTATGTCTTAACACCAACTTTGATTGTTCTTTACAATCGTTAAGTTAACCAAGTCAATTCGTGGCCCAAAAGTAACTGTGGATTAATTCCTGACTGGGTTCCAAGTTCTGCCCATGCCTGTCCACCAGCTGTCCTGATTGTGCCGGACGGACTAATTATTATTCCAGACACTACAGTGGTTATGTGTACTGGGTACGATACTCACACGCATTTTCCCCAGTGAATATAGGTACTAGCTACAAGATGGAGGGGCAGGTTTCACCTAGCAGTAGCACTGATAAAGTTAATAAAGTTAATAAAGTTAGCTTTAATAACGTGTAACGTCAACTGGCTGCCCACATCCGCTAAATTGAACCCCTGTAGCTTCAAGCTTCAAGTTTCTATGTACTATTATGTAGTTTCTCAAGTCTTTCTTCTCATTGGTGATCTTTGGATCTTTGGCTAAACTTCATTGGTTAAGGTTCCTCTGTAGCTCTGCTATTACTTACATGCATGCATGTACAGTGCTTGTACGTACCTATCTATTTGTTTAGGTGTTCAATTGATACTAGTACAATACAGTTGCTTCATCGACGTACTATACTACCTAGGTATACCTAAAATAATTATATATTACCAGTGACATACATCATTTATAACTTGTTCCAGACCTACGAAAAAGCCACTTTGCGCCTTTCAATAACAGACTTATTTATGATGACGACCGAATAAGAATTCTTACTTTCAGCCAGTCTACAACATACAGCATATGTGTTGTTCATAATCTCTTTAGCTCAGCTCTGCCGCCTGCCTGAGCTTGCGACAGAGCTATTATACTTCTTGCCCCTCCACTTACACGCCTCACCTACAGTGTCCAGTAGTATTTAGTAGGTCCCTAACTACAAGATATCATGATACGACTTCTCCAATTGCCATGTGGCCTTACTGCCACTCTTTTGGCCACTCTCTGCTTGCATTCTGGCCATGTCGTAGCCGGGCCATCTATCAATGTTGCTATGCAGGCTGCCTTTCCTGCTCCTCCATATCTTGTCGAGCTTCTGTAGGTTGCGTACATATGAGACAGACTTTATAATGAACAACAACTAAATGTAGCGTAGAGAGACTGCCGCGGGGGAGAACACAACATCGTATTTCCCCTTACTCGACCGAATCGCCGATGGAACCTTCGCAAATGCAAAAACGGATAAGGACCTATACGAAAAGTTTCTTGACATCCTTCAACAAGATGGTCATTTTCAAAGTCCCGAGGCCTTGTCCACCTTTCGACTCGCTCTCTCCATGAGATCAGCAGCTCCCAGGATAGAAGCGCATTACCAATACTATGACACGGCCGTTGTGCCGTCACTAGAACAAGCTAGAAATGACTGCGATGAATGGGTGCTCCTGGGTGGGAAACAGTATTGTTCGGCCTCGCTTGCGAACTCTGAAGGTCAAGTCTCAGGAGACACGTATGTACTATTATTTCAAATTTATCGGCCTTTTCTTACAAAAAGACAGACAAATACGCTCACTCCCGTTCGACCGAGCCTTGGGCGCTGGGGCTGAGGCCATTTTGTACGCCGATATCACTAGGCCTGAGTTTGGCCCTTTTCACAAATCATTAGCTCAGATGGCCCGAAAAGGAGAAGTTTCTTACCGCCTACGATACCGTATTGACCAAGCCAAGGAACGAGAGCCGCTGCCGGTTAGTGGATATGGGGTGGAGCTTCAGTTGAAACGAACAGACTACATCGTTATTGACGACCGCGATGCTGAGAAGTCTGAGACAAGTTCGGCTATCGAATCTGTGCCTACCGAAGTGGTGCTCGATGGGGAGCAGGAAGTCACAGATCTCAAACCCCTATCGAGCTCCGAACTATCATCGTTAGGGCTTAAGGCTGGGTCGTTCATCATGCAAAGCGATGACCCCTTTCAAACCCTAATCAAGCTAACTCAAGACTTTCCCAAATTCTCTGCGTCAATTGCAGCTCATAATGCTTCAAGCGCGTTCGTTACAGAACACCGAAAAAATCGAGCTTTGAGTGTTCCTGCCGGGATGAACGTCCTTTGGATGAATGGCGTTCAGCTGATCGAGCGACAAATAGATCCATTTACTCTCGTTGATGGCATCCGCAGAGAACGAAAGCTCATCGAGGGCGTCACAGAATTAGGTTTGACTGGGGAAGAAGCCGTGTCTTTACTTGGCCACCGTGAAGTGACAATCGCCAAGTCTGACGACGAGCCTAGTAGATTTGATTGGCGAGACGAAATTGAAGAGGGTCGTGTTATTGTCTGGTTGAACAATATTGAAAAAGACAAGCGATATGCTGAATACCCTACAAGTCTCATGGCTGTGAGTATTCGTTCACCGATAATATGGAGCACTATTGAATGGCTGACCATCTTGACAGCTTATGCAAAGGACATACCCTGGGCAGATCCCACCAATTCGAAAAGATATTTTCAATCTGGTCCTTCCGATTGACTTCACTAAATCTGAAGATCTGACTCTGGTCGTTCAGCAGCTCCAAATGTTCATTAAGAGGTTGTTACCTGTCCGCTTTGGATTGGTTCCATTAACACCAACCAAGGAGGCTGAGGAACGAGCAAAAATAGTATACTACGTGCTTGAGAACTATGGTCTGGCTACTCTTATGTCTTATCTAGAAGCTTGCAGCATAGGGACAGCCACTGAGCAATCGATTTTTGAGAAGGCCATCAAAAATCGAACTCCGAAAGATGAGGACAGCAGGGCTCTTCCGTTTAATGAAGTTATCGAGTCTGAAGCCTATATGAAACAAGTCGAACTTGCAAAGCATTGGGTAGAACGGCTCAACGCTGATACCGAAATACCTCCGATGTTTCTTAATGGACTCGCTATACCGCGAGAAGATAACTGGCTTCAGACAATGAGCATGAAGATGAGCAACGATTTACAGATGGTCCAGCAAGGCATTTTCATGGGCAAAGTCAGCGACGATGTGTGGATACCCGGACTCTTCATAGAAGGTGCCCCGACTCGGCGTAACCCCTACATCTTCCCAGAGAGTAATAATGCCCTTGTCGTCTTAGACGTCAATAAGTTGTACTCGGAACATAGCGACCTATTTAACAAAATCCCGGTCATCGAAGCCAACCAAGATACGAGCAAAGAATCTTGGGCAACCCTTACTATCGTGGCTGATTTGACCTCTGAGCAAGGTCTGCATCTTGTATCTTCTGCTTTGGCCTTCCGACGCAACAACCCGGGAATACGCATTGACATTGTCAACAACCCACCACCATCTAGCAATGTACAAGATATTGCCGAATTGCTCACTACCCAGCTCTTGGAACTCGCGAACCTCAACGAGCTAGAATTCCTCGAGCAAGATCCGCGTGATGCAAAGGAGGGCGGATATAACGCCGCCTTGTCTCGATTCCTATCAGCCACTGGGTTTGCGCCAGGTGCCCAGCTTCTCATCATCAACGGTCGTGTTGTCGGTCCATTTATTGCCAAGTCGACGTTCAAAGAAACGGACTTCGAGCTCCTCCTCGAATTTGAACAGGCTACTCGTATTAATCCTGTATATAATGCGATTCAAGCACTGGGTTTGACGGATAAAATCTCAAATCCGCTAGCTGCGGCTAAGCTCACGTCAATCACCGCCTTGTCGACCATTTCAGACCTTCCAGAAGGAATATTTGAGTCTGCGCCGACCCTACGAACGACCATGTTTGACCAGTGGAACTCAACCCATACAATGATCCATGTCGGCGAAGCCTCCACGGCCAGTATTCACTTTGTGGCCGTCATCAACCCTGCTAGCGAGTTGGGACAAAAATGGGCTCCCATACTCGAAGTTTTGTCACAACTTGATGGTGTCTACATGCGTATTTTCTTAAATCCCCAAGAGAAGCTCAGTGAGCTTCCAGTCAAGAGATTCTACCGCTACGTATTAGACTCAGCACCTTCATTTGACGATGCTGGAAAGGTCATCTCTCGAGGCGCGACATTCAAAGGGATTCCTTCCGAAGCTCTTCTAAATCTGGGCATGGACGTTCCACCTGTCTGGCTAGTAGCAGCTAAGAACTCGATTCACGATCTTGACAATCTCAAATTGAGCTCGATCAAGTCAGACGTGGACGCCGGGTACGAACTCGAGCATATCCTCATCGAGGGCCACTCTCGAGAAACCTCGGGCGGTGCGCCCCGCGGTGTGCAACTATTGCTTGGTACTGAGAGTAATACTCACTTTGATGACACAATCATCATGGCCAATCTGGGCTACTTCCAATTCAAGGCCAACCCTGGTTATTACAATATTTACCTCAAAGAAGGGAGAAGCTCAGAGATATTCGATATCATCAGCGTCGGCGCAAAAGGCTACAACGCCGTTCCAGGCGATGAGGGCACGGAAGTGGCTCTTATGGACTTCCAAGGTACCACCCTATACCCACGGCTAGAGAGGAAAGCTGGTATGGAGCTAGAAGACGTTCTCGAGGAGAGTACAGCAGACTCCAGTGGGGACCTCCTATCTCGTGGCCTTAAGTTTGCCGAGGGGATTTTGGGCGGATCGAAGCCAAAATCTAAGTCTGTCTCGGCGGAGGAGCATGCCGATATTAACGTCTTCTCTGTGGCAAGCGGTCATCTTTACGAGCGCATGCTCAACATCATGATGGTTTCTGTCATGAAGAATACAAACCAAACGGTCAAGTTCTGGTTCATCGAGCAGTTTCTATCGCCTTCCTTCAAGGAGTTTATACCGCACTTGGCGGAAGAATACGGCTTCAAGTACGAGATGGTCACATATAAATGGCCCCACTGGCTACGACAGCAGAAAGAGAAGCAACGTGAGATTTGGGGTTACAAGATCCTCTTCCTCGATGTGCTCTTTCCTCTCTCGCTCGACAAGGTCATTTTCGTCGATGCGGATCAGATCGTCAGGACGGACCTGATGGATCTCGTAAATCTTGACCTAGAGGGCGCGCCTTATGGATTTACGCCGATGTGCGACTCCCGAACAGAGATGGAGGGCTTCCGGTTTTGGAAACAGGGTTATTGGAAGAACTACCTCAAGGGAAAGCCGTACCATATCTCAGCCCTCTACGTGGTTGATCTCCGCCGCTTCCGACAGCTCGCTGCCGGCGATAGACTTAGACAACATTACCACCAGCTATCGGCCGATCCGGGATCCCTTTCCAACCTCGATCAAGACTTACCAAATCATATGCAGTTCGTGATTCCGATCCACAGCCTTCCGCAGGAGTGGCTTTGGTGCGAGACGTGGTGCAGCGATGAGAGTCTAAAGGAAGCGCGCACTATCGATCTATGTAACAATCCGCAAACCAAAGAGCCGAAGCTCGACCGGGCGAGAAGGCAGGTTCCGGAGTGGACTGCATACGACGACGAGATCTCAGCCGTTGACCGACGGCGGAGAGGGTTAGCCGCAGATACAAGCACAATCGGCGATAGTGATGCTCAGAAGAAGTTAGTTGGGGAAGATGACGGTGGTGTTGAGAAGAACACGAAGAGCAGACGACTTGATGAGGATACCGAGGCAAAGACGAAGAGAGTTAAAGATGAATTGTAGGTACTCGACATGTTATACTCGACATGCTCGACACGAGGAGGTGCCAGGCAGGTGTATATAAGTAACATAAGAATACTTAGGTAACCTAGTATATAAGTAATACTAGGTAAGTAAGTATAAAAAGACTCGATGATGTGGATAAGTTATACCGAATGCACGTCTGTGACATTGACCTATAAATACTACATATATATTGCTCAGGAGATGCTACCTATATTTACCTAGCTACCTACATATGTAACCTATAGTACTATGTACTATGTAGGTAGACATGATACATCATGCATGATACGGTTGATACCTAGGGACCTGTTTCTGGATACACTCCGCCGTGGTGTTTTGGCTTGGCAGCGGACCGGGTCGGGCCGGAGTTTTTACTGTATTGAACCATTGATTCTGGTAAGAGGTACAAGTACATGACCTACCTACGTGCCTACGTAATTCAGCACTACGTAGTACGTAGTACGTAGCCCTGGAGGTTAGGTAAATACTAACTAGTAGTCAAGCTTACTAAAGTCTAACCTTAAGTGGTATGTATTAAACCTATCAACATTCTTCCTTCTTCCATTAAAGCGCATTTTAATATAAGAATTCCATAGAATCCATTGAATCCTATTAAACTTTGGCATTTCCTCACGAGTCACGAGTCAAGACTCAAAGACTCAGGACTCACGACATTATTACCTAATCCTGCCCACCCGCTCCTTCGGGGAGGCAGTGCATGCACGCCATTCATCCACCCATCTATCCATCTATCCATCTATTCAGTATCTATCTATCTATCTATTTGTCTTAGTATCTTAGATATCTACCTACATAACCATCTATACATACTAACAATTATCCACCATCATCGTCATCTAACCTAGTACCTACATACATCATTCTTTTTGGGTGCTACGTTTTTGTATCCATCCATTTTATTTTAAATAACTACCTACGTAGTTAACCTATCTACAAAGCTCCACCGCCAAAAAGGGTAAAAGGGAAAAAAGGGAAAGAGAAAAACAGCTAATAGGTAAACTAACCTACATTACCTCCTACTTAATAGCAGGTTTACAAAAGAAAAGAAAGAAAAAGAGCCAAAACACTTCTATAAAAAAAAGCTACAATGGATCTAGCCCGGTCCATCGTAGCGCCGCTTGTCCCGCAGAAGCACACACACACGATCATCTTCCTGCACGGGCGGGGGGACACGTCGACGAACGTGGCGGACGCGCTGCTGCGGTGGTCGCGCGATTCCGAAGGACGGTCGCTGATGGACGTGTTCCCGAGCGTGCGGTGGGTTTTCCCCCAGGCCGAGGACCGGCTCGCCGAGATTCAGGGCGTCGAGGTACCCCAGTGGTTTGACGTCTGGAACATGCTCGACTTCACCGACAACGAGGAGCTCCAGGTGTTTGGGCTCCGCGAGAGCGTCGAGAGCCTCCGCCGCATCGTCCGCGCCGAGGCACAGCGCGTCGGCGGATTGCACCGCGTCTTCCTCGCCGGCATCAGCCAGGGCGGCGCCACCGCTGTGCATACCCTGCTGCACCTCGGGCATCGCGAGGATGGGGAGGTGGAGGGTGTGCGTCCGTCGAGGCTCGGTGGGCTGATTGGGTTTTGCCCGTGGCTGCCGTTCCCAGGGGGTTCGCTGCAGGAGACAAGGGAAGTGCTCGGGCTAGAAGAGGAAGGGGGTTTAGAGGTGGAAGGAGAAGAAGAAGACAAGCTAGAGAACGACGACTTCGTGCGGAGGACGCCGGCGTTTCTGGGACACTGCGCTGACGACCCGATCGTGTTTGTGGAGTACGGGAAGCAGCTGCGGGATGCGCTGCGCGGGTTCGGCATGGATGTCTCGTGGCACGAGTATCCCAGCGGCGGCCACTGGATCAACTCACCCAAGGGAGTCGACGACGTTGTCGAGTTCCTCAAGACGCAGGGGATACCGGCTGCGGAATGAGGCCTGCCACTGTTTCTTTTTGACAGTTTTCTGCCCGGTGGCTGGCTTCGAGATACGATGCGCCTTACAACGACGAGAGAGAAAGAAAAGGAAAAGGGGAGAGCTTGCATTGCAGAAGGAGTTTATGCCTTTTTATTTGCTCTCGGTGCTTGAGCATGGATGGTCTCTGAAACCTCCTTGCTACAAGCCGAACACGGAGTTTTCTCAGCTCGAAATTTCCGGCGTCATTCGATTCTTGAATTTACTACGTCGCCAAAATTGGAGGCTTCCGGTTGTTGCTGCGATATACCTATACACCCTTTACGATTTTAATGATATACCATATGGGTAATATTTTCAAGCCGGATGCCTCGATCAAGAAGGAGAAGATATAACCCATATACCACTACAATGAGGCGGAGGAGGAGGCCACAAAACGAAACTACAGGAACCGCCTGTCATGAGGCTGCCTACGCCGCGGTGGGTTCAGCTGGCGGGCGGAATATAATTATGCCACATTTACAGGCCACGAGATATAGGTTCTTTCAACCAGGAGCCTTTGGGGAAGATGCATAGCAAATTGAATTAGAGCGGATTGATTAAAGAGGGGGTGTATGGAGTTTTCACTCCCCATGGCCTGATAGTTGATCTTTAACTATCACCAGGCCGAAGAAAAGAAAAGAAGATGACTAGGTTAGCAAAGCCATATGCTACATTTTAGGGAACAGGTGTTGCAGGAGAAAAAAAGAAGAAAAGGACCAGTTTCTGACCATGTCGGGGTCGGGAGCTGGTGAACATCCCTTGACTAAGGGAATATATCATGACATTCATTGACATGTGAATCTACTTAAAAGGCGGGACATATCAAGGGAGGATATTATCAGAATGAAAAGTTACCCGTGGGCCACCAAGTCGTCTACAAACCCAAACCTACCCACTACGCAGGTAGGAGGGTATTCGGTAGACAGGTAGATAGGAATCCATATAGGTATAATGAGTCAAAAGTCATCACATGTAACCGCTTACAACTGTGCTCGACTAACATGTTTCTTAACAGTGTCTCTCGCGATACTATATCAATCAATCCTACCGTATAATAGCGACACGCACCGTGCGTCGGATCTCGGGTAAACTATCCTCATCAACCCAAGTCCGTGCACCGGCACCAGGAAACAGGTCTTATAGCAAGATATAACAGCAGCAAATTCTCAGGAGCGGGATTGTATAAAAGTACTTGACTCATGCCTTTTACCTGACTCAACCTTGTGCAACCCACAATGCTCCTTTACACTAATCTTTGGAAACACTATTCTGGAACACCCAGATTCAATTTTTAGTTTTACTGCTTTTCTCTTTTTTTTTTTTGGCCTTTCTTTTTTCTATGCGCCAACCAACGCCAACAACCAACACTCATTAATTCATTTATTGATGTTTATTATTGATGTTTTGTATTAATGTTTTTTATTAATATTTTTTATTGCACCTCATGGATAGCATGTTGTCGATGCATGCATGCAATTATTTTTACTTCCTTTTTTACTTCCCATTTCAATTGAAAAGCTTACCGAGATATTACCGCGGTGCCAACAATGAGACATTATGAGAGTAGGCGGGGTAGGTATCTAGTTACTTTTGTGCCCCTCTGTTGCTATGGGTGTATGTAATGAAGTGACGTGCTATTAAAGATTTAAAGGTTCTAGTAATTCTAGCTGTGACAGAGAAAGCTCAGCTTCAATTATACTTATCTACCTACCTATTTTTACGGATTATATCTGGATCTAAAAAGCCAGCCATCAAGGTCCACGTTTCCATCTCCAATCCCAAACCATTGAGTAATTAATTAGTACTATACATTTAAGATATTTAACATGTCGGCCGCTTGTATCTTCTGCAAGATCATCAAAGGCAAGCTAAAGCGTCCAACCAAGTCCCGAGATACCCGTATTGTCACTTCATCACCCAGGACAAACAAAGTAATAGCTTTATATGAAATGCAACCGCCAAACTAACAGTATATATAAAATAATAATAGGAGAAATCCCCTGCTTCAAGCTCTTCGAGAGTGACAAGACCCTCGCCTTCCTCGACATCAACCCCTTGAGCAAGGGCCATGCTGTAAGATTTCCCCCCTTTCTCCCCTCCCCTTTCCCCTTTCCCCTGCTACATCAAGTAAACACCACCTACTCACACAACACGCTAGCTCGTCATCCCCAAGTTCCACGGCGCAAAGCTAACCGACATCCCCGACGACCAACTGGGCGAGATCCTGCCCGTGGCCAAGAAGCTGGTGACTGCCACCGGCGCCTCTAACTACAACATCCTCCAGAACAATGGCCGCATTGCGCATCAGGAGGTCGATCACGTGAGTTTTTTAGTCTTTCTTTCTTTTTTTTTTAATATATATATATATATATCATCCCTCCTGCTTCTCCTTAACTGTTCTTCCTCTCTTCCTCATTGGTCCTCTGTTCTTTTATTCTACACGAGCAGTTTTGTGGAGTAATTGAAGGTAGAAGCGGACGATTTCGAAGAAAGGAAATAGAGAAAAATTCTCCTAGTACTGAGCAAACAGCTAACCAAATCACCATCATCTCTAACTCTAGGTCCACTTCCACATGGTAAGACAACTAACTCCCTACTCTCTTCTGCCCCTACTCCTACTCAGTCAGCCCCTTGTTATCGATACTGACATCAACTAACTCGCTCACCAGATTCCCAAACCAAACCAAGACCAAGGACTTGGCGTGGGCTGGCCTCAGCAGAAGACCGACATGGAAGCTCTCAAAGCCCTGGGCGAGGAGCTCAAGTCTAAGATGTGATGGGGCCTCCGCTGAGGGCCGAAAGCTTGCAGTCGGAGATCACTCTGTTATAGGTCCTTACCTACACGACACAGAAAGGGGAACGTGACGTGATAAGCATGAATAAATACCTAAATCAAATAAAAAAGAACTTCCAGAATTCGCCTTGATCGCTTTTTGGTGATATGTATTGATACCAAAGTAGTAGTAATAGTAATGGTACCTAAACCTTAGTCTATTCGCTTTGCCCACTTCCATGACCCTTTATCCATGAATTTTTTTAATCCTCTACACACAACCCATCTACCCGCTTCCTTGGAGTTTTCAATCCAGATCATCCACCGACGTCTCTCCCGCTGCCAAAGCCGCCGCGGTTCCGTTAGTGGTGGTGGTGGTGGTGGCTGGTGCTGTCTTGGAAGGGTAGTAGTCGAGCTTTCCATCACCTTTGATGACCCCTATCCTGTCGTAGAGGGATCTCGATCGGAGGTAGGGGTCCAGACGCCAGTACTGTTCCCTCAGCTGCTTGGCGACGGCGTCGCGCTCCGAGTGTAGGGCCGCTCTCTTCGTGGCGTCGGTCTCGTTGATCCACTCGATTGTTTTGCTCTCGTACTCCTCGTACAGTGCCTCACGTTCTTTCACGAGTTTCTGCTTGGTCTCGATATCCTTCATTTTGGCATTCTCGCCAGGTACGGGTTCCACGTATTGGTACGAGTAGCCTGACGTGCCTTCCAGGTCATCTGGTACCTTGTCCGCTGCAATGAACTCTTCCAGGTCCTTGAGAGTGTTGGTGAAATGCACCTTGCTTGCGACTACCGGGTCAAGCCATCCACGAACAATCTTCCAGATGCCTATAGTTTCGGTTAGAGATTACACATGCACGAGATGGGGATATTAATGATATCATGATATGACGAACCTTGGAAGACCCACGGGGACTTATGTACAAGGACTACCCCTAGACTCTCGGGGTAGTTCGCCTCGAAGCACTTGATCATGAATTTAACTGGCGCATAGTCCTATGCAGAATTAGCTTCCGCCTTTCATAGTGACACTACAACCTTTTTCTTCCTTTTTTTTTAAAAAAAAAAAAAGAGAAAGGAAGAAAAAAAGAGCGAAACTCACCATATTGGCCAATGAAAATCCGGTTAGGTCGAAGACGACGCACTTTTTGAGGGTCAGTTTTTATATCCTAGGTACCTAGGTAGATTTCGATTTCATGAGGAACTCACAGCAGTGTCGACAGGGGGGGATAACATAAACCGGGTTGTCTCGATAAGGTAGACCGTGAATCGCTCGAGACCCTCTTCTGATTGCTCGCCCGCTCTGTGCAGGCGGGCCCTAACAAAACAGATGGGCCTCCCTGCTTTGTCGGTTCCATAGCAATAACTCTTCCCCATCCGCAACTGCGATAGGAAATCCTCTGCTAATTTCTTGTTCTTCCCCTCAGCTGTTTTCTCGTTGATGGCGGCATATTCCTCGCCATTCACCATAATTTCTTCGTCAACGCGCGAGTCCGAGCATCTCCAGTTCATAGTCGACATGAGCATAACGAGTGCTCGTTGCAAATCCCATTTTCTAGCTCTGAGGAAGCGGAGGAGAAGGGCGTCAGGATGGTCATGTTTCACCATAGACCAAATCGTGGCTCTTATCTGCTCTGGCGAATGTGTAGCGAGGGTCTCGAGATAGGTCTTGTTCTCGCCCCATTTATCTTCAGGGTCATTCTCTTTGATACTATCCATGGCAAAACTCTTGGAAGACGTGCTACTGCTATCCTTATCCTTGTCCTTCTTCTTCTTAAAAAGGGACATTCGTTTCTTCTTAGGTTTTTCGGATCCCGAGTTGTTGGCTTTCCCCGGTGCCTCAGAGGCGGTCTCTGATTCAGCTGTCCCCTCCTCGCCAATCACGGCGCATACCTGCAAAAACATCTCCCAGAACTTGCGCAGCTTCTCATCCTGCTCGGGGGTTAAATTCCCCGGTCTACCTGGAAGGGTTTCCATGACTTCTTCAGTGTCGTAGCTGGAGTACTCTCCAACGTTTGGTTTCGAAGCTGAAGCTGAAGCTAAATCCAAAGGTACTAGGTTGTAAAGTACCAATGCGCCGAGTGCGAACAAGGGCGCAATATATAGCGCAAGAGAGATCTGACTCTTCAAACACTTCTCGTCTTCGCAGTGGTGGGCTGGGTATCTCCGCGCCTCAAAATACGTGTTCCTCGTGAGGAAGGGGCGCAACGATGAGCGGAATGCGCGCGTACTTGTACAGCTTATGCGAAGATGCGGTGGTTTCCCACGGGGCAGTGCAGACGGCCAAGCTAGATGAGCTCGAGAATGGACAGTGGCCGAGAATGCGCGTAGAGGTTTAAAAGAAGAGCAAAATGGAGAGCTGTGCAAAATGGGAGCTTTACAGGTTGCGGATAGACCGGTAAGAGTATTTAAACCTATCCTTGGAGCTTTGAAGAAGCGAAATGGTTGTGATGCTGATACTTTCATATGGCCCAGGAACAGCCAATGTCCGACGGACCCGAGCTACCGTATCGCCGTGTAAGCGCACTTTTCTCCCTTTCCGCGTATCGAGCTTGGCTAGCTGTTTATTCTGTGGCAGGAAAAAGGAAGAGGGTAGCTTGTTTGCGTGATAAACAGGCGACGTGGGTGACAAGGCGCAAAGTAGCGCCTCGAGTAATAAAAAGATAAAGGAGAAAGAGGTCTGAAATGTTGGAGCTACCAATGCTGACGTAGTTATGTATACGAGTTTTCGTATGTCTCTGATGAGCCAATCGTATTTTGCTAGTCAGCTGTACTATGCCGTACCTTGAGCCCGGAGTAAGTATTATTAGAGAATCTTTATTAGAGAATCTTTATTAGAGAATCTTTAGGTCAAAGGTAGTATTATATGTATGTACTAATTAGTTCGTAGGTAACATTGGAGTTGTATTCCAAGGTTAACAACATTGAAGTTGAATGAACTGAAACCCTGTATTCCGACCGGTACCATACAAGATGCATGTGTAGTACTTACTACTTAGACTTTCATTATGTAACCAGTTGGCACTTTTAGTAAGATATAAGATATCATTATGCAAGTTCTAGGATCGTGCTACCCGAGCCGTTGCGCAACCGTTCAGACATCTAAATACTAGCAATATGGCACGTGCACACTGCACAGTAACTACCCCCACCATCCTTCGAAGTTCAGGTTATTTCATCGTTGCCAAGCATTGATTGACCTACTGTACACCTACTATGTACATGCAACTTTAGCTAGCCTTCCTATGCAAGACAACCTTGAACCCTTGGAGTCACCAACCTAAATCGCAACACCTAGATAATTCTTAACTACCTACCAAGGGCAATCAGAAGAAAACATTCGAGACTCGACCACACAAACTACTATTGGCTTTAATCCCGCACCAATGTCTGCAAACGAAGGCCACGAAAGCGTGCGACGGCCGCGCTCCACGTCGCGATCGCGTCCAACAACACCCCTCCGCCCCTCCTCCCGCTCCTCCTTCCGCGAATCCGCCCAGCGCAGCGTCGAGGGCAGCGAACCCTTCCCGTTGAACGTTTTCGAGCCAGCGTTCGCCGAGCTTTCCGACGCGGTTGCCGATCTAGAGGCCAACATGATGCACTTCCAACTTATGCACGAAAGTCTCGCTCGGTTTAGTGAGGACTTCGCAAGCTTCCTGTACGGACTAAACATGAACGCTTTTTGCGTGGATTTTCCGGAGGTAGGTGGGCTGGAGGGTTTACAAAGCTACATACAAGATATGATAAGGTCTAATAAGGGGTGTTTGTAGGGACCAATTGCCGAGTCATTTCGTAGAGTCAAGTTAAACGAGGACCAACAACCTACCACGGGCCGATCACGAAGCACAGAACGAGGAGAGATGATGGATGGGGAGACAACATTCATGTATGCGAATTCCGTTTGTTTGAGGCTCTGTGCCAATATTCTGATTATCTCTCTAGGACTACGGATACATCCTTCGTAGAGAATCCACCAACCGTGTCCAAAGCGACCCCCAAGAAGTTCGCGACACCTGATACCCGCCAATCCCGTATGCCTGGTCCATCAAGAGGTGGCACGCAATCGAGAGGTAGAGCTGGGACAAGCAGAGGTCGTCCGAGTGGTCTTGTGAGGCCGAGAGCTCGTGGGTTAAGATGAGCCATGCTGATGATTGACCATCAATCATACGAATTTATATGGTGGTGAAAAGCCTGGAGTTGCATTGCCGCATTGTTGCATACTAATTCATAGTAAAATGCGCCCAGCAATGCGCTTGATCGACGACACTTGGTTGATCTATGGAGAGAGACCTATATCACGAGAGCGTCTCTCGAGGTTCATAAAGTGAGATGGGAAACAATCAGGTTGCCATAATAATCTCGTTGTCGGCAGTCTTCGCGGCTTGGCTGGGCTCTTGGTTGTTGGTTTGCAGGCCCACAGCTGCCTCAGCCTCCTTCTGAGTGTATGGTTCTTCGCGAAGTTGCTTGACTCTGCATTGATAATGTTAGATGAGCTACTAGGTAGGCAGGCTAGATACCCAAAATGATGAATGCAAACGGACCTTCTCTTGTGTGGCTTTCCCTTCCTATGCCTTACGAGGTTCACCTCGCTCTCGTACCACTTGGCGCATTCGGTACAATACCATTTACCCAAGTCTGGAAGATCTTCCGGGGCTTTCATTCCCTTGAATTGGGCAAGGTGCTTCGGGGAGATGAGGTCGGCTTTGATCTGATCAAGATCCCTCGTCTTGCGACGGGTCTTGCTTAGCGTGCGCTTGTTGGTGACTCCCATGATCTATCCGTGATGGCTGAATATGGTGTAGTGTAGATGTTGTATGGTACTATGATGGAGTGAAGATGGTATGGTAGACATTGGTAGTAGCAAATGACATTAGGTAAGTTGATTTGCAGATTTCTCGACTGTAGAAATTTTGGTGGGGTCAAACTTTTTTTTGGGCCCCGTCGCGTTCTAAAAGGTGGTCATAGCGTTCTTACTCTCTTTTTATGGAAATTTACATGTGCCGTGCCTCCGAATTTGATCCGGGGACCCATTCCGCGTTGCAGGGCCGGGCGAGCGGCATTGTAGTTTTAACAAACATTGTTAAATTTTGAACAATAATAACTAGTTAACGCTGACGCAATCAGCATTAAGCACCGAGTACTAAACGAGCACTAAACTAATAACTACTAGTATTCATTTATGATTTTCCTCCTATTTTCTTATTTTTGTTCTCCTTGGGACACAATATTTGCCAGCATCTAAAAATGAATATTGAATAGCAATATTGATAATAGCATCTATGATCTAATAACAGTGTTGCAACTTGCAATTAACAATTCCCTCTTTACCGAATCGGTTCAGTCTAACCTAGTGTAAACAATTCGGCCACAATTTTGAACATACACCGAGGCAAGATTTCCATATTCCCCTTGTCATTAGCATTTCCGCCGATTGGCCAATGGCGGCCCACCCGATTGGTCTCCAGACTCTGCAAAATTTTGTCTTGGCCTATCGAATTTGGCCTGCAGACCTCGAAAATGTGGGCCAACTTGCATTCGTGAAGCGATTCAGGGCTCCTGCATTTGCGGCGGTACTTTGTGGACAGCGAACTGGTACCTGCGGCTATTTCGAAGATACATTCACAGGCTCAGGCACGAACAGTGGAGTTTAGGTTGAATGCCAAGTTGGTAACTATATACCTACATGTATGTGTATAGAGGCATTGATGTTACTTGTGTTATCAGTCTTGCGACTCTCATACCAACGAAGAGAGAATCTGGACTCAGTGTTGTGTGCTTAGTTTGTTGCAGCAAGACAAGGAAGGCTAGCCTAACTACATGTATCTATGGTAGCAGAGTAGGTAGTTCGGAAGTTCCTGGTAGTATCTTGCCATGTGTAAAGACATCAGTTCCAAGGTTGGTTTGTGGCGCTTGCTACCCTCCAAGCTATAGAGATGGGCAGGGATCGACTTCAAAGTTAGGTCATAGATCTTTTCAGCTTGCCAATGAGGCTTTGAGATGTACCTACAGTATTTTCAATGTTGGAGGTCTTAGCAATGTCTATAATGTGATTGAAGGAAACAAGCCTATTGAATATTCCCTATCATGAAATCTATGTATAACTAGTAACTAGTCAACTTCAACATTGGAACTAACATTGAAGCTGCTAGGCAAATACTAACCTACTAACTTACTAACCTAGGTACTAGGTAGGTAAACTGAAGCCTGGGTCCGGAGGTGCCTAAGTTAGCATCAAGACCGTTTTCATCCGATTCACAAACCGCACAATTTGACAGAACTCTTTAATTCGGGGTAAGAATTTACTTGTATCGATAATTGTTATGAACAACACGGAAGGAAATGTTTAAAAATTAATGGTACACACCTATATACGGGCGGATGAGATGGAGAGTTAAGTTGAATTTGATAAGGACGATACGTAGCTTTCAAATTCTTGACCAATTAATAAAATTGGCGTTTTCTTTATCTCGATGCAGTGTGGCTGACATATCCCAGAAGGCAGGGTGAGGTCACAGCTTTTACTTGAAAGTAATCGGATTCACTGTGATTGGTCCATTCAGCCGGGTAACATTATTTACAGTGGATGTACCTCTTCGTCTTAGCCGAAGTACCCTGATACTTCCTACCACTCCCTGATACCCAGCAAGCCTAGCCACCTAAGCGTCGATTTGGACCAGTAGGCTTACCAGCTTCCCTTTCCCGTAGCACCGTTATAACGCTGTACCGTCGTACCGTCATTAGTAGCATCTTTAATCGCAAACCACAAAACTCTCCACCTTTTCTCTTCTTTTCCCATCACAACGTTCTTTTTTTTCCCTTTCTTCGTCCGAACATACCAATTCCCTTTCACCTGAGCTTATTCCTAGAGACCCATTGTGTTTCTCTACGAATCTTCTTACCTCCCCTCCTCCAACCTCTATAATCTAATAGTAGATTTGTCCAGACTGATCCTTCACGTCTGAACCCCTCATACCTCTTCCTCAGGACCGCGGTTGTCACCATGTTGGCCACTCGACAGGTCCTGGGCAATGTCGCCCGCTCGCGGGTCATGCCAGCCATGAACCTGCGAAGGTGCATGGCCACTGTGACAGACTCCCCTCTAGACAAGAAGGTAGCTTTATCATCCCGTTCGCGAATCTCAAGAGCTTGTTAAGATGTCCGCGATCAAAGACTAATATTTCCCGCACATTATAGGTCAAACAAAACAACTGGGAAGAGGGCAACTTTATCAACTACAAGAAGATGTCTGAGAACCTGGCGATTGTACGCAGCCGCCTAAACCGACCCTTGACCTATGCCGAGAAGATCTTATACTCCCACCTTGACGACCCCCATGGCCAAGACATCCAGCGGGGTGTCTCATACCTTAGGTTGCGACCAGATCGTGTTGCTTGCCAGGATGCCACTGCTCAGATGGCTATCCTCCAGTTTATGTCCGCCGGCAGTATGTGCCCATTCCCCCCTCTGTCTTGAGAGTAAAGATATCTTCTTGGAGCTAGCTGGTTTAGGAGCAACCACTCCTTAACTGCATCATAACTACTCCAAAATATACCCCAATTCTTGCAGACCATTACTGAAAGCGATGATTACTAACATTCACTACTCCAGTGCCTTCCGTTGCTAACCCAACTACCGTCCACTGTGACCATCTGATTGAAGCACAAATCGGTGGCGTTAAGGATCTTGAACGAGCCATCAACATCAACAAGGAGGTGTATGACTTCCTTTCCTCAGCATGCGCCAAGTACAACATTGGTTTCTGGAGACCTGGCTCTGGTATTATCCACCAGATTCTTCTCGAGAACTACGCTTTCCCCGGTGGTCTACTGATCGGCACTGATTCGCATACCCCCAACGCTGGTGGCCTGGGTATGTGCGCTATTGGTGTTGGTGGAGCTGATGCCGTGGATGTTATGGCCAACCTGCCCTGGGAGTTGAAGGCGCCAAAGGTCATCGGTGTCAAGCTGACCGGTGAAATGAGCGGGTGGACCTCGCCCAAAGGTGTGTTCAATCTTCCTCGGCATTCTTACTAAATACTAATAAAGCTTCTAGATATTATTCTCAAGGTTGCCGGTATTCTTACTGTCAAGGGTGGTACTGGTGCTATTGTTGAGTACCACGGACCTGGTGTCGAGACTCTTAGTGCAACTGGAGCTGGTACAATCTGCAACATGGGTCAGTCTTTGCTCCCTTTTCATGTCACTTTCCTCCGTCTCTCAATATCATTCTATGACCTTTATCGTTTAGTTTCATTGTCCCTTGTACTAACTATGAACTAGGTGCCGAGATTGGAGCTACTACATCTCTATTCCCCTTCAACGAACGCCAATACGATTACCTGAAGGCCACTAAGCGCTCGCAAATTGGTGACTTTGCTCGCTCATACGCCAAGGAATTGCGTGAGGATGAGGGCGCCGAGTACGACCAGCTTATCGAAATCAACCTTTCCGAGCTCGAGCCGCACATCAACGGTCCCTTCACCCCCGATTTGGCCACCCCCATCTCCAAGTTCAGCGAGGCTGTCAAGGCCAACAACTGGCCTGAAGACCTCAAGGTCGGCTTGATTGGATCCTGCACAAACAGCTCCTACGAAGTAAGTCTTAAAAGATATAAGCTTTGTTCCATGCAGAACCAGGAATTGGAAACTAACGTCTTTGTAGGACATGTCTCGAGCTGCTTCAATTGCTCGGGATGCTATGGACCACGGACTGAAAGCCAAGGCGGCGTTCGTGGTGACTCCAGGAAGTGAGCAAGTAAGAGCAACAATCGCACGCGACGGTCAGCTTCAAACTTTCGAGGAATTTGGCGGTATCGTCCTTGCCAATGCCTGCGGTCCCTGCATCGGCCAATGGGATCGACGAGACGTCAAGAAGGGCGAGGCCAACTCGATCATCTCGTCCTACAACCGTAACTTCACTGGTCGAAACGACGGCAACCCTGCCACCCACTCCTTTGTTACTTCCCCCGATCTAGTCGTCGCTTTGTCCATTGCTGGCACTCTTCACTTCAACCCCTTGGCCGACAAGCTAAAGGATAAGGATGGTAACGAATTCCTGCTGACGCCTCCTACCGGTGATGCTCTCCCAGCCAGGGGATACGACCCTGGTAACAACACCTACCAGGCCCCTCCTTCCGATCGCTCGACCGTCTCTGTCCAAGTTGCACCCACATCGGACCGTCTCCAGGTCCTACAACCCTTCCAGCCTTGGGATGGCAAGGATGCCCTAGATATGCCTATTCTAATCAAGGCCAAGGGCAAGACCACGACAGACCACATCTCCATGGCCGGCCCGTGGCTCAAGTACCGTGGACATCTGGACAACATCTCGAACAACATGCTGATCGGTGCCATCAACGAGGCCAATGGCGAGGCGAACAAGATCAAGAACTCGACCACTGGGGAATGGGGCGCGGTTCCGGCTGTAGCTCGCGACTACAAGGCTAAGGGTATTAAGTGGGTTGTTATCGGTGACTGGAACTACGGTGAGGGTAGCTCGCGAGAGCACGCCGCTCTAGAGCCCCGCCATCTTGGTGGACTTGCTATCATCACACGAAGCTTTGCCCGTATTCACGAGACCAACTTGAAGAAGCAGGGTATGCTTCCTCTTACCTTCGCGGACCCTGCCGACTACGACAAGATCAAGCCAGATGACAGAGTGAGTTTTGAAACTTTTTTCCCTATTCAGTTTCATGAGACAAAAGTTGGCTAATATACATTCCTATCTAGATTGACCTGCTCTGCACGGAACTTGCTGTTGGCAAGCCCATGACGATGAGGGTACACCCCAAGGATGGCAAGCCATTTGACGTCCAGTTGAACCAGACGTTTAACGAGGCACAGATCGAGTGGTTCAAGAACGGTAGCGCGTTGAACACGATGGCCAAGAAGGGGAAATGAAAAGGTTTAGGACCTAAATTGGTAAAAAGAAATCAGCAATAAATAGGGGACGTGCATGCCGGCGTATTGTGGGGAGGCATGCTAGAATTACTACAAGCTCATGGAGTGTATAGGGAGGGTTTGGGTGTACGGATGTCATGTTGCGTGGGATCATTATATTTCCAAAACCCCGCCGTGACGTTTTACCTTTGATATTTCCAGAACATTTTCTACGTCTGTACAAAATGAAGTCGTTAAAAGATACCTATTTAAAAAACACTTGTCTACCTAATACCTCTTCTGTATTCTGTGTCCTGTGTCCTGTGTCCTGTGTTTTGTTCATGAAGGTTGAAATGGTAAGGAATCCAGGGGTATTGAATATTTATCCATGGATTGCTAGCAAGCTGCCCTAGTAAAGGTAAAATAGCACGTAGCATACCTGTTGGAACAGATAAGGTGGTTCCGTGATCACGGTGGGTTGCAAATAAAAGGTCAGAATCATGAATGTAGTTGAAGTTGTTAAGTAGGATGGAAAGGATCGAAGATCCTTTCCCAATTGAAGTAAGCTACAAAGATGGGCACGGGCCATGTGGGTCACGTGACTGTTCCCCACAATTCCCACACTGGCTATCTTTTCTTTTCTCGTGCCCATTGCTTCCGTCCATCACTTCATTCCCATTTTCATCCCAATGTATCAACCTCTCTTAACCCATCCCTGTAATCGTAGTGTAAGGCAGTTAGTATCGACAAATGTCTTCAGTGCCTTGTTAGCCTTCGTTTTAGTCATAGCATCAGCCGGGTTGTCCTCTCCCTGGATCCATCGGATCTCCGCAATTTCCCGGCGTTCGTATGATTGTCGTAGTGACATGATGTCAATCATCAACCTTTTCTCTTTAGTAGTACCCAGTTTGACTAAGCATTCATACAGGGAGAAAGAGTCAGTACAAACCACGACTGGAACCGTCGGCGGGATGCCTCGTTGGTTCAAGATCATTGTAAGGGTTTCGCCAAGGGCAATTCCCATATCAACACCATGGATCATCGCGTATATCTCGCTGGCGAGGACACTTCTGGTAACTCTTCGACATTTTGTCGAGCTCCAGTGTATCAGGTTGCCCTTTACCTTGAAGAATTCGTCGTTCATCGCGTCGTCGTTATTCGTCAATTCGTTTCCGAGAGCGATTATGTAACCTATCTGCGAGCTTAAGTCTTTGTTGTTCGCGAAGGATCCGTCCACGAACAAGAACAGTTTGGCATCTGGGAGGTTAAGGGGAACGTATCGGAGTCCTCTGTCTAGGTTCTCGAGTTGCCATTGAAGTCTGTTGTTCAGTCGGGCAATCTCGTCCTTCCCAGGCTCCTTGTGTTGTGCTGCCTCGGACATATCACAAGTTGCTTCCGGTTGGCATATGGTGGCGATGTAGGCGCCACGGGCTCTCTGTCGGATATACTGCTGGGCAGCATCGTCAGCAGACTCTTCAACAAGGGTAATTTTCTTTCCCTGCTCTTTCTGACGCAAATACAGTGATCCGTCTGTATTTTTAGATAGAATACAACCATTGAAGATCAAGGGTTCTTCGTCGGTGAGGTAGGTCTTAGGCTTGGCCAAAAGCTTGGCTTTCTTCAGTTCTTCGTCTTCAAGGCGGTCGAACTGTTTGTCGGAGACACCGAGGGTGTCATCGGTTTGCATACCGACCAAACCAAAACGTTCGTCTGATTTCGTGACGAGTAAACAGGGGTCGTAGGTTGAGGTTTTCATATTGAGTCGTTCTCGATGGTGCTTGAAGTAAGTAGCCCACCAATGTGTTCCGGCTTCGGCAATCCCGTAAACCGGTTTGAGAATTACCATAATAGTACCCTCCGGGTATTTCGGAACAAGTTCGGTAGGTAGTCGTGCTAGAAGCTTGCGATTAAGGGGCGTGTTGGATTGTGTATATGCTTGCGTAACGTCACGCAGCCAGACAATCATGCCTTCTTGTAGCAGCGCAGGGGCAAGAGCTGCAATAACTCGTTGGCTCGCTCGCTGGATCGTTGGTGACTGGGTCAGTATCACTCGTTTTCCCACGTCACTGTGTCCTTGGACAACAAGTCTCGATTTCTCATATGGGTTGTCCGTTGCTTTGCCCTTGATTTCACGGACGATTCGTGAATTGAATATTCGGATGTTGCCGTGCTTGGCATGGTCGTATTTTTCAAATGAAAATACGCCTCGTCCGATCAAGCCTTCAATTTCTTGGGCATCGGAGGCTTCAAATGGTTGTCCCGGCGTGGTAATCTTGCCTTCGTTACGTAGCTGTATCGACAGCTGTCTATCGATGACTTCTTTCTGGGTCATATTGGCAGCATTCTCCTTTGGCTTGTTCTTGCTACCGCGGGGACGTCCTCGTCCTCTTTTGGGTACGCGTGGCTCCGGATCTCGTTCCGGTGCTTGCTCTGGAACGTATTCGTCTAGATCGTCTTCATCCTCCGGTTCACTTTCGGATTCGGATTCGATCGGGATGTGCGTAGTCTCATCGCGGTGATAGGGCTTCACGACAGTTGTCCTGAATTTGACGGGTCTGTCGTTGATCTGGACGGTGCACGTTTCGCCGTCTCGTGCTACCAACTTGTAGGGTCCCTTCCAGCCCTTGTTTTCCCGAAACACTCGAACTTCCGATTGCAGGGGGAGGTTGAGGGTGCTCAACGTATTTGGGCCGTTTCGCATACCGAGCGCCTCGCTCACCTGTCGTCGTGCCTTCAATTTTCGGACTTCCACCATGGCCTTCTTGATGGCGGCAGCTCGCTGGTGCAGTGATGGCATGGGTGGTGAGCTTTCGACCAATCGTGGATATGCCCCAAAGACGAGCAATGTCGGAACCAGACCATCGGGTCCTGCTGTGTCATTGACGGCTTTCACAGCCATCTGCAGAATGTAGGATGGTTCCATGCGGTGCTCTTTCATGTCTTCGGAAATAACTTCGTAGGCGCGTCTCAACGGTCCGTGGTATCGTTCCAGTTTGCCGATGGAGTTGTGTGCCTCCACAGGAACTTCCTCCACCGAAATGGCGAGGGCCTTTGCGTTCATTTTGAACTCATTTGCCGTGAAGTTCGTACCTGCATCAAATATCAGGTTGTCAGGTGGTCCTAAATAGGTGTCGATCCAAATCATTCTCAAGGTGTCCCAGGCTTGTCTTGCAGACATGTCTTTCAAGAACTTGGCGGCCTGGAATGAGGTTGCCTTGTCGACAGCGTGAAGTACCGGTCGACCACCAATGTACATGACGTCAATGTATATCGTGTGGTTGAAATCGATGTCATCCTTGACGGTAAATTTGAATCTTCCCGGTGCACTACCGTGCAGTTGACATTGGTGACAATATTTGGTGATTTTCTTGATGATTTCAGGGTCGACATCGTCATATCCGGCTTTTGTAAGGACATTGTGAAGGCGTTCGGTCGCCGGATGGCCGAATCGTCGGTGTATTTGGCGTAGTTCCTTCTCTGTTAAGTGGCAATAGGCGACAGAGCGTTCTCGTTCCACCAAGAACCATGGATGGCCCCATTTGCGGACAATAGGGTAATCCTTATTCTTATGGGTAAGCACGTTCTTCACATTGTTGAGGTATATCCCCAGCCGGTCCATATCGTTCAAGCAGAGCAAGAAGGGGGTGTTTGTGGGCATAATCTGGAACGGGATTGTTCCAAATGGTGTTGGGACTCGTGCTGTGCCCAGGTTCTGCTGTTCTGGGTTGTCCCCAAAGCGAACTGTATGTTGACCGGCAGTGGTGGTGTCGAGTCGGATACTCGGATGGGTTCGTTGCAGAGCTTTCAATTGGGGTTCACCGCCCGATGATATCCCGGCTGCTCCCGTATCGGGGAGTATGCCCTGAAAGGCGTTGGCATATCGGTCTTCCAAGTAGAACGCGGTCGGTACTTTGGAAGTCTCGTGAGGGGTTGCGGCCGTTGCCTTTTCCAGATCGTCGTTGTCGAACAAATCAATTCCAGTGAAAGCATGCATTGCTGCCTGGTTTGCAAGAATGTTGGCAATGTTTTCGCCATCAACAGCACCATATTGGGTCAGGTACTGTGTTGAGAAGGTCGGTTCTTGTTCACCATCGTCGTAAATATCATCTTGGTCTTCGTGGGTAGCATACCACGAGTCAAAGTCAGCTTGGTCTTGCTCTCCATCGTCGCTTGTGGCGACATCAATTCCCTCATAGTCCAAGAGGAAGGCAGCAAAATCCTCATTCGTATCTCCTTCTCCGACTTCTTGAACGTAGCGACGCCATTTGTTCTTCTTGGCTTTGCGTTCACTCATCGGATGCTTCGTTGACCAACAACCAAACTTGCCGCAGACAAAGCATCTCTTGTCTTTCTTGCCTTGTCGGTTATCATAGCGGCGTCCAGATTGGGCACTTCTGGGACGGTAGTTCCCTTGAGGCCTGTTGTTGTTGTTCCTGTATGTTCGATCGGTCCAATATTGATCGTCAGGTGCGAGGTACTGTGAGTTATGGGTACTGCAGCGGTGGGCAATTCCGGCTGCACTGCGCAGGTCAGAGCAAATGCTCTCGAATGTAGCAGATGGTTTCAGAACAACAATGCTGAAAGCTGGGTGGCCTTGGACGGCGCTGATCATGCCATCCTTCAGGCTGACATCTTCCATGTAGTCGATTGACAGTCCTTTCTGGAGACGTTGGACATGTTCAATCAGTATATCGAGGCAAGTAGGCAAATCCTTATCAGGATTCTCCTTCATCGTAGTATGGATCGTGGTCGTTCTCCACTCGTGCATGTACATTTGTTGATTTTCGGTAGTATGGAAGAAACTTTTGGTCTTGGCGACCATTTGCTCCCAAGTAAGTCCTTTCTGGGCAATCTGGTTATAGTAATATTGCAAGGCGCGGTCCTTTAGCATGGTTGAGTAGGCGGCAGCGTAACCCGAGGGTGAGACTCCGGCTTTGCCACACATATCCTTGAAGATCTTTATCTTTTCGTCAAGGATATCATACTTATCACCACCGAATTTGATTTTGTCGTTGTTGTACATCTTAACAAGGTCGGTAATCGCCCGCGAGTATTGTGGTTCGTACGACGGTCGTTGTTCATACGACGGTCTTTGTTCAAAAGGGGTTGCCGACTGGCTATTGCCTCGGTTCCCTTGGTTGTCCCATCCTTGGTCGTCCTGATTGTCTTGGGCTCGGTTGGCTGTTCCTGACCGGAAACTTGGGTTCATGTCTGGAGGGTCAGGGGGTCGTGAGTTGCGTTGTGGAATCGAAGGGCCTGCAGCTGGTTTCTGTCGAAAAGCAGTTGTATTACCAAATGAAGGGTAATCATCGTCATAACCGAAGAATCGGCCAGACACAGTGGGTCTCTGGCCTCGGCCTGGACCTGGACCTGGTCCCGGACCTGGAGCTGGAGCTGGAGCTGGAGCTGGATTTCGTCCAGCTTGGTTGCTTGGGGCAAACAGACCACCTGGTCTGTTCGAGCCAGCCCGTTTGTTCGCATCGGGGGTTGGAGTGGCAGCGGTCACCTCAACTTTTGGAGTGCCTTGGTTCGATCCCATGGGTCGTCGTTCATGGGTTTCCGAAACTTCACTCTGGTCGTCTCCTCCAAAAGATCGTTCTGAGTCGGTACCACTCATGTTCTTCGCATCTTGCTGCAGCTTCCTCCGGTAACTGGGGTTTTTCATGGAGACAAATGTTGTAGGGTACTTCGTACTTGCGTTCGCAGCCTCGTCTTCTGATAGTGCAGGAAATTCTTCTGCATTGGCAGCCCTCTCGAGTTTCTCGGCAAAAGCGCGACCGGGAGTTCGTATGCCGTGCTTAAAGAGATGGTCAGTCATCTTCGACTTCAGTGTTCGGTTTAGTCTGTCGAAATGTCTTGCTTCCCAACCGTCAAAGTCGACTCGGTATTTCTCCCAGAGGTCTTCATCACAGAGGTCATCGTCGTACATCAGGAATGTCTCCGCACAATATGTATCCAGCGCCAGGGCATCCAACTCGTCGATGCCTTCCAAGTCCACCTCCTTGCCGCTGTATTCGTCCTTGATATACGTATCCCATGTCGGGCGGCCATATTTTCGTTCGGGATCCGGCTCTGGAGTCGGGGTAGTAGCTAGTCCCTTTCCTTTCTTGGAAGGGCCCGCCATCTTGGCGGTTACTTATGCAAGTGCAAAATAATGAACGTATAGAGCTTGTTGTAATGAGTGGATATCGGGTGTGGTGATAGTAAGAAGTTGGGTGTGGATGTTGTGAAAGAGTGGATAGACGTTAGTGTAATTGGGTTTGTGTTTGTGGGTTTAGGTTTTTTGAGAAAAACTTTTTGCGGAAAAAAACTTTGTGGGTAGTGAAAAAAAAAGTGTGACCTGAGATAGTGGGTCCAAGCACAAAAAGTGCAGTCGCGGGTCAAAGAAAAATTTTTCAATAGTGCAGTCGCGGGTCAAAGAAAAATTTTTCAATAGTGCAGTCGCGCACTGGCGCGAGGTAACGCGGGGCTAGGGTCCACAAAATGGATAGCGCACAAATACTCAGCTGTCAAAATATGACGTAGTCGTCTTGAAGGTCTATTCCCAACTGTATTTTCCAAGCAGATCGGCCCGGATAGGTATCAGCTCGGGTAGGCTTTTCGGTTTGGGTAGGTTTTCGGCTTGGGTAGAGGAATCGGCCGAATTTTGTCGAAGCAAACGTCGTCTCGTAGCCCAGTGAAGGGATCGTCAGTCGGATCGTTTGTGTGAAGGGCTTTCTCGTGATGTTCTCGGGTACTGTTGGCACAGACGTACGCGGCGCCTCGAGTATTTACCGATAGATCTCGGTCTGGTCTCTTCGTGCGTGATGGACGCAAACCTGTGGACGCGGACACAATGCGGCGCCCCGAGGTTTTCAAGTTAGCACAAGATTCCCGTACTTGTAGTGGTTGTGAATTTCGAGGAGTTTCAGTCCAGAATTTCCAGATGGAATTTCTTATCCAGGAATTTCCAACCAAATCTAGAGTTGCGGGTCTCCGTCTCTTCTTATCCCAATACCATCGACGGTATTATTCGGTATGAATCTCCTTGCTGTCTGTGATTGACTTATCTTGTCAACCACTGATCAGTGTTGGAACAGATAAGGTGGTTCCGTGATCACGGTGGGTTGCAAATAAAAGGTCAGAATCATGAATGTAGTTGAAGTTGTTAAGTAGGATGGAAAGGATCGAAGATCCTTTCCCAATTGAAGTAAGCTACAAAGATGGGCACGGGCCATGTGGGTCACGTGACTGTTCCCCACAATTCCCACAATACCTGCCAACATAATAATTAAATATTTGCCTCGGGACTTCCGGGATTGGATTAAATGCAATCGATAAGGCATTGTATGTAGATCAGTTCACTGGGCTACCTTAGTACATACATAGTACGTACTTTACATAGCAGTTGCAATCGAGTTCCTTTCTAGCGTGTCATCTTCGTACCTTACTACATGTATGTATGTAAGGTATAATAATGTTCGGCTTATTTCAATAGACTCAACCCCTGTCAACATTATTAACCTCTTCTTACTGCCGCCTGTGTAACTATTGGTAGGACTGACACTTCAGCCGTCAAAGCACACCACTCAACTTTATTCCTCCAAGTCGCCTCCCATCACTCTTCTACGGTGATTCGGATTGGCAGCCAATAATCCATTATATATCTAAGCGAGACAGAAACATATACTGTCTGTGCTTTTGTCGATATATAACTACCTACCTAGGCTAGATATCTGCCTAACAACTTTGTTTTTTTTTATCAAAAAATACCTGATATACCCGTTGAGAAAAAACGACCAAGACCAAGCGACTAGTGGACACGATTCCCTCCCAACCTCACGACCTCAACCGGTCACCTCTAACTTTTACTGAGGAATGATGCCTACGGTCCAAGGGTTCAGTACGTTGCGGGCGCGCTCGTACGTGTTTCGGCTGCCGCTGTTCACTCGCGCCATGATAGTCGTTATGGTGGCATTTTGGCTCGGCGGGCTTCAGTCTGTATGGGATCTGCGGCAATGGGGCGCGCTCATTCCGGATGAAATTGGCCTCGCGACAAGTGAGTCTTAGTTTATTCGCAGCAATGCGCCCTCGTGGATCGTCTGTTATTGAGGTCCAACTTGTCACTGACTAATGCGATTCCTATGCAGTGTACCGGGTCAACACATTCCCGTTAATCCACCTCAACTTCTTCCACGCCTTGTTCAACATACTCTCCTTGACGCCCCTGCTAGAGAGGTTCGAGACCGAGTTCGGCACATTGACGTCACTCGCCCTGTTCTTCGGTCGTAAGTGTAATATCCAGCGGCAAATACTCCTGGCCGTGTCTAGTTGGATCGAACTCAAAGTTGACACTCTAGTATAGCCTTAACGACAATACCTGCTTTCGCATACATTTTCATAGAAAAGTTTATACTGAGAGGGAACACGGCGGTCATGGGAGCTAGGTACTTACATCACCCTTCGATATTATTGAAGACTCAATTTGGAGTGCTGACAGTTGGGGCGGGATAGTATCTGGGTGTTCCTCCTACTTGGAGTGGAAGCTATACGCACTTATAAAACGAACCCGTACCTTGTAATCGGAACACACCATGTCCCGACCTGGATAACACCTCTGGTGATGGTGTTGGTCGTCGAAGCGCTCATCCCCAACACCAGCTTTGTTGGTCATCTGTGTGGAGTGTGCACGGGCTACCTATGTAAGTCCACCTTCTGTTCAGCTTTTACGCGCTTGGTTCCTTGTCGCTCATGAGAAATTGTCTAGTCGGATTGGGATACCTCAAATTCCTGTCGCCACCGGAGAAGGTACTACGATGGATCGAAAGCCGTCTAAACCTACTAGGACGATTACCGCACTATGTCAGCGTGGACCAGAAGACGTACGGAAGATTTGGGGTGTTGCCGACGAATAACTCGACCAGCTCGACAACACCACTAGGGCTAATAGGCTCTTCACAGAGGTTAGGTCCGTAGTACGGTTTGCGCAGCGTGGCCATAGACAGAGCAGAAGATGAGAGAAGATCAAGGTGAAAGAATGCTACCTTGTATATAGCATGCGTTTAATCAGCATTCAGGCATTGCATGACACAGGAGTCTTGGAAGGGAAACAAACTTTGGTATATTCGTGTTATGAGGTCTGGAATACTTTGTGGGCCAAAATAGCATAGAAAAGGGGGTTTGTTTGACTTGTATCAATAGTAATCTCGAGCGCCTTGAACCCTTTTTACGATGCATCGTGTACCTATATGCATCTATACACTGTAGTATAACTGCAGCTTGTTAGAAAATAAGCATGTAAAGCATACAATGATATACATAGTTAATGGTTAATTAAGCTAATTAGGTCAATTAAGTCAATTAAGTCACTTAAGTCAATTAGACCATAAGGCTGATTACCTAACTTAAGTAGTAAAAAGCGCTAAATTAAAGGACCTAATGACCCAAAGAAGGACCCAAAGGAGGACCCCTGAAAGTTCGCGGTTAGACTTCGTGTTACTTTAACTCAATTCGTGCTGTATCTACACTAAGGTAGGTACCTACTTATGTACTACCTAGGTTACATATGTAGTAGTTACTAGGTATACCGCGATCTGCACACTTCAATTACTTTACAACATTTGAACTCTCAACTGAACACTTCAAGGTTCCCTTTAAACACACATCAAGTTGAGCTCGATGTAGTTATACCATTCATTCGTTTCGTATTTTAATTCAACAGACTTGAGCAGCTATGCCGCGTCTACTCTGTAAGTTCTCTTCGTTACGAATTTCTATAAAGCATTGGCTAATTTAGATATCCAAACTCCTAGCTGCGGCGCTCGTCCTGCGGCGCGATCCTCGACTACAGAAGCTCCCACCGTACTTGTCTCTTCTCTGCATTATTGTCGGCGTTGTTTGGCTATTAATGCTACCTCTCGATCAATACTCCCGCCGTACATATATTAGCGAGAATGCGCTCCTGCCCGGTCAGGTCCACACATATTTTGGCGGAAGCGATCAGAATGTCTTCCGCGCTTATAGGCATGAGATCGATGCGCTACAGAATAAGACGAATATCGAGTGGGTTGCTTGTCATTCTTTACAGGTACTGGGTGTGCAGGTCTGACAGGTTTATAGGGTGAACGACGAGCTCGAGAAGATCTTCAAGGGTGTCGGTCTTAAGGTTGGCCGCCAAAATTACACGTATCACTCTTCCGGCCACACATACGCCGGCGAAAACGTCTATGCGATCCTACAAGCTCCCCGCGGCGACGCTACCGAAGCTATTGTACTCATCGCCGCGTGGAAGAACGTTAAGGACGAATTCAACCGCAATGGTTTGGCTTTGGCTCTGGCCTTAACCCGGTACTTTAAGCGGTGGTCGCTGTGGTCCAAAGACATCATTCTCGTGGTCCCACACGATAGCCGGGCTGGCCCGCAGGCGTGGGTCGATGCCTACCACGATGCCCACGACCCATCTCAGGTAGCCCCGCTGCCCATCAAATCCGGTGCCTTGCAAGGCGCCCTCGCGCTCGACTACACGCAGGACAGCCGCTTCGACTCGGTACACATTGTCTACGACGGCGTCAACGGACAACTGCCCAACCTCGACCTGATCAACTCGGTCGTTAGCATCGCTAGCGGCCAGATGGGCATAGGGTCCGTGCTGCAGAACAAGCACCAACACTCCCAAAAGTACGACGACAACCTTGAGACCGTGCTCCGCGGCATGCTGTCCCAGGCTTTGGGACACGCTTCCGGTCCACATAGCGCGTTCATCCCGTATCACGTCGACGCAATCACCCTGCAGCCTGTGGGCAATACCTGGCACGACGAGATGCAGTTGGGACGGCTGGTGGAAGGCCTGTTCCGAAGTTTAAATAACTTACTCGAGAAGCTGCATCAGAGCTTCTTCTTCTATTTGCTGATCCACAAGCACCGATTTGTGAGCATCGGCACGTATCTGCCGAGTGCGATGCTGATCGCGGCCAATTTCACCATCATGGCGATCTCTCTATGGGTTAAGAGCGGATATAGAAAGGTTGACCCTGCTGCTGAGGGCACGGAGGCTGAGCTTAAGAAAGCGGATGGAGAGGTAAAGGGGGCTGCTCAGGGAGGGGAGGCGGCGAAAGAGGTGGTGAGACCAGCCTCGGTGGCTGTTGAGCGAGATGTACTTCTTCCCCTGTGCTTTGTGGCGGGTGCTCAGTTCTTAGGCGTTGTGCCCCTTTTCGTGTTCAATACGGCGCCGTCTGGTGTAAGTTTTCTCTCCTTCTCTTTACCCCTTCACATCATGGTGTTATTCTACTCTTATCTCATATGCCCACCTTATATTCCCCCCTTTTTTTCGATACAGCTCTAAACTAACGTACCACCAATATAGCTACTCACCCCAATCTTCGCCATCTTCACCCTTCTCAACGCGGCTCTCCCGCACCTCGTCTCTTACCTCCTAACCAACACCGGCAACGCAAGCGGGATTTTCAAGTCCCCCACGGCCCAGCAGTACAACCTCATCAAATCCTTCTCCCTCCTTCTGCTCGGCATGTTCCTCTCCACCCTCGCCACCCTCAACTTCTCCCTCTCCTTCCTCATCGGCCTCCTCTCCTCCCCCTTAACCTTCTCCCAGCCCTGGTCCGCCACCGTCGCCAGGTACGCCCACTCGGGACTCCTGCACGTGCTGAGTCCGCCCGTCGTGGTGCTCGCGGGCTGTCTGCTCGCGGGCGTCGGGGTCGAGACCGTGCTCGCGGAGGCCGCGTTCGGCTGGAGCGTCTGGGGCCTGTATACCCCGCTCATCGTGTGGTGCGTCTGGTGGCCTGCGTGGTTTGTCGGCCAGGTCATTGTGCTGGGACGGCCGGTTAGCGATGGGGAAGGGAAGGAGAAGAAGGCGTGAATTTTTTGGTTTTAGTCTTATTTTTTTTTAGTTCCTTTTCATCCGATGTTTCTGGCATGGCTTGGTTCTCTGGGAATGGGGAGAGATGGGAATTAGGAAGGGAGCGGGTGTACTAGCATCCAGTATGTGTATGTGTCTTGCCTCATGCATTACTCATATTATTTAGTCAGGTAGGTGGGTAAATACTTGCCTAGGTACCTACATATGACACGATAGAGCGATAGAGCAGCGAGGTTTTGTCCTTGCTTCGATCACGATAGCACCTAGATAGGAGAGAACGAAACTCGGAAGAAAATTACCCAACTACCTAAGGTTAGGTGCCTACCTACTGTACTCGTGCGCACTCGCTTCCAACCTTCAAGGTAAAGCATTCAGGTACCTACCTCAACTCAAGTAAGGAAGAAAAAGGGGGAACCTATTCATATCACTTGGAACAGCTCTACAAAGCCTTTAGTTCGCGTGTACAAACATATCACGATACCATCAGTTACATACTACGACTATAATTTGCACTAGCCACTAAGCACCTAAGCACCTAAGCACCGCGGTGATAGCAGTAATACTAATAATGTTTTTGTCTTCTTGCCTCCAAGGACGTGTGTCTATTAGTATGGACTATCATACAAGGCTATTTGTTGGCCTCTCATCTGTCTCTCCATTTTTGCCTCTCGGAGAGAGAGGCAAGGGGGCAAGGGATGTGGACACTTCCTTGTCGAAGTTTCTGCCTGTGGCGTATATTCATGCATGCAATTCGACAACACTTTTCCACTTAGAAAAGTGTTCAAATGAGTATTGCAAATGGACAGACACACTTAAGCTCAAGGAGCCCAGATATCCTGCCCCGTAGCCTCAATCCAGTTGCCCAGCTTATTCACATTCTCGCCCCATTCGCCGAGACGCTGGCTCATGCTAGCGATCTGCGTCATGTCGAGAATACGGGGCTGGACCCATGTGAAATTGACAAGCTCATCCACCTCGTCGATCGTACCTCTTACCAGTCCCAGACTTAAAGCCTTCATGACCAAGTGTTCGATCTCATCCTTGCGCACTTTGGTATCAGCAGAAATAGTGTTGAAACTCATGGCGCGCTGGTGCGGTGGCCGACGAAATACACTTTCTGTCAGTGCCGCTAGGTAGATCTTCTGTCGGATATCCTCGACGTGTTCCTTCAGTAATGGGTTCGTCGAAATGTGGCCCGAGAGCATATCGTAAGCGGCTAGGTCGCCCCGGTTAAAGGCTAGAAGCAGCTCCTGTAACCAGGCGACATCACCAGTCAGGGCAGCGAGAATAGGGTGCTGTAGTAGCTCGCCAAAGTTGTAGATGGAGTCGGAAACGAGGGCGGCGATACCCAGGTCGTAAGCCCGGGCCTTGCGCTCGTCGGGGGATAGAGAGGACAACTCAATGCAGGCGAGGTAGAGGAGGGCATTTCGATAGTACGAAGCGAAGTCGGCCTTGGCCTGATAGTAGTCGGCGTTTACCTGGTAGAAGGCAGCGTGCACCTTGGTCTCGACACTGTCAAAGGAGTCCAAGATTGACTCGGCCTTATCGAGATCTACACGTGCAGCCTCAAGGTTGTGCAGGTCGAGCTCGACACGGGAGACGGCGACAGTAGCGTATACGAATGCATCTTGGGAGTTTTCGTTATCGACTTTCTTGGCGAGGTCAAGGAGGAAGTCAAGACGTTCTTGGTCATCTGTTATGCCATGTGTTAGTATCGCATCGTATATAAGATACTCCTTGCAGAGTATCCAACAGAGTATCCAACAGGCTACAGAGAGTGAGTGAGTGAATTACCTTTACATTGGGTAGCAGCCTTGAGTCCAAGGTCGACAAGCTTCAGTTGGTTGATCTTGTCAGCAAACTTTAATATGAAGACCTTGTAGAACTTGAGTCGCTGAGGTTCGCTCTTGGGATTGGCGAAGAATTCGATTAAAGCGTCAGTAAGCTGATGCCACAGCTTGCGCTCCCAATAGTTCTCGAACTGAATAATGAGGTATTGAAGTTCGTCCGGGGTCTCGTCCCGCTGGTCGGCGAGGAAGTCGGCGATAGTGTCGACGTTCATGATATTGTTTATGACTTCTGTGCTCTGGTAAATTTTGTTTCCTTCCGTTCGGATATGATTTTGGTCAGTAAGTGAGGTGTTGTTTGTTTCTTTTGTCTGTTGGATGTTCAAGGTGAGTAAAGTTGAGTTGAGCTGAGTAAAGTTGAAGTGGATACTACTAGTAGTACCTACAAGAGGAAGAAGTACTAGGTAACTACCCTAGGTATGTAAATGTGGATGAAGCTCAAGAAGCTACAATCAATACGCGGCTGGTGTGCAGCCTGTCCAGGAAGCTGCGCTGAGTAGGGTACGTAGGTACTTTCTTAGTTCCATGTTCCATTGTACTACATACCTAGTAGTTACATGTAACTTATGTAAGTTAGTGTAATCGATAATTCCTTGTGGCTTGCCTTTCTTTCGTCAAATAACCAACTTGAATATTGTGGCTTGACTTCTTCGGAGCTCAACTTTCAAGGTCCCAAATCCCACCAAAGTACCGAACAGCGAACAGCGAACAGCGAACAGTCAAAGCTTCAACATTCCCAAAGCTGTATCGTAATTGGAAAGGCCGCCTCTTTAAGTAAAGATGGCTTCCTTTCCCACCGCAGTGCGGTCCAGTCCAAGACTAGCATTCAATATTATCCAAGCCCGTCGCATATCCGACCTCACCATCACCCGTACCGGCAAACCCATCCTCCGTGTACAGGGTGGAAGGTCAGTCATTGCGATGATCCTCTTGTGTCAATTGACAATTGATATAGTGATAATTGCTAATCCGTATTAACTGTTAGATCATCTCTCGGAGGTATATTGTGACCAACCACTACAGACGCTTTTAAATCCTGATCGTTTACTATATAGGCCACACTGCGACAGTATTTGGCGCAACCGGACAACTTGGAAGATATATCGTGAATCGGCTAGGTACGAACGAAGGACCATACAATTTGCCATAACCTAGGCGCATACGATGTACGTTCCAAACTAATGATACGTCGTAGCACGCCAAGGATGTTCGGTCGTCATTCCTTACCGAGAAGAGATGGCGAAGCGCCATCTCAAAGTTGCTGGCGATCTGGGTCGTGTCAGTTTTATCGAGTACGACCTACGCAACACCGAATCGATCGAGGCCAGCGTCAGACACTCCGATGTGGTATATAACCTCATTGGTCGGAATTATCCTACTAAGAACTTCACTTTGGAAGATGTTCACGTGGAGGGCACTGAGCGCATTGTCGAGGCTGTCGCCAAGTACGATGTCGACCGTTATATCCACGTCTCTTCCTATAATGCCGACCCCAACTCACCCTCCGACTTCTTCGCCACCAAAGGGCGAGGAGAGCAGGTTGCGAGAAGCATCTTTCCAGAAACCACCATCGTTCGCCCGGCCCCTATTTTCGGGTTCGAGGATAGACTCCTCATTCGGTTAGCTGGCATCACCAACATATTTACGTCAAACAATATGGAGGAGAGATACTGGCCTGTTCACGTGCGTATCCATGAAAGATACAAGTTGGAATAGTAGGGATCTGACCGATGTGAATATAGTCCATTGATCTTGGCCAAGCGCTAGAAACCATGCTATACGACGATACGACAGCCGGACAAACGTATGAGCTTTACGGGCCTACGAACTACTCGACAGCCGAGATTTCCCAAATGGTAGAGAATGAAATTCACAAGAAGCGAAGGCATATCAACTTGCCCAAGGCGATACTGAGGCCGGCGGCCAAACTACTCAACCAAGTACTCTGGTGGCCAGTACTCTCGGCAGAAGATGTAGACAAGGAATTCATTGACCAGACGATCGACAAGAAGGCCAAGACATTTGCTGATTTAGATATCACGCCTGGTGAAATAAGCAACTTTACGTACCACTACCTAGTAAGCATTACCCCCCTCTCTTGATTCAGTGGTGTATGTGTATGGCTAACAGCCCAACAGCAAGGGTTCCGAAGTTCTGCGACGTACGATCTCCCGCCGGCAACGGAGAAGGAGAAGAGGGAAGATAGAAAGTATTTGCATGTGGCAGATGATCAATAGAGGAAACTTGAGCCTGAGTATTTTAGTTTTTTCCTCTTTTTTTTCTGTAATTCTCACACAAGCAGAAGCAGAAATGGAAAGTCATTGCATTGTAAATAATATACAAAGACCTACGTAGTTGTCCTTGATACAAAAGTCACGTAGTAACTATATGAATATTTTTGACATGAACATATTCTACCATATTATGTTGTTGTATTGTTGTATTGTTATCATGTGATGATGTTCTGGTGTTGAGAGCCATTTTCTCTGCTCTTAACTCGGGATGAATTGTGTACTTGTACTATCTTGAATTTGTACTTGCTACTAGTAGTGATTTTGCCTTGTAAAAAACTCAATTATTCTTATTCTTTATTATAAGCCGAGCCAAACAAGAATCCAAAAACTTCAAATTTCCATCTAAGGGGGTTTTTACATAGTATAATCGGTATAATCGGTATATTCAGTGCATATATATCCAAATTGAAACAACTCAAGTTGTCGATATGACCGATAGCGACGACGAACCAATGTAAGAAACACCTCAAGGCTACATGCCATATGCACACACGCACACACACACTCTCCCCTCATCTCACCATGTCGAAAGATAAATAAAAAGCCAGTACTAATGTTTCATTTAGAACTCTCTCATCCCACGCCCTCGCGGCGCTGCAGGAGTTCTACGGCGAGCGTGATGCGCACGCCGACAAGTTCGAGAAGCTGAAGACGGCCGCGGAGAAGCAGCATGACGATGCAGCTGCTACTGCTGGCGCACCAACACAGCCCCTTTCTATGGATGCCTTTACTGAGGATTGGAATGAGTCTCAGTTTTGGGTGTGTGATGCGTCTTTTTACTTCTCTCCCTGCCTCTCAGTCTCTATGTAGGCCGAGACTGACTTGAAGTGTACTTAATACAGTATTCGGACGAAACGGCTACGCTACTGGCTACACAGCTGCTCGATGGCGTTGGGGAGGATGAGACTATTGCGGTGGTGTCCGCGCCAAGTGTCTTTGTCGCTCTGAAGAATCTGTTGGTAAGTACTATATTTCTCTCAACGTTGCTTCTGAGCCTAAACCCCCCCTCCCCCCTTGATATCAAAAGGCATACTGTACAAGTAACACCCACTCACCGTCTTCACAGAACACACCCTCCGACACCAGCGCCCCCGTCCCCAAACCAAAGCCAAAGCAAGTCTACCTTCTCGAGCACGATCAGCGGTTCGCCGTCTTCCCCGAGTTCGTCTTCTACGACTTCCAACAACCTACCAAGCTCCCCGCGCAGCTGAAAGGCGCCGTGGATCGCATCATCTGTGACCCCCCTTTCCTTAGCGAGGATTGCCAGACCAAAGGTTTGTATTTCCTTTTTCTTCTTTTTACTTACTTTTCTCGTTGTTTCTTCCCTCCTGCTCCCCCCCCCCCCCCCCCCCCCTCACATCCCCTTATACATATACTTCAGGTCCCTACCTCCCTATCCTCCCAACCAACCCAACTAACAAGACTTCTTCTTCACCCACACCAAAAGCCGCCCTAACCGTCCGCTGGCTCTCCCGCGCCACAAAGACAGCAACCCCACGCCTCATAGTCTGCACAGGTGAGCGCATGGCCAGCCTCATCACGAAGCTGTACCGGTTCTTCGGCCTGCGCACCACAACGTACGAGCCGCGGCACGCGCGCGGGCTTAGCAACGAGTTCTACTGCTACGCCAACTACGAGCGGGATGGCCTGTGGCAGTTCCGAGACGACGGGGGATCCTAATAAGGAAGGGTGAGGGTCTTTGTGGATGAGGCGGCGTAGATAGATAGATAGATGGATACCTAGGTAGATATATCTCTACATCTATGCAGTTTACCTCTTTAGATCTCATCATTATTAGTGATTTACTTAAAATATCTAGTCAGGATTAGATGGGGCCGGCTCAATAACGCCCCTTATTCATATAGAATCAGAACTAGCAATATCATCACAAAAGGTTGGAAACTGGAGTTCATCGTTAGGATTGCTCGTTTAATGCGTCTTTCTCTGTCTCTTTCTTCTCTCTTTCGTTCTGTGTGTATGTATGTGCATGTGTGTTTTTCTCTATTCAACACAATGTACACGTAGTAAGCAACGCAACGCGTAAAAACATCTCATAACCCCCCTAAACCATGTAAATGCTTTCAAAAACGCCCAGGTCCGATCCCGCCTCTCCATGGAAACCCAAGTGGGTTCCAACATTATCCTTTACGCCAGTGATCGGATGATGTAGAATAGTAAGTAAGCCTGGCTTCCGAGGACATCCGACTTCTTGGCCAGTTCGACACGGTGGTCGTTGAATGAAAACCACTACAATCCACGTTAGCTTGACAGTCATCCAAGGATACATGATAGGCGTAACTTACTTGTTCTCCCACTCGTGAATACGTCACGTAGTGACCTGACTTGGTTAGTTTCATAGAACTCTACAAGATTCAAGAGTAGGAGTACTTACCTGTGTCAATTTCTCCAACATGTTCAACGACACTTAGTAAATCGTACGTGCATGATCGGCTCAGTTCCTGACTGTCCCGTGCGTCTGCCGTCCTACCACGGGTAGTATAGGGAAGCATGTTTAGTTGCAGTGGAAATTGTACTTTGGTACTAATCTTGGAGGCAACGCGATCTCGACTTCCTTGCTTGAACTCAAATCTCTAAATATATTGATTAGCATTCGTGTACTGACAAGCTGGCCTAATAGGGGGCACCTACCTTAAGCTGTATGGACAGAACGTTGGGCAGGAGTTTTATGCTATGATCACGTCGAGCCTGTTGTGAAGAATTGCAGTTCCTACAGCGATATTCACACTTGTCGAATTTGATGTACTCCTCGTCAAGACACTCTTGCAGGGTCAACGATGCGGTCTTAGCAGCTTTCTTGCCCTTCTTCTGCGATAGGTTCTCCAAGCCTAAGCTCAGATCCAGAAACGATTCCACCGCATTTGTGACTCCGCCACAATGCTGACATGTCGTCTGACTCTGAAGCTTTCCGTAGAAAGTCTGGTGGATGATGCAGTTGCAGCTGTGTTCGCTGCCTGTCTCGGGTTTCTTACCGTCGCCGTTCCTCTCATGTAGCTCCTCGGCGAGAAACTGGAAGAATTCATGAGCATCTTGCTCTTTGGTTGTGACTAGATTCTCGAAAGCTTTCTTCTCCGAGATCCAGAACCCAGATAGAATATTCGCCGCCGTGTAACCGTTAGTATTCTCAAGGGCATAAAAATCCTGGAACATATCGTCCATCGCGCAGCTGAGACAGGCAGGTATTTGACAATCACTGCTCTGGTGTCCATCGCTGAGGTAGAAATTTCTAAGTAGGGGGTTGTGAAGAAAGCTCTGTAGGACGACATTCTGGTAGCACGTGGCGCCAGCGTTGTAAATACCCCGAAGCCCATCCGCCCTACATGAGGCGATGGTGGTATTGGTGGATATATATCTAGGATCATCCTTCAGGGGATCTTTCACCGAGTCCGAGAACATTTCCTCGTGCTTTCTCTTACGGCCTAGGTACGTTAGCCCGGTTGCTCAGTCAAAGCATCGTTTGCAAAACAACTTGGCCCCAACACTCTACAGCAGAAAGGTTGCCATGAGTGATGAGACGAAGAGGGGCGTAGACATACTTGAAAATGATCCAGTACCTATCTTTCTTACTCTCAGTTCCTCTAAGGTTGGGTCCCATACGAAGTCTTGACAGAATTGGCAGAATAGTGCGCCACTTCGCGAATCCACATCTACAGTATGTCAGTAAAGACACTAGAGACTAGGGACAAATACTTGGTAGGACTGGAGCAATACTTACAGAATCGGTGGCTCTTCTTGTTTCCATGCTTCGAGCGCTCTTCTTCAGGAACAATGGTAGAGCACTGAAGGCAGAGGTAGTTGGAAGTCAGAGAGGTAACAATCTGGCCATCCGGGCCCTTGCAAGTCTGGGGGACCAGGGGCGTGTTATCAAAGATGACACGCAGAAGCATCTTGTAGTATTGTATAGAACTATTCATAACATCCGGGCTATTGGACAAAAGTAGCTGGACGTGCTCTGAGGAAGATGTTAGCATGCGATCAAGCAAGATCACTCAGCCCCTCTCTTGGGATTATAATACTGACCACAACCGAATAGAGGTGTTCCTGGGGTGGGAGACTTGATCTTGACATTCTTAGGCGATGCCGGGGTAGTAGGTCGCGCAGCCATGATTCCCACCGCAATTGTAATGTAGTATAAACTATGTATGGAATGACGGCTACGGTAGGAAGTGTAGGAAGTGTAGGAAGTGTAAGAAGGAAGATGATTCGGGCGCGGGGTGTGGATTGGAAGTTCTGGTGGTGGCGGCCGGTACGAAGATAGATTGTGTGGATGTTAGACGGTAGACGATGGACGGTGGACAGTGGACAGTGGACAATTGAGAGTGGACGATGGACGATGGACGATGGACGATGGACGAAAGGCAGGTGGGCTTGTAATCACGATGACAGTATTTGGTCTGGTTCAAGTTCTGGGACAGCTCTCTGCCGTGATTGGAATGGGTGTAAAGAGTGAAGACACATGAATTTATTGGCTACTGAATAAGTAGGCTGGTAGATTGGTAGGTAGGTAGGTAAGTTCGACTAGAGAAGGACGAGTAAGGCTCCGGTGTAGGTCGGTAAAGGTAATGCTAAAGTAAGGTAGACCAAGGTAGACCAAGGTAGCAAAATAACGAGCGATTACACCGAGCCGGCGTGCTATTGTAAGCTCCTAATTAAAGATGAATGCGATCTCGTCGCCAAATTTCTTGTCTTGCTTCACTTTTTTGCACCTTTAGTGTTAGTCTTCTACTACTAGTATAAGTCAAGTAAGGCAAGTGTTGGCCAAAGGTTTTGGCTTACAAGAATTTTGAGATATTAGTTAGACAGGTTGTTGAACTCTATGAAGCGTAAATAACTGCTCGTGTGTAGTCTTGGTATTGTCTTTCAACAAATCGCAGGAAAGATTACCGGATTACGGATTATGGATCACAGATGAACAATTGAAGCTTGCGCTGCGAGATGCTTGCGATTCCTTATCAGCACCTGATCCACCTAATTAAGCTACCTTTAATAGCTTTAATTCTTCTTATCCGACACACTAGTAGCAAAAAAGATCCAGGGGTTCGTTGGCACCTATTTACTTCAAGTTAAATACATTGAACCATGAAAAGTACTTTTAGACTAGTACCTACTAAATAACTACCTAACCTAGTAGTATGAAATAACTATGCCGACCACCGACCGAATGAACTCTCGCGATAGCACCTACATCATGATACATACATAACTACGGTATGTACATGGTAATAACATTTTAACATTTAAACTCAGCTGACCAAGACACCTCGGTATTTCAATGTGCATGCATCATACAAACCTGAACCCAATTACTAGTAATTTACGATATGGCACAATCCAGCCTCATTATATCCTCATCAACTAACACTATACTAAGTAGTCAGATCAGCCACAAACATGATAATACACTTTAATTATATTCCCTCCACCTAGATACTAACAGCAATAGCGTGTTCGATAGCTCAGGCCTCTAAATATTATATATTCATCATACTCATTACCTCCAGTAGTGGTAGTATATGCAAGCTTTCCGAAAAAGTGCTTTCACCATGGCCGTCCAGCTTGCGCATCTACCCGAGGTCGAACGGCTAAGTCCTGCTTGCATTCGTATTCTCGGCGGCAATCCAAGCAAATTCACACTCCAGGGCACCAACACGTACCTGGTTGGGACCGGGTCAGCTAGGTTATTAATTGATACTGGCGAGGGGAAGCCTTCGTGGATTGCCGCCCTAAAACGGACTCTCGAGGAAGAAAAAGCCACGGTCCAAAGTGCTTTGATCACGCACTGGCATCATGACCACACCAGCGGGATTAGCCAGCTCCTAGAGCATTCGCCACAAACGGATATCTACAAATGTGAGCCAACCCAAGGCCAGCTGAGTATCTCAGAAGGTCAGAAATTCCAGGTGGAGGGGGCTACTTTGACCGCCGTACACACCCCAGGTCACACTACTGACCACATGGCCTTCATCCTACAAGAGGAAGGCGTGCTGTTCACGGGCGACAACGTCTTGGGTCATGGCACAGCCGTGTTTGAAGACCTAGGCGCCTATCTGCGCAGTCTAGCCAAGATGGAAACCTTAGTCTCGGGCCGCGCTTATCCAGGGCACGGTCCGGTGCTGCCACAAGCGAGCGCCACGATCGCCGAGTATATAAGTCACAGGCAAGAGAGAGAGAAGCAAGTCCTACAAACTCTCGGATCTGAAAAGGACGATAGCCTGTGGACGGCTATGGAGCTGGTGAAGATCATATATCGCGGCGTTCCCGAGAGTCTACACATCCCCGCGGCAAGTGGCGTGGTTCAGATACTCCGAAAGCTCCAGGACGAAGACAAGGTCGTACAAGAGGGTGAGGATAGATGGCGCCTCAAAGATCGATCAAGCTTATAAGGAGAGCATTAAGTATGCAGGAGTGAAGCATGATGGGAAGGTCTCGCACAAAAACAGATTGGATTGGATCAATGACAGCCAGAGATGATGATGACTTTACATGAATTAAACGCTTTGAATGATGGACGTTGAGTCTGATCTGCAAGCTACGATCACCACGTAAGCCATAGTGGGACAGACGGATCTTAGGCAACTCAATGCTTTCGCCCTACGTGACTCGGCCCTCCGCATACATATATTTAGTTTAGGAGAGATATCGCCTCAATCTAGCATTTAGGGGTCACGGATCCAGGATGGAGATCATTACGGGGTAGTACCAGCATGTTGGGAGCCGCACAGCCTTAATATGGCACGCAGGGAGACGGACGTACATACATAGCAACCTATGTACGTCAATAGCCCCCCTTAGATCTTAGATAGGGCCCCTTTTTAGATTTATCAGGTAGATTTTGTGAGACGCGGGGATGCAAGGAGGCCTTTATTGAACTACATACATTGCAACCTCGACCATGGGTTTTCACTCGGCTGTAAGCTCTAGGAGCCGTGGAGACTACCCGGATCTTCGGAAGCTCGGGGCCAAGAAAAGAAGTCCGATATTTGTAAGCAGGTAAAGGGAAGGGTAGTTACGGGTTACATACACAGAGCTGAAAACGGTTTCTCTGGCAAGGCTTCAAGAAGGATTCATTTCTTTATTTAGATATACTCACGTTAGGTCGTCTCTATACTAGCTAACAGCTGTCTGCTGATGCTGCGAAATTCCTTCGCCGTCCTTCCGTTTCGACGACGGGGTTGTGTTGTCTTAAACTAGCCCACTAGGTGATGGGGATTCCCCGTCGGCCGCGGCGGGGCCCACGAACAAAAGAAATCTGCCAATACTCATTCACGATGTTAAAATTGAGGCCCCGAGGAGGCCGAGAAGGCCGAGAGGGCCAAGGAATGTGACCAAGACCTAGGCAATAGTAAGGCAGGTGGCACAGGTGGTAGTGGTTAGCAGTAGTAGTAATATTTGTAATAGTTGTTGTACCAAAGTTCTTCTATTTTTCCTCTTTGTGTTTTCTCTGTTCTCCGTGGAGAGAAGAGAGAAGTCAGACGTACATAGCAGCGTGGAAGTTTATGCTATAAAGAGGCTATATTGGAGAAAGAGCTCGGGAAGTTTGGAAATCGGCGTTTGCCTAGTTACCTGGTGACGTGCCTACTAGACAAGGTAAAAGATTGCGGTCAACGCTCGCTTAGGATGGCTGCTAATGTCGTTGGCTATATGTACATGTGTATCGTGCCTAGGTATGCATGTATGTCGTTGCCGTCGATCTTTTCCAATGCCTAGCAGTTGATTGGTTTTACTGCGAGGCTAGTCTCGAATACTTACATAGGACTGGTGTCAGTGGTGTGTAGCCCCCAAGTGCTATGGGCTGCTTCTTCCTTTTTAGATGCTTCTGTTCAACGTGAAGCGGACAACTCGGAGTCCGATTGAGGCACGAGGCACATGCAAGTGCATGGCACATTGGTACGATCCTTACATCAGGCATCTCAGATTTCCATTTTGCGATGTAGACTGGTACGGTAAGGCTGGGCGAGTAGACGATTGCCATATGTCACAATTTATAAGCGACATACATTACTACATACCTTCGATTTTGATTCTCGATCCTTATCATGCTGAGATATATTTACAGTTAATGCAAACTAACGATGTACTGGTTCTTACTAGGCAGCTATGGAAAGAAGAAGTTTAGCATATAGATGTGAGTTGTCGGTGTCTTACTCGCTTCCGTCGCTTCCATTGCTTCCAACGTGTCCATGCAACTACGTTGTTGCAGATGTCACCCTCCGGTTTTTTTCGTCCGACCCAAGGCCACAGTAGATTGCCATCTTATGTCTACGGATATGTATCTAACCACTCTTCTATCCTTATCTCCATACATACCATACCTATGCTTGCATTTGCCTTAAAACCAGACCAGTCAGAGATCCATCCAAGGAGGGGTTCGTCAGCTTAACTGCTAACCTCTTAAAAGCTCATCGTCAGCACATGTTACAGCTGGCTAGCAATGGAAGGATTTCACCATCGGCAATTGGTGGGTTACAGCGGTGCGGCTAGTGCTGCCGTCTCTTGCATGATGGCTTCCGGGAAGCACTAGACGAACGAGGGGCAACGATGAGCGACGCAGTCCATAGATGCTATTGCACTATACAGATAATCAATCCTACCGGAGTTAATTTTGTGACAGCGGTTGCTCAAGATAGAGTATAGATTAACAAAAAGTCCCCAGTGAGTATGTCGTTTTCATAGCAGTTTGGCTATACCTATGGGCATGTTTATTATAATGTACGAGATGGGGGCTTCTTTTTTTGCACCGAGTCGAAAAGCCCATCTTCAAATTCCGGTATAAGTTGAGAATTGCATCTTGAAATATTTTACGGATGAATGCAACCGACTTTCACCCCCCCCCCCCTTCTCACCCACCAAAAAAAAAAGGAAAATTTAAATCTACTAGGTTAGATACATACCTAGGGAGGCTACATAGTAGCAAGACCCTTAATAACTACCGGTTGTATTAGCGCGGCTCCCAAGAAGCTCAAAAGGCTGAGAGATGTGTCATCACTAACACACATGATCACCCAGAGATCTCGACACGGCCGACACGGAAGCGGATTTATTACATGTAAGAAATTGTAAGATTTATACAGATTTTTATAACTATGTACTACTAGTTATGTAGTAGTAGTACTGTAGTACTATGTACATGCAATGACTACATAACATGGAACATGGATAAGTGAGGCTACCCTAGAGAAAAGATCTACCAGTTTCGAACAGACTATGTATTAAAAGAGAGAAAAGGTCAAAAACCAATCCCCGCAGGACAGGCCTTTTACCTGTGTCCTCTTATCTTATCTATAGTAGGTGGCACCTGCCACAGTATCTACTGGGGGGGACACAGGTCGGGCGAGCGGCCCGCTTTCTAAGGTACAATGTTGTGATAGCATAATGAGAAGAGTCCTCAAACCATGTAGTAAAGCCTAATACCCCCAGAGAAAATCTCGCAATTCCCAGCAAAAAGGAAAAGAATGAAGGAAAGTAATAAAAGTCCCAAAAGAAAAGAAACGGAACGCCAACAAAGGAAACCTCGGCAAATGAAATGGTAACAAAGGAGATTGTAATAGAAGAAAAAAAAGAGGTAAGGATATAGACAAATGAAATTGTTAACAAAGGAAAAAATAAACAAAGGAAAATTATAAGGATGCAGTTACAAAGGAAACATAAGGATGTAGTAGGCGTCCCCTTCCCCTCTCACACTTATTTGTCCTTTTTTCTCCCTGACCTCTTCCTTTGCAATCGTGACCATAGGGGTAGGGCCAGCTCATTATCCGTCCGGAGATAGCCCGTCCGGGGGGAGAAACGCTTGAGGCGGTTCTCATGATACGTCATCTTTCCGACAATGGATCCGTCCAGATTGCGGAGTTGGTGTGAGGACCGCCCAACTCGTGTTCCCACGATAAAGGGTCCCGTCCATTTTTCCCGAAGCTTCGGGGTCTTGCCTTCCTGGCAGACCATCACCAGGTCATCCTTCTCCACTCGGGGCGTGCGAGAGGCATGCACACGGCTGCGCGCCAGCCGTTTTTCCTCCCCCAGCTGGAGGACCGTCTCCCGACAGTGTTGGAGCCTTGCCAAATGGTCCATCACCAAGTCGTCGAGCCGATCCTCAACCGGGAGGAGCTCCGCCCCACCGCTTCGCAGATGACGCATCAGTGAGCCCAGGTTCTCCGGGGGGTACTCCTGCTCGAATGCTCCGACCGGCAGGTTCCCGTAAAGGATCTCGTACGGCGAGAATCCAATACTCTCCATGTGCCGGCGGTTTACATTCGCCATTACTCCTGCCAGCTGGGACACCCAGTCCACAGACTCCACCGGTGTCTCCGTCGGCAACGGATTGACAGTTTTTTTCAGCACAGCCTGGAAGACCCTGTTGAACACCTCAGCGAGGCCCACGCTGGCATGTGAGCCCGAAGATCCATGGATCACCGCGATTCCCATCGACTTCACCTTGGCCACCGTCTCCGCCGACACAAACGCAGACCCAGGGTCGAGGTAAAAGGCCAGAGGTCTTGTCCCCATGTTCGCGACCCACAGGTCAAATCCCTTCAGCGCGTCTGCCGACGTGGCCCCTTCAGTCGGAATGGCCCAACCATATCGGCTGAAGTAACACACAATGACCAGGATATGTCGCATTCCATACGGCATTGTCGGAAACGGCCCAACAAAGTCGGCGGCCAGAACCTGCAAGGGTGCGTACACAGTGACGGGCTGCGGGGGTATCGGAGGTCGGGACGGCCCATGGTACGCACAGGAGAGGCAGCCTTCGATGTAGTTGGTTACATCCCGGGCCATGCAAGGCCAGTACACAGACCGACTCAGCCGCTTCAGCGTAATTGCCTTGGAGAAGTGCCCGCCCACATCATGAGCCATCTGGAGTGCCCCGGCTACCTCTCCCCGACAGAGGCACCTCTGCCAGTGGCCCTTGTATTCATGCCACAGTTTACCGTTCTGAAGTTTGTAGTATCTCGCTCTATTCCGCAGAAGGCGTGATCTCACACGATCCAGCGGGTCGACGATCCCCTCCGTGAGCACCTGGTACACATCCGCATACCAGCTGTCCCGGGCGTACTCAGAAGGTGCCTCAAACTCCGCCGATCGTGAGGTCAGTACCGGACCCCTCAACGACTCCAGCAACGCCTCATACCCATCCTCGCCATCACTCCACCTCCACCGCTGGCGGATAGCAGACTCGGATTCGCCGCTCTCCACCAGTCTGGTGAATCGCGAGACAACATCCGTCGGGTCTCGCCTGTGCGAGTTGAAGATGTCGTCCATCATCTTCTCTCCTTCCTCCTTTTTCATGGACTTGAGGAGGGCCTGGTACCCGCCGGCACCATCCTTCCAGACCCAAGAGCCATCCGGCCCCTTCTCACCAAACGGCGCCAGATGTTCCACCTGGTCACACTCGTCCCCCGGGAATATCGTCCTCGATAATGCATCGGCTACCCGATTCCGCCTGCCTTCAATGTACACAATCTTCACATTCAGCATGCGCAGCTCCGACGCCCACCTGGCATATATTCCATCTACATTCGCCGAGTCAAGGAACCACGTCAAGGGCTTGTGGTCAGTGTGGATAACTGACACCTCCCGGGCCTGAAACATGAAACCGTGCCGTCGTGAGAACTCCACGATGGCACACAGTTCCCGCTTGTACGTGCCATAATTCCGCTGGGTCTTCGTGAACGTGAAGCTGTCATACACGATCGGGACGTAGGCTCCGTCCCTCAGCTGCACCACGAGACACCCAGCGCCTTGTCCAGAGGCATCGGAGTACATCTCCACCGGGGAGTCAAATGCAAGACCATGCATTTCAACAACCGCCGACGTCAAGTCCTTCAGCAGCGTGAATGCAAGCGCCTCCGCCTCGCCCCATTTCCAGTCAACATTTCCCAGGAGTCGTGTCAGCGGCTTGGAAATCTCCGCGCAATTATTGATCCATTGCCTGCACGGCCCGATCGCACCCATAAAAGCCCTGATGTGGGACTGCTCCGTGGGAACCGGCCACATCCGAAGCCTTTCGCAGCGCTCTGGCTTGACAAACAGGCGGCCGCCCACGTGGTGCACCACCCCCACTGCCAGAATCTCCTCAAAGCCTATGTAGACCTTCTTGTACGCCAGCCGCAGACGGGCCCAGAGCAGTCGAGGGAGGAAATGTTCCTCGATCCAGTCCCACTGTTCCTCCACGTTCCGATGCGTAGGAAATATGTCATCGATATAGAAGCCCATGTCCGCAACCTGTGTTGGCCCCGCCGACCGGATCAGGGATGGCTCCGGTGAGGGCGGTGGAATCTCTCCGAACGCGACATGCATCATCTCCGTAAACGTAAAACTCGCCGTCTGTGAGCCCTGGGGCATCCTTGTCGGTTGCAGCTGTGGAAACCCCGCCACCGAGAATGCAAACAGATGCCGATCGTCCGGATGGACTTCGACAGCCCAGTACCCATGTTTTAGGTCGAATTTTGAATACGACCCAATGCTGGGATCCGATAGGTGTGTATGGAGGTCTGACAGGAGCGTAATGTTCGTGCCCGGAACGTCTTCGTTGACATTCGAATAGTTGAACGTCAACCGCGGCTCGGCCCAAGGGTCTGGATTTGGATCATCCTTGTCCTTGGACACGAGGACAGGCTCGGCGGACCAGTCCGAAAGGACCCCATTGGCTGCTTTCGTGGACTCGTACATTCCCGCATCGAGCCCTAGCTGGATCAAGTGATCCAGCCAGTACTTTTGCGGGACGGTCCATCGCCGCCGCTTCGACCGGCTCCACGGTTTCGTCCCCTCTGTCAGCCTCACGCGGTGCTGATGCAGATCTGAGGGTGGGATGTCGAGGATAGATTTCGCATCCAGCTCACGATACGTATACATCCCCCTGGCTATCCTCAGGCGCAACTTGTCCGACACCAGCGGCCCAACATGAACACCCGTCTTCACCAGCCATTCAAGCGCGTCTGCGTCCGACAATTCTTCCCGAGACACCAGAGGCAGGCGAACGATGCGCCGTTTCGTAGGAAATGGCACTCTACCAGAGCAATCCGTCTCCGATTGTTTCTCCCCCTCAATCCTGGTCCGCACCATCTCTCGCCCAGCCGATGGCGTATGGGCCTCCTCCATCGACACGGAGGCAAAGCGGGACGACAGCGCTGCTCGGAACCGCACTCCAAGCGGGGCCGACGCCGAAAGCCGAGGCGCATGGAAGAAAGCCCAATCGTGGTATGCATCAACGGTGTCCATGTCCTCGTCACCGTCAGACGACCTCTTCCGACGCAGTTTCCCGACATGCTCAGGTCGACTCAGTTTTCCGAATCCGACGACTCATCTGTCGAGTCCGAGTCGGACGACTCATCGTCCGAATCCTCCGAATCCCAGGCTTGCTCCTCAGATGTCGGCGGGACTCGCAGATGGTTGACCGGATCAGCGATTGGTCCTGCCGCACCAAGCGCGATGCGATGTCGTCCCACAGGGGCCAGCAAGGGGCCGACCAAAGTGGTCTGTGTCTCACCATCATGAACGTCCCCGATCGTGAGCGTGCTTGCTCGAATGTCGAACTTGGCTAAGACATCCCAGAGCCAGGGAATTCCCAGCAAAAGCAGGCAATCCCCAGGCTGGCTCTTGGGCCTTACAATTGCCCACACGGAACGCCAGATCCCCCGCACACCGACATTCAATAACACAAACTCGTGAATCTCGCATCTTCCTCCGTCTGAGGTCAGAAGGTGAAGGGGTCTCGTAACAAGGTCCTTGAGTAATCTCCGCTTCAGACCAAGCTGTTGCACCAGCTTGTTGGAAATTACGTTCACGTCGCTCCCCTGGTCAGCTTGCGTCGATTTGGGTGGAAGCACGGTAGACATCATTTCGTCTCCCCTCTTGAAACGTAGTGCCACATCTAGACAGAAAGAGCGGACCAGCTTGCACAACGAGCTGCCGTTCTCCTCTTGGTGCTCTCTGGACGTGACATTGTCCAGAATCTCCAAGGAACCGGCTCGTGACGGCACCACGATTCGCTCAACCTCCGCTGCCTTCGACCCCAGCGGGTCGGCGGCCTCCGACCTCTTCAAAGCGGCTATCTTCCGCGCGGCTCGCTTTTCAGCTCTTGCATTTTTTCGTGTTGAAAAATGCCTAAACTGTTTAGACGTTTCAGGGGAGATCTGAAAGAGGTCCATGAGCGTTAGGGAGACTTGTATCTTTTTGGCTAGGGATTTGAAGTCGAACACCGCCTCTCCATCGAGACCATGGATCTGTTGAAGGCCCTTCCGTGGCTTCGTCCCCTTCCCCTTCTTCTCTCCTTCGACAACAATCGGGATGGCCCCAGAGCCGTCCCGGCGACGCTTTGGTGGCGGCTCATCGTGTGAGGCTGTGCCCAGGTACGACGCAAGTTCGACGACCTCCTCGCGCAGATCATCTTCCATTTCTGAGAGGCCACCCAGAGATGTGGGGCTCTCCTTTTCCAGAACCAGCGTGAGAGACTGTGACCTAAGTCCACCCTCAGCTGACGCCTCTGGATCATCGATCCCAGAGTCGGATGGCGTCTCCCGGGCCTCTCGACACATGCGCTCGTCCTCCTCGAAATGTACATGGAGATCGGGCTTGCCTGACCTCTGTTCCTGAAACTGCCAGGGAGAAGAGTCCTGGATTTGTTCGTAGAACAATTGAGCTGTGTGCGCCTCATACCCGTCCGAGGCTGAGCCCCCCCCAAAATCGAGAGTTGTACTGCGAGAGTTGAGATTTCGGGCTGCTCCAGCTTGACCATTATTTCCCTGGGGAAATAGGATCGCCTTCAGTGTCGCAGTCTCCCATGGAAGAAGTTGTTGTTCCTTCGTTGCCAAGCATGCCATGGAGACATGTCCGAGCTCGCCGCAGCGAAAGCACACTTTCTCGAATGGTCTCAATTGATACGACCCATTTACCACTGGGTTCTTCGACGTCTCTCTCGGTGGGATCTTCTCATATCCGGCACGGCCTCGGCCATAGGTTGAGTTTCCAAACGGAGCATCTCGTGGAGGAAAAGTTGATGATGGAGCGGATGGGGCTGCAGCAGTTGCAGTAGTGTGGGGAGTGTTAGAGCTGCCAGAGGAGCTAGAAGAGGTTGGAGCAATCGAGGGACCCCTTGTGTTCAGCGAGGCATGTTGGTGTCTGCCACTCCAGTCAGGGAGAGGCCAGCGCGGTCCCGTTGTCCCTTGTGATGCCCATGTCGACTGGTGTGCAATGGGAAACAATGGAGAGCCCGATGTAGGAAAATACGGGGGGCCCGACGGAGGAAATAAAGGAGAGGCCGATGTGGCAAGTGTCGTCATGCCTGATGCCACCGTCCAGGGGTATTGTGCTGCCAGAGCTTGATCAACTGATACTCCAGTCCGATCAGCGACCATCTTCTCCAGCATCTCTTGTCGAGTCTTGGACCGATAGGACTTCGCAATGTTGTCCTTTTCCTCGATTATCGATTGGCAGTTCCGGACAACGTCATATGCCAACCACAGTGACTTGCAGTTCCGAGCATTCTTGTCTATGCACTCGGCCCGCAGAACTTGGTTTCGAAGGCCATCAACAAAGCGACCAATGATTGTTTCAAGCATATTTATCTCAAGAGCGGTCAGAGCCGGCGACAGTACATTTGTCTGTGGCGTCTGCTCTCGGGGCCGATCCCGGGCCCCCATGCGTCTCAAAAGGTTCTGTACCCGTGAGTAGTATGCGGCGAGTGTCTCATCCTTGCCCTGGGCGAGCTCGTTCAGATCGGATACAGGCCGATCGTTCAGCTTATCCACCAGCGTCGCTGGAAATCTGTCTTTTAGGGCCTGCTCGACATCTGTGAGGTCCTTCAGCACGGCGGTGCCGTTCTCGGCTCGGTCGAGTGCCTCTCTGAGTGCTGGGCTGCTATCCAAAAAGGTCGCAGCTTCGCCCTCACACTGCATGTCGATCGCCTGCAATATGCCGGAGATAGGAGGGATGTCATACCCTGCACGCCGAAACTGCCATTTCAGGCGGTTCAGCCATCTCGCCGCTGACTCGCCACCTTTGAAACGACCACATCCCGACAGGTCTGGGACTTGAAAGTAATGTGGGGTAGCCATTGGACTAGCCGGAGTATTTTGGAATGGAGATGGGATGGAGTTTTCGGTATCTGGTTCTTTGTTGGTGTGTGGATCTACAGGGTCCACAATGGGGTCCACAGGTGATGATACAGGAGATGGGTTTGTTGGTGTATGATGATTGGTTTGATGGGATTGATGGAACTGACAGGGTTGGTGATGATCAGTTTGGGGAATGATCGGCGTTCCAGACATGGAAGATTCTGAGAGGGGAGAAATAGTTGATGAAGTAGCAGGGATTAGAATGGAGAAAAGGGGATTGTGATTTGTCTCGATGAATCGGTCGGGAAGATCAGACCAATAAGGTAACTTGTCCAGGGACCCTTCGGATATGGACATGAGCAAATTGAATCGAGTGATTCTCAACAACAATATAGTTATCAACAGGCCCAGCAGGGTCGATAAAAATCAGTTTAGAAGTATTGAAACACCTTCAGAATACCACAGTAATATCTTTTACGATGAATCTGAATGAAACGTGTAAGACATTGATGAATGACACTTGTTCAAAACCAAAAAACAGCCTGGACGAAATCACCAGAAAAGATCTACCAGTTTCGAACAGACTATGTATTAAAAGAGAGAAAAGGTCAAAAACCAATCCCCGCAGGACAGGCCTTTTACCTGTGTCCTCTTATCTTATCTATAGTAGGTGGCACCTGCCACAGTATCTCCTAGTTAGACCCACCATCTCACCCTAGTCCAGGACCCATTCCTGCTATCCTGGTAATCCATAGCCGGGTCTTTCTTGTAGCTTCCAAGCTCTTCAACCTCTTTTAATTCCTTAATTCCTTGACAGCTTCAACACCCATTGTTGCCGTTTTGGTTAATTACTTCGGAAGCCTCGGATGATCCATCGTACTATTTTCTACTTCCACCACGCTATCGCTTCATGGCCAGAGCCACATGAGAATTAGAAGGAGGATGGAAAAAGATGGTTCGATCGGATGAACAATGAAAATGCGCTTAAGGTGGACCCATCCTTTTGTTTCAATCATTTGATGTTGCTCTTACCTAGCTCTTACCGTTTTATTTTAGTTATTCTGAACCCAGTGAACCCAGTGAACCCACCCACATACATCAATACTACATACATACATCATGTAATCCATAATGGGTACCGTTGTACCCAGAAAAAAAAGGAAGTACATCCATAGCTACCCACAAGTTCGGAATTGCGACCTCGTGGGCAACTGCACTGGGCACGAATTGGAAATCGCTGACAACGTTTATGTCCGTCTTCCATCTTCCATCTTCCATCTTCCGTCTTTGGTCTTTGGTCTTTGGTCTTTTGACTTTGGTACTTGTAACTACTGAATTCAAGTTCAATCATTGATGTTCTTACTTTTACAGTTCAAGTCACTGCTAAGACTGCTAACCTACCTTGTACCTACCTACCTACTTACCTACATACATAGCCCGAGGTAGGTAGATTATCTACCTCAAGTGCTACTTTTACTTATACACAGTATACATACACGTGTAGGTATTAGATTATACGAAGTATATATAATCTAAGCCTACCTACGCGCTTTCTTTCTTCCTCCCACCATGATGTTATTCTTTTCTATTCTGCCTATCCCCGTCCTCTTTCCTACTCTTATAGTACACGAGGACTAGATTCCACTGCTTCTTCATCTGATCTCTGTTGATTCTATACCATTGATCAGCCGTACACAGCTAAAAACTAACCTACTCTACACTCTGATCTTGCTCAGGCTCACATAAGCTTCGAGAGGCGTGGGAGTCAAGTTGAACTTTCAAACCTTAGGGGGGCGTATGAGTGTATAAGTGACCATCAGACGCTTCCAAGCTTGCTACTAGCTTAGCTTATCCACGGACCAACCCACCAGCAGACAAAGAGCCGGGGGTTGGGCATGTAACAATTTCTCTTCCAGTTAAACACGCGCCATCTTTCGGATCAGCATATATTCTAAACAGCCAACTCGCGACATGAAGTCGACTACCCGGTTTGCGCTCCGGCTGTTGGCGCTCGTCGCCGTAGCAGGCGCTCTTCCTACAGCTCTTGCTCACGGCCACGATGACCAAGACGCAACCGACATGGACATGAATATGGCAGAGGACCCGAAGCCGGACCTCGACTCCTACCCGCCGACGTATTTCTCCCATCCTGAGCATGTAGTGGAAATATATGCGCATATCGCACTGATGGTGATAAGTTGGATAGTCATTCTACCATCAGGTAGGAAAAGAGTTCTAGTGACCATAATAGCCATGTGTAGTAATTCTAACCAATCTTCCCAGCCGTCATGTTTTCGATTGCGCGATCACGATATACCCTTGCGATCCAATTTCTGTTCCTCGTTACGAATGCGGTCGGCCTTCTGCTAGGCATTACCTATAACGCGAAAACTCCCGATTTGTATCCAAACAACGCGCACCACAAGTTAGGTTGGCTGGTTACTTGGGTAGTTAGTGCGCAGGTGGTCATCAGCCTCATAAGCCGCATTGCGGGCGCAGCTAGTAGGAGCGCGTCTTCTCAGGCGGCTGGGAGGGAGGAGGAGCAGGCGTTCATTCCGGTTTCTACAGAGGCCATGGCCGAGCACCAGCGCATGAATGGCCCTCTGTTATCTCAGCAGTATCGATCGTCCAACGACAGTGGACAAGGCACGGAACCACATACAGAGTCTCTACGAAGCAACTCTGTTTCAACAACTATCGGCCGAGAATCACCTATTGAGTTAAGCGATCGAGGAGCACACTACGAAGACGAGGAGGAGGACCTTCACTTCAAGCCTGAGGAGCTACTCTCTTCCAAGGCTCCCAACTCATTTATCGCCAAATGGACTAGCAAAATTCCCAGCCGAGCTTGGAAGGTTCTCATGTTTATTTACAATTTCATCGACAGGACAATTCTGATCCTAGGCTATATTGCCTTGTGTACCGGTATTATTACATTTGCGCGATTCTTCGTAAGCCAATCCACACCGAGGGTGGTTGTTGTTGACTAACTAGAGAAAATAGGAGGGACACGGTATCTTTAGTGGACTAGCTCATTGGATCAAGGGTGGTATTTTCTTCTGGTACGGCTTATTAACTCTCGGAAGATGGTCCGGAAGTTTCGGTGAGCTGGGCTGGGTAAGTCGGAGCAATTACTGGAGATTCTATTTTTAATGAACTATTCCCCCTTTTACTAACAGTTTGTAGTCATGGAATATCCGTCCCAAGCAAAGCTCTCAGAAGTGGAGGCCTACAGCCGAATTTGTCGAAGGCGCTCTCATCTTTACTTACGGTGCGACCAATATCTTCCTTGAGCATCTAGGCAATGCTGGGCAAGAGTTTAGCGCTCAAGATTTGGAGCATATCTCCATTACCGTTCTCTTCATTGGAGGTGGTCTGGTAAGTTTCTTCCCTTCAAGTCCAGTAGGTCGAATGTTTGCTCACAAGGTGATGTAGCTCTCCATGCTCATCGAGTCAACTCGAATCCGCGATCTTCTAAATACCACAGTGTACGACGCCGCTCTCGCGCATCCTAGTCATGCGTACAGCGACGAGGAGCGCGAAGCGTTGCAGGCACCGAGCGAATATGAGTTTTCCATTAACCCTATTCCAGCACTCGTGATTCTACTTCTAGGCATCATGATGAGCTCGCACACGCAACAGTCTATGGTTTCCAGCATGGTTCACAAGCAGTGGGGCAATCTCCTGACTGGTGCATCGTTTGCTCGAGCTCTCACATATGTGCTCATGTATCTGAAGCCTCCACGTTCCATTTTACCGTCTCGGCCCCCGACAGAACTGTTGACTGCCTTCGGCCTCATTGCAGGAGGCACCATCTTTATGGCGAGCGTGAGTACTTATTCTATTACACTAGTAAACATGGATTGTAACTTGAGTACTAATGATTACATCAGGCTAGCGATACGGTCTCCGGAATGATTCATTACGACTTGGATGCCATGTTCTTCTACACCGTTACGATGGGATTTGTCGGCCTTCTAATGGCATGGGTTGTCGTACTCCTGGCCCTAAAGGGTTGGGCTGTTCGCCGAGAATCCAATCGATCTTCTAAATCGTGGGCATTAACTTCCCGTGCCTGAGAGGACTTCAGCTCTTCACCGCCAGCGAAACAATAATTTCAACTTCAAAAAGATAATATTTCAAAACACCAATCATTTACATAGAAACCCGCCCGGATATCCTTAACCATAATGCATGAACGGCTACTGGCAGGTCTAATTCTTAGATTACGGCGCATAGGGGTAGGTGGCGGTCTGTCGCGATATACCCCAGATACTCCTCTATATTCTTTTACAGCTTCTTTTTTCACATTCTGGACTTTCTTTTTATCAATGATACCCCTAGGGAGAAGAAGCATGGATTTGAGGATGATTTGCCGGTTGGATTATATCATGGGGATTAGATGCCCTAAAAAGTCAGATCGTCGGCGAACGAGTGGGCTTGTGGGATGATATGGACTACTTAATGACCCGATACCAATCGAAAGCTTATGCTTACCACCTATATTAATGAACAATGAATAAATCAATCCGTATCATATTGCAACTTCGAATTGAAATCGTGCCTGTTTTAGAAGTACTGCGGTCAGTTCGTGATTAGTATTGTTAAGTTAGGTTCCAATACGCGATCAGCAACGTACATAGCCCTACCTTCTATGGACAGTGAAGCATTTCCCAGCTTGCAATTCGATGGTTTTTTCTATACCATGATGAAATTATTCTTAAGGTGTATTAGACATCGTAAAGAGATCTGCATAGGGAGACGATGAGAGCAACATCTTTTGGGCAACTTACATTCAAGCAGCGCCTTGTCCTTGTTGCCTACTTGAGTATGTACCTCGCAGCTTCACAGGTTCGAATTACTTCATTGTTATGTGTCAAGGTAGGTATTTATATAAAGGTAATATACTACCCATCCCCTAAACCTCTACCACGTCGAGGACCCCTTTTTGAGGCCCGATGCAGTGTGATTTCAATGTCACTCGCTGTAGATACCCAAAAGCGACCTAAACATAACACAGCGTCCTCTGTGCTTCCCATGACTGAGTAGAAGGACACCCTACAGTTTAGTAGTCACGCAACTCTGTAATGAATTAATATGAACAGCGGTATCTATAGACTATGTACCCAAAGGGGTATCAGATCGCAAGTGATTCTTTCAAATATTGCGAGGATCATGCTTGAACATATGGCTACAGGTCTGGAATCGATAGTCGAGAGAGTATGTCGGGTGAGTATTGCTATTCTCCAGGCCAGAATCCTTCCTTTGCCACTGTGGCTTCCATACATGTGAATCTTCCCCTACCGTGACCTACCTTGGGTTGATCAAGACCGTGGATGGGGAGCGGAGGTGGACGCAAACGATAAATAGATGTATGTAGACGATGGGCTGTTGGGGGCGATTTGCCTCCAACATGCCTATTATCCGGCTTTAGATGTTTATAGGCTCCTAGGTGTCATGGCTGATATAATCTGCATATGTTGACTGTGTGGCAGTGCAGCCGACATTATTGCTTCTTTCCAGCTCATTCTGACCCCTGATCGACCTATTCATCTTCTCATTAATGAAATTCTTGATGGAGAGGTACGGTGTTTTCTTATGGCTGGAGCGTGGCATTCAAGCACCCCCCCTAACTGTGCTTGTAAACAGGCAGGACGATTAGAGAAGGAGAAAATGATAAAGGGTGTAGTGTACCCAATAACAAGTTCTCCTGCACCTATAAACCATGTGATGATCCGATCCTGTATAGCCCAACTTTCATTCTTTGAAAGTGACTCATATTGCTATATCAAGTTTCGATTTGTAAATATCCAGAATCTCGTATTCTGCATACTGTATTCATGATTTCGATATGAATATATCCTGTTGCCTAGGTTAGTAGGTATTTCTGCAAGAAATGACTCAAAGCTCTTTTGGGTGACTCAATACAGAATTCATAGATGTAGGTATAAGTGGTGAAATAGTGACACAGAAATGTTCAAAGTTGTCTACCTAATATTTATTGATACCTATACTGCTAGTAGTATATATGGACATGGTATACTAGTAGTAGTTAGTAGGTATGTTTTAACCTTTGGAACTTGGAAGTATGACTGAGATTTTGGACCGGGGTTATGCTGCCTATTGAGGTTAGAACAGCTAGAATGCATGAACGAAACAAGTGAATGAAACGAATGAATGCGATTGCTTGGTGTAAGGAAGTCCTGGGGAAGCAACGATTGTGTAAGAATAAAAGTAGTAGAACCTAGCAAAAGTTACATCATCGAGCGCCCCACCAAATGTTCAAAGTCGCAAACCTGCAAAACAATCGCCCGATCCAACTTTATTAGTTAAATACAACTTCAGTCATTCTAACGTTGGCCGTTTTGTGTGAAATCTTGAGGAATTACAGTCTTCTATTTCTCTAACAGTATCCGAAAAACAAAAACAAAAACAAAAAACATCTTGTCTTCAACGTTACCTTATCTACAAACAAGCCATGGCCGAATACAAGAGCACCCCGCTATTTGGAGGGGCCCTCATCGCGGATCTCCCTGCTACCTTTGCCGATGTGAGGTATGTTCACCCTGCTTCTTTCAAGTCTTGTCGCATTCATATGTATACCTTATGAATATAACATTAATAGTAAGACTAACATTTACATCTTGGACCCTTCTACGCTAGTACCATAAGACAGGTCCCCGACAACCAAGAAGTCTACATCGATAAGGATGGCTTCACCAGTATCATCTTCGATATCATTGAGCGCGTCGGCGGCCCCGGAACTGGCCCCGAGATCGATGGCAATGCTTTAACCATACACCTGGAGGAGCTTGTCGCAGATGACATCGAACATGTCAAGGTCTGGAACAGTACCCCAACTCAATTCTCGAGACTAGAGTACGTATTGCCTACCCCCCCCTGGTGTTGTGCTGTAATACCTCATAACGTGATGGGAAACTAACCTGCGCCGGAATCGCCACAACTCACAGTGATGACATACCGGCATACACCTTAATAGCAACGCATACCCCCAAAGCAGATCCCGCGAACCCGGCTAGCAACAAGACTGACTTCACGGCCCTTCTCATGACCCTGGTACGCCTTGAGCGCGAGAAGACGGATATCCTCATTACCATCAACGTACCCCATATCCGCGGCGAGTACGACGAGGTGGAAGTCGATCTGCAGCTCGGTAAGCAGGGAAAGCTCATCGGCGACGCCGTCGATCACGCTTCCAAGATCTGGGAGACCTTCAAAGTTAAGGATTGGGGTCTATTCAATGAGGTCTGAGTGCTCCTGAAGCTTGGATCACGGAGGAACAGTGCGCCGCTAGTGCGTTAATGGGATCATATACTTCTACATATCGCTACTTAAGAATCTGGGGTTTGGGTTCGAAGAAGTAGGGAGACGGATAGGAGGGGAAAAAAAAAGGATGATGGGAGAGCACAAGAGAATGGCGGTCCACATTTGGAGGAATGACTTGCTTGCTTTTCTTTATATTCTTGTATTTGGAAACCTTTGGAATGGGGAAGGGTTCAAGAACTGACACGAAATTACGAACGAAATATTATGTAACTTACCTCACGGGTAAGAAACTGGTGGCATTACGACAAGGCCACGATGAGATTGGGATATATCGCCTTCTTTCACATCGAATGAAAGGAGATGGAATGTGATGTGATGTGATGCGCATTAGATAGCTTAGGTAGTGTGTATCGTACGTGTCCTACGGTCGGCTAGATCCCAATAGATCAATAGCAAAAGACGTAGTTCAAATGTTCTTCTGGTTGTTTTATAGGTAACTACTCGCCTACTTTGTCACTTGATCCTGTTTTCGGGAATGTTACCAAAAATAAAGTGTTCCAAACTTTTACTGTTCCGCCAAGGCATATTAGCTACGGGTAGGTGCTTCTTTTCAATATTGGCTTCAGACCTGGATTATGTAGGTACAACAACTCCATGGTGGTATTTTATGATACATACTATCTAGGTAGGTATTCACAGTGATATGTTTCGCTAGAATTCGCATTCTTGCTCCTATGCTTGCCCTGTCCATATGGTACGTTCGTCCGTTGGCTCATCCCATCGGTTGCACAATTTTGCCCCTGAATTAATTAACCGTCAAATTTCCGTCATTGCCCCGTAGTGCTCCCTAGATGAGATACCTAGGTTTTCCGACGACGGAGACTACCCGAAGATATCGTAGGTGCTCTGAACCGTAGCCTTAACCATGCCCCGCTTTCCCATATCACTGCCGCCTCCTCTTCCATCATCGTCATCGTCGTCTTCAATCGTCAGTACCTCCACCGCAGTCCGCAGCTCCTTCACAGTCTGTCCCCTCTTCTGTTCCAGCAGCCCATTCTGCTCCTTCTGCTGCTTCCATCTCACCGACACAATTGCCATCATCTCTTTAAAAGACATGCTCGGGTTCGTCTGCTTCAGCGTCTTTATCTCCTTGGCCGTGAACTCCTGGTACGCGCTCGGCTTCTTCTTGCCCGGAGTCATCGCGGCCGTGGCTGCTGCTGCTGCTGTCGTCACTGCCGTTTCCTTCCCGTTGATGGTACCACCCGCTAGACTAGCCATGCCGTTGCTGGCGCCACCGGCTCCCCGCACCGCAGGCTTGGTCTGGATAAACTGTCCCCTACACTTACCGCACCGCTTGGCTTCCGTATCCAGGCTTTTCGAGTGCCGCTTCACCTCAGACCCACACGCGACGCACTGCCAGATGAATTTGTAGTCGATTTCGTAATTGTGTTTCGTGGTGACCTCGATGCCCCGGTCCGCGAATGCGCGCCCGCATAGTGCCCCAAAGTATTTAAATTCGGAGCCGTGCGCCGCCTTAACCCTGCCGTGGAGGAGAAACACGGCGAGATGACAGAACTCGTGGGCCACGGTGTTGAGCAGGGATGATTCGTTGCCCAGGACCTTGGTGGCGAGCTCGATCGACGCGTAGTGCTGCTGCGTATCGCGTTTCTGGAAGCTGCCGTCCGCGGCCGGCGTGCTTACTGAGACTGTCTTGCATTTCCAGTGCGCTCGCCCGGCCGTGGAGTTGAGTGTCTTGGACCATGTGATTTGTAGCCCGCCCGTGTTTTGCGTGAGTTGTCCTAGCTGGCCGTCTGTGACACGCTGATCAAGCTCAGCGAGGAAGGATCGTGCTAGCTCCTCCTTGATCGCATCGAACGTCTTTTTCGCGTTCCGCTTCTCGAGGTTGATGCTATGTTGGCGGTTCATCTTGGTTTTGGCGTCGTCCCTTTTCGCTTTATTCTTGCTGCCGTCATCAGGCTTCTTCTCTGGTGAGTGTTGGTCGATCCAATCGAAGTGTGCGTTGCTGTCCCAGAACTCCTTCTGCTCGGGCTTCCATGGCGACGGTGGTATGGGAGGCGCTTTAAAGGGCGAGGCAGGGAGTGTCTTTTTCGGTGTGGTGGGTTCTAGAGTATGCTTCTTAGGCCCCTTGACCAAAGACTCGTCAGATTCCGAATCCTCGTCAAAGCTAGACCAATAATCAGTATGGTTCGTCATGTCTGCGATAACAGTAAGGGGGGCAAGGTCTTTGTTGGGTCTTACATCTGAAGTTTCTGGAAGGTATCTTCTAGGCTTCCGGACTGAGATGCTTTTAAGGATCTGAGGACAGAGTCACCGCGCGCCTGTTTCCGAGACGCTTGCTTTTTGGGGCCGGTGATTGCCTCCATCGGTTTCCTACCAGCAGGAACAGCTATCTTCTTGCTTGGATCTTTGAATAGCGTTCTTTGGGGGTTGGCCCACTGAGATGTTGAGCCTTTTGGACGTCGCCCCGGTGGCGTTAGGGTTGGTTCCGCATCTGATTTCCATGTATCCGTCTCGGAATCTGACATTGACAAGAATTCCGACTCATCTTCCTCTTCCTCTTCCTCTTCCTCTTCGCTAAATTCCAAGAGGTCTTTCAAGGCATCATAATCCTTAACTAACTGAGTCGAGGGTGTCAAACGGCTCGTTGATTTCTCTGAGACTTTTCCACCCTTCACAAAGTCGTTTTTCTCTGTGCGGGTTTGCTTGAGTGGTTCCTTACCCTTTGCCTCTGATAGATTGTCTGGGTGTATCTTAGAGGCAACTACACGGGAGCTTGCTTTACGAGCCTTCGTTTGTCGGGCCTTCATTGCTAATGGCTCTGATTCATCATCAGAGGGGTCGTCAGCCTCGGTACTCACCCCAGCTCTAGGACGAGATTCCCTAAACTTGGACGTTCGGCCTTCTTTCTCCTTGCTGGGTACGGTATCGTTCCAAGGTTTCAAGAGAGAGCCATCCATAGTCTGACCTTGGCCAAGTTTTCTTCGTCGAAGAGGGGTAGGTTTTCCTGTCGTGTTTAAATTGGCAGGTCCATCTTTTGCAATGCGTTCTATCCGTGGTTTCGATGTTTCTTTTAATCTCTTGAGTTCGTTTTTGTCTTGGATTCGTTGGATGAGCACATCGACTTCTGGGAACTCGTCCTCGCTACTAAACCCCGACTTGCTTAACATAATTACGGTGACGGTATGCTTATAGTGCTTCACTTCATAACGAATGCTATAAGTGGTTAATTATTAATTGCCATGGAGTGTTAAGATTTTGAAAAGTAACCTAGGGAAGTTTGATACCTAGTAAGCTACAGTGGGTTTTTTTTTGGTTGCCAGGCAACACGCGGGGCTGATCGCGTCTAAAGACCACGGAGTCACGGACCACAGTGCTACCTACTACTACCTACATAAATACCCTAGGTGAGCCTGGTGAGGTAGTTATGTAATACGATCGTACCATACGTCGTACAGAGTCTACTACAGACGAACGGACCTGCCTGCGATACATGTAACTAAAACGTTGAAACTTAAAACTCAATTCTCCAACCAAACAAATTAACTAGGTTACCTACCTACCTACCTAGGGTACATAGTATTTAAGGTCCATGCACTTTTGAGCTGACAGGAATTTGATGGATCGTTTAAAGCGTTTATTAAAGCCCCTGACCTGGTGGATAGAACAATACCACACACTACCTACATAGTACTGTAGTATGTGTAACATACACACTTAAGCATCATAAGTGTCATACCTCACGTGCATTCTAAAATCGGTTGCTGAAAGCCTTTGCGATACTACAACTACATAATACAGGTGGAACTTGGGAGAATTAGAGGATTACAGCTGATCGATTGATGGCGAGGTATGTATGTAGTTATCTGAGAACAGCGGAGTTGAATCTGTGTCCGCTAAAATAGTGAATCCCACCTTGACTTTTTTCGAATTTTTTCTCTCTCCCTCTTCTTCAGGATTTTGCTATATTCGATCGAATGTTCCTAGAAGGTAAGTGATCAGGTAACTAACCAACATAGTATACACTACCTACCAGTGCTACCACTACTTACTATGTAGCTAGTAAGTAGTAGATATCGTGAGTGCAGCCAACCAGAATATTAGAGATGATGCTTTGCACCCCCTGAAATTCCCAACTAGGAAGATCAAGTTAAGAATTGCATATTAGTAGGAAGATGAATCCTACCAACCATCGAGATTGACCCATGCCCCCTAAACTAGATAATACTAGTTAGTACTACTAGTAGTAGCCCAAAATAGATCGAACACTTTGTTCGGAAATCCTTTCCAGTTTAGTTTGCCTCCAAACTGGTTTGATTCTTTAAGTTTAAGTCAAGTGTGAAAGTACATAGTATTTGTATTTAAACGCTTACCTAGTGCTGGGCTACATGAAATTATCTATCATTATTATGTGCATACATCGGTAATCAGACGCATTGAACGCGCTCAGTGGGAAGCGGGATTCCTGGCCGTTTCTCTATGTGCATACGATGCCCTACATACATAGGAAAGTATTTATATGTATATAGTTACACATATCATGATGGAGTTATAGACAGTTCCTCACTACAACTACCTGCAGAATATTTAAATTGCGCTACGCGTATGATGACACTGTATGGATATGTACATACGTATGTAATTGGAGCATTTCGTCATCAAAAGCCACAAGAAGAAAAGTAATGGCCGGTACCTGCATGTAAACCGGGCTCGCCATTCGCTAGTCCGCAGGTCAACGTGTTAATAATGTTCGTCTGTATCGTTCATTGGACGCCACTGCACATTCATCACGGATTTTCTGACTTAGGTAGGCAGCCAAACCGTCAATCAGACGTACATATGTACATTCATACTACATAAGATACTTAGTTACCTAGTATGTACATTACATACCCAACATTGAAGCGGACATGTCATTAGGGCTTTCCCTCCCTCCCTCCCATCCTCCCGTCTCACTATCTCTCATTGTCTCATTATTCACCATTCACCACCCGCCTCTTAGGATTTGTAGCCCGGTGGCGCATTTATCGAAGTCGCGTCACTCTTTGTAGTTGACTGAAATGAACAAATGAATAATTAGATGATCGAAGAAAGTGAATGTACCATATGAATGTATCATATTCCATACATGTATCATCAAAATTCCAATTCGTGTAGGCACGACGAGATAAGTGTAGATACCTAAGTACTATACAAACGGCATGCGTTGGCGTAGTATACTAAGTAAAGTGGACAGCATCTTGGTGTATCGTATCTTAGACGAACTTGGCCGAACTGGTGGCAAATGGCTGCAAATGGCTGGCTTGAGCTGCTTTGGGTGGGTTACATGCCTTGCCGAAAAGTAGCTGTTGACAATTAAATACGAAGACAACACGATCTTTAGTTGAGTGCGATACGATATTTGATATTCTCAGTCTGACCCTCTTTATATTCTTTTTTTTAGTGAGTATTAATAATAGTTGTATGTCGTTTCATTTTGAATAGATCATGTATTTATTCCTGGGGGAAAGAGAAGCTTTATTGTACATGGGCTGCATGACAATTTTATAAAGGGGCAACTTGCAAATCGTTTTGCTTTTTAACATTTGAAGATCGATTGCGTGTTGGTGGTGAAACGAGCCGGTTTCTGGCTCTAAAAGGTACATACTAATTATGTATGTACTGCACTAGTACATGTTCGTAGTTAGTGTTATGTACATAATACAGTATGTACACAAGTACCTTAATCTCTAGTACTATCGGATATACTGTGTCCTTGGCGTAGGTTTGGCCTGGCTAGGCCAGCCGACGGAAGAGACATGAACGGCCGGTCCGATGCATGAAGAAAAAAAGGACAGAAACTCTAACTATCGTACTCTCCTATGTATAGCCGACCGTAGTGAAGATGAACCATGATGGTGACAAGTGGAAATACTTCAGATGACAAGTTGAACTCTGATTTTAGGTAGGCGGGCAGAGGCGGGCAGTATTGTATGTATACTATAGTTATGTGGCAGCATGGTAAGATTCTGTCAAGATTCTTTCGGCATGCAGGGAATGCAGGAAGCAAAGGGTTTGAACTCCGCAGCTCCGGTATGGAGGTTGTCTGATGTCTGGTGTCTGATCAGATAGGTATGTACATAACTAGTTATAAGCACAGTATGTATAGATAGGTAGACAGGCAGACAGGCAGACACTGACAGGCAGACACACAGAGGTTGGAACAATTCCTTCAAGCGACATTCAAAGCGACATTCAAAGCGACATTCAAGGCTTGAAGCAACTCCTAATTATGTACCCCTGTTCTAATGGGATTTCTCAACCAATAGAACACGTACTCCTGCCACTGATGAATCAAAGACGGCTTGATTTGGCAATGGCAAAAACTCTACTACGACGTAGTAAGTTACTGTACTACTAGTAGTATCGTACCCAACTAGTACTCGTTTAATGCAATGCATACATAGATACAGTACCTTCATGTTCAATGTTGGTTTCAAATAGAAGCCTGAAGGTGTGTACATAGTTAGTTAGTGCTCAATCGCATAAATTTCCACTCTGGCCTCCATGTCCAGCAGTTACCTAACCTAGTAGCATCTCAACGGTACATGCATAGTTACATACGTAGCACTATACTGAGAGAAGCAACTCGAAATACACAGCCACAATCCCATACTATGTACATAGCAGGTACTGTGTTTTCAGTCTTTGACCTGTAGTCTTGAATCTCGATCTTGATCTTTTCATACGGTACCTACATACAGTACGTATGAATTTTGATAGGAAATTAAAAATTCACTGAAACTGCTCTCGCAGGCTGCCGGATGTGTCGGTGTTAAAGAAAGAGTGGATATTTTATCCACATGAGTATCAACGTTAAATGCGTATAATATGCTCTTAGACGCCTCACCTGTAATTATGGATCGATACCTCTGTACGGTATCCAGCACTGTACATTCCTACTGTAGGTACCTAGTATGTAGTACTGTGCATAAGCTAGCGCACCCCTGGCTAGGGGGCGACGCTAAACCACGGATAACGCTGGCTGGGCTGGACTAAGCTTCGCCCGATCCCCCTGGCTCTTTTCTCCTTTCTGGTTATTTTCTTGATTTTCGATCCCAAGTTCCATATCCCCAATCCCTTCCCCCCCTCTCTTGCCCTTGACAAAACTTGTTTTACATTCGCTTTCATCCATCGACATTTCTAAATTTCTCTTGCTCTCCTTCTTTTCCCAAACATTCCCCCTTTTTTGTCATCTCGCCGCTTCATCTCTGGTGTGTAGAAAAACCGTCAGGGGAAAGCGTGTAAGGGTTTGCAGGAAAAAAAGAAAAGAAACGGGAAATATTTCGAGAAGAATCTACGCAAGACAGACCGAGAGAGCTGTATCCTTTCGTTACTTTCAGGTGCCATTTGGCTGCCCTTTTTGTGTTTCGCTCCCGCTACCCCGTTGAATTGTCAACGCACGCTCGTTTAACGGTCCGCGAACAAAAACAGAAACCTTAAAGTCAACAAAAAGTACTTGAATTGCTTGATCGCTCATCGAACGAATTAATCCAATTCAAAAGTCAATCATTCATCAATTATCTTTGAAAATTTGGGACTCGCCGACCTCGTAAAGAAAAGGAGAGATTTTGGAAGGCCGACCTTCCCAGATTCGCCAATCAACGCGTGCTCAGTACAGGCTTTGGGTAACCTACCTGCCAGGGGCTCGTTGCGCTAACTAGTGCACTAATTGTACAACCAATTAGTGTCGGCTGACCGCGTCGCCAGGAACTTGAGAAGTCAACATTCGCTTTGCACTTTCCCAAGTTTGACACCTGCCTGCGCCATCCTGTACCACGAAATCCAACGCATCCTCTTTCAACTGGAGGTCAACAAACAAATTCCACCTTAGCCACTTACTACTTCCATTGTAGTAACCACCCTGTCACCAGGACAATTTCTGCTTGTGGCCGGCCACATCGACACCCATACTCAAGTTAATAATACTAATCACGACAAATTACTCCCACTCGTTTACCTAGATTGAATATCTAATGACTTTTTGATCTGTAAGTCTTAACCTGCAATTCGAGTTTTCCCCAAACTCAATCCTTTTGCAAAGTTTGCTAATAGTGTGTGCGATCCATAGAACTTATCTTGCGATCAATCCCGAATTGCCAAAATGTCGGGGTATCCAGCAGGCGGCGGCGGCGGTGGTGGTGGCCATCATGATTACAATGATGCCTACGGGCAAAACCACGACTCATACTACCAGGACGAGCAGAATGGTCAATACTACGACAACAATAACGCCGCCAACAGCGGCAACAACTATGATGCTCCTGGACAACAGCATCACGGAAACGATGGCTACTATGATGAATCGTGAGTTACCTTCCGGCCCTCTGTTATGTTTCTGCGGTTACTGATAATATCTAAAGTGGCTACTACAATGCCGACCCCAATAACCCTTACGCTGCCGAGGGCGGCTATTATGATGGCCATGATCAATACCAAGGAGCAGGAGGAGGTGATTACTACGACGATGGTAATGGCTACTACGACCAATATGGCCAAGGTGGCGCCGCTCGTCGAGGCGATTCCGAAGAAGATTCCGAGACGTTCAGCGATTTTACTATGAGATCCGACATGGCTCGCGCCGCCGATATGGACTATTACGGTCGTGGCGACGAAAGATATAGCGGTTATGACAGCAATGTAGGCGGCAGGGGATACAGACCCCCGTCTTCTCAAGTTTCCTATGGTGGTAACCGTTCGTCCGGCGCCTCTACTCCTAATTATGGGATGGATTATGGCAACGTTCCCGGCGCTCAAAGGTCTCGAGAGCCGTATCCAGCATGGACTTCGGATGCGCAAATTCCCTTGTCGAAGGAGGAAGTCGAGGACATATTTTTGGATCTTGCCAACAAATTCGGATTCCAGCGTGACAGCATGCGCAATATGTACGACCATCTGATGGTGTTGTTAGATTCCAGAGCCTCTCGGATGACTCCGAACCAAGCTTTGCTTTCACTCCACGCTGATTACATTGGCGGTGACAATGCCAATTACCGGAAGTGGTACTTTGCTGCTCACCTTGATCTTGACGATGCTGTAGGCTTCGCGAACATGGGCAAGAAGGCTCGCAAGTCTAGGAAGAAGTCCAAGGGAAAGAAGGGCGACCAACCCGAAGACCAAGTTCTGGAGGATCTCGAAGGCGATGACAGTTTAGAGGCCGCCGAGTTCCGCTGGAAGACTCGGATGAACCGCATGTCTCAACACGACCGAGTCCGCCAAATCGCTTTATATCTGCTTTGCTGGGGTGAAGCGAATCAAGTGCGATTTATGCCCGAGTGCCTTTGCTTCATCTTCAAATGTGCAGATGACTATTTGAATTCACCCGCCTGCCAAAATCTGGTCGAGCCGGTTGAAGAAGGAACATTCTTGAAGAATGTCATCACGCCCCTCTACCAGTACTGTAGAGACCAAGGATATGAGATCTCTAATGGAGTGTATGTTCGACGAGAGCGTGATCACCATCAAATCATCGGGTACGATGATTGCAACCAGCTCTTTTGGTATCCGGAAGGTATCGAACGCATCGTTATGGAGGACAAGAGTAAATTAGTTGATGTGCCTCCCCAAGAGCGCTATCTGAAGCTCAAGGACGTTAATTGGAAGAAGTGCTTCTTCAAGACTTACCGGGAAACGCGGTCTTGGTTCCACATGATTGTTAACTTCAATCGTATTTGGATTATTCATTTGACCATGTTCTGGTTTTACACCGCCAAAAACGTTCCCTCTCTCCTGGTCGGCAAATCATACGAGCAACAAGTCAATCAGCAGCCGCCGGCATCAGCGCAATGGTCAGTAGTTGGTGCTGGAGGTGTTCTCGCTTCATTGATTCAGATTATTGCTACTTGTGCAGAATGGGCTTACGTTCCGCGACGATGGGCTGGTGCTCAGCATCTCACCAAGAAGCTCCTCTTCCTGATCGTTGTGTTCGCCATTAATCTCGCTCCTAGCGTCTACGTCTTCGTGATTTGTGACGACAAAGCAAGAGAGGCTGAACCCGCTAGAATTTTAGGTATCGTCCAGTTCTTCATCGCGCTGGTTACCTTCCTATTCTTCTCTATAATGCCTCTTGGTGGCCTCTTTGGCAGCTACCTCACGAAAAATTCGCGCCGCTATGTTGCCAGCCAAACTTTTACCGCCAGCTGGCCGCATCTCAAGGGTAATGACAGAGTCTTGTCATATTTCTTGTGGGTAGTCGTCTTCGGTGCCAAGTTCGGAGAGTCGTATACTTATCTTACTTTATCTCTTCGCGATCCCATTCGATTCTTGTCAATCATGGATACGTCGTCTTGCTTGGGAGACTATATTCTCGGATCTATTCTTTGCAGATACCAGCCAATTGTCGTCATGATCCTCATGATCCTCACTGACTTGATCCTTTTCTTCCTCGACAGTTTCATGTGGTATGTCCTGTTAAACACGGTCATCTCTATTGCGAGGTCGTTCTATCTTGGATCATCCATCTGGACACCCTGGAGAAATATCTTCTCGCGACTTCCTAAACGTATCTATTCTAAGATCCTCGCGACGACGGACATGGAGATCAAGTATAAACCGAAGGTCTTGATTTCCCAGATTTGGAATGCCATTGTTATCTCCATGTACCGAGAGCACTTGCTCGCCATCGATCATGTTCAAAAGCTGCTATACCACCAGGTTCCATCTGAACAGGAAGGCAAACGTACTCTTCGAGCGCCGACCTTCTTCGTCTCCCAGGAAGATCACTCCTTCAAGACAGAATTCTTTCCTACTCACAGCGAAGCCGAGCGACGTATCTCCTTCTTCGCTCAGTCTCTGTCAACACCGATTCCTGAGCCTCTTCCGGTCGATAACATGCCTACGTTTACCGTTCTGATTCCTCACTATGGTGAAAAGATCCTATTGACTTTACGAGAAATTATTCGTGAGGATGAACCTTACTCTCGCGTGACACAGCTCGAATATCTTAAACAATTACACCCTCACGAATGGGATTGCTTTGTCAAGGACACCAAAATTCTTGCTGACGAGACATCACAATTCAACGGAGATGAGGAGAAGGGCGAAAAGGATACCGCCAAGAGCAAGATCGATGATCTACCCTTCTACTGCATTGGATTCAAGTCTTCTGCCCCCGAATATACCCTCCGAACTCGTATTTGGGCGTCGCTTCGATCACAAACTCTCTACCGTACCATCTCTGGTTTCATGAACTATAGCCGTGCCATCAAGCTACTCTACCGCGTTGAGAATCCTGAAGTCGTCCAGATGTTCGGTGGCTCTTCTGACAAATTGGAACGCGAGCTCGAAAGAATGGCTAGACGCAAGTTCAAGCTCTGCGTCTCCATGCAACGTTATGCCAAATTCAAGAAGGAGGAAATGGAGAATGCTGAATTCCTTCTCCGAGCGTACCCTGATCTGCAAATTGCCTATCTTGACGAAGAGCCCCCGTTGGTTGAAGGCGAGGAGCCGCGCATCTATTCTGCTCTGATTGACGGCCACTCCGAGATCATGGAGAACGGTATGCGACGACCCAAATTCCGTATCCAGCTCTCTGGCAATCCAGTCTTGGGTGACGGCAAGTCCGACAACCAAAACCACTCTATCATCTTCTACCGTGGCGAGTACATCCAACTCATCGATGCCAACCAGGACAACTATTTGGAGGAATGTCTCAAGATCCGATCCGTCTTAGCTGAATTCGAGGAAATGAAGCCCGAAAATGTCTCGCCTTACACCCCTGGTGTGAAGAATGAAAGCCCGGCTCCTGTTGCTATCTTGGGTGCTCGTGAGTACATTTTCTCGGAGAATATCGGTATTCTTGGTGATATTGCCGCTGGAAAGGAACAAACATTCGGTACCCTCTTCGCAAGAACTTTGTCCCAGGTTGGTGGCAAGCTCCATTATGGTCATCCTGATTTCCTCAACGGCATCTTCATGAATACTCGCGGTGGTGTCTCCAAGGCTCAAAAGGGTCTGCATCTGAACGAAGATATTTACGCTGGTATGAATGCCCTTCTCCGTGGCGGGCGTATCAAGCACTGCGAATACTACCAATGTGGTAAGGGTCGTGATCTTGGTTTCGGATCTATTCTCAACTTCACCACCAAGATCGGCACCGGTATGGGTGAACAAATGCTCTCTCGAGAATACTACTATCTTGGCACACAACTTCCTATTGATCGCTTCTTGTCATTCTACTATGCCCATCCCGGTTTCCATTTGAACAACATCTTCATCATGCTCTCTGTCGAGATGTTTATGATTGTCTTGATCAACATTGGCGTTCTTCGACACGAAACACAGCCTTGTGAGTACAACCGAGATGTCCCTATTACGGACCCGTTGTATCCCACCGGATGTCAGAACACGGATGCCCTTATGGATTGGATCTACCGCTGCGTCATTTCTATCTTCGTTGTGTTCTTCTTGAACTTTGTGCCCTTGGTGGTGCAAGAGATAACCGAACGCGGGTTCTTGCGTGCAGCAACCAGATTGGCCAAGCAGTTGTGCTCTCTCTCGCCATTTTTCGAAGTCTTCGTCTGTCAAATCTATGCCAACTCGGTGACTCAGGATCTGTCTTTTGGTGGTGCCCGATACATTGGAACTGGTCGTGGTTTCGCCACCGCTCGTATCCCCTTTGGCGTCCTGTACTCCCGTTTCGCTGGCCCTTCTATCTACTTCGGCGCGCGTCTGCTAATAATGTTGCTGTTCGCGACGCTGACTGTGTGGCAAGCGGCCCTGGTATACTTCTGGATTTCACTTCTGGCCCTGGTCATCTCTCCATTCTTGTACAACCCTCACCAGTTTGCGTGGCACGACTTCTTCATCGACTATCGCGATTATCTTCGCTGGCTGTCACGTGGCAATTCTCTTAGCCATTCGTCGTCTTGGATCTCTTTCTGCCGACTTTCTCGTACGAGAATGACCGGTTACAAGCGCAAGGTCCTTGGAGACCCATCTGGCAAGCTTTCCGCCGACGTTCCTCGTGCGGCTATCACCAATGTGCTCTTTGGAGAAATAGTCGCGCCTCTTCTTCTAGTAGCCGTCACACTCATTCCATATCTGTTCATCAATGCTCAGACTGGTGTTTCGGCCAACGACCCGCAAGCTAAGCCCACTGCATCATTAATCCGCATTGCTATAATTGCCTTTGCACCCATTGCTGTCAATGCCGGTCTTCTCGCTGCCTTATTCGGTATGGCATGTTGTATGGGACCACTGCTTAGCATGTGCTGCAAGAGATTTGGTAGCGTCTTGGCGGCGATTGCCCATGCTGTTGCTGTCATCATATTGCTTGTATTCTTCGAGGTTCTGTTCTTCCTCGAGGGATTCGACTTCACGAGAACTCTTCTAGGAATGATCACTGTCGTGGCGCTTCAACGATTCTTCTTGAAGCTTATCATTTGTTTCGCACTTACTCGTGAGTTTAAGACGGATCAGTCCAACATCGCGTTCTGGACAGGCAAGTGGTATTCTATGGGTTGGCACTCCGTTTCCCAGCCGGCACGTGAATTTCTCTGCAAGATTACCGAGCTCAGCATGTTCGCTGCCGATTTCATCCTCGGCCATTTCCTCTTGTTCATGATGGTGCCTATTATCATTATCCCACAAGTTGACAAGCTCCACTCTATGATGCTCTTCTGGCTGCGGCCAAGGTACGTTTTAAGTCTACTTGAATCTAATCTTACATGCTTGTGCTTCAGTGCTAACATTTTACCCTAGTCGTCAAATTCGCCCACCCATCTATTCGATGAAGCAGTCCAAGCTCCGAAGAAGACGGGTTGTTCGCTACGCTGTTCTGTACTTCTTTCTGCTTATCCTTTTTGTTGGCCTGATGGTGGGACCATCCGTAGCTGGCAAGTTCCTCCCTGCGAATATGAGCAAAAACATCGAGTCATCCCTCGGCCTCCCTTTCCCATTGTTCCAGCCCGCCAATCAAGACAACGACAACACCCAGAACCGTACGGAAACTGGTACGGGTAAACCAGGCTACTCAGGGCCAGGACTGGCGTCTATGACAACAGGCGCAAACGCAAAGGAGACGGATTCTTCCGACTCTAAGAAATTCAGATTTGTCTAGTTACTACTAAGAGACATCTGTATGATAGAAATCAGAGGGAGAAAATGAAGCGGCTGGTGACTCTACTAATTTGGAATTAGGAGGGGCAACCGGAGTGGTGGTTGAAGTCGTTCGAGGCAAGGTGCTGTGTATTGAAGATGAAGAGCGTCATGGCACATGGTATTTTTATTCCTCTTAGAGTCACGGGCATAAATAGTTGCAGGTTTTTCTTTTTCTCTTTTTCAGTCTCTGAAATGGATCGAGATGGTGTTCAATAATGATAAGGATTCCTATTGCATTTGTTATTTGAAATGTTTTGATGCGCAACGTACAAGTCACTATGTGCATACATGGTAGTATTAGGTGTTCAATGTTTGTCTAAGATGAGAGCATGTGCTAAGCGAATGTGTAAACCGACTAAGTTGCATAAGATGCTTCATCGTCAAGCATACCCTAGGCAATGTAAGGCATCCTATCTTAGGTAGGTAGGTATCTACGTAATCATACATAAGGTAGGGTAGCATCATGGTATGCACGGTCGATGGCCGATGTGCATACAGATAAGAATGTGAACAACTTTTTACATAGTAACCTTACCGTAAAATTTTTAGTTCTCCTCATTCGTTAAATATACCCGATGTAGGTACTAGTGTAGGTCCTGGTTAGGTATGTAAGTGTTGAATATATGAAAATGACGTTGTGAGTTAACTTCATAGTTATGTAGTACATGCACTTAAAAAGTCTCAAATTTTCCTTCGGTAGATACTACATACATTATCCTAGGTAGATTAGTCTAATTAGGTATGTATGAGGTAACTAGATAGATGTACAAATCTTTTTTTATATTTTTCCCCATCCATGAATGCTTTGCATAAGTTTGGGTTTGGTTGGTCTAGTTTTTCTAGCCGTTTTTGCCGTCCCAGACTCCCAGCCCGTTTAGTAGGTTGGGGGGTTTTTTTCTTCCTATTCTTTTTTTTCTATTAATTTTTCTAATAGATTTCAGGAATTGCCTTTTTGTACCGGGGAACCAAAGAGGAAATGAGAATCAAAATATATATGGTACTTCCTCTATTTGGGAATATGCAATGATAATCAAAGTAAGCGTTCCTCATTCCTTTTTTCTAGTATAGCAACGTAACGGTCTTAGGGTGGACTTAGTTGCTTGGCTCACATCCCAAGATCGTCACTGATCTCACCGCTTAGATACCGAAAGGGGCATAGCAGGCAGCAAAGGAAGCGAACCACGGGCTTAGCGGGAGGACCGGCTCTTGCAGGGTTTTTATAAAACTGAACCTGATAGGATGCCGGCCCTGGCATGATATGCCTGGCTCCGGCGGCTTATAATGCGGCTGTTTTGGGCGTCCGACGCCGTGGCCGAATTTCACGACTTCAGCCCTTCGGGCGCCAGTGGCAGGCGGGTAACGCTGCGCTACGACGACCGTAGCCGGGTGTCCATGAGATCCATTTTACCATTGACCATTTGGATGAGGTAGGGGCCTTACTTAGCCCATCCACCCATCCACCCGTCCATCGATTCCACCCCCATCAACTACCCCCATCACCCCATAACCCATCCTTTGCCATTGTGGAATCATGGGGCGGTGGGTAACAATGACGAAACTTGGATGACGATCTTCAGAACTGTCCCCATAATAAAAAAGGGAACAATTTTTGCCTCTGCTATTACATCTGTCACATCTCACCTCCCAGCTGCCTGCCGCACTTCTCCGTACGTAATTCAGCGCTATCGTGAACCGGCAAACCGCCAGCGTGTGGACACCCAATCTTATGTTTTATTGTGGAATTCTCTCTTGGGAGTTCTTGGGAGCTTCTTGGGACGTCTCAACTGTTATGATGACATTCACTCGGCCCTTGTTCGGTGGCACCCACCAAGACTCGGTTCCAGCAGGTTGCGGAGGTGCTCGACCCTTTTTTTTTCTGGGTATCTGGAAATGCGTACGGGCCCTTAGACGACATGTGAGCATAGTTTGTAGCCCAGCATAAACATATATAACACGGGGTTGGTGGACCTCATCTCTTTTCCCCAATGGCCTGGAACTCGTTCTATTTCCCTATCTCATTACTTCTTACTTTAATCCCCCTTACACCCAACAGCACTCAGGCCTTGACATTCAGTAATATACTCTTCTGATCGAGTGAACGAGATAAGCCTAAGCCCGGCCCTACCGACAATGGGACACAAAGACAACGCCGACGGCGTGCCCACCTATTGGGGCACGTCTGGCAAGACCTTACAAAGAATGATTACGGCTGTAGCGACGACAGACTTCTTACTTTTCGGCTACGATCAGGGTGTCATGTCTGGCATCATCTCCGCCCCGGCCTTCACCTCGGACTTTCCCGAAGTCGAGGGTGACAGCACGTATGAAGGTTTTGTCGTGTCAATCTATGCCGTCGGCTGCTTCTTAGGCGCCTGCTTTATCCTCAGTTTCGGTGACCACCTCGGTCGCCGCCGGTCTATCTTCCTCGGTGCTGCTATCATGATTATCGGTGTTATTATTCAGATTACGGCCATACCTAATGGCTCAGGGGGAGGTGCCACGGCACAGTTTATCATCGGACGGTGTATAACGGGCGTAGGAAACGGCATCAATACATCAACAGTGCCGACTTATCAAGCAGAGTGAGTACTTTTCTTTCGTGTTTTTCAACGTACAGGTAACTGTCGATGAATACTTGCTAACACATACCAATAGATGTAGTCACTCGCACAACCGTGGAAAGCTGATCTGCATTGAAGGCGGAAACGTCGCCATCGGAACCTTGATTGCGTATTGGATCGACTACGGCTGCACCTATGGACCCCATGAATTCGTTTGGCGATTCCCCATTGCCTTCCAATGCGTTTTTGCCTTGGTTGTCATCATTCTCATGACACAACTCCCTGAATCCCCACGATGGCTTTTAACCAAGGACCGTAATGAAGAGGCAGCTACCGTTCTAGCAGCTCTCAACCATCAGCCCCGCGACCACCCGGAGATTCAAACCCAGGTCGCTGTCATCGTGGACGCTATTCGTGTTTCTGGTCACGCCGGTGGTGTAACTCCTATGTCGGCACTATTCACTAACGGTCCGACTCAAAACTTCCGTCGTCTCATACTCGGCGCCTCATCTCAAATGATGCAACAGCTATCAGGTTGCAACGCTGTTAGTAAGTAGTATTCAAACCCCTACCTTTGTCTTCTAGGCGCCTATAATTGCTAACGCTCTTGAAGTTTACTACTTCCCAATTCTGTTCCAAACTTCGATCGGTACTTCTCACAACTTGGCGCTGCTTCTTGGAGGTGTTAACATGATCGTTTACTCCATCTTTGCGACTACTTCGTGGTTTGCCGTCGAACGTGTTGGTCGCCGCAAGTTGTATCTCATTGGTACCGTTGGACAATGCTTATCTATGGTGCTTACTTTCGCCGCTTTGATTCCTGGCACTGAGGAGGCGGCTAAAGGAGCCGCTGTCGGCCTTTTCGTAAGTTCTCCTACATCTATAATCTTATTCTCGCTATGGCTATGGCTGTTGGTACTGGTGGATACTAACCGGAATATCCTATTAGACCTACATTGCCTTCTTCGGTGCTACTTGGCTACCGTTGCCGTGGCTCTACCCTGCCGAGATCAACCCTCTCAAGACGCGAGCCAAGGCCAACGCCACTTCAACTGTGTCTAACTGGCTATGGAATTTCTTCATTGTTATGATAACACCAGTGTTATTGAGCAATACTGGACAGAACGGCTGGGGCACGTACCTGTTCTTCGGTATCCTCAACGCCATGTTCTTCCCCATCATCTACTTCTTCTACCCTGAGACGGCGGGACGTACCTTGGAAGAGATTGACGTCATCTTCGTTAAGGGCTACGCCGAGAAGATCAGCTACGTAAAGGCAGCCAAAGAACTGCCCCGCCTTAACGAGACGGAGGTGCAGCAGAAGGCTCGCGAGTACGGTTTAAACCTATCGGATGAGGAGGCGACTGTCAGCATTCACGAGAAAGCTGAGGGTACCCTTTCTACACCCCCTTCAGATTAAAATGATGCAATGATGCATGTCTAGGCATGAGAAGCAGGTGGCGCAACAGGGAGCAATGGTTGCTTATGTTGTATCACTCAGCAAGGCTCATATCCGAGCTAATGATGACTGACATGGTACGAAAGTGTTGACGTTGAAGTTTACGTTTGCGCTGCCAATGTTTCGATGACGACAATGAGCGAAGTGGTCAGGTTGGTCCGTTGACCAAGACACGGTGTATGTGGCTGTAATTTACAGCAGAAGGGAATATCCTAATGTGGTATTCTTTTTCATTTTCCATCTAAGGAGTTGACAATCAGGTTATTGATTTTATAATGTCTTTTTTTAAGTATCTATTCTTTCGTCGTTTCTTCACGGGTTTGTCGAGATATACCCTTGGGTCTAAAAGACCTAAACACGCTTGGATAGAATGCGGCTAGATCTCTGCATGTTGCATAGAGAGATAAAGAACATAGACGGGCGAGTACCTCATGTCATTATGCATTCGATAGAGACCATGAATATCAATTGTCTTGCATCAAAAATACTGCCTGATGTGATGATGTGATGATATGATGATATGATAGTGTGATAGTGTGATGACTTCGTCAGCCCCAGTAGGCACATAAAACATAGTCTCTTGACGTTAGATAACAACCCTAGAGGGTATACGCTAGTATGTGGTATATCCTATCCATCTTTGTCTGGTCCATACAACCTCACCTGCATAGCGATCCAATAACTCCAATTCGCTGGGGCCACGCACGCCAGTGACAACGTCACATCGGTGATTGGACGCCTACCGAATACTCTTTATCTTCCCTTTGGCAACCAGAGCAATAGATTGCGTCTCGATTATCTGAGCCTTATCTGAGCCACATCAGTAGATACTGATGTCTATTAGATGTACTACTACTATATCAGTCTTATGGATCATCTTTAACTAGCACCTACCTGATAGCCCTGTAAATATATCATGTATCTGTAGACTTATCTATAACTATACTTGACTCGTTCCCTTGAGCAACACGAGTCCAAAATAAGGAAGCATCTGAAATCTACTATGGCAAAAGTGGCCGATTTTCACGGGTGGTTCACGCCGTTGGTGTTGACTTTAATCCTGTTGAGTTTTACGCAATCCATTGCAGCTCAAGATACATCCAGTACCGTTTCGGTATACTTGCCAGCTATCAGATCAGCACAATGGTCTCAACTACGGGGCAGTATCGTGACCAGTGTGGGTCCATCATTCCACCTCCCTCCTCCTATTCACCTACCTAGCCCCCTATTATTGTTAACTCTTCTCAATCAAAAAGGATAACGAGGAAACTGTATACACAATCTTCTGTGCCCCTGAGCAAACATCGACCCCTGGTGACCGATTCGCAAGTTGCTCCGTCGGCGACGACCGTCTCCCTTTCACATTTACCGAGGGACCCTCAACCTTACACTATGACCATGAGGACTCTTCTCTGTACGTTCTCAACCACCCCCCCCCTTTTTCCAATCCACACATAACTCCTCGTCTCCAAAGAAAAAAAAGAAAAAAAAGGCCCCCCCAAGAAAGCCAAGCAAACAATCAAACAGACAAACAATTACCTACCTACCTACCTACCTACCTACCCTGGGAACAATAGTACTTACACAAATTAAAAATCTAACCTCTCACGCACCCCACTTATTAACCCCAAAACAGCACCATATCCCTCGGCTGCACCCTCACCAGCACGACGGCCGCGACCTGCAGCGGCACGACCTCTCTTGGCCCCGCCTTCTCGCTGGGGCCCCTGCACGGGCCCGTCAACACCTCCGTCCCGGCGCTCGCCGTCATCGGCAGCGACGTCGGGTGGGGCGTCCTCACCCTCGCCGCGCCCCCCGCCACCTCCACCGCCAGCGACGGCCGCACCGTGACGTACTACCCGTCCGGGAATAACAGCAGCACCACCACCACCACCACCGCCGCCGCCGCCGCCGCCTCAACCGCTGGTGGAGGTATAATCGGCACAACGGCAACGGCAACAGGAACAGCAACAGAAACTACTACCGCCACAGCCGAGACCAGCGATGGGGATAATAATAGTGCCGCCTCAGGAACTAGTGCCACATCCACAGGCGGCGCCGGAACGACGAGGAATCAAGCAGAGAAAGGGGGCGCGGGAACCTGGTTGGCCGCCTTGGTTTCCGTGCTTCTCGTGCTGCAGTGAAATGGACTACGTATTGTGATTACTCCCTGCTGGACACTTTATCTATCGATATTGTACAATACATGTTTTTTGGGGGGGTGGAAGAGTTCAAGTAGTATAACTAAATACTTAACAGGCCTTGCCATACGTATGTATTCACCCTCCGAATATCGAGTTTCGAGGGAGGTATATTTATATATGTATATATATACACGACACAAAGCACGCATCATCGTAGCTAGAGAAATACAAGGAAAAATACAGCGATCAAATTGATTTACAGTGAAGAGGATACCGGTCAAAATCGTACACATCCTCCCATCTCCCATCTCCCATCTCCCTTCTTTTCTCTAGCCATTTAGACCTAGCCGCCATCTCTTCAACCAATTGTTGCCATCCATATTCCTAGCCTCGTTAACTCGTAACTTGTTTCATCTCTACCTAGGTAGACACATGGCATCCACACTCGCCATTCTACTGATCACTGGGCGAGTAACGCCCTCCCATACCCCAAAACTGCTCTGCCATAAATGTACCCGCAACGGGTTTCTTCCACAAGTCGTTAAAAGCCGTGAAAAGGATCACATCCCCGGCATTTTCTACATACGCGCTTTTGATGGAAGAAAGTGCGGTGGATTGCTGGTCCATTCCGGGGACCGCGGCGCCGTTCGATTGTCCCTGCCAGGGCCATCCTGTCTCTGTCACCACGATACGCTTGCTCGAATCTGACATTTTGCTGCGAATCTTGGTGACAGTAGAAGTGACGAACTGGCCTGCTTGATCAGCGCCTGTATTCGGGTCGAAAAAAGGGTGGACATTAACAGCACAATAATCCGACTGATCGCAAAGCTCGGGATGGGCAAGCACAGCGACGAACGTATCGACGACTACTACTGGGCCTTGATACCCAGCATCTCTCAGTCTGAAGCGTGCTTCCGTCAAGGCACCCAGCGACTGGCTCACCGTGGCTCCACCATTGTTGACCAATTCGTTGCCTACCGAGACGGTGTCGACCATACTCCAATCATGGTCCAGACCTGTAGCCATGGTAGAGACGGCTTGATCTATCGAGTTGATATCGAAGATGCCCAGGAAGAGTTTGTTGCCGTAATTCTTGGCCGCGGCATACGCTTTGGCTACTTGATCGCAATCCACGCCATACAAGCGAATGACTCCATAATCCTTAGCTATAAGGGCAAAATCTGCGTCCACTTCGTCCGCAGTCTTGCAGCCTCCGTTGCCCTTATAAGGAGAGTAGGTGACACCATGAAGAGCACTGTGGTTAGAAATAGGAGTAGGTGTCGTAGGAGGATCCGGCAAGTTTGAGCTCGCCGGGTATGTGTTTACGGAGGAAGCTGGTTTAGAGAAAGAAGTTTGCTGGTCGGTTGCTGGCACCGATGGAACAATCGGGGGCGGCGTAGGAGTTGTTAATAACCCCGATATCGTAGCTTCAGTTGACACAGGGGTTGCTGGTTTCTTAGACGTATCCACCGACACGGGAACATAAACAACTTGTTCCGTAGCGGTACGGATTGTGTTGTTATCCTGGTCTACGTAGACTACAACTTCGGGGATTTCCGTTGTTGTGCTGCGCGTAGAATCAGTGATGGTGATCTTGTCCCTCTTCGTGATGATAGTCCTGTGTGGCCTATGCCGATGGACATGGCGATGCCCTGATATCGTATTAACTCATATTACCACTGTGGCTGGATCTACAACTCACTCGGCTGTCCAGCTGACAGGTGAAAAAGGGAAAGGAAAGCAATGGAAGCCGTTGTAAGCCTCATGATATCAGTACGTGAATGTGAAGATGGGTATTATCCGAAAGCAAAAAATCGTAGGATTCGTGGGAGACAAATAACAGATGGGCTGGGTTGTCAGCGAACCAATGAACCAAGAGAGCGAACGAGTTGGTAAATAGGAGAGTTAGCGGCAAGAGTAAAAACAAAAGGGAAAGATGGACATGAATGGGACAATAGAAAGACGAGAGTCGCCAATGGGTATCTATTAGTTACAGGAACTACAAGAAGAACAAAAGGACACAAAGGAGTGAAGGAGAACAAGTGTTTGTAGGTGAGGGTATGAGATATCAAGGAAGTATGATGAGGTTCAAGGACTTGAGCATCGAGGCCCAACCCAAGAAACGGTGTCAACAGCATGGCATCTGGTGTGGCGGAAGCTACCCCGGTGTCAGGAAGGGAAGAAATCAAAACAATAGATAGGTCGGAATGTGCGTTCCTGGAGGGTTCCTGGAGGGTCTCAAAGAACAATGTGGTGAAGGAATGATGGTGGTCTCAGGGAGGAAATATGACGCTGGAAATATAAAAGGATTAAAATCAAGGGAGGGTGCCATAGAAGAGGACAATAGAAATAGTTAATGTTAGTTATTATGATCTGAGATTGGGTACTGGTAGGAAAGAGGAAGAATGAAAGGATGGATAAAAAGAAAAAGAAAAAGAAAAAGAAATACAGAGAAAGAACATTGAAGAGTGCGTACGAGGAACTGGGCAAGCTTCAAGTTCAATGTTGGTAAGAACGCCCTAACCTACATAAGTACATACCACTATGTAGTATACATGTACACATCAAGTCTCAGAATCCCTCCTTCCTACATACCCTGGATACCCTAGGTACTATGTAGTATGTAGTACTTGAATAAAATAAATAAAGAGAATTAGTAATTAGTATTCGGGTCTATAATCATCTGACTTCAAATCTTGGTGGCGTAACCCCTATCCCCCCTCCCCCCTCCCCCCCTTTTCTATCCTCTGTACCTAAGAATAGCCCGCCCTATACAGCTTGCAACGTCCACCCATCCCATAGTTATTCTCCATCCGTGTCATGTCATGTCATGTCATGTCGTAAAGGAACGTAGAACAGTGAACGAGATCATGAGAAGCTGAATGTCTCCTAGGCAGCTAGCGTTGATTGACGGTTCGGTTTCCGCGTCATGATCTTGGTGATGGCATGTCGAATTGTTACTCCTGCCTTTTCAATTTCCTTCTTCGACAAGCCCGACGTGATGCAAACCTTGAGCGCCGGCCTAATGTTAATATCTTTGGTGCCGATGCTGCCCATCATCAAACGACTTTTGGACCGCGTGATGAGTACCCCATTCGCCAGTGCCTATGCCTTTCTGTTAGTGGACATATTATTCACAAGACCCCCAGACCCCCAATGAATCGGCCATTCTCTTTACTCACCTCGTCCGTAATATCGAGGAACAATCGTTCCTGGTCTTCATTGCTTAGTTGCTTAGATCGGACAACCTCGGGCTTGAATACTAGCAGCATGACGGGGTTTTCTAGGTCACTGGTGCATTGGACCCAATCGCTTCGCGGATCAAGCTGTGCTCTCATAGCTCGGATGTTCTCTCGGCACTGAAGTAGGATGTCAGGGTTGCATTGCAAAACATTCAATGTTTCGCTGGCCGTGACGGCAGCCATGGCAGGGAGAGCGGCTGAGAAGGTGTAGGAAGCGGCATTGATGCGTTGGTGGCGTATGACGTCTTTTGAACCGGCACAGAATCCGCCGGCAGCACAGAGTGGTCCCGCGAGCGATCCAATGATCATGTCCACAGCCTCCGAGTCGACATTTTGTGCCTCAGTTAATCCGCGCCCGTTGCGACCAAGTACACCAAATGACCAGGTCTCGTCAAGGGCAATGCGGAACTTGTATTTTTCCTTCAATTCAACCTATAGAATTGATTCGTTTAGCCAAATGATTCACTCGGCATTATGCTCTTTTGTGGAAAAGTAAGAGTCACTTACGAGTTTAGGGAGATTGGAGCAGTCGCCAACCATTTCAAAGATGCCCTCAGTCACAATGAATCGCCTGGTCAAGATCTTCTTCTTCGCTTGCTCCTCGACTACCTTCTTCATCACTCGCTCCAGATCTTCCATGTCGTTGTGCTCGTACCAGCGGATATTGCTTCGGGAGGCCTCGAGGCCTTTGCGGATCGGGTAATTGACCATCTTATCGGCCACGATCACATCTCCACGTTTGCAAAAAGTCGGGATAACGCTAGAAATAGTTGAGAAGGCATGGGCATAGACGATGCTGCTCTGAGTACCAAGAAAAGTCGCGATATCCTGCTCGGTATTCATATGGACGTCTTGGGTGCCGTAGAACTGGGGCGGGCCACAGGGGCCGACTCCATAGGTGCGCAAAGTCTGAATCGCCTTATCTTTGATCGAGTCGCTTGCAGTGAGGTTATAGAAGTTATACGAGGCGAGATTTACAACAGTCTTGCCGCTAGATAGCTTTACTTTCGGACCAGTCGGACTACCCGGGTGATATTAGCAATTAGGAATTGCCCTTTTCCCATTGGAGTAAGCATAGATCTAGAGATGGTACTTACCCAACAATAACGGGCTGCCTCTCTGCTTCGGCTTCCTCGAGGGGGGTCTGGGCAGCAACAAGAGGCTCGGGCTCCCAGTCCTTGACGAGTTCATCGATCTCATCTTCGCGAAGCTTGACGTAATTAGGATCGTGGGTAGGGTAAGAAGGTGAGAGAAGATATCGAATAAAGAATAGAACCAGAATGAGTTCTATGGCGGATCGAACTGGATCATTCTGATAGCTAGACTGGATGTACCGTATCAAGACGGCACTTCCGGGGACTTTTTGAAAGGCGTGAGAGATCTCGTGAAGTGAGGCCTGTAAATATAATTGGGCCTCGTGGAGATCCATTTTGAATCAATTCAATTCCTTTGGATGTTTATTCAATAAAGAACATTGAAAAGAATTCGATATGGAATGTACATCTAACTAGAAGCACGGGTGTATATATTCACAGAATTCGTATGTACGTTGTAGGTAGGGAAGAGATTATTTGGTTCGTTTTTAGGGGAAGGTCGGCAACGATCCCAAAATGGAAGAGGGTCTCCTAATAATTAATTTAATTCCGTTTGCTTACATTTGAACATTTGTACTTGAACAAGTTGAACATGGTTAAAGATCCTACAGGCTACTATGTAGCCGCTACAGCAGTACCATAGTACAGTATGATACCACACTAGTCAATTTAAAGACTGCCCAGGTGCCCTATTCCACTTAATTTATTAACTAATCCTACTGATTTCTACCTACATGGGTAGGCCCGGTAGGTAGTAACTATGTGGATCTTATGTAGCTACTAGGTTAGTTAACTACCTAAAGGCTAATGTAGAGCGGCTAGAGCCTACATATATACATAGCTTACAGTGAATCAGTGAATCAGTGAATCAGTGATGCATTAATACATACATGTAACTAGTAGGATAACTACTTGCATACCTAGGAATTTAAGATATACTACATACATACATACCTATACATCAATGATATGTAGTAAGAAACCATTCACGCCTCGAGAGCCCTGACAAACGCCAGGCTTTCGTTTCCTTCAACAACCTTGGAAATCGGATTGTAATATCCCTTTCCGAGCTGTCGGATATACGATTCGGCCACTTTGATCCACATTACTTTCTCTGCTCTGCTAGCTCCCATACCTTGCCACACCCAGACCGTAGTGCCGGAGTCGAGTAGGAAGATGTCGTGGCTATCTAGATCGGAACTGCTCATTGCGGTGCCTTCCTTCACCAGGTCAAACCGCAGTTGACCTGAGGCATCGGATAGGCGGAATAGCCTGCGAGGGCGCTGTTCCGCCTCATGGCTCTTGGAGGCGATTGGTCGGGGGGCTTGAAATGATACCTCGACGTCCCCACCACCAAGCATAGCCACTATTGTCTGTGATTTTGACTCCGTTTGCGATAGCACTTCAACCTCGATGTGTTTTGCAACCGTCATGTCGTGTACAACTTGCGCAGCCTTGGCCTTTTCCATCGGGCTACAACCCCTACCCTGCCAAACCCAGATCTTATTGTTGCGCTCCAGCACAAATACGTCATTATCGTCTAGGCTCTGCCAGGTAGGCTCAACCTCGTAGACCATGACAGAATCAGCCCGTTTGGCAGATGGGTGCTTGAAAATTCTGAGTAGTGTGAGAGTCTCCTTCGGTTCTTCCGTCTCTACATGTGTGAAGCCTGATTTGACGCCACCGGAGAGAACTCGGATACGAGAGAACAAAGCGATGAAATCCTCCGACGGCTCTTTCTGGAGTTCTCGATGCTGTGTAGCTACGCCGTGTAGATATTCGTCTAGCTCGACCGTCTTGTAAGCGGCAGTACCCGCTTCATCCTGCGACGTCTTGTTCCCAAGCCAAAAGTAAACATCGTGGCTGAGTTTTTCTTCTCCATCCTTGCTCCCGACCTTGTACGAGTACAAAACAATATAGCTATCTCCTTCATGGAAGTCGCCGTATTGCTCTTTTGGCCAGGGCACCACCTCGAAGTTTTCTATTCGCCAGATATAGAGCCCGGGTGTTTGTCCCACTTCCTGCCAAGCTGGTTCGGTAGCGGCCGAATTGTATTTGACCTTGTGGTCAAGTTCCGTTCCTATATATTCCACGTTGCTGTCTCTCCAATCGTATTCTTTCATATGTACCAGTCCTTCGTATGGTGCCATTTTAAGAATATGAAGATGGTATGCAATATCGGCGTGGGTTGACAAAATTCTTATTGGGATTGATGGGGTATTTGGGTAGACAGAGGCCTACTACATATGTACAGTATTGGATATATTGTGATAAGTAGTTTCCATTGACGTTAACAACCAGAGCTACATGTAGGTAGGGAGATGTTTATGAATTACGTTAATTTGGTTGCATATATGGAGAAGGTCCACGAATACATGTACGGGAATATTCGGATACCTATTCTTTTAAAACATTCTGGGGCTTGATTGATGAGTAAATGGTCCAATTGTGATTGCGTTCAATGCGTCGTGTGTTGTTGGCTCTCTTCAATAATATCATATAGCGATAACTAACTATACCTAGTAGTTATGTATTATGTAATTAGATATGTACGTACTAACGTTACTAGTAGTACGTACCTAACCTAGGTAACTAGTTAATTAGTAATAGTTATGGAGATTTTTCAATCATTGGATTAAAAATTTACGACTCTACATCAATAACTACCTAAGGTTGCTCTTTTTCCCTACAAATGTACTAAGACAACCACAACCTCTTCACTGATTTTCAAACTTGGCAGTAAAAGGGAGAAAAAACACGAGGACGCAATAAACCACAATGTCGAACAAGGACGCCACGACTCAAGAGTTTACCTCTTACTACCTCCAACAAAGCACCAAGGAGTTCGCAGAGGACTTGGACAAGATTCGAAATGCCGATGACTTCAAAGGCGATGCAATAGCCATGCTTGTCCAATCTCTGCAGCAGGGTACATCTCTGTTTTCTACAGCCGATCAGAAGAGGGTGATCGAGGCGCAAAAGTCGGGGGTTTCGAAGGACAGATGAATAATGGATATTACCTGGGGGTTTGCGTGCATGTACATACTCTCTCCCTCATCTCATTCATAGGTGCATGATAGAAGAGATCGTTTCAGCCACAGAGGTTCAAGGTCAACAATGATTCTCTACATAATACCTACCATATACTTGATTCACTCACCCTACGGCTACAACTTACTTTGTTCACTTATAATCAAGTAGAAAAAAAAAATGAAAAAAAAATGATAGATAATCTGGAATGCTCTCAAAGATAAAAAAAAAAGTAAGCAATATTGAAGAATAAGTTAGGTTAGTTGAAATTGTGGGTTTTTTTTGGTAAGCATACCAAAAAGCAAAAGATTTCGACACGAGCAGGATTCGAACCTGCGCGTCCTAAGACATGAGATGACAAGATTCGCTGGTGGCAATTCAAGTCTCACCCGTTAGACCACTCCGGCATCGTGCCTTGATAAAAATAGACTTTTAAAGGAGTTTATATATTGTAGCAATCATGTATGTACGTTTTAGGTGGCTTAGCTCCAAGTTAGTACATACTACATACACAGTACCTAGTACATATGTAGTACTACATGTATTGTAGCCTGTACACTAGGTATGCACTACATGTATGTACTATGTAGGTGGCAGGTGGCAGGCCGCAGGTGCAGTGTGACTGAGTGTGTACATACTTTAGTGCCGCTTTGGCTTTGATAATCGTTTAATTGACGAGTCCACTTTGATATATACATATTATCCACATTTAAGACTCTAGCAGCCTGAGTCTACTAACATTGAAGGCAATAGGGATACATATCATGTTCAATGTTCTCTTCAGAGCCATCTACATAGTAGTTACTAATATTTGAGAAAATAATATTTATATAAATATATGTTCTGTCTATATTCTGTCTATCATATAGATATTGTACAGTAATTCAAGTGTCGGAACAGTTGCACCAAAGATCATGAGGGTATCGTAGTCAAGTCATTTATTATCGTCAAGTGCATCTGAAGCCAACAGATGGGTAGAATCAAGCATGAGCAGAGAATTGATTGAATATAAGTACCCTGCAAAACTCCGCCTGATATTTATTGCGTAGAGAGCTAAGACCAACGCCATTGACTCCTTACAACCTGCGTCATAAACGTCATGAACGTAAAATACGACCTATGTTTTGAAACTACATACCTAAGAAAACCTCCCTCCCTCTCTACTGCCAGCACGAACACAACGTAAGAGACCTCACGTAGAAAGAAGAGTGTTGCTTGAAAGGAAGAACAACGTGACAGTACCGTTTGCGGCTATCATTATCGAAGTAGGATCCTTGTTTAGTCTCAAGGGGGTCAAGAGTTGATTTTATATATTGTAATTCTACAGCCCTAACGTCGAATATCTAGGCTAGCACGAGTAGACTCGATAGACGGGCGAACCGAACTGCTAGAGCTTCTTCGTCTTCTTGCGCGCTGCTCGCTCGGGTCTGTAGGGTTGAGACCAGTGGACCTTGCGAATAGATTGAGGATATCTGTCAAGGTAATAACGCCAATCAGGCGCCCGGATAAGTGAGATCCTGGTAAAGTAGATGCCGGGGGGACCGAGGGAAAATGACTGCCAGTAAGAGATGTTTGCGATGAAGACGGAGTAGGAACAAAAATAGTGGGGCCCAACGACGGAGTACCTGGCGCCGATGGGGATGGGGATGCTGACTCCACTACCCACATTCTGTGCGAGTGAGTAGCGACTAGCTTGGCCACGGTGTGGGCGAGAGTGGAATACGGGTTGACATAAAATACCGGGAATGAGTCCTTGCCCTTCTCAACGCCTTTCTCGGTCAGGATGACAGATATAAAGTGCATACATGAATTTTGGAGGAGAGGAAGGCTCGTGGAGCTGGTGAGAAGCCTGACATCTGCGGAAGAGATGTTACCGACGACGTTCAGACCGTTATCAACTACAGCGACACTCGATAAGCCCTCCTGATTCATAAGGTTGAGAGCCTCGGTTAAGGGACTGTCGGCGCTATGAGGTTATTAGCAGATTAGTCAAAGTAAAGGTAGAAATACCAATATTGAACATACTTGATAGCAAGTATCTGTTGCGACCCAACGCCTAGGTCGCGCAAAACCCTCGGATAAAGATCGTCGATGACGCGGAAGTTGATACCTTCGTTCCAGAAGAATTCTATAAGCTTCCACTGACTGAAGATGCCGACGACATCGGTATTGTGGTTTGTAACAAGCATTCGATGTACGCCGCTACCAAAGATCTCGATCGCCTTAGCCAAATCATCATCACCCTGCAAAGTGACGAGCGACTCCTTGCGACATATGGGTTGGATATCACGGAGTGGTATGTTGACACGGTCTTGAGCTCTCTTCGCTATCGAATCATATAACTCGACCAGATCCTCGCTTGGATGCGCCAACCCTACCACAATCAGAATGTATGCATTCAAGTCATTGTAGTCGAAGGTCGATACGGGAACGGAGCTAGTTGCGTTCTCTCGGATGATGACAACATTGGTCGAGGTATTCTTGAGGAGGGCCTAGTGACATGGTTAGGAATGGGTAATTCGGATAGATTCTACGCTGGGGCTAGAAGCAGGGTGTTACCATTGTGGCGTCCTCCACACTAGTATCCATATCAACCCAGAATACCTCATCTTTGGACACAAGTTCACCGATTGCAACATCGCGCCAATCTCGGCCAGCGAAACGAGGACTGTGCTGTCTAGGGGCGGGCGGGTGATTGAGTAGTTCCTGGATGGCGGACTGGGTGAAGGAGGGGTGTCGATGATTTCGTGGGGAGGGTGGCAAGCCTCTCAAGTTCTCTGCGAAGCTTGAGCGGTGGCTATGGGTGATGATATGGCCCGACTTGTGTATACTCGAAGAAGAACCAGTTCGTTGCGGGGGCGGCGGTGAGATGCTTGTTTCTTTGGAATCTCTGCCTCCCCTGGCATATATTGCATTAGGATCCATAATGACGAGAGAGAAGAGAGCGATAAGATCTTTTCTTTGCCGTAGTAGTGGTGGAGGTGGAGGTGGAGGTGGTGGCGGTAATACAGTAAGTGGCTATACGATCACTGGTAATTGTAAAACTGAGTGAATGGCGAATGGTAACTTGAAGTAGCTTCGAACATTGAACATTGAGCATTGAAGCTCCAAGGATACAAGTTACTTATATGTAGGTAGGTAAGTAGGTATGTATGCAAATAGCTAGCTTAGCTAGCTGAGGGAAGAGACTTAACTAGCCTTGCCTACCTTAGTACCTACTTACTCATGTACAGACAACAAAGATCATGGTGTTGCTTTTTCTGTTGCAGGTGTTTGGTATTTGTTGCAGTGTAGTATTGACATACCTAGGTATCTAGGTAATATCTTACATAGTAGAATACATAGCATGTAATGATATATCTTATCAATACATGTAATGTCAATAATTCAATTATGTATGATATGTATGATGCGTAGGATGAGATTACATACTATGTATATACAACATTCCTCGTTATGGACAGTACAACCGGACTCCCCTTGACCTTCAATGACCTTGGCTGCTTACATGATGTATGTAGACAGTCAACCCCTCCTTCACCTTATACCTACACTAGTAGACTAGTATTAGTAGGCATGTAAGTATACACCGTCACCCATCTGTCATTTGCTAGGTCTGGCGGGGTTTTGTGGGACATGGGAAATAGTGGGCTGATAGATTAGTTACTTACAGTAGTTACCTAGGCTAGGGTATGTAATTAACCATACTAGGTACCTCGCCATAACTACTGTAGATGGTATTATGTATTTATCCTACATAGTAAGATCATTTTCACGTACCTGCATACTATGGATATATGTACTATGTAATATCATTGATGTCAACGGTATGCATGATATCAATCCATCTCAACTTGAACCAACAACTTCAAAATGCCATTCCCCCATCTCTGACCTACATAACAGCCGGCCAACCTAGTTTAACCTAGTTTGTTCCTCTCATTGCTGCGTCAAGTTATCTCTTGGAACATGATGGCCGGGCAGATGTTCTCGACTTCAAGGCTGTTGTATCGACTGATAAGGGGCAATACGTGGCAGCATAGACAAGCAGTGTACGTTCGAGGTTATAGGAATCTATGGCCAATCAACTCAACAAGACCTTTTGCATTGGCAGACAAGTTAGGAACAAGAAGCATCCTACCCTAGGTAGTCATGCTAAGGCTCGTACCTACATAGTTAGACCTAACCTAGTAACTTGAATGATTGATGATTGATTACCTACCTAGGTACCTAGGTGGGGTATATTGGATCCAGTCTGTAGGCACCTAAACATTGAAGTTAGTGAATATTTATAGGTGCCGTGGCGGATAGGTGATGTGTGTGGCACTGTGTGCTACTATGCGCCTGGCTTAAACCTTAATAAACCAACCATGAAGCAGACTGAAGAAGGTGTACCTTCCATCTTGGGCTAGTGTTGATTAGTTTTCTTTTTCTTTTTCTTTTGTTTTTTCTACTTTGGCCGTGCGAAGAGAAGCATGGTTTTTTAATAAATTTTTTTTAAACAATTTTGTATTAGTTCAACCACGGTGAATGGTGAAGAACGAAGCAAAAAAAAAAAAAAAAAAAAAAAAAAAAAGATCAACAGCAAAGACCTCCCCTCTTTCGCGACCCCTCGTTACCAATTCATGCCAGCCAAAACATGATATTACTTACAATACCGATATTAACAAACTAGACCGCATATCGCACATTACCTCTTTTAATTCATGCTGGCTTGGATCTATTCTTACAGTTGCCTTTAAGAAACCAAATACTAAGCATTCGCACTCGACAATTTCCCCTCGATATCGCAAAATCTGTAAAGCTGCCAGCGCGTTCAACCCGGCGGGGCATATACACATACACATTAACACACACACCACACACAGACACAGAAGACATACACTTTCAACATACAACAACACGCAGCATATACCATACCTACACTCTCCCACTATCATATTCGCTCGTCACAAACCAATCTGACCCTGATCCTGGTTTTGACCTTCGCCGCGAACTTGTTCTTTCTAATAAATTTTGTCTTTGTTTACCTATCTTATTATTATACCTCCCCCTTCTCAGGCCTCTTCCCTTTTTTTCTCAGACACCTCAGTTACCAAACCTAACAATTACAAATCCACCATGTCGGTACTTCCGGCAGAAACCCACGCAGAGCTCACGCAGCTTCTGCAAGCTCTCCAGTCCCCAGACAATTCCATACGGTCCCAGGCGGAGGGGCACCTACAAAGCAACTGGACCAATACTCGTCCCGAGATCCTGTTGATGGGCCTAGCTGAGCAGATAGCGGCTTCGAACGAAACATCAGTATGCAATCTCACTCTATCCTGTCTCACATTTACTTACTGTGTGCCCGAAAACGAAAAGACTGACCATTTTCAACCTTTGTTTCTATAGCTCCGTTCTTTTGCCGCAGTTATATTTCGTCGAATAGCTTCCAAGACTCGCAAGTCCGACAAAGGTGACAGCATCGAGATTTTCATATCTTTACCTACCGACCAGGCATCTGTTATCCGCCACAAACTCCTTGAGGCCTTAGCCAACGAGAGAGACCGCCTGGTCAGGAATAAAATCAGCGATGCCGTTGCCGATGTCGCGAGGCAATACTCAGAAACTAGTTAGTTTTTCCGTTACCCTTTATTATCTTCGCTTCATCTATCCTACCACCCGTCTGGCTTTGCATTCCGCAGGGGATCATAAATGATAGCGAGAGATCGTGTGAGGATGGATACACTCAAGAGAATGGATACTGACAGAATTTCAGGTGAGCAATGGCCAGAGATCTTGGCTGTTCTCTTCAACCTCAGTATGGCGGCAGATGCGGGCCAGCGCGAGACGGCCTATCGTGTTTTTGCGACAACACCGGGTATCATAGAGAAGCAACATGAGAGCGCGGTATTGGAGGCCTTCAACAGAGGCTTCAAGGACGATTCTGTCGCCGTTCGATTAGCTGCTATGGAGGCCTTCGCTTCCTTCTTCCGCAGCATCCCTAAGAAAGTCCAACCCAAATACTTCTCCCTACTCCCCGATGTCCTCAACATTCTACCTCCAATCAAAGACTCGCACGACTCTGAGGATCTCAGCAAGGCCCTTGTTGCCCTTATCGAGCTAGCCGAGACCTCCCCTAAGATGTTCCGGCCCTTATTCCATAACCTCGTTATGTTCAGCATCGGTGTGATTCAAGATAAGGAATTAAATGACCTCTGTCGCCAAAACGCGCTCGAGCTGATGGCTACTTTTGCTGACTATGCTCCATCCATATGTCGAAAGGATCCGTCCTACACGAACGATATGATCACCCAATGTCTAAGCTTGATGACGGATCTCGGCGAGGACGACGATGACGCTGCCGAATGGTTGACCTCTGACGATCTCGATCAAGAGGAGAGCGACCTCAACCACGTTGCTGGAGAACAATGTATGGACCGGTTAGCCAACAAACTCGGTGGCGAGACTATCCTGGCGCCCACGTTTCACTGGCTCCCGAGGATGATGACTTCAATGGCATGGAAGGATCGTCATGCCGCTCTTATGGCCATCTCTGCCATTTCCGAAGGTTGTCGCGATCTTATGATCAAGGAATTAAGCCAAGTCCTTGAGCTAGTGGTCCCAGCATTGAAAGACCCCCACCCGAGAGTTCGCTGGGCCGGATGTCAAGCCCTCGGCCAAATGAGTACTGATTTTGCGCCAACGATGCAAAAGGAATATTACGATATTATTTTGACGACCATTGTTCCTGTTCTTGACTCCCCTGAAGGCCGTGTTAAAGCTCATGCCGCTGCCGCGCTAGTCAATTTTTGCGAGGAGGCGGAAAAGAGTATTCTTGAGCCCTATCTCGATGACTTGCTCTCTCACCTTTTCCAGCTACTCCAAAATGAGAAGCGCTACGTTCAAGAGCAGGCTCTCTCTACAATTGCTACGATCGCCGACGCCGCCGAAGCCGCCTTTTCTAAGTATTATGATACGCTGATGCCTTTGCTTGTCAATGTGCTGCAGCAAGAGACTGAGAAGGAGTACCGTCTGCTTCGCGCGAAGGCTATGGAATGTGCGACTTTAATTGCATTGGCTGTAGGCAAGGAACGTCTCGGGAGGGACGCGATGACTTTGGTCGACCTTCTTGCCAACATTCAAGCTAATATTACCGACGCCGATGACCCTCAGTCGCAGTATCTCATGCACTGCTGGGGGCGTATGTGCAGGGTCATGGGCCCAGACTTTTTACGCTTCCTACCGAATGTTATGCCTCCTCTAGTTGAGTTGGCTAGCGCTAAGGCTGATATTCAACTGCTAGATACGGATGATGAAATCGAGCAAATTCAGCAGGAGGATGGATGGGAGTTGGTGCCGCTCAAGGGTAAGATGATTGGAATCAGGACTAGCACGATGGACGACAAGCATATGGCAATTGAATTGCTGGTGGTTTATGCTCAGACTCTAGAAGGACATTTTGCCCCTTATGTCGCCGAAACGATGGAGAAGATTGCGTTGCCTGGCCTGGCATTCTTCTTCCACGACCCCGTTCGGTTCATATCGGCCAAGCTTGTACCCCAACTTCTTAGCTCGTATAAAAAGGCCTATGGACCCGAGTCCAATGAACTAAGGGGCCTATGGGCTGGCACGGTTGAAAAGCTACTAGAGGTACTGACTGCTGAACCCGCCATTGACGCCTTGGCTGAGATGTACCAATGCTTTTACGAGTCGGTCGAGGTGGTTGGGAAGGACTGCCTGAGCCAACAGCATATGAGCAAGTTTATCGACGGAGTCCATTCGGCTGTGGAGGATTACAGAGACCGCGTCATTCGGCGCGAGGAGGAGAAAGAAGGAGCAGCAGCCGAAGACGCCGAGGACGAAGCCGAAGAGCTTATGCTTGCCATTGAGGATGACCAAACATTGTTGTCCGATATGAACAAGGCATTCCACTCCATTTTCAAGAACCATGGCTCTGCTTTCCTCCAACCATGGGAGCGTCTCATGGGTACTTACCAAAGTTTTCTCACGTCGGCAGATCCTACACAGCGCCAGTGGGGGTTGTGTATCATGGATGATGTTTTGGAATACTGCGGTCCGGACAGCGTCCGATATGCGCAAGCTATTAGCACCGCTCTTCTTGAAGGCTGCAAGGACCCTTCTGCTGCAATCCGGCAAGCCGCGGCGTAAGTAAAGTTATGATTCCCATCTTTTGTGGGCGATTGCTGATGTCTCTTGACAGGTATGGCATCGGTGTGGCCGCTCATCGTGGTGGGGCCCCGTGGTCTCAATTCCTAGCCACTTCGATACCTTACCTATTTCAAGCCACCCAAATACCGGATTCTCGTGGCGAGGAAGCTGTTTATGCCACTGGTAGGTTATCTTGTTTAATAAGGGATATGATGTGTAGATCTAACGTAAGAGACAGAGAACGCCTGCGCAGCTATTGCAAAGATACTTCATTTCAACAAACAAAGCCTACAAGATGAACAGGCCATTGCAACCCAATGGTATGTATATATACAGTCGTGTGTTGAACAGTATCACTAACCACTTCGCTAGGGTTAACACTCTACCCGTTACCAATGACGAGGAAGCAGCCCCATATGCCTATGGCTATCTGGTGGAGTTGATTGAGCAGTAAGCGTTTTAGCCCCTTGAAGTAAGCAAGCATAAGCATTTTACTAACACTGGCGCAGGCAAAATCCAGCAGTACTTAGCCAAGTGGACAAGGTGTTTGTGTACGTGGGCCAGGCTCTCGAAGCTGAGATGCTCCATGGGCAGCTTAGTGCACGTGTTGCCAGAGCTGTCCGAATACTTCTACAGTCAGCAGGTGTAGATCCCACGCCACTGTTGCAACAACATTTCACGCCGGAAGGGCAGCAGGCTATCACGCGTCACTTTGCATAGACGGAGTGTGATGATGCGCATGAGCCGCCGTGACCTGGCTAGTTTGAGAAGCCGTAAATGTTGGGCTTGTGAAAAGTCACTCATCGAGACTGGCTAGGTACAAACAAAAAGGACGCCGAGGCTCCAACCACTACGCCACTCTCGCCCTCCCCATTCAGCCTACTTACATGGCCAACCATAAATCCGTACCTTGGCTCTCCCTTGGGGTTGACTTGGAGAGTGAATAGAACTGTTTGGGCCATATAATGGCAGGTGGTTTTCTCGCAATTGCGATGAAATGAGATCGAGATTAAGGTTCTTAGATCATAGTACATCTAGATCAGGCCGTTCTTGATTTAGTAGCTGCTTAGCTAGGAATATAGGAAGAAAGAAATGATCAGTGCCGAGAGATACCTATGTTTTAACTTCTGCTTGCTACAGAGTAACCCTACCGTTTCGAACACCAAAAATCATGGTGACGCTAAGGGAGTTGAATTTCTTTCTTTTTTGACATGAACATACCTAGCTCCCCTGGCTCCGTATGGTAGTATATTGGGATCTAGGTAGTGTTAACATTCTCAAGAAAGGTCCAATCAGAATACTAGGTAAATAGCCAGGGTTAGTTGTGTGATGATGAGCTGAATTTACATCATGTTCCCGTATGAGTTGCGTAGGTAGGTAGGTAGGTACCTACCTACATATGTATAAAAATGTCCTTCCCAAAGATGTGTACTTAGACGAAGTGAGGTTATTTCAAAAATTGGCAACCGAAGCCTAACTAATAGCGTAACCTAGGTGTATAGCTAGGCACTCTCTCTACCTTTCTAATAATGAGTTGATTTTTATTTATCTTATTAATTACATGCCTGTGTACTAGGTTAGGTAGGTGGGTAGAGGTAGGTGGGTAGAGAGCGTACAAGAAGTCTGATGGTATAAAGGGGGCATTTATTTGCTACCTCAAGAGAGACTAGTCACTGCCTAGATGCATAACAGTAATCATGCTTTGATCCATTATGCCGCCTGACCTCTGGAGCGAATTCTCCAATTACGTATTAGCATTGCAAATACCCAGCTGGGAAAAGTGGTATCTTGAAAACTCCCAGACGGTTAGAAAAAAGAGAACCTTGTTTCCGCACCAACGCCGTAAGTACTAGGTAGGCATCTGCGACAGTATCGAAGATGGTACCAAGTCACATTTCGCTTATAGCATTCTTCTCTAGGCCGACTTGCTAGGTCGCAGACGACGACTGGACAGCAGTAGCGGTAATGGCAGCGTCGATCTCCCTATCACGAACACTCCAGCCATCGTAGACGGCCTTTAACTTGTCATTCTCTTTATTGATAGAGTCGACCAGGCCAATGAACAGGTCGCCAGCGAGGTCGATCAGTTCCATGCTCTGCTTGTCAGCCTCTGCCTTCTCCATCTCCTGACGCTTTTTCTCTTCCTCTTGGCGTAGCTCATCTCTGGCCTTACGCTTCGCTCGACGGTCCTCGGTTTCACGTGCACGGTCGGCAAGATAGCGAACACTATGACCCAGGCCAGCGCTCTCGTTCGATAGATCCCGATGCGGACGATCTAGAGGAGGCTGAGAAAAGAACAGCACACGACCGGCTTCGTCGTGCTGAAATTGGTCCCGTACATCCTTCGGGATCTTAGCATTGAGTGCATCATCCAGGCGGTAGACCTCGACTGGACGGGGCGGATTGTAAACAATAGCCGGGGCGTGGGGGCCAGGGCTAGGTGCAGCAGCAACAGAAGGTCGGACGGGCGATGGCGCAAGACGATGGGATGGGTCGTAGCCAGGTATGGGTGTAGTCATCTGATGAGGGGGAGGGTGATGAGCTTGATGGGCTATAGGAATTGGGCTGGCACTATATTGAGGCGGGTATGTGTTGTTGTAAGCGGGAGGCTGATGCGGTTGATGGACCTGAAAATGCGAAGGCTGGGTCATCTGTGGTGTGGCGTGACCATGACTATGAGTGCTGTGATGAGGGCCCTGGACGGCCTGGGTAGAAAAGCCGGGATGGGCGGCGGCGGCATGGCTACCGTACTGTGGAACAGGAACAGGAACCGGAGTGGGACTAGGGCGCGGCGCAAAGTGATGAGGTGTTGCATAGGCGCCTACATGCCCAGGAGTTGGGGTTGGTGGGGCAGGAATGGTGGGGAAATGAGGAGTATTTCCCATTACGATGTCGCCTTGTCCATCAATAGGGCGTGTTGCCTGCATCATGGAAGGACGTCGTACCGGTTCAACAATGGGAAGCGGTGGAGGTGACGGCGTTGGTTCGGGTGGAGGAGATTCCTGTAAAAAGAAGTAAGAAAATGAGAAATTGGTTTTTGTTGTTGTTTTTTTTGGGGTATTTTTATTTTTATTTTTCTTATTTCTTTTTGGGTAATCGTAAAATTATGCGACTTGACTTATGTGACGCGCTCCAGTGAGACATTTGGAAAGGGGAGGGAGAGAGGGAGGGAGGTAAGAGAAAAGGAACAATGTAGCACGTGCAAAATCTTCTTAATTTCTTTTCGTGTTCTCTTCAATATTTTGTTATTCGCAAAAGGAAAAAAAAAAAAACCGAAGAAGAGGAAGAAGAAGAAAAGAAAAAGAAAAAAAAGACATATAAACCAAACCAACCGACAAAAAGTGAAAGTTCACAGATGCAATCGATAAGACAGGAGGAGGGACAGAGGTGATGGAGGGGGGAGAAAAGAGAGACGATCAATAATATTAATGATGATGAAATAAAAAGGGGATAAACTTACATTCGGTTCTCTATTTCGACAATGAACAGCTCCAATAAGGGGTGGTGCATTAGGCGCTCCCCAGGTTGGTTTAGGTAGAGCATCTGTTGGTTTCGCGTCGTCTCGTAGAAGATGCTTGATAGGACTAGGCACTTTTTTCAGCTTTCGAGGTATGTCGAACAGGTCCATTTCATAGTCCCTTTCGCGAACTTCGTCAGGCACACAGCTCGCCCAAGTCTTGATCTTGTTGAGCCTATGCTTCTCCTCATTATACCGCGCCTCGCAAACGTATACCTCTTTGTCCTTGGGAAATCCTCGTGGTCTACCTTTGTTGTACCGCGTCACAAACATGACAAAACAACGATCCACAACCTCACTAATCCGATGGTCACGGTATTGTCCCGTTTTGACTACCTCGTTCTCTAGGAAATGCTTCTCGAACCGATGGACTGTCTGCTCTGGTCGATAGTACCAGCATGCATTCACCCACTTCTGCCCCGATTTATCCTCCCAAGTTCGGTAGATCTGCGCGACGATGGGCTTTGTCAAGTCGTTTGGATTTGTGATATGAACCCAATCGCCTAAGCAGCCATAGTCAGTATCCTCTGGTCTAGTCTACACCTCAGCGGATTCTTGAGACGGGACTTACCAATCCTCCAGACTTCTCCATTATGCAGAATCTCCGGCAAAGGTCGTCGCCCATCTTCGTCTTCGAAGTCATTGTCGGGCTTGGCCTTTTCCTGCTCGGCAAGCAGGTGGGCTTGACGCTGTAGCTCCAAAGCATCCTGGTACAGCTGGCTATCTTCCTCGTTGTATTGCTTTGCATTTTCAAACAGCAAGTCAAGGTCCTGCAACGCCTGGTCTACGTTCTGATACTTTTTCCTCTTCGCCTTGCGCTTGATGAGGTCCATTGCAATGGGGTTTTTAATAGCAGCAAAATAATCGGGCGTCGTCTGCTTATCCGGGAGTCGCTCGAATGGAACGATCAGCAAATCTCCGTTCGGATGTTTGAACTTTCGGAGGCCTTTCAGCAGCGCGTAGATGCGAGCCTCGAGCGGGGTGAAGACCTTGGGAGGTCGGCCTCGCTTTTTATGTGCATCATCTCTCAAGTCAGACTTGCGACCAGAGATCGAATGGCGGCCACCACGTCTCCCTCGTCGTCGGACGCCATCGTCATCTGAATCGTCGTCTTCGTCGTCTTCGTCGTCATCTTCATCCTCCTCTTCTGCCTCCTCCTCGTTCTGGTCTGGAGGCGGGGAGTCTTCTGCCTCGGGAATCTCTCCTAGGTCGGGAAGTACGGCATCTTCTGGTTTAATGATTCCGTCGTCGACTAGCTTCTGCAATTCCTCCTTGAAGACTTCACGCAAGCGAACAGCATCCTGGAAGAATTCGGAAGATGGGCGGTTATATACCATGGCATTATGTGAAATCAAAGCGACATCTCTAACAAACTCGGTGAAGGCGGTATATTGTTTCTTGAGCTTTTTGGTCTATTCGTCAAGTATGAGCGCGGTGCAAAGGGAACGAATAATGGGAGACAGGACACTCACCCGGATCGTACTGAAGGCGATAGGTTCTTTAATAACCTCGTGGTATTCGGGGATTAACCGTCGGTTCGGGATGCGCTGAAAGTGGGAGGCGATGTGGTAGCCACTATAAATTCGCGTGGATTAGGCACGACTATATCTACATGTTTAGACAATAAATTCACAAACTCACTCGTCGTCTTTGTAGGTAGAAAGGTAGTTTGCCGTATTTTCAATGACATTAAGCATGTCATTGTTGAGGCGATTCGGTATTCGTTCATACTCAGGTTCGCCATCTGCATCGATGTCACCCTCGGCATCGGCGTCGCCACTGGCATTGGCCCCTGAGTCTGCGCGTGCGCCGACTGAGACACCCTCGCTATCATTAGTACCCCGATTGCCTCCCACACCCTTATATTTTTCAGACTCTTGCGCCGTTACGCTGTTGTTGCTGTTGTTGCTGGTGTCATCGGCACTATTATTCTCGGCTGTGGCTTTGGCCTCGATGGACTCGCGCACCTCGACCGCGCTCTCGGCGGACTTCTCGGCGGACTTCTCGGCTTTATCAGCCATGATTGGAGGGCCGAAACCAGATGAGGGGGGAAAATCAAATGGAAAAAGTTTATATGAGAATTATATAGCTTCAATGTTTGGTCTTAAAGTGTTGTGTTTGTGAATTAAGTAAACAATGGCACGTTAGCTGCTACCTCGTAGTAGATGCATCAATGATTGGAAAAAGTTGCTGGGGCGGCTGAGCTTAGTACGTAAAATACCATGCATTGTACAATGTACAATACAATACAGTACAATTGTACAGTAACTAGTTACCTACTAACTAGTTACATACCTAGTATGTAGGTACTAACCTAGGTAGGTTCAACCGTTCAAATTTCAATAGGTATGCACGTACCTATTATAGTATGTACTACGGCGTAGTAAGTTAGACTATGTACGTGCTTACATAATATTAATATCAACCGGAGTTTGCCCATTGCTCCGGCCTGTACCGTGACATAGATACCTAATGGCAGGAACCTCGGAACTTAGAAGTTACATACGATCCATCATGCTGATTTATTAGAACGGCAAGCACGATAGAGATGGCAGTTCACTGTCGATTTCTTCAATACATGCATAGTGTGTGCCTAGGGTAGTATTCCATGTATGCGTTATTACATACCTAGGTTAGGATACTATACTACATACAACGAAGCTTGGGGGGGTTTTTTTTCCATCCTTTTATTTATTTATTTTCAAAGAAAACCTCTTGATAGTAAAATCTTCCAGTCTCATCTCAAGAGTCGACTCGTGTCATTTTTCTCATATTAAAACCATCTATCACTATTTCTAGTTCAGGCAACTAGGCTACGTATCGACGTTTGCGATCACGACGGCTCAAGATTGCTACAGCAAGAATTGTACCGAGCTGTGCTACCGTCGTAGCGAGCACGCTAATGAATCCACCGCGAAAGTTGGGGGCTCCGCTTGCTGGAAATTGCACCACTTGCGTCCCGGCCGTGATTGCTTGGCCAATGGCATTCATGCTGGCCGTCACTACCGCTCGCTCCTCAGCATCCCCCGCCATAATCACCGATGCCCAACCCATCGTCAGAGGCGAGCAAGCTATTGTATTTGTTAATGGGCGAATTTGAGGTTATGAGGTTATTAGAAAGAGCACCATAACGTACCAGCCTCGAATCCGGTGAGAATAAACCCAGCCAGTCGTCCACTTTCACCAACTTCCCAGACCACGAGGAGAATCATACCCACTAGGACCGGGAAGGTTACGGCAATAGCCGGCACCCAAAACCGGCCGGTTCTGTCCGCAACGCCACCACTAAAGAAAGCGACGACAATGCTCACTGCTGTAACTATTGTGGGTATCGTATTGATCTGAACCACAGAATATATATTGCTCTTTGCCTTCAGATAAAGGGAGAAAGGCTGGCTGCCGGGTAGGAAGTTTTGGTCCATTAACGTCCATTGGGTTACAAAAACATACCAGTGCCACCGAGAAAATACCCGTCTAAATATGTCGCGCGATAGCTGCAATCTCGGCGGCGCAACAAGTCCCTCTATCCGCTTACGCGCGAGAGCATGCTCTTCAATTGTGATGAAGCGAGGTTTCTTTCTGCACGGCACGTCGGGAAAAACGAAGAAGCCTCTGGAATAGGTCAATGAATAGGTCGATTTACAGGTACATACCACCAAGGCATGGCCTTCTTCTCTGGTAGAACTCACAATACTGCTATAACCAGGGTAATGATACTGTCGACGATGAAGAGCCACCTGTGAAAAGAATTATCAGCCCACCCCCTTCGATCCTCGGTCTAGCTCTGCATACCTCCAGCCTGTTAGACCATGTACTTGATTCAAGTTAGTATAGGCAGCGGCCTGCAGATACCCTGCAAACATAGTACCGAGTGGGCTTGCGATAAAGAAGAGTGCAACGCGGCGGCCAATTTCCCCAGGCTTATACCAAGACCCGATTATGTAGATGGTTCCTGTGAAGGAGCAGCACTCAAAAAGGCCTGTGAAGAATCGCATGGCGTAAAGCGTCTTAACATTTCTAGCCCAAGCAAGGCCGAAGGTAGACAATCCCCATCCGATCTCAAGGGCTGGTAGAACTCGGTTGGCTGGGTAGTGTGTTAGAAGATAGCAAGCTGGAATCATAAAGGTACAATAGGATGCCCAGAAGGTTGCCGTAATGTAGTTCAGCTGGTCGCCATACATGCCGAGCTCTTCCTTCATGCCGCTGAAACCCTTGCGCGGTTAGCAATCCAGCGGGATAGATGTGGTGCAATACATTGACTCACCTGACATAGGCGTTGGTGATGGACTGTTGGTCAAGGTATTTGGTGAAGAAAGACAAACAGCCAAAAACCAATATACTGAGATCGAGTTTCAGGATGAGTCGCTTTTCCTCGTGGGGCATATCTTTTGGATACCATCCAACAGATGTCATGAGCTTAATCCAAGGATCACCGATACTAGAGATGGCATTGCCATTGACTCCGGGTGGGCCCAGCTGTTGTTGTACCGGTTGATGGGCCGTCATCTTCTCGCTATTCTCATCCCTATTATATTATATATGATTAATTTCACACTACAGGTTTCATCTTGTATATTCCGATGTCACATACATGACTAGGTACCTAGGTTAGGTAGGTATATATATATGTATATATATTTATATATTTTAATATGTTATATTTATATGATGTCGTAATTACCTTTTGTTATGGCGGTCTTGTCTCCCATTGCTAATGAGGTTGAAAGCTAAACTGCATGCCCTCTTCTTCTGTTACATTACAGGTTGGCGTCAACGACAGCTACAATGGCGTGATAAAACTGAACAGTACAGTATTTTACATACATATAGTAAGTCGTATATCGTGTGAAGGCTTAAAAGCTTGCCTTGCCCCCCAACTCATATACTGAACTACAGACTGCCTAGGGTACTCGGTATAGATAGGTATATAAGTATATAGATATACGGATACCCGATAAATTGTATGTACGGAGTAGTGATGTAAGTATAATATTGCGCTTGCTTGCACTTAGACCCTAGTCCTAGGTTGAATGAGGGGTTCTTTTCTTTCCTCTACTAATTACATAAGTATGTACAGTCTAGACTTTAGTTAACTATTCCCTTTTCTCTTTTCTCTCTCTCAACATACATGTATTACAATGTTCCGATTTAATGTTCACGGCTCATGGCTTGCCTATTAAGCTGCTGTTGCCAAACTAATTCCTTACTTTTCTTCCCTTTTTTTTTTGGTTTTATTTTCTTTTCTCTTTTCTCTTTTCACTTGTACATAGAGGGGATCTCGACGAGCCATAATAATTAAATCGTTAAAATCGGCCAACCAACCTGTCATGGATTTTTAAGTAGGTACATACATACTGATTAGAAAAAAGATACAAATACGATCCTCGTAATATTGAACTAAAGGTTTATTTATTTCCATTTCCATTCCCTACTCTTCTTGTACTCTCTCTACTAAGGTTAGGCATGTACATCGACATCCACTTCCCACTCTCCAAGTCTCCATGCCCTCCAGTCTCCCCAGTCTCCCCAGTCTCTCCAGTCTCCCAATATACCAAACCAACTTTTTACTCCCTCGTAAACCAACCAAACCAGTAAATACATAACCCATAACCATATCTGTTCACCTTTCCTAGCTATGCAGCTTCGTTACAGGGTCTCCTCTGGAACCCTAACCCTCGAGTTGGATGACGATGCAACCGTTAGTCAGCTCTTCGAATCTCTCAAGTCAAGCCTTGGTCAATCTGCTATAACTGTTAAGTACGGCTGGCCTCCGAAGGCGCTGAGTGTGGCTGATCAAGGCGACGTCACTCTGAAGTCGCTAGGGCTTCAGCGTGAGAGCCTCACCGTTGTCCCCGCCGAGAGCAGCTCTGTTGAAGCCCCAAAATCTATCCAGCAGACCACCACTACCTCCACTACCAATTCATCCGGTAATCAAGAAACTGGCATCAAGGGCCAAGACATCCGAGTTAAACTGGATGATAAGGATACCACTCTAGGTATGCAAACCATCACATCTAACCGCATTCGTAGCCCGTATTCAGGCTAACTCAAAGTGCGCGCTTTCCTCCTTGCTCATTCGTAGTCCTACGAGTTATGCCCGACGACAATAGCTGTCTCTTCACTGCCGTGGGCGGCGCTCTATGCGGCGTGCCTCTCACGGAGAACGGCTTGCTCGACTTCCCAGCAGAGCAGTATGCACCAGAAACGCTGCGCCGACTTGTCGTCGATTGTATCCGCAACAACCCGCACAAGTATACCGCCGCCGTACTTGGACAGTCCCCTGCAGCCTACTGTGACAAGATGATGCGCCCGGACACATGGGGCGGGGAGATCGAACTCTCCATCTTTTCCGACGTGTTCAAGCTCGAGTTCAGCGTTGTGGATGTCAAGGGAGGAAACATAATCACGATTGGTGAGGGCAACTGTTACAATCAGCGCTGCGTGCTCGTTTGGTCTGGCATACACTACGATCGCGTCGTCGAAGTTCTGCTGCCTGACGAGAAGCACACGGAATACGACATCACTCGTTGGCCCACCGAGGGTTGTGACTACGTCCTGGAAGGCGCCAGGAAGATGTGCAAGACACTTCGTGATGATCACCATTACTACACAGACACCAGTGACTTTATTATTCAGTGTAACGAATGTGGATGGGTTGGTCAGGGTGAAAAGGCTCTCACCTCTCATGTGACCATCACCGGCCATCTCAACATCACCGAGATTACAGACAACTCAACTTAGTTGATTATCATGCATCTACCTTACTGGGTGGCAGTGGTTTCAGTTGACATAGTCTCTTGCAGAGCACCGCATATAATGAATCTGATACCGTGGGTCGTGGGCCATGTACCTAGCTAGAGACATAGCATGATATAGTTTGAGAGGAAGGAGAGGCAGAAAAAGACAAAGGAAGGAAATATTATTCAGGAGGATATGCATTAGAGGGCGTTGGTTTCTAGCTCAAGCTTTTGCGAAAGCCTTCATATCTGCCTAAATGGTTAGGCTAGTAGTTGATACCATATAATATACCACTATCATACCACTAGGTAGGAGATGACAATGTGAAAGGATATTTATGTGTAAATATTGGTGAATCTGTGTAATCCGTCCCCGGTGCCTTATGGTAGCACTAGACTACGTCGTGAAGTGATAGAACGGAATGATGACCAACTTTGAAATAGCTTTGCATACTATGTAGGTATGTATGAAGCTACTTGCAACACAGGTATACAAAGAACTGGAGCTAAACCCCCCCCCCCCCCCCCCCCCCCCCCCCCCCTTTTTTTTTTTTTTTTTTTTTTTTGCTTTTTTTGGTTTAAAACAGCAGAGACTTTATATGCAAGCTATATACCTGACCTAACTTGAACTATTAAATAGCATATCGTTGCCAACCCTGATGGCAACTTTCCCACTTATAATAATACAACTAATATGAATACCCCCATCGTTAGGTTCATGAATTAGCACTTGTGCGCAGGGCGATGCCTTCCAAGGTACGACAGCGTCCTCCATACACATCCGATCTGACGCGGAGGTCTTAGTATTGTTGATCGTCATTCCGTCTTATTCGTGAGTCCTCCTTCTCCTACATATGCAGTAGACCATGCAACCAGCCAACCAGCCAACCAACCAACCCCTCATTAAAATCGATATGTTATATAGTACAAGTCGTAGTTTACCCAGTAGTTGCCCAGTAGGCACCTTTATCAATCCACTTCCCAGCCGCGGCTATCCTCTGCTCTCATGGAACGGCGTTGACCCCGACTAGTTGTCTGCGTAATGCTGTCTTGGCTACTGCTATTGCTACTCTGCTTACATCTCGCCATAGCGTAGTCTTCGTCGTCACTCCAACTGCTAAACTCACCGTCGGAGTAGTCCCACTGGACCGGGATCTTCTCACCTCTTTCGCCGAAGCCAAACACGATGCCTCGCCACTCGCCCGCAGCAATCTTGGCAGCAACTTTCAGCATGAGGTCCAAGAGATAGCTAGGTGGGCCAAGGAATATCTCTACTGTCTTTTGCACAATCACACCTGGTAGCCGACGAACAGCAGCTATGCGACTCTGCGGGGGTTGTCTAGGAGGCGGCGACGAGAAGAAATTGGCGGCGGACGGCAGCGGTGAGAGCGCACGTCGGCTGATAGAGAGACTATTCGGTCTGGGTCGCGGTCGTTGCCGAGGCTCCGGGCGCTCTTCCAATGCGGATGGGTACGATACCCTCGAGGAGCTATCAACCGAGGCCGGATTGGTATGATAGTCTTCACTATCAGCGGGGGACTGCGGCACGGGCGAAGGCGCCTCATCACTACGCTCTGTAGCGCTCGCAGGACTCTGAGCTAGCGTTCTATTCGTATCGGGGGAATTCATGTTGACTAGGGTGTCGCTTGCATTTGTTAATTGATGAGGAACATCTTCGTGTGGTGATGGGAATGGCGGGATCGACGGCGTTACTGGACGTGATGCTGGCGGGGATGGAGGTAAGGGGTTCACTGTCGAGTTCCACGACTGTACACTATGAAACGACTCGGTAGAGACAACCGGCGAGTTTCGTTCCGATATGGCAGGCTGCGAAGCTTGTGGAGGTTGGAGTTGCGCAGCAGTGTCTGGCAACACCTTGGATTCAGACGAGGGGGGCGGATTTACGGTAGATAAATGGGGCGGAGCAGTGTAGGCCCGAGCAGTATAGGCGCGGCCAGCCAACGCCCGACTCATTCGCTTCTTCGAAAGATTTATGGGAGCGACACGACCGGATCCCTCAAACGAATTCGGCTCATCAATAGAGTCGAGTTCCTTTTCTTCGACCATCTTGGTAGGCTGCGCGCGACTAGGTGTAACGTTGTTGTCTCTGACGCTATCCCGAGAGACGGTTGCTGGTCGTGACACGGAATTGACCTTCCTGCGGGTATTTGAAGATGTTGCGTCCATGCGCGCCAACTGGTTCTGATCGTCGTGGTTTGCCAAGAGGAAGCTCGGGATGTCTACTGGTACTCTAGGTCTTTGGGCACTATCTTCTTCTCTTTCATCAACTATAGATTCTTCAAATCTAGATCTGTACTGTTCTAGGTTCTGCCAGTCGGTATCGTAGTGACCATCGATCTCGTCTGCAGAAATACTGGCCCGCCTATCTTTGCCGAATAGCCTTGCTGCTGCTTGCGATGTGTGTAGCGAGAAAAAGGGGGATGATAGCAAGTTTTTGCCTTCGGGAGTCCAAGGTTTCTTGGGGGTTTCCTGTTGCTCCGGCAGTTCTACAGTGAAGCTCCTCTCAAAAGGACACTCTGTCTTCTCAAATTGTAAGACTCTGTCGAGAACATCCCTCAGTAATGAAGCGCGGTCTTGATCGTCGGGTTCGGACACAGGAAGTTCGATTCTCCAGAACTGCGGTCGGCGTATTTGCAAAACGAATCTGCTGTTATCCTCGTCGATACACCAACACTGGCTCTTAGGTAATATGGGCTGTAGGGCAGAGCCACAACTCAGGAAGGCGACGGACTTGGGGGCGCGATAGAGGCTTAACTGGCCTTACAAGGTTTTCAAGTTAGCTAAGGGGAAAATATGGATCCGTAGATTTGTAGATTCGGAGATTCAGTGAGATTCAGTATGATTACGTACCAACAGCGATGGTTCTCTCAAGTCGGGACGAAGCTGGTAAGGTACCTGGTCGATCCTCGGTGGTGGAGAATGAGGATCCGCGGCGAGTGGCTGTAAAAGCAATGATCTTGACAGAAGGGTGACTATAAAGAGTCTCTACCAAGCCTTCGGATTGTGGCGAGTTAGAAGGTGGGACGGTTGAGGAGGAAGAGGAAGATTGAGAAGATGGAAAGGTAACGGGAGCTGTAGCGACTCGTCGAGAATGGGGCATATCTTGTCTGACGGGTACGATCTTGGGATCGGCTGCCATGGTTGACGCATCCCCAGCCAAAAGTAAATCGTGTTGAATGTGGATCGAACCGGGTGGACTGGGTAGTACAGTACAAGGTAGTTGAATGGATATGGAAATGGATTAAGCTCCTAGGAAGTGTGGGCAATACAGCGCCCAGATCATGTCGAAATTCTGCGGGGTCGTATGATGAAAAGACGGTGTGCTTGGAGAAATATACATATATGTATGGATATATGCTACTGACTGTATGTACGAATTTATGTCTGGATATCGTGAGCCCAAGCTAAAACTCTAGGTGTCTCAGTTGTTCATAGTTGATAAAAACACTTGATAAAAACAGGTTGAGGTTAACAAGAGATCTAGAGTATGATCGTTAATGAATTTTCTATGATTTATTTACCTAACCACCTAGTTAAAGCTGGGACTTCAGGCATCGTAGGTGACTATCGTAGGATAGGATAGGATAGGACAGGATGGGACAGGATGGGACAGGATGGGACAGGATGGGTTGGGGGGGGGGGATCATGGGATGCATGTCAGAGCTTGCAACGTTGGGGGGTGGAGGGAAGAGGTTAGGATGAGAAGCTTGGACGAATAATGTACTGAGTTGGGGATGTATGGGATGTATGGGATGTACACCAGTACCCGCGTGACCTATCAATAATGCTCAAGTTCAATGTTACGCGCGCGGCGCCACAAATTAACCTGCCTAGTAGTAGTACTACATACTAAACCATTCATTTACTTACCACACGCGACCGTTACCGCGGTGCCCATTTCTGCCGAGGCCTAATTACTATGCATACTTACTAGTTACATACTACTAGGTACATATGTACTAGGTAGTACATGCATTAGTATCAAGCACAACGGTATGTAGCACTTGAAACCCCTAAGTTCTAGGCTTCTAGCATTACAGACCGGTGTCGGGTACCGAAGTGGGATTTAACTTCAACGCTCCCGAGATCTCCATCCCCCACATGACGCACTAATACATAGTTACAGTACATGCTTTAAAGTGCAATTCTAAATTTATTGATAACTTCAATGTTGATAAATTGATAACCATGGAACTTGCGCAGACAGTCAATCATTTAAGTTATATACCACCTAGGGTACAAAATTAATTATTCTGCCATTCAAATTTCATCTTAAACAGGTATACACTCAGATCATCATAATGCAAGTCCCCTCCCCATTCTCCCTCCTTCCTCCTAAGTATTCTTTGGAACAAGGCTGCGATAGAATCAATTCGTTATTAAACTGCCCCAATACCTAGCCAGACAGACAGACAGACAGACAGACAGACAGACTACTTGTTCTTGTATGTTAAGCCACCACCGAAGCTATGCTCGCTATTCTTGCCCCCAGCTGTAATCTCACCCTTGGCAACGCCGCTTTCAAACGCGCAGCTGCCCATATCTAGCCCCTTTGCCGGTCCGGAGGGCATGATGTCGATATCAAAAATATCCACTGGTAATCCGAGGGTCGTACATGCATTTGGTATGTCGACGATACCTGCCACGTGCCCCTGAATTGGTGCCGACGATAGCAAGAGGTAGATCTGATAATCATTGTACCCGAATCGCCTGAGATATTCGATACAGCCTATTCTAGTTAGCCCACCATGTTATACAAATGCCTATGTTGACTTTTCTCAGAGATTTCTCGAAACACACTCACGCAAAGTAGTCTGCCTATACGCCACCGCTACATCCATGTAATGCTGCTTGCCATGCTCATCTACAGAGAAGCCTTCAAAATAAATGCAACGTCCCGGCCCGAAGTGTGGCTCTACTGGCCCCGGAATGTAAATTGGTGACTTAAGACCCAAGTCCGCTATCCCGTTCTTCATGACTTTGAAGTTGATCGTGATGATGCCAGCCATCTCGATAGCCCCACAGAACGAAATCTCGCCATCGCCCTCTGATCCGGGTTAGCATTATGAATGTAAATATATATATATATAAACATGTATAGGTATATTCTCTTGTATAATGGTATGTTGAGTTGGGTGGAAATATCTGAGACTCACGAGAGAAGTGCAGGTCTCCTACGCTAAAATTGGCGCCTGGAACATGGACTGGAAGGTAGACCTTGGAGCCTCGGCTTAGGTTCTTTATATCACAGTTCTACAACAATAACAAAAGTCAGCAATTAATTCTTTGAGTGAACTTGTGGATAAAAGTTGAGGCATGTATCGGGAGTGGAAAACTCACGCCGCCATGCTCTCCTCTGCCTGGGATCGTTCTAGCGCCCTCCCGGAAAATCCTCTCCTTCAAGGCTGCATCGGCTGCGCCGGCGTGCGCGCCTTTAGGCTCTGGCGGCAGGGCAACGACCCTATCTAGCTTGTTGGCCGAAATCAGCTCGGCCTCGCGCTTGTTCCAAGTTGCTAGAACCTCGGCCGAGGGCGCGCATCCCAAAATTCCGGGGTGAATCAGCCCTGCGAATTTAACATGCGGGATATGACGCGAAGTAGCGTATATGCCCTCAAAGTCCCAAATGGCTTTGGCGGCAGAGGGATATATCTCGTCCAGGAACCCTCCGCCGTTTTCCTTGTGGAAAACACCGGTGAACCCCCAGGGTTGGTCTTGGAATGGCTGAATATCCATGATTTCAACCAGGAGGATATCTCCTGGCTGAGCCCCTTCGACCTCAAAGGGGCCCGTAAGGCAATGAACTTTGGTAAGGTCGACGTTACGGACGTCATCTGCACTATCATTGTTCCCAATCTGGCCCCCAGTCCTACGCATGCAATTAGTTTCTATTATAAAGTAGCATGTATAAGAAGAATAATAATAATAATATTATTATTATTATTATTATTAATTAAGAAAAACTCTCTTAGACTTGCCAGTCAAGACATTCAATCTTCACAGTTTCTCCATCTTTGATAGAGCCGATGGATGGAACTGGTGTAGGATCAGTAAACCCGCGTTGAAAGGTAGGTTGTATCTTAGGGTCATACTGTCAGGATGCCACCTATTCTGGAGGAAATATGTGTTAACCTTGGGCACATGTTTGACTAATGAGCCAGGTTAACTTACATGAATGTTTACCTGCTCCCAAGCCGGTTTGTCGAAACTAACCTTACCGGCGGTACGGATAGCAGTCTTGCCCATGGCAGAACTTGATTATATCTAGGTAGGGTAAATTCTACCGCAGCTTCTCTTCTGTTGACAATAATATGGGTAATATGGTGGTATAGTAGTGGATGTTAGATGTGAGGTGGTCTCTATGCCCGTTTATGAATCAAATACCTACCTACTTACATGTCATGATACATAGGTATCTAATGAAATGTAATTACATGTAGTTAATATAAATCATAATAACCCCGCACCATAAGATGTACGTAACAACAGTCTATCATGTCTATTATCAACAATCGCGATAGTGAGGAGAATATGCAGGAATAACAACCTTGAAGCTAGCCATGTATGTAGGTCTCATCCATTTGTCCCCCGCACGGGATGGGATGCTTCCAGGTTCTTATCTCACATCTCAATGCCAACCATCCATCCATGTCCGCGGAGTCTACTACATAAGTATGTATGCATCTAGCTGATAAGGCGAGTTCCATTCAGTCTTTTTTTATGCTCTTATGCTAGTGTTTGAGCTACTCCAAAAAAAAAAAAAAAAAAAAGAAGGCTTAATTCATAATCTCCGGAGAATATGATAACGATAGACAGACTTAAGCCCATAGCCCATATCTAATACATATTTTTAGGCCACATGGATAGATTACTTATCTGTATGTAGGTGGTGCGTAGCTAAAAGATGAGTAAACACTTGCAGTATACACCTCACATCTTTACGCTAGGCAATAGCCAAGGTTGAGTTATAGGTCCTTTCTTTCACTCTGGCTTACTTCTTCACCATATGATGTCGACTGATGGCCGTGAACAGCGTCCAAGTTCGCTAGCGGGCGGCTGAGGAATTCATGTTTGTTTCTCCAAACCTGCTGATTCTCTAAAAAGTTTTCCACCTCAGGGCCGGAAGCTTTCGGCGACGGAGGGGGGTCCGTAATCTTAGTAATGAGGTATGCTGTGGACGCCTCGGCGATACCGTATATCAAAACACCAAGTAGCGGAACGCGTAGGAGGGTGTAGAAGCCGATACCGAAGCCAAACAGCAGTCCTTCACGGCTACGGAACCAACTGCGCTTCTGCGCCTTGGAAAAGTGAATGCGCGCGAAGTACGGCTCCAGGAGTTCTCGCATCAGACTACGGGATGCAAAATAGGTTTGTAGGAATATGACGAGGTATCGCTTAGGGAGAAAGACCCCCGTCCCGAAGATGACGGCGGCAGGGCCTAGGCCCACTGCCTTATTGAACGTGTAGAAACTGGCTGCTGGGAGTACGAAGCGGCCAACATAAGGGACATAGGACAAGGCGAATACCGCGAGGGAAATCAAGGCTTTGCGAGCAAACCGCCACAAGAACATGCTGATTGCCTCGGCAGTACTTGTCGAGTGCGTACTTCCATCCGTCTGCTTGTACTGGCGTAGGTTTGGATAGTACATATCCCGAAGCGTATTGGGATCCTCATTCTTATGCTTTTGGACGTAGGTCATGTCAACCCATCGCAACGAATCCATGAACCTTCGAGTAAGCTGTCAGACAAGTAACTTACATCAATGATAGGTAAATATAAGAACCGGAGCGTACATACAGGTTGTCTAGTGTAGGAGTCATGTATCTCATGAGGGTTAGGAGAAATAGAGGAATTTGTAGGACATGGTTGGCTATTAAGTCGAGCCCATTCACCAACGTATCATCCCACGTGGCTTTGTCGAGATCAAAGATTAGAGACAGGAAAGCCAGAAGTAGCTTGATTCCGATTATCTGGCAATAGCAAGGTCAATCCATAGTTGACTTGGATAGAAATCTCATAGAAGCGTAGTCAAGTCACTTACAGGAATGGCAATAGCTACACGAATAGCGATGCCGGCACCAACGGCTATGGCAGCTTGCTTATAATGGGCATTTGTGAATATGGCGGGGTTTTGTAAGGCACGGTGAGCTAGAAGGAGGGCAATATGGTCAATTACCAAAAGAGATGCTTAGGATATGTAACTGTCTAAAACATACCACCAACAAGGGTTAACTGTATACCGCGTAAGATGGCATTGAGATCGAAATGGGAGATGTCGAAGGCCTTCTTGAGCTCTTCCTTATCTAGCTTGTCTACTGGAGGCTTCTTTCGTTCAGCCATCGTTGCAATGACAACTTCCTACAAGAGAGGAGAGCTGTGAAATCTACACGTGAAAAGTGTTATAAAAAAAAAAGGAAGGCAGAATGAATGCTTTCTGTTGATTGTACTCGTTGATTAGAGAATGATGATTTAATGGTTAGGTATGCATGTAGGTAGGTGTTCAATGATGAACATTGAAAAATAAACACATGGCATACATATGAAGTTACTCTGGATGTATTGTATTAATGACGAGATCCTATTTACATTACGTCACAGCGCTAAGATATAACTATTATCTTATCGATTAGCCCAACTACATAGTTAACTTACATTACATAATATATACAATGTAATTCGAAGGTCGGAAAATACCAAAAAATACCAAAAAATACGAAGAATACGGCGTATTTGGAAAAAGGATTCATTCGCTTACATTTTAGCAATGCCATGCTGGTGAAATAATGCCTAACACACGCCGTATTCCTCCATTCAATGCGATTGGTCGAAATCCCTATGAGGCTGTGAAAGCCTCATGTCAGAGGCAGATATATGACTAGAATAGGTTAAGAGTATTACTATTAGATATCCAAGCAAGAACTTGAATCTGGTTGATACGACAATGACATCGGTTTGTGACTGGAGGTATAAAAGGAGGCCATGGTACTGTATCTGCTGGCTGATGTAGGTGAGTGAGTGATTAAATGTATCAAAAATAATTAATACTTTATATGCTATTCGGGCAACTGCTATTTCTGTATATATTCATAAACTGATCTGATCTGGTCTGGTCTGGTCTATTCACCATGGAGAATGGGCAATACGTCGATGGTAGTTGGTGGTTCTTCGCCCCAAACAAAGGGGCGCCAGTCTTCTTCACAGTCGCCTTTCTTGCCACTGGCTCTGTTCATCTCTGGCAAACAATGTACGTATTAATCGTACCCCCTAATAAGATGCCCGATCGTTCTAATCCTCCAATGCAGACATCATAAGAGCTGGAGACTCACTGGCCTTTACACTATCTGCGCTCTATTGTTCGCCGGCGGTTTCGTGTTGAGGATATTAGGAGCATTCGACTACACGAATCTCATCTACTACATTGTCAGCATCTGCCTCTCTTATGCTGCTCCGTTAGTTGTCCACTTACCACTTCTCTATGTTGAAAACGCCACTAACCAAGCTAATTGTTAGGCCGCTGTATGAACTAGCCAACTATTACATACTCGCTCGCATACTCTACTTCGTCCCTTACCACTCGCCCATCCATCCCGGCCGCGTGTTGACCACATTCGCTGCCATCTCCTTGATCATCGAAACCTTGAATGGGATAGGTGCATCTTACATGGCGAACCAAACACTCCCGCAGGAATTACAGCAGACGGGTCACTCGCTAATCAAGGCCACCTTGATAATGCAACTCATCGTAGTAACCCTTTTCATCGCGCTTGCCACGACTTTCCATACAAAGTGTCGGCGCAGCGGCATACATCATGCCAAGATTAACCAGCCGCTTTTAACCCTTTATGTCAGCAGCGCCATCATCATGGTCAGGTGTATTTACAGAACGGTCGAGTTTTTCGAGATCGACGGCCAGAACCAGACGTCACCCGGATTTAGCCCTTCAACACTCAGCCCTATCATCCGCTATGAGTGGTTCTTTTACGTTTTCGAAGCAACTCTTATGCTGTGCAACAGTGTGTTATTGAATGTTCGCCATCCACGTCGCTGGCTCCCCCAAACCACCAAAGTCTATCTCGCCAAGGACGGTGTGACAGAAATATACGGCCCAGGATACAAGCAGGAAAGAAACTTCTTCTCCACACTCGTTGATCCCTTTGACATATACGGCATGATTAAAGGCAGAGACAACACAACGCGTTTTTGGGAGGAGGCGGACGAGGTAGTGGAGTTGAAGACGAGCACTAACCCAGAGCCACCACCGACGCCTCTGAGACAGACTAATCAATCGGTGTAAGATGCTTCGACAAGCACCCACGTGCCCTGAAGAAGCTAGGACCCGTTCTTCAATCATCTTCATTACTATGGTACGAAGAATAAGAACAGCAACCCGTTGATGAGGGTTCTTAGGGCGGTGAGGCAGTGAGGTAATGAGAATACTGTCATTGTGCTTTATCCCACGGCGACAGATATATCATGATCATGTACTGACACGTTTTTGATTTGGCAAGGGCTGACTATAAAGGGGGCTGGGGACTTTGGATCAGTCGAAGGAGCCAACGCGAAGTGGTACCGTGGATGACGGGACCCGAAATCTACGTGTATGCTCACGCCTCGTCGACTGCCTTGTTCGAAAACGACTCAAGCATATGACGGGTTCCTCTTATGAAACCGATAAGCTCATATGATATCAGCTGCCGTATTCGTGTAATCTGTACGATTGGGATGCAAATTGAAACGCGAGGTAGATAATTGGATCACGGTTATGTGTGGTTCTGCGGTGTTGCGGTTCTGCGGTTCTGCGGTTCTGCGGTTGTGGCTGATAGTTAATCCGATGTTCCAACTAACCTAGATATATTCACCGATGAGTTGTTCCTTTTCGTTTTCTTTTCCGGCACGGTAAAGATTGACGATCCTCAGCATTTCTATTCTATTTCTAGAAACCATTGTGACCCGCTGTAGTCTGTGACTTGTGGTTTGTGACTTGTGAAGATATGTATGTAATTTCAACATTGAAGATAGTTACCACTTGAAAGAATTAAAGATTAAAGAGCTAAGTATGTAGTTACACTACATATTAATGATAGGCTAATTGGAATGAATACGAGAGCATTGATTGGATTAACGACCAGAAGAGGAAGAAAACGTCATTAGTACTTCTACGACGTAGTACCTAACCTAGCCTATGTGCATATGCATGTAGTTATGTATCCCCTTAAGTGGCATAAAGCAGCAGCAGACACACCGTTACTAAAATTAGTAGCAGATACATCCAAGCCAATTTACCTACCGCCCCATAATTTTATTATCCAATAAAATTAACAAATTCTATAGGTACTTGATTTACCACTTATTTTTGCGTACGCCACTTGTACCAACAGTACTTAGAATTACATAAAGCCACATTACAAGTGCCACATCGAGATCGTGGCTTAATGTTTACCATACTTTCTGGCATCAGCTTTGTTTACCATACTTTCTGGTCAGCTTTAATCATCGACGAGAACGTCCCCAAATATGGTTTCCTTGACAAGCTTGACAATTAGATGCGTTTTTTAGATCTTATTCGTTCGTGATCCGTAAATTGCCCCCCTACAGGTCGTTTGAGAGCCGCGTTTGCGTGCAGGTACAGTATGGACCAGCCGTAAAAGGGAATAGCCTCATCTAAAACACGGCTTATCCAATCCCCTAAAGCCCAGACAGAGCTGCGCCGGCGTATCGGGCCCTTCTTAAAGAGTAGTTATCGAGATTATAATTATTCAATTACAGTTATACTAAAAGCCGGAATAACCTAACGCCGGCCAGCTTTGTACCGCGTTGTATTTGAATGAAAAATGGATCAATATATGGGGTTGTGGGTAAATGTGGGAATAGTGGATTGAAAACGATGTACTAGGTCTTATTTTTAGTAACGGTGTGTCTGCTGCTGCTTTATGCCACTTAAGGGGATAGTACTGTTAGTACATTATATCCCTGTATTTCTCCAGAGTCCAGTCCCGTTAGAGACGGTTGTATTATGGGATAGTTATATGGGACACAGCCCTCAGGGATTATCATCCTCCCCCCCTCCCCTCTACCAAGACTAAAAAGACCCAGGAAACCAAGAAACCAAGGGGTCATCCAAGCGGATCTTCTAATATTCATTGTTGATGTACTATGCCGTACTATGTATGTAATAGGTAGTATTCCCCCTTACAATGTACTGCCCTTACATACATACGACATAGTACTGCCCTTGCCGGCGAGGCGGAGCTATACTGCGCAGCTACATACAAACTGATACAGTACCATGGATGTCATGTACATATGTAGGTAGTGTAGGTATTTAATTGAAAATCAATTTGAAAATACCGTATTTGCTGTAGTTACTAGGTTCAGGTTGGTACTTCGTATGTAACCATACCTAGGTATGTATGTAGTTATGTAGGCTAGATAGGATCATCTTTGCCGTGCGTGCCTCCAAAAAAAAAAACCTAAAAAAAAAAAAAAAAAAACCTTCAATGTTCATGTAGACCCTATCATACTGATTCATACATACCTACATAACACTCCATTTGTACAGTAGTTAATACATGTGTTTACATACTTACATAGTAATCAATTCCGACACATCCTTTTCTACCAACCCTCCCCCTTTGTTTCCCTCTCTAACTGGTCTCCGACAACTTACCTATGCTTCGACTCCCAACAGGATCAACCAACTGCCACTTATATTCCTCTACCTGCGTATTCTCTAACATCAATACACTGGAACAAAACACTGGAACAATACATCCATCCTTCCAACTAGGTTAGTTAACTCGTCTCTGCTTTTGCGGCTTAGTAGACTCTGGATCGAGTTTCTGAGGCTTATCCTTCCTTCTTTATGCCATGAGCGAGGAACTGCCCTAATATAACTAACAGACTCACTTACACCACTACATACATAGCTAACTTAGCTAAGCTTATATTTTTGGATGACGGCACGGAACCTGCCCTTTTCGAGCACTACGCGTTTAGACACCTTGGCATCGTACTAAGGCTTACCTATCACTGCTATCAGTCTAAGAACGACAGCGTAACTGCAACCGTCCATTTTGTTTCGTCGCCTCTTGGTCAGCCGCCATTAGCCCGACCAGGAAAACTCTTAAACCCCTTAAAGCCTGCCCGCCCTCCTGCTTACTTTCCTTTTGCCTCCCTCTTCCCTCTCCTTTCCGAGGTATGTGGAGGACGGAACCTATCATCATGGATCAAAATCGGAATAAGCCAATACCAAACGACCGCAATCACCTCTCTAAACCCCAGATATTCGTACAACTCGCATTCGGTGTATCATGGTCCCAACGACATGCCCCGCAAACGCATACTGTCACTTACATGTCCCGCAATTTGAAGAACGCGAGGGATTCTGGAAATTTTCCACGTCAGGTGCCATCGCCAACTACGAATTTCTTAGCTCCAGAACAACGCCAAAATCGGAGAGAGCATCCAGGCCGACACCATCACCAAAATAACCAACATCATCCAATACAGAATGGGTGCAACCGCCCCCATACCGGCGAGCAGTCTAGTGACCAATTAAGACCCCGGCCAAGAAGGGGCTCGACGGATGAAGCTTTACATGGCCGAGGAAGGTCAGCCCCGCCACCCTTTAACAACAATCCGTGGGATGTTCATCATGCATCGGCATTGTCCATATTCCCGCATGGTACACAGGATGACAAGGGACCTTCGCAAATGTGGAAAGCACTGCCAGCACCACCTACTCAGTTCCGGCTAGGGGAGGATGGATTACCGTGGTCTTCTTGGGCACCGGTGGACGTCCCAGATAGCGGAGAGGATGGCGGTGACTGGTCTTATGCGAATGGCCCCGTTCCATCAGTGCCAATTTCTACAGAGCAACCTCGCACGGAGGATCCCGAAAGGGTTCGGGAACTCGAATCACTATCTACAGCTATGATGACGGTAGATAATGGGTTCGAACACCAATGGTGGTATCAGGGGCAGCGAGAGTCGGTCGAAAGTTGGTGGCCACGAGACTTGGAGGCTTCGGATGATGCAGGGACGATGAGTACCGCAGAAGCCACGCTACTCGCAAACATAGAGCCACCCTCAGCAATAGAGCCCGACGACGATAACGACTATGCTTCGAATTACCATGTCTTGGTATCACCAATATCCGATGTGGGAAGCCCAACCCAGGGCTTTAGCCAGCCGCTCCACAGGTCCTTGACAACAAGGTCAGAAGAATTATGGTTAGAAAGGTGATAGCGCACTATTCGATGTGCATGGGTTTCACTCTTCGAAGCATTAGGAACCCTCCAGAGTACGGTCTATGCCATAGACCGAATTGTCCCTTCGAGTTATATTACGTGTAGCGGTCGAGCGATAGCTATGTCACTAGTCAAGAGGTGATAATATAGAGGCATGCATATTATTAGGCGTTTAGGATATTGTTTTAACAGGGCCATGCAGAGGCATTATGCGGAGGATATTCCCAAAGGTTATAGGTAGAGTTAGGACAAGGTCATTGGAGATGTTATTAGAAAAAAAAAAAGGGGGGGGGGGGGGGGGGGGGGGGGATGGAGGAGAGATGAATGGCTAAAGGATAAGCTATAACCACTCTATCTACCTACGTAGGTGTGCAGAACACTAGAGTATAAGTGATACATATCGATTGGTATAATTTACGAACCACCAGGTCGACCCTAATGATATCAACAAACTAACTCCCCTCGCCCCTCTTTTGTTTCTTCTCTTTTTATTTTATTTTATTTGCCTTGTACTGCTAGTTACAGCAACTACAACAGTAGCATACCTACTTGTGTATTTGTCACAGAGAATATTAAGTACACGGCAAGCACGCCAGTTGATGGACCTACGAGCAAGGGGCAATCTTAGATAAGATTTCAAAACCCAACGCTACTGTATAGTAACGTCCCATCCGACAACTCACTAAATCTATCTTTTGTTCCCTTTGCAACTTCAAGGAACGTGTCACTGTAATGGTTCCTGTGCTACGTAGGGGCAGAATTGTTGCATACTAGATTCTACAATGCTGCCATGCTTTGTTACGGCACAGCATAGAACCCCCCCTATCCTGTTGTCACACTTCTGGGCTTTCAATCTCAGCAGGCCTATCTAGCCAACACCCCAGCGCTCAGACAGTTACCCGGTATGCCATATATATTATGCGTGCATGTGCCCATAGATAGAACACGTTGTTTCTGCAGTCAAGTACACAGGTACCTGCTTGCCAGTAGGTTAGATACTAACCTAGGTAATTACGTATATATTGGCCTATGAAAATTCTCAGGTAATAGGCTAGGTAGTCAGTCAATAGGATGAAAGGATTTTCGATATTCAAGAGTTGGGGCAATACATCACAAGACATCATTAATAGACCACTCAACAAGGAGAGGAGTAGTTTTTCTTTAAACTATCTCTAACCTAGGAATGCCTCAAAGCCATATTGCCTAATATAACGATCAAATCAGTTCTCGTCCGTCAAGTAGCGTTCATGTTCGTGTACGTCGTTTCAACATAGCATAACAAAACACTCAGCCAACTAGCAAACCAACGTATCGAAAGGGCGAAACGGAAGCCTAGTCCTGCTCCACTCCCATTTCACCGATATGGTCTCTGATCCTTAGTTGACATAGCCATACTCCACCACCAGGTCAGGTTCTCGCTTCCTCCATAGTCCGTCCTCATCCTCGTTCCCTCTCAAGCAACTGTCCACTCTAGCTGTATAACATATCGAACTAAAATAATGTTGGCAAGAAATAACCGACCGCAAGATCCACGACGCCGCGTATATGTGTACAGCCCACTTCCAATAGCCCATTGAGGACAGAAAGCCTTCATATCTTTCTATCAGATTTTTAGAGAATCGAGTTTTGCTGCTAGGGCGCCTCAATGTAAGAAAGGAAAGCAAAAGCAAAAAGAAATGGTAGAATAGAATATGAAAGAGAAAAGGTATCTCTGCACAATCTCAATTCGAACGGGCAAAGAAAAAGAAACCAGGTTGAAGAAGGCAAGTTTAGGCCACTAAAACCGCACATCCTACATGCTTACTTCTCGTTCTTCTTGAATAGCGGTCATTTCACTACCAATCACGCCACCCTCAAGGAGTGGTTGGCTCGGAGGGGGCATTGAAAACGCTTTGGAACCGGTCGGTGTCGTGCTGGCGCTGCCGGGGCCAGGGGTCACACTAGGGACGGATGACTGATTTACCGTGGTGTTGGTATCGGTTTCGGAAGGTTGCTCATGGATCTCACCTGTCGGGACTTCTCGCTGTAATGGGGATGAATGTACAGGCGAGTTGGACTTCTTGCTTGCCGCATCACCATTGCCACCCCGAGAGGAATTTCGTGGAGAGACCCTGCCCGTCTACCATGTGTGATTAGCTGAAGAGCACAATACAGACTGGCATTAAAGAAGGACTAACCTGCTTTGCCCACCTAAGGCCGCAGCTGTTACACAGGTCTCTTTGGCCACTAGGACCTCTTCTCCACTCGGGTGTGTTGCGGGTGTGGCAGTTGGCACAATCTCGAACAAAATTTCCAACCCCCTTTCTACGTTTGCGTTTCTTCTTGTTCGACAAAAGACCGTGTAGTTCCTCGGCTAATACCCGGTTTACCTTCTCCATTTGTCTCAGCTCATACTGCCAGCTAGTACACCTTGTCGTCTTGAGCTCGTCGAATATATTATCATCCGAGGCGAGAGCTCTGTCCTGGTTACCGGGGGCCATGCCACCACCTGCAGCAGCGGATACGACTCCAGGACGCTGCTCATCTAACACTTGATTGTCTTGTAATACGGTGAATCCGGAAATCGTCTTCGGATCGTTGGGCGAATGACTTGTGAGCCCTTGTCTGCTAGATAAGGAGGATGCAGTTGGCCCGATTGCTCGGGAGGACGCTTTGACTAATTTCGTCTGGGCCAGCAAGAAGGTTGGCTTCTGTCCCTCGGAGGCATCGCCTGGATACATGATGGTATGTGCCTGTAGGACCTGACCACGACGATTCTGTACCTCATGCTTGCAAGTGACTATACGCCCTCTTCTTGCTTTCTCTATAGATCGACCAAACTCGGCCCGTGATTCTTTCCGCATTAACTCTTGGATGCTTGTCCCCACAAGATTTTCCGGCTGCAAATCCAAAAGAGATCGAACGTTAGCAGACACAAATAGGAACATTCCAGACGTGGAAAGCTTTGTCCACAACTCGCTATCACCTATACCACCATTCAACTCCAATTCACGCCGGCTGAGTGCGAAGACGGGGCGCTTCCGTCCAACGAGAATTATACACTTTCGACCTTTCCCTTGTTCAACAAACAGCGAGCCATGGCTTTCAAACCAGGTATATCCACTTTGCTTCCTTCGAATGCGGAATACTATATTTACCGAACCACCCGCGGTGGCATCCTTGAGCTCGCGGGTAACGGGTACAATGTCAGAGGGATGAGATATAGACGAGATGGAATTCCCAACTAGCTCTACAGCGTCGTATTCGAGTATGCGTTTACAGGATGGCGATAAGTATAGAAACAATCCTTTTAGTGATAATACGTGGACAACATCATCAGCATTTTCCAGGAGCATTTTATCCCAAGATTGCCGATGCCAGTCGGAGACTGACCCTTTTGGGTTGAATTGTTGCAACAATGTTGATACATCGTCGACGCCTAATGTTTGCCCATTTTCTGGTTCCCACTGACTCGATGCCGGCGGTGTCCAGATGTACTGACCGATGTCACTATGTTTATAATTGACCTTCATCGTACCTGGGCCCTGATGAGAGGCAATGGCATCGGGACATTCCACAAGGTCGATTTGAAACCCAATAATATATCTAACCTCTGATGTATCCCACGGTATAGGAATCATCGTTAGTAGATTCAAGAAAGGTTTCCCCCCCTTTCGGTAGTTGATAAGGCTTTGTTGAACTTCTTTGCCTTCTGCAATTTTCTGCTTCAAGTTGTAGACAGCTCCGTTGTCGACAAACTCCCGCTTCGTGCCCGCTTCTACTTTACCATCAGGCGCCTGAAGAAACCGACAATTCTGACCAACAATTTCGTGTTGGCTATATCCGGTCAGATTCTGGAAGTTATCCGAAACGTATATAATAGGACAGTCATTCATCGTAACATCACAAACGACGAAGGCACAAGACATGTCGACAGCACCAAGGTTAACTTGGGGACTCTTCCTTGTAGCCACAAGCCAAAGAGCCTTTAGCATATCGAACCCACTTTTTGAATAGATAGTTTTCTCCTTTGAGGGTTGAGAATTAATGACAGAATCAGTAGGGACAACAGGCTGGGATGCAGCGGTACTTTCTGGGGTCGTTTCCGTTGTAGTTTCCATGGGGGACTCGTAGGAAGGCGTAGTCGATATGAGAGCCTGGGAAGGAACCTGCGCGGAGGATTGGGGTGAGATGCTGGGCTGGAATCCATTCATGGTAGTATCTACACTGAGATTCGTCTGCGGTTGATTATGGTGGTTTTGTGTAGAGAACTGCGGAGAAGTGCTCATTATACTGTCCTCGCCCGTATCCACAGACATGCCGGTACCATGCTCATTTGGAACACCGCCCATAGTGTTATTTTCAGTGGACAAATCCATGCTAAAATCGGTTGACAATCCATCCATAGGGTTTGATGAATAGGTGCCCGGCATTGCTGCGGCTGGCGTGAACAAACCCATGGCATGGTCAGTGCCTATTTGGCCCATATTCATGTTCGAGAAGGCAATCATGTTCCCTACCATGTCTGGAGAGAGCGCCGAGAAATCATCAGCGAGCATAGTGGGCGAAGAGAAGGTAGCCGAAGTGCCTGGGAGGGTTATGTTTGTGTTTAAAGAAGGAAACCCAGTATTCATGGCGTCGGTAGAAGTGTTCGGCATACCGCCAAATTGATAGTCTCGAAAATCATTATCATTATTACCGAATTCCATCATAGACATTCTCCGATCAGGTTCTGTTTGTGACATTTGACCGGGAAATTGCTGAGGTAGGCTCCGTCGTCTATGAAGCTCCTGGGAATTGTTTCGAATGATATCATCAAGGGAGTCGGCGCCCACTAGGGAAGAGTCCGGATTCGCGACCGTGACAGGGCAGTATTGGGGCTGGCGGGCTGACTGGTTTATGGAGCCGTTAGCCTGCCGTCGCTGGTTACGCTGCTGTGCATGGCGGCGTTGCAGCTCCTCCTGGGAGAGCTGATTGCCGAAGAAGTTATCCATTTCAGTCACATCGGTCGCCTTAGTGGTGTCACCGATATTTGGAGGCTGCGAGACCACTTAGCACAAACCGTATTATGGTTATCAGCCTGTGTATAGGAAGCAGCTTCGGTTCGGTTACGCGGTAGGTGAGAGGGATGAGCGATATGATAAGGCTATCAGCACCTATCATGTGCAAAGGCGTAGATGGACAATGGAATTAGCAAGACTCGAGGTTACATTAGAGCTCGACCCGCAAGTTGTTTCATAGGACGATATTCAGAGCAGGCGGTTAGATTTCAACACCCATGAAAATGGATCTCGTTAGGGCGGGATATCTCAGATAGCTCGATGTACAAATATAGAGGTTAAAACACGTGGTAGGTGTAGGCTCGACAGGCGGGTGCATGTAGACTTGCAGGCGTCCCTCTAAATACTATGGGCGTAGAAAAACTAGAGAGGAAGGAGCTAATATTCGGTCGGTTCGATAAATAAATGGACAAGGGAAGGGAAGCAAGTAGTTCTGTCGGAATGCGTAGGAAATCGGTCACAACTTGACAAATAGTAACTCGGGAAATATGGGCGCCTTTTGAATTACGAGGATGATGAAGAAGACTAAAAGTCATGAATAATGGTAGCAATTATCATGGTGTGAGGATGTTTAGGGGGAAAGATGGCATTCGGATAGCTCAACAAGCCAACTCCTTCGTCAAAGGTGGGAGAATGGAAAAAGAATGCAGGATGAAGGATGAATTTGGGCCGACCGGGGTACGTACATAGGTAGTAAAGTGGAGTACATACATGTAGTATGCAGTGTAGGGTAATCGCAGAGTACTGGGCAAGATTCTAGGCCCAGCCGAGCCAGGGAACGGGGAAGGGCGGAAGGTATGAACGATCAGATCCAATTGATCGGACAAATGCCCCGTATTTCTAGATTTACAATGTACATAGTACCATATGAGACGGGAGCTAGATCGAAAACGCGGGGCAATATTAATACGTACCATACTATGTAACCTATTGTTAATTTGTTATCCTACTGTAGTAGATAAACTGATATAGCTATAAATTGCCAGGTGATGGATAAAGTTGTTAAAAAAAGAATTGAAGAATTGAAAAATCAAAAAATGATAAAAATGACATATCGCAACGATAATAACTAAGAGGCGGGATACATATGCATATCGCTTGCAAAGCTACGATAACTGTGATAATTACCTTAAATACAGATGTAAAATCTACTGTGGCTGATATTATCATATTACATGTATGTATACAATACAAGGTGACAACTGAAAAGCAAGTTCTTTTTATTATTAAACGATCTCTCATTTTGGAAATGTCAACGGTACATAGTAGTGATGACCTATTAAGTGGAGTACATGAAAGATGGGACGTTGAGGCTGACGGTTGACCCCGCCACTTCAATGTTGGCTGTTACATAGTTACATACCATGTAACTATGCCTAACTCCGATGTCCCCTTATCCATATGTACCCGTCAGGCGTAACACAATAGGTATGTACATCGCAACCTAACCTCAGTGCTTACTTTAATTTTGAACCTTGTACAACATCTCAGTGCTATCATCGACATAAACCTCAGGTTCTAGTACATAGGTACTATTGATTGAATCTCCAAGCTCCTTCATCAAAAATAATACTACGAACATATAGTAACTCACCTTTCACTTTTTACCAGTCACCAATAATTGTTTTTTTTTATTAATCTTTTTGGCACCTCTTTAAGATCTTCTAGCCTAGTTCCTTTGGTTGTGTAATTCAATTCACTACGAAACTCTCAACTATTCATTCTACTTCCATTATGAACAAGAAACTTGCCAACGATTAAGCAGCATCTTTGTTTAAGAATAGGTAGCAAGCAACCTTGGAGACGAGGTAAGTCACCCTCGCTTCACATACTATCCTCCACCCCTCCATCCCTCCATCCCTCCATCCTAGAAGCAAGACATCATCTGCCATCCTGTCGACTCCATCATAATGCCTAACCTTTACATCTACACCACTACACATCATCACCACTTCTCACCTTCTCGCCTTCCCCGTTTCTTCTCTCTTAGCCAACGTAGATTCTCGCAATCTACAATCATCCGACTAACACACCACAGATAATTGTCTAATTCCATTCATCATTTATTTGGCCAAGTCTACTGCTGCTACTTGGTTACTAATATCATATTCCTTTTCTAACTGAGAATGGCCTCAAGCTCTCTCTATACTGATGGTCACGCCATTCCGTTACTTGCGAAAGGGAATGAGGCGCTACCCCAGAAGTCCAACCCAAATGCCTACAGCGTCGTTAAGAAACGGTCAATCCCACGACTTGGGGATGGCCTCTGTGGCATCTTCGCGGCCCTGGGCCACTCACCTACCAGGACAGTGAATTCCACTCCTTCTACTGTGGTCACAAGAAGCAATACCCCAACCTCCACAGCATCACGGCAGACACTTACCACGTGTATATCAACTCCTGATATTAGCATCATTTCATCGAATGCCGGCAGTCATGCTGATGTTATCGAGAAAGCCACTACTAGCAACAAGCGGAACCGCTCATATCTTTTTTCTCCAATCTCACCCGGCGTGTCCATTCAAGAATCAAACAGCCTAGTTCAGTCCCCTCCAGCCCTTGGTGCATATGGTTATGTTGCATTGCCCCGTGATGGTGACACTCTATATGAGATATCACACCCCACCGTGCCACCAACGTCATCAAACAGCAACCAGGTATCTTCAACGAGGCTCGAGGCTCATACTTGGCTTCATAATTCACAACAGGCATCGTTTGAAGTTAGGCAAATTGTTGTAAAAGATCATAGCAAAAACACACTCGGCAACCTCAACTCATTCGGAGCACACGAAAAAGGCGATCAAAATGAGTGTCTTATCGCACAACCCCAGAACTGCGACGGCTCCTTCAATCTTGAACCTCTCGAGTATACGGAACCACTTAGATCAAACCTACGACCTTCATGCCCAGCTCCGGTCCCCGTCGCAAAAGTCGATAAACAGCGGGAAAGGTTCTATATTAAGTTGATGGATTACGTCAATGCCGACTCTGCGCTTGTTAGCCCATCGCAGTCATCGCAGGCGAACTTACATGTCTTTGTAGATATGTCTAACATATTCATCGGGTTCTGTGAGACGTATAAGATCTCCAGAAAAATTCCAATGAGGCGCAGGATTCATGCTCCTCATTTCTCGTTTAGAACGCTCGCCCTCCTGATGGAACGAACACGATACACCTACAAGAGAGTACTAGCAGGATCTGCATATGCTGGAAATTCCCGATCTCATTGGCCTGCTCACTTCTTCGAGGCTGAGAAATTGAATTATCAGATGAACATATTCTCACGTGTCCAGAAGCGAATACCTTCGCCCGCCAAGTCCAAACAACAAGGTAAAACAACACCTCAGGGAAAGGCCCGGTCATCACCCTCTGATGTAGTCTATGATAGTGTTGCCGATTCAGCAGGAGACCGAATGGCTAGTACCATAGAGATCCGTAATGGGGAGCAGGGTGTTGATGAAAACATACATCTAAACATGATGGAAAGTATGTGGGACTACATGCATGAACCAGGTACCATCGTGTTGGCCACAGGGGATGCCGCAGAAGCTGAATTCTCCCCGGGCTTCTTCTGTTATGCTCTTCGAGCGCTCGAGAAGGGCTGGAGATTCGAATTAGTTGCCTGGAAACGAACAACATCATCAAACTGGACTAGTCTGGCACACTCTAGCAAATATGCCAATCGGTTCCGGATCATCTTCTTGGATGACTTTCTCGAAGAGCTCCATGCGGACATCCTTCCCGGAGCTTGATATTCTCTGGCGCAAACTAGACCACAAATTCCCTGCATAAGGCTATCGGTCCTACCACTTCGCTCGCTATTGCATCACACCATGGCGCTTTTCTTCTTTTTCTTCTTCTTCCTTTTTTTTCTTGCTTTTCTTTTCCCTTTTTCGTGTCGGCTCGTATTGGCCGGCATGTGACGTGTTCTAGTCGCGCACATTTGAGAGAGGCTTCGCATTTGATTCGGTTTCGAGCAATATTGTGGGGACATTCACGATATTTAACCGGCGGAACAAAAATATGGTCACTCTACGACACTATTTCGATCCAAGCCATTTATAAGATTCATCTGTGGTTGGCCTTTATTTACACCTCAGGCTGGTAGGCATTTGCTATATAACTTGCAATAAAAAAGACAAAGATGAGACGAGTACATGATATGAAAGTGTTCCTGCGGGCACAGACCGGTCTCGGAATACATCAACAGGACCAAATATGAAAAGGTTCTGTGGTTTGGAGCATCAAAGGGTGGAGTTTGGAGATCATGAGAGGGGTTTCCCTTAGCTAGGTACTACCTAGTCTAGAGGTTTGGTGGAACGAACAGGGTTTGGCATTATCGAGATGCCTATCGACAGTTTGGGGGACTCGTTCATATATTGCAGGCGTTTTGCCTGGGTTCTAGGACATATTTTCCTTCGTGGTCTGGGTTATTCGTGCATTGATTTTGGGTAGGAGACGTCATAAAATGGCATGCACATATCTCGACTGATCAGGGACATGATTCTGGTGCTGATATTTATTATCGAGTGATACCCATCACGGTAGATTCCTGGAGGATTTGGTGGAGTATTTCTGGCATTCTACGCACGCTATACAAGCATTGGGGAACCCTGACTCATCAGGCTTATTATATATGCTGGCGAATGAAGCTCATACGTGAATGGGTCATAGGTCATGGGCCGCGAAGGAAATGGGAACAGCAGAAAGAAGCCTACCTAGTAGGCATTGGTCTCTATGCAGGTGGACAAAAAACCAAGGGAGGCTATGTACATATTACGATAATTACGTAGACGAAATAGGCCTCATATACTACCTACCTTATATCGTAGCCTTAGAGCCTACTTACAGCTTATTCTCTGAGTAGCACATTGTGAATTTCAGTATATGTAGGCCAAGCAAGGCCCTCAAAGCCTCCCGCATAGATTAGTGGTGATGATTTCAAGCGGTTGAAACCATAGTGCTCTTGAGACATTCTGTGATGTCTCGATAATACTTATCTAACTAGGTACATACCTAGCTGATCCGAGGCTTGAGTCGTAGAGTAGGTTGGGTTAGGAAGCGCCCCCGCGACCTCCAATACCACCCACCGCTACCGCTTGCACTATGTGCGCACTGAGCTCAGGTAACTGTCTGCCTCTTTCAGTTGGTTGGCCAATAAATCTGATCTCGGCAAGATACCGAAGATATCGCCCAACGTCCTCCCTAGTGATTCCGTAGCCCGAACTCTCATCTATTCCTGTCCATCTAGTCCCGTCTGTCTTCAGCACTGAGGATGCGTTCCTATCGTCTAGCTCCGGGGCACGAGTAGTCGCAGGAAGATCATTCATACAAAAATGTGCCAGCGGCATGAGGGCATGCTGTTCTTGGTCTTTCTCCAAGGTACCCGCCGACACAAACCTCTCCAGCTCCTGCTTCCAGGAATCGTAACTGACTTCTGGCGTCTTGTAGCCGTAGTACTCTAATATCGATAAATACTCGTTCATGCGAAGACGCGGGTGAGCGGTGACGTGAACAACATGTACTCCACCCTGCAGTGGATTGAGGGCAGCAGCCACGACAACTCGGGCAACATGGTTCACAGGGACGGCGTTGACAGTATTGATGATACGCGGGCGTGCTACAAGCTGTATGCAGCCTTTCAACATTCGGATGAGGAAATCGTCCACGTTGCAGACGCCAGTCTGAGAATCGCCCAGTACGTACCCGGGTCGAACAACTGAACCTCGGAGGCCTCGTTTCCCAGCCTCTCGAACAAGTTGTTCCGACACCCACTTAGTCTGGCCGTATCCTGTCCCCAGTCCAGTTCGGCTTCCCTGCATATCATCATTTTCCATCACAGCCCCCTGCCCAGTTCTAGTCTGTTCTTCGGACAGTTTGATATAGAAATCTGTATCAAGAACACTAGTTGAGCTAACAAAACAAAAGGCCTTAGCCTTCCCTTCGTTACAGAGCTTCATCGCATCGATAGTCGACAGCACATTAGACGGCATCATGTCTTCGTACTTTCTAATCCAGTGGACAGTGGCTCCATTGTGTATGACCACATCGACTTCCCGTGATAGTTGTTGCCAGGTAGATTGGTCGATACCTAATTGAGGTTGTGATAAGTCACCCACGACTGCGCTCAGTCTCTCCGCCCAGTCATCGTTCCACAAACCATAACCTTGAAGAGAACGGCGAAGTCTTTGAAGCGCTGCCGTTGAATCTTTGACACCTCGCACGTGTGCGATCAACCTAACGCTGCGGGCTGTCCGGTCAAGGATATCCTTCACAAGGTAGGATCCCAAGAACCCGGTTGCGCCTGTAAGGAAGACTGTCAAACATACAGATGGATCGATTGTCTCGAGATCCACTGGCTGATAATTATCATCCAGGCGATTCAGTAGCTCGTCTAGCGATAGGGCGTAAGCCGGATCCCCCTCTGGCTTATTTCCGGTGCTACTATCCACAACATCAGTTTCCTGAGCTCTCTTCTCCACGTGAGAGCTGAAACTGGCTAGGTCTGGGTGCTCGTAGAAGGAATTAATGGAGACGTCTGCCCCTAAGCCCTTTCGAACTTCAAATAGCAGTTGCTGAGCTAATAAACTATGTCCACCGAGATCAAAAAAGTTATTTTCCCGTCTAATGGTTCTCGGATTCAGACCGCGAATGAGATCTGCCCACTTTTGGGCCACTGAACGTTCCATATCTGTTAGTGATTCCCAACTTCTCAAGTCTTCCTCTGAAGCATCTTCAACGCGCTCGATGACATCTGGGAATGGAAGATTTGGTTTGTCAACCTTGCCGTTAGGGTTTAAGGGGAGCTTTTCAAGGACGATGTAGATGCTCGGTACTGAATATGCCGGGAGTCTAGACTTCAAGTGGTCGCGTACTTCAGTCTCCATACTCCGATATTTTTTCAAAAATACCCGTGTGGGCCCCATCTCAACGCCTTCATCTTCCACCTCCTCTACTCCCCGAGCTGAAGCCCAACGGCGCCACTCAGCTGCCTCTGGGACCAGGTAGCTTACTAAAGTTGGCTCCTCATTTCGATCTCTCCGCACGAGTGTTTTACAATCTCGAATCAGGGGGTTCTGGCTTAGATTGCTGTCTATGTCGTTTAGCTCGATTCGAAAACCACGAATTTTGACCTGGTCATCTGCACGACCAGTACATTCGACGTCTCCGGACTGAAGATATCGTCCTAGATCGCCTGTACGGTAGAGGCGATCCCTTGGGCCTTTGTAGTACGTTCGCCAGGGTTCACCTTTGCTCGTGCTCTTATCCGCTTCAACCCACATCTCGTTGTTGACGAACCAGTTCATTAGGAATTTCTGCTCATTGAGCCCCTCATCCCCCAGATAGCCCCTAAAATAAATGGTCAGCAATAAAGCGAAGGAGGCGCCTGAGAAAGACTTACTCGGCAAGTCCAGCAGCCCGGACAAATATCTCGCCTACCTCCCCAACCTGGCATTGTCGGGTTCGGTTTTCCCTATCGACAACCAGAAGCTGGACATTTTGCATCCCTTGTCCAGCTGGAACAGTGTCCTTAAGTGTCGCTAAAAAGTCAGGGTCCCTTGCTCGGCTCGGGACTTCGAAGTAGCTAACAGATCTCTGAGTCTCAGTAGTGCCATACATATTAATAATGTTGGCATTCACGGCGAGCTGTCTTAGGGACCGGCACTGCCTGGTGGTTAATACGTCGCCGACAAAAAAGACGTGTTCCAAGCTAGGAAATTCAGCCGTTGCGCCTCCCACTAGAATTTGACCCATTGCGGGTGTGAGATGCGTGACAGTAGGCTTCATTTCTCGCATCCACTCGGCGAGTTTCTCGTGCTGGATATCCTCTTTGGATGGGACAAGGAGCTGTGCTCCTAGGAAGAGCGGGGTAAATATATCTCTCTGTACAGGGTCGTGGGCAAGGCCAGAGAGAAGGGTGAATCGACTTTCAGATGACAGATGAAAGCGCTCGGCCATCCAACCGAAGTACTTGGTCAAGCTAAAATGACGACCAAGAACCCCTTTTGGTCGGCCTTCACTGCCTGATGTAAAGGACAGTGTAGGGTTTGAGTCTGGACCAACGACCACATTAGGAGGCGCTGCTGCAGATTTCCTGATGTTGTCAAAAATGTCTTGGGCCTCCACCTGCCCTCCAGAAAGGATACCATTGTCGAGGAGGCGTAAATCGGGCACTTGCGCCTTCAATTGAAGCTCTTGGTCAATATAGTTCTGCACCAGGTCGGCCAGAGGACCATTCTCATCGGTTGCACGGCCAATTTTGATCAGGGCTCGTGGCTGAGATACCTCAAGGTATATCTTCTGCCTAGCTGGGGGATAAGCAGGGTCCAGCACAGTCATGGTAGCACCGGCAGCCTTGATTTACAATCGCAAGGTTAGTCGAGGCACGAGATCCTGATTGAAGCTAAATCGCAGACTAAGTAGGTAGGGGAATTGGGCTACTATATCATACCAAAGTACCCATTAATGCAACGACCAGATCAACCGATCGATGGGCCCAAATCATGACAACGTCCCCATTCTTGATGCCGGCATTGTGAAGGTACCAAGCAAGGGTGTTGGAAGCCTCATATATCTGGCTGTAGGTAAAACATCTCTCAGGATGGGTTGATGATTTTGTTTCTAAGACACATGTATTATTGGGAAACCTCTTTGCGGAAGCCTGAAAACGCTCATGGATTGAGCCAACATACCCCGACCAGTCAAGGTCGACCGTCGGGTCAGGTAGCCCGCCCATGAGATTGGTAAAGTTATATGTCCAAGCACGAAGATAATATGAGCAGATAAGTTGTCACTCATTAAAGAGATTTGGTATAAAGCTTTATGAATAACAAGAATAAAGGGTTAAAAACATGTGAGTATAAATGTATGGTGTGTGAAACTTAGGTTAAATCTTTTTTTTTCATTTCGTATAATAAGGTAACGTGAAACGGCTAAGTTGATTAAGTTAGTATAAAAGGTTAATAATGCCATGTATAAAAAGCTTATCTCAGCAAGCTTAACTTAAAAATCAAAAAATGGCGGGCTACACTTATTAACATCATTTTTTAACCCGTACACATATACATGTAAGGCTAAAAAAATAATGTTTGTTATGGGAATTATGGGGAACAGTCACGTGACCCACATGGCCCGTACCCATCTTTATAACTTATTTTAATTAAAAAAAAATCTTTAATTTTTTTTATTTTATTTAATAATTTTAATTATATTTATAATTTTAACCTTTTATTTATAACTTATCGTAATTATAAAATTATTTTATTTATTTTAATATTAATTAATGGTTAATAAAATAAATTAATTATAAATAATAAGGAAATTTATATTAAATAATATTATTAATAATATTAAAATAAAAAAAGATAAAAACTTATAACTTTAAATTTAATTAAAAATTTTTAAATAAAAAATTTCATTTAAAATTTTTAAATTAAAACTTTTTAAAATTTATAATTATTATAAATATAAGAATTTTATGTTAATTTAAAAATTTTAAAACGTTATATTATATTTATATTTATAAATTTATATTTATTATATATAAAAAAATTAAATTAAAATTTATCGGTAAATATTTAAAGCGTTATATTATATTTATATTAATAATATTTAAAAATATTATAAAAAAACTTTTTATATAAACGATTTAATTAATAATTTTTTTATTAAATTATAAAATAATATTTACTTTAATAAAATTTAATTAATTCCTTTATTTAAGCCGAAAACTTACTTAAATTAATACTTATTTAAGTTAATTTATTTGAAAAATATAATTAAAAATATATTTTTTAAAATAATTACGTTATATTTTAATAATTAAGTATTTATACGTTATTTATTTTATAAATTTTAATTTCGTTATTAGTTTTAATATAAGTATCGTGAAATTAAATTAAAAAAGCTTATATTAAAAAGGTTAATTAAGATTTAAAAATCTTAATTATTTACTTATATATTTAATTATTTTAATAAAAGAAGCGTTTAAAGGTATGTGATAAGTGGCTTTATTATTACTTTTACGCCTTTTTTTTTTTTTTGTTTTTTTTTTTTTTATGTGTTTATAATTAAGAATTATTATAATCCGATTAAAATTATTAATCCAAGCATTCATTTAATTTATTTAACCTTTTTTAGTCTTTTCTACCTTTTTTTAACGATATGGATTATTTTTTAATTAATTTGTTAACCATTTGAAATAATTACGGTAAGGGTATTAATATTATATATAAAGGTTAATTTAGAGCAACACTAAATCCGCAGTAGGAGTACATGCATTTGGTCCGCAGTACTACCTGGTCTCCCATACAAATTTAGGTGCGCGCACAAGTACCACTGCCACAGCCAATTCAACACCACTTCAAACCCACCCCAGCCCATCCAAACAATTTTTCAAAAATCCCCAAAGACATCCATCTTTGTCGCCTCGACGAGACGAATTGATTGATATATGTTTCAGATCTCAGAAAATTCAATTGATCGAGATATTGATTAATCTTTGATTGATCTCATCGGGCCCTACTGTATCGTGTCCTGAATCAAGGTGGTAAGGCAGGTGGCCCATGCGCGGTACCGGTCGCAACTTGGAACTTGAATAACTTGAGCAATCCGGGCCGTACAAACGTGGAACCGGGATCAATATGATCCCTGGATTGAGAGCTTCAAATTGACATCTCCAATCAAAGATTTGAGGATGGCTTGGATGGGTTGCAGTTGATTGACAACTTGGTGTGTACTGGAGCCGCCGGAGCTGCGCTACTAGCGCCATACTGCAGACAAAAAGCTAAGTACTCCTACTGCAGATTTAATGTTGCTCTTAATTTATTGGTTAAATTTAATTCCTTAGTTAACTTTAGTTTATTAAAGATAAGTTAATGATTTTTATTAAACTCTTTAATAAGTTATATAACATTTTATATTAGGAATGGTTTTAAATACCACTTATTAAATTTTAAATTATAGTTTTTTTAAGATATTAAATATTTTAATATAAGGTACTTTTTAATATAATTAATTTAACGTTTTTTAAATTTTTTGATTTTATATAAAATTAAATTGTTATTATTTTCGTTAATAAAAACCTAACCTAACTTTAGCTAATGCTTTAATTAAAGGTTTATATTAATAAATATAAAAATAAAATAAACGATTAAAACGATATAATAAATCTATTAATGTTATAAAAAATTTAACTTATAAATTAAATTTCTAATTTTTTTTATAACTATAAAAAAACTTATATATTATTTAAACTATTTTTGCTTTAATTTCTTAAGTAAATAATAGCTTTTATAAAGCTTAAAAAAAATCTTTTCCTTAATATTAAATTATTAAAAATTCTATTTAACATTATAACAAATCTTAACGTTAATTATAATATAATTAATGGTAATCCAAACTTCTTACTAATATATGTTTTTTTAAACCTTAAAATCTATTACGTTAATATCCACTTCTAAAATAAATAATAAGATATAAAACTTAAAACTTAATATAACCTTATTTGATAATTTTCCAAATATTAAGTAATAAAAATTATTAAAATTATACTAAAAAACGTTTAATATCTTATTTTAAAAAATATTAAAAAAAGCAACGTATTAAAACCTTATTATAATTTTAACATCTTAATTACACCTTTTACTCACACTATTTATTTAAGCATAATAACTTATTATTATAATAGTTTTAATATTGTTATAACGTTAAAGCATTTACCATACTTTGCCGGTGAATTTCTAATCCTTATTTATAATTATTTTTGCTAAAAAGCCTTAATTTATTGTAATAAATATCTTATAAAATATTTTAGCTTAATCCTTAACAATATACGTTAAATATTTAAGAATTAATAAGGTTTTCTTATTAAATTTATTAATAATTATTATAAAGGAATTGTAATAATCGTAACTTAATATATATTATATAATCTCTTTAACATTAATTTTAAATAAATTGATTATAAAATTTATATAAATTATATAATAAGGGATATTAAACTCCATAATTAGTTTTAATTTCCCTAAGGCCTTTTAATAATTTATTTAATTAAATTAATAATACAAATAATAAATAAAATATTAACATAATTTCTTTATTAAATGTTAAACGCTAAAACCGTTTAAATCATATATTATACGATATAATTTAAAATAGTATTTTTTATTATAAATCGTTTTAAAAAGTGCTTATATTTAACCTTTAAAAATGTATAGTTTTTAGCGGCTGTCTTACCCCTCCGTTTAAAAAAAGCCATCGTCTTTAAATATATATGTAAAATTCCAAGCCAAACATTATGCTTATTTTTAAATTTTTAGTTTAATAATGATCTTAATAAAATAAAGATTGTTAATATATTTAGCCATTATGATTTATTTTTTAACGTTATTTATTTAAACGTATATTTCTATTATATAATTAAAATTTAACAGCAAAAACAAAAAATATTTATCACAATTATTATCCTTTACATTAAAATTATAATCATATTATTTAACATCATTAAATATTAAATAGGAAAATATAAAAAATTCCGGATTAAGGATAAGGAATATATAATATTAGAAAATGTAATTAAAATTATTAATAATATCGTTTAAAATATTCTTCATTTCTTTAACAACCTCCTTTTCATCGTTAAAATTAAATAGTATTAATAAATAAAATAAAACATTTAACATTAAATTTAGTTAATTAAGGATATATTAAATATTTAAAAAAAATTAAAATAAATATGTTAAAGCTAATATAAGCTATATATTTAATTTAATTAAATTAATAAAACATAAAAAACTTTAATTTACCACACCACAAATAGATTTATAATCTATTAAAATTATTATAAAATATTTGCATAATTAAATTTACACCTAAAAATACTGATAAATCTACATTAAATAAAATATTTCCAATTTTATGGCTTAATAATTAATCTCCGCCTTAATAAATATCTTATTTAAGAATTAGATTAAACATATATTATTTATATTAAATATATTACCATTTCATTTGTTTTTATAATAAAAAATTATAACGTTATAATTTTGTTTTAAAAAAGTATTTATTTTAAAAAATATAGTTACGCCATAATTTTAATGCATTAAATAAATTAAATCTGTAAGTTAAATTTAAAAGAAATAAAAAACTTTTTTTATTATTATTATAGGTTTAAATATAACATTTTTTGCTTATTATTTTCTGGTTATCGATATCTTTAAAATATTTTTAATATTATTTTAATATTTAATAATTAATTTTGTCTTTTGCTTTTATAACGGTTTGGCCTTTTAATTATATTAAATAATATAACATTTTAAAAATCTGATTATTTTAATATATATTTCTAAATTGTAAAGGTTTATAAGTTAAGCGATTTTTTGTAAAATATTTATCTAGTTTTACGTTAAGTTTATATCGATGTTGTTAATTATAAACTTAAATAATTAAATAATTAAATATTTAATAAAGGATTTTGCTATAATTAATTATAAATTTAAATTTTAAAAATAGGTAAATAACTTATTTAAATATTTTAAATAAATATTTGTAAAAATAAAACTAATTGTAATATTGTTTATATATATATGGATAAAGTCTTGGAACGTTTATAATTTCTGGTTTATAAATTTTTATGTAAAAGATATATTATTACGAAAACTTATAAAAATAATTTTTGACATTTTTAACCCTTTTAATAATATGATTATTATTTAATCTTAATATAAAAGTTAAACTTAAAACTAATAAAAGAATTTTAATTTATTAATAATAATAATATATTTTTTACCGTATATCTTATTTATTATCTCGTTTTAGAAAAATAATAAGTAAAAATCTAATATAATAATTTTATTTAAAACCTTAAAATTTATTATTATATAGCTTTTATATTATCCGTTAATGTTTTTTTATAAAACGAAGATAAGATAATTAAATAGTATGGGATCTTTTATTTAATTAATTTTTCTGTTTTAATGCATAT